CAGATTGAACCCCATGGTGGGCTGTGCTGGTCACGATTCAGACTGGGGAAAAAGACAAGGCAAGGCTTGCATTGTTTGGCAAGGCGAATCTGTGGAGACGCTGGGGCTTTTCTATCGGATTCACCCCGCATCTGCACCTTGGAGCACGGCCGTTCTCGCGGACAAGATGGCTCACGACGGAGTCCCCCCGCGTTGGTCAGTAGATCCCCCGCAAGCCAAAGATCCGTCGTACTGGTTCTAGCCAGCGCTGGTGAACCCTCTCTGGACTCGACCATCCATGACCCTCCCTGCATGGGCGGGCTTGGCCCGTCTGGGCCTTTTCAACAATCTCTTGGCATCCCAATGCTGGAGCCCATAACGCGGCCGCCGAGCCCGAGAAAGTGAGGCTGTGCAAAGGTGATTGTTCACCTCCAGAGTTTTATCATGGGAAGTCGTCGCTCAGCGGCGTAACCCTGGCCCAAGTCTCTGAACCGCAAATGGCTGTGGATGCAAGACTAGTAGCTCTCTCGCACCAGCGCCAGGAACATTTCGATACTCAAGACGATGGAAGCTCGAGGAACGCCGGAGCCAGGCAATCTAGGCGCGAACTCAATTCCTGTGATTACCGTCCAGGTGCCCGACAATAACACTGCATCGGGTCTATCCCGGGGCAGCGACGATGCCCTCTCCCGAGGTCGATGGAACAGCAACCTGGCCGCCATCGAAGGCCAGACCGGCCGGGATCGAGCCATGAGCGGCAGTACAATGGCCCCCAGCAGTTCGCAAGACGACATATGTAAGGAGACGCGGGCCTCATCGTGTGGGACGTCGGGAATCTACTCGGGCAGCGAGCTGGAGGAGGCGCTTCGACCCGACCCGGGCTCCGAGGGTGATTTTGAGGTCAAGGACAACCCGTTCGACTTCTCCCCGGGACAGCTTAACAAACTACTCAACCCTAAGTCCCTCGCCGCCTTCGTTGCGTTGGGTGGATTGCCCTGGTTGGTCCGGGGACTGCGCACGGATGTCTCGGCTGGTCTCAGCGTGGACGAGTCTGTCGTCAGCGGGGGGAATAGGGAGGATGCTGGCGTCATCGCCTCGAAATCAACTGATAAGAAGCCGGCCAACATGTTTGATGATCGAATCCGAGTGTTCAAGCCCAATACTTTGCCGGAGAAGAAAGCCACGCCGCTATGGAAGCTCATGTGGATTGCATACAACGACAAGGTCCTGATCCTGCTCACCGTGGCCGCCGTCATTTCCCTCGCCCTTGGCCTGTACGAAACATTTGATCCGAACCACTCCAGTGGAGGAGAAGGGTCTCACGCCAAACGAAGCTCCGGGATGGGACTCGACTGGGTGGAAGGATGTGCCATCTGCGTGGCCATTTGCATTGTGGTGTTGGTGGGGTCCCTGAACGACTACCAAAAGGAACGCGCCTTTGTCCGACTCAACAAGAAGAAAGAGGATCGGGAGGTGACTGTCACTCGCTCGGGAAGAGCAGTGCGGATTTCCGTTCACGACATCCTAGTGGGCGATATCTTGAACCTAGAGCCGGGAGACTTGGTCCCGGTCGATGGCATCTTCATCGACGGCCACAACCTGAAATGCGACGAGTCCTCTGCCACCGGTGAATCCGACCAGCTGAAGAAGACTGGCGGCGAGCAGGTGATGCGTCTCCTGGAAGAAGGCCACAGCCGGGCCCAAGACTTGGACCCGTTTATCATCTCCGGAAGCAAGGTGCTCGAGGGAGTCGGCACCTGTTTGGTGACATCTGTCGGTGTCAACTCCAGCTTTGGAAAGATCCTCATGGCCATGCGTCAGGATATGGAACAGACCCCGTTGCAGAAAAAGCTGGATCATCTCGCTGGTGCTATCGCCAAGCTGGGTAGCAGCGCTGCCCTGCTGTTGTTCTTCGTTCTGCTCTTCCGGTTTCTGGGCAACTTGTCGGGCAACGCCGGTACCATCTCTGAGAAGGCCTCGCAGTTCACGGATATCCTCATCGTAGCGATCACGGTGATTGTCGTCGCCGTGCCCGAGGGCCTCCCCTTAGCTGTCACTCTCGCCCTCGCCTTCGCAACCACACGGATGGTCAAGCTGAACAACCTGGTCCGCGTGCTCAAGTCCTGCGAGACGATGGGAAACGCCACAACCGTATGCTCTGATAAGACCGGTACTCTCACACAGAACCGCATGACGGTGGTGACAGGAACCTTCGGCGATGCCGCCTTTGACGACAAGAGCCAGACAGGCAAAGGAACAACATCAGCAGACTTCGCCAAAGGCCTCTCAGCTGAGCAGAAGCAGATGATGATCGCATCGGTAGCGATCAACTCGACCGCTTTTGAGGGCGAAGACGACGGGGTGCCGGGCTTCATCGGTTCCAAGACTGAAACGGCACTTCTGGGCTTCGCTCGGAATGTACTGGGAATGACTTCGCTGGTGGAGGAGCGTGCCAACGCTCCGACCATCCAGCTGATGCCCTTCGATTCTGGCCGCAAATGCATGGGCGCCGTCATGCGCTTGCCATCGGGTCATTATCGCTTCCTGGTCAAGGGTGCTGCTGAGATTCTTCTTCGTTACAGTTCAACCTCCTGGACCTCCGCTGGACTACGACCTATTGATGGCACCGAGCGGGAGCGACTCGAAGACGTTATCCTATCCTACGCAAAACAGTCTCTCCGGACGATCTCCTTGGCCTATCGTGACTTCGCCGCATGGCCTCCAGCGGAGGCTGTCGACTCGAGCGATCCATCCTCCGCCGACCTCAGCCTGCTGCTCAAGGACATGTCTCTACTCGGCGTGGTTGGTATCCAGGATCCCATCCGTCCTGGTGTGCCTGAAGCAGTAGACAAATGTCATCATGCCGGCGTGATTGTGCGCATGGTGACGGGCGACAATATGGTCACGGCCAAGGCGATCGCCACCGACTGTGGTATCTACACGGATGGGTTGGCGATGGAAGGTCCAGATTTCCGCCGTCTTACAGACGAGGAGTTTGATGAGGTGCTACCCAAGCTCCAAGTTCTGGCTCGATCCTCCCCGGAAGACAAGCGCATTCTCGTCACTCGGCTGCGAGCGATGGGCGAGATCGTGGCGGTCACTGGTGATGGTACCAACGACGGACCGGCTCTCAAGGCCGCCAACATCGGTTTCTCCATGGGCATTGCAGGCACGGAGGTTGCCAAAGAAGCCTCCGCTATTGTCCTCATGGACGACAACTTCGCTTCTATCCTGACGGCCTTGATGTGGGGACGCGCCGTCAACGACGCGGTGCGCAAGTTCCTCCAGTTCCAGATCACCGTCAACATCACTGCCGTCTTGTTGACCTTCATTTCCTCCGTGGCAGATTCACAGATGCGGTCTGTGCTGACCGCGGTGCAGCTGCTGTGGATCAACCTGATCATGTAAGTTACCCCCTTTTCCACCTCTCAAGGCAATACTAACCATCTATATAGGGACTCCCTAGCTGCCCTAGCACTAGCAACAGACCCCCCCACCGAAGAAATCCTCGACCGCAAACCCATCAAAGGCGGCGCCCCCCTCTTCTCAACAACAATGTGGAAGATGATCATCGGCCAAGCCATCTTCCAACTAACCGTAACCCTAATCATGCACTTCGTCAAAGCCCCGGGCTTCCTGGACTATGAAGACGACGTCCGACGCTCCGTCGTCTTCAACACCTTCGTCTGGATGCAAATCTTCAACGAATTCAACAACCGACGCCTCGACAACAAATTCAACGTGCTAACCGGTCTCCATCGCAACTGGTTCTTCATCGGCATCAACATCATCATGGTCGGCAGTCAAGCCGTAATCGCCAACTACGGCGGCGTCGCCTTCAGCATTGTCCCCATCAACGGGGTCCAATGGGCCATCTGTATTGTGGTGGCTGCATTCTCCCTCCCCTGGGCCATGGTCATCCGCATATTCCCTGATCCCTGGTTTGCGGCCATCGCCCACGTTGTTGGTAAGCCGTTCGTGACGGTGTATCATCCGCTTAGTCGGGGGATGCACTGGATCTGGCAGCCGTTTGGGCGCGGATTCCGTCGTCTGGGACAGATGATGAAGTTCAAACGCAAGGATGAGTCCGAGAATGAGTCTGATGCCAGTGATGTGGAGAAGGGGACTTCGACAAGGCATACGAAGGCTTGATTGATTGCATATATCTTTTACGATGACATGCCCCCACGGGCAACATTTTATGTTTATGGATGGTTAGTTCGCAGTGCCCAGGTCAGAGAAAATTTCGATACAGGAGGAGGCATTTTCCTGAGGTTAGGTTGGTAAGAAGATGACATTGGCAGGACTAATATCTGAGCTAAGATTATTGCGTTTGGTATACTTCATGTCTTTCGGTTGTGCTTCCAGTTTCAAAGGGGATGTTCTCTTATAGTGTGGCAGAGTTGCGGGAATATCAAGCATATCAGGTATCAATACGGTCCTCTACTTATACGCTTCCTGAAAACGAACTTAGAGCCTCGTCAAGGCCTATAGTGGCCTAATTGCCGTTTATACTATTAGGTTATCATAGTGGCGCGCAGCTTTGAAATCTCTGTGACGCCTTCATAAAGTCTAGTACGGCCTGGACCATTCTGGATCGCGAAATTGTGGCTAGTTTACCTTTCATGCCTTTGTTTAAGCCTCCTAGTAGACTCGAGACGTTTCTAAACGCGTCCCTAATTGGCCTTATAGCTCTTTTCGAATATTTCTTAATTCTAGATATCTACTAGTATATAGGTAATGATTTCTTAATAGTTAATAACAGCAGACTACTGTCAGACAAATTAGGATAACCAACAATTAAATTTATTGTTGGGCGAAGAGTAGCGGCTTCCGATACTGGAAAGTAGTACATCGCCTGATCTGATGGCTGACGTTGAATTTCGTTCCGGTCGTCCATCACAATTGTTATCTGCATATCGGTCTTTCTATTCTCCATGTTTCCATCTTGTAATCAAGTAATGAGTCCGGTCAGATAGATAAAATCCTAACTAGAAATTCAGAAGCTACTACAGTCAATATCAGTGCTGTCTTGCCTTCACAAAATCTACCAGGTCAAAAAAGCTCTTTTTATAGAACCGATCCTGCGTGGTTCTATTGACGACCTGAAGCCCGAACTGGGCAGAGTAATCTCCAAACTCCCAGTTGTCGACGAAACTCCACGCCAAAGCGCCCATCACATGTACCCCATCCTCGTAGATGGCGCGGAGAATCTCGGACATGAATGATAGGTAGTAAGTGCTGCGAGGCGAGTCAAAAAGTTGATCCGAAAGTTCCTTTTCAGCTTCGTCCCACACAGGGAAGCCAAATTCAGAGACTAGGATAGGATGTCGAAATGTATTCCACAGATAGGACAGATACTCGCGGAAGTAAGTCGGGGTGATATAGACGTATGATTCTTGAGATACGTGAGAACGTGAACTTTAAGGAGCACGTGGTGGACCTGAGGATTGTCAACTCACCCGACCTATAGCCAATATTCCACCCGTAGACATCCTTTGTTTCCTGGTTGACACAGTATGGGAAAAGCGAGTTGGTGGTTGAGCTATTTGCCGCACAGGCACTGATCCCCTCATGTGCCGGAGAGACCACTGTTGCTGTATAGGGATCAATGCCAAAGAAGTCTGCTGTGTGACCAATATATTCCAACTCAGTTTTGTTCAATGATCTGGCTCCGGGGAGTGTCTTTAAAATTGAATCGGGGTATTGTTTGCCGAGAAAAATGGGATTCGCAAAAAAGCCAAGTTGCATCTCGTTGAATCGATTGGCTGCCTGAACATCCTTGGAATTTTTCGGGTTCTTTGGAACACCAAAGTTATCATTGAATTTAATGCCCATCTTTCCCGTGGCTTTCAACTCTTCATGGTAGAATCGATATACTTGGGCATGTGCATGGACAACATTATCGACACCCTGAAAGTTGAACGAGTAGAGTAGTGGTTCATTGAAAGTGACCCAGATAGGAACTCGATCTGCGAAGTTTGACACGAGAATTTTGCCGTAGTTGACGAATGCATCAACAAATGTCTCATTCTGATAGCCTGCATTGTTATACCCTATATCGGGATGTCGAGCTGCGAAAGTTAGAACACTTAAGAAAACGGGTGTTAGGAGTCAGGCTAGGGATTATGCATACTGATGTTGTCGCTGGCCACGAACATGAGGGGGCTATCAAAATGGAGCATCGTCACAACAGGCTGCATTCCGGCATCAAGAACCGTATTGATGAGGTCATTGTAATGGTCAATAGCCTGTTTATTAACCGGTGTGCCAGGTAGAACAAAAGGTAGAATCCGCGTCCATGGAATTGTAAAGCTGTAATATTCCACACCCATGGCTGCTATTCGCTCAATATCCTGCTTATAGAGAAAGTAGTTCTCATTGGTAACATAGTCCTTTGGCTTGTCACCTGATATCAGTTTTTCCAGCAGGGATGGCGAGCGCCCCTCCATCGCAATTGCGCCTTCAATCTGAGCCGCACTCCCGGCAACGCCGAAAACAAAATCCCGGGGGAAATCGTAACAGTCTGTAGGACCAAAATAGTCGCGGGGCGGCAGGACTAGCTCGCTAGTTGGAACCGGAGTTGGACTGACGGTTGTCGAAAACATTCCGGTGGTAGTCTAGAATTCATAGTCAATAACTACAGAATACCGTCAGACAAATTTGGATAACCAACGTAGTTCTGTAGATCCGCTTCCAACCACATGGACGACCATGCGGCTTGACCATAGGGATCATGAGTATCTGTGGCATGGATGGCGGTTTTACCAGGAAGCCAGCTGCCCCAAGTTGTTGTGGAAACATTCGTGGTCAGGTGTTTGGCTGCATCTTTGTATGCCGGAGCATACGTCCTTGTAACCGTCGGAGAAGGAATTGAAGTCGCATAGCGAACCGTTTCGCTCAATGAATAGGAAAATGGCTGGAAGTAATAGCTTGGTGAGGCGAATGACTTTGAACACTGAGGCCGGGCTGTATATCCTGTCGTTGTGAGGTGAAGCTCCTGAGCCTCGGCAGCTACCGCAAGGCATAGGACTGGAAGTAATGTTGTTCGCATGACTGTATCCTTTTGAGCAGGTTGAGCAATGTTTTCCATCATCAGATTAGGAAGCACGTCATTCTTAAGTATTCTCAGAATGGGCTGTCAAGCCCCACCCCCCGCAAATTGAATTCCTGGAGTGCGGGTATTTATCGGCCGAAGAAAAGCATCGTGGAAGCTCACTTGTTAGGCATGGCACTAAGCCTAATTGATAGCGCGACCCAAGCGTGAGGTGAAACATATAAAGGGGAATAGATCGACAGCTTCTGGATCCCGGTTACAATGTCTGGTAGCATGAAGGCCAAGATCTGCAGCCGGATAATTCGAAGCATCCCCACATGGAGCGTGGGGCCTCCGAAATCAAATATCCGAGTTTGTTGCGTTGTGAACAAAAGGAAAGAAAGGAAGTTTCGCAATCATATGCAATTTATGAATGCTGCAGCGGTGTTCTTGGCTAATAGAAAAGTTGGATAGTAGGAAGTCCAGATCTGTAAGCCATGAATTCTTTGTGAAACTAGACTTTCGTGATGTCAATAAAGGCGCGACCATCTCTTTCAGGCCTTCTTGGGCTCCATGACCTGAACGTAAGATTTCCAACTGGAAATTGCGCGCGCGCAATAGTATACCAGAGGTCCTAATTATGAAAGTCCAGCATTGTTGAGGGTTTTTAGTGGAGGTGGAACCGATGTAGAAGGACAAGGATTCATAGTATGATTGCCTACAATATCACGATTACCTTTCTCGGTGAAAGCCTTTACAGAGAAGCCTCGTATATCCCGGACTGTATCTGCACCACATTTTTCGCCGCCAGTTGGGTTAAGAGGGAACAGTACGGGAGTTTTCCTGCCAGCTCCTTTCAAAACTTAGCTGATCCTAAGGAGCAAATATCGTTACTCACCTCGAACTCGCGGAACCTGTAGCCTTTGAATTGACATTCCCATTATACCAGCCATCCCAGACTGCCGTATCCAAAGCTCAGTCTCCATGATTGGAGAAAAGGTGAGCAGCCATTCCGCCAATAGATAATGCGCAAATCTGACAAGTACGCGAGGGTACGGATATTATCGAATGTTCACACAAGAATCTTGATGAGGCCTGGGGCATCCATCCACTACTATTCCGTCTCCAGCAACTAGTTGATTACATTTCCAACCCCGAGAGTGAGGCCGGAAGCTGCCTCGTCGATCGATTATTGTGGCTGCCTTTTATGATATATAGTAGTGAATTGTTGCCAGCGGAGACAAATTATAGACTGAATCACAGAAATTACCAGCGTTGGATTCTTCTTCTCCGCGTACACCCGTCATTTTAGCATCATCACAAGTCAATACCGATCCTATCAATCAACCCGGTACGATCTTCAACCAGCCGACATCACTCTTCCCAGTTGAAATTAATCACAATGCGCCCTGCAACTTGGCCTTTGCGAAGCTTTTCCACTGCTTCGGGCAGTCGATTAATTGGGTACACTTCACTGATCTGCTGAAGCACCCCACGCCGGGCAAAGTCCAAGGCGGCCGCGGTGTCCCTCCGACTGCCCACCAAGGTCCCTTTGATACTGAGGTTCTTGAATATGTACTCGCAGGGGTCGGTTCCCAGAATCAGTGACCCCACCGGAGGGAGCCCGATGCACATCACCATGGATCCTACTCGTTGGCCAACAAAGGAGACCGCCGTTTTGTACGCAGCTGGGGCTGTAACGAAGACACCGTGCACGCCGACTCCATCAGCAATCTGGATGACGGCCGTGGTAGGATCCTGTTCTTCCTTGAAATCGACGAAGGCTTCTGCACCCATTTTCATGGACAGCGCCCGTTTCTCATCACCGGTGTCCACGACAATTGGTCGCATCCCCATGGCCTTGGCTAGCTGTACGCCTTGAATGCCAACGCCACCTCCGCCACCTGGGAAAACTACCCAGGAGCCAGCTTTCAAGTTGGACTCGACGAGCGACCGATAAACCGTGCTCGCGCTGCACATAATAGGTGCAGCAACTTCATCGGGCACACCGTCTGGGATTGGTGATGCATATCGTGCAGGAGAGACGAGATATTGCTGGTACGTCCCTTGCCTGGACATTAGTTTTCGCTGAGTCTGGCGCTTAGTGGCATTTTGAACGTACCGGGGGTCATCAAGCCAGTATGAATCGCTCTTTTGCAGTATGTCTCCTTATCATCCCAGCACAAATGGCAAGACCCACAGGTATCTAGAAGTGGCTTGACCCCGGCTCGATCACCAAGTCTGAAGTTATTGACATTGGCGCCAACTTTGACAATAATACCTGCACCTTCATGGCCGGGAGACCGTACGCCAAACGTCGACATGGGTGGTGTATCCAAGTCACCCTGCATCATGTGGATATCCGAGGAGCAGAGCCCCGTGAAGTTCAGTCGAATCAAGACATCGTCAGGCCCTGTGTATTAAGAATTGTGGCAAGTTAACTCTCGTCAAAGGGAAATTCAGTCGGGGACTCATACCAGGCTCCGGCACTGGTACCATTTGTACCTCAACATGAAAATCTGGACCTTCGTTGATGACCACACCCGCTTTGCAGTGAGTGGGAATATCATATTGCTGCGTCTCTGTTACTGAGCCCATTGTGGAACCGCGAGCGACGCGATGGGTAGCGTACTCATCGCCATTGTACGATGGCCAGCGGTGTATAAGTAAGTAGTCTCTAACATAACCGGCCGAGCACCCGAGGCAAGACGCTGCGGAAATATCCCGCTATGTCGCTGACCCCTCTTTACGTTGTGAGATCGTATCATCATGGTGCTGCTGATGTCTTGGTCCCCTCTTTGTTCGGGGGGACGGGGCTATGTGGGGAAAACTTAGTCCCCGTTTATCCGAGTCTTCAGGCGCAAGCCCGGCAATTTTCTGGCGTTGACTGCGCAGACCATTTCAAGGGAGCGGTGGGTAGTCAAACAGATACAACAATCAGAATTTAAAGTATATATCGAGTGCTGGCCTTATTCACAAAACCCCATTCCACCTCGACCAATCAGCGGAAGCACACGATCAACGCGAGTACATCGGAAATAAAAGCCCCCTGAAAATGGAAAAAACTAATCCCAAATCAACCAGCCGCATGAACCACCAAGGGTGATTATCATCATCACAGTCAGGATGCCGGCACCGGCTCTGTCTGCTGTAGTGATGGTGTAGGAGAGAGCCTTTGGCTTTGGCTCTGGGGGCTTTCCACCGGCACTGGGATTTCCTTTACTGGTACCACCATTATCGCTAGTGACTGGCGGATCAACGCGTGTGATGAGATTGGACTGAACAACCTCCAGTGCGGCCATTTGTTGTCCGAAATCCTTGGTATGGTCCCACTTTTGGTCGGTCCATCTCAGACCACATGATGTCTGCTGGTCTCCTCCCGTGCAGGTTTTGGCGGCTGCTTGCCCTGAGGCTTTCAATTTAGGCATAATCTGGTCAAAGGTGAAAGGAGCTAGTTGAGTGGTAGAGGCCATCCATCGCGCGAGATAGCCCTTGAATGATCGCTGGTCGACCATGCAAGTGTTGACCGTCTCGCAAGCACGCTCATACATCACATTTTTCGGAGTCGTCGCGAAAAATATGTCTGTAGAGTTGAGAACTCTTTGCAGCCGATCTTTCCATTTGGGATCTTCGGTCTATCGGAAATCAGCTTCACCTCTTGAATTGCCACCATGGCTGATCAGTGCTTACCGCATTGTACATATTCGCCGCACCAAGCAAGAAAACCCCGTTGTTGTAGGTCCACTCAATCTTGTTCAGCTCTTTACACTCGTTCAAATCACTAGCTCCGTCCCAGAAGTGATAGTTTGTGGTCATGAAGCCGACGTCAGATATCCAATCCCATGCCTTCTCGGCCCAATCGGAATAGGTGCTATTCCCGGTATATTTCGCAAGGCGCGCGGCGAGGTGGAAGAAACCGCCTGTGGAGATGGTGTTCTTATAGTTGTAGCCATTGTTCCAAGTAAAGATCTGCCAGCGCAGGCCCCCTCCACAAGAGGATGGGTCCCAACGTGGGGCCTGGGTGTTGAATACTGCTTGGGCCATCTCCAGCCATTGGGGCTTGTCGTCCGGAGGATTGGGGAAGTTGCGTTCAGCTGCTGACATTGCTGCAAACGCCCAGAACACCTGGTCGTCATTTCCTTCCGTTTTACTCTGGTTGTTGGGCATAAAAGCGCCATTCTCGCCAGCTTGCCATGTCATACCCTGAATGGTAATGTCGTTCCAAGTATCGTCGCCCGTGTAGTACCAGTAATCAATCAATGCGTTGAACATTGCGCCAGCCTCCCACCAGTAGTATGGATCAGGCAAATTACCTGGGTTATCCCCAGGATTCATACCGGTGTAGTATGTCATCATGTTGGTGGCAATCTCCTTAGCTGCCTTTTTGATAGACTCTGGCCCGACGTCAGTCTCCTAGTCCATCGGGCTGGGCGGGTGCTCCTTACCTCCATCTTCAATATCCAAATCCACAGCCTGGACAGCACCCAGTCCTGCTAGACCAATTGTCAACAAACTCGCCCATGAGGGCTGAGTAGAGGAGCTGGCCGCCCGCATCACGGGTTGTGTTGAAGCCGATCAGGAACGGCAGAAGTTCGGAAGTGTCAATGGGGGATTGATCGGTGATTGGGCTTCAGCTTGAATTCTCTCTCATCAACAAGGGATTTCTGTATGCGACTAATTGCGATAAAGAATGGATTCGACGCCGTGGATCACGGCGATCTATTTCATTCACGCAACAGAACGAGCAAAGAAGAAGAGAAGGAAAAAGGGAGCACGACTTCAGTCACCATGAGGAGCAGCAAGTAGGAGGGGCCGTGTGTGGATCCAAGGACCGCATTCCAACAATCCCAGCAGTGCTGGCATGGTAACAACGCGTCCATCCCTCGAATCATCATTGCGCCCTACCCTGGGCGACCGGGGTCCTTGAGCCTGACGGTTGGCCGCATGAAGAACCCCTATCACGGACAGCTGCCACTTTCTCCGGAAATGGCACACAATGTGACAAGAGTGCAACCTCGAGCCCGTCTTTGTGTCGTGGCTTCCATGGCTCTGCGGCCCCTCCGCTCCACGATGAGGATCTACGTGGAATGCGGGCAGCAAGCTGTCAACCACTGGATCGATCGAGGGCAGCTGCAAGAAGAGAACCTATCACAAGGGCCAGAGACCTGTTTAGATGGAGCCGAGGCCTCTGTGGTTTGTTACCGCATGCGAGCAGCGGCAACAATCCTCGCATTCCAATGTTGTCACGTCCATCCCTTTCCGGAAGGGAGAGAATGGTTGGGTCTCGACCCCTTTCCGCCTTTCTCAGAAGAGTCAAGGACATATGATCAGGAAGACAATTTAGTTTCCTGCTTTTCCCATTGATCAGAAGTGTGAATCTAAGGCAAGATTGTCAGAATTGAGGGCTTAGTGGATTGAAACAGCCCAGCAGAACTGCTGGTTCCAACTAGTTATCGGGAAGGCGCGAGGTGGGCTCAACTCCCCCCGATGAAGCACTTGTACTTGATTCATCAAAGATGTCAAGCAAATCTAAGGTTGCAGTTATTTCATCCATTGAATTAATAGATTTAGTTCTCTGTTCCTCGACTTGGACTTCCCTGCTGCAAAATCAGTGTTAGTTACGTAAGATAGTTGATACCTTGGAATTCAGGCAATAAACCAGACCCATCTCACCAATTCACTTCATTTAGTCCGTGGCAATTGAGTACGCTGTGCCTTGATCCAGGAAACTGCAAGTTGCAGTTCATTGTTGGATGTGGTGTTCAGGTTGTTTGACTCTCCGAAGGTAATTCATAGATCATACTCCCATCTCCCAGTCGACACCAGGTTTTCCTATAGATCGGCTGTTCAACCTATAACAATAGTAGGAAGCAAAATACCGCATGAAAAAGTTTTACTCTGGAGGATCATTCAGCATGAACACATCAGAGGTGGAACAACTCAAGGGGTGGCTGGACGCTACAAGCTACCCTATAAATGGAACTAAGTTTGATACCTGCGCTGCCTACCTAAAATTAATGTCTCCCGCAGGCTTTCCTAGAACACATATATATTTATTTACTTTTGCGGCCTCACCACAGCTATTTTCCTGACCACTCCTAATTGACCGACGCACTCACGCCATTTCAGATTAGTCTCCTAATCAATCTATGGCGTGTTACACTAGGTCTGGTCTAGCTCATCGGGCAATCGGCGCCAAATTGAGCCCCGACAACCAAAGCAATGGCCCCCACCAAGCTCCCTGCCAAGGGTCTGCAGGGTCTTAGCAGCGCCAAACCACTCGCCCAGTTAGGAATTTGCTTGCTCGTCGCCAAACCCAACCGGCAAAATGCACGGTTCCCCGGAATTACCGAAGCCAACTAGTCCAGACTGAGAAGGTCCCTGCAGCAAAGTGATCTGCATCAGACAGACCATCTACCACGGTTGTACGGAGTAGAAACCCCTCGTTTGATCGGTCGCTTACGGTGCAACTTCGCCTTTTTTATTGATAGTGACAGCCGCGATTTAGGGCAATATATATTCGGGCCATCCACAAGTTCAATGAACACCATGTGGTCCATTTCCAGTGGACCCTGAAAACAAGAAGGAATTTGCTATACCTACTTATGAATCTATCACAAACGCTACGCGCCCTCTTTGTGGCCCTGGCTGGGGTGCATGCAGCGGGGAACACCGGGGAGCCTCTCATTTCAGCTCCAGGAGACACTGCAATCATCCCAGGATGGAGACTCCAATCCAGCACGCGCGTCTCAGACGATATGTCTGGCCTGTCCCAGCCCGGTGCGGATGTGTCTTCCTGGCATCATGTCGGCCCGCGCGGAACAGTCATGGCTGGGCTTATCGAAGATGGCGTGTACAATGATATGGAGTTATTTTATTCGGAGAATATGAAGCAACTGGACTCGGAGACTGTTTTCCGTTCTCCATGGCTCTACCGGCAGGAATTTACACTCAGCCCGACCGACAGCCAACACTTTGCGCTACAGACCCACGGCATCACCTCCAAAGCCGACATTTACGTGAATGGTGAGCTGATCGCGACGAGCGACGAGCAGCAGGGCTCGTACGGTGGCCACAAGTACAACTTGACCAACTATGTACAGGATGGAGCCAACTGCTTGCTTATCCGGGCCTATCCGACAAACTATCTGCGTGATTTTGCCATGGGTTTCGTCGACTGGAACCCGTATCCCGCGGACAACGGTACTGGCGTGTGGCGGCATGTGGAGATCTCACAGACAGGCCCTGTCTCAATGTCTCCTTTCCGGGTCATCACCGATTTCAATAAGGCGGGGCAGAACCAGCAGGTGAATGTGACGCTGAAAACCGACCTGGTTAACCAAGCACAGAAGACAGTTCAAGTAACATTATACGGCACAATTAGCTCACCGGACGGGTCCCAAGTTGGTCCTATAACGCATTCTCTTGAACTACGGCCTGGCGAGAATAAAACAATTTCAATCAGAGTCCCGGTCGAAAATGCCAAGATCTGGTGGCCAGCCCGCTGGGGTGCTCAGCCGCTGTACACAGTTCAAGCCAGCGCGCTTGTCCATGACAAAACCATGAAAGTGTCGGACAGGACTCGGCCTCAACAATTTGGTATTAGACAAGTTTCATCCTACGTCAACGAGCACAATGATAGGGCCTTCATTGTGAATGATCAGCCATTTCAGGTCCTGGGAGCAGGCTACGGACCGGACTTGTTCATGCGCTTCGATGAGACGCGAGTCGAGAAGATCTTCCAGTACATGCTTGATATGGGGATGAACACTGTGCGTCTTGAGGGGAAGCAGGAGCATCCAGAATTGTATGAGCTGGCGGACCGGATGGGCATGATGGTGTTGGCGGGCTGGGAATGCTGTGATAAGTGGGAGGGCTGGGAGGTAAGATCCCGCACCAAACGTACTCTCTGAGATACTGACACTCTACTTACAGTACAATGATGACGCCGCAGGGGCCAAGTGGGGAGAGTCGGACTACCCTATTGCTCGCGCGGCGATGCTTCACGAGGCAGAGATGATGCAAGCGCACCCTTCCATGCTTGGGTTCCTTGTGGGCTCGGACTACTGGCCAAACGACCGTGCCACAGAGGTATATCTGGCTGCTTTGAAGGAGATGGATTGGGAAAATCCGGTTATTGCGTCCGCTAGCATGCGTGGCTACCCGGAGGCCCTGGGACCCTCCGGAATGAAGATGGATGGTCCATATGACTGGGTGCCTCCCAACTATTGGTATGGCGACAAGGGAGGTGCTGCATTTGGTTTCGGGTCTGAGCTTGGTGCGGGGGTTGGTACACCTGAGATGGGCAGTTTGAAGAAGTTCATGTCCACCGTTGACCTGGAAACCATGTGGAAAGAGCCAGCGGCGGATCTATACCATATGTCCCGATATGACTCACAATTCTTCGACCGCTCGATCTACAACCAAGGTCTTTTTTCCCGCTATGGAAAGGCACTGGATCTCGAGGATTATGTGATAAAGTGCCAGATGGCAGATTACGAAGCGACTCGGGCTCAGTTCGAGGCATACTCGGCGCATCAGAACGCATCTCGGCCGGCGACTGGATCGATCTATTGGATGTTGAACAGTGCATGGCCAAACCTCCACTGGCAGTTGTTTGATTACTATCTGAGCCCAATGGGCGCATACTTCGGCACCAAAGTTGGCAATCGTCTGGAGCATGTTGCGTATAACTATGAAACTGAACGTGTGTGGTTGATTAACCATTCCCTGGAGCAGGATGGCGACCGAGAAATTTCTATTGATTTGATTGATACCAATGGAAAGGAGATTTCCGGAGCCAAGGTCGACACGAGTACGGTTCCCAATTCGTCCAAGGAAATCCAGCAAGTGAGCGGGATTAATAAGATCAAGGATGTTGCGTTCTTGCGCCTGGTGCTGCGCGACACCAAAGCAAACCGTGAACTGAGTCGCAATGTGTACTGGCTTTCCCCCAAGCCCGATGTCCTCAACTGGGATGAGTCCAACTGGTACTACACCCCGGTGACGGACTATGCCAATTACACCAAGCTCGAGACCCTCTCACCGGCTAGGGTGAAGGCCAGGGTGCAACCCGTCAAAGCGAAGTCCAAGGACGGCTTGACATACGCTGAGGTCCAGCTGGAGAACACGTCCAATGTCCCCGCCGTGTTCCTGCGGTTGAATGCTGTCAGGTCATCGGACGGCACTGAGATTGCACCAGTTTACTGGTCAGATAATTATGTGACCCTGTGGCCCAATGAGAAGCTTCGTGTGGTAGTCAGCTTTGAAGGCGACATTACGCAGACAGTCATTCAGGTATCTGGTCGAAACGTCGAGAAGCAGGCTTTGAAGGGCTCAAGGTAGGAAAGGAGTTGGGAAAGACGGAATTTGTGGGGCAAATGACCTGCATACACTGATATCGTACACATAAGCCTGTGTGATGAATTCAAATGCTCGCTGCTTACTTGCTTCAAACACGTGCAAAGTCATTCTCGAAGGATCAAATAACACCGGAGGAGATATGCCACAACTGAAAATTAGATCGAATGGAATGTGAATGCGTGCACTGGCCATAACGGAGAAGTAAATACACATATGCAATGTAGAACAGAATCGTTAACGGCACATGATTAATATCGAGGCATCCTCAATGAGGTGGCAGACGTATTTTAGTTGTTAGTTAATAGACTCAAGACTTGCGGCATCTTGGAGCCCGAGTATTCGACCCCGAGAACTGTCGGGCTCTTGAGATTCTCCGAGTAAAACACTTGGAATCGCTGGTCAGGATCGCACAGCCCGGGTGTTTTATGGATCTCCGGAAACGAAAGAAGCTCTTTCGTGGGGGCGGTGGCCCACAAATAGTACAGGGAGATGCTTTGCAAAGACCCAAAATTGCGACTGAGGTCTGTGAAAACAGACATCCAGTTTTCATCCCGTGACAAAGACACATGGTAGAATGTCAGCGCAGTCAAGCTCCCTCGGAGGCCCTCAAGAAGTTTCTTGAGATCCAGTACTCGCACCGAGGTTCGGAATAATGCCAGCTCCTGCAAATGAGAGAAGGCAGCGGTCTCCGCAAGTTCATGCATAAATTCACTGGCGAGATCATGCGAACCAAGATTGAGGAGAAGTGTGTGGAGATTGGGAGCACTCAGCACGAGCTCGAGGAGAAAGCCAAAATTATCGAGAGTTAGGTACTGCTCTAAGGAAAGTTTCTGTAGATTTGACCAGACCGTTTTGAACTCGGGTTGCCGGTATAATAGCTTCGGTAGGCGTCGCATATCCATTATTAATGTCCGGGAATACTTATTTGCATAGATGAGATGGAAGGAGGTGACTGGTAGCTGCGCGTCGACCACTAAGGCAAAGAACACAGCGACCGCATCCGAAATCGTGACCCGTTTCATATCAGGATGGCCTTCAGGGTATCGACAGAAAACGAAGAATGACCGACAGTTTGTGAAATTATTGACCAGATTATCGCGCAACCGGCGGATCGCCCCGATTTCTAAGGGCGCCGACAAAGGGCCCCAGGGATGTCGGGTCCAGACCAAGCCGCGCCCAACTTCATTCTGAAGCATAAAGGCGAGGCCGTGCACGTATGGTCGCAGTGCTTGATTTTGGGCAAGGGCATCAATGCGACCTAGGCTTTCTTCTGACAGGTCTGTTTTGACCGAGGAAAAGAATCGTCGCGCGAAATGGTGGAAGGTCTTCTTTTGCAGGTCGCGACAGACGAGGCGCAGATCTAGCAAGCCATCGCCTTGTAAGTGACTCGCGATGAGCTCAATCAGTTCGACCGCGAGGCTAGGAAACGGGGCTATTGAAGAATGCCGCTTCATCTCGACGGATGAGAAAGCGTGCATAGATACGGGGTGGACCAAACGACACGGGATTCACATTTTCCTACCAGCGCAGTGCTCGCGGGTTATGATGAAAGAGCGACGGTGGAGCCGTGGAGCTACCCCAGATTTCAAGAAATGCGTTAATCAGCCGTCAGTGGCGGCGTGTTTACCCCTCACTTGCCGGCGGAGGGACAAAGCGGAAGTACGCGCGGGATGGGCCGGAAGAGCAGTCAGGGAGAAAGGTGCCGAGGCGGAATGCCAATTTGGCGGGAGATGAGTAGGCTGGTCAACTATGGCTGAAGAGAACGAGGACTCGGCTCGCGTCGAGACGGTAATATATGCAGTAAGACAGAAGATGCCCGATTAAACGCCCACTCGAGAGCCTAGAAAAAGGTGCCACAATGTTATACAAACCAACGCTTTGTGTAAAAAACAGTCAAACCTCGAGAATATAAGATCATCATCAATGCTCCATGGACCGGGAAAGTTTCCTCCACATAATACATCGGTCCATTTGCTCCGGAGGCACAGGTTCCATTTCTGTTGAGCCCGTCTGGATCTTTAAGCGTTGTCCATACCCAATGCCCCATGTTTTCCACACGGGCGCATCCGCGTACTTATACACATTCGGGTCCAGGGCCTTGACGAAGCTGAGATAGTAGTTCATCGTAACAGGTACGATCTTGGCGTTGACGCTGGCGAAGGATTCGGATGCTTGATTGGTATCTCCCAACCCGAAAACCGCCGGCAACTCAAATACATGAGGCACTCCCATACCGCGTGCGATCTCCGTCGGGTCCCGCACATTGAACCGATAGTTCCACACCCGATAGGAGGAGAAATATCGAGTCATCATGGCGGCCATATGATTTCCAGGGCAGGTGAAAGTCGACTCGCCGTATGCCTGGGCGGCGGATGGGAAGTAGGGAGCGTGGTGGGGAAGAGGATCGGTGAGGGGATACGCCTGGTTGATCTCAGCTAGCTCCTCATCACTGAGACCCGGATAATTGTTCTTCATGAACTGTGCAACCTCCGCGGGGCTGCTGGCGTTATATCCAAAAGGCGTGCCCTCGTTGGTATCATCGGTAACAATCAGAGGCACCCGGATGAACTTGCCGTTCCCAAACAAGCTATACAGGCGATCGGTGATCAGGATTCCGTCCACCACGGGGAGGAAATACCACAATGGAGCCGGCGAGTCACTTCCACCGGGGAAAGGCTTATCGACGTCATACTTCATAATAGTCGTGATATCGACCGAGCGCAGACAGGCAAGGATGTTGTCCGCATCGCCGCAACCAACATCCTGCGCAAACCGCTGGTACTGGAACTCGGTCTCCGCGACCGTGCGCTGCGTGGGCCAGAAGGGGGATTCGGCCACCGCGCCGACGAACAGGTTCATATCTCGGCCGTCGTATGCTGTGAGATGGTGAGCGACCGAGCCAGCTCCAGCCGAGTCACCGTGAATCACCACATGGTTAGGGTCACCACCGAATTCGCGGATGTGCTTCTGCACCCAAGTGAGCACCTTGCGCTGGTCCAGCAAACCCACATTAAGGTCCCCATCTCGACGAACATCCTCGCTCGCAAGGAATCCGAGGGCTCCAACACGATAGTTGAAGTTGACGAAGATAATGTCATGTCCGGATTGCTTCACCACTTCGCTCCCGTTAAAGTTGAAATTGGCGTTGTCCGCATACCCTCCCCCTGGATGAACACCCACACCGGGAGATGGGAGTCGGTAGTCGCATTGGATGGCCGCCAAAGGTTGACGAACAAGCAATCTTCTCCCAATGAATCGCTAGTCCTCTGGCCCACACCGACGCAGACAGGTCCGAACTGCTGCATGTTAGTTTGCTGTTCCAGAGACTTTCGCATATCGCATCATTAGCGCTGAGCGCTTACCGCGGTCGCGTCTAAGACCTCTTCTGTCTGTTCCGGCTCTTCTGGTCCTCGGAATCGTAGCTCGTTCAATGGTGGCTTGGCGTATCTTATGCCCAAGTACTCATCGACCCCATTGCTTAGTGCGAAGCCTTGGTAGCGGGAGTATCCGAGATCGACAATGGCCGACCGGTCGAAGGATGCAGATGGTGACGGCGTGAAGGGTGACGCTGACAGGAGATCCCCAAGGATGCCGGCAACCAAAATGATTGCCATGCGAAAGGACATAGTAATGCCGTGGGATGCATATATACCAGGGGCGGGAGAGCTTGTACGTGGGACCGACTGGACTACGAACCGCCGGGTCCGTCTTTCTTGGCTGACGACAACCCGGACAAGCTCCCCTTTTTGAAGTGCTTCGGGCCTCAGGCACGACGGCTGACTCAGCATGGGCCCGCCCAGAATCCATGTGGTGCCTTAGGCCGTAGCTTGGGGGAAACCGCCTGTTGCGGGGCCAGGGGTACTTCTTGGGGCCTTCACCTACGCAATCGTTCGATATGCTTGTTTGCGTCGTGATGTAGAGTCCCGCATTGCGCTCCATTCACATTGATGGACAGAATGGACACCCACGGTGGTAGGGGCCGGTGTTCCCGCCCACAAACATCCGCATCTTTCCATCACTCCTGCGAGACAGCCGTTTTCGGTTCCTTCTACGAGTCTATACGGCGATTTGTGAAACGAAAGTTGAAAAGTACATCTTGCTGGATCGGGGACTTGACCCATGGTGCCTACCGAAAAGTCCAGGCCTTCATGATGAGTAGATCCAAAATGCTATGCATGGCTCTGTCGTTGACCACGACCGCTGTATCTCCACATCAAAGCTGTTTGGCCGAAAACAAAAAAGTTACTCTGATACGACGGACCCAGGATCGATGCCAACATGATCTATAATCATATGATCTAGAGTGTTGAATCTTCTGTTTCGTCTCATTTTTAGCTCGAAATCTTCTGATTCCATCATAGCCACGAACGATCATTTTGATAATTCTTGGTATATCTCTGATTTTGATGAACCAGTCCATCCAAGAGGGCGTTTATCATAAGGAATAATCATTCGTGGCTCTGATAAAATCAAAGATTTCTGGCAAGGAATCAGACGAAACAGAAGAGATCAATACTCTAGGCCATATGCACTACTCGGACTGAAAGGGAACTCCTTTGGCGCCAGGGAGCTAGGAGCGCAGTGGGTTCAAATGGTACTGAATAAGTGTTCGCACAGGTGTACTACCCAAGGAGGTCATCACTTGAAGAAAAATGATGCTTCTGTCGCGACTATCTTTCGTACCCACAACTACAATACCGTTTTCAACATCTTGGTATCGTATGTGGATCGACTGAGCTAGCAGAGGGTTTGTAGTCACACAGATGGCCTGCTCCCGCAAACAGTTCTCAATCTTTCCTAGGGAAGCTGCAATGCATTTACCACCCACGATCGGCCAAATCGCGAGGCCCTCGGCAAAGCTCTTGTTTCCTGGACAGAACTTTACGTACAGGCTTATAAGATTTAGTCGAAGTCTGACATCGATTGAACCGCACTCAAATTCAGATTCAAAGATTGATATATACAGAAGCAGGTGGAACAGAATAGGATATCTCATAGCTCATCATTCATATCGTACATGTGGTGATTGCCTAGTAGGCGTGGTGCATGCGGCTTCCGCGACCGTCGGTGCCGTGCATGCGTCGAGTGCCAGCAGCCTAGTTACAACCGTCAGCTAGGGTCTTATGATGACGGGTCAACTGTCGAGCACATACCTTGAGACCAGGACGACGTGTCAAACTTCCCTTTAGCTTCAGCATAGCCCCAGAAACTTTATCACCCATGGTCACCTTGCGCTGGTGATGGTGGTGCGACCTGGAGACACCCCAGCGACGCTTTGTGGTGCGCGGTGCAACAGGTGCGTGACGAGTAGTGGGAGCAGGAGCGTGGTGAGTAGTGGTAGCAGGACCGTGGCGGGTGGTTGTGGTCTTAGTCTTGATGGTCTTGGTTCGGGCGTTACGGCCCTTCAACCGCGTCATGAAGGATGGCTTGCTCTCCCGGGTGGTCGTGGTCGTTGGGCGTTGGCGACGATGGAACATTTTGGCGGTTGGAACAGTTGAGTTGTTGGAGGATTATATTTTCAATTATTCAACAATAAGCGTAAGGTTGGACTTCGGTATCTAAACATACATCTTTCCTCCAGGACCCCACGAGCTTAAATAACCCAACGACTTCAACAGAATCCTGATTGCATCAGACCCCTCATCATCGAGGTCCACGTACGCCAAGCACCGAGTCGCGTTTAGAATCCAGATGACAGGGGTTGTCTGCGGTGGCGCTAAGCCGGCACGTCATCCGTGGAAAGATCGGCGCTAACAATCTCCAGTCAACTCTGCGCCGCGAAGGACATGCGACAGTTAATTTATTTGCAGCTATTTGATTTGTTCGTTGTCCTGCAGGGAGCTTCAGGCAGAACAAGGGTGTTTCTATTCGCGTCCAAATGGTCGTTTGTGATAGGGCTCTTGTTTACTGCGGGTGTGACATCATCCGGCATTGCTGAGACCCTCGACAGGTTGGGAGAGATCGCATCCTTTTCTGTCGCCTGAGATATGGCGACATCATGTGGATGAATGATATTTGGGAGAACTCTGAATCTGTAGAGATACCCTTTTTGAAGGGTTCCACCCCGCCGATGATGTCAAGGCATGTTACCAGATTGGGTGGTCTGTGCACAAGGCTCTCTGCGGTACGCACTCCTGACTATAGAGCAAATTGCATTATGGTGGAGTGAAAGAACATCAATCTTCAAGTGGCTGTGAGTAGATCAAGTCGACGAACTAGAAGCTCTTCTAAAGCCACTGTGTTTGCGAATTGTATCCCAACAAACCAGTCAAGCCCCACTCAACCCCGATGCTGCTCTGGTTGTAGCAAAGGTAGGTTAGGTTATAGGGGATGAGTAAATGAAAAGAAACGAAGAGGGTATCATGCCATTGCGATGTTAGAAAAAGCTAATAATACAGGAAGGAACGGCTATGTGCTCGCCAATGGCTCCTCAGGAAATTCACAAGTCAACACTCACGGACGTATTTCTCCGCGTGGAAGTCGAAGGACCGTAGGCATGCTCCCTCTATTCGATGGGCCAGCGGCCTTTCACCTTGCTGGACAGACCAGCACGCTCAACCACCTCGCGGCTGCGGTTCTTCGCCTCTTCGACGATCTCTTTCTCATCCATCGTCATAAGCTCACCATTCTGGACGAGTACTTCGCCATCGACAACAACCACGTCGACGTCGCGACCGGTGGCAGTATACACCACTGCGCTAACTGGGTTGTGCCACGGTTGGTTGTGGAGCCCACGAACATCGATGGCAACAAAATCCGCCTTCTTTCCAACTTCCAGACTACCAATGCGATCATCCAGCCCAAGGGCCTTAGCTCCATTGATAGTGGCCATTTCAAGAACGGACTCGGCAGGCACAGCGGTAGGATCGTACGAAATACTTTTGTGAATAATCGCTGCCAGCTTCATCTCCTGCAAGAGATCGCAGGTGTTGTTGCATGGAGCACCGTCGGTGCCCAGCCCGATGTTAACGCCCGCCTGCTGGAGATCGGGCACTCGGCAAATACCCGAGGCAAGCTTGGCGTTGGAAGTCGGACAGTGTGCGACATGAGTTCCTGACGCAGCAAGAGTCTTGATGTCCGAATCGTCAAGGTGGACCATGTGCACGAGAACCGTGGAGGGACCCAACAGGCCGACCGAGTCGCAATACGACATGGGTGTGTGCGAGACCGAGGCGAAGAAATCGCGGTCAGCTTTGACTTCGGCACAGTGCATGGTGATTGGGATTCGCTTATGGCGGGAGACAGCCGTCATTTCTTTATACAGGGCATCGGAGACACTACCATCGGTTAGTATCTGACCCGTTTTGCTGAGCACTCCGGCCATAGTGCGGTCGACACTCACCCGCCAGGGGTTCTGGCGCCGAACCACACGCGGATACGATCATTGGCGGCGCCATTCCACTTCTCCCACATCCTCACAGTACCCAAGAGAGAGGTTTCGCGGTTCTCAACCAAGCCGGGATGCATGGCCCAGGCATCATCTTTGGCATACTTGGCAATGTCCATGACAATCTTGCCCAGACAGCCACGAATACCGGATTCTGCGACAGCACGAGCCAGCCCATCGAAGCCATAACGGTCGGCAAACTACCCACATTAGACCCAGCCGAATGCATAAAGTCGGTTCATACTCACCATGCTCTCCAGGAAACAGGTCGTGCCCGACTTCAACATCTCCCCGATGCTCAGACGCGCCGCCGCATACCCATCTGCCTCGGTGAGGTTGCCCTGCAGCACCCAGATACGCTCGCACAGCCACGACACCAGCTCGAGGTCATCAGCGGTCCCTCGCAGCAGGGTCTGCGCGGTATGCATATGGGTGGAGATCAACCCGGGGATGATGATGCGACCGGAGAGGTCGTGCTCCTCATCCTCCGCGTATCTCTCCTGAAGCACCGTAGTTTTGCCAATATCAGCGATGGTATCGCCATCGACGCGAATGGCCCCGTCATCAATGATACGGCGGGAGCCATCCACGGTGATAATGGTGGCGTGCGTATACAGCATGCTGGGTAACACCGTTGCACTGTGGGATTGCGGCGGGCTAGACGGAGCGAAGAGTGGGTAGTGTGAGATCGGATAGCGAAGTCAGAACAAGCCCTGTCGTTCTTGTCTGGTCTTGACACTGGGGAAACCGAGGCTATTAAATTGCACAACATGCGAAATGGCCAATCTCCCCCACCATTCGTTAAGGCAGCCCCGCAGACGGAGACCGCCGATGCCCCGCGGGGGCAGGCGAGCGGGGCGATAAAGATAACATCCGTTAGTAACGTTGATTAACGCACGTTTTCATGCCAACCGGTAATTGCTGGACACACAATTCATTGAGATGTATAAGTCTATTGCTATTGACACCATCGATCTACATAATGCATGATCGCGTAACAGGACCAATCACCTATAGGTAGGTCCGGAGGTACTCGCCAAGGGCCATGATGGCCATCGCCTGGCCATATGGCATCGACGTCAAGGGAATGTCCTTATAGAACTGAAGGCAATCGCCCATGCCAGTCCCGAAGCTGGTATTGAGGAGCTCGCCCTGCGGATCCACATCTTTCAGGACGGAGGTAATGGCCTTCTCCGCGACGGGTCGGTACGCGGCGCTAATATAACGCTTGCGCACCGCCTTGAGGATACCATAGGCGAATCCGGCGGTGGCCGACGCCTCGAGGTACGAATCGGGATGGTCCAGGAGGGTGTGCCAGGCGCCCGACTCCGATTGAACACGCTGGAGTGCCGCGCACTGGGCTTCTAGGGTGTCGATCAGGTGTAGCCGGATCGGGTCGGTCGATTCCAGGTCCAGCAGCTCAATGATTTCGGGGATCACGATGGTCACCCAACTGTTGCCCCGCGCCCAGCGCGCGTCGGCAAAGTTGTGACCTCCATCCTCGAAAGTCCATCCGTGGAAGAATAGACCGGTCTTCGTGTCAAATAGATACTTGATGTGTGTGAGGAACTGCTTCTTGGCCTCGGCGATGTACCCGGGGCGGTTCAGCAGCTTGCCGATCTTGGCGAGAGGCATCACGGTCATCATGAGGGTATCGTCCCAGAGTTGCTGGTAGTTCTCGGAGTTGTATGTGATGTGCTGCATACCGCCGTAGCGAGTGCGCGGCAATTCGTGCATCGCCCATTCGGCCCACGCGTCCAACCAGGGCAGATATGTGACATTGCGGGTCTTCTCGTAGACATAAGCGAGGGTCAGGAACACAGCCATCGTGTTGATATTCTTGGTGGTACCACCCTCAGCGAATCGTGCGGCAAACCACTCCTCAATGATCGTCAGCAGGCGCTCATCGCCAGTTAATTCATAGTATTTCCACACGCCGTACAGGCCAATGCCGTGGGTCCACTCCCAGCCATGCCAGGACTTGGTATCGATGATGCGACCGTCGGAAAGGTGCAGGAGGAACCTGCCGGTCTCGTCTTTGATATTGACGAGGTTATCAATGAGGAGGTTGACCGACTGGTGGACAGCAGGGGCGGGGGGGCGGGTGGCAGCCATTGTGAGACGGAGACAGAAGGTCGCGACAGAGTGCTTGGCGAGGAGTGCTTGTCAAGGGGGAGCTACAGGGCAAGGCGCTGATTCCACTGGGTTCAACGCGCGGCTGGTGTTTTCGTGCAGCCGCTGGCAGCCAAGAATTGGAAATGTTCAGATCTCCCCTGGCCAGCTTCCTCCGCACCCAATAAGTACCGGCGCGAGGGCTCCCCCATGGGTGATTTGCGGAAGAACTCAGCTGCCCCTCGATCCACGAATCCCCACGAACCCCCGCGCGGAGCCAAGAAGCAGTCGGGCTATCGCAGGCCGAAGTCGGGCCAACCAGCAGCAGCAACCTGGGTTAAGCGAGGCCCACTGATGGGGGTCTCGCCAAAATGATAGCGCGGAGCGGTCCGGGACTCTTCATTCGGGCGATTACTTCCCCGGACTCTCGACGTTGCGTCGGGGAGACACAAGCCGTTCAGCAGGTTCGCGAGGAGACTCCGCCCGCCAAGAAGCCCGTAGGAAAACAAGCTGCACCCTTGTCATTGGGCGCTCGGTTTTAACCGTTCATTCCAGTGATCCGGTCGGACCTGATAGGACACAAAAAGGCAGAAAATGACAAGGGCATGGCACGACAGGGACGAGATGGCTGATTTCCCAGGTGCCGCCGGGCTCATGGTAGTTCTTGGCGCGCCCCGTTCAGCTGGGGAGAAAGAAGGCTGTCGCGTTAGATTTATGCGCTCCCGTGTGACTCGCATTCGGGGGGTTGGTTATAAGCCCAGCCAGGTCGCCCGGGTGGTTCCTGTCTCCTTGTGTCCCAAGTGGTGTTATCGTGACTCCTAGGATTTGACTCACCCCGAATGGCTCATAACCAGGCCTCATCCCAGCTGGGGATTGAGCAGGAGACCACTCAGCAGCCTGCCGCCGAGATGGGGAAATATCAAACTGACCAGGATATCTCCCACGTCGAGCGGGTTCTTTCGCCGGAGGATGACCTGAAGAAGGAGGACATGGATCTGTCGCGAGTGGACAAGGAAGTAAGTAGGAAGGACACCGGCATAATGTTGACATAACGTTAACAGGGGATGGTTCGCAGGTCCAAATGTATGCCAGCCGTGGGCGGTTTGACATAAGCGAGGCCGACAACAAGCGACTCAAGCGCATGATCGACCGTCGTGTCCTGGTGATTATGATCTTGACCTACTTCCTGCAGGCCCTTGATAAGGGCACGATGAGTTTCTCGTCAATCATGGGCATCAAGACCGATGCGCATCTCGAGGATGGACAAAAGGTTAGCGCTCGCTTCAGAGGCGGCATACAATAACTCTCTAATGCAAGCATAGTACTCTTGGCTCACCACCTGTATCTATATCGCGGTTCTGATCGTTGAGTATCCGACGAATTGGATCATCCAGCGCGTCCCTATCGCCAAGTACCTTGGTATCAACATTTGTCTATGGGGGACGACTCTGGCGCTCCACGCTGCCTGCCACAATTTCGCGGGCCTGGTGGCTGTCCGCACCCTGCTGGGAATCTTCGAAGCCTGCTGTCAGCCCACCTTTGTGTTGCTATCCTCTATGTGGTACAAGCGCGAAGAGCAGGCCGCGACCGTGACCTACTGGTACATGATGAACGGCGCCCAACAGATCGTCGGCGGATTGCTCGCTTATTGCTTCACGCTAATTGGCAGCGATAAGGTCCTCAAGTCCTGGCAGGCACTGTTCTTGTCCTACGGCTGTCTGTCTGTGCTGTGGGGCCTGTTCGTCATGTGGTGGATGCCCGATTCGCCGATGCGCGCCAAGTGCTTCAGCGAGGATGACAAGCACCTGATGATCGAGCGATTGCGTTCCAACCAAACTGGTATTCAGAATAGAAAGTTCCGATCCTACCAAGTGTGGGAGGCCTTCCGTGACCCTCAGACGTGGTGCTACTGCAGTATCCAGATGTTCACTACCTTGCCCACTAGTGGTCTGGGTGCCTTTGCTGGTATTATCATGAAGAGCTTCAAGTTTACAACGCTACAAAGCCAATTGTTAGCTATGGTACTGGGCTCCTATATCATTGTGATTCTGCTCACATCGGCATGGCTGGTCAAAAAGTACAACCAGAATCTGTTGGTTATGCTGGGTTTCGTTATTCCGTGAGTATTTCTGCCACCAATGTGTGGCCATAGGCTATATGCCTGCTACCCCGCTGGTCCTGGTTTGCTAATTTCGAGACAGATCCTATGTTGGCACTATCGTCTTGATGACCGTCAAGAATACTACCTTGGCGACCAAGGTCGGTCTGTTGATAAGTTACTATATTACCTTGTCTTTCTGGTCGGCTCAAACACTCGCCTTGTCGATGGTCTCTCGAAATATCGCCGGTCAGACCAAGAAGGCGACCGTCGTTGCCGCAACATTTGTTTCCTGGGCTGCCGGGAATGCGATTGGTACGCCTCAACCACGGGTCTTACGCTCTTGCGATGCTAACCTCCATGTGCAGGCCCACAAGTATTCCTCGACTGGGATGCGCCCCGTTATCATATCGCCTGGAGTGTACATCTTGCTTGCTATGCCTGCATGACCGTGGCAGTGATTTACCTTCGCTTCCATTTGAAGCGGCAGAACAAGCGTAAAGATGAGCTCCTCGCCGCCGCTGACATTTCTGCCGCTGACCCGAACCTTGTTCACGCTTTCGAGGATAAGACAGATCAGGAGAACTTGAACTTCAGGTATGTTTACTAGAGCCTCGCTCTGAAAGATGGGAGCGGCATTGTGCTCTTTCGCGCAAGTGGATGTGGAATTTATACTGAATTTACATATGATCGATTATTCGTCATGTATCATGATGAAACAATGAATACAGTTTGGCCTGAATGTAAGGGAGACATGTGAAAACACGCAGTGTGGGGATATATTACCGAGGGAATTCTCATAATTTGTAATATGAAAGCGCGCAGACGGTAAACGCTAAGTTCGTCATCAGCGATCGTCTACCAGCTGCAGCAGACTCCTGCATGGAAATTAAATAGGATTAGTGTCCCAAAGAGTTAGACCATCATAATGAAACAAACTACATATGCTCTAACCTTGCGGCACATAAGAGAGCATTGCATGCGCCGCATCTCCGAGATGGATTAGCTTCCTGGAAATCCAGCGATCCATAATCGAATTGAGGATCCGGTCAATTATCCCGATAACCATCAACAATCTGAACATCATCGGCATCATCTGACACCCAGAAAGACTCATGATTGCCACATACAGTGTATCCCATTCCTCGAACTCCTTCCTCATACCGTCACACCACGATCCACCGCTAGCTCATGCAAGGCTTCGTGGAAATGAGCCTGATGAATGACTCAGTAGGGCGCATCAAACAGCTCGCGGAACCTGGCATCAAGTCTTATCTGACCCATGATTTTACCGTTTTTCCAGCGGCGCATAAGCATACTTTCTGCTTCGTTGACTTGTTTTGCTACCCACCGGCAAAGGCCGAGCTTGAGCTAGAGTCTGGTGGAGTTTGGAGGAAGTTGGAAATTTTAGCTATCTATCTACCTCGGCTAGTGTTGGCTCGTTCATAGATAGTAACGGTGGGGTTCTTCCCGGCCAGGGCGATGGCTGGGGCAAGGCCGTTCAATCCCGTCCCGACTACAATCACATCGAGCCGCTGAGGAGCATCATTGTCTGTTGATTCAGAAGGAGCGTAGCTTTCGCTTCCTCTGAAAAAAAAAAAGTTGCAAACTGTTACTTGGGTAACTGGGAGACTGATAGCATGGAGAGTCAGCAGTGGGACGTCTTAGTTCGTTCTCTAATGTCATACAGGTTCGGGATCACCTGTGGCCCTTGACCGGGGGCCCAGCAATGAGCTTAGGGGTCCTGATTTGTTATCGGATATAATCGCCACGTTTCCGAAGTGGATTAGGAGGACCCTGATCCACTCGGGACAAAAGCCTATACCAGGGTCCGCACCCGCAAAAGGGACTTTGCTGATACTAAGCGCGCCTCGTGGGGGTAGATAAACACCCGAGAGACCGTTCATTGGTGCAAATGGCCAGGGACAGGTAGTCTCCACTCCAATCTTCGCCATCTTCAGATATCTTGCGGAGTAATGGTTCGGGTTGGGTGATCTGGTGCACTCACCAGTGGACTAACTATATAGGGAAGGTGGTCGACGCACCGTATTAAAGGCTAGGGGCATCATTGGCGACTTCTTGATTGCTAGCGGGTAACTCAATCTGACCGTATTCATCAACACAATCCCACCAGCGCCTCAGGTGTCCGCTCAGGTAGACCTGGCCCAGACCCTCGGGTAACCCTCAGGGTCCTCGCGTGACAGATCTTGGCTAGAAACGGGACTTTTTTGCTATTATAAGGTGTCTACTAGCTTAGTTATTAGACCTAATATAGTATAGTCTATCCTCAATAGGTAATGCGTGGTATATGCGGGTCGCTACGGGTCCTTTTGGGTAGTCCAACCTCGGAGGGTAGGGTGGGGGTTATTGAGGTTCGACCCTGACCCTCTGAGGGTTGGTTCCAGGGTCCGGGCCAGGTCTAAGCGCAGGGTTCTCTGATAGCTAGCGCGGCGGGGCTTTAATTGCGTGCCGCGCTCCTCCACGTTCCGCGACCAGAAATGCCCAGGGCCATGTTTCCTTCGCTCTCACTACGCTCTCATCACCCACGCTAGACTCGTGTACATACCCGCATACGGGGCGTACAAAGTATGTATACATTTGGGACGACATTGATTCGTCAGAACCCCTTATGTGATCCACGTGACCCAGTCGGATATTCCAGGGGCGCCGCAAAAGTCTATGACCTTCCCTGGCCAGCCCTGTTCTGCCAGTTATATTCTGCCGTCCTAAAAAAAAAAAAACTCGAAATAAATTCATACGACCCATTAGATTCAACAATAACTTGAACCTGACGAGGCATGCATTTGAGTCACCCTCTAAAATGCTAAAATCCTAAGAATCTAAATCACGGCTAGTCTACTTGTGTGCGAGCGTGTTGCACCACTCAAATCTCAAATATGGGAAAGCGGGATGGGCGGTAAGAACTGGCGGTCAGGTAGGGGGCCACAGACTTTTGCGTCGAGCGTGGCCCGGCCACAAACGCCCCACGTACCAAACCTTGGGGAAAGCTTCGGTGATGCAATCTTTGGCCTGCTGGCCGGGACTCTGTTGGAATTGGATCTGGCCACGCGCTCTGGCTGGTGCGTGGTCCTACCACGGCAGACCCCTACTGGTCGGCGATCGCTCCTTAGCAAAGGGAGCACCCTCGACTACCGGACATGCACCTGCATTAGGGGCGCGTAGTAGTATCCTTGAGAGTTTCCCTTAGACCAAAACCTTAAAATGGGGAGGGGATCGGCTAAGAGATATGAAGCCGGGCCTCGATCTCTTCGTCGCCGGTAGCACGCGGGTTGATTCTGGCGAGAGGGGGTAAACGGGGCGGCTCCGACCAAAGTCTAGAAGCAAAAAGGGTCCTTCGAAACTCTCAAGTGTGATCATTTAATAGCCACCTGATTCTCCCCCTGCATGACCACTTCATCAATCTTGCATGCTCTTCCTCTCTCTCACTTCCCTTTCACGTCTTGCCGTAGTGAGCCCGTCCGCGAAAGTCAGCGAGAATGGTGACCCATGCAGCCTCATCGGGGTACGGCATGACGCTGCTGGTTGTGAGCTGGCTCGAAGCTGCAATTGCAACGATCTTAATGTTGGCGCGAATATACACGGCGTGGAGGATTACTCGCCATATACGGTTAGACCTGTATCTGTCCTTACTGACTTTTGTATGGCATCATCCGCTCGCTAGGCATACATTTAATTATGGGCCCGTCTTGGAACAAATTCAAACCGCTAACCACAATACGCGACAGGTTTTTGCCTTCGCAAGCGCGATACTTCTTACTATAGCTATCGGCTATGGCATCGGTGCGCACCAAGTTCAACTCACGGCGGATCAGATCATTGCCGCCGTCAAATGGAGCTGGTTTGACCAAATCTTGGGAATCTTCGCGATTGGCACGGGAAAGTTAGCTATTGTGGCATTTCTCCACCAAATTCATGGACCAGAACATCGGGGTCGTCTCATATTCTTATGGACTGTGGGCGTCAGCAACGTCCTCATTAACTGTGTCACAATCGGTATGATCATGACTCAGTGTTCACCGCGCCAGAAGCTCTGGGATGACAGGCTGCCGGGATCGTGTGATGGGCGACTCCGAAATCAAAACACCGCGTACTTTCAAGGAAGTGAGTGCTAGCACAAGACCCTCTATATGAGTATATCACTAAGAAGATATTGGTCTCTTTCAGGCTGGTCAGCAATTTGTGATCTTATCCTAGCTCTATACCCCGTGGTCTTCTTCTGGAACGTGCGGATCAATATTCGCGTGAAGATTGGCCTTTGTGTCCTGATGGGCTTGGGCATCATGTATGAATGCCTATCTTGCTTGGACCATCCTCTCGCTAATTGCTTTTACAGAGCGTGTGTTTGTTCTATTGTTAAGACTACGGTACCAACGCCTCCTCCCATGGCCTGCTTGGCATCTTGACGGACATGATTGACTGATAGAATTCCGAAGTACTTGCGTGTACTTTCCGAAACGCAAGACGTTACGTGTAAGTCATCTTGATCCATAATCATTCTGATTGGGCACTGACCATATCTAACAGACTATATCGCGCAACTAATCGCATGGCACGAGTCAGTACCCCGGAATACATATTGCAACAACAAACACTCTTGCTAATCATGCTCTCTAGAACTGAGAAATGGGTAGTTCTCATTGTGGGATGCATCCCCCCAACCCGGCCTTTGCTTGTGATGATCTTCCAGAACATCTTTAACACCCACATGTCATCATCCGGGGTTCAAACCGGCAAGGCCACCAAATCATTCGAGCTACAATCATTTTCCAATCCAACTAAGCAATCAGCTCGATCAAGGCACACGACACCAGGCATGAGCATTTTAGATCGCCAAGACAGCGAAGAAAGTATTCTTCCAACCGAGGACGGTATAATGAAGACTACCAATATTAGTCTGCATTATGAGAGTGGATCGGCCTCACGAGAAGGTGGTGAACACGACGGGCAAGTGATGCCCAACGAAAGGATATAATATTCGAAATTCCTAATTTAATTATTATTATTTATGGCGTGGCTTACAGGTCCCTGAGACAGATGCTACCGCTGCAGGTCGATCCCTTTTAAGGGCAAGGCTCACCAGGGTAGGCCACCCGACATGTATATTAGTGAAGTGATCATACACTCGCAGGAGCTGTGTAGATACGGTGTGTTATATATTAAATTGAGTCTAAATTAATAGCTGTATATTTCCCTTTCTCTTGCTTTTTCTCGAAGCCTTGGGCCTTTCAAGCTAATTTTCGCGTGGAAACAATCGATCGATGCAGTCACCAAAGCGAGGCTCGTGCGGTGCATACTACCAACTCGGCCGTCCTTGCAAAGGTAATGTTCCCCTGCTAGTCTACAAGAGATCATGATGAATAATTCGGTCTGTGGAGTTAGAAGGTTTTCCGGAATCCATTGATCCAAAGGTACTCCCAATGTATGGTATATAGCGAAATTACCGAATTAGACCGGCCCAATCGAGAGTGGTGTCTCTCTCCACCGGCTCATGAATGCCCCGGACCTCAATGTCCAGGGCCGGTTTCCAGAAGCGGAAGCGTACATTACACCACGAGGGTGAAAACTTCTCTCACCACTGAACCCTCACTCTGACGCTACACTTTTACCTTTTTGGTAGAGTGCAATTGCTCTTTGCTACAGGCTCTCAAGTACACCTGTAGTCGGAGATGTGATATACAGGTGCAAGGGAGTGTCTCTGTCGAGATGAGAAAGAGGAAACAATCAGTAAATCCACTAGAATAGGAGCCCAGAATATGCTACATGACTCGACATTTAAGGTTGAGTATAAATTCCCGACCAAAGCTACTGTCTCGGAAAATACTCAAACGGCGGTTGGCTGTTGGCTGTTTGCTGTCGTGTTGTGCGAAGGCCGCTGATTGCCGCTGCGGGTGCTGCCGCCCGCCGTAGCGATAAGCCCTGATAGGCTCCCCCACCTGTTCCAACCATAGTGGCTGCCTCACTTGTCCGGCGCCTAATCTCTTTCAGACCCCCCAAGCTCCTCCACCCCCCGTGGGCTTCGCGCCCTTTCCTTTCATTTCATTCCCAGGAAAAATGAATGTCATGGGTGATAACAATGATGCCGCTCCACCGGTCTCTTCTGGCCCCGTTGTGAGTGATGCCGCGGGGTACAGACCCCGCGGCTACCAACTAGAGATGCTGGAAGCCAGCCTGAAGCAAAATATTATTGTCGCGGCAAGTTCGCCGATTCTCCTGCTTTATTTGCGTCATTCTAATATAATTACTCTCTAGATGGACACTGGCAGTGGGAAGACCCTTGTGTATATATGCCTCGATTCACATGGCTTGTGCTCTCAACTCTAATCGGTTAACGCGGGAGCTAGATCGATTCTGCGTATCATCACCGAGCTAGAGAGGTGCCCCACAGACAAGGTAATATTGGATTTCCACACGATTCTTGAGAGGGAAAGATTGATCAAGATAATGTTCTGGCTGACGTACAGTAGCTGGTGTGGTTCCTGGCGCCGACAGTAGCTTTGTGTCTCCAGCAGCACGATGTCATTGCCTCACAAATACCATCCGTCAAAACCCGGGTTCTGACTGGCCGTGATAATGTCGACCGATGGACTGAACAGGCTATCTGGAACAATGCCCTGAAGGATGTCCGCGTTGTTTGTTCAACTTACGCGGTTCTTTCGGACGCATTAAACCATGGCTTTGTCCGAATGTCACAGCTAGCGCTTCTCATATTCGATGAAGGTAAGTATACTTGATGGAATCATATCAGTGGTTGTCCCTTGGACTGACACCGTCGTGCTCACCAGCCCATCACTGCATGAAGGGCCATCCGGCCAACAAGATCATGCAATCCCACTATCATCCCACACGGGTCAAGCTCGGGCCGCATGCTGTACCGCGGATTCTGGGACTCACAGCAAGCCCTATCGTCAGATCGAACCCACGGGGGCTACAGTAAGAATAATCGACCTCAGTATACCCCACTCATGACTCTGACCAATTCCACAGGGCCATAGAGACGAATCTGGATGCCGTATGTAAGACACCCCGAATATATAGATCTGAGCTGCTCAAGCATGTCCATCGACCACATCTTGAGTGCATTCCTTACCCACCTTGCGAGATGGCACAGCACGGCGCTGGCAGTCGACTGCTTCCCTCTCTCGTTAGATGTATCGAATCCTACGACATACGGGATGACCCCTACATCGAATTGCTTCGACAAAGGCCGGGGAAAGCATTAGAGGCGGAGGATCTTGTCAAGTCCGGTGGGACCTATTGCAACCAGCAGCTTGCAAAGTTTCTTGAGCGCAGCAATCATATGTACGAGGAACTTGGTGGCTGGGCGACTGATTATTTTATTGAAGCATCGATTGATCAGCTTCGGCGATCGATAGAGGAGGATACTGCAATGACGAGACTAGACCGCACAGAGAGAGTCTATCTTCTGGAGCTTCTGCTCGGTATGTCGTTACCGGAGGGAACCATGGAGAGCACTCACATATCCCCCAAGCTGGAGATTTTACTCTCCTCTCTTGTAAACATGGACCACCCGGAGTTCTCTGGCATGATATTTGCCCAAAGACGAGCGACAGTCAATGTGCTGACAAAGGTCTTATCGCTGCACCCTGCGACAAAGGGCCGCTTTCGCTGTGCGTCCTATGTTGGATGGTCAAATAGCACTGTTCGCAGAGAGTTTCTGGGTGATCTGCTTACTCAGGATATGCAGCGTGACACACTTTCTGAGTTCAAAGCTGGTCGTAAAAATTTGATCATAGGTACTGATGTGCTTGAGGAAGGTCTAGATGTCAGCGCCTGCCGCTTGGTCATCTGCTACGACAGACCCGCGAATCTCAAGTCTTTTGTCCAACGTCGGGGTCGAGCTCGTCACCCGCAATCCACCTATGTCATCATGCTTTCTGCGGATGACGAGTCTCTGGTCGTCTCCAAGTGGCAGGAGCTGGAGGTTGCCATGATTGAAGCCTACCAGGATGATGAGAGGCAGCGACAAGATGGGTGGAAGTCCCAGGCAACGCCGGAGAACGTTGACGAGTGGCTGTTCGTTGCCTCGACCAGGTACGCGTTCATCACGGATTCCATACACATCGATCCTGACAAGTATATAAGTGCTCGCCTGTCTGCCGATGAGGCAATGCAACACCTGCACCACTTCTGCTCGTTACTGCCTACCAATCAGTATGTCGACAGCCGGCCCATGTTCACCTTCGAGGAAGGCCTGAATGGACTCATCCGAGGCACGGTCACTCTTCCGAACTCTGTTCACCCTGCGGTTCGTCAAACCCAGGGTAAGGCGTGGTGGCGCACCGAGAACGCCGCCCGAAAGGAAGCTGCATTCCAGACATACAAGGCACTTTGGGAGTATGGCTTGGTCAACGATAACCTTTTGCCCTTGACGCGAAAGCCCGAGCTCAGGTTCACTGAAGACATGGCCTTGCCAGCTCTATTGGAATGTTCGGAGCAATATGACCCCTACATTAATCTAGCCCACGATTGGGTAATGCCGGAGCCTCATCAGACAAGCATTACAGTGTTGGACAACAGTACCGGCGCCGTCAGCCAAGACCTGTTGATGTCAATTGTCCTGCCTAAGTGGACGCCCATGCCAGAGCCACTGACTTTGTTTTGGGAAAATAAAACGACTCTGACCGTTACTTTTGGATCAAGTCTGCCGGTCACACCGATGCCGACGCCAGAGATCATCCAGCACATGAGAAATATCACAGCCATGTACCTCCAAGCCCCATCGACCCGCGTCCAGGTAGACGACAGCGGCTTCGTCGCTCTTTTTGTTCCCAGTATTCCATGCGAGCAACTAGAAAGCTGGCTTCAGCAGAATGAAGGCACCGAAAAGGCTGTGGATCTCTATGCTAGTGATCCATCCTGCTCTCCCGTCGGCATCATTCGCGACAAGGGAAAATACAGTGAGCCACGCCTGTTCCGCATGTGGCATCATTCAGAAGCACTCGAGATTGAATGTCACAGCCTGCCCAAACGGCGGAACCTTTTGCAGTATCGAAACCCCGCGCAGGCTGGAGAGGATCAGGAAGAAGCTACCCCGAAGATGCACACCATCCCAGCCGCAGGCTGCGTCGTGGACAAACTGCCATGGAAAAAGTCCATGTTTGGGCGATTCATATCAGCAATCCTTGACCGTTTCGAAGCCACCATGGTCGTACATAGACTCAATGACACCATCCTTAAGGGTGTTGGAATCCAGAATATCAGCCATGTCTTGACGGCCATCACCACGCCCATCGCACAGGCATCAACGAATTACCAGCTGTATGAATTCTTCGGGGACTCCATCTTGAAATTCACCGTGAGCTGTCAGCTGTTTTTCTCGCAGCCAACCTGGCATGAGGGGTACCTTTCTGAAAGCCGTGATACGCTTATTCAAAATAAACGACTTGCCCGAGCGGCCTTGGATACCGGGCTCGATCAATATATCCTGACGAACCGGTTCACGCCTCGCAAATGGGATGCCCCATTGATCTCGCGAAAAGCAGCGATGGCGGCGAGCGAACCTAAGCGCAAGCTCTCAATGAAGGTGCTGGCAGACGTCGTCGAAGCCCTAATCGGCGCGGCATATATGGACGGCGGCCTGCGCAAAGCACAGGCTTGTCTGCACCGGTTCCTCCCAGAGATAGACATTGCACGACTTGTTCCGGCAGTCGGTACACTGGCAGAAGAAAGGGTTGCCAGTAACCTCATTGACGCAGATCGAATCGGCCAATTGATTGGATACACCTTCAAAGACGCCTCACTTCTAACCGAGGCACTGACGCATCCCTCATGCGAACATGATACACACACCCAGTCCTATCAGCGAATTGAGTACCTTGGAGATGCGGTGCTTGACATGGCGGTTGTATCCGTGCTAGCTGAGAGAGATCTGAGGTTTGCAGAAGGTAAGATGACCCTGATCAAGCATTCGGTAGTCAACGCGGGCCTTCTAGCGTTCCTGTGCATGGAGATGGGCATCGATGACATCTATCTATGGAAGTATCTACGCTTCAACGGGCCAGTCATCCAGGCTGCCCGGGATGCATCCCTCGGAAGACACAAGGAACTACGAGAGGAGATTCTCCACGAGCTAAAGCATGGATCCAAGTATCCCTGGGAGTTATTTTCGCGTCTTCGGCCAGACAAATTCCTGTCTGATATTGTTGAAAGCACACTTGGCGCCATTTTCATTGATTCAGGCTGTGATTTCTGTCTCGGCTATTGTACGGCTTTTGTGGAGAGACTCGGGTTGCTTCTATATGTGCGTCGCATCATCTCGGACGGTGTGGACCTGCAGCACCCGCGGAACAGGGCACAGGACCTAGTAGCAAAGACTGGAGCCCAACTTTTATTCAAGACAAAACGTGTGGAAGCCTCCGTGGCTACCTACCACTGCTCTGCAACAATCAACAAAAAGGAGATCGCGTCCATCCAGGGCTGCGCTTCTGCCGATGAGGCTGAAGTTAAAACCGCACTGTTGGTCATCGAAAAGTTCGCAGAACAAAATGCGGATCCTATCGCTTCAACAAATCAATCATAAATCCAACCTCTAGATCACTCCGGTCGACTATTCGCGGCTACTGTTCGGGTGGGCGGGTTTGCGACAGCCAACATGGGCCAGTAGTAGTCCGCGGCGCCCCGTTTGGCGAGCCCGCGAGGCTTGCAAAGCAGATCCTGAAGTCGTCCCTTGGGTGAGATTGGAATTGGAATGGGAGCTTCCGCAGTCCTGGCAGAGGAGGTCGTTCTAATGGCCACTGGGTGGTATGGCATGTTTGCCTTCTGGTGACGAGTTGATAGAGCTGTCAATAGTTCATAAGATCACAAAACCCTTGCCTTTTTCGTATTTACAGGAACCAGGGCTTCTTCGATTTGCTCGTAGCCATTGGTAAGGACAGCTTGAATATGATAATGATGTACTCCAAGACTTGCTGTGATCTACTGTTTGGCCTTCCCACGCTTCGACCGACGAACAGGCTCAGCCTTGGCCACTTCCTCTGGCTCGTCGGCTTCGGAATTTTCTACCTCGTCTGATTCCTGCGAAACGTCCTGCTCATCCTCCTCGCCAGTAGCAACCATCACCCCGTCATCAGTCACTTCCCCAGCGTGGGGATCAGCTTCCGCGGTCGACACGGGCTCCCATGTACCCTCCGCCGGCCCATCGGCCTGTCTCAAGCTAGACAGAATCTTGACTGTCTCACTTTCCTCGCCATTCCATGCCCCACAGCTGCCACACCGCCAGCGGCCCAGCTCCTCGAGGGTTTTGATGCCCGGCGGGACCTGGCCATTGACCAGGCGGCACGAGCCACAGATCATGGCCATGCGGTTCCGGGGATGCATCTCGTCTTCACCTAGGAGGACGTCTAGGAGCCGGTCATACCAGTGTGGTTGTTCGATATACTGTCCTGAGTTCGGGAAGGCGTTTGGCGCGAAGCCGGGCTCGTCGGTGGACTGTTGTGGAATGGGAGGCGGAGAATGCGGTGTATTCGGTATGGGTTGTTGCTGTACATGTGGCGGGTAGGGAAGAGGCGAAGGAGTGTTGCCAGGCCCGACGGGAGGCTGGTCAGGAGCAGGACGGCGAATGTTGGCCGTTGGCGGAGGAGGGAGCCCTGTGCGGGCTACAGGTCGTTGCTGCTGCTTCTGCGAGGGTGTGTGCTGCTTCGGACCAGCCTTGGAGCTTGGGCTGAGCTTTGGTAACTCGCCACCATACCTCTCCAGCAGTTGCTGGGTCGAGTCGTACTTGGTCGCAACCTTGAGCTTCTCGATAGTCTGGTCACGCTGTCTGTTGAGATCGTCGAGATGGCGCTGGCTGCGAGAGATGCGGTATTCAAACATCCGGGAGCTGAAAGTTCGTACGGCGTAGATGCTAGCAGAAAGATACCGTTTAGCTTGAATCTCATTCTGGGGTCGTAGTCAACAGGACACGTACAGAACGGGGCCGCCGGCAATGGCGGCGTATTCCTTGACCCCCAGCTCTCCCATCCTAGCACGAGTGCGAGTACAATGGAGTAGAAAAGGTATGCAAAGGTTGAATAAAGCGTCCAAAGGGCTTTGAAGCGGCGGGCTGTCTGACGTTGCTGGTCCAGTCGCGTGGTCGCTTGGGCGATCTTGGTGGACAGCGTCGACAGGGTTTTCTCGAAGGAAGAAGGGGAGTTGTCGTCGCCCTAAGACGTTAGTAAAAAGGCTGTGTAGATAAATACAGAGATACTCACTTTCCAGGGCCAGAAAGACACCATGGTGGTTTTGCGCAGGGCCGACGACCGTGACACGCTGCAAGTCAAGTGGAACCGAAGGAAGCTCCAGCTTGGCCACCGCTCGGCACGGGCCATCTGATCGACCCGCTTGCAGTCTACACCTCCACTACTCCCCGACAGCTACAACTACGACACTTTGCCCAGCAGCATCTCAGAATACATTGGGGATTTCTCTTCAGGCCCTCCGCAAGGATCACCTCTTTACCCAATAATTGACGTCCCCAGTCCCCCTATCGTCCCCGGACAACCACAAATGCCGACATAACCCGCCCATCACAGCCCTGCCGCAATGGCGGCCACTCACATCATGGGCCAGACGATCGCTGAAAGAAAGGCGATGAATCCAGAACTCTGCTGATCGAGGGGGCACCCATACTGGACTAGGTGGAGGTCTGGACTCGCGTCCGGAACCGCCACTGACACCCATGAATCGACGGGTGCGCGAACTGCGGTCACTTTCTTTGTTCGCTATGCCCAGCCCCCATCGTATCCCTGCTTAGCATCGCGATAGTCTCTCCTTGGGGATCCCCAGATATGTCCATGTGCCGCAACAAAGTACCCCAGCGCACTATTAGGGACAATGGGCGCAAACTCAGATGGCATCTGCCACGAGGAGGACCGGGGTGGGATCAGAGCTTTCCACGTTGCGCTCCACCCGCGACCATTGACACTGCCTCGCATGGTCCTGCTGGTTGGCTATCTGGACCCCTGCTGTCACCAAGTTGTGATGGATCTCTTCCGATTCGCACTCTCTGCCATGGCACTGAAAATCTCAACAAGATCCTGGCGAGACTATTCGTCCCCTATTCCTCTATCAGCTCCAGGTCGCGTTGTCACATCACTTGTAATTAGCGCCTCTGCTATCTCCGAAGATCCAAAGATGCGACTCGGGCATGGCTCGAGGCTTCCAGTCGCCGTTGCACTCCACCGGACCCAGCCTTATCCCTGCCAGGACATTTGGACCCATAGACCGCAGTCATGCACCGCACCCTAAACACCGTTCCCCGCTCTTTATCAAGCTGCCGCCGGGCCTCTTTTAAACCCTAGCCTGGTCCGTTCGTATTTCCAGTTCCCAACAGTCTTCCTTTGCTCTGTTTCTGCGGAGCTTCAGTCCTATCCCTCCAGCGTGGAACGCATGTCCTCCTCGCCCATGTCACCATGGATACTATCATGACCAGCCTGCCACCGGAGGTGGGGACGATCTTGATGCAAAACATTGGGATCATACAGGTTGTGTCCATGTTCGCGATTGGCGCATATAATGCCCTCGAAACTGGCATCGTGACCTTTGACACCTTCAAGCACTACCGCGGCCTCTACTTCTGGAGTATGCAGGTTGCGGCTTGGGAATCCTGCTGCATGCCATTCCAGCCATGATTCGCTTCGTCTCAGTGGCCCCAAACCTGCCCATGTCCATTCCTTTCATCATCGGCTGGTACGCCATGGTCACCGGCCAAGCCCTGGTGCTATACTCCCGACTCCACCTTGTCGTCTCCGACATAAAAAGTCTGCGCTGGGTACTCTGGATGATCATCACCAACGCCTTGGTCCTACACGTGCCTATGACAGTCCTCTTCTTCGGCATCGAGAATAATTGCACCCTCGCCCGCGCAGCCGCAATATATGACCGCATCCAAGTGACAGGCTTCTCTCTGCAAGACTTTGTGATTTGCGGTATCTACATCCGCGAAGCCCTCCGCGCTCTCGGACCCGTCCTCGAAGCTCGCGGCAAAGAAGGACGGAAGGTCATCATTCACCTGATCTTGGTCAACGTACTCGTCGTGATAATGAACTGCCTCCTCCTAATAACCGAGTACAAGCTACACTATGTGCAAGTCAGCTTCAAGACTGTTGTCTACAGCGTCAAGCTGAAGCTCGAATTTACCATGCTCAACCGTCTACGCTCACTGACACGCACACAACCCTGCGTCTGTCAACAATCCCAGCAACAGGACCGCCGCCAATGCAGATCCGCTGATGTCAACATTTTCGACATGGTCTCAGCACACTCTCGCATGCCGCGGATGGATATCGAGGACATGCCCGCCTTCGTGCATATCCGTATGTCGCCCCGGTCGCTCTCTGTGCCCAGCAGCACGAATGACTTTCACGAGGCGCTGCGAGAGACATCGTTGAATGACAACATCATTACCCCCGTGGATACGTGTGTTCGTTCGGCTTCGACGCTTTCCTCTGAATCTGTCTTAGCCACGCACGGGCTCGTCAGAAACAAATACCACAGTAGAGATGAGACTTCCTAAATCACCGAAATAAAGTAGGTATGAAAGGTCGCCCCTTGTTAGTCTCCTCTCATAAATTTGTATTTATACACTTCCGGCATTGATTTGCCGGGGCGGCTTGGTCATGTTACTGGTGGTCCTTTTCATTTTGGAAGGCCGTTCTTAAGGGGATAATCTTTGTCCTTTTTCGGAGGGCCATTCTTTTTGGCGGATTCTTCTTCTGAGTGGCCCTCCTCTTCCTCGTTCTATACCCATTTGCGTCCAACTTGCTCTCGGTGGTTGTCTGCTTTTATGGAGCCATCTTTCGCGTTCCAATTGTCTCCAAATGTACAAAGTGTAGAAACCTAGTGTAAGAGGTCTCCGTTGATGACTATATGTCATTGAATCGTTGAATGAGAAAAGAGTCAGCGATCCCACTATGATACATGATTATAACAAGATATCAGGAATACGATGGATGGGCACAAAGCCCATAAGCGACAAGCCTATGCCCAGCGTCTAAAAAGGGCAGAAAACAGGCAAACTCCGTGAAGAACGAAGGCGTCAATCAGATCCTATATGGAATGGGTATATGTTTATTTTCCCATCAAGAAACAAAAACACCGGGTATCCCCCAGGACTATTCCATATACAGTTCTGGTTATGCAGGGCGAAAATGAAACAAAACTAAAAGATGGAGATAATAAATCATCATATCCATGAGAAAAATCCAGGGCGTGATGTACCTGCCTGTTTTCCGACGAGGAAAGGCGACTCCACGGGCAAACAAGATGGAATGGGGGGATGCAGTAATGAGCATGCCAAGCACTGAAGGTTTGACGGGGCAGAGGTGGAGGATGTATGTGCGGAGACTGTTTAATAGAGTGGAGGGGAGGAAATAGAGGGTTGGTCGATTACTGATCAAACCAGCCACCATTTTCCCATTGACTACCTGGCTTGTATGTGGCATCTTTCCTTACTTCAAGATCACAAATCCCGCGCAGCAGAATATTGAGTCTTGCGAAGTTAATTGGCTTCATGACCCAGCCATCAAAGCCCGTATCAACGTACTTCTGCATCTCTGACTCAAGAAGTGATGCAGACACGGCAAATATGGGAACGCGAGAGGTCCGCTGACCTTCATTCGAAAGCGAAACTGGAGCCTTCTTGGCTTCGAATTCACGAATCATCCTAGTAGCGGCCATGCCGTCGGCAATGGGCATTTGGATGTCCATCAGGACAACGTCGAAGACTTGGCTCCCTGAGGTAAATGCATTGGCACATGCTTCGCCGTGACCGGTGAGTAGGACAGAATGGCCAAGTTTGGTAAGACGTTTGTGAACGATCTTGCTGTTGATAGGGTCATCTTCTGCGACAAGAACATGAAGTAATGGCGAGGTAGTGGGAGGAATTGAGGTGGGTGCTGTAGAAGGCGCACCTGCTGCCGAGGTGGCAATTGATGGATCGGTCGCCGATACAGGCATGGGGGGAAAGTAGGATTGATCAGCAACTTGTTGAGATCGATACTGAGCAGACCGTTCGGAGATACGAACAGGTCCCATAGGCACACCGGAATCAGTGATACTTTCCGTGCCGGGAGCAGGTGGGGATTTGAATGGTTGCAATGTAAGCGGTGGAGTGTGTGTGACTGTTGACAGACTAGCAAGGGGATCTTGTGTCATGGACGACCTTTTGAGGCTAGCTGGCCGTGGCGAGCCCATCGTTGCCGACCACTTGTTTGCACTGATAGGGTTGGTTGACTGTCTCAGTTGACGCACGTCGGGGCTCTCGCTGTGGGTTCGCTTTATGAGAGACGGCTCCTGAATGGCGCTGATCAGTCGATCAGCCTGACTCTTGCCACTACGTGAGCTGCCTCCACTGCGAAGACTTTCGGAGCTGCGTCGTCGGGCTTCACGGCAATCAGCCGCACCACTACCAACCAAGGTGAACTCCCGATCGGAGAGCATGGGCGTGGGAGGTACAGGATCGTGGCCAGGCTGAGCCGCCTTGTCCGGTGTCTCTGTTGAAGCTCCCTCCGGAAGTTTGAAATGCAAAAGAATCTTGAGACGACTGCCCTTGCCCTCTTCTGACTTTACCCCAAGCTGACCTTGCATGTTGTGAACAATTCGTGCAACCAACGCGAGGCCAAGGCCTAGGGCACGCTTCCTCGCGGGCTTTTCTTCCAATTCCTGTCCCTCTTCTGGGTAATAGTGTTCATCTGTGGACACTTGCTCGAGTTCATGAAAAATAGCCTCCAACTTGGCTTTTGACATGCCAGCTCCCGTATCCACAACCATGAACTCCACAGCCACGTGCCCAGGTAGATCTTGGGGGGGGAACGCCACATCTCAACGGTAACGGCTCCGGAGGCTGTATGCTGGATGGCATTGGCGATGACGTTGGAGAAAACTTGACGCACACGGCGTTGATCGCCAAGTACCATATGAGGGAGACCCGGGTGAGCGGACACAGTGTACGAGATATTCTTCCGCTTGGCTTCGCCAGCCAGCATATCAGTCGCCTCCCGGAAGGTAGTCTGAAGATCGAATTTCTCGTCTTTAATAAGCTCATGGCCTTTTTCGGTGTTGGTAAGGTCCAGAAGATCATTGATGACATAGATCAGGGATTTGGAGGCGGAGTGTGACTTGGTCAAACTATCTCGGGTTTCCGAATCCAATGCTCCTTCCAGCGCAATCTCCAGATAGTTAATGATCGCGTTGAGGGGGTGCGAACCTCGTGGGCGGAATTCGCCAGAAGCAGTTTGGTGAGCTGCGAGGTCTGCATGGCGGCCTCCTTCTGACGCCACACTTTGATAAATTTACCGTAGACAAGGCAAAGAACGGCGGCGGTCTCCACGTCGGTTTCGGACCACTCGCGGGACTGACTAAGTACGGTCTCCCGCCATGCAGCGAAGCTGCTTCGAGGCTCCAAGTATCCTGCAGTCTCCTTTCGCTTTGCAATATCATAGGGATTGCCGGCCCACTTGATCTCAGTAAGTTGACCTTTTCGGAAGAAGACGATAAAATCACTGCCGCCAGTGGATAATGGCACGTAAAGCAACCCTGATATAGCTTTGAGACCAGGGCCATAATGTAAGTCGGGGAAGTCCTTGATGATATCATGGGAAGCCAGAACGGAGTTCATCTGACGCATGCGAAGAAACTCCAGAAGAGCAAGCACCTCTTGAGAGTTACTGTTGTCCCCCAGAATTTTGGTCTCATCGCGAATGGAAAGAGCACCATAATCCGCATCGAAGAGTTGTAGTAGATCATCCGAGGATGCGATGATATAACCCGAGGGGTTGGCCTCGGTAGGGACCATGTTGATAAGCTTTCGGGCTTGGAGGCGAGAGGCGTACGACAGACGTTCGATATTCCGCGAGACTGTGTCACCAAGGAGACGGCACATTTTCCGAATAGGGAACGAAACACGCATACCAGCCTTTCCATAAGAGTGGCAAGATATCAGGCCCCAGAGATCGTTGAAAGCGTTGACACTAATCGACATTGATGATCGAACTTTCATATTGGCGAGGTACTTGATATGGATTGGCGACATTGCTCGCAAGTAAGCGTGAGTCATGTCCAAGGGAGTTTCCAAGTCCTCCATCGTCCGACAGACGAGTCGTGATGTGACCTGGTCTCGGTCGTAAAGAAGCCGGACCTTGTTGATTTGGTAGAGCTCACGAGCCTGAGCAGGAATATCCGACGCCGGAAAATGAAGACCTTTAAACAGGTCGACGGTGACCTTCGGATCGACCAGTTCTGCTACTACCAAGCCATTCCAACTGCTGTCAAATTGATAAATCAACACGCGATGGAACCCCGTGAGCTCCTTGACCAAACCTGCCGTGGTGTTAAGCAGAGTATCGAGGTCATTAGCTCGGCCTAATTGCTCCTGAATCTGTGTCAAAATGCTGAAGACCTCCATGGCAGCTGCCTCACCCTTTCGTCGCCGAGCATTACGAAGGATTCGAAGCGGCTGACTGATGTTGATGGTGCTAGCAGCGTATTGGTCTGGAGTCGGAAAGGACCCTAGGGTTCCGGTTGGACTGCCAGGAGAAGTTGATCCACCGACATTCAACGGGTTGACCTCATCATCTTCAAGTTCCAGCTCGCAGATGATTAAATCTTTCTGGGTCTGGCTGATATGTGTCGCACACCAGAAGCGCCGTTTCTCACCGTCGGGAGTGGGAATGGTCAAACTGAACACTTCGGGGCCGTCCACGCTCGGGTCATAAGCATCATCACGAACGAAATCGATGTGATCCAATAGAGAGTCTGCTTGATCGTCGTTTAAGATTGCACGGAAATCTTCCAACTCGAAAAGTTGTTTTGGCGAGTAGCCTAGAAGGTCCCGTGAATTCTCACTCACCACACGAACCACGAGCTGATTGGGGGATTCCTCTCGAAGAGCGAGCATGACGCCAAAACTCTGGACAGCACCCGGAATGCGGATGGGCTCATCTTCGCAGTATTGAAACGAAGCTCCGTCTCGTCCTGTGAGCACAGCATGGCCACTCTCCGCCATGACGTGCTTGAACCGGGCTGTAACATGATCGTAAGGCTCGCTAGAAGCAGCTGGTGCTTGTGCTTGAGGCAGAGGAGTACCGCTCCGCGCCGACTGACTGTCACTTGTTGCCTTGGCATAAATTTCGGGATGCTGAGCGACTCGGGATGCCATGGAGTGAGTGGCCAATTCAGCCTGATCGTTAGCGGCATGTGTTTCATGGCGGAGGATGTCTGTGGGTATAATCGGATTTGGGTCGCATCGGGGCTGCGGTGGAGAGGGTTGAGGCTGAGATTGCAGATGATTCCAGGTGTGTTCATCAATGATTGAATATTGGCGAGCTCCCTCGCGGGTTGGGGAGGCCGCACCCCGAGCACGGGTTGAGGCAGATTGCGCCGCGGTCGGATCAACCGAGACGACCGACCGGATAGGAAACACGCGATGGGTTCCATCATACTCTGTACTGGGTTGCCGCGGCCCTTCATGGTGCGTAACGGATTGCGACCGGTCTCTGCTCTCGGGACGAGCGTTGGTGGTCTCGATCGAGGGCGACCACCTGGTCGCTACACTCTCCGACCGCTTCCGTGGGGTCCCAGGTCTCGAGTTATGGGGATTCGACGACGCCATCTAGGTCCGAGTCGTTCGAGACGAAGTCGGTTCGGTCGCAGCCCGGGGAACGTGAGGGCGAAGGGTGTCGGGAGAGAAGATTGCGACTTGATCCAACTGGGGCCGTATGGGAGCTGGTCGGTCCTATGTCTGCTGATGGTACAGCGGCAGGGCCGATTCGGTTCAAATAGTCCGACAGCAGAACCGGGTCGCGATCGAAATAAGCCGGCTCTTTTCTTCTCTTCTAAGCAGGCGCAATCCGCACACCACGGAGCGTGACTACCGCATGTCCAACAGGTGAAACACAGCGAGAATCCAGAGAAAGGTGGGGTGGATATTTGGGACGGGGCTCATCAGGGATCTCGCGCCCACTGAGGAGGCGTTCGATTGTCGATCCAAGATGCAAGTGGATGAGTGCCTGCGCGATGTATAGGAGGATGGAATCCCAAAGGAGTGATGGGCGATCTGGAGAGGACGACAGGCTAGGGTGGAGGTGGGGGGAAAAGTCTATGATCTTGAAGGGGTTACCGGCGGAGCGCGAGTAGGTCCGTATTCCTCTTCCATCACTTTGAGGAAGCATGTGCGGATTTTGGATCCAGTGAGAAGGGGAAATGATGTGCAGGTCGCCTGTCAACCCACACTAGCCCCAGAAGAACCAGTGCAAGACGGGAATGGCACCCACTGGGCTGGTAAACGCGAGGGAGCAGCCGCGGCGACAGTTTCCTCTGGCATCATGATTGGGGGAACGCGCGAGCCGGGTGGTACCCGATGATTGGGTCCATCGTTGGCGAATGGAGAGAATTGGATCCCATGGACTAGCGACAACCGGGGAACACAAGCCACTGGCGTCCCAAGTGGAAGAAGCGCAGAGCTTTCTGGTGGCTGAGCTAAGGGCTCTCTTAGCCGGAAGGTACTTCGACAGGTACTCGGTACCCCAGCGAACCGTGGCAACCCATCGACGGAGGTGGACCGAGTTCCTTCTGTAGACTCGTCTACCAAGGACTGAAAGTACCCCGTACTGCTCGCGTGTAAGCCTGTGGGAGGTAGACACGGAATTGATGGACGAGACTTCGGAAGAAGGTGGAGTCGGCGCATCATGATGACTGGGTTGTTGGCGGTTGCATGCCTCACAATTCAGGGTGGAATGCCTAATGACATCACAACCCAACCGACAGGATCTTTCGAGAACCACGGACCGTTAGTCAGTCACACTGTAAGACATCACTAGCGGTTAAAGTTACCGATCATTAGATCAACACCAGCCACAGTTAGATCATATCGGCTCGTACCTGTCCGTCTCTGCGCCATGACGTAATTCAGACGCACTTCGTGAAACCTTCGCTGCAGACCCCGAGAGGCAAGCCATCGGCCGAATGGTCGGCGATCCCGAAGATATCACACTGCAATTCCACCACGGTGTATAATTCGCCACAACTATGTATCTTGCCCCTGTGCAGAGTCAACCGGAAATTGTCATAGCTGATCCCATTCGCTCTATTTCACTGCTGCGAAGGGCTGGGGTAATGGATCAGCACCAGATATCGTCAAGGATTTCACTGCCTGAATGATGGACGTGATCATAAATGGAAACAGGGAGAAGGATGCGGGCCAAGGCGTGCTATAAATGGCAATATCCAAAAGCGGAAATGACTCCAATGATACTGGGGATTGGGAAGAGAGAAAGAGTATAGATAGAGAATAGAAAGCCGGCTAGCTTCAAAGCACGACAGGTCACATATGCAAAATTAGAACAAGCAGCGGAGGGTCTCCATTTGAAAAAGCGAAGGTTGGATTCTTTTCTTGCAGCTTTGGTATTTGATTTGGCTCTCTGGATCGATATTCGATATGGCCAATAAATATGTTTTATTGCGTTTTCTATAGTAAGATCGGGTCTATTGAATGCAATGGGGCCTGCTCTCCTACATCATTTCCAGTTCTCAAAATCCGATTTAACAGCAGTGGCAAATGCATCATCGGCCAACACCTGACATCCCACGACGGCCATGCCCGCCGCGCAATACAGACTGCGCCTGAAGCCATCCTCAGAACCGGCGCCAGCGGTAAACTGTGGTGTGTGGTTTACTCCGTCGGCATTGATGTAGAAGCCGCCATGGAAGCCAGGAACCTCATATGACACATTGCCCATGTCTGTAGATCCGCCGCTCAGGCCACCTTCCTGGCCAACCGCGTCGTAGATAGTTTTGTAGCCCATCTTATTCATAGCATCCATGTAAGTCTTGCAAATGGGGCGGTTGATCATCATGTCCATGTATGCCGGTTCCCTGGAGTGTAAGGGTCAGCGAATGCGATCAATATAGGGCCATGACAGAGCCACCAACCATTTATAATCGACAGTACACCCGGTGGCTGTTGCAGCCGCTTCAAAACATTTGAGAACTCTCTCGGTGAGCGGCTTCAGTGTCCTGATCGTTTCAGACCGGATATAGTACTCCACTGTGGTAGAGGCCGGAATGACATTAGGTCGCTCCCCTCCACGGAGCACCACTCCGTGAATCTTCTGTGTGGGGAGGATCTGCTGGCGCAGCATGGAGATATTGACATATGCGGCTACAACAGCATCGAGGGCATTAACTCCTTCCCAAGGAGCAGCAGATGCGTGTGCCGGTTTCCCGGTGAAAGTTACCTCAATCTTGTTGTTTGCCAGATACTGACCTGAGCAAAAGCTGGAGCTGAGAAGATCGGGCGCGCCCGAAAGCGCGGGAAACGGATGAACCATGAAGCAAGCATCCACATCCTTATACGCACCAGCATCAATGAGCTGCAGCTTTCCTCCGCCGCCTTCTTCCGCAGGGGTTCCCAGCAAACGAACCGAATAGCCAATGGCATCGGAATACATGGCACTCATGGCTTCGCACGTGGCGATGAATGCCGCAATTGAACTGGTCGCAATCAGATTATGCCCACAGGCATGTCCGATGCCCGGTAGCGCATCATACTCGGCATTAAATACGATGACTCGGCCACCTTCGCCTCGCGTATAGCTGACCTCCAATGCGGTGCCGATCCCATAGGCGCTTCGTTTGACTTGGTACCCTTGGGCAGCGAGAGCATCAAATAGATCGCAGATGTTATCGTGCGCGCTGTGCTCTTCGAACGCCAATTCAGGCTCCGACCAGATCTACAACGCAGAGATTAGAAGTTCTCCCACGTTGAATCTATATTGGGGAGTGCTCATTTTTCTAACCTTCTGGTTAATGTCGCTGAGCCTCGACTCGTACTTCTCCAAAGCAGCGCGGACCTTTTCGATAATCAGAGACTGTGTCATCTTGAACAACGTACAAGAAAATTGGCAATCGGCCCATCCCCCGAGTTCTTGGGAAACAATTCCTTTAAGAACCAGCGATAAAAAGGCCGAGATAAGAATCCACTGCCGATCGGCAAACCATCGCCAACCCCGCAAGATAAGAACTACGCCAACACAATGCAACACTCCCCCACATTGTTGCCTACACCATGTCAGCTGTCCATCCATTCCGCCTTAGTTCCGCAGTGGACCACCAAGCCCAACGCCAACCGCTTCCAATCAGGACTAATCAAAGAGATTGCGGCGCCTCCTGCGTAGCGCCGTCCCCAAAAGCCGACGACTTATGCAACTCAGCAGCGCGAGCCTGAACTGGTCTCGAGTCTGAGAAAATCCTCATCTCAACGATCTGCAGATCATCAAGGCTATTCCCTTCCAGATCAAGGATATTAAACTCCCGTACCTTGACAGGGAACTGGTCTGGATCCTGCTTAAACACCGTCTCCGACGTGGCCTCGAACATGACCGTGCGCTTGACGAGGACGCCGCCGGTTAGCGGGGCGAAGGGCGTCCCGGTATTTGGCCCAGTAGCTGTGTCTGTCATGGCATTCACTGCGCCGGTCTCGCGGTTGAGGTCCATGTCCCAGGCGATGTGGACTTCGTGGTGGAATTGGGCGACTTGCCGGCCGCGGACTTGGAGGAGGGGGATTGTGCCGCTGGTGGCGCTGGGTGGATTGCTGCCGACGATGATGGGGGCGTTCGGCGTGAAGAAGGGGCTGATGGAGAGTTTGTTTGGGTCGAGGGAGTCGGTGGCAGGGAGGAAGCGCTGGAGAAAGAGAAGGCCAGGGGATGCGGTGGGTGGGATGGTTTCGTAGGGTCCACGGTGGATGGTGACGCCGGTGTGCATCGTGGAGATGGTCGATTAGATAGGTGTTAATACGCATTGCTGGAGAGTTTCTAACCGTGGCCAATTGTGTCAATGGTTCTAGTCGGCTAGGTGATGGAGCTCCGTCATCCCAACGTAGTTGAGCTCGTAAATTTTATGAGTTTCGGATTGACTTTGTCCCCAGCTAAATAAAAGCATGAATCATTGAAATTATGTTGTACGCTTTTGAAGGGTATTGTACACTGATTAGAACTGGATAGAGCCCGTATGCGGAGTCTGATCAAGTATGGACAGTAGCAGTAGATGCGGCAAGATAATGTAAGAACCAGGCGTATCCAGCCCGCTTGGAAGTTGAAGATCTATGCTGAAAATAATTCCGAAAGCAGACCAGTGGAAGCTGCACGAGTGGCACTTATGCGTGTCACGGCGCCATGAACTGTACGAGTGATCACGGTGCACGCTCTGGCCCACTAAGATCTTCAGAACGTTACTATGGGCGGGATCGCGGGCTACCGCCCGTGATGCTTGGTCAACGGACCACTGGCCGGAGGCGGCGGACCATTGCGGCGGTCGCGCCGGGATGTGTGATATAGGATATTCCGTGAGTGGATGATAAGGAGACTTTGATCTGCCTATGCTGGAATCAAGCTGGATCCTCGGTGTCACTGGAAAGCCTTGAACGAGTCGACGGACGCATTCGTTGCTCTGACGATGGCAGGCTTTCCATGGAGATCCCATTCCAGGCGCTCATCCCCCGCGGGACACGGGAATTGACGGGAGCCGCATGGGTTACATCAGAGGTGAACTGGGACGGGTCCACAAAGTTGGGATACTCGTCGTGTTCGGTCGAGGTAGGCTGCGAGTGTTGCGTCTGAACAAGAGACACAAGCTTACCCAAAACTGCGAACTCCAGCTTGAGCTTGATGCTGTACACCATCGGTTTCAGAGTTGTTTGTAGCGAGTAGTAGCCGATATACTCGACCACCAGCAAAGCCACATCGAGCATGATAATGACAAAGTTGATAGCCAGCAACTCATACATGATCCTCGTTCGCCTTCGCTCCTTGTCTGGCATCAGGCGCAGCAGCTTCACCGTCTCCGAGATATAAATGCCTGAGATGAGAAACTCTTGGGTGCAGAACCAGGCTAGCTGGAGGCGCTCCATGACATTGTAGCCTCGGATGATAGGAACGGTGCCGACGTAAGCCGTCGCAAACGTGAGAATTGTTGTCGGGATTAACAACAGAACGGCGTCAATAATGATCAGCCACAGCACAAAACGCAGGAGTTTGTGACTTTGAACCACGAGATGGAGTCGCGAGTAGAGAACCAACGACTGGCCTGGCACCATGACATAAAAGCCAATGGTCCCCAGCGTCAAGGAGAGCCACAGCGGAGCCAACGAAAAGAACTCCAATATATATGCGATTGTGTGCGGGATCACACCAAGCACGACAGAAAGCAAAAGCGTCCAAAAATACAGCCCGCGGTAGTGCTGGAATGTCAAAAACAACAATATAAAAAGCTCGATCGCATTGTACAGGGCGATGGACGAGAATACAATCATTATAATGCGCACAGTTAGGTCGCCCTTGTAGCCCCCGATCAGGCCATCGGGGGGCTTGGACAGCTCACTAGGAACCATGTCGCCGGCGCTGGCGCAGAGCAGGCAGGGTGCCCTGGCGCGCGTGCTATAAGATGGGCAGAGAGAAGTGGGATGGTGATCGTGACCCGCTTGGTCGAGACCGCGGTCGTATACCTAGTTTCTTCCAGTGGGCCAGTTTCACCGCCATGGTCTGGTCTATTGCGCTAGCTGGAGTGGCGCATCCACGAGAGTGTCGAAGGCGACGGGTTCGAGGGGCACAGGAAGAGGCGTAAACGAGTTCGCAGGCCGGCGATTTGTTATGGCAGCAGACGGTGCGGTTCGGGGTCCTGTTTTCCGTCTCACTGGCTCCGCTTGCCAATTGTCTCCAGGCGGATTGTCAACCTGTCGCACGCAATCTGTCGCCTGCCGTGGTGGTTGGGCTCAGATGTAACTAGACGGTCGCCGAGGGCGGTGATGAGGTCAAGGACTCGACGATGGGCTGGCGCGGGACCCTTGCAGGATGCGATTGTGCAATGGCGTCCCGGTTCGTTCTGAGGCGAAAAGAGGTCGAGGGGGATGGAAAGGTCAGAGCTCGGGGCGGTGCGAAAGGTGGAGGGGCGAAAAAGAGGAGTCCCGGTGGGTTCGTGCAGACCCAGTTCTTCTCCAGTCACTCCGCACGCGCCAATAGAGCAGCCGATGCGAGCAGGTTCGACAAGGAGTCTCGAGGGCACGAGGAATGGAAAAATGAGAGTGAACAGCAAATCTGAAACACAACGTTCTGCCAAAATTTTAGGCGAAGAGACTAGCATTAAAGTGGAAGGCCAAGATGGCTCGGAGTCGAAGCGAAAGCGAACGCGAAAAGTTCATTTTGCCGCTGGCCGAGAAATTCTTGCGGGGAGCGGCACTTTCTCGGCCGTCGCCACAGGAAGGCAAGAAAGCCGACCGCGGAACTCGTGGCCAGCGAAACTCCATCCAGTCCGAAAACCGGTTATGGAGTAGCTGGGAAAGCTTCGGACCCCTCCCCAGAAATGGCTTCAGTGTGTCTACGACCAATCTGTCGCGAGGACCTCCCGTTCGTGGCCGATGTGGCCGCGCAGGCCATGCTGGAGGACGAGCTCTTTGCCTACCTCTGTCCGCACCGCCACACTCACTATGCAGACTTCCGACTTGCCTTCTTGCGACGCCTGAAGCGGCGAATGGTCACACCAGGCTGTGTGATGGTCGTGGCGGTGGAACAGACCGAGCCGGAGCATGAGCTCAACGGTGGAGCGCGGATCCGTGGCTACGCCGCGTGGGAGCGGATGGGTACTGGCGCAGGGGCGGCGCGGTGGCACCAGTCAAAGAAGGGGTCGTGGCATGGTGATTGCTCCCATTTCGATGCTGATAATACTATGATACTAATTCCAGGTTCCGCTGTCTGCGCGTATGAATTGGCTAACGCTCCGTTCGTGCAGCGCTCGAGCGTTTGCTCCTTGCAATTGAAGACCGCTACCTCGCTCTCGTCGCCCCAGACCGCAGCGTCGACCTTCCCAAGCTCGCACACTACAAGCAAGCCTCTGCGGTGGACTGCTTCCCCTTCGACACATACCCGGAGCTCTGGTACCTCGACAGCTTGGCCGTGGACCCTGGTTTCCAGCGGCGCGGGATTGGTCGGCAACTGGTCGAATGGGGATTACAGCAAGGGAGGCAAGAGCAAGTCGCCGTGGGCTTGGAGGCAAGCATCAAAGGCACCTCGTTGTATGAGCGGGTAGGCTTCCGCGCCGTTAACAGCACGGAGCTGATGCCCGGCCTGGCGATCACGGCAATGCTCTGGCAGGACCCACTTGGCCTCGAAGACGACTCGCAAGGCTAAGCGAAGGGGCGCGTGCCTCAAGCCCTCCCTTCTATCCGCATGATGCGGATCGACATCCCACTCAGCATTTACGGGGAAGTTCACGATAGCCCTTCTGAAAACGGGTCGAGGCAACCAATGTGCAGCACTGCATTTTTGGCTGCTCCCACCGCGCTAGCGTTCGGGATTTCAACCCGAGTTATTGTGCGCATCGTGGGTAATATGTTTGTGGCGCTTTTACGGAACAATTCCGTTGCCACTGTTAGGAACCGAAGGCCATCCCAGGCTGATGCCCGTGGTCTCATGCGTATCAGTTAGCTTGGCAGCCGTTAAACATCCGGCGAGGCCCTGGTCGAAGCACGGGCCCAAGCGCCGAAAACCCCCGCAGGTTCTCCACCTTGCGGGCTCAGGTTTGCACTGCGGGCCAGTCGTTGTTTGTCATTTTTCTGTCTTATGTACAGGACTGAACGCGCAAAATTCTAAGTAAACTGTGCTCATATGTACCGCTGCTCCTCTAGAAGATAAACTTCGCTCCCACGCTCTCGTCCAAATATAGAGTGCACGCCAGCGTCACTACCGATGCCATTTTTAGTAGCATTACAACTCGATTTGGTCACAGGACAAACAGTTGGAGGCTGGCATCGTCAATCTCCAATAACCGTGGCCTACCGACCTACCCACACCGCTTCCGCTGGTAGGCCACGGTTACGAGGTAACTATTGTACTATTGTAGCGGTTATGAATGTATGTAATCAGGGGCGGTCGACTATCCACGTGCCTAGCGTGTCCGATGGGAAACCGACCGACTGACATTGTTTCATGATCTCTGCTCAACTTCAACAATACCTCAAATTCACACAAATTGGACTGAAAGCAAAGGCTCACTTCAACAATGGGATGCGACTATTGTGGCCCACCGGCTCCAGCCCCTGAGCCTGATTTTTTGCCACTCGCGGCTCCAAGTGAGGAAACGAGCAGTTGCCCCGATTCTTGCTGCGATAGCGATGATGCTCAGCCTCTGGACACCATCCCGGGTCGAAATACACCCACCCCGGAAAAACCGGATGATTGCTGCTCTTCTGGCAAATGTGCGGACAACAAAACCGAGAATCATACCGACGCGCCTGACTGCTGCCGTGGCAAAGTCAGCCCATGCTGTGACACGTCGTGCCTTGACCGCTTGGCTATGCGGGAATGCGAGATGAATGCTACGGCTGCCCCCGGCCCAAACAGTCCGCCAAATAGTGGGTATCCGCTCTTTGAGAATGGCGGTTAAATACTGCTAACTCCCTTCAGCTTGTGGTGGAGCTACCGACCGCAAGGCATGCAGTCAACATAGTCTCTCTACCCTCGACCGCTACGGCCCTACTCTACAAGCCCTGGGATGTATCTGCCGCGCTCTCATTGCTCTTGGCCAGGAAACCTGCTGTGAAATTCGCGAGCGACAGTCACTGGACTGGAAGCAGTCCTCTAGGAAGTCATCTGCTCGCTCCCTTCGCACTTCACTGGATTCCTGCAGCAACGGCTCCGTCACCAAGGACCAGGCTGCGGAGAACCGTCTTCGCCTACGAAGGGGCTCTCGTGAAAGCATCCAGGCTGTCCAGAAGGCGTCCGCGGATGCCTGTGTTGTCTCTTTTTGCTCGAAGGACAAGCCCGCCAAAGAGCCTCCTGTCAAAAGCAAGTGCCCGAAGCCGTGCTGCTCTGAGGCCACTCCCACCACGGCTCTATTCGACAAGCATAACTGTGCTAAGTATTGCTACTCCCCCGACAAGCTCGCGAAGCAGCCTGCTGCCCAAACTGGACGCCTTGATTCTTGCTGCTCGGAGACTCCCCGTCTCGAAGAATCCCCTCCCAATGTCGGCTGCCCCAGATCTTGCTGTCCCAGAGACCAGCGTGTTAAAGACAATGACACCAAGAGCATTTATGCGGACTCATGCTGTTCGAAGGTCAAACCCGTTGTTGAACCTCCTCTAACTAGTGGGTGCGCAGGGTCTGTTTGTGGAACAGCTAAATACACGATTACCAAAGAGCTCCCCAATGCCTTTTCCTCTGGGTCTTACTGCAAGCCACTCAAGCGGAATATCGTGAAGACTTCAATGACCAGTTGTGCAGGTTCTCACTGCACGGAAAAGCAGCCGGCTAGCCTTCAAGGCTCTTGCACCCATGCTTGCTGCTCCTCTGATGTGCCCGATCCTAGTTTAGAGATTGAGAAAGTTTCGATTCAGCCCATCACCGACATAGAGAATCAGGGTATTGGCAAGGAACATGTTGTTCTCAGTATTTCTGGCATGACTTGTACTGGCTGCGAGACAAAGCTCAGCCGAACCCTCGTTACTGTCCCCGCCGTCAAAGACCTGAAAACCAGTCTGGTTCTCTCACGAGCCGAGTTCAACATTGATCTTCGTCTTGGCTCAGTGGAGGAAGTCATGAAACATCTGGAGCGAACCACTGAATTTAAGTGCAAAAGAGTCCTGAACCAGGGATCTAGCCTAGATCTTATCGTCCCTGATGAGCCATCGAATTTCATTAGTCAGACCTGGCCGGACGGAGTTCTTGACATGGCACTCGTGGACAAGCACACCGTGCGAGTTGCGTTTGATCCGAAGATCGTGGGAGCTCGAGACCTCACCGAGAATATTTGGACTTCGCCAATTGAACTTGCTCCTCCACGCGGTGACCCTTCGCTGGAGGCTGGCAGCAAGCATGTTCGTCATGTCGGATATATGACACTTCTCTCCGCTGTCTTGACGATTCCGGTCCTAGTCATGGCATGGGCTTCACTTCCTGAGAGGGAGGTCGCATATACCTCGGCTTCACTCACCTTGGCCACGATTGTTCAAGTTGTCATAGCAGGGCCTTTCTATCCCAAAGCGCTGAAGGCTCTCATTTTCTCGAGGGTTATCGAGATGGACCTCTTGATTGTCTTGAGCACCAGTGCTGCCTACGTATTCTCGGTGGTCTCCTTTGGGTACCTCGTTGCAGAGCAGCCCCTTTCGACTGGTCAATTCTTTGAAACGAGCACTCTCTTAGTCACCTTGATCATGGTTGGTCGGTGGGTTGCCGCTCTCGCTCGTCAGAGAGCGGTTGAATCCATTTCTATCCGGTCACTTCAGACATCGACAGCTATTCTTGTCGACCAAACGAGCGGAAGGAAACGGGAGATTGACGCCCGCCTTCTTCAATACGGCGATACCTTCAAAGTTCTCCCTGGCACCAGAATCCCGACCGACGGCACTGTCATCAATGGGTCGTCTGAGGTTGACGAGTCTATGCTCACAGGTGAATCTAGACCGGTAGAGAAATCTCCCAAGTCTATTGTGGTTGCTGGGTCTATCAATGGGTCTGGACTTATGACTGTTCGACTGAACCGTTTGCCTAGCGATAATACTATCACCACCATTGCTGCGATGGTCGATGAGGCCAAACTGTCGAAACCCAGGCTGCAGGATCTCACAGACCGGGTAGCATCCTACTTCGTCCCGGTTGTGCTGGCATTGACAATCATCACGTTCGTCATCTGGGTTGCAGTAGGCATGACTATTCGTGGATATGATGGATCCGAAGCTACAATTCAGGCCATCACCTACGCCATTACTGTCCTCATCGTCTCTTGCCCCTGCGCTATTGGACTGGCTGTTCCTATGGTCATTGTGATTGCCAGCGGAGTCGCGGCGGAGAGAGGTATCATCTTCAAGTCAGCCGATGCTATTGAAGTGGCTCATAAGACGTCGCACGTCGTGTTTGACAAAACTGGGACCTTGACTCGGGGAAAGCTTTCTGTCGTCGCGGCGGACAGCGACAGCGTGGACGAGCTCCCTCTACTTCTAGGCCTCATCGAATACAGCCGACATCCAGTCTCGGTTTCTGTTGCTGCTCACCTCAAGGATGCCGGAGTTATGGCTTTGACTGTTCCTGAGCCTAAGAGCTTTACTGGCAAAGGTGTTGAAACCACCTTCGGTGGCCGGAAACTTCGAGCAGGTAATTCTCGCTGGCTGAATCTATCGGACAATGAACTTGTTCAACGAATGCTTGCTCAAGGATACACTGTCTTCTGCTTTACTATCGACGATACGTTACAGGCTATCTATGGTCTTGAAGATGAGCTTCGACCGGACGCTGCGGGGACGGTGGAGGCCTTGCAGAGGCGTGGCATCTCAGTACATGTCGTTTCTGGCGACGATGACGGAGCTGTTCAGTCTTTGGCGTCCAAGCTTAGCATTCCTGGCGGCAACGTGCGCTCTCGAAGCTCACCCGCTGACAAGAAGGACTACATCCAGATGCTCCTCAGTACTAGTATAGATCTTAAAAAACCGGTTGTTGTTTTCTGCGGTGACGGCACGAACGATGCCGTTGCTCTCGCACAGGCTACGATCGGCGTTCATATGAACGAAGGCACGGATGTCGCGCAATCCGCCGCGGATGTGGTTCTCATGCGGCCTTCTCTGGCTGGTATTACCACTATGATGGACACCAGTCGGAAATCTGTCAACCGCATCAAGGTCAACTTTATCTGGAGCTTCGTTTACAACACCTTTGCAGTCCTTCTCGCTGCGGGTGCTTTTGTCAATGCCAGAATTCCCCCAGAGTGGGCGGGACTGGGAGAGTTAGTGAGCGTGTTGCCAGTTATTGCTGCTGCGCTGCTTCTGCGCTGGTCGAAGATCTAGGCACAGAGCACCATATTGCACGAGTCACAACCATCGAAGTTCCACAAACGCTCCTCGATGTCTGACTGGAATCGTCGTTTTGAAGACGTGGATGCGACAGCTCCTTTCATATTCAGTTTCGAATCGCAATCGCAGAATAATGCAATTCTGTCGCTATGGATAATCTGCTTTGTATCAGAGAAGTCTCCTCCAAGGAAGCCTCAACTCAATCCGTTTCATTATCCGCATGTCCTATTCGGTGGGGGTGTACTCGTTAACAATCATGACTTTTCCGTGTAATTAGTTGCAGAGGGGACCGCGTGAATGGGTTCGCAGATCCACATCTCAGCTTCATTCTCACCGTTGAAGTAATTACATGACTATTTTTAATATTCGCCAGAGCGATCACGACGCTGTCGCTACTACGTATCGCCACTTTGGATGGGACTAGTATCTTCTTTTAGCACAGCGTATGCGTATGTTATTGATGATGGCTGAAAGCTGCCAGGAATTGAATAGCCTTTTGAAGATAGTACGGCTATGTTTGGAAAGTAGCAGTTGTCCGGTTGGAAGCAATCATGAAATCTAACTATATAGAGCAATTAGCGGTCTAGATTGATGGCTTCCTCAGTCCAAGAATGACCGGAAACCAGGAGGTAGGATCTAGCGAGATGAAAATAATATAGGTTGTTGACATGCTGCTTTCTGGTTATGGTTCATAGGCAAGAGCCGAGCCAAACATGCCCTAGCTAATCCATCCAACTTGTTTTCAGGCACTATTATAGATTCAAGTCGCAATTAGTGTGCACCATAGTCGATTAGTCTGTCCGAAGAAGCAGACGAACCCTGCCCACAAGTACGTCGACAAGCATTGTCAGAGATGCCGGACGGTGAAATTCTAGTTCAAAGAACTGAAGTCGTATTCCATAGCGGTTGTTGAAGGGGGTTTGAGTCAACCGAATGCCTCTCTCGCGTTGGATTTCGGAAGGGTTGGAATCGAGTCTGTGACCACATTGTTTCAATTTAACCGTGACGAATCTCAACGCCTTCGAAGTGGAGCCGGGGATGGACCGTGAAATGCACAATCAGCGCAATCGAGGGGGATCGATCTCGGTATTGACGGGCCCCGAACACGCAGAGTACCACAACTAACCAACCTAACCTGCGGCACTAACGCAACCCTCTTCTCGTCCTTACCCGCTGGGTATCTCAGCAGAGCCATTGAGGTCCCTTCTGCAACAAACTGCTGCAGAAGCTCGTGACACGTCGTGCAGATCTGCCCGGGCTGGACCACCGAAGATCGTCTCACTCAGCGCATGCTGCGGGGCACCAACCCAGCACCTCATTGACGCCTGTCGTATCCAAGTCCATCAAGTGGTCGCTATCATGCATGACTCCCACTTTTCTGAACAAGTTCGGTAATAGTACGCCCAGCCAAGGCTGACCCGCGGAGTTGGCCTTGGCCGAGGAGGAGGGGGGCCTCTGAGCTGTGCTGGTGGGGTGCATATAAGCTCGATGGGCAGCCGCGGGAGATGGTCAAGCTGCTTTTGCTTGCAGTTGAAGAACGGCAACGTGTAGGGTCCACGCCATACAGAAGGAGATTCCGCTCAGCATGACTTCCCAGACCTACAGTTTCATCGTTGTCGGAGGTGAGTACCTTTGTGCAGGATAGCATCTTTCTGAGCCAACCGCTTACTTTGACACCAGGCGGGCCGGCTGGATGTGCCCTCGCGGCATCCCTGGCCAAATCGTCCAAGCGGCCAAGCGTCTTGCTGCTGGAGGCTGGTGAGCGCAATGACGACAGAGCCCTCAAGGTCGCTGGCAAGCGCTGGATGACCTTCATGGAGAGCAATCTGAACTGGGGATACAAGACGACCCCACAAGAGCACTGCAGCGGGCGGCAGCTTGACTACTCCCGAGGAAAGTGTCTTGGGGGTAGCTCTGCCATCAACTTTGGCGTGTACACCGTTGGAGCGCGAGATGATTATGACCAATGGGCCGCGGAACTTGAAGACGATACATTTGCCTGGAAGAACATGCAAGCCCGATTCAAGGATCTGGAGACCTTTGCTGGCGCGATCGCCCGCCCAGAAAATCGGAAATATGGAGCTCCCCAGGCTGTGGATCACGGCGATAAGGGCGCCCTGGGGGTTGGGTATGCGGCCGAGTGGGAGTCAGACTTGCCTCTGGTCTTAGATGCCTTTGAAGAAGCTGGCCTGCCGCTGAACCCGGATCATAACTCGGGCAACCCCATTGGAATGAGCCTCATGGTCAATTCAACTCATGATGGAGTGCGAACCACTGCCGTGGATCTGGTGAAGAACGCACCGGCCAATCTGGTCGTCATCGCTGATAGTCCGGTGCAGCGCGTCCTCGTGGAGGGCAAGAAGACGGTCGGTGTGGAGGCCAATGGAAAGCACTGTAACGTTCTCCGCGAACATCCCCGACTGCTCAAAGCATAATCTGACAGCGAACACAGACTTGGCTACGAAAGAAGTGATTTTGTCCGCGGGATCCCTCGACACTCCCAAGATCCTAATGCATTCCGGCATCGGTCCCGGGGAAGAGCTCAAGAAATTTAATATTCCCGTCGTCCAGGACCTACCTGCCATTGGCCAGGGTCTAAAGGATCACCCTTTTACCTCACTATTGGTTACTCGAAATCCCGAGACGAACGACCGCAACTCATTCTTCCAGAACCCAGATGCCATATCTGCCGCAATGAAGCAGTGGGAGCAAGACGGCACCGGACCCTGGGCTCGCTACGGATGTCAACTCGGCAGCGGCTGGTTCAAGTCAGACCGCATCGCGGCCTCGGACGAATTCAAGGCGCTACCCGCCGACGTGCAAGATCTGCTGAACCGCGAGACAATCCCGCACTATGAGATAGCCACCCACTTCCCCGTGCACCATCTCATGCCACAGATGTTCCAGGACTATAGCTACATCTGCATCGCAGTCTTCCTCATGAACGAGCAATCTACCGGTGAGGTGCGGCTTCAGTCTTCAAACCCAGATGAGCCACTCCTCTTCGACCCCCACTTTCTAGAGCATCCGTACGACCGTCGCGCGTGCATTGAGATGTACCGCCATCTACTGGAACTAACCGAGCACCCTGCCTTTGCGAAAGATACCATCTCAACCGTCATGGCGCCAGCATCGAAGTCGGACGAAGACATTCTGCAGTTCTGGCGGGATAACGTCTCCTCGAGTTGGCACATGACCGGCACGGTGAAGATGGGCCAGGCGGGATCCAAGCATGCGGCTGTTGACAAAGCCTTCCGGGTCTTTGGCATGGAGAATCTGCGTGTTGCTGATATGAGTGTTGTGCCGGTGTTGACGAACAACCACACCCAGGCCACCGCGTATGTCACCGGTGCTACCTGTGCCGATGTTCTGATTAGGGAGTATGGATTGGATCAACAGTGAGAGGTGGTAGTTGAGTGGCAGTAGTAGATGAGTTTGGTATAATTCTCCGCCATGTCTATGCAATTGGCATCCATTTTTAGCGCAGGAAGCGCCCTTAAGTGGCTTGTTGGGCTTCGAAGGATGATTGCATTGTCTTCATACTCTCCTCCTGCGTGGTTACGAGGAAAGTAAGGTTCGCGAACTGGAAGCACAGACGAAGGTGATAAGCTTTCAATGGACGTTTGCTATGCAATTCCAGCTAGATAGGTTCGCAATGATTATGAAAATATTGTCAGCTCTTCCTATCATACCGAAGCAGAATCATTGTTGGATGGTTTATTATTTGATATTGAAGGTTATGGAAAAATGGTATCAATACCGGAAACAGAAAGACTGCGATAGAAACAACCCCACTGAAAGACCCAAATTGCTCAAATTCGTACTCCATAAAAAACATCCCAGCTAGGAACAAAGAAATCGGGGAAAAGTTGAAAGAACACCACCGCGCCCGGCAGGCCAGAATCAAGGCATCAGGAGGTATGTGTCGCGCCGCATACCCGTTGCTGAAGAGGGCAAAAAATGGGGTAGAGAAGATTAGAGGAGCGTTTGTCGAGAACAGACAGGTATTGAAGAAAGGGACCGGTAGTGGAATGACCGGGAGGAAACCAACCCCAAGAGGATATTGAATCGACGTGGAGAGATCAGGAGATTTGATGCAAAGCGGAGCATATAGCAAAGCGGATCCAAGAATCACGCCATTGGCAGACCGTGGTGAGTCTCCTGCTTGGGAATCCCATCGGAGCTGTCACCCTGGTTTTCGTCGCCACGAACACGCTTGTTGGGCTGAAAATTACCGCCCATAAAGTTGGCCTCATCAGGGTGCTTGCGCATGCCCAGCCCTGCGACAGCGATGCGATTCAGAGAGTTCATATCATCGTTGGCAGACCCAGGGTGCTGGGTCTGGGGGCCGGTAGCAGCTGGCACGGAGCCAGGGGGGCCGGAGGCGGTGATCCCTGCAGCAGCCAGGGCAAGATCATGGCGGGGCTGGCTGAGATCGATGTTCGGGGGCAGCTCGGGAACTTCTGCCTGGGCATCCATGAGACGCGACTGCAAGTTGATAACGTATTCACGGAGGGAGTAGTTTTCACCGAGCAGCTGCTTAATCTGCTCACGAAGACCATCAACACCCTTGACTTCTTCCTCGAGTTTGCGGATGTATGTCTCCTTCCGCTGGCGGAAAGCACGCTATTCGTGGGGTTAGCAATGTACTTTAGGGCATGCGGAGAGTGACCACATACCTGGGCAGCTCGGTTTTGCGCAGCACGCTTGGATGTCGATAATTCCCGCTTACCATAGCTCTTGGGAGTGACGTCTTCTGGTGATCCCTGCTGCGGTTGGGTTGGGGTCTGAGGAGCAGCAGCCATCATAGCACCCGAAATGGCCGGGTCAATGTTGGCTTGGTCCCGAGGGCTAGCAGTGTTAGGTTGGAGGTGCTGCTGGCCCGGGCCCCCTTGGGGGCGGTGCATACTGTGCTGAGCAGCGAGCAGCTGGTCATGGAGCACTGAATATGACCTAGAATTAGCACCTGATACGCGCGATTGTGCCCCGCATCGCTCGCGATGCCACTGAGAAAGGTCGGAAGAGGTGTCTGGTGCCCTTCCGGAGCATCCTGGAAACCCCGACCTGGTGACAATGACAAAGCTAGCTAGCAAGTTGGACTACATAGATCACGTACCCTGGTCCGCGTGGTCCTATAGCCAAGGCGTCAGTACATCCTCTCAAAAGCGATGGCGACACCCGGGGAGACGCGGCAAGGAAGTCGGCGCTCTGCGACGCGTCGGCACGAAGGAAAATCGTACACAGAAGAGCCAACCCCATCGTGCCATGCGCCCATGTTATAGATGTACATTGGCGCGGGAAGATGATCTGATGACAAACGCGTCGAGGGATATGCTGCTTACCTGAGCAGGGTTCTGCATACTGGGATGCGGTGCTGGCGCCAACGCAGGTTGCATGGATGGGGGATATATGGGTATAAGGCGACTGAGAATTGGGCAGCGATTCTGATGCACTTGTCCAATTCCCTAGACGAGCTTGGTGAAGGTAGTTTTAGATGTAGACAGCTGAATGAGGTAAGCAGATGGAGATGCTGTAAGCAGGAGGTGGGAAGGAGAGATTACTTAAGGATTTCTGAGTCAGGGCGGATGGCGGAGTTTACGTAAGTCCCGTGCGGGTGGGTTGGGTAAGCGAGTGCCGGATATAGTAGGCGGTATGGTGGACAACGGCCCCGGATCTATTCCGGAATTCTGCCCGTATTTCGGGGGGCGGTGGCCAAGACTTCTTCAGGACTGTTCGCGAACGGCCAATACCTGGGCTTTAGTCCGAACGAGACAGCACAACCCAGATTTGATACTAAGCTACCATGGGTTCATTCTTCTCGAACTGTCTATTTTCATGCGACGCTGGTCGCAAGCTCGATTTCTCGATTTCGGTTCTGGCGGATCCAGAGATGGGAAGCTACTCCATGTGCTGAGTCAGTCTTACGTCACCATGCAGCAGGATCGCGTGCCACGGTACTAGACCGCTTCGGGATGTCCATTCGCGTTGCGTTGAGGTTGATTGACTGTGACAATAATATCCAAAAAAGGAACAACTTCCGTATACACGGATCATAAGACGCAGGTATATCCACCGTGGGTCACACCGAAAAAGCCTCCAACCCCTCCTCGATCCTAACTTCCAACGCCCGAAAGTCAGGCATACCGCACCTTCAGTCGCACAGCCATCTCACATCTCACTGCTGCTTTTTCGCAGTCCCCGTAGAGGGTTGTGCCTGGATGATCCCTGCTCCCACCTTGGCTGACTCGGTCCAGCCACGCTGACGCATCCAGAATCTCTCAGCGGGATCGGCAGAATGTTCAGAGTTGTGCCGGGCATCCTCCTCGAGAGCGGAGCGGGTGAGCTCCGGTGGCACCTCAGACACAAGATCATCTTTGTCCAGCTCCTCATTCGCCTCGGCCTGGATAGTTGATTCAAGATATCGCTTGCGCATGAGGTAGCGCTCCGCACGTTCCTTGCGCACGTTTGGTGGCTCGAGTCTAGTCATGGCTGTCTGCACAGCATAGCGCACAATCAAGTACAGGTGCTCCGAGAAGAAAATGACCAGCAGCAGTGCCCATCCTCTGATATCAGTCGGTTCTCCGTTGGGACCAGTCCGAGCATCGCCGTTAAACATATACACTAGCGCAGCACTGGTGATGCTTCCTACCCAGGACAAGAACCCGAGGGTATCAAGCCAGGGGCCAATGGTGTCGCACCGGAGGGGTGTGGGTCGCTGGAACTCCTTACAAATCTTGAAGAAGTCGGACCGCAACTCAATCCAATTGTTGATGAAGAATGAGAGCGGAACCAAAGGCCATGTCGGCGAGAAAAGAGCAAGGTAACCAAACTGGATGCACATTTCGCGCAGGTCCTCAGTCACCCCGTACTCGGGTAGCTCGACCTCGTTGCGGACACGTTTCAGGAATTCCTTCTCCTCATCTGGGTCATCGTAGGTGACTACCGGCGATCGTTCAGGCGAATCTTTGTCACCATTCTTCTCTAGCTTGCCGTTGCGCTTCTTGTTGTACGCCTTGTACTCCCGCAGCGCGTGCTGCTTCAGATAGGGCACGATTGTTTCCATAGCGAATCCAACAATCTGAGCGGTGACTGTGAAGTAGATGACTTGTTTTCTCAGACGGTGAGGGTCAATTTGGAAGGTCGAGCAATTGGCAGTCGCATGTTCTTTCGACACGAATGGCCGGACAGTCAAACGAAAGATGTCCAGGTAAGGCACAATGAGGCTGGCAAATGGCACATAGACAAACGCCGTTAACAAGATCGGCAGATAAGAGGTGATAAAGTTGATGATGAAGACTTTTTGAGTCAGCGCGAAATCGTACGCATCGCTCGTCTCATAGTTCTCGTAGTCGTTGAGCTTGGTTGCAATAGACATGAGCACCGCACTCATAGTTGGTACCAGTGCAGAAACAAGGATAGTCGGAATGAAAATCTGAGACTGTCAGTAAATTGAAGATAATAAAGTTGGGTAGATTGTCGCACCAAATAGGTCTTTAAAGGGCCGCTGTACAGTTCAGCAATGAAGATCTCGATCGCAAAGCAGGTCGCGATAATCACACCCAGTCCAATGGCAGAGAATAGCGCAAATGGAATCTGGAGGAGCTGACGCTGCATCCGCTTGGTCGCAGGGAAGACTCCCCGCATCTCACCCGTTCCTTCATCGCGGATTTCTTTCTCGGGCTTGAACTCGCGCCGTTTGGTCTGCACAGCCGAAACACCCTTGGTCTGCCAGCGGCAGCTCAAATCCACTTCCTTGCGTTTCCAATATTCGACAAAGACGATGCACCACAAGGAATTGACGACTGTATAAATAATCGAATAGCCACCAAAAAGGAACCAGCACGAGAACCCAAACACAGCCGGAAAGATAAGGAACCGGAAGTATGACTGGAGGAACGAAAAGTAAAATCCAACCTGCGAGGGATGTCAGAGAGACGGTCTACTTCGGGTGGCCCGGTGCGTGTACCTACGCTTTCACCAAACTTATTCCGAATCTGATCCAAATCGTCGTCCGAAAGGAAGGTCTTCTGACTCCACTCATGCAGCCATTTCTTGTTCGTCTCCTCGTCGTGCAGAGGGAATAGGGCGGTGACGTTTTTCCATTCGCCGAGCTTTGGGGTGATACCAGCGCCGCCCTCCTCGGTAGGGAGGGTGATCATCTGGCTGATCACCCGGAGTCGCTCCGCTTCGGTCTGGGGCGTGATGGAGCTGGCCGGTTCAGGCTCAGCATTACGGATGCCATAAAGCCAGTCACGCACTCTAACAAGATTGAAAGATCTATTAGCATCGCCCGATCTCGATCTCACTGGGATTATGCGGACAGGTCACCACTCACCGCGACCGATACACCGCCCGGTTCAGCCGCTTCTTCGTTGCACGAACGAAGACCAACAGCGACGATTCGTCACCCTGGCGGATCTCGCATTGTAGACCGGCCTCGGCAAGGGACCGGAGCAGCTTCTCAAGCTGCGTGGTGGCTTGTGACTGATCTGGTAGGGGGGAATGAAATAGCTTGTTAGCACTCCCGCGCTTCATTCAGCTGCTCCGATCGCAACTCCAGACCGCGTAGTGGAGGCTTACTTACCTACATCGCCGAAGCTGTAGCGTATGACATAGTCCACCTTCAAATTATACCCCAACGCGTTTGCCTCGCTCGCAGTTGCCATCGCGGGGGTGTTTAGGGACGTGAGAAGAGGATGGGGGGAAGATTGATCAGTCCCGAGGTGCAGGTCCGATCTGCGGGCGGCTGAACGACGTCACCGCGAAGCTTAGCCCGGTGTAGGGCAGTTGTCTCGCAGTCCAACAATGCATACGCGGGTCTCACGGAGGGCGAAGGAACTCAAACAGCGCAAATTTGGCTATTGTTCGATAAGTTGTTGCTCTTACTTTCGTTTCCTGGAATCCCGCGGTCACCCCAGCGATAGTGGCGTACGTCAGGTGCTTGATATATATGCCGGAGTACTTATCCGCGAATCTATCAGGCGATCTGAGCACTCTCGAAATCAAGTTTAATTCAGATTGCAGCTCAAGCACGTCACTCAAGATGTACCAGGGAAAGCGGAAGCCTAAAACTATTTCATAGAGTGCTAAGACTTTGCAGATATACACGTAATTCGAGATAGTGCAGCACTGAAGTTGTCATGCATTCGCATGTCCTCCGTTATAGATGGATGAACTACAACATAACCGGCAAAATAATGCGGCAGAAAACTGAAGAGTTCCATATATAATTAATTTTCCCGAGGCGTTCATAACCCAGACAGAATTGTTCTGTCTTTGATGTGTGCTTCGAACAGTTCTCATCTTGCAAACATGGTTGACTATCATTGACACATCCCTGGCCATAGGCGTTTAGCCTGCTAACAGGCTGCAAGGTACGATTATACCATGACTTAAATGGGCATTTATCGCAGTGAATTTGGTCTGCAATGCATTGGCAGCCCTGGAGTTTCTTGTTCTCAATCTGGTCGGATATACAAAATTGACCACTTTGGGTCGTAAGGTTAGGATTTTCTTGCGCGGAGCAAGATTCCAGAACTAGTAAGCGGAGGCCTAAGTATAGTCCGAAGTATAAACTCTTAAGATTAATCTTGAAGTCGTTTCTTGATCCAGACGATGGGAATAATTCAATTGAACAAAGTTAGAGAATTCGCCCCGGACATTTGAATAAACAGTCCATATATATTTGAGTTCTATACCATATAAGGTCAAGCCCGTCATTTCAGCTTTAAGGCTGTGATTACCCCCAAGGGGTTAGCATGAACTGTTACTGGAGGCGTTTGCTTCCGTTTCGCTACCGGGCATCTCGGCCGTTCGGTAGACATCGAGCCGCGGTTTGGAAGCCAATCTTGACGCATCCACGCCAGAGAAATTCTAGCCTCGCTAATTTCGCTCTAGAATGCGCTTGCACTTAATTTGACAGGCTACGCTATCCAAAGTCGAGTTTGTAAATCGTTGCATTAACCCAGCAATTCCGTCAGCATAAGCAGCCCGCCCTCCAAATAAATGCGCTAGAACTGCGCTCGTTGACAGACTATGAGAATGTTGATTTGGAATGATCTGCTATTCGCAAAATTGGGTCTTTGTGGCTGACACCTGTCGCTCGCACTTCTCACGAGAGGCTATGTCTGCCCGAATAGGGAAATGGAGGGACTTCCATAACCTATGGCTCATTTGCATGGACAGCCTTTGAATTACAAGTTAGATCCAATCACAGTTGACCGCAGTCAACATGCTTTCCCTCTCTTCCTCTCTAGTCTCTCATCTATGTCTTCCCGGTGGCTGAGGTAGGTAGTCAAACTATCACCGAAAAAAGACAAAAGATTATAGATGATTCGGATACATGATTTTATGTTTATTTGCTTTCTAAATGTTTGATTATCCGCGTCCAGTATATTCGAATAGCTAACAGGACCTTGATTCCATAGCCCTAGAGATGGTTCTAGCGGCGTGGGAAATAAGCGTATCGACAAAATTTATACCTGTTTGGTCCACAGCAGGTAGTGGTTTTGCATTTTCGGAAGAGTAATTAATCATTACTTACACAGAGGCCTTAAAGACTAGGATACAAGGGTAAATTCGATGCCTTTTTGTCCAAATATGTTATATCATCACACATGAATCATATAGAAACTCCAGTACACCACTAGATCTATACACCCTCTGCCAACTTATTTAGGGCCGGTCCCTCAACCATCATCTTCATCCACTCATCCATACCCTTTGCCCCGACCTGCTCATAGAACTTGATACTAGGTGTGTTCCACGTGAGCACGCTCCACTCCAAGCGGCGGCCCTTCACCTCCAGGACCTGTTTGGCCAGGTACTTGAGCAGCTTGAAGCCGTAGCCGTTGCCGCGGGCCGAAGGCTGGACATACAGGTCCTCCAGATAGATGCCCGGTGCGGAGCGCCATGTAGAGTAGTTGTAGAAGAAGAGAGCCATGCCGACGGGCTTCGGGGAGGGAGTCTCGGCGGTTGGCGGGGGCGTGATCAGAGCCGTGTAGACGGAGCCGCGTTTGGGCGGGTCATTGGGGAAGGAGAGGGTTGCTCGGAGGGACTCTTCAGTGGCCTCGACTTCGTGGAGGGCTTTTTCATAGTCGGCGAGCTCACAGATAAACTGGAGGATGAGGGGGACGTCTAGTAGGCGGAGTTAGTGGGGCAATGCGACGAAGGGAAAGGGATGGGTGTAAATGGAATGCGCGGCCAAGTCGCAGGCATGGGATAGGAATTGGTACGTACCCTCTGCCGTAGCGAGGCGAATAGTGGGTTGGTCAGCCATTGCGCGACTTGAAGTTGGCGCGGGAGGATGCAAGGGAGCTGTCGGGCGCAGTGGAAAGTTTTGACAGTTGCGGTTCTGCGGATTTTAATGGTTTTCTTATGAGCGCCTCGGAGCCTCCCGAGACTACGGAGGGGCCGGTGTGGCGGATGGAGACACCGACCCACTCGGATTACAGCAGGGACATTAGGGCGTAAGCCGATTAATCGGACGAGAACAGATATGAGAGCGTAGAGGATGAATGCACTGAGCACGTTGGGACTCGAATTGTCTCTACAGAGACTAAGTAATACTTGAGCAACGGTGGATATTATACACGTAAGAAGCAAATAAAATGTGCACACCTGTGGGCCTGTTCGCCTGTTCATCACAGGCTGAGGATGGGTAGATAAGTAGGTAGGATGCAAAGCGTCGAAATCAGCGGGACATGATGGCCGACATCCATTTCTGTTCGTCCGCTCTGGGCAACGTTAGTATAGGACGGGGCCGAGAAACAGAATGGGGGAGACCTACCTGTCGAAATGGAGCAGCATCCCCAGCACAGGGATCAGCTGCTTCTGGTAACTCTTGTCCTTCTGCTCCATGAACTGCAACAAAACGTTTTTGAGGTACATGTAGTCGATCGACCCACTAGCCCCGCCGCTGCCAGTGCCAGAGGGGGTCTCACTTCTTCGACTAGACACACTGCGCTCTTGAGTTGGAGGAGAAAGGACGCCACTGGGCCGGCGAGTACCAGAGTCCATCGACGACCGGGACGATTGGCGGCCAGACTCCAACCCACGGAGACGCACATCCTCACCGAGCGTCTTATGCGATCGGCGTAACTTTTCCAGCCGGTTGTTGGTTTCCTCGACAGATCGGCGAAGCTCGGCTTTCTCTTTCTCAAGGTCGCGTACGTGCTGCTCGCTCTCGTCAAGCTGCTCGCGGAGACCGGCCATGGCTTGGCGGATCTCAGTCAGCTCTTGTGTAGAGCGCTCCGCGTGGGATTCAAGCTCATCGCGACGACGGCGCCAGTCCTTTTGCGAATGCTCGAGATCTTCCTTGTCCTCTTCGGCTGTGCGCAGTGCACGTTCCGCTTCGCGTACCTTGCCCTTCAACTCTTCCAGTTCGCGGGCACGGCGACGGCCTTGTGCACTTGCCTCATCTTCGGCACGGTCGCGCTCCTCAATAGCGGCTTCCATGCGCTCCTTGAAGTCGCGCACCTTGGCCTCCGCACGGCTCTCAATGTCATTGATCAGCCGCCGCATGGTCTCGCCCTCGCGGGTCCGCTCGCTCAGCAAGCGGTGGGCATCGGACAGCTCTTCCTCCAAACTATCGCACCGCTCCTTGACTTCTTTCATCTGCATGGCCATCTCGGCAGTTTGATCACGCATACTACCCATCAGACTCTGGGCACTGGCATGCTGTGCAGTCTTCAGTTGAATTTCCTCCTTCAGACCCTCGAGCTCTTTGCTCAACTGGGACATCTGCTCGTCCATCTCACGAATCTTAACCCGCGAGCTCTTCAGACCATCCTGAGCCTTGCTGAGGTCTCCCACAGTCTTGTCTCTGGCGTTGATAACGTCCTGCTTTCTGGCTTCGGCAGAGCGCAGATCTGATTGAGCAACGGTAAGCTGCTCCTCGGCCTTGAGACGACTATCTGTTTCTTGACGAATCTTCTTGTTCAAGGTGTTGACTTCCGAGTCACGCTCAGAGAGTCTGGTTTTGGCAGATTTCAGCTCAGCGCGGAGATCCGCGTGTTTAGACTCGAGGTTCCTCAGTTCACCGTTCTTGCTGATCATAGTTTCCTTCAGTGTCTTCAACTCCGATGATTCAGCGCGCAGGCTGCGCAGCTCAGGTTGAATTTTTTGGAGAGTCTCACGCAAGTCGGTGAGATCCTTGAACCGCGTGGCAGCCAATTGCTGTGCGGCGGAAAGATCGGTCTCCAATGTAGCCGACCGGGTCTTGAGACGCTCGAACTCATCCTTGAGGTCGTTGTGCATTTTCTCGGAATCAGCAGAGCTGGAGGCATTACTGGTGCGGACTTCGGCCAGCTCATTCTCGAGCTTACTGATGGTTTCTTCCAGGGCAGACTTCTCGGCGGACAGCTCCTTGATCTTGTCCTTGGCTTCGACATGCTCCTGTCCGATGTTGACGAGATCATCCCGCAGAGACTCTATCTCCTCCTTCAGATCTGCTTCGCCCTTCAGCGTGGCGATGAGACGGTCGATCGCTTCCTCTTTCTCGGACAGAAGCTGAGTCAACGACTCGATCTTTTGTTTGAGTCCGTCGACGTCGTCAGAGGAAACCGCAGATGTGGACTCTTCTTGAGCGGCCTCCACTGCCGCAGCCGTCTCTGCCGGTTTGGATGATTCCTCTACAGACTTTCCTCCCTTCTTCTTCTTTTTATTCTTCTTCTTGCCGCCTCCGCCAGCAGCACCAGTGCTAGCGGTCGCTGCAGCAGGTTGTGTCTCCGCCTCGGCAGTCGGAACAAGAGAGCTCGACTCAGCGGTTTCCTCGGCCGGGGCCAGGCTATTGCGGATCTCTTCGAAATCGGCCTTCTTTCCAGCGGATACATTCTCCTTGGCGGACTTCCAAGCAGCATTTCCCTTCAGGCCCTCATCCACGAAATCAACAATGTTCTGCAGCTTAGTAGAGCCTTCGGACTTTTGCTCAACCTCTTTCTTCAAATTCGACACGCTCGACTCCGTTTCCTTGAGCTGAGACCGGAGACTGTCCACCAAGCCCTGGACAACACCCATCTTCTTCTCATTGGCATCCTTCGCTTTCTTGGCCTCCTCCAGCTGTGAGACCAGGGTAGGATCTGGGTCCGCATTTGCCGTCTTGTCCGCCTCTGCGGCCTGAGCCTGTAGCTTCTCGATTTCGTCGCCCTTTTCCTTCAGCTCGGTCTTCAGCTTTTCGGCCTCAGATGTGGTCTTTTCCAAAGACGACTCGGCTGTCGCAAGCTTTGCCTTGAGCCCTTCAACATCTTTCTGCTTCGAAGTCTTCAATGCCTCGATTTCGGCATCCAGCTTGTCCTTGGTGTCACGTAACTCAACGAGCTCACGAGCTGATGTTTCCAGATTCTGAACCATCCCTTCCGTAGACTCGCGGGTGACGGATAGATCCTTCTTGAGCCTATCCACTTCGATCTTGAGAGTGTCGACCTCCTGCTGCTTTTCCTTCAATTCTCCCTCCAGACGGGGAACCTCGTTATCGAAGGAAAAGAATTCTTCGCTGGCTTCCTCCTTCTGCTCAGGGGACTTCTCCGCCTCTTTTGTAGGCGTCTCCCTCTCCTTCTTGAGCCCGGCCACTTCGTCGTGTGCGGCCTTGACGGTTTTCTGAGCCTCTTCCAGCTTCTTTTTGTAGTCATCTCGGTCGGTGGTCACGCGCTTCAGCTCATCCACAACCATGTCGCTCTTTAACGACATCTGGTTGAGATACTCTGTGAGCGCTTTCGGTTCGGCGATCGAACTGAGGGGCGTATATTCGCGCAGGGCGGCTTCGAACGGTTCGATCGAAAGGACGCGCGAATGCGCCGTGCGGTATGCTTTGAGTAGTTCTAGAAAGAGACGTCTTCTTGTTAACTGACCGACCCTCTTTCACACCAAACAATCGGAAACATCCATACCATGGTATCGTGCTTCGAGTTTATCGAGCCTCCGCAGCTTTCCCCTCACCTCCGCCGGCAATTCAGTCGGCGCCAAGCTAGTTGACTCCGTGTCCGGAGCCCGAGCAGCGTCCTTTTCGGATTCATCGGGGGCTATCTTTGTCTTGCTCTTGTCCTCTCTGTCCTCTGCATCGCCTTCGACGACAGTGGTCGCCTCCGAACCATTATCTGGCGTCTCTAGACGAGGCGTAACGGAGCGACTCGATTCTTCATCGTCTCCGATCGCGAATTCAGCCTCGAATTCTTTGGGATCAGGACCGCGAACAGGGGTTCCCGTGTTGCGTCTGGGGCGGGAACGTTGACCGGAGGGGAGGGTGCCGTTGAGCGGGCGGCGGGCGGAATTCGATCGGGAGATATTGTCCTGAGCAGACTTTTGACGCGCCTGTTCCTCGGCGATGCGAGAGTCGATGGCGTCGCGGAGCCGCTGGGTAATAGATGTTAGTTAATCAACGAACGCCGCGACCTGGCGCACTTGGGGCTGGATCTGGATTTCCAGTCACGCGTCCATGCACAGCGTACCTGAAACATCACCGCGGTAGGTCTCTGGACCACCGAGACCACCAAATCGAAGCAAGCGAGGACGAGTAGGGCAAGTTGGATGCAGAAGAGAAGGAGGTGGTGTGAAAGCGGAGGCGGAAGCATGAGAGAATCCCGGCGGATGTAGTCAGTGCCGAAAGCCAAGCCGGAGGTGTATTGAGCCCGCGTGGAGGGTTGAGAGCTCGGGCCAAGAGGGAACAGCACACGTCACCTTGTAGTTATAGGTAGCTAGCTATATATAGTATTCCATTCACACTACTCCATTATGTTTCAATCTATTGTTTTTGTTAAGCCATGTGGTCTTAAGCTAGGTTCAGAAAAATCCTAAAAACTGGGGTAATTGGGTACAAGGATGTCTCGAACGCACAACATTCCAAGTGCGGGAACACAAGCAAGGACATGGTGGGAAATATATCGCGATCAGAAATCGTATGTTCGCAACATATACAATCGGCTACCTTTTGTTAAACCCTGTGTATCATATTAGAAGCCATCTGTCAACAATTGATTTATTGCGCCCGATGCAAAGAGGAACCTAGAAGACACCCCCTAATATACAGGTTTATGACGAGAATTAAGTACAGTACACAGCTCATCCAGTCGAGTATCCAAGAAAGCCCATGGCGGGAATGGCATGCATTTTATAGAAGTTTATAAGCTTGATTGGTTGAATTTTGCGGTATTTGCCCTCAAAGCGCGAGAAATAAGGCGTCCAAACCCCAAGACCAATATCGTCGCCGGGACGGCGATTAACTTTGTGGGATGATGTGCATTTGGACAGTCCCATTATCTAATCTAAAGTAGATGTTAAGTTCTCTTTTTCTTTTCGTTTATCTCTTGGGTTGTTGTTAGTAGTCTCCCATCGATTGCGCTCATCAAAGTATGTATGGAAGTATGCATCTGTTATTGATCGCCGGTGTTTTCTGCGCAGCAGCCACCGACTAAGGCCATGGTCATATACACGATTAATACCAAGTCGCTTGAACAGACTTCAAATGGCGTAATCGAAAGAACTTCTTTTATATCAACCTGCACCAGAAGCCCCCGGTTTCGTCGGCGGGGAACTAGACGGTTTGGAGCAAGTTATGATTGGATTGGAGCATCATTCGGCCTTTTATTTTTAGGTAATTATCTCCTATCTATTTATTCCTAGTCGCTCAAGGAGCGTGGAAGAAAGAGTTGATAGAAAGCATATCAAAGCTGTGCAGGATGAACCTGTCACCGCAGGCGTAGGAAACCGGGACGGGAATAGTCCATTTGAAAGCTTCTCGGGGGAGGAGAGGACAATATATAATGATGGATACACCCCCAAGAATTTGGACAGCCCAAACCAAAAATAAAAGTAACCAGAGTTGATGGATGCTATTGTGGGGATGGAGTTACCGCCCAGTACTATCCGGCCAAACCAGCCACATCAGCCAAACCAGACGCGTTCTTCAAGGCACGTTGTGATCGACCCACCTCCCGTTCGTCCCTTCCTGTTTTCTACCTGTTCCGCGCGTGATCGGCCGCAACCACCGCCTGCCTCGGTCGGTGATGCCGCAGCTCACTCCCCAAACAACCAAGCTTTCAACCACCTGCTGATTCTCCCCGCGTCTTCCTCCCCCTCATTTTCCTCCATCCACCGCCGACAGGGCCCGCACGTTTCCGATGCGACTCCGATTTTGGGCCCCAAGGCTTCTGAGTTAGCCTGACGTCGGGGATACAGAAAGCGGAGCCCGGTCCTAGCTTAACCAGGTTTGTACCTCCGCGCCCCTCTTTGGTCGCCAGCCATGGCCAACCGCTTGGCCCCGTCCCTCGCCCTCAGCCTAACGGCAGCGACTACTTCATCGTCAACCGGCCTGAACACCGCCGCCGCCTCTGCCTCCGATTTCCTGCTCGCTGCCAGTGGTAGCGCTCTATCCGCCGTTTCCACCCACCCCCGGCCCTTCCCTCCGCCAACTCCCTCGACTATGGCGGGGTGGATTGGTTGGGTTTTGACCTTCATCTTTCAGGTGATCCCGCGCGGGTTATACTGGGTCATTACTTTCTCTACCATCACGCTGCCTACATGGCTGTTTACGCTCTTTTCGATGAGCCTGACGTTCACCATGAACTTCACTACCCTGTAGGTTATTTGATTGTTATTGAGTTCTTTTCTGGTCCCACGTTCACAACAATATCCCTGAATTTTGACTGTGGCTGATCGACTCCTTTCTCTCTTAGCATGTTGATCATTCTCGCCCTGGTCTCGACTGTCAGCTGGTTCATCCGATACCGGTTCCTGAACATGTATAGCCGCCTACCCCCAGAGCCCCAACGCAAAGAAGCGCAGATCGACCTCTTCCCAGATATACAAGAAGGCGACTCGAAACCAGGGCTGGCAAACTACCTCGATGAGTTCCTCAGCGCGATTAAGGTCTTCGGTTACTTGGAGCGGCCGGTCTTTCACGAATTGACCCGGACCATGCAAACAAGGAAGTTGATCGCGGGAGAGACACTTATGCTGGAGGAAGAGAAGGGATTCTGCTTGGTGGTAGATGGGATGGTGCAGATCTTCGTCAAGTCCATCCGCGAGGGCCACAAGACGAGCTCATCCGAGGAGAATTTACACCTGGGCGATGATGCTAATTCTGATGAGGAAGACAGCTATGCAAATGGCGGACAGGGCTATCAATTGCTCACGGAGGTGAAGAATGGTGCTTCCATGTCGTCTCTGTTTTCAATCCTGTCCTTGTTTACGGAAGACATTCAGCTACACAACTCGCGAAGCTCTAGCTCTAGCACGTCTAGCGCAGGGCTCGGTCTTTCCCATGTCCGTGCTGACTCTGTTCCTGCCAGCCCTGGCGTAGGGATGATGGGCAGCCCCCAACCCCTCGCTCGGGATCATGGTGATCCCCATGCGACTATCAATGGCCACGCCGATACCCTGCCGGTAGTTCCTCCATTTCACCTTGGAGAAAGCCATAACATCCACAGCCAAACGCCGCAGCCCGAACCTAACCGACAAAATAAGAGCCGCCGCAAGTCTGTCCATCCAGATATTGTCGCCCGAGCCACTGTTGATACTACAATTGCTATCATTCCTGCGAGTGCCTTCCGCCGCTTGACTCGGGTCTACCCAAGGGCAACCGCACATATCGTACAGGTCATCCTGACACGTCTTCAACGTGTAACATTCGCTACTGCTTACTCCTACCTGGGTCTGACAACTGATGTTCTCGGAATTGAGCGGCAGATCTCCAAGTTCACCTCGTGGGACCTGCCTAACGATCTCCGAGGAGGCGCATTGGATCGTCTGAAGGACAAGTTTATGCGAGAACGAGACCGCTTGGGACCCGAAGAAGTTGGCAAGGGAATCGCCCTGCACAACCCGTCTTTTGGACGGAGGCGCCGCTCAAGCAGCTCCCTGAGGAAGGAAGCTGTCCTGCAAGCCCGCATGGCTGGCTCCAGCCGCCCCATTGCCCTCACGTCGCAAAGACAACCGAGTATATTCACAGACAGGGATACGATGGGGGTCAGTCCCGGCGATTTATTGTCAACTATCCAGCTGTCCCGGTTTGGACCGCGCCATGATCATCTAGGTGCCCGGATTCAAAGTCCTCTGACTGAGAGGGAACGCCCTTTTTTCCGACCTGCCGGCATAGAAGGTCACCCATCGCCGTTCCAGCGCAAGGACTCGATCGATGAGGACACCCTGTTCCGCGACTCTATTTTGGATTGTATAATGAAGGCCATTGGTTTGACCGAAGGGACCAGCGATGCGCTGGGCAAGGGTGGCCACGTCTCCGGCGATGTTTCGCCCAGGCTGCTCTCTTATGATTCTCGTCGACAGAAGGCCGTTTTCTCGAATGCTTTTGGGTTTATTGACCCCTATGAGGGATCGGGAGACGGCGAGACCGAGTCCATGATGTCCATGTCTGTCACTAGTGCGGGTGGGACCTCGCCACTCGTCAACCTCCGAGAGGAACTGCGCCATGATATAGAGGTCGTCTATTTCCCACAGGGTTCGGTTCTTGTGGAACAGGGCGAGCGACATCCTGGCCTCTACTATGTGATCGATGGATTCCTGGATGTAGGCATTCCGGCTAGTGATCGTGACGATGATCTTGTTGGGAGTTCCCGTCCATCCAATGGGCCAATCTCACAGGCCCAGAGCGAGCTTTTCCCAAAGCTGAGACGGACCACCACAGGCTCCTCGCGCACTTCGGCCTCCAACGTTGCCGGCGACTCGCGACGCAAGAATCAGTCACGAAAGTCCCTTTACCTGATCAAACCCGGTTGCATGCAAGGCTATGTTGGTGCCCTCGCGTCCTACCGTTCTTACACAGATGTTGTCGCCAAAACGGATGTTTATGTAGGATTCCTCCCGCGAGCATCTCTTGAGCGAATCGCGGATAGGTACCCCATTGCTTTGTTGACTCTAGCCAAGCGATTGACTAGTCTTCTGCCACGTCTACTGCTGCACATTGATTTCGCTCTCGAATGGGCGCAGGTCAATGCTGGCCAAGTGATTTACCACCAAGGCGATGAGAGTGATGCCATCTATCTCGTCCTAAATGGCCGTCTGAGGTCTGTGCTGGAAGACGCCAATGGCAAAATGACGGTCATCGGTGAGTACGGCCAGGGCGAGAGTGTGGGTGAATTAGAGGTTATGACTGAGTCTACTCGACCTGCTACCCTCCATGCAATTCGAGATACCGAATTGGCCAAATTCCCCCGCTCGCTGTTCAACAGTCTGGCTCAAGAACATCCTGGAATTACCATTCAAATTTCCAAGTTGATTGCCCAACGCATGCGTGATCTGGTCGAGCATCCGCTATCAGAGAAGGTCATCGAGCAGGGTCACGTCGGTGGCGTTCAGACCGCAAAATCAACCGTCAACCTTCGCACAGTAGCGATTCTTCCCGTCTCCGCAGGTGTTCCCGTGGTTGAATTTGGGCATCGGCTACTCAATGCACTACACCAGATCGGTGTGACCAGAGGGGTGACCTCGCTCAACCAGGCTGCTATTCTGAACCACTTGGGAAGGCACGCTTTCAGCAAAATGGGGAAGCTGAAGCTCTCTCAGTACCTAGCTGACTTGGAGGAGAAATACGGACTCGTGCTCTACATCGCCGACACCAATGTCAACGCCCCCTGGACGCAGACTTGTATTGCCCAGGCAGACTCAATTCTGTTGGTCGGTCTCGCCGAGTCTTCCCCTAGAATCGGAGAATATGAGCGTTTCCTTCTCGGCATGAAGACAACTGCCCGAAAAGAACTTGTTCTTTTGCACGCTGAGCGGTACTGCTCACCTGGACTTACCCGTCGCTGGCTCAAGAACCGGGTGTGGATCAATGGCGGCCATCACCATATCCAAATGGCGTTTCGACTCACAACTGAGCCCTCTCACCCGCAGACCAAGAAGTTTGGCACCGTGCTCAAGCAGCGAGTGCAAATCCTGCAGGCTGAGATCCAGAAGTACACTTCTCGACGCATCCAACAATCCCCGCTTTATTCGCCGCAAACTCCTTTCAAGGGTGATTTCCACCGTCTTGCCCGGCGGCTGTGTGGTAAGTCCGTCGGCCTTGTTCTCGGCGGTGGAGGTGCCCGGGGTATTTCCCAAGTGGGCGTGATCAAGGCTCTAGAAGAAGCTGGCATCCCGATTGACATCATCGGCGGCACTTCCATCGGCTCTTTCATCGGTGCCCTGTATGCACGAGACGCAGATGTGGTTCCGATGTATGGGCGTGCAAAAAAGTTTTCCGGTCGCATGGGAAGCATGTGGCGTTTCGCGCTGGACTTGACCTACCCGACTGTCTCATATACGACCGGCCACGAGTTCAATCGTGGCATCTTCAAGACCTTTGGTGATAGCCAGATCGAGGACTTCTGGCTCGAGTTCTACTGTAACACGACAAACATCAGTCGCTCCCGCGCCGAATACCACTCATCTGGCTACGTGTGGCGTTACGTTCGCGCCTCGATGTCTCTGGCCGGCCTGATTCCTCCTATCTGTGACGAAGGCAGCATGCTCCTCGACGGTGGATACATTGATAACCTAACCGTCGCACATATGAAGAGTCTCGGTGCCGATGTTATCTTCGCCGTAGATGTTGGCTCAATCGACGACAACACGCCCCAAGGCTATGGCGACTCCCTATCTGGATTCTGGTCCGTTCTCAACAGATGGAACCCATTCTCTGCAATCCCGAACCCACCCACGCTCTCCGAGATCCAAGCCCGTCTGGCCTACGTCTCCTCGATCGACAACCTCGAGCGCGCGAAAAATACCCCAGGCTGTTTGTACATGCGTCCACCAATTGACCCCTATGGTACGCTGGAATTTGGCAAATTCGACGAGATCTATCAGCTCGGGTACGCGTACGGCAAGGAATTCCTCGACCGTCTGAGGAATGAGGGCTCTCTCCCGATTCCCGAAGAGACGGAAGAGAAGCGGAAATTACAGCGTACGATGGCTCCCCGCCGAGCTAGTATTTGAAGCCAGTCTATCAGCACCCACTACTACCACCCATCTTCATTCTTCCCTTCCCAAGCGAACGAATCGCTCTACATTTATCATCCAGGCACTCGGGTCTGCGGCGTTTTAACTTAGGCTACGTTTTGTTGGGGTTCCCCTTTGTTTCCATAGTGCGCCGGCATTGTTAATTGTTTTGCTCTGCTGCCTCCCAGCGATTGCATGAGATACACCCTTCGCGCTGGTGGTCTGCTTTCTATATATTTTTTGGATCGCTTGGTTGAAGGTGGGTGAGATGGTAGGTGTGGAGAAAGATAGATATGGGATAGAAAATAAATTTTGGCATTTGGCGAACTACATTACTCACTGTATCCTTGGTGGAATACGTCTGAGCTAGAGTCTGGATCCCCTCCGTCAAAGCTCGTTGAAGTTCTTCATTCTTCTACATGTATCCCCTTGGTAGATTCTCGACATCTCATCCAAAGCGTTTCACGCCTGACGGGTATTCATACTCAATTGCCGACCTGCTTACAGAGTTTCACACCGCGGGATCTACTCAGGATGGGACCTGATCAGTTCGATCTGTCGATGATATCTTCATGCATACCTTACCGCGAGAAGACTGACCAAGAGCCGAATGTGATGACGTGACATGCAAGACAGGGTCATTTCATTATATCAAGGAATATATTTAGGACAAGACTATTAGTTAGACAAGAAGAGAGGGCGGAGCGCCTAATCCAACCCCACACCTCCTCCGTAGTAGACGAGCAACACTTTGGCATGGTCGCCTCTGTGCAAGCACCATCGCTCATGGAAACATTCAAGCTCATTTCAAACGACAAGGGGAATATCAACCATCGTGCTTAACATCCGGCCAATTAACTGTTCAAAACCACCCGGAACACAGAACAAGTACCAGGGCCCACCCAGCCGAAAGCAGCAGAAACGCCCGATACCAGTCCGTCGCTGCAGGTCCGAGTCCCACCCACTTAGACAGTGCCTGCCGGAGCAGTCGGCTCAATTGGAGCATCCCGCGGGGGCCGCACACCAGGCTCTTTTGATTCGCGCAGGGGGCCAGCGGGGGTGTTTCCCCTGCGATAGGCCCAGAGGCCGGCGACTTCCAGGAATATGCCGAAGAAGGTGAAGATGCTGGAGCAACATGGGTTAGTCAAGAGGGGATTCCATGACCGGCCGAGATGTGGGAAATGGGGCCGATCTGTGTCGCTGCAGGGGGCACACATACAAAGCAAGGAAGATGAAAGATTCATTGGCCTTCTTGCGGCCGCAGGGGATACCGGGGGGAGCGTTGAAGTAGCACGAATGCTCGTTGTAGTCTTGAGCGGCAAAGATGAAGGCCGTCAGCCAGCTATTGGGTGCGTGTGTTAGTGGCGAACGATGCTTCGATGTGATGAGCGTGGATGGTGGAGGGACTCACAGGTATGAGAAGATCACGTCGATCAGGAGCACAAACTTGCTCAGGGCCGTCGGGAGGAACGGCGAGATGAACGCGGGCAGGAAGAAGACCACGGACAGAACCGCCTGAGCTATGGTGTGAGTTTCATTGCCGGATTCTTTTCGTTTTGACGAGGGAGCGGGCACGTACAACGACCTCCTGGAAGATCAGGTGCTGGCCTTTCGGACCTTCCTTGATAAAGTACGAGGTCAAGCTGATGACAATGACGGCGCTCGTCCATTGCAGCGCCCGAAGGATGAGCTGCAGCGGACGGGCGATGGTTGTGGAGAAGATCATGGCAGCGGTGTTCGCAGGAGATCCAGGAACTATAGCGGTGTGGTGGGGGTGGATATAGTTCGCCACGCCAGCGTAGGGATAGTTCCGGGCAGGGTAGGCTAGTCTATACTTCGACCGCGAGTGGAATGACGACAAAATGAAGAACCGGACCGAACGGGAACGAAGTCGGGAACCTTTATATTCTCGTCCCGTCCAGGAAAGCCCTCACTGGCGCATCACCGGCCCAACCGAACGTCAGAACCGTGAGACATGAAAGACGAGTCTCGACTAGCGCCGAGTCAAACCAGAACCCGCCAGGGCCAGACCCGGCAAGGACAGACCTAGCTGGAATGTCCGGGCGTTTCCCCAGATGCGTCATGATGGCCTCCGCATGAAGTCAGTGCCATGGGTTGAAGCTACCAGAAAACAACGCGACAAAATACGAATGGTCTCGCTCCCTGTTTTCGAGGTTGATCGTCGATGCTAGACCTCTCAACCTCTCAGCTCCTCCCGGCCATGCAATAGGAAAAAGCTCCTTTGCTTCTGGGTGGTAGCTGTTCAGGGTCGATCAGACTAGACCGGCAAAAAATCACAGTCCAAAGGGAAACGGTACGTGCTGAGCAGTCGAGAAAGGAGGAGATGATCGGCAGGCCATGTCCTCGTGCGCAAGGGAGGAATCCATCCGACACACAATACGAAAGCCAAGGACTCATTCTTGCTCCCCAGAGTATGTCACACTAGGATCCAGAGTCGGCACGGCACGGAAGATCGGAGGGGAGCTCATTAGTGGACGCACCAGCCCACAGCCTGTCGAAGGACGAAATACGCCCAATGACCAGCTGCAGCGCATATCACACCACATCGCATCCAGGGCGGGCACGGGAGTCCACCACCGACAACACGACAGCAGAACCATGATCATCATAGTGCGAGACAAAATATAGCTGGGCGTTAGCTGCAGTCACCCAATAGCGGGGGCCTCCCTGCATCAATCCAGATCGATGGTGGCTTTTCAGCCTTGTGAGTCTCGGGGTGAGGTTGGTCGAGAGTCAGTGCCTGATTGGTGCGCTGTCATGGCCAAGGGGGGTGTTCGCTCTTCATCCCTTGGGACAACAGCCAAAGGCGACGTCAAAAGATGGGAGCGCAGGACGGGGAAGGTGTGAGACATGATTCGATCGTGTGGCGCGGAATGGCAGATCCCTCGGGCACGCTAGACAGGAACTATAGACAGGAGAAGCATGGTCACGGAATTCATTCTTTAGTCTGCTCGACGTCCATTCGAAACTCATGATCGCCCGGGTGGGACGATCTCAACTATTCAACTCGTGTGACACGACACAGCACGTACAGGGGAGGTCCGGGAGATGTACCTCGCACGGTGGCTAGCGCAGCCAGGAAGCTGGCTAACTAGCTGGCTACATGTCGTCCGCGCAGCATCCCGTAACAGCGGCCTGCGCCAGCCGTAGAAGTGTGTATCGTCGCCATGCAGCGAGAACTCGGCGTATGAAAGGGGAGGGGTCAGGTGCCATGCAGGGAAGGAGGGATTCTGGTTTTGGCGGGGGAGGAAGAGGGGGACTGGACAGGAACAATAATCACACTGGCCGAGTCAGACAAGGTCCAGAGATGGTCAATTAAGGTCAGTTAAGGTTTAACCAAAGTCAACAAGCACAAATGTCTCAGACACCACCGGGCGCCGCAGCTGATATCAATAGATATGGATTCGAAACGTTGAAAGGCGGCAAGGGGGATCCGCGACATCGGAAACTAGATAGGACCTCCTTGCACGCGATGCGGTCTGAACCCGACGGGACCATGCGAATAACAACGGGGACCACAGCACTCGAACCGAGGACACATCCATTTCAAAATAGCCAGTGTGGAAAGACTAGAAAACAAGAATGCGGAACATGAACATCGCCCAGTGCCCGACCTGCAAAACCCATGCGACTCGACTCCATTGCGCCTAAAGTTGTCTGAAGTATAGACTCGCCCCCGCCAAACCCACGTTCACCATGTAACGTTGCCTAGATCGTGCTCCTGTAGAACATCAGCGTGAGCCCGCACGGGGGAAAAGAGAGTGGGGGAGGATATAGATTCCCATGGTAGACAGAGAGCTTACCTTGATGTACTCGCCGCCCTTCTCCAAGTATTCCTGCCGGGTGACAGATGACCGGCCCAGATCAGGCCCCGAAGCCCACTGAGCAGCACCCTTCCATGCATCTAGGACAGGGTCGGCAGCCCGGCGCACGGCCAGCTCGGCCTCGAAGGGGAGGTACGCACGTAGCTCGCGGCGGAAGCGCTCCTCAAACCCAGTGAAGAGAGTGTTGCCGCCCGTCAGGAAGACATCCTTCAGGAGGCGGTCGCGGTCCTCGGGGCTGGAGAACCGCTGGTTGACAATATCAGCGGCGATCTCAATCAGGCCCGCCTGGTCCACGCCCGCAATGGAAGGCTTGAAGACAACCTCCGGAACACGGATACGCTCCACGTTCAGATGAATCTGGTGCGCCTCGCGCTGGCTCTCAGGGTCAAATGGCCATGGGCCGCGGAGGAACGCATGCACGAGACTTTTCGTCCAATCGGACTGCGCGGCGAGGGTGTGATTCTCCGTGAACTCGGGGTCATACTCGAGCAGTTCCTGCTCAAGCTGGTTCAGCATGCCGCCGAGGTCCTCCTCTTCCTCGTCGTCACTCTGCTCATCCTTGGCCACGGTACGGTACACGCCCCAATCCTCGTCGTTGGCACCGAAATCATCGTCGTCGCCACCACGACGGCGCTTCTTGGGTCCGTCGGCAGCCAGGTTGGCTAGAGTCTTCATGCGCATCTGACTGGCGAGAGATTTGCGGTTGCCGAGGTCGGCCTTCAGGCGGTCTCGGTCTTTGATTTTTTGCAGAAGGTTCTAGTAAATTGTTAGAAGCAGGCGTCGGACTAGGTGTGCAATGGCAACTTACCTGACGGTTAGCTCGTCGCCCTTGAACCCAGTTTTCGAAGTCGTTCTCGCGCATCTCGCGGTCAAGCCGTTCTTCTTCGTCGAGGCGTGCCTTCTCACGGGCCTTTTCCGCCTTGGCGCGGGCTCTGGCCTCAACATTGGACTTTTGCAGCTGCTGCTGCCGCTTCTCTTTCAAACCGGCTTCATCCAGTTCCTCATTAGGAACTTCGAGCAGATGGAAGCTCACCTCCTCCGGCTTCTCTTCCTCCTCAATGCCCAGGTCGCGATTGCGAGAGCGTTTGATAGACCGTTCTAGATCGCGGATCGTCCGTTCTAAATGAGCTTCATCCTTGAGGTCCTCCGACTCTAAGACGCGGCGGATCTCTTTTTTAGTCTCAGACGCCAGCCGGGTCTGCAAATCTTTCCAGTATTCCAATTCCTGCTCTTTCTTGACCAACTTCTCTAGGCGCATCTTGGCCGCCTGTTCTTGCAACCGACGGCCGCTCTCCTTCTTGCGCTCCGCAATCCGGGCTAGTTCTTCTTCGGTCTTCTCAGGCACGATATGCTCGGTAAAGGGATACTGGATGACATGATCGCGGTCCTCGAGTCCAGTCCAATCGAGGTATCCACTCAGCTCGGAGTCATAGTCTTTGGAGATATAGCAGTGTTTGTGCACCATTTCTTCAACCTGATTCTCTGTCAAGCGCGCCGGAAAGCTCGGGTATTTTAGCTTCAGTAGTTTCGCGAGGTATTCGGCGTTGTTTTGACCGCCCCAGTTGAGACGGGAAGAGTTCGAGAGCAGCGGTTTCGAATTCAACACCGGGATGACATGGGTGGAGGTATGCGACGAGGAGACGATCAAGCCGTCGGTTCCCTTATTATAGCGATAAGCAAAAAGCGAGTCAATTCCGTAGGCCACCGAAGGCGCGTTATAGCACTCGAACAGAATCTCGTTCATCACTGGGGGCTGTCAGCTGAATATACACCACACACCCAGGTATAGGACCAACACACTCTTTCTAGGGTATCCAAGGTTGGCGATCGGCTCGGTCATTACAATTGGTCGGTCAACGCCTCCGCTGGCGCCATCAACGCCGAGCTTCAGGAAGATATAATCCAGCACACCCTCCATGACATCCCAATTGCCAACGACGCTGGAGTTAACGTCGAAGGCATTTTTGAGCTGTCCCCGAGTGGTCGCATCGACGTAGGCATCGTATCCAACAAACTGGCATTGGCGGCCGAGCTTGCGATCGCGGTAGCGGCTCATGACGGGGGGCAGGACGAATCGCGGATTCTGGTCAAAGGACCAGCCGGCCTTGACGAGGTGAGAGCCTGCGTAGAAAGACAAAAGCATCAGTGTTGAGCCTTATGCAGCGTGAACAAATAAGATATACTCACCATTGTCGATGACGATGGCGCTGGTGTCGGAATGGGCCTTGCTCTGCTCATATCCATCTGGCCGCGGAGGTTGATAGCCCTTGAATGGGTAATCTTGAACAGTGTGTGTAGTAGGTGGAGGCTTCTCGGCGCGCCTCTCCATGACATTGACGGAGTAGCGACCCGGCACGAGGGTCTGCACAGAGGTGATGGTCATCGTGGGCTGCGCTGGTGCGGAAACCAGGAGCTCTAAGGATCAAAGATCAGGCCGAATATGCGGGTGGTGCTCACTGCATGGCAGGGAAGAAGCAGAGAACCAGAGGAGCAGAAAGGCGATTGAAGGTATATAGAGGCGTTCTGGTCAGAAGAGAAGCGAAGCGGACAAACGGGGGAGGACCATTCTTCGGCAGGTCGGCGAGGTTGGAGGTTTGGTTACGCCAAGAACTGAGACGTTATCCTGCGATCCGATCTCCGCGCCTACGGGGTAAAGCTACGCGCTTGGTGACCGTGGAAGAGCCACGTCAATACAATATACAGCATGCTCGAGTTAAACATGAACATATTGATTGAATATCCATAGACGCATTTATTCATTAATTGTACCCCATATCATGCTAAATCTTCTTAAGAGGGGTCCTTGAGGTTCTCCGTAGCTGGAACAGTATTTAGCAACGAGTGCATCCTATCTTTGATCATGGACTTCTTACCTTCGAGATGGAATAAGACATTGGACTGGTAGTTCTTGAACATCTGCGCAACCAGCTCAACATTCATATTCTGGATGTTGACCTCCTAATGCGCCTGTTAACAAAGGTCGCGGTAAACACGTCAATATCCAAATCACACCTGAAGACTCTTGTTCATGACCATGATGGCCTCATTCAGTTTCTCCTGTACTAGATATTAGGTATGCTGCTGGTTATATCTGTTGACCTTAGCGCGGCTTACAACGTTGGTGATGATGCGCGAGAGAAGCACCGTCTGCTGGTGCTCGTGCGGGCTCTCCTGAACTCATGTCAGAGGGGTCTCTAGAACATATATATGCTTGTGGTGTCTATAGTCCACTTACCATTGCGAAGTAGGACACTTGAGTCTCTCAATTTCGGTTGACAGGGTCGAGTTGGATGGCAACGGTTTGTTTGGGCCTCTGCGAGGGTCACGTGCAGATATACCGACCGTTCCTGCGGGAGCAAGTCGTGGCTCTGTCCGTCCAACCTCAACAATCGGAGCACCTTATCGCGCATTGTGGTCGTCTTGAAAGCTCTGAATCACTGGCCTCCTCTGGCTACATTGGATACATTTGGCAAAATAAAAGAACACCACCGGCACTACACCCTTGCTCCATCCCGTCGGATTGTCGTCCGCCCTTTCTACATCTCGACAATGCCACCTGCTACGCCCGCCAAAGATGATGAGGCGCACCAGCTGCTTCTGAGTCAACTCGATATCGCTGCAGCCGCAAAGCCCTTCCGTAACGCCCACTGGAAGCCCTCGCAGCGCCGCAACAAGAACGTCAAGGCGATCATCTCCGAGACCACGCGAAAGGAAGCGTCACAGATGGCCACACAGGCCAACTCTGGCGCCACCACCCCTTTCGCTGGAACCTCGGGTGTTGCGACCAGTGACGGCTCGAGAACACCTGCTGAAAGTGCTGGCAAGGCCCCCAACATTGCGCAGGCCGCCCAGAACCTTTCAACACTCGTCCTAGAGAAGAACGCCCGCGCCATGTTCCCCTCTGGGCCTGCTGTCACCTACACAAACATCGAGTCCGCACCGTCGCTGGACCCTTCTCACCAGCGCCATTACTGCGATATCACTGGACTATCCGGCCCCTACACAGACCCGAAGACCCGACTCCGCTATCATAATAAGGAGATATTTGGTGTGATCCGTAGCTTGGCGCAGGGTGTGCCTGAGAGCTACCTGGAAGCGCGAGGAGCTCACACAGTCCTGAAATAAAGAAGAACACATGGTGCCGATGTTTACAGTTTGACGCAAGCTCTACAAAGACACATACAAAGGTATGAATGGATATGATTCAAGTGGGATAGGAATGCGTTATTGACTCCACTAACACTGCACCTTCAGATGCGAAACTACAACTCGTAATGTCCGATCAACACAGTCAAGCCCTTTCCACCCCACCTGCCCCTTTCGAGGCAGGCTCAAGAAAGCGCTCCGGCTTATTCGTGATCATAAAAATGTTGTTCTCCGCCTTGTGCCAGGATGCACTCGACTATTACCGACGCCCCAGGGGAAGGAGCATCAGTTACAACATCCGAAGATGCTGTCGCCGCGGCGTGATATGAAATTGGGTGGAGCAAGACTCCAATGTGGGGAGGAACAGAAACTGGAGGAACCATGGCCCTGAATGTTGGGATGCGTGCCGGACGCAAGCTTTGGTTCGGCGACATTGTGTACCCAGAAGAGGAAATTGTAACATAGAACAGCCAGACATTATGCCGTGATTGAAACAATTCCAGGAACAGATCGCACCGAACGCATGCCCCCCATTGTTGCTTTAGTCAGTTTCGAAACGAAATGTGCACAAAAGCAAAAGCCAACGCCCGCCCGGCGCGGCTTAAAACGATGCGCACACCGCCTTCGCCGCTAGGCAGAACCGGGTGATTTTCTGCTTGCTGCTGTTTACGGCAGCACACGAGTCGCCCCTAGTATCGCCTTGCGAAATTGCAACCTTCCATACCTCGCCTGCCTCTTGATCGGAGAAATTCGTGAATCATACAAGTACAGAATGCCCAGCATGTGGTTGTCGGAGAACCAGAGTACGTTCCTACCTGATCTTATCTCGCCTGAGACGGGATCGCTTGCTTTTTCGCCCTAGGCGCAACTGTTATCGTGGTACAGACAATGCTAACTGCTCAAAATAGAGATCGGCGTGGTCTTCTGCTCAGCAGGTATGGCCGTCTCGACTCATTTTCGAAGCTCCAGCTCGCTCCGTATGCGCAATACTGATTATCCTGCGTGGAGTATAGGTGGCTTGTTCCTGTTCGGAGGAGTTATCATGTTCTTTGACCGGTCATTGTGCGTCCTCCCCTCTCTCGAGTGTCACGCGGCTCATGTACACTAGACGATATACTAACTGTTTCTGCTCTGTAGACTCGCTATGGGCAACGTACGCCACGCCACCCTCTTCTCTCCGACTTTCCACTGACCCGCGTTAGATTCTCTTCCTGATCGGCCTCACCCTGATCATCGGCTTCCAGAAGACTATTGTCTTCTTCTCACGTCCTCAGAAACTCAAGGGCACCGCCGCCTTCGCTGCCGGCATCATCCTAATTCTCCTGCGCTGGCCTCTGACAGGCTTCTTGATCGAGTTGTACGGGCTATTCATTCTGTTCGGCGACTTCCTCGTGACGATCGGCCAGTTCGCGGGTAACATTCCTGTGATCGGTCCTTATATCAAGCGCGGTCTCGAGATTCTGGCCGGTGGCCGCAGCAATGCCGAGTTGCCAGTATAAAACCTCAAGCGCATGACCACGATATGAGACCAAGACACGAACTCGTCTTTTGCTCCAGCACTCTTATCACGATTTGTTGAAACAAAAAAGTTGGGTTTGAGGATGTGGTTGTATGTTGAGCGGTGTCTGACGGCGCACGGAGTGGCATGGGGCGGAACAACACGATAATACCCACGGGTTTGGGACAGTCCTTAATCGACAATGTAATTACTAATGACCTTTTGATTCTCCTCCCAGCTGCAGATCAAACATGCTTGTCGCATCTCAGCTGGGCTGTCAGTATTCGATATCCTTAATAGAGAATAGAAGCCACAAATATTCATGGCGCATCCTGGACACGGGCGTAGCTTACCCGATGGGCGAATTCAAGAAAATATCTACTTTGTTGAACATGTCACCAAGCCGGACCACATGGCCGGCGTTCTCCAACATACACGGGTGCACGCCCGGGTGCGAGCAGAGAGCTGCATGGACAAATTAAACGCAAACGAGAAAGGTTCAATGCTCCTGTATTTCCTAATCTTCACAGCCCCTTTGTGATATCAAATCAAATCATCCCCCCGATTACATGTGCATCCCGTTTATTGGGGGTTGTTGATGTAGTCGACCAGCTTCTCGACGACGGAGGCGGCGTTGGTGGTCTGGGTACCCTCACCGTGGTGGGCAATCATGGTGCAAGCGCTGGCACGGACGACGATGACACCCTCCTTGCCCTGTTGCAGGAAACTAGATCAGCAGTGCCCCCCAGACAGTGTATACAGCTTGGGTACGTAGGTTCAAGAGGGAAAGCGTACCTTCTTGCCGTACAGACTGCGCTCATCGGCCTTGATGCAGACGAACTTCTCGCCGCCAATGGAGAAGCCATTGGCGAAGGCGTTATCGCTGGAGGTGAAGGCCGAGGCCAGAGAGTTGATGTCTTCCTGGGAGAGCTGTCATACCTCCGTGTTAGCCGGGATACCCATCTATAAGACGATGCAGAGCTTGCATAGAGAGAATGGGGGTCGTACAGTAAAGCCGGGAGACTGAGCCTCGAGACCGGAGAAGTCAGCGGCGAGGATACCGGCCTTGTCGAACTGACCCGAGCCCATCAAGCTGCCCGAGAGGTGGTGTTAGTATCGCAGATGATAGCGATCGAAGTATCCCCCGGAGGGATACGCGATCGAAGGAGCATGGGTCACAGAGGGTCGAATTACCTCGAGTCGACGTAGCCTAAGCACAAAAACAAAGACGTTAGTGAGGGGAAGGTCAAATAACGGTCAAGTCGGACGAATCTCATACCTTGCCAAATTGCGGAGTGAGCACCCATGGTGGCGATATGTGGTTGGGAGGGAAGGGGAGGAGAGGGAGGATGCAAGGAGCAGAGACGATCAAGAGCAAGATTCAAGGATCCAGAGGAGGGGTGAATATAAAGGGAGAGAAGAGGAGAGCTTGTGGGAGATGACGAGGGAGGTCGAAGTGGGGGGTCGTCTGTGTTGGCGGTAAATAAGACCCCGCCAACCTGCCCCGTCGATCCCGCCGGGAACGGTGAACGCTGGATTCGGCCTTGTATTCATTGAGCTATCCTCTGCTTTATGACTGCAGATATTACTCAAGCTGATATGGTCCCATAATGCTGTCTTTCAACCCGCAATTTGCCTGCCATGTCCATGGGCCCCTGGGGAATCTGCCAGGCCATCCCCTGCACAGTTGATCTGCATGCTTGTACGCATGTCATGGTCGCACGTGTCTTGTACCTGAAGGATTCCTTCGACGAGTGAAGCTAGTTGGTAGGCTCATCCTTATTATTTGAGCCCCGGTTCCCCTTTTCTTACAACATTCTTTTGCAGCAAGCTAGTAACGCAGCCTAAAAAACTGTGTGTGCTTATAAAGCCTTGTCCATGTCCGGATTCACGTCGCATAGGACGTCTAGCCAATATAGTTTCCAACCGGAACCCCTTGTTTAGCTGCTAGCTCTCGCGTCGCCTATGTAACGATATCAAAATCTTGTGTTCTTGATCCGCAATCTGATGCGGTAAAATGCAGTAGTGCAAAGGGGGGGGGAGATTGGCCATCGCAGAAAATAGTGGAGCCAAAGGTTGGCGCAACTCACGAATGGCCCTGCAACAATCGCTGCAGCACCTATCCTGCTCATGCTGAGATACACTTAATTCGATGGTACTATCCCAGCAAATTTCCGCGCAACATCTCCAATCATATCCTGGCTCTGCATGCCACCCCGCCATCTCGACGGGATGGAGTCATAACCGTAGAAGACGCCCGCCAGACCGCCATAAACCGCCCCCGCCGTGTCGGAATCTCCCCCGAGATTCACCACCGCCAATGCGCCTTCTTCCCAAGACTCATATCTGAAGAACCCCCAGAGTGCAGCTTCCAGGGTGTCTACCACCCAGCCACTGCTCTTGATGTCGTGATGGGTCTTGGCGGTCCAGTCTTCAAGGGAAGCGTATCGCGAGAAACGCGCAACAAGTGCTGGATGAGTAAAGTTGAATCGTGCAATGGCCTCGCATAATTGTCCCTTAGTTTGTCCTAGTGTGAAATCAGTCTCTGATTGTCTCGAGATCGGGTCGAGAGATATACCGCCCATTGCCAAGCAAACCAGCTCGGTATAGGCTTGACAGGCCTCCTGGCAGGCCCAGGCTGGATGCGTAACCTTGCTCTGCTCTCTCGCAACCTTCTTCGCAAGATCACAATCCTTCCACAGTGCGACTCCAACCGGCGAGATTCGCATCAGACTTCCATTGCCGGACGCGTCCTCCCGATTGAGCTTCCGGTTAACCTTCTGCTGAGTGAGCTCTAACTCTTCAACGCCATCGGCTTCCCACGTTTTTAGTGCCTGGTGAGTCGATATTCCGATGTCCCATGGCTCGTCCGTAGTACTAAAGCGGCCATGCCCGAGCCACTCGAGAAAGTACTGTATCGATAGTGCATGATTGTAATTCCCATTCGAATCTGCAAAGGACAGAGCCAACGCGAGGGTCATCGCACCATCGTCCGAATAAGACCTGCCAATGTGAGCTCAGAGTTTCTGCAAGTAAGGATCTGGAGTGTACCCAGCTGGCTGTTGGAATGGAGTTACAAATTCCAACTCCGTGATGGGCTCAAAGGTGCCGGGGGGGCTGAATTGCACCGGGCCGCCGAGGGCATCGGCCACGCAAGTACCCCAGATTGCGCCCAAGGCACGCGACTCGACCGTTGGTTCTATCATGTCAGTGGCTTGCATTTCTTCATATGCTCGTCATGATCTCCTTGCGCAGAGAGGAAAATCAGGTTGTCTTCGGCCGCTTCAGCGGGCCTGGGCGGGTTAGGTTAGGTTCCGGAAGTAAGCTGAGCCTCTTGTCTTGCCCCGCATCCCAGACGGGTAGGGTGTTTTGCTAGCCTGACCTGCACGTTAATGAGGACTTGCAGCATTTATTAAAGCTATATGATACTCTCTATAGTAAATCCTTGTCTATTTTGCTTTCGCTCTCCTCAAAAGACTTTATCTATTCAATGGTAATCGAAAACCACTTCTTTAACGCACAAAGCTTCTCATCCTCGCTTTGAAACGAGTCTATCACTCGGGTCTTCCCTCCCATATTCAGTTTGACGACATTGTTGACGAACATGATTTTGCCAACAATAGAAATCCCCTCTGTCAGTCCCTCCGTACCCTCACCATCTAGCAGGGGAAGGCCCTCCGTCTCCCCATACCGTATGAACTTCACAACCCAAGTGTTACCTTTGTGCAGGGTATCCCAGCTTGTAAACCGGTTGATCACTTCGAAATCGTCTTGAAAAAATTCCAGCTCTCCAAAGCTGTAGAAGGAATTCCACTCGTATGTTGGTCCGTTGCGATACTGGTAGATCCAGAGCTTCTGTTCGGGGCGCGACTGTTTCGGCATGTTTCCATATATCAACCGCACCTCTTGCGTACCGAGGTTCTGAATTGTGTACCCTGAGACCAATTGCAGTGGTCGCATTGGTCCATCTCCACCAAATGCAGCGTCTAGGTGATATTTTTCTCCAGAGGGAAGCTGAACAATGTTTACTATGTGTGACCTGTAATGCTGTCAATAAGCTAAATCACATTGTGTTTAGGCTTGTCATACCATCCCTTGAACTCCCCCTGGGGGATACCATTGATCCGCTCCCGGTTACGGACTCCTGTCATATTGACCGAGAATCCCAATCCCCGGAGAACATGGTAAAAGAAGATACTGCACTCCAGACAGTAGCCCCCGCGTCCTGATGGCCGTGAATCTCCCAATCCCATAAACTTGCTGTAAATGTTCTCGGGGCGGATATCCACCATATGAGTGGCTGAATAGTGTACAGTCAGATTGTCATATGGAAAGCGCGTAATTTGACCCCGAAAAAGTGCTGTCAAGCCTTCCTCTGTTTTTGGAAAAGACTGCGGGTCGAGGGTCCATGGTTGATAGTCAGAGGGCAGTGCAAGATATTCCAGATATTTGCGGAGCTTGGGGGTTGAATATATAGATTCCATTATTTCCATCGCAATTGAAACAAAAGAAGTGAATTGAGGGACATGCTCTTCTAAACGTTCATATTTTTTCTGCACTGATGTTTTGGCGCCGCGGTGACTCATCTCAATTTTCTCTAACTTAACTTAGGTTAAGTTACTGATGACGCATCTGGCAGAACATCCCGAGCCCGGCTGCACATGCCTTTCAAGTCAAGGGGAAAGTAGCTGAATTAAATCAGCTCAGGGGCTCACCAAGAGTTGATGATTATGAAGACCTAGGCACATGCTAAATATGCAAGATATCTCAGCCGAAACGGCTCGGCGACATTCAAAACAAATTCAGGTTGACCTAATATACGTATGCTAGCTCGCTAACCTCTTTCCCGCCCACCCCAAAACACATAGTAAATGCGAAAAATCACAATTTATATCTCAAAAGCCAGGCAATATATCAATTTGAGTTTTCGTTTATCTACTTTTATGAGTGTCAAAAACAGTATGCTTAAACTTGAGTCTATTTTAAAAGATCTTACCATATCGCCATAAAATGCAATGTAATTAATACTTCTGATTAATAAATAATCGTGTCTGCATCAACCCTTTGAATAATTCCCAGGGATATAATAATGTATTATGAGCCCGACTTTATGCCATATTCCAGTAATTTTTCTAAAAGAGATATGGTCATTGAAAAACAATATCGTGGCAGGTGCCGCATGCTCAGACAGGTGGGCGAGACGAGTAGCTGTGAAGAAGCCATTCGCCAGGTAGACGAGCTGTTACAATATTTCAAAAAAACAAACTCCCCAAGCACAGCAGTATCACCCCATCTTGAGCAATGTTTTTGGCGTCACGTCAAACTTTGTGACTGATCTTCAGGATCCGGATCTCTTGCTTCATGATCCCGCCTTTTACAACCAATTTGTGCTGGATCTAGGATCCACTTGGTCAGATGTGACGCGTTTCTATCTTACTACCTATTCTCTGGTCAAATAACACTATCAGGCCCAAGCAAATGACGTTGGAGCTCCTCAAAATCGGCCAAATCACCCCCTGTCAGAACAAAATCATCTCCCGGATATAGTGAGTACATCGTATGAGGATCGGTCGGAAACTGCATTGGCAAGGACCCCGATGCGTATCCATCTAGTAAATTTCCACCACTATCAAAGTCCCAGAGATTGCTGTGAGGAGGCTGAGATTGGTTAAGCTCACTGCCGCCTGTGGAACGAGGTGTCGGTGCAGATTGACCATTACAGGATCCCAGGGGCGAGGGTATATTCCTGTCGCCGCTTGTTCTTCCCGCACGTAGGCTTTCGAGTAACGCCGGGATATGCTCGTATAGTCGCTGGATTTGGTCTCGGCGAGCCTTAGCAGCCTGATTGTGGTACCCAGCCAGGAAGTCGAGAAGCTTCAGCGATTCCGAAATACCAGGACTTGGTTTCAAAAATGCAAGTTGTCGACCTTCGGTGTTGTTTGTCGATTCGATGATTGCAGCTAGGAGCATAATGAATCCAGCAGAGAAAATTGTGTCGAGATCAAAAAAGCCAAATTTTGCTGCTGTCAGTTAGTAACTTGGTTACCTTTTGGGGTTTCTAAAGCTACCGACCTATCATATCTTCCTTCTGTGCCACTATCATGAGTTCCAATGATCTGCGAGCAGCCTCAATGCATGTACACGTCAACTGCTGGAAGGCGCTACCGCTTTCGGAAAACGTCGTTTCACCGCCGAGAATTGATTTTGTCAAGTGCAAGACAATTGGTCGCAGAGTAAGAATTATTGACTAGTGAGAAATGAGCTGCATTAGTTGCTTCCTACTGACGAACACGTCATGATACCATACCTGATAAAGAATAGTATACAAGGAAATGCTTAATCGGAGATCTTTCTTTGATGACTGCTGGTTGAACAGAGAACTGCCAGAGCCGGGGCCTTGAGAAATCTGCTTTGCAAGTTGATTAAGGGACGAGATGATGTCTTTGACACCCGCAACAAATTCGTCTTTCGGGCATGACTCGTTGCTGTATATTACTTCAGGGGAGATCAGTGGTGAAAAGAACCGGCTACATAGGACCAACAGTTACCTGAATATATTCTCGTCTGTATTTGTGCGACCTCGAGATTTATCTGTAGTGCGATTGGATTTGGAAACCCTGGGGCGTCTGCAGGAAAGCAGGTATTGACAAATCTATCATCAAGCGTAAGAGGGCATCCGGTCATTATCATCGACCGTTTGTCCTGCATGTGGACTGTCCACCAAAGTCGACTCGCATGTGTAGCTTCTGATCGACGTAAGGATTGCAAACTCTCTTTTCGATGCAGGTTGTGCAACATGGCTAAGCGAATGGCAAGCCCGATCTGAGGATAGTAGGTTAGTCGCCTGGAGTGAGTTAAGTAGTTATCTAGTGACAAAGAACTGACATAAGAAGCTGAGTCATCCTTTCGATCGATGTTTTGAAGGTAGAATGTGATGATGACCAAAATCTCGATACCCGCAACCCCATGGGCGCGAAGCTCTGATGGATTTGGAAGGAGATCGAGGGCATAATTGAACATGGCATAGCCTGGGAAGGAGTCCGGTACATCCGATTCACCTCGAACTAGCCTTCCGAGAGCGAAGATGACGAGAGCCTGCAGAAATCCAATGGTAGGATTTTGAAAATTTTCTTGCAAATTTGCATAGAAAGTAGCCAGCTGATCAGAAACATCGCGGGCATCAAAAAGATACTGCATTTCGCCGAAATAAAACAAAACGCTGTCGAGCAGTTGATAGGCCTCTTGCTCGCGGGGAAGATTTGGCAAAGAATAGTGACCAGTGGCCGAGATCTGCTTTCCCTTGATGGCTGGTCTCTTCTCGGGAAAGAGGCTTTCTCGCATCGACTTGCGGGGTGTTCGGAGGAATTCTGGCGATTGTACTGATCGCTGCTCAAACAACGTCTGTACCCGGTTTCCAAAATCCTGGCTTGAGCCAATGTCGCGCTCGGTATTTATACCTAATATAATTTAGTTCCAAAAATGAGATCAGTTGATGTTTGAGAACTACATACGCTGTGCCGAGTATTCTGCATCTGACAATGGAGTACTAGTAGCTTGTTGAGGGTCCACAGTCCTCGCGGATGATGGCCGAATCTCGAATCTTCCTGGCTCTATAGCTTTAAATTTTAGTAACAGCCTGTCTTATCTGGGAGCTTTGTGGGTAGCCTACTGACCTCCCTGTGAAGCTGGAGATTCATACAAAGCCAAGCGGGCCTCTAGCTCTCGAATCCTCCTAGGCGAGATGTCAGAAGTTCACAAACGACCGTGGAAATAGAAACCTACCCGACCGAGTAGAGCCGCCTGTCCTCTGACACTGGAAAGCTGCATTGCAGATCTCTTCGGGAACAATAAATACACGGATAATCCCCCGAGCATTTAACCTTCTTTTTCTTGCAATTCGTACAGCTTATTTGGTTCCATGAGTTTTGATTCCGATATCATGTGGTAAGGTATACTCACGCAGATATTACCTTGGCGCTATCCCTCCGCCTAGTGGGTGTGGAGAGCTGTCGTGCTCCTGGCTGCGACATTTCTAGTCCAATGGGGTGCTGAGAACATGCCCAGGAGTTGATCGATTGCGGTTTCACGCCTCGGAGCGGCCTGCCGAAAGTCCCTCGGAAGCTCCGGGCCGATCTTTCCTCCGGGCTTCCCTCTCAAGGCCGCAAAGAGTCTGCTTTGATGTCATCCTTGGGAAAGAAAAAGAGAAAAAATAATTTAATTTAATGCCGATAAGTCTCGCAGGGTTCGATGCCGATCTTTAAGACCGCCAAGTTAATCATTTCAAGCTTCCTCTTCACCCATGAAGAGGCAAAAGAATGGAACTTGCGTCCCAAATGTTCCGCACTAATGGATATATAGCGCCATAAGTCAAGAGGGGGACTGAAGTGATGGATTTAAACAAGCTAGACACCACAGTTCGCATATAAAATTTTGTATACCTATCAAGCTCTCACTCATTCCTTACTTTTATACATTTCCAGCATCAATCTCAAAGTATCGTTAGAGTCCATCACATCCATCATTAACTCCACAATTCTCAACCCCTTCCCAGTCTGCAACTCGTCTCTCCCTAGAATACCATCAAGCTCGGCCCACGTGCCCGCTCTCGCAGTAAAGACAGGATACGACGTATCTGATTTTTTCGCACCAAAGAATGACGGTGCTTCGAGGTATCTCCATGAAGCGACATCGTTATACGGTTCTTGTGGGCCGTGAATAAGCCGTTCAATCGTATACCCGTTATTATTGATGATGAAAATGATCACGTCTAGCTTTTGCCGGATGATGGTACTCAGCTCTTGAGCCGTCATTTGAAAGCTGCCGTCGCCTTCGAAGAGGATGGTGCGACCGTTTGAGAGGGGACCGTTGAACCGGGCGATGTGTCGTTGTGCGAGCGCAGCCCCTTGCGTCGCGGCGAGCATATACCCGATGGAGAGCCAGATGCTCGAATTGATAAGCGTCGTATTTTTTGGTAGAACGAAGTCCCGTCCTCCGGTGCTAGCGGTTCCGGTTTCAGTGAGAATAATGTCACCACTGTGGAAGAAGGTCGACATGCGGAGCCAGAAGATGTCTTGTGTCAATTTGGAGTCTGACTTGACTGGAGGAAGATATTTGAGGGCCAGGCACAAGTCCGGCAAATCGGGATATGGCGCGAGGTGACCGAGTGCATTTTCTTTTAGATAATCGAGGACTGCTCGGAGAACATTCTGCGGTGACACATTCCAGACGCGGTTTCCAATATGGATGGCATTTCTGTCGATAGCGACAGTGACCTCCGGCCTGGGGACGGTAGCAAAATAGTATGTGTTCACATTGCTGTGAGCCGGGCCGATGTTGATGATAAGATCGCAAGAGTCCACATAAGATGTGTACGTGTTCGGCCCCACCGTTCCGTAAATCCCATGGAAATTGGAAAGGGTCTCATCAACAATTCCCTTGCCAAACGGTGTCGTGGCAGTTGGAAACCCGGTGGCCTTGATCAGTTCATCAGCCTGGCTCGAAAGCCCGTAACGCGAAGTTCCCGCATCTACCAAGATGAATGGATTTGATGCGTTCTTGATACGGTCCACAATTATATTGCAGACTTCATCTTCAACGATAGGGTCGCTCGGGGCAGGTGTGAGATCCAGCGCTCGGGCAAGCGGAGTTCCGGGGATGATAGCATCCACCATGTCCATAGGCACCCGTATGTAAACAGGCCGAGACTGGAAGAAGCACTCACGAATGGCCCGGTCAATTTGTGCGGCTGCTGCGGAGACATCCGTAAGATTCTCCTGCGCGACAGTGACTTTCTCGTACATTTCGGCGAACATCTTGAAATCATCAGGCATTCCGCGACACAAGGAATGATGGAGCTTGGCTCCATTAGCTTGATCGGTCTGATTCGGAGTACCGACGATATGCACCACCGGTGCCATCTCTGCATAAGCACCGGCGATCGCATTGATAGCCGACAACTCCCCAACGCCAAAGGTCGTCACAATTGCCCCTATACCCTTGATGCGAGCATACCCGTCTGCAGCGTATCCAGCATTCAATTCGTTGCAATTTCCAATCCATTCAAGCCCCGCCGGTACAACATAATCGAGAAGTCTCAGGTTGTAGTCGCCTGGAACGCCATGCACGGCATTTAGGCCTGCCTCGCGGAGACGACGAAACAGGTACTCAGCTACAGAGATTCCGTCTGGCATTGTGACGGCCAATATTGTAAACTTCGGACAAATAGATCGACAGTAATGTGGAAGGGTGCAGATATCTTTGCAGAAGAATGAAAAACACCCAAATGAATGAGATTATATTCACTCATCCTATACCCTGCAATTGTTTCGGATCTCCCCATGGCTCGGAGGCTCCGAAGGTTAGCCGATAATAATGAAAACCGAGTCGCCGTGCAGATCCTACCAGATGATTGGCCGCCACCTACATTTTCGGTGGCATCCGTAGTATCTCCACTTCTCGGGCGTAGCCTCCGAGGGCAGATGACCATCGCAAAAGTCATAGTTAGCTATAGCTCAGCATAGCGCAAACGTAATGCTCAAGGCAATATTTCGCGTAAATTGGATCATTGTTGCAGAAACTTCATGGAATGCATAAATTAAGTAAGTGAAGATGAAAGTGTAATATAGATATGAAAACCCCGATTCGGATGCAAAGGAATTCTGCGCTCGAATAAACATTAAAGAAAATATATCAAGGGAGGGAACCAAAAAGAATGTAAATATACAGTTGAAGCCTCAAAGAGACTCAATTTGTAACTCCTGCGATACGGCATGTTTATGCCCGTGTGTCACACCCATGATCCGGGGCGTCAACGCCTTGCGCTCGACATACCGCTCGTTCGAGTTAAACGGGTCAACGCGTGCTCCAACGGGGACAAGTATTTGTCGCCTTGCCCGGGACACTGAAATTGAGCGTGCGGTCGAGACTTCAATTGTCGGAATTTGCTCGGAAGCTTCGGTGGGTCCTTTGGATTCGACTTCGATTCCGATTTCAATTTCGATTTCTTCCGGTTCAGAGACAAAGGGCAAGCGGGTTGTTTGGTCGGGAGATACTCCTGGCTTGGAGCTCAAGGTTCGTGCTACCGGGGACGGCGTTCGGTCGAGGCTTTCTTTGGACATATTTGGTGTAGGGAGCGTGCTGGTCGGTGGCGTGCTTGTAGGTAGGGTGGAGCATGACGATCCGGAGAAGGATTTGTCTTTCAACGGGGGCCGCGGGGGGGCCTGTGGTGTGGTCTGGATTTTCAGGTTGGGTCGAGGAGGACGATTGGTCTGTGGCATTTGCTGAGACCTTTGGTCCATTTCGCGAGATGGCTTTCGCGCTGCCTGGGGTATCCTGGGTGGCTGCGTAGGTGGTTGATTAGGCGACCGCATATGAGCGCGGGGGGCCTGCAAAGAAGACTTCCGTTCCTGATAGATAGGGTTTGAATTATGCGAGACAGGTAGGTTGGAGGGTCGCTCATAAGGTTGAGAATTTTGTTGCTTGGATTGCTTCTCTTGCTGGGTGTGTGGTAATGATCCAGGGATTGCCAGGCTGGGTTTTCGAGCACGAGAATTTTTCTCGGGAGATGGTTTCTCCTCTTTTTGAGGGCTACGGGAGCTCTTTGAGGATTCGGAAATTCCTGTATCTAATGTGCGCGCCGTGGACTTTCCAGATTGCGGTGCGAGGGCCTTCACTTCTTTAGCTCCGTGAGAATCCATCACTACCTGAGAAACTGCTAGCTTCGAAGTTGCCCGCGGATGAATTTGTGAAACTTGCGGCTCCAGTTTGATGGGAGGCAGAGGTTTGTCGAGAGATGACCGCGGAGTGCTGGAGTGCTGAGCAAAAAGATTGGGAACCATGGGGGACCCGAAGGGAGAAGAACGGTTATTAGTGGGAGTTGCCCATGACTGTTCTGTAGATTCTTTGGATGGACTCTCAACTGGCAGAGTATTTGCCCTAAGCAGCGGACTCGGGCCACGGGAGAAGTTTTGCGTGCCGAGCATCTGTGCCGCCTTGGAGGGTTGCGACGCCGGAAACAGAGTAAAGCTAGATCTTGCTGGTGATGTAGCTCGGCGCTGGGGAACAGGGGGTATTTTGCCGGCCATAAAAACCTATATACTTCGTTATCATCATGTTCATATTTTTGCTATGCACTAGCTGGAATATGAAGATACACGACATGGCTAACGTACCTGGTTGTTCGGCACGCTCAGGTTGTCCAGAGTCTTGCTCCTTCTGGCCAGCAGAGAGGGTCTCTGGTTCTTGTTCATCACGTGGCTGAACATCACACTATAGCGCTCCATTTGTATATCGGGAATGTTGACATTTAGGAACGGGCCTTGCTCGGAGGGTTTGTCCGCGCTGGTCTTCGTTTCAGAGAGCGATACCTTGCGGCTTCGCTGTGGGCCGGAGTTGTTCCCACTTGGGGCAGCCCTAGGATCGGTTTCAATTTTTGGCCATTCGTCCGTTAAGCCCCGTCTTTGCATCGGCTTATTGCTTTGAACGCTCTTTTGCTCGAGTACGGGTTGTTTCAAAGGTCCCTTAGATTGGTTTATTGGCGCTGCAAGAGCATTCTTCGCTTTAAAAAGTCCGCCAATTTTCTTCCACGTGCTCGGCTTGCGCGGCGGCGATATCTGACCGACCTGTTCTTGAGAGAAGATCTCCGTGTTAAATCGAGGTGGCGGTAAATTTTCACGAGAGTCAAGCATGCTTGGACTGCCTAGGGCGACACCGATTCTAGGCACGCCTCCTGGGCTGCGATTTGTACCGGCGCTCGAGGGAAAAACCTCATCCGGTGGCGCGGTTAATCGAAAGTCGAACGTTGCGCCTGCGCCCGCACCTGGCGGTTGGTTTCTGATTTCTTTTCCATCTGTGTTCCTGGGTCGAGGAAAGTCAACCTGGGCGACTCTCCCCTGTTCTGGTAGTCGCGTGGAGCCGTTGCCATCGAGTTCGCGAAGGTCGTTCCGTGGTAGAGCATCGGTGTAGGTCAAGACAGGAAACGAGATCGCATCCGCGCCTGGAGCATTGCGAGATCTGACAAAAGTCGTAGCCCTCGCCATGTCTGGGTATCCTAGAAATTGAGAATTACACTCGTTCGTAAACCAGCCGTGTAGGAGCCAATAGGTGCAGGGACCAAGGATAAGATGCAGAATGTTATATGCAGATAAAGATCTCAGATCCAAGAAAGGAACGGACGGCCTTCCAGAAGGCCTCAATGCGGAAGCGGATCAAAAGCGAACCCCAAAGTCCGCGTGAGCACAGGGGCAACGGTCTTTAAAACGAAATAATTGAGCAGGACCAGCAGGAGTGGCGCCGGGCGATATCGTCGCGTGGGTGGAGATGTCATCACGCCAAGCTCTGTACGTGAGACAGCTTGCCAACGTCGATTATCGTTAATTGGTCTTTATTAATTATTGACGATCGTATCGTATTCTTTCTCGCTTGCAACACCCCCAAACGCGCTACCAGATCCCGCCATGGCCCTCTCGTCCCAGTGTTGGTGCCAATGCTAGTGGCTGTGGCAGGCACGTCCGGGCTGAGCTGGTTGGGGCTGGACGAATGGGAATGAACTAACAAGAGTGCCTGTGCGGAAAAGGAGGGGGCCAGAGAGCGACGCGGTTGAATGGCCCCGTCGCAGGTGAGGAGGGGTGCTCGTCCCCGACGCGATGCGCGATTCGAACGGCCAGGATTCCGTCGCATTGTTAGCGGCGCAACGTCCAATTTCGTGGGACCGCCTCAGGGCCAACAGGGGGGTCAGACATGGACACCGTATGAGCCATGATCGGAGCGGGCGCGAGATGCTTATTTCACGCGGAGCGAATGAGCGAGGCCGTCGCGGATTGATTGGTGATTTGACTAGCTGAACTAGCCTCGCTACCATGTTCCGTGCGGGCCACGGGGGGGGGGGGATTGGGAGCCACTGAGTGGATAATGAGGTCAAATGCCCACAGAAGGCGTGTTTCAGCACCCCTGAAACTGAGACAGACACTGTGTTGTTTGACACAGGGGTCTCGCCATTTCCGTACATTGACCTTCGTTGGCCAGGGCCGAGCCTGTCGCCCGCGCTGAAATTGGCCGCTAACGGCATTCGTCCCAGTCAGCCATCGGGCTGACAAGCCACTGTCGTGGCCGGGCTGATGCGGAACAGCGCTTAGTCGGTGGACGGTTAGCTCTGGCGCGTCGGCTGTCGCAGAGCGGTCATTTGCTGTGCTGGCGAGTTTTGGCTTCGCAATCGTGTGATGCCAAGAGGGACTCCCAAGCCAATCGGGCGCCTATTTGGTGTATCAATGGGGGATGGACGTGAGTTGGGAGAAGTGGAAGGAACCCCTGGGCTGGTCCCCGGCAATCAAAGCATCCAAGGGTACAATCGCTTTCTCACCTACAAGAGTTGTCTACAAGAGTTGTCTACAAGAGTTGTCCTCCTATAACTGCTGCCAAGTCATTGCCGTCTTCACTATGTCCTCTGGCATGCAGCCAATATACTCAACCTATGCTCGGTCTAAGCTCATTTCCTAATTCGTGACTGCATTTACGGCGAGAATGAACTGTCTATCAAACACAAGCCATGTCCCCCCGAACTTCACGGTGGGGTAAATGTTTGTTTGGTTCTCGCCAGTCACAACATCTTCGCTACGATCAAAGTACCGTGCGTGCCGAGCCCCCATTTTGTCACGTAAATGCGGGTCTGTCGCGTACATAAACCCTTAGTGGACGCCCTCAGATGGAACCTCGCTTCCTTCGCGGGGTATTCGTTCGACTCATCACCTCCCCAGGGAATCTGGACGGCGTCCTCGTCACGTACGTCATTAACCGACTCAAAACACATTTGACGAGATGAAAAAATCGTCGCGAGTGTCAAATCACTGCAAATTAACTTGTGGCCAATTTTTTTTTATTTACGTGCGCCTCTTGTACTCCGTACCTCCTCACCCTTTTCGGGCCTGGACATCCTCAATATCCAGGAAAACCACATGGAGTGGGTAAGAGTCGCAGGGAACTCCAGGACTTGGGGACCGGCAATATCCCAGCAACTTCTCTCTACAGCGAATGCTCACTACATGCCACTTCGCATTACTCTCCCATCTGACACTGTCCCTGGAAGAGGGCAAGATGGCGTCCACCTTTCATTTACTTCCAAAGTTGATATACTTCCACTCGATATAACATCATTACTTGGTGCGCGATGATGATACTATGACTAGTTTGCTTGATCCTTGCATTCAACAGGATATTTTGTGCAGGGTATCTCTTCGGATACATAATCTAGAAAGCAATATGTACGTCATCAGGTCTTGAGGGCTACGCTCGACGAAGGCTCTACCGACTGGGTCTGTATGCCTGATCCCACTTCCACCTCAACATTAGACAATGACCACTGCATACCAGGATATGCGTCACTGATGACCTTGACGTTGACCCGCGCTGTACCGGCAGTTGTCAAGGAGAACGACTCCGCAAGAGCGGCGCTCGGGAATTTGACTGACGAACGGACACTGAGAGGGCCATTACTCATCCTATCTTTGCCACGGGCACCTCCGCCTCGACTAACACTGGAACCTCCCCGACTCTTGTTGTTGCCGTTCTGTTTGGAGATTGATGGCCACGAGACACGTTTCAGGCCAAGCAGCTCGCCGTCTGACCCGTCCGGGCGGGCACTGCAAACAATAAGGAAGTACCCCTCAGTTTGGGGCTTAGGGAACTTGGGGGCGTAGATGCGGTACTCCGGGTTCGTAGCTATGTTGCGGCGAGTGATCGAGACAACAATGCCCTTCGCAGAGATCCCAGCAACGGCGATGGAAAGGTTCGGCAGATGCGAGGCAGCCTTTGCAAAGCCTGGATGTAAATTGAGTCTATTGGCCAAGTCCAAAGCCGCAGACTTCGGCTGGGAGGACAATGTGACGAGGGAGGATGGAAGACTGCGCGGGGGCTTTTCGGTTGTCACACCCGGCAGAATGGAAAGAGGGTGGTCCTCCGGCCAGCGGGCTGACTTGATGCACTGCAGCAAAGTCACAAACATGTAGCACGCTGGAATATACCCGAGCTCAGCCATGACGTCGATAGAGGCCTGGATGATACGGATACCCTGATCCAGGACGGATGTCTGGTCACCGACATAATCCGAGATGGGCAGGTCGATTCGTGACATATACGCCTGGAGCAGCAGGAAGGCCTTGACGTGGGGATCCCACATTGGAACATCGCCCATAGACTCAGTCGAAAGCGGAAGGTTCTGAGCCAACTCAGCATTGATGAGATCTTCGTTATGACGAACGGGCAGCTCGTCGAATTCAGTGGCAGAGCACATCCAGCTCAGGACATCCTGGAAGGTCGGCTCACGCTTGGCGTGGGACATTAGGTACCGGATGGTCTTGTGCGACAGGTAGTAGTAGCTCATTATTTTGCCGAAGGGCGTAGAATCGACTTCTCCCGTGGCGGAATCAACAAGCACGCAAGATGACTCTGCCAGGTCATTGAGTGACTTGTCGACCAGGTCAATCATGAACTCCTGTGCGGTAGCCTGAGCAGCCATGGTATTTTGATCCTCGGCAGAGATCTCAAGGCCATAGTAAGATGGGTTCTTGTGAAGTCGGCGGAAGAAGAATGTCCAGGTTAAGTAGTCAAGTGCATCTTGCTTCGTGCCAATCGTTCCTGCAGAGACTTCGGCACCCAAGTGATTGTCCAGAACCTTGTGTAGTGTAGACTCGACAGGGAATCCGGTGTGCAGGAAGTGCTTGTAAAACGCCTTTTTGGAGTCCTGCGTGAATATACGAGCGATACCAGAATTATCGAACTGTGGACGGCCCGCACGACCAAGCATCTGAAGAACATCGGTCAAGTCCATGTCTCGGTATCCCTCAATCTTGGCATCGAAGAACTGGGTGCCCTTGACTACAACAAGGTGGGCCGGAAGGTTGACACCCCAGGCCAGAGTACTGGTGGCAACTAGAATCTGGATCTTGTTGTTGGCGAATAGCTCCTCTGACAGCTGTCGATCGGACTCTACCAGGCCAGCATGATGCAACCCAATGCCAAAGTTGAGTGCCTCTCGCAGCGCGTCATCCTTTACACGAGAAAGGTTCAATTCCAAGTCGTCTTCAGACATACGGACAAAGCGACGAGGATTGTCCTCCATACCGCAGTAGTTGATCAAGTCTTTGGCGGTGAGACGAGTCTGTCGACGGGATGCAACAAAGACGATCACAGGCTTCTCGGGGGAGTGGTTTTTGATGGCCAGGAATGTCGGACGGTTCATGGATTGCATCAGAGGGCAGAAACCACGCTGCTCAGGGAATCCGTCGATGAAAATCTCAAGTGGAACAGGACGAACTGAGTGCCGGAAGTTGTACAGTCCCTCCTTAACACCAAGCCAGTTGGCAAGGTCTGTAGCATTGGCACAGGCAGTCGACATACCCATCAGTCGAACAGATCCCTTAGACTGAGAAGCGATATAGTTCATCCGTGACACAATGATCTCCAAAATGGGACCTCGATCGCCACCCAGGAGGTGAATCTCGTCGATGATCACAAGACTGACCTTCCGCACGTAATCTCGGGTCTGCCAGCTACGCGAGATACCATCCCACTTTTCCGGAGTAGTGACAATGATATCAGCGTCTCGAATTGTTCGAGTATCAGGGGTATTATCACCAGTCAACTCCACAAGCTTCAGTCCCATCGGACCAGTCAGACGCTTGCGCCAGTCCTGGACACGCTCGCGGACCAGCGCCTTCATTGGCGCAATATAGACAACCTTCGATCCGGGCTTCTCGCGGAATGCCCACCACATTGCCAGCTCGGCTGCCACAGTCTTTCCACTACCTGTGGGTGATCCAAGGAGAACGTTGGCGGGAGTGTGATATAGGAGATGGAAGATTTGAGTTTGCATTGGGTTGAAAAATTGGAACCGCTGGCCGTATACTTCCTCCAAGTTGGGGTTCTGGAGAGCAGTGATGGGAAGCGGCTGCAAATTCAACAGATCCGTATATACACTTTCCGTGTCGGGCCGAATCAAATGCTGGAATGACACCGGGCTGACAGTCTCTGCGCCGAGCCATCGATCGGAGATGATGCGAATGTAGATCTGACTCGGCAAAGGATCGGTCAGCGGAATGGTAAAGTTGAGCTCATGATCATCGTAAAGCTTCTTGCGGCTGAGGATGAAATATTCATGGTGATAGATCTCCGAGGTTTCGGAGTTCTCAACCCAGACCCAGAATGACTCGGAAGCTCCATGGTGGCGGTCATTCCAACTGAACTCAGGGTAGATGGACAGCCGGATGCGAAGGACATCCCGATTCAGCGGTGCAATCTCCGTCTCGACACTAAGGGTGGGGAAGTTGTCTAGGAGCTTAGACAGCACCTTGCCCATCTTCTGGTTATGAACAAGCTGGCCAATCTCAACCGGTTCCATATCTCGCATCGACTCGATCGATGAGGTGGGTAGCCTTTCATCCAGATTCCTCAGAACAGGCTGCGGCAGATCGAATTGGTGAAAGGGATGATCGAAGGGCCAAATCTGTTTCTCGATGGATTTGCACAAAGATAACAGCACCTGGCATTGATAGCCCCAGCGGCGGTTCAGAGCAATCATGAACAGAGCCCGACAGATACGAGCCGCGTTCTGAGCAACATATCCAGTGTCAGAAACCAAAGCAAAGTCTTCAATCCTGGCACGCGAGATGTAGGACTGCAGCAAGATGTTGGTCTTTGCGTGTGGTGAGTCATTGCCTCCGTCGACCTCAGTCTGGATGACTTCATCACGTAGCCGTTGTAACTCCTTTGATTCACTGTCACGGGATTGTATATTATCGAATTCACCGCTCAAACTGATCATCTTGAGGACATCTGCTTCGCCTGAGCGGGGACGCATCTGATCGTTGAATATCTCAATACTAGTCTGCAGGACGTAGTATTGACTAGCAATTCGACCCACATCCTTAGCCTTGAGGTCCTCAGTTTTCTCGTTGAAAATGATCATCTGACTCTTCTGAAGAGTTCGTGCGGCTTGGATGATCAATTGGCGGCGTCGTTGCACCAACATGGGGTCGTCACGAAGTTCTGCATACTCAATGCCATAATTGCGAGGTTCACGCTTCATGCGAACGAACAGGTATGAGTATCCTAGCCACTGCACGGCCTCTGAGACAGAGGTCACAGTGCCTAGTGAGATCTCGGCATTCAAATTGTCAACAAGTCGGCTAGAGAATCGTGACTCGATTGGTTGTTGTGCAGTCACCGCAGAGAGGTAATGTTGCAGCTTGTCGTGAGTGGTGCAAATAAAGCCAATGCCAGTATCCTGAAACTGGGGACGACCAGCACGACCAAAGATCTGCAAAACGTCAAGAATACTGAGATCGACAAATTTACCCTCTTGGGGGTTGTACAGCTGAGTTCCTTTGATGACTACCGCAGCAGCCGGCAAGTTCACACCCCAAGCAAGAGTGGCTGTGCAGCAGAGAACTTTGATCAGGCCCTCCGAAAACATCCGTTCCATAAGGTTGCGGTCGCTTCGGCTCATACCAGCGTGATGTGTTCCGAAGCCGCTAGCAAAGAGATCACGAAGCTCACGGGCTCGGGCATGTTTCATGTCCCGCAAAGCGTTGGAGTAGTTCTCATGTTCGTGGCAGCTGAACAAATCCTCACAGCCATCCTCCGCTGCCATTTGTTTCAGCATTCGAGCTGTCATGACCGTATCCTTGCGAGAGTGCACGAAGACCATGACCTGGTGACCTCTTCCCACCATTTCACGAACCTTCTCAAAAGCAACAGTGTCAATGTTCTCTCGGGATTGTTTAGATCCAGGCTTGCCTTTAACACCGATGAAGTGTTGTTCCAGAGGTACCGGTCGGAAGGATGAGTCGAAGAAGAATAAGCCGGCCATCTTGTTCACTTTTAAGAAATCGGCCACGTCAACATAGTTCGGAAGAGTGGCTGAGAGTCCAACAATGCGAATTAACGACTGTGTGCTTTCCACCTGGCGTTGGGTTCGGGCGACCAGTGATTCAATGACAGCACCACGCTCATCATGAAGCATGTGTACCTCATCAATGATGAGCAGGCGCACTTTCTGCACAAGCTCTGTATCTCCAGTGCTCTTGCGTGTCACAACATCCCATTTCTCAGGGGTAGTGACGATAATCTGGGTCTCGACGATTTCCCTCTTGGACAACTGCATATCACCAGTGAGTTCGCGGACTCGAATTCCTAGCCAAGCAAGACGTTTGCCCAGTTTCTCGGTGACTTCGGCAGCAAGGGCCTTCATGGGTGCAACATAAACGATCTTGAACTCGTCCACCTGAACAGTGAACTCGGTTGCATCGGGTTCCCTCAATGGGTTGGGCATACTATTCTTCCCGACCGCGTTCAGAATGGTAAGCATCGCGGCGTCCGTTTTACCAGCACCAGTAGGAGCACAAATAAGCATGTTCTCGCTTGTCTTGTAGGCAACCTCATACAGCAGGCTCTGCATGCGATTCAGAGACTTATAGCCCTTGAAGGTTCCCCGGCAGAGGCCATCCAGCCCAGCGATGTCGACCAGCTTCTGGTGTTGTGCTACTGCCCCAGCTCTTGACGCAGGGATTTCAAACTCTGTGTATTTAGGCTCCTCGATTTCCCTACTTCCGACTGGTAGACCGTATTTTCGCCCGTTTGCGGAGAGGGTATTCCCAGATGTATTCAACTTGAACACGTGGGGGTATTGTGGCTCCGATCGAGTCTGTGCCGCCATCAGAGGTGCGTTCTTGTGTTGGAAATCACGCTCCCACAGAGCCTGTTCCCTCTCCGCTCGAGTTTGGAGTCTTCCTGCTGCTAGTCCATCTGTTTGCGCCTCCACCCGCTGGGGCTTGTCCGACAGGATTTCCTCTCGGTGACCGATGAGCTCAATGACAAGGTCTAGGTCATCGAACCCGACGATTTCAGCAAGTGACATTTGTAGCTCAGCGTCGTCGCTATCTGTAGCCAGTGTGGCAATAATTTGCTGGGAAAGCTCTGCCGCATCCATGTTGGGGTTTCGAGCCGCCACGTCCAGGCATTTGTTTTCCAACCAAATCCGATTGTAGGCCGTGGTTTGAGGGAGGAAATCGTTGTTCAAGTCGTCCTGATCGTCACTTGTCTCGTCGTCGGAGCTGATTATATCCCACACGTCATCAACAGTCCCGGGGGAAGAGTAATCGTCGTCGATATCCAGTTCTATGTCGCTGCCATAGCTGATCGAATCGTGGGGAAGGTCCTTTGGAAGCTTCAGATCGGCGATGGCCTGGCGCATAGCAGCCAGCTGCGACAGCCATTGCGACTCGGTCGCTGCAATATTCGCCATATTGGTGATTAATATCGAGCTCGCTCAACTAAACGTAAGAGTGAGGGTAAGGAGGGGGAGAAGAAGAGGAAGAAAGAGAGGTTGCGAGGTTGGCGGGGTGTAAGTAAACTGACGGGGTCCCAAGAAGGCAATAGGGCTCCATCGCAGGGCTCGACCAGTCGCCTGGGCGGTGTGGTTTTGGCTGCCTCAGGCCGCCATTGCGGAGACCCTGTGCCATCATCGCAGCTATCAGGAGTTGGCACCCCGGCTCAGCAATCCCGACCTCTTAACACCGCTACTCGAAGCTGACGCTTTTTCCCATAAACTTCTTCCTGGCCTTTCAATCGCCAGCGCTACTCTTATACCTAATATCACCTTCTCCCTCGTCCCCTCTCCCCCTCGCCCGTCACCGCTCGTCCTTTGTGCGAGCCCCTCGAACCTCCCCGCCACCATGAAGATTCTCTATATGGGCGTATGTGTCTTCGTCGGAATACCGCCTGGTTTGATTTCTTGGCAATATGAACTAATATCTTGCGTTGATAACAGGTTTTTCGGAACGATACCCAGCCCGCGCTCCCGCTATGCGGAGAGAAGGACCTCACCAGGCAAGTGTTCACCGTCTATCGCCTACTTCTTGATCATAGTACATACTAACCCACCATAGCTTCTCTCGATTTACCCGTCAGAAGTATGCATACCTGCACCCTTAAAATCCGCCCTTGCCCCTTATTGACCGCCGCGATACCCACAGCTATGAGGAGTTCATGATGCTCTTCACCAAGACGGTCGCAGAGCGCACGAAGCCTGGACAGCGCCAGGATATCGAAGAGAAGTCATACACATTCCACGCATATGGTCGGACTGAAGGTGTCGCTGGTGTAATCGTCACGGACGGCGAGTACCCCGCGCTGGTGGCGCACCAGCTGCTGTCCAAAATCGTCGACGAGTTCCTCGCCAAGTACCCTCGTACATCCTTCTCCGACCCCTCGCTCCGTGAGAACGCATGCCCACTGCCGCAGCTCAAGGAGTATATTGTCAAATACCAGGATCCCAGCCAGGCCGACAGCATCATGAAGATCCAACAGGAGCTGGATGAGACTAAGATCGTGCTGCACAAGACGGTATGTCATTTCGCTGGATATGGATGCTTCTATGGCTCTCATCATTTCTATACTACTCTATTGAGTGTGCAATTCACCTTTCAACGCTAATGGCTATATAGATTGAGAGTGTGCTGGAACGTGGTGAGAAAATCGACTCGCTGGTCGCCAAGAGTGACGGTCTGTCCGCCCAGAGTAAGATGTTCTATACCCAGGTATGTTGACCACTGACCTCCCTTACTCATATGGACTTATTTCATTAACCCCTTCAAGGCCAAGAAGCAGAACTCCTGCTGCGTTCTTATGTAGGCTGTCATCCATTGATGAGTGTGGGGGGTTCGGCTTGATAGCGACTGCTTTCTTCCCTTGGGTTCGACGTTATTCATGTAATCAAATCTCGAAGCTATGCATGTTTGTTCTTGTGCAATCCCTTGCATTTAGTGCTGCCTACAGGCTCCTACTACCTGTCTTCTCTGTATCCTGCTCTCTCGTTTCGGCGGATGAATTGGACTTGCATTGTTTTCCTCCGCCCCTGCGATCATGCGATCATTCTCTATAGATAGTTCACCCAACGAGATGGCTTTCATGACTCACATAATTGGAATTACCAAAACGGCTCTAAACCTCTCGGTACTTCCCAGTATTTGTCGCGAGGGGTTGTCTGCCTGCCGCTCAGCCAAAGCCCAACCAGGCCCGGGGCTGGAGGCCGATCTGAAAAGTAATAATGTAGTCCACTGAACGCCTGAATTGATGTGATCAGTCGCCCGGCCATGCCAGCGGATTATCAAAAGAATTTTTCTCAACATCCAATAGAAAGGAGGTTGCTTTAATTAGAAAAGCTGGTCGCTCTTTCTTAGCCTCTTTTTCTACTGCTGCGCACCTAATCAAAATTACCTCAACATAGGATGAGACCCACGGCTCCAAGAGATATTGTGGCACTCACTAAACTCGAGAGGTACTTATGAATACATTTTTCAGCAGTTCTACGGCAATGGAAGTATCACAAAAGCATGTGGAAGTCTTATTCTAGGCGATCAGCTGCAGAATATTGTTGCCTTCGACAACAAATTCCCGTCACGGGACGATGGTGCCTGGAGGTCTGATCCAGATCTTCGGAGATAAGACTCGGGAAGGACGTTAACTCCACTAAATAGGCTCCATCAATCGCAGCCAGAGGCCACCTTCCCTTTATTGTACATGGGAATCTCACCACGGCACAAGCATTGAGCCGCATTTTCGATTATTCACGTCCAGCACGGTCTTGCTTTTTTGTTGTTCTCCGTTACCAAATCTTCAAATCTGAGGCAGTATTTAGCGGATCATTCTTCCTTCCATTGTTCGCGAAACAATCTATAATAGCATATCCTGATGATCCACCCGGCCCGCGCTTTCAGTGTTGCCAGATTCAGGGCGGGTTGAAAAGAAGCATATGACAGGAAGAGAGCCGGTGGCATTTTACCCTCGGCTAGGCGCATCAAGGAGCCAGGTGTCGAGGAGACTTGGATGATACGAGCATCGGTCGTAGTCATTCTAATGAGTGATATGAATACCTCACTGGTGGTGATGACGGATCTGACGCCCATAACGAACACTTTGGTATATATTTTGCGGACATATTCGGCGTCCTTCTCTGGAAGCCAGATGGCAGCGTTGTTGATCAGGATTAGGAATGATTCAAAATCTTGACGGAGACTACTAGGATAGAGATCGGGGAAATCTCACTAATTATCAAGCTTCTTGTGCCCTTCGCACTTCCTTGACAGCCGCCTGACACAGAATTCGGACCGAATATCGATACAGACGACATCAGCTTCCCTTGACAAAGCAGGTGGTGCGGAGCTTCTCAATTACCTCAGTGCCCTTCCGCACGTCTCGACAGCCTAGGAAGATAAGTATTCCGAAAAGAGCGTCGTCAAGCAGAATATGATTGCGAAGTCAATGCCTACCCGAAGAATAAGCTTTGATTGCGAAGTCCATGCCTACCTGAAGAATAAGCTTTGTTGCTTCACTTCCCAGGGTGGGGACCAGGTTACCCTTGTTCGCACCAACAACGAAGAAAGGTCCTTGAAGTCATTGTCAGGAAAGATCTTCGTCGACATTTATGTGCTTATTTGTTTGACTCTGTAAGCACTCTTCCTGTGAGAACCCCTTCTTAGGCTTTATAGACCGCGGGTCCAATCTCACAAAGTCGCAGATCAGGATACATGTTAAATATGAAAGGGGGACCTCGCATTTCAAAGCTGCATATTTACGCTAAATAGAGTCGCGACTTGGATCAAGCGTTCGGAAACCCGCTCGACATGGACGACATATGGTCAGTGGCGTATAATACTCGCAATAGATGGATGTAGTGTGATAAGACAGACGATGTATGGAGGTGGATATTTGACAACCAGAATCTTTCAACAGGGCACACCTAATTTCGAGAGATTAGGCGCCAAAGAACACCGGACGAGCTACACTTGGAATGCGTCGCTGCCGTGTATGAAAAGAGAGAGGCCCTATCAAACCACCAAACTCAAAGAGTCTCTAAATTCAAGAATCTTCGGTAGCTTTGACGACGACAGGGAAATCACCACTCGGGGTGCTATCATCAACTGTCCAAGTAAGACCGTAAACACCACTGGAGCTGGTTGATTTCGCCCAGAATTGCGCTTGAAGTAACGTGTTGTTGTTGAACACTAACTGGGAGGCAAACAAAGCAAAGCCCGAGACGGTTCCATTGACGTAGGCAGCCCGCGTTAGTGGCAGAACACCAACAGCATAATCATGCTCAGACATGATGTACATGCAGCCGGCACTGGTGCCATTGGAGAAGGTCGCGTTGGCGATCCAGTTTTCGCCAGTGATAGATGCGAGGTTCCAGAGCAAGGGGGTCAGGTTGAAGTCGCTGTCGTTGGGATCCTCTGTGATGTAAAGAAGACCTAATAGAATCATAATGAGTCATCTTACGCAGAACTAAGTCGTATTTTAAAGACTTACCATCATCGAGGCCGTAGGCAATGGGCCAGTTCGTCGAGTTGGTGCCGTAGGCGGAGAGTGTAGCATTTGTCTCGGCAGCGCGCTTGGCATGCAGGTGAGCTGCTCCTAGGCCAACCTGCAGAAGGAGAAGGGATAAAAGAGCGTGTAAATGCATCTTAATCAAATACCTTAAATTAACAAGAGTAGGTGAAATGGACAGATTTCGACGATTAGAAAGAGTGACGAAAAGAATGGGAAGAATGAGTACGGTCGTCCAAGGAAAGGTCTTGTTTTGAAGGACTAGAACGGCAGAAGAAAATGACCGACCAAAAAATCCACTAGAGATCAACTAGAAATTTCACCGAATAATTTCCACGGGGAGAGACACAAATATGATGCTCACTCCTCTGCGTGCAATCACATCGCATGCTCTTGCATTTTCCGAGGCGGGAATCATGCTGTTGCATCCAAATTATGGACCTCCACAATATTCCCACAATAGTTCGCACGCCATGATACTCCACATCCCAACGCTATAGTTGAACTTAGGCGTCCATTTACTCCGTAAAGGTGCGTACGTAGACGCCGCCGATCAAGCCAAATACGCCGCCGATCCAGCCGAAGACGCCGCGACATCAGATGTGGAGCGGATCAAATCTTAACCTCGGGCGACTAGAGGGTCGCTAGCGATTCCCCCACCGCGCGACTCTTGGCTCATGGGCCTAATTTTTCAAAGCCTACATGCTTCGCACATTGGGAAGACTCACGTTCGTCAACCATAGCGTAGCGTAGCAGGAGTTTATTTTGAGGAGGTTCTGATAGGCTCCTTCTCCTGGTGTGGACTCAAGTACTCAGTGAGGGGCCTGGCTAGTCTGGTAACGGCCGGGCGGTGCATCCGGACTATATATAGAATGAAAAATGAGCCGCGAACTTCTCCACCGAGCATACTCTAATATTGCACTAAGAACGTATGGAGTAGATGCAGTGCCAAGCCCCCGACTTCACGATGATCATAGACATTTCTAGTTCAGTCACCGGAGGCTTGTTTCACAACCAAAAATGGGTCAATCTGCCAAGTAACTTACTTGCTGATCATTTAACCTCTCCCTGATGCCATTACTGTACATCTATATTACCAGCTTTGAACGGAAATTGAGGCTGTGTAGCATTAGGATACCTGCCCGAGCCCGGAGTTTTATCCTATCGAGTGCCCTTCTGCGGTCTGGTTCTCTCCAGGCCGCAACAGAGTAACCCAAAAGCTCCACATCATCTTTGCTGATATTGGCACGCGAACACGATGGGTGCCTAGGTCGAATTTGATGTTTACGCGTTTAGATGATCCACCAGGATCGAAAAAGTTATGGGGTGTGAGGGCACGCGTCGCCCATCCGGGGTGGATCGCTGAAAAAAGGACTTATTGTGTGAAGATCCCCGTCTGTGTGGGGCATTTAGTTTCGATGGGAGGGGCATTTAGTTTCTCCCATCGAAACTCTGTTGTAAGGAATGCGAATGCTTCGGGTATTTCTCTTTTTTTGGTCCAATGTAAACCCATTTCTGTCAGTCCCTAACTAATAAAGTATCGCCGTAGGGCTGCGCCTTTCAGCTTCATCTATCTCGACATTCGCTTTTCACCGTCCTTTTACATTCCTACGTTATACAGTCACTCTTTTCTGATCGAACCGCCGCTTGAGCGGAGATCACTACCAACATGCACTTTTCTTCTTTTCTTTTAATGCCACTGGTTGCATTTCCAGGCGTCTTTGGGGCTTCTTTGTCAGCCCAGCATGCGAGAAACACAGACTGTGTTAACGGTCCATCAAATCGGGCTTGCTGGAGCGAGGGATTTGATCTCTCAACCAACTACTATGAAAAGGTCCCCGACACTGGGGTGGTGCGCGAGTACTGGTTCAACGTTGAAAACACCACGGCCGCCCCCGATGGCGTTGAGATGCCTGTTCAACTCATTAATGGATCATTCCCGGGCCCAACCATCATCGCTGACTGGGGGGACACTGTCGGTGAGAATACCTGAATCCAAAGCCTTTATAGCTCTGTTAGCACCCAGAAATTGACGAAGAGTAAAAAAGTCGTTCATGTCAAGAACTCTCTGCAGAACAACGGCACCGGCCTACACTTCCATGGCATTCGCCAAAACTGGACAGACGCCATGGACGGTGTACCCAGCATTACCCAATGCCCCATCGCGCCCGGTGGCTCCTACACCTACCGCTGGCGTGCTGTCGAATATGGTACTGGTTGGTACCATTCCCACTTTTACGTCCAAGCTTGGGACGGTGTTTTCGGGGGAATCCAGATCAATGGTCCGGCGACAGCCAACTATGATGTTGATCTTGGACACGTTTTCCTCAATGATTGGTACCACGTGAGTCATGAAACATCTATCATCAAGCTGCGAAAACTAAGATGGAGTTCTACCCACTGTAGGCCACTGCCGACCAACTTGTTCTCAAAGCGGCAACGGGAGGACCTCCTACGGCTCCGAATGGCCTTATCAATGGAACCAACGTGTGGGGTAGCAAGGGATCTCGTTTCTCAACTACCTTCGAGGCTGGTAAAAGATACCGTATGCGCCTTGTAAATGCTGCTGCGGACCAGCACTTCCGTTTCATGATCGACAACCACACTCTCGAGGTGATTGCAAACGACTTTGTACCTATTGTGCCTTACAACGCAACCGACCTCAGCATCGGAATGGGTCAACGATACGATGTCATTGTCACTGGAAAGCAGCTGACCAGTGGGAACTTTTGGCTGCGAGCCATTCCCCAGGAGGCTTGCTCTGAGTCGGATGCGGTCGACCTGGTTAAGGGCATCATTCGCTATGACAACTCTTCTACCGCAGACCCGACTACCTCAGCATACAGCTATACTGACTCATGTGCCGATGAGGATCCCTCCAATCTTGTTCCCTACTTGGCCCTCAACGCGTCCAGCACATATGCCTATGGCGAGGATGAAAAAGTCGAAGTCCAGGTCACGGATAATGCTCTTCTTTGGTTGATGAACAAGACTTCATTCCATACGCAATGGGAGTACCCCACTCTGCAGCAGGTCGCTGATGGTAATCGCACTTGGCTCGCCAAGCAAGGTGTCATCCATCTCCCCCGTGCTGATGAATGGGTGTACCTGGTAATCCATTCCCCTTTTGCTCAGGACCACCCCATGCACCTTCACGGACATGACTTCTGGGTTCTCGGCTCTGGGTATGGCAACTTCGATACATCTATGAAGAGCAGCTTGACTTTGGTGAACGCTCCGCGACGAGATGTTGTCATGCTGCCTGCCAGTGGATATGTAGTCATTGCCATGAAGACAAACAACCCTGGTGTAAGTAGTTCGAGTGTAAAACAGTTATGGACATCACTGACCCAATTCCATATGCACAGGTCTGGCTCATGCATTGTCATATCGCGTGGCATACCTCCGAAGGATTTGCCGTGCAGCTTCTTGAGCGAGCCTCGGAAATCGAAATTGATCATGATCAGCTCAATTCCACCTGCGCTGGGTGGCAGAGTTATGTCGCCGCTCAGGATGTGGGTCAATACGATTCTGGCGTCTAATTCATGCCTACGGTGGCAAGGGATTAGAAGATTGCTTTCGTGTCTGCCACATGTATATTCCATGTTGACCTCTTAATTCAATCATACGTTCATTTGACCCCAACCGAGGTACAGAATGCTTGCTCCGGGAAAGTGTACTTGCTCTACTTTCTGTTGATCGACCGTATTTCGAGCAAGTTTGCTTTCCTTGGAATGCCTTCGCTATGAATACTTAGCTCGCGTAAACGGAAGCCCGGCCGACCCCTGAAGCAATATGCCCCGCCCCACTTCGCCAAAATCAAGGCAATCGTACGGAGTACGCGACGGATCCGCCAGTTTTGAGGCTGACTCTGCGGGTCAACTCATTGGTCAAGTAAAGCCGACACCAGGATCTCTCCACTCACCACCCAAGGGTACAGCCGCTAAGAGATGAGTCCGTGAGACACTGTCAATGTGGTCCACTCACGTCCTCCGGGTTCCTGGCCGGTACTGCTGCCGGGCTCCCACACTAGTGAAGGACTTTGGGGGCCGGGAGGGCTTGGCAGGGACTGTTAGGGGTCTAGAGGCGGCGTGGAAGTCGGAAGTGCAAGCCTTTGGGGTTAGCTAGGTCCAAATTAGCCTGGTGCGCCCGGTAGAGTCGCATTCAAACGAGATTGAGTCAGGGTTCAAGCTGTTTGCCCGGTTTCTGACTACTCCGAACAGTCCCTTTTCCATGAGATTTTAAATGAATCGACCTACCCACTCAAACTCCGATTTCAGGGGTCCTTTCGTTTTTGAACACTTCTACTCAAGATACCGACAAGATGCGAGGTTTCAAAGTGAGCCAGCTCTTGGCATTGGGCTTGGTCTCAGCGACCGCAGTTGCTGCGGCCGATGATCCAACTTATGACCCTTCGTTGGTTTACTCACACTTTATAGCCCGATCTATTCCTACAATAGCTCTGAGACAGAGCCAGATGGTTTTAATCTCACGCTAGCTAAGACCGACAAAGCGCCCTACAACGTCTCAAGCGCCCTGTCACAATATGGTGATGAGAACACGTACGCCGGAAGCTTCCTTATTCCGTTTAACATGACATCCTGCAATGGGACGAAAGACACCAATTGGGCTGCTACCCTGATCTCTCCCTACTTGTGGGAACTTGCGGGCTACAACGTATCATACCCAGCCCCGACACTCGACATTGTGTTTGACAGCGAGACAGCCCACATCACATTGAATGCTTATATCTCGGCAGTGCAAGGTTGTGAAGTCCACAATTCGAATCAGGACTTCTGCGACGCGATGACGATTATTGAGGCCAAGGTGACGATTACATTCAAGGGAACCATAGACTCTTATCATTCGGATGAATTGGAGACTAACAGCTCTACACCTACTTGGCTACGGACGGTCGGCTTCAACAACGGCACTCAGACCAGTGCCAACAACGGCACTCAGACTAGTGGCAACAGCACGAGTGACAGGAAAAATGACTCGACTGGTCGGCAATACCCTGCCGTGATATCGTTGATCTCCAGTGTTTTTGCACTCTCTATTCTCTCATTGTATATTTAATCGACCGACATGTATATACATACAGCACCTTTCTCATATTAATGATTTTGTTTCCACGTTGTTTGAAGCAACAGTTCAATAATTGAGGAGTACAGTATCCTGACTCATGAAGGACTTTCTCCCCGCGGACGCCCTGGTGCCTAACTTCCGAAACGCCCTCGAGAGCACCCACGAGTTCACCTCTCTAATCTTAAATGATATCGGTTGCAATTTGCTATTTTCAAGGAAGCCCTCGGTGCGTAATAGACTTCGACCCCGAACTCTCGATCGTTCTTAGATGCCTCCCGCGTCCTTTTACTGCTCCAATCCTCCTTCACCATAGTGAAATCTCCGTAAACAGGTTTTTAAAATTGGCCCCAAAAACCAAATCATCTGTGGTTTGGTTTGGTTTAGTTTTGCGGTTTTGCGGTTTTTGGCGTAGTCTACTTAAACCGCGTTATAATCTAGAAAAGGCGGGGTTCTAGAGGGTTATAAGGACATGCTAGAAGTGGTACATGACACAACATACAAGGAAGAACAAGCGAGATAAGAGAGACTAGGGAAGGACAAGCGCAAAGGAGGTTATCCTATTGCGACTAGAGTACTATATCCTCCCTGCAAAATCATCAATGTCCTACCCTCTCAGTCCACTATCCAAGGGCTTGACGTCTTGGCTTTCTATCTATTAGTTAGAAACTGAACAGTGATTGAAACACTTTTCGTTTCAGAAGCATCGGCACGGCCTCATGCACGTGCAGCTTCTAAGAGCAGTGTGTAACCATACTTGTTCTCCGCCTCGAAGTTGTTGTTACGTGCCAGGAAGACGATTGGATGAACAAGACGATTCTCATGCGACCTAGACCAAATCATAAAGACTGGAGAGGGGGAAACTGGGAAGAGAGCCCCGGCCAAAGAGGAAAACACCAATACATGATAAACAAGTAGACCCTCCTTGCGAAGGCCAGCAAACGGACATCTTAGAGCAGACCGATCACGCAAATCTAGTATGGTAAGGATAACTCTGGCGATATCTGCCGGCCGTCCTCGTCTCCGCCTTTGTTACCTCAACACATCCATCACAGTTGGCGCCTGTCCCTACCAGTAGCCTCACCACGGCCTCATGCCCGTTTTCTGCAGCCAACAGGAGCGATGTGTCGCCAAAGACGTCCTTCGTATCGACGTTGGCATCTTTCTCTAATAGCAGCCTTGTCATAGTCTCGAGCCCGTTTTTTGCAGCCAGCAAGAGCGGCGTCCTGCTATAATTATCCTTCACCTCGAGGTTGGCGCCTTGCTCCACCAGCAGACTTGCCACGGCTTCATGGCCCCTGTGTAGAGCTAGCAAGAGTGGTGTGTCGCCATCCTTATTCTGTGCCTCGAGGTTTGCGCCACTCTCCACTAGTAGCTTCGCCACAGCCTCGTGTCCCTTGTGCACAGCCAGCAAGAGCGCTGTGTCGCCAATCTTGTCCTTCGCCTCAATGTCGGCGCCTTTACTAAGCAGCAGACGCACCACGGCCTCATGCCCCATAAGTGCAGCTACCAAGAGCGGGGTGTTGCCTAACTTGGTCTTCGCCTCGAGGTCGGCGCCTTTCTCTATAAGCAGCCTCGTCACAGTTTCGTGCCCGCTGCCTGCGGCTAGGTTGATTGGCGCCCAGCCATCGTCATCTGGACTTGTGACATCGGCTCCATCCTTCAGCAACTAGTTAACCACCACCTCCACAAGCCCATTCTTTACGGCCTCATGCAGTGTTCTTGCATGGAATCCCGCCCTGTGAAGCAGTCCGACCAGTGTCCTATCATCCAAATTTGCCGTCTGTGCAATATTTGTCTCGTAATTCTGCGCTGACCGAGGGTTGGAATTGTCAGAGGCGCCGAAAATTACAGTTTTGGGTCCAGAGTCAACTGGCCTACTGGTTTGGCGGGAGTTGTAACCAGGCCCTCCTTGCCCGTACTGCCCATCGTGTGGAACGGTCTCCTCACCCGACGCAGCCGAATCCCGTTGCAGTTTTTGCGTCACTTCGATTGGCAGGTGAAAGAACAACCGCCTCGCATATGCGGCCGCTACCGCAGCCGCGTATCCATGCCACTGGTCATTCTTGTGGGAGTCGCAGTAGTCAGAGATACCACGGATAACGAGGCATGGAAAATTGGCAAGGGCTCCTGCCGCCTCCATCTCGAAGCATAGCAGCCCATGCTGCTTCCCTAAGCGATCTCTTAGCTTAGCATCCTTCACCACTAACTCCCCCGACGCAATCGTCCCTCGGTGCACAACAATAAAAGGCTCCTCGCTATTATCCATAGCTCTCTCAATGCGCTGCCCTGGGTCACATCCACCATCCTCGCAAGATACCCCCGCCTGTTGATGTATATAATCTGATTGGTGTAGATGATCATTCGTAATACCGGGAGATATGAAGCGTGAAAGTCTTCGGCGGCTTGTTTGCGTTCTCTTTATATCTTCCCAAATAGGATCGCGGTCCACGATCGCTCGTTGCACTGATAGGGATTGTGCAGCATTTAGGAGGGCTACCGGAGGTGGCGTAAGGGTGCCTATCCGCTCAAAGTGACCCTCCCTCGCTCTTCCATGGTCATATTGTATTACACCAGAGTGTGTGCTTGTCGGTTTGCTGACCACTATATGGCCTAATTGGATCATCCCGTTATCCGTCTTTATCGGCACTCCGCCGCCAATACCAACTAGTAGGCCGTACCTGAGGTTCGGAAATGTCATCCTCATCTGCGCGACGACAGTAGCTGCGGGGCAATTACCCGGCTGGTGGAGACCTGCGATAACAACGTTGTGGTTGTTAATGCTTCCAAGCTTGTAGACATTGTGATCCGCGGGCATTTGCGGTAGAGGTTTGTGCTCTTCGTCCAGCATCAGCATCGCCGCGATCTGTTCCACCTCCAACGGAGATATCCATCCTACTCTGTACGCTTCATGGCTCAAGGTTCTTGGTGGCATCTTTTGTCGGCCGGGCGTCCTACCCATCTGAGGGAGTTTAGGGTTGTTTTTGGAGGGTCCTGAATCGTCCGGTTTACTGGAGCTTTCGTGAACGAGGGCAGATGAACTTCATATTCAACAAGATGGGGAAAAGTGACAAGGTGATTATATGCGAGACCAAGCTTGCCTCGCAATCAGCCCTCGATGCTGGGAATCTAAGAGACGAAGTGCCTAAGCGCTAGCTTTGATGCGGGTTGGCGAGGGGTGTGCATATCGCTGGCCAATCAGACGCCTCGACACTAGGCAGTGAACTAATGCACACACCAACGGAGCCAGGAGAAGTTCTGTTACAGCAAGCTGATAATATAGTATGGCATGGTATGCAAGAATGTGGCTAATCTACCAAGGGGAACCAAACCAAAAACATGAGATGAATTCAATTGAAGACGAGATAAAAAGAGCGGATCGTGCGAGGACACGTTAGGGTGTCTTTGCTCACATGACAGCGAAAGGGGTGTTGAAAAGTCCCCAATTCTTGAAATGTCGTGAATCCCCTAGTACAAACTAAGAAGTCACTACACAAATATAACTAAACTATTTCTACATACGGAAGTGCGTTACTATCCCGCTATCCTTGACAAGTTCAATTTGTCCAGGGTTTAGATATGTAGTGACGAATACAGTTGGCTGCACTAAATTGTGACCCCTCTACCAGGTCACGCAACCTTTGCCGCCAGCCCAATCGGGCTTTGCTGTGATGTTGCTTTTGTATTTATGATTATGATTAGTGCGGGTCTGAACTCCGTCTGGAATGTCTACAACTTCTCCCGCAAAGGCAAACTCCATCCCGGCACCCGGTCTTCTAAATGTATCTAAGTCCATCTAGTTGGGAAGACTGAGAGCTATCGCGCTGATTTGAGGAAGAGCTGGCCCTGGCCAGGAGATGGGATTGACAAATTGTGCTCGATCTGAGCCTTTCCTCGGCTAGTCGTGATGATCCCGGACTGTAATTTGATGTCTGACAAGATTGAATGATAAATTAGAGGCTAGAGAAGAAGCAGGATGGGTTTCTGAAATAGGCAGATAAAGACTGAACATGGCTTCATACAGCACAATGGTAAGTGAAAAATACAACAGGCTGGCAAATAGGATATTGGTAGCCAATTGACCCGCCCGGCAAGAATGATGACGCCATGGAGAAGGCGGTGCGGTCGGGAGAGTCGGAGAAGGGGACGGATGCCTGATTTTGAGCGGGAAAAGGACAAACGAAAAACGCCTTCTTTTTGGTAACCAAGAGAGTCTATTAATTAATTATTTGCACGCCCAACAATGGAGAAGGAGAAAGGTAAGAAAACACCCGAGTGATATCGAGAACTTTGCACGTCACGGAGCATGGCATCGGGTATCCGTTGATAGCCTATTGATAGCCTACCGCGTTGGGAGACCCGCACCACCCATTGAAGGGTTGTCAACCACCAGTATTCAAACCGTAAGGGACTAGATATGACGAAGGCTCGGGAATCATCCTTAGGCTATTCAGCGAGATCAGTTCCCAGTGGCATCATTCTGAATGGTACCGTCCCAACAATAAGTGGATACTTTATGTCAACCCAGTATAAATAAGAGTTAAATTTCAACTCTAGTGTAACATCCCCCACCATCAGATCTTCACTCCGACACTCTTACCTTCTACCGCAGGCAAAATGGAAGAGCCAACCTATGATCCGAGGTGGGTGAACAGGGTCTTGAATCTTAAATTCCTTTCTATAAACTGATACATAGCTTAGCCGCCCAATGCCGGAAATCAACATTGTCTACCAGTATAAACTGGTGAACTGCCCCGGCAAAAGCATCGTTTGCGTCCGTGTTGAATTTCCACCTAATGCCTCGACCCCGCCTCACAGACATGGCGGCGCATCAGCCTCTGCATACGTTTTTAGCGGCACGCTGCTAAATAAGATGAACAACGACCCGATGCAGGTTTTCAAGACTGGTGGGACTTGGTTTGAGGCTCCAGGCTGCCACCACCGCATTAGCGATAATGCGAGCAAGACCGAGCCGGCCACCTTGTTCGCTACTCTTGTTTTGGATACGGATGTTTTGGAACGAGATGGAATGGATGCTATCATTCAGATTGATGAAGAATATCGATGAACGGTACATGAAAACCTCGGACTTGGCGAGAAGGGTTGTTGGAATAGTCCTCAGTATGAAAGATTGATCATTATTTTCTCTTTGGAATATTCCAACATATAGGTTAACCTTAAGATATCGGTGTTGCGGGAAATTTCATAAAATCAGCCAGGGGTTCTCCGATGGCACTTGGAACGCTAGAATCGAACAAGGCGCAAAAGTCAAAGTCGAGGCCAGGCAATAATCCCAATGCGTTGAGATCCACCGGTGATTCTTCGACCCAGGAAGATACTGGGGGTTCGGGTGCAGGTGTGTTATTCACCAAGCCCAGTATTTCCCGAGCAATAAGACCGATTTCCCGGTAGGTTCTCTTTCCCAACATCCAATGGGCACTGAGACGCTTCAAGGTACCCATAGTAAGTCGGATTTTCTCGCGACACTGTGCACGCTTTGCCCCTACCCACACGAAGCGACAAGCAGAAAGATGCGCGATTGTAGAATTGGCAATCATGCAAATGATGAATGGGGAATGTGCTTCTATGTTTGTGGGCAGGGTAAGAAGATATTCCAGTTTTTCAACGGCTGCAAGACATTTCATGGTGTGTAGTTGACGCTCAGCCGAATTGCTGCATTTTAACCGGTCAGAAGGGGCCTTGGGAGCGCACCGAGCTACAGACTCAATGGGACTATAGGCTAAAGATGACATGGGTCGATGGATTTCGACGGTATAGCTAGATTTAATTAGCTAGCGCACCAACCACATAGGCTCAAAATATGAGGACTAACGTATGCATGATAAATTCAGCTTTGAACATTACCTCATCCACGGTGCCGTCGGGATGAAACAAGGTTCGCTTGGAGGTAGGAAGAAGTGAATGCCATGCAGTGACATTAGTATCAGCGTTTGAGCACATCGAGGAGTACACCTGGGCATCCTCTGAGGCACCAGGTGACAAAGCATGGTCAATGCCCCTCGTCAGTCCAATGAGCTCTGCATATGATGAGAACGCCGCTTCGTCATCAGAGAAAAATTCGCGATTGTCATAGTCTTGAAGACATCGGGGTCTAGAAATGTTCTATACAGCCAGACTCAGTCTTCTTTGCTCAGCATGTTCGCCAATGTGGTATACTCACCCCCGAGGCATAGTCATACTCTTCACAAGGAAGATCGACGGTCATTTCGATCTGATTGGTGCGGAACGGATATTTATGGGTACTTCCGGCGATGTGCGCATCGGTAATATAGATTTGCCACCATGTCCGGCGCCAACTTTCTTCTAGAATGGGGTCATTCTGGGCATTCTGTTGAGCGAATTCTTGTCGATTCATCCCAAGCTCTAGGGCAAGGTGAATAGCTTCGTCCAATAACTCAACTCCAAGATCCGGCTCGTTGCACCAGTAAATGGCGATTGAGTAGAGGAGCACAGCCTGCACGTCAAACCCGGTAATAGGGTGATTGCCGCTTCGAATGCTGGCCAAGGCTTTCTGCGCATCCTGATGTGGTAGCTCAGAGGATATAGATGTTGCGAACAAGGAGCCAATGTAATGGAGGACCAGGAGTAGTGGTTGGATTGCGCTCTCACTGGAATAGCAACTTAAGAATTGACGAGGCAGGACACACGGGTGTGCTGCATGGAAAAACTCATAATAAAGACCAAGCAAAACTGACTCGGAATTTGATGTTAGTGAGGATATATCAGTCTCAAGTGACGTTGCTGACGACGGGAGATTGAAATATGTCTGGTTGTCAAGGGTAGGCGGTGGGGAACTGTCTGACACGGTTGTGGTCGAGGACTCCTGTGACTGTTTTGACCTCGGATTTCCCCGGCGCCTTGACGCATGGTAAATGCACTCCTTTCTATCAACTACACAGCGACTGCAGGCTGGTTTCTTGCCATCACAGCGTAGATGCTTATAGCGACAAGCTGCGCAGGCAAGAGAGGACCGAGTCGCCCGCGCAGGAGGCTGATTGCTCTGTTCCACGGTATCAGACATGGGATGGAACTCAAATGAGGCGATAATGTTTCATCGGGTAATTCTGATAAGTTGTGCCCGGCCAATAGACAGAGGGTTGCTACTCAGACGGCGAGGGTGATTGCAGCTGACTGCCGCTGTATGATCCAGCTGAGGTAGGCCAATCTGGTCGGATAATATTTATTCCAGATAGCCGATGTGTATGATACTGTAGAATTTGGGTTGGCATTTTTTCAATGTCAGAATGTTCAAATATCTTAAATTGATCATTGTGAATTACATTTGCATTGTAGTGCCTGGGAATGAAGAATAACCAATGATCAACTATAGAGGTTGTTATATCGATCGATCCTAGAGCTGTAGATACCAGGAGACCTCATAACCGCCTGCCAGCCGCCCTTCGAGGGCCGCCCACAGACCCGTACTTTTGCGGACGGAGGGCGGGGGGCGGGGGCGGGGGCGGGCTTCTCCTACCCGCGGGCTGGTATCTCCGCCCTTACTGCTTGTAACATTTTACAATTAAAGCTTATCTTTATATAACTTTTCAAAAATATTATTAACATTCCCTCTAAATTTTTTTTATGAGGCCTAGTCCTTGGCGAGGTCTAAAGGACGCTGTATAGACAATCTGGTATGAACTAGCACCGTTTGGAGCATTGGGATTTTTGGGCTCTCTATTTGTGGAAGAATTGACTATAGAGACACAAGAGCTGGGTCGGCAGCATTTTGAGCATGAGTCAGACTGAATGGGGTGAGGTAGGTTGTCAAGGGGATGAGTTGATTTGGTTCAGATTTATTTTTGCTGAAGGAGTTGGCACCTAGTAAAAAATTTGGAAAAATTATAAGAACTATCCACTAAATTTGCCTTTTCCCTTCCGTCCAGGCAACATAAATGTAAAGGAATTGAGGCGCAGTAATTATTTTATGTGGCCAGATGCATCGTCTGTTCCCTCTCGGCCCACCGTTCCAGCAAATTATCCCGTATCTTGTTTGCGACCACAAATCCTTTAGAGAAGACCAGGTCCAGCAGATTCAGTATCTCGAATCTTTGATCAATCGTCCGGGCTCGAGCCCCTGCAACAGTTACTGGAAAGAACAGCATCACTCCCGGAATTTTGGAGTGTCGCAAGACCTCGGCCGAGAGATACAGGATCGTACTCAGGTGTTCACAAACTTCAGCAGGGGTTAACACCGGGGCTGGAATGTTGTCCCAGTATGGGAAATAGTCGTAATTGCCAGAAAGGAAGATCAGCAGAGCGTGATAATATAGCAAAGCTAAGTTTAAATTTTGATCAGGACCATCCTGGACCAACTGCAGCAGGGTCCTCGTGTGCCAGTTATAAATGGTTTCTTGGAGATTGAGTCCTTCAGCCGCAACCAGAGCAACAGCTGGATCAGTGAACCGTTCTGGTTGAGGAATCATATCAATTATAGCACCAGCTCTGTAGTTCGGATTATTAGAACCAAACAACTCGCCCATCTGTCAGTACCAACTCACCGTAGGCTGAAGCTGGATGCCTCAATCATGAGGGTTATTATTTCTTCCATGGGATCCCACCCAGTGGAATTGCTTGACAGGGAGTTCTGGAGTTGAAGCCAGCATTGCTGTGAAAGGATCGTTTCTTCATTAAAAAGTAATGCTCGGCTGGCTTCGAGAACACGGAACAGGTCGTAAAACATCCTTCGGGCTGATGACATGCAATCGCTTGGTCCTGCAAGCTGGAGTATTCTTGATGTTCCATAGAGCATATGTGTGACCCAGCCTTCGCCCGAATCATCTGAGAGCAACTAGATGTATTGAGGTCAGTCAAACACGAATTTAATGCATCTGATAGAGGATCCCATTTCTGATAAAAAGCATACCTCAAACAGCCCCAGGAAAAATGTGGCCCAGAGAATGTCCTCTCTTTGCGTCACATTGCCTTTTCCCAGAGATGACCGCAAGATACCCATTGACTTATGGTATGAGGTCATGGCATCCACCTTGGGTGGTTTCTCTCCCTGTAATGCGCGCCCACATGTATGTCGGTTTACATCCAAAGCACCAACCGCTATCACTGCATGGTACAGGACTGGGGAAGTTGAAATTAGAGGAAGCAGCTCCGGAAGTATTGTTGAGAAGCCCGTCGTGAACATATTCTCCTGAATAAAAGAGGCAAAATAATCAAGAAGGCGGGTACCCTTATCCTTCCCGATGAAGTCAAGCGGGTGAGCCTCGGAGCTGTGCCTATTTCTAATAGCTGTGCCCTCCTGACTGAAAATTTGATGGCCTCCACCAAAATCATCTCGCTGGGTTTTGTTGACAAACTGAGTCATACCATGTCCCGATTGCTGCTGGGCAATGCACATCGTATTTTGTCGAATGCAATGAACACATGGAAAGCCACCTTCACACTACTAAGAATTAGCTTCACTAATCCCATAAAATTGGCGTTTCACATCCCAGACCTTGATGCGTCGCTTCGCACAGCCGAGGCAGCGCGTCATCCGCCTCCGCTTGTCCAGGGGGCCAACCCTTCTCCCCTGCATGGTTGTTGATGAGGACATGGTCTCGATGAAAATCCAACAAACACAGGAATCGCCCGTATCCCGATAAGCACTAGGATGAAAATCGATATATTCGAGCGAGACTTGCCTGGTCCGCCAGCAGGCTACGGCGAACCCGACGGCGCTAACCCAATTGGGAAGTAATGTCGCGAGACACTTTTGGAAGGACCCACTTTACTTGAACACCACTTCCAAGGTTAATTGTTCTTGGCGACCAATTTACTTCTGAACTAACGCCCTATAAGTTCCTATTCGGGCAAGACTTTTATTTGGCATAGAACAAAGTCGCGACGGGCTTTGCTAGCAGCCAGAATGGCGTTCTGCCACTCCTTCCTTCATCAGATGTATAAATGCCAGGGCAGTCCACTGATTATTGTGGTTAGAATCCCATCATCTACTTAAGCAAGATTTCAAAGATCTTATTCTTACCCTACTTTCATCTTGGCCCACTTCTTCGACTAGTTGATGATGCTTTTCAGTCTTCGTCTGCTGCCCATTGTGGCTATGTCTGTCTCTGCAGCGGTGATCCCCAGCCCACCCGGAGAATACGATGTGTTTTACCACACGGCGAAAATGACCGACAAAGCCAGAGCCGATCCCTTTGATCCCAAGCACGGACCGCGTGCAGTGATGACTTCGGTATTCGCTCCCACCCACTGCAAAGTCGATCTCGAGAAGATAGACTATCTGCCCCCCGCAACAGCCGAATACTACTCCGACCTCTACGGCGCATACGGACTTCCCAACGGTTCACTTCAATCCATCTCTTTCCAGGCATGCCCAGAGCCGCCAAAGGGGCATCAACTCCAGTTTCCCGTCGTGATCTTCTCGCCTGCTCTCGGGACGACCCGACTGTTCTACAATGCCATTGCACAGGCTGTGGCCAGCGCCGGATACATCGTGGTGTCTATTGATCATCCCTATGATACCGAGTTCCTAGAATTTCCGGACGGAAGCGTTGTGACTGCCGCAAACATCAGTGACGCGCAGGTTCCACTGGACGTCGCGACCCGGGCAGCAGATGTGTCGTTCGTGCTGGATCAACTGAGCACAAAGGCCGGCGTAGCAGCTCTGCTGCCTGGAACCCGGGCTGCTAGTCTGAATACCCGGCGAGTCGCGGTGTACGGTCACTCGGTCGGGGGTGCAGCCATCGCCGAAGCCATGGATTTGGACCGCCGGATTGTTGCCGGGGCGAACCTGGACGGGTCAATGTTTGGACCAGTTGTTCAACACGGGCTTCGGGGTCCATTCCTCCTGTTTGGACATGAGAACAAAACCCAGACGACAGACCCGACATGGGCAGAGTTCTGGTCAAATCTGCGCGGGTGGAGATTAGAATTGGAACTAGCTAAGACTCAACATTATACCTTCTCCGACTTTCCGTTCCTGTTGAACCTTCTAGGTTTGCCTGTTCAGGAGGTCCCGGCCATCCAAACGATGGTTGGAACTTTGGATGGGCTCAAGGCATTTGAAATTGTTCACCGAACCGTCGTTGCCTTTTTGGGATTTGGGCTTTCCCAAGCACCGTCGAGTTCAATTCAAGAGGTCATTTCCCAGTACTCGGAGATATCGGTCTTTGCGCGCGGTAAATGAGACGATACTTCCGAGAATGGATAAGATATGACTGATTTCAAATTATCTGAATGTATTTACTGGTGGAAGAGAAGAAGGACCAAAGTTGGGGAGACTAGATTTAATCACTCATGCAGAAGTCCCAATGAACAGACTTAAATGATCAAGCGAAAGAGTACATTTGGGTGGATTTATTCTTGAATAAAGTATATTTAGGCCCACTGGGCCACTTGTTCACATAGACCAGTACACCCATTTATTGAGCAGGAAGCCACACGCTTCGTGAGGATATGCTCACTCAGGAGCTCTGGGACTGTATCCTCTTCATTGTTGTTATCGTTAATCCAAACCTCAGAATCAATATAATAAGAATAGAAGTAAAATACTAAAAATACTAATAGACTGTACATAAAGTATATATATTATATGGTTTTCTATGTTTATTATATCTCTTGGACCACGAGACTACACCAGACTACAGTGGTGCGGTCCTAAAAGTGAACTAAGCCCTACACAGTATGGTCCGGTCTCCGGCATCCCTTGCGGTCCTTGCCGAGGTCTAGAACAGACAGTCTGCTGACATATAAGAGGTAGCAGAGGGTGCTGAATCCTAACCCAACCAAAGCTGCACTAAGTTTGCGCAGGCCGTTGAGCGGCGAGTATATTCCCTTCCTCCCCAACATGGAGACAACAGCAGCATCTCGCTTTCCCGACCGCCCACAATTTTCCGGATTTATGAAGCCGTGCCGTGTAGAAGGCAATGTCGAACATCTTGAAGTACTCGGTGAGATTCCGAAGAACATCGATGGAACATTTTATCGAGTCATGCCCGACCCCCAGCTGCCGCCATACATTCAAGACGACCCGGTTTGCAGTTCCAGTAGACATCCATCTTTCTTGCTGGGGTTATACTGACATGGATATAGTGGTTTAACGGCGATGGGAATATCAGTGCGTTCAAAATCAAGGATGGTCGGGTGTCTTTTCAGTAGCGCTACGTACGAACCGAGAAATTTGTTCGAGAGCGAAGTGCCCAACGTGCTTTAATGGGTGAGTCGATTCTACCTAAGGGCTTTCGTTCATTATGTAAGAAAACAACTAGGAAAGTATCGCAACAAGTTTACGGATGCAGTTGAGTTCAAAGTGCGTAGCACGGCAAACACCAACGTTGTTTTCTTCAACGGCCAACTTCTTGCTCTCAAAGAGGATTCTCCTCCCTATGCACTTGACCCAACTACCCTGGAAACCAAAGGGCTACATACTTTTGGAGGTCTCTTATCCAGTCTGACCTTCACTGCCCATCCTAAATTTGACCCAAAGACCGGAGAGATGATCTGTTTCGGGTATGAGGCAAAGGGTGATGGGACCCCTGACATTTGTTATTATAATGTCACGCCGGCCGGTGAATTCAGCCAGACCCTTTGGCTTGTCGCACCTGTGGTAGCCATGATCCATGACTTTGCTGTCACAGACAACTGGGTAAGTACTGCATCTCCAAGCTCAGCGAATGTTGAACAATGATTTAGTGACGTTCTATTCAAGGTTCTATTCCCCTTGATTCCGCAACTTTGCGACATCGACCGACTCAAACAAGGGGGAGAGCACTGGCAGTGGAGCGCGGACACACCATTCTACGTTGGCCTTCTCCCTCGCAGAGGAGCGATACCTTCGGACGTCAAGGTAATAGAGATCTCTCGAAATTGGTCATTTTTCAAAGGACAGTAAAGAAACAAACAAGACTAACGAGTGTAAACTCTAGTGGTTCCAGTATAAGAATTCCTTCCCAGGTCATACCGCGAACGCATACGAGGATGATGAAGGTCAAGTTGTGTTCGACGTAGGCTTGAGCGAGAAAAATGTATTTTTCTGGTGGCCGGACTCTCAAGGAAATGCGCCCGCACCCAGCTCCATTCATTCCCAGCTCACTCGATTCATAATCAACCCCCGCTCGAATAATCTAGAACTAGATTACCCAGAGGTTCTACACTCCGGCAACTCTGAATTCTATCGTATTGACGACCGTTTTGCGACTCGGAAGTACCGACACTGCTTTTTCAACTCGATGATTCCCGAACTTGGGACCGACTTTCCCAAAATCGCACCCAAGCTGGGCGGGGGATATCCGTTGTATAACTCCCTCACACATTACGATATCATGACGGGAAATTCAGATGTATATTGTCCCGGTACAACCCATATGGTCCAGGAGCCGGTTTTCATCCCACGAAAGGGGTCAACAGAGGAAGCGGATGGTTATATCCTGGTTTTGGTGAACAACTATGACACGATGAACAGTGAACTTCATCTGCTAGACACCAAGTCTTTTGAAAGGCCACAGGCAGTTATTCTACTCCCTCTTCGTCTTCGGCAGGGCCTTCACGGGAACTGGGTCGATGCAGATGATTTGCGAAGCAGCGGAGAATGGCCAGAGAGGGTTGTCACAGGCACCGATGATTGAGAGGCAGTTGGAATCGCAAGTCAAATACGATGATGCTATTTGTCCTTTATTGTGTCCCCCGAGGCAGATGCTCCTACACCTAGGCTGACTTCATTTGAAAGTAAAGCACACAAGACGTTTCGTAGTTTCCTCTTTTCCTTCCCGATTCAATGCTTTCACATCCCTCTAAAGAACCGCATCGGCCCTCCACCGCTTGAAAGCCCGCGTTGGAAGTTTTAGAGCAAACATGCGATCAATCTCCATAGGTGACCGTCCCTTCATTTCAGGGACGGCAAACCAAGTCCCTACAATGCCGGCTGCAGCAAATCCTGCCATTACGAACCCTGTCTTTGCTCTGAGGTTCCCTTCGTCCGCATTGTAGATGTATGGCAGAATAATAGAGAAGACGCCAGTTGAGATTCCGCTCATAAACCAGCCAATGCCTTGTGACTTCGCCCGAAGTTGTAGTGACGAAGTTTCGGCTGCTACGACATGTGAGGCGGGCCAAATTCCCATGCCACAAACCATGGTGATGATCATCATCGTTACCGCAGTATACCTGGTGCAAAGTCAGAACTGTCGAGAACACGACAAACTATCCCAAACTCACCAAATGGTAACTATACCCGTGAAACATCCCGCAATGCCCATTGCAAGCCATAAAACCATGGCGACACCAAGAGTCGCGATGCAGAGGAACCGTCTGCCAAAGCCATTCAGCACCCACAAGCTGACAATGTTTGCGATCAAACCAAGTCCGATTCCCAGGATAAGAAAGATGAGACTGTTTGAAGACCCCATTCCCACAATTTGCATAAAATACGATGCATTTGCCAATAGCTGTAAGCCGAATAGCTGGGGAAGTGTACTAGCAAAAACGACAATTATGGTTCTCCTCCTGTGGATCCCCTTGAAACAGTCCAGGTAAGTGTGCGTCTTTCTCTCCTCCTGCTCAAGCAGGATCGAAGTATGAATCTCGTCAACAATCGCCGCCGAGTCAGTACTCGCAGTGTCGAGCCGCCGCTGTGCCTTCAGCGCCTCGTCCAGTTTTCCTCTCCTTACTAACCAAGTCGGGCATTCAGGGAGTAATCCCGCCAATACAAACGGGACGGCCGAGAAGGGCCACTGGGACGCGAAGCAAATCCGATAGCTCGTGGCGCCCTTATACCTGAGGGATGTATAAACCACGATGGACCCGATCAATTGCCCAAGCAGAGTGAAGATCGGCAGGAAGGCGATAATTGGTCCTCTCAGGCGCACCGGCAATACCTCGGACATGTAAGTTTGTACGACACAAAGCAGGATTCCAATACAAATGCCCTGGAACAGCTTCCCACCCAAGAAGAACCCTCTTCGCGAGTCCATATCGTCTGGTAGATCCGCAACATAACACATGGCGACTGCGATGGCCGATAGGAAACTTCCGGTTGCCAGCGAGAGGCGACGCCCTCCGCGGTCTTGGAAAACTCCGCCACAGATAGCCCCGAACATCATGCCGATCGGACTAGCTGCGTTCCACAGAGACAGCCACATTGATGGAATAATATACTTAGCACCGAATTGCACTCCGAAGCGATGCCTTTTCGCTGTCAGACGAGGAATTTCCGCAACAAAGAACGGGGCTTACTGGAATGCTGGCATCGCTGAGACAGTCCCCACGATGACCAAATCATATCCATACAACAGGATAGCAGAGCTCAAAGCCAGGTTATAAGCGACCACTCTTGGCCATTTTTTTATCGATTGCCACAAGGGGACATGGCTTGTCTGGGGACTGTTAGTAGTATCGGTGCGAGATACAACTTCAACAAACTCCGGGGTAGGTTTCGTCTCGATATCTTGCATATTAAAGAATGAATCAATACGGAAAAACCGAGTCTAGATGATATTACCCCGGATTCCATCCATGTTAAACGATTGACTCTTGCAGGACGGACTTTGAGGGGTGAACAACACCACCGAGGCAGTTTATCGTCAAATGTAACATGAGCTTGACCATGATGCAAACACTATCTCTAAGCGAGGACCAAGGACAGGGCTCAAGACCAAGGCAAATAACCTCCAGCAAATAGGATGCGCTATGATAGCAATCCTGCATCCGGTTTTCGCAATCAATGCAGGAGTTGCCGATCGCGCCAATCAACGTTGCAGCTGCCAGCTCACCCCGCACGAATGCCATGGCTGCCAAAGGATTTTGCTACAGAACTGAGTTGGCTGGAGATAGGCCAAGGGGCGACGAGCTCAATTTCTGGCCAGATTATGGGGGCTTATAGCGGGGCAATCGCGCGGGCGTGTTCCGCCCTGTGCCCCAGGTTGGTAGCTATAGAGCCAATGAAAACGCGAACACATTCATCATAATGCGACGACGACTTCGAGAAGGCTCATGAGAAACACTAAACTTAACTATATCACGCAGCTCTCGCGAAGCTTGCACGGCAAGAGTAAATGTCAGGATCGTGTGCCCGTCGTAGAATATCATGAATTGAGCGATAAGGAAAGTGTTTCCGTGCTCAAATGATCGATCGCAGATTCAGCCTTCTCAGCCACCACACGGCAAGATGGGGTCCCCTGCCAGGGCAGTTCGAATAATCCTCCAATACAACAAGGCTTAGGCTGACAGGGGGGCGTATGACTGTACGGTACTCGCGTGAACGTGAAAATTGACGAGAGGTTGAGCTGAGCATTTCTGGCTTTGCATCATGAGCTGTCTCCGATATTTTCAGGCGCCGCCAAGGACGCTGGCCTTGATCGTGATCGAGCTTCTCTCCTTTCTTCCAGCCTGGCTAGATCCTTTCTCAACTTCTGGATCTCTCCATCCAGCTCGGATGTAGTAGCAATGCGGTATTTAAGCGTCAGGATTGTGGCAGAGATAAGAAGCAGTCCGATCGATACCAAGTAAGCCCACTGTCCAACCTGTTGAGGATTCTCTTGTGACGGGCCATCGTTGTATATGGTCCACTCCGCCCAAGTGACAAAGGCAATAATCGTGAAGGGACTGATAATCATGCTGAAAACTAGACCAAACAGAATTGCAAAGTCCGCCAAAACGCGCAAAAATGCCTTGATGAATATGGTGCTGAAAAAAGGCCGAGCACGACTCCACTGTGAGGCTGTTGCCCCTGTGGCGGACTTCGCTTCTCTATACCGTGTGTCCTTCTCTGTGGCTCGGGCTCGAGCGCTTGTGAGTTCCCCTTTGAAATTCTTCCAGATTTCTTTCCTTTCCCTCCAGATCACGACGATTTGGGCGGAAGGAATGCGCGACCGGTAAGGCAGAAATTTGAATATCAGGTGGACGAAATTCAAGATGAGACAAAGGATGATGAGACTGTAGATGTACCGCCTCGAATAGACCACTTTGTTCCAGAAATGATGAGGGTCGGCAAGCTCGGAGTCTTTTGACGCAACCCATGATTGCAGTGACGTTGACTGCCGGAGTATTTGGCTCGAGTTGTAGCACGGGTTGAAACAAATGTCTCCAAGTTGGCCCCATCGCGTCATGTTAGAGAAGGTTTCCCAAACACTATTGTTCCACGTAGAGGTCCTCCATGATGATTGCCATCCATCGCTGTATGATTGATCAAACGGAGGAAGATCGGGATAGCAAAACATATACTGCGTCGGAGTCTTGGACTTGCTTGCCGCATAGATCAAGGCACAGATGGAACCCGCCAGCATCACAATGTTCCAAAGGTAAAACAGAATATTCCGAGCTCTTTCATGTGTCAAAACACGAGACCAGCACTGGAGGGGCAGAAAGACAAGGTATCCAGTAACGACGATGGCAAGGACAGCGTCACCATCCAGCTCAAGCGAAGCAGGTTGGACCATGACTTGGGTTGTCTGCGTGACCAGTTGGGGAAAGTCGTTCCATAACGTTGTATTGTCTGGAACCAATGGAATAGTGACAGGCGCTGGATCTTGCCTCTTCTGCGGACTGGCAACGAGAATAAATGCCTCGATCGCGGCCGTGCCTGCATATGTGGCGGCAGCTCCCAGGAACACGTCGGCCAGCCATCCTGTCCAGCGAGTAACGCAACTGGCGACCAGAAGGGCGTAAAAGAGGTACCTTGGACAGGAATTGTAGATGGTGCTGATTTCATAGATACACAAGGCCTCCTGGGCGACGAACAGTGGTCCGCTGGAGTTCATTGAGGGCCGTAGTGCAGCACCCGTGACTGCAGGGTCGTAATCTCATCGCCTGAGAGCGAGAACTTCTCGCGCACGGGCAGCTTATGAGGCTGGGGAGAGGAGCTTGAGTGGACTGGATATCTCTCTTGTTCATGCAAGCAAAATATCAGTCGATGAGCCGTCTTGTGTCTTTTTTGAGTCTTGCTGCTGGTTTGAGTGGAGCCGAGACGACGAAGGGGCCCGGTCTTGACGTCATGTATTTTTGTACGCCGATGATGAATCTAGAAAACTAAAAACAAGAAGCTTACAATTCATCACTATTATCTATGTAGGTTTACCACTCTACAGTTCTGGGGGATCATCGATTCACGTAAAACTGGTTTACGAAAAGAGTTGCTCAGTGGTTTTGGTCGCTAATATATACCGTGGCTGAATGACAAGGTTGGGGTATAGAGATGAACCATTCGTGCTTTTTCTTGCCAAGTTAAATAAAATTCACTTCATTTGATCACTTCATCCAGTTATAAATGCACAACCATCCTCATTGAACGGAATAAACGTCAATCGTAACAATGGTTTGGTCGACTGGGGCGATGAAGATCCCCAACAAGCAGTGTGCGATTGAGCCAGGAATAGGGACCATCTTCCACTTCAAACCGCGGGTTCGTCCGAGCATACCATTCAGTCTCTTGCTTGGATTTAGCCGAGCTATCTTGACTCAGATCGGGCTTCTTGTATTTCGGATCCACCATTTGTGACGCTAATTAATGCACCGTCGTCGGCCTGGATGGTATATTTCGCAAACACATGACCCATGCCGTCTTCTCGGAGAGCGTTCCAGTCGCCGCCCCCTGGAAGAATAGTTGCTTTGAGCTTTGGGCCTTGAGCGGTCCCGCCGGTGATGGGGATAAACCGTCTGTGGCCACAGTGGGTGTTGCCGAAATCCAATGCGGGGGGGAGGTCGACTTCGAGAGTGAAGGCAAACTCGAGACTGGGAGCCATAGCGGTGCACGAGAAGTGTCTTCCAGAGGATGTTAAACCCGTTAAAATAAACAGCCTGCCTTAACTGCAAAGAGAGCAGACCGAGTTATCGAAATGAGGGGCCCAGGAATTGAAGTGGACAGCCGAGGAAGTTTAGCCCCAATTCCACCACCGTAGGCTAGTCATGCACATTCAAAGTAACAACCCACCGCCACGTGAAATGAATGGCCGATATAGAGTGTGGGTTGAATTATTCTCCAATTTCAACTCCATAAGGTAGTGAGGATTCTGGGCTAAACATTTCTACCTAGTGGACTTTCTAGGAATAACGAGATAATTTAGCCACGATAGCGTATGGAAGATTACCAGCAAAACGAGCAGAGGCGAAGTGTTGGAAAAACATGGATTTCTCTAAAAGCAAATCAACTCTCACTTCGGCATAAGAGCAACCACAAAGGCAGGTTAGTTGCTCTCAGAGCGTCGGCGGTTGACACAGACCTCCCACGTTCTGCCCGACGATCATCCTCGTCTATCTTTTGAGCATCGCTCATAGCTGATTCGCATGCCTTCGAACCTGCCTCTAGTCTGCTCAATGAAGGTGGCCAAGGTTCGAACTTGGGGATCTCCCCCGTCTGCATCAACGGTTATGCTGAACCCATCCCGGGCCCCGGGTCCGACAAGCTCCAGCTTAAAGTTCTCGCCGTGGGAGTCTCACAGCAGGTCAGGAACAGAGCAGATGCCAAACACCCTGTTACCCGCCACGAGAAGCTTCCAGTTGATCCGAGCATCGACGGGGTCGTACTCGACGAATCCACCGGTGACCTGTACTATGTCCTTCCCAGAGGACCTCGCCTCTTTGCGGAGCGAGTAAACATCAAGCGAAACCTCCTCATGAAACTTCCCCCAGGAACCGACCCTGTCAAAGTGGCCGGCCTCTCGGGCAGCTGGCTCACCAGCTGGGCGATGCTCAAGGACTGCAGCCGCCGCAAAGTTGTGATTCTGGGCGCAACAACATGCGCGGGACGTGCATCGGCACAGATCGCCCGTTGGCTTGCGGCCTCGGCCATCATCGGCATCTCAGACGACAAAGCTGGCCTTGAGGCTATCCCAGAGTTGACCATGCGGGTCCCATTGACATCCCCCATGAAGATCCCCAACTTCCAGGGTATCGATATTGTTATCGATTTTATCGGTGGGGATACAGGGCTTCAGCTCTTAGGTGCCGTCAACTGCAGTATCATGGGAATTATCGACTACATTCCGGCGTGGGGACCCCGTGGCCCTGATCCGTTTGTTATGCCGAGGGAGCTGGTGATCAAGAAGAGCATTAACATCGTGGACCCGGCACTGGCAAGCTGGCGGCTGACCGGTACCGAGATGAAGGAGACACTGGCGTTCGCAGTGCATTTGATGGCTACTTTGCCACGCATGCCATTTGATATCGTTTCGAAGCCCATGTCTGATGTGGACAAAGTTTGGAATGAGGAGAAGTTCAAGACGTTGAAAAGTGTGCTCGTACTGGTGCCTTGAAATGGGGGATGAGAGTGAAAAATGACTTGTTTTGCGTGAGAGGAAGGGACGGACTTCTCCAAGCATGAAAACAAGCCTGAATTATGGGGTTAACGGGTTTCAAAAGAGTCAGCACAACTACGATCACCTACAAGGGCCTTTAACCTTTTAATCGAGGCCCTCTATGAGAACATGATTCAGTTCTCCATGGTAGTTAAATAATGCACACTCAAACGAAAGGACTCCAGAAATAATCCGATTTCTCCGAAACCCGATACTGGCAACCGTGTTGACTGCAGAAGCATCAGTAGACTATTTCTGTGTATGTTTTCCATCTTCGGCGCACACCTGGTGACCCTCGTATTTTTCACCATCCCACCGCGGATTTATCGATATTTGGACAATGATAATGTGAACAGAGAAAGCTCGGAAGTGGAGGTATAAGAGGAAAAAATCCATCAGTGTAGATGTGTCAATCAGCTCCAGCAATTCCAATACCTCGCAATCGAACAAGACCGTCACATAAGCAATCACCATCGCACTGGCATCTTCCAAGTCGTCACAGGTGGGCCGTTCAGGTCTTCTTCAAATCCCAAAAACCCATATCGTGTTCTGATGAGCAGTCGGTCGTTTGACAGGACGTCGAAGGAGATTGGCAATCTGCCAGTAACTTGCTAATTGGCGAAGACAGACCTGGGAATAGATGTTAATTTTCGTATGATTTGATTTGTGCACGCTGCACAGCGGGAATTCTACTGAGCCAAGTTCTGTCTAACTCCGTCATCATTAGTAATCGCGAGCAGGTGCAAATGGCGATCTTTACAAATCAGCCATTGATCGGGAATGCCTATAAAAAGGCCCGAGCAAAAGGTGGGAAGCACTATTCTGCCCTGAAACGAACCGATATTGAGCATTGGCACCAAATATCCACTATGAAGGAAAGATTCGTCGACAATGCCCTCACTGTCACTGTGCGGGATACCGAGATTCCCGCCCCGCAGCCGGGCCAGCTGCTGATCCGCGTGGTGGTGTCTGGCACCAACCCCAAGGACTGGAAGTTGCCCCACTGGTACCCAGATGTCGTATTGAACCAGGGTGATGATCCAGCAGGTTATATTGAGGCCGTGGGTGAAGGTGTACTCGGATTTAGGAAAGGAGACAGGGTGGCCGGTTTCCATCAGATCTTGACCCCTCATGGGAGCTATGCCGAGTATGCGATCGCCTGGGCGCACACAACCTTCCATGTACCAGAAAATATAAGCCTCGAGGGTGAGTATAGCCCGTTCTGGGCGTAGCGATGTGGTCTATCCTGGCTTATCTAACGGTCGATCAGAGGCGGCGACCATTCCCCTTGCTGCATTCACCGCGGCGGTGGGACTACACCAGCGATTGAAACTGCCACTGCCCTGGAACCCAACCACCGAGTCGCTGCCATTGCGAGGTCTACTTGCCCGTGACTTCCTCGTGCCTGTCACAGGCAAGGCATGTGACTTCCTCGTGCCTTCCTTTTTATTGAGAGCTCTCATGCAAACGGGCCCTATCTAGTTAGTCCAGTCACATGGCCGGGCGGCGTTTGTCGAGGATAAAGGCTTTCCATTTTTCCATCCACGAAAATTTCTTCTTCCTTCGTCAACTCCCCTCTCTCTCTATTGACCCTTTTCCTGTGACTGCACTTGAAATCACAGGCCTCGTTCACTTCCCTTCGATTTCAAGTGCACTTGAAATCACAGCCCCGACTCTACTCGTTGACCCCTAGTAAGTATATCTCTTTAACATACTAGTCAAAGTTTTCTAACTAAAGACTAGTCTATAAACCAATATGGAGCTTGAACACGCTGGCACACAAGAAACCTCTCTAGCAAAGCTCAACGGCCTAATATTCTTTACACGAATATCTTCGGGGTCCAAATCTTCATTAGATCGTTTAAAGAAATATGTTACGTACATACATCAGTATTAGACGGCAAACTTCGGCGATTTTTATAGATCCTATACTTACATATACGGTACACAAAGCGCTCGAGTACGGCTAAGTGTATAACATAGAATTACATTCATAGACTTTCTAGAGACGCTACAACCCGAGAGTCCGAATCCGAATATTCGGCCAGTTATAGAACTCGTTATCTCTACTAAGACCGGATTTCTTACAGATCTTCAATATTTTTATAAGGTATTCGAATAGCTTAATACGGTGGATTAGCGCTTCCGATTCTTCGATAATACCTCAAGCGAATTCACTCAAATCAACGTCTACAGTATTATTAAGCACTTCTACAACCGGCCTACGACCCTCGACGAGGATATATAGTATTTTATAGCCACACTTAAGATAGCAAACGATATACGGGTTATACTCTCTGGCCTAAAGCTAGGTCTCGGCCTACGTAGACGAAATAGGGCTAATACTCCCGATCGCCCAGAACTCGATCATTATGAGCGCTACAGAGTACGAGCAAGAAGGATCTAGGTCCGGGAATGCCTTATATACCCTAGGCAGTTTCTTATAGATAAAGAGTTCTATAGCTATACATCGATACATAGGCCAGGACTAGTCACTCTAGGACTAGTTACTCCTATATTACGGAACATTGACCATGATCCTAAGGGGAAGCCTATACGCTGTGCATTATATATATTCGAGAGTACATTTATTCGGGTTTGGCGATACTTAGGGTGTAGGCTAGAGACTAGCTCTTCGCGTACCTTCGATGGTCACCCCTCTATATACCGGAATAACCTAGGAAAGAAGTTAGGCCTTAACCTTTTTACTACCTAGCTAACGGATGCGGGTAAGATAACGCGGGCATTATTTGAATGCCGTATCTGCTTTAGCAGTATCTCTAAAGAACGAAATGCTCGGGACCACGTTCGCTAGGAGCACAATCTTAATACCGACGGGCACTATCTATACCATCAAGATGGTTTTAAGGTTATGTGCCCCGAGCCTAGGTGTGGATTCACATTCCAGAAGCTCTTCTCTTTAGCTGTGTATTGCCATCGATGGCACAGCTAGCAACCCGGTACGGCATTAGGGGAAGTTGAATACCGATCCTTCCTACTAGGTACCCCCAACGTGTTACGATCATGGAAAGAGCCAACTGGAAAGTAACCAGGTGCATTCACGAAACAACGAAGGTGAAGAAGGAAGAAACTACGGAGGCTCTGGTAACTATCTTGTAGAGAGCTCATGCAAATAGGCCCTATTAGGTTAGCTCGGTCGGGTGTTTCTATTACTCCGCGTCCATCAGGTGATCTCCGTCCATCGTTCTGTCATGCGTTATATAGCCCTCCTTTTTAAAGAGGCTCGCCCCGAGACTCTGGGATATTATCGTCGATATAGTTACTAACGAATTCGTCGACTTCTGCTGCAGCTAGCCAGATCTATAGGTTCTTTAGGGGTCCGGGGGAGTTAGGGTATCGTCGGTAGAAATCTATCAGTTTCAGCGGCGTATTTTTAAAGTCGGCTGCGTAATACTAAGCGTCGTCTTTATCGTAGCCTAGCTACTTAACCTTATACTGTAGCTTTCGGTAGTGTAGGCGTAACCGTAGGACCTCTTCGACTTCCTATTCTTGCTGATTATTGACTAGGACTAGCGGTAGAGGATCTTCGATCTAACCTAGTAAGGGATCGGTCTTCGATATACGGCGTAGCTTATTTAGCGTAAAGACTAGGTATACCTTAATAGATAGGGGTAGCTCGAGCCTAAATATATAGCCTTCTTTAGCGATGATCTTATACGGCCCGCTGGCTTAGTCCGATAGCTTCTAGCTTAGGCGGTCTAGTCCCTAATAGCGTATAGTAATATAGACTATATCTCCTACGTCGAAATCTACCTCGCGGCGGTGTTTATTCGCCTATATACGTTAGAGCCCTTATACGTAGTCGATTACTTTAGTAGTCTCTTTCTAGATTCGTTCGATTTGTTCTATAAAGTTTTATATATTACTAGTTAATTACGGCGAAAGAGAAGCGTCGGTAGGTAGGTCCTAATCGAATAATATTCTAGGCTCGTATCCTCTTTCTATAAAGAAGGGGGACCTTTTCGTCGAGTCTTAGCGTAGCGCAGACGTAGCGAAGTTAATTATCGGTAGCTATTCGGACTAGTTATCTTAGTGCTTATTAACTATTATCCTTAGTCGTTAGGCTATCTATTAGTTAGCTATCTCGGTCTGGCCGTCGGTCTACGGGTAATAAGCGGTAGATAGCTTACGCTTAATATAAAGAATTCGGCAGAACTTAGTCTAGAACGCCGATATAAACTATCCTCTACGGTCCGATATAATTAAGTTAGGTATACCTACCTATCGGAAGAGATATATAATAAATAATCGAGCTATTTCTACGGCTGTAGTCGTCTTATAATAGGGGATAGAGGCCTAGCGTTTACTAAAGCGATAGTATACTACGAATACTACGTCGTAGCTATGCTTATCCTTAGGGAATATCCGGAAATCTATTATAATATACTACTATAGCCGATCGGGGGTAGGGAGTAGTTATAATAACCCTAGGGGTCGGTCTCTCTATATCTTTATCTACTTATAAATTCGATAATTATCTACGTATCGTTCGACGTCGGTTACCTAGTTAGGCTACTAGTAGCAACTTAAGAGAAGGGCCTTTATTTTAGTCTTACTAGGATACGTAGTATATAGTTAACGATAGACCTTATTAAGTAGATACACCCTAAGGTCTCCGTTATCTAGTACTACTAGTCTTCCTTCGTAGAGTAAAAGACTATCTCTTATCTCCTAATATCTATCCTCCCTTATTCTTACCTAGTTTCGGTTTACGTCGAGGGAGGGATAAGTCTGATTAGTATAGAGAATACGTACGACTACCCTAGTTATATCGGAGATAGTCTAGGATCCGTCGTCGGGGTTTATTATCGTTACCGGAGCGATTCTAGCTAGAGGGGGTTAAGGGTTATTATTATCGGGATATATACCTTATTCGAGGTACTCGTACAGGAGGAGGATTTAGTTCTGCCTATTATAAGTACTAGGGTCTTTTCGTAAGAGGATATTAGCGATAATATTTCGCTTTCCTATAAAGTAGCGTATTAGGAAGTGAAATCTCGACAGGAATTCTCCCTAACGCGCCTAACGGGCGTTTAGCTTCTTTATAGTTATAAAATATTAAAGCGACTAATAGTTAGAGAAGATACTAAATCGGTTATCCCGTTATAGTCCCTCTAGCTCCGCTCTCTAAAGATTAAGGGCCTTAATAATTATAAATATTTTATAGTTATATATATCCTATCGCTACTCCGTAGTAGTTAGTTTTAACGAATAGAAATAGATAGGGTACTAATAGCTATTAGGCTAGAGCTATAAGAGGACTCCTCCGATATACCTATCTAATATGTCGGTCTTAATCTTTATAGGGGCCGATATATCGTAGTAAGCTAATACCGGAGCTATTATTATTATCTTCTTAAGTTCTTAGAAGGCTTATTTATACTATACGCTTTACTCGAATAGCGTTTTATCCTCGGTAAGGCGATTTAGTAGTTTTATAATCCGACTATAGTTCTTTACGAATCGTCGATAGAACCTATAGAATCCTAGGAAAGATCGTACCCCGCGAACTATAGTAGGCTACTGCTAGTCGACGATTACTGTAATCTTTTCCGGATTAATCTTAATACTATTAGTACCGATAATAAAGCTAAGGAACCGGGTTATCTGCGTATAAAACTCGTATTTACTTAGGCTTACCTATAGTCCGGCTTCTCGAAACTTTTAAAGTACCTTCTTGATATATTCGATATATTCCTCTATCGTTTCGCTATAGATTAGGATATTATTGATAAAGGCGGTAGTAAAGTCGTCGAGGTATCTACTAAGAGTTATATTAATAAACTACTAGAACGTAGCGGGTCTATTCGTTATTCTAAAGGGTATTACTTTATACTTATAGGACCTATATTATATATAGAAGGTAGTAAGGTCTTCTAAGTTAGGATCTATATAAATTCTATAAAATCCTTACCGGATATCTAACTTTATAAAGTATCTAGCCTTATCTAGCCGTTAGAAGATCTTATTAATTAGTAGAATTAGATAATAATCTTTCTTCGTAATCGAGTTAAGCTTACGGTAATCGACGTAAAACTAGAGTCCTCCGCCGGGCTTCCGGACTATTAAGATTAGGGAAGTATAGGGGGCCTTACTTTCTTCGATAAACTCTTATATAAGGTTCTTTATAATATAGGTCTTAGCCGCCTAAAGCTCTTTTTCTAATTATTTATAGAGCGGGCAGTATCTAGGGGTTAGGCCTTCCTCGAGGACGATTCGATAGTCGGTAAACTCTCGGTATAGTAGTAGTATATCGGAGTCTTACTATAAAAATATATCGGTATACTTATAATATTCTTTAGGAATAATATACTTTATCTTACGTTCTTCTAATTAACGCTCGTATTATTTATTCTCTAGGATCCGGTTAATCTCCTCGAGTAAGGTTAGAAAGACTTCGCTACTACCCCTTTATATATATCGGTAGAATCCTATAGCACTAATTATTATAATAGCTTCTAATAGGGGGGTATAGATCTAAGGAGTTAGTCATTATCTTTCTAAAGAAGAACGGGGTTATACCTCCTTTAGTATACGCTCTATTTTAGCTAGTATACTCTTATAGTCTTCGGCCGTAGTCTTTATCGGCTTATATTATAGTAGGCGATCGATCTTTTTAAAAAGCTAGTCGTATCGATCGGTATCTCGTTAGTGATTAGGATTAGGCCGTTATAAGATCGTCCGGGGGAGGATAGTAGATAGCTAACTAGCTACTTTATCCTATAGGCTCTGTTCTTCCGGCTAGATTAATCAGCGCTTTACGCAGTCGGGAAGGACCTTATACTCTATAAACTACTCGCGTCTAAGGATTAGGTCGTACTTACTAAGATTAGCGACTAATATTAGTAAGCGGCGTTATATATAGCTATTAATTATTAGTATTAGTTTAATAGTATAAGTAATCGGCTTTCTAAGGTAGTTATTAAACCCTCGGGTCGGTACCTCCTTTTCTAGCCGTATTACTAGTTACCTAAAGGCCTTCGCGGCCTATAGGGCTAATCGGGTATCGATATATATAAATCTATCTACTCTAGTATTACTAAGCGCAGAAATCGAGAATAAATATCTATTATAGGCTATTTAGATATTAAAAGATAAATTATTTCCTCTTCCTAATAACTTCTATAGATTCAGCGCGAAAAGTGATAAAGTTATACTACCTAGGAAGGAGACTTTCCCTAGGCTTAGGTATTTCCCGATTTAGGGGTATTAGTAGTAGTAGGGGCTTCGTAATCGGCGAGTTTTTTAGTAGTATCGATCGAAGCGACGGTTATCGGCTTCTTCGGGTAATCGTATAAGGTATATCCTTATTCGTAATATTTAAAGCATCGACCTTCCTTTAGGTAGATCGCTCGTTCCTCTACGGTTATTAGTTTATAAGCCGGAGTAGTACCCTTACGCTTAATAAAAGGGGATAATATAGGGCGTCTACGTAAAGCGGTAGTCGTAGCTAAGCCTAAGGCTAATCTAGAGACGGTTACGGCCGCTTAGGTATAACGAGATTCTTTCTACTTATAAAATAAGCTTAGATTTAGGGCTATACGCTAGTAGATAGTAATAAACCTCTTAAAGCTAACGTCTAGATTATCGAGTAGGTATATCGTCTAGGTCTAGAGTATTAGTAGTAGCTTACTATAAAGATCGTAGAGTTAGTTTTACTTAGGCTACTAAGCCTTTTTAGCTAAGCGAGAGAAATTAGTAAGGAAGTCGCTAAAATTATCCTTAGGCTTTATAGTTAGGTAGATATATTTATAGAGTGCCTCTGTAGCTCGGTTTAGATTTAAGAAGATACTCTCGAGATACTTAATTATATCCTCTACGTCGCCGTATAGGTTAGACGCTCTATCTCTTATTCGGGGACTAATATAGAGTAAGGCCTTACCCTCGGTACGGCTCGAAATATAGTAGATTCGGTCGGACGGAGTTAAGTAGTAGTTAGCGTTACTACGTAGCTTATATCGAATCTAGTTTACTTACTAGTCGAAGCGTACGGTCTTACTATCGCTAAAGAGAGGGGGGTCGGGGAGTTTCGCGGTACGGCGAGATATAGCTATTAGGGACTCGTAGGTCGATAGACGGTCTTACCTACGCTCCTATAGGTCGATAACCTTTATAGCGAGCTAACTAGCCCTTAGGGTAATAGTCTTAAGATCCCGTTATATCTCCCTATATTTAGTATTTATAGTATCCCGCTAGTTAGTAAGAGTTCGAATTTCGCGGTACTCTCGGCGGAGGAGGTTAAGGAGTTATTTAGGCGTATAATTCTTAATAAAATTAAGGTCAAGATCCCTCTTAGAGGGGAAAAAGATCGGTTTATCTAGTCCCTACTATCCGGTAGGTTCGGCGCTAGCGATTTTATTATTATCGCTATTTGTTTCGTACTCTCCGGCTAGGTTCTCTAGGGTCTAGTCGTAAGGCTTATTAGCCGCAGTGCTCTGACGGCGTCGGATCGTTAAACGGGATCGTACTATAATGTCGGCTTATCTTAGTAGGGGAAGGTTCGGTTCGGTTCGGTTAGAATCGTTCAGGATTCGTCGGTTTCGGTTTAGGGTAGGGCGTCGCTCTAAGTGAGACGGTGACAGCGTGCTGTCTATATCTGTATAACTCAAAGATGACAGGAAAGGGTGAAAAAGGACCTTCGTTGTATGTTACGATCATGGAAAGAGCCAACTGGAAAGTAACCAGGTGCATTCACGAAACAACGAAGGTGAAGAAGGAAGAAACTACGGAGGCTCTGGCAACTATCTTGTAGAGAGCTTATGCAAACAGGCCCCATTAGGTTAGCTCGGTCGGGTGTTTCCATCACTCCGCGTCCATCAGGTGATCTCCGTCCATCGTTCTGTCATGCGTCACACAACGACCCCCTTATCGTACTAGGGCCTGCTATCGTATTAGGCCCTACAAGTATGCAGCAAGAAGTTCCAGAGACTCCCGAGGCACTACTTTCTCCACCTTCCACCTCGAGCCTATCTACACCGTGTAAATAAATCGGGCAAATAGAATGCCCGTATTCCCCTGGCTTGCCTTCTCGCATATTATTAAACTTTTACTTACGGCCTGGCAAAGTCTACCCTGACTCCGTGGATTTGTACGAGGTTAACGCCTACTTCTGATGCTGGCTGGAATATACCTTTTTACCTTGCCTTTATAATCTACACTCTAGGTATTAGATAGTCATTATATTATTCTAGTATGACTATTTTCTTTTACTTTTCCCTATAGGATTCAACGGTGCTTCCTGCAGTGTGTCGTCCCCAAAAGCCTGTTATATAAGCCGCTACCGCGACAATCTTACTAAGTAAGATTGTCCTCGGACCTTTTTAGTCTATGTAAATCGTCATGTGAAGAGTAGCGGCTTCCGATTCCACATCGGCTTGATTCAGGCCCATGTAAACGACCCCAGTGAGCTATGGTCGACGTCCGCCGCGAGCCGCCAGCTTAGACACGTGGACTGTCGCTGGAACTGGCTACTATTGCGTAGGATCGCCCACGGTACGCGAGTACTTTAATCTACGCGAATCTGCCGGTTGACGTGCCTTGCGGTTTGATTTCCGGTCTGCTGATCTGCTGAGACCCCCTCGTTCGAGTCCACTGGATTCGCACTTGGTCGATCGAACCAAAGTCACCTCCGTTCACGCTGGCCCAACAGCAAACAACTTGATCGGAGAGCGGGAGTTTGGCGCTGCCTTTGCAACATTCATCGGGCGCGGCTTAGCCCAGGGATGGTTCTCAGGACATCCGCATGAGGTGCGCCCGGGCGGATTGAATGGACTCGCGGGGGCATTACAAGACCTGGAGGCGGGTAAGGCGTCTGGAGTGAAATACGTGGTGCGGATCGCGGAGACCGACGGCGTGAATAAGTGAACATCCACTTGGGCAGCTAGTTCACAGTGGAGGTGATCTGCACTGCTTCGTAGACCTGGGCCGCACTTTCCGGATGTGTGTCTGCGGGAACTCCGTGCTGGCAGCGGAGAGCAAAAGGGGCCGTTGGCACTAGCTTCGTCACGCTAATGCGGGCTGCCCTGAAGGCGCCAGTACGGCGCCGGCCGTCGACACGCGTTCTAAATTGCTTCCAGGAGAGTGGAACAATCAGAAGCAGGGAATTATTCAGACAGTCCCCGGAATATTCAGAAGCATAGCTAGTTCCGGTTCAACCAAGTGGAATGAAGATGTAAGGTCGAAGCTCAAGCCAGGCAACGATTCACAATTGTCGTACCGTCCACGTGCCAGGAACGGGCGAGGAACGTGGTGGAAACGTGCCATCAGCCGGCGAATACGCAACCTCCGACTCCCGGAAGCTTATCGCGAAGCGAGCTTGGCGTATCGTTAGGGGACAGTTAGTGCGTACTTAGTGTACACTTGTTGCTGATCGAAGGTGGACCTCGGGGGATTTCTAGGAATTATGTCTTGCCGTAGCTGATTCTCTTGCCCGTTGGGGTATCCCTACTCGATCGAGCTGTGCTTGCTTGCATACCTGCGCGCCACAGCGTCGATCGGCATGAATCAAGTAGCCCTTGCGAACGTGGGTTTCCTATTCTGAATGATTGGCTTCGCCGATCTGCATCTGGCAACGGTCCTAGTGATCTCAGTGGTCACGATGGCCTGGTCACCGCACGCCCACTATTAACCTATACAGCCCTTCAATCGACATAACTCTCAAGATGCGACTTCCAAAAGACAGGTATACTTTTGACTATCTCAGTCGTCTACCAGATACTTGCCCACCATGGTCGGGTCGACATCCTTCGTCAAGGCCTTGCCCTTGCTAGCGGTCTCTGCTTTCGCTGGCGTAAACTATCCCACCATTCCCAGTGACCTGACAACCCCCTTCCAGCAGCGTCTAGCTGTCTATGGTCTAAATGGTATGACCTACGTTTGATATGCAACACATATCACCCTATTTTAAATTGATAGAGCTAAAACCTAGCAATAGCGGTCTCCGTGGGTTGGAACACCTACGAGCAACTCAACCAGAGCTGCGTCCTCTACGGTACCTCGGCTGATGGCCTGAGCTCACGCTCCTGCTCAACTACCTCCAGCACTTACGCTACCTCACGAACCTGGTCCAATGCCGTGGTATTGACCGGCCTCACCCCCGCCACGACATACTACTACAAAATCGTGTCTGGCAACTCCAGCGTGGAGCATTTCCTCAGCCCCCGCGCACCCGGCGACAAGACTGCTTTCAGCATGGATGTGGTCATTGATCTGGGCGTGTACGGCAAAGACGGCTTCACCACCTCCTCCAAAAAGAAGGACACCATCCCCGTAGTCGAGCCGGAGCTGAACCATACCACGATCGGCGCTCTCGCACGGACAGTCGACGACTACGAGATCGTCATCCACCCAGGCGACTTCGCCTACGCCGATGACTGGTACCTCAAATTCTCCAACATCCTGCAGGGCAAGGAGGCATACCAAGCGATTCTAGAGCAGTTCTACGACCAATTGGCGCCGATCGCCGGCCGCAAGCTCTACATGGCCAGCCCAGGCAACCACGAGGCCGACTGCTCGGAAATCCCTTATCTGAACGAATTGTGCCCCGAGGGCCAAAAGAACTTCACGGACTTCATGCACCGCTTCGAGAAGACCATGCCCTCTCCATTCGCGTCATCCTCATCCAACACGACTGCGCAAGCCCTCGCCGCCAAGGCGCGCAGCTACGCCAACCCACCATTCTGGTACTCCTTCGAGTACGGCATGGCTCACATTGTCATGATCAACACAGAAACCGATTTCCCCGACGCGCCAGATGGTACGGACGGCTCCGCCAACCTGGACAGCGGGCCCTTCGGCAAGCCGAACCAGCAGACCGATTTCCTGAAGGCAGATCTTGCCAGTGTAGACCGCACCATCACGCCCTGGGTCATCGTGGCCGGCCACCGACCGTGGTACAGCACGGGTTCGGGCAACGGGTGCGACTCTTGCCAGGCGGCGTTCGAGGACATCTTCTACCAGTACGGCGTCGACCTCGGCGTGTTCGGCCATGTGCACAACTCGCAGCGCTTTGCACCGGTGTACAACGGAACAGCTGACGCGAACGGTATGAAGGATCCCAAGGCGCCGATGTATATTGTTGCCGGCGGACCTGGCAACATTGAGGGGTTGAGCTCTGTGGGCACCAAGCCGGATTATACCGAATTTGCGTATGCGGATGATTATAGCTATGCTAAGATCAGCTTTGTGGATGAGCAGAATCTGCAGGTCGACTTTTACCAGTCATCCACTGGGGACCTTTTAGATTCGAGCACGCTGTATAAGAGCCATGCGACTCAATTTGTCCAGCAGTAGGCAGGACTTTTTGCAGTGTGCGTTGTGGAGGGCATGATGGCGACGATACTTGCATGAAACGGAAATAGGGATCGTCTGTTTATGTTGGGTAATGTACATGAACAGGGTATTTTGATTGTTGTCCGATTGAAAATTAGCCGACTCGGAGCGCGTCAATAACGGTATTTTTTAGCTCTTACGGTTCTATTTCAAGTCCACAATCAACCAATTTCCCAGCCGTGATCGATGTCACAAATACCAGTGCCCAAATTGGAAAGGGCACGACCCGATAGGAAAATTGCCCCATTCCACAGCCGATGGACCGGTAGCGAAGCACCATGGCGCTGGTCACTTCACGAAAAGGCTAACAAGCCAAGTCCCACTAACAGGCCACAAAATACACGGATCAACGTCGAAATTCTCGAGTTATTCTTTCTCAAGGACTGGATAGGATCGCTATGAGGTTTCCTCGGAATTTGAAAAGCTCAATTGGAAGATAGTTCGGACCGGCTGTCCGACCGGCGCTCACCGCACGCCCTCCATTCGAACCAAGGGGCATAAATCCGCATAATGAGTTTGATTGGCTCGTCAGAAATACGGCAGTCTGTCAACAAAGACCTTGGACACAATTCTCGCCAGAGCGCTTTCTTTTTCCAAGATAGCCCTCCTCCGACTCTTCACTCTGGGCAGAAATTCAACGTCAAAACAGTTGTCGCATATCCAAGCTCGCACCAGGTGTTGCAATCGTGTGAGCTCCCCACTACGGCTGTCCATCTATCATTAAGACGCGCGGAGAACGACTCGGCGACGAATCTGCTAAGGGGAAATTTGACCTCAACTCTTACCCAAAGTGATTGCGCCCTGCACTGGCTTGCCGACTTCGATGGCATCTATGTTCAAAACCCCGGAAGATATCGATTGAGAGCTTTACTCGGAGTCACCTCCGGAATGGGTATCACTATTGCAGAGAATGTTGACTCCGACATATTCGAAATCGTGGTTTGAGGTACCTGTCATCCACCGAACGGCTCGATAGAATCTTTTTTCCGCCGCACTCTCATCACAAGAAGAATATTTCGATTTTGAAACACTGTAACCATATTACTTCACATTCCACATCTACCATAGGGCTTAGAGGGAAAGGCACTAATCGGATTTACTAAACCAGACAGGCGACAATTAAGTTATAGTTAAGATTCCTTTCTCCAACAACGGTAGCAAGAATATGTGTGAAGCTTAAATTCCAGGTTGGGATTGAACTATCGAAGGGGCGAATCAAGTCCCGGTGTGGAACCAGTGCTAACCGGACTATCGGTATATCCTATATGATGTACGAATCAGGAGCAGATAAAATTCTCGTTAAGTCCCACCGCCACGTACAAAGCTACCTTCGTTTCCCTGTCCGTTTTCGTGGACCCCACGTATTGGGCTGGTGTTTAATTACAGGTTTGCACTTTCTTGCTGGGCCACACACATGATCACGCTCGCTGTCTGCTGGATCGCCGAGGAACGAATTAAAATGCAAGGTTTCGTGGTGGGTAGTGGAGGATATGCTCTTGGCATTTTGTGGAGATTATACGCCCACGTTAGCCTAACACTAGGAGATTTGGGTAAAACGGCAACTTATATTACACCGGCTAACTGACCATACACCGGTGCCAACTCTAATATTTCTGCACAGCACGCAGCTTGGGCTGTTCAATCGCATTCTCGGAGACTCTATTTATGCGCAAGTTACCAATAGTTTGGCGGTACAAAGACTCGTCCACGGATTTTTCGCCCGTGATAATGCGGCTCCGGACATAATACGCGCTTGATAAAAATAAGTATTTGCCGTTCACCCAGCCTTTGCTAGCTATAATGCTAGCCTCAGAGGCAATTTAGTTAGCAAATTAAAAGAGAAAATATTCGATCTAGCTAAGGGGGATACACAAAAAGTCCGAATTACGAGGATTTGTGGAGCCTTCCGGCTCCTGTCCGGTGGGCCGAGAAGGCAATGTAACCCTCTGTTCAGGCAAATGTCAGGCTGAAGACTACAGCCAGACTTTGCTGGCCGTAATTATAGCCTTTTTTTCAAGACTTGGTCCGACACTGATATTCGGCCTGAGTGGTTTGGCTAGAGAGAATCCATGCATCCCAGTTGCTGGTGGTTGTGAAGTCCAAGTCCAATTTTCCAGGAAATGTCTACCTTGTTAGTCCATACTGTGTGTTCACTGTTCCTCAGACAATAACTGGGGTGGGATTCTCTGCGGCTGAGGAGGAGGCTTGGAAGGCGTTGATCGAGAATTCTTTTTGAAACACTCCGTTCCGAAATGTGTATCACAGCCATGCATCCAACCAACGATTTCTGGAGAAGGGCGCTCGGAAAAAGCAAACGGTGTATAACACCCAATAAAACGCATCTAGAGATGCATGAAAGCCGGCCCTCGGGTTCTTACCCGTCAAGGCTGAACGTGCAGCCAACCACTAAGCGATCAGCACCGACCAGGACAACAAATAGATATCACCAAACTATACCACTTATATGCATGGCCCACAATGAAGAAAAGGGCAGTCGCGGCATGTTGAAGATAGCATCGAGCATAGTAGCTTGAACAACCACTAACTACTGCTGAAGCCTAGAGGCAGACAAATGCCAAGGTCCAGCCGAATCGGGAAGTCATAGATCGGATCGCCACGCAGGTCCACTCGGCATGACATCACCCGGCAAGCTTTATTTTTCTCGCGTCTACTCCGTACATCTGGAGACCACACCCCCAGCAAACCCAGAACGCGTCTGTCAAACCAGGTCCCAGGCTCTTCACTAGCCCACCCCTCCGGGCCCCATGCAATGGCAAAACGCACGCTAGACGCCTTCTTCAAACCAACCCCTAGCACCACCGCGAAACGAGCCAAGCCAGACCCGGCCACAACACCGCCAACCGAGGACACAGGGCTCCCAGACACACACACCAGCTACCCAATTGCAATTCCACAGCTTCCGTCTCATATTTCCGTCAGCCTCACACATGGCACACCAGCGAAACAGCCGCGCCGCATCACCAACCAGCCAGACCTGGACCTGCTCTACTTCCAGCCATACATAGCGCGAGCAACCGCCAACGAGCTCTTCAAGTTCCTGCGCCGCGAATTGCCCTTCTACCGCGTGCAGTACAACATCAAGCGCGGTGGAGTCGAGACACAAATCAACACGCCACGGTACACGACTGTCTTCGGGGTCGACGAGACGGCACGATTCATTCCTGCCTGTAGCGTGAAAGGCGCCGACCAAGACCATGACCAAGCCCAAGACCAAGACCAAGACCAAGACCAAGACCAAAACACATCCCCATACTCCGAGGCAACCTTCCCCGACGCGGCACAAGATGCAAACAGCCCAGTCCTCGTCGACGCACAATCGCACGCCCCCGTCCGCAGCACCAAGTACCAATACCCACCCCGCCCGATCCCAACCTGCCTCAGTCACCTCCAATCCCGCGTTGAAGCCGTAACAGGCGCCAAATACAATTTCTGCCTAGTGAACTACTACGCCAGCGGCAATGACAGCATCGCGTTCCACTCCGACGACGAGCGGTTTCTTGGGGGCGCGCCGAATATTGCCTCGTTGAGTTTGGGCGGCGAGCGTGAGTTTATTATGAAGCATAAACCGGAGTCGGAGGGGTCGCAGGCAGGGACGAGGATGGGTGGTGGTGATTGTGGTGGGATTGCAACGCTGCCATTGAGTTTGAGTGGCCGTCACACAAGCACGACCACGCCACTACATCTCCAGAGTGGACATGCAAATTCCACTCCCGTCCTACCGCAAGCACAACAGCTCAAAATACCGCTGTGCTCCGGCGACATGGTTGTCATGCGAGGCCCGACACAATCGCATTGGCAACACAGCATCCCGAAACGCAAAGGGCGAGCAGGGGATGCAGTGCGCGGGCGGATTAACATTACCTTTCGGCGGGCCGTTATACCGGCGGGCACGAATAATTACTATCATTATAATGTTGGATGTGGACCGGTGTGGCGATGGAATGAGCAGAGGGGGGAGATAGTGCAGACGGAGAAGGGAGAGTTGGAGAACATAGAGTAAATGGTAAAGAAGACAAAAGTCTGTTCATATACAAAGCCGCCGTCAGTATCTCATCAGCATCACCAAACCACCCCGCGAACCAAATAAGCATCCCCACAAAGAAACATAGCCGTGTAGCGTGCAACATGTAGCAATCGCCGAAGCCATGCATACATTCCAGCTTAGGTTCAAGTGCGATCGCGAAACTCCATGTACATGGCTCCCAAATGAATAAACAGCGAATCAAGTCATCATATGCACTGACGGTTCATAGAACGCCCCGTTCCTTTTTCCCGTCTGGACTGGAGTAATATTCCGTCAGATGGGTAGCGAGAGAGGGACGGCAAAGACCAGAACGTAAAAACGTGAAAGTAAATAAATATCCCCTCCCATCAAGAAGAATGAATAAAAAAAGTACATGTGAAGAAGGCTTGATCTTATGGAATACAAAACCGGATGTAAAGAAAAGGATGGGAGGGCAGAATCGAAGGGTCCCTGGACGGAGTAGAGTCCAGTTGGGTACGGTTAGGAGGGAGGATTGATTAAATCACGACCTCCTCGCCATAGACGTCGGCGTAGCACTGGTAGACATCGGGGCAGCTGGGTCAGGTCAGTACAAGTTCCAATGTGAATCCCACCAGGGTGGAGTTATGCGCCTGTCACTCACAAGATCGGGTCCTTGCCGAAGATTATGTGCCACGAGTACTCCATGATGTTGGCAGTTACCTCGTCCGCCAAGTCATTATTCAGCACCCAGTTATACATGCGCTGGTAATCGCTCAGCGGGCGCTGGAGCACCTGGTCGCGGGACACAGCGAATTGGGAGCAGCACGGCGCGCCAATTTTCTCAGGAACGTTGCTATTGCCGAACAGCTCCTCCCAGGCCTGCGCGTAGTGATTCTCGCCCGTGTCGCCAGGCGTCGGGGGATTGCGGAAGGGCTGCATTTCCGCCGGACAGCCCGGCGACGTTTGGCAGCGCAAACTGACATATCCCTCAGCCAGGACAAATTCGCGTTGCAGGGCGCGCACGGAGTCGACGTTGCTGTAGTCCATGGTGTCGGTGTGCCAGCCGGCGGGCCAGCCGTCGCGGTGGGAGTGGAGGAAGATCATGACGGGGGGAAGGTCATCATAGTGGTCAACGAGGAATTGGAGATAGGGCAGGGCCTCGCGACCCTTGTTCACGGGGGTGTGTGCGGGCACCGAGGTGTCGTCGACAGTGTAAATGAAATTGCGCCATCTGGGAAGCGGGTTCGCGTCAGCCTAGTCTTAGATTTTGGGTCTGGCCAAGCCGACTGGCGGCCGAAACGGGGGATTCTGAACGTCCACGACCCCCTAAAAACAGCGCCCTGGCTGAGACACCAATTAAACCATTTCGCCCAAGATATCACTTACTCGGCCAATTCCGCGGAAACCCAGGCGGTGTCTTCCTCGCGCAGTTTGCCCATGACAATAATGCCCTCATTCGGGACCTCGATGGGGGTGTTTTGGTAGGTTAGGACAGCGGCATTGTTGGTCCCAGTGCCCCATTTTCGGCGGGCAGCATGTGCTTGCTCGGATTGGGGCCGCAGTGCCGCGCGGAAAGATGTGGTGTCGAATTGCCAGAAGGCCTTGGGGCTTTGTTTGCCTGTGTCGAAGCGGCGGTTGAGAAGAACGAGGGTAAAGATGATGAGCGCGGCGGCTGAACCGACTCGAAGTGATAGCCTCATGGCATGCCGTGGTCCACTGTGCGCGCCGGGAAAGGAGCTCGAGGTGGAGGTGTGGTGGAGGGGAAAGAAAGGAGAGAGGGAGGAGAATACGGCGCGATTGTCAAGAGCGGAGGCGGAGCCCCATACGGCGGCGGAGAGGGAGGAGAGTTGTCGCAACGGTGAGCAGCAATTGCAGAGACTCGAAAGTCGAAGATGCCAGTAACAGAAAGTTTGTCAAAAGGACACGGAGAAATTGGAAGGAAAACAGAAAAAAATAGCGAGCCAAAAAGGCAGGCACCGCCAGATTGCGAGACAGGCCCAAACTGCATCCTTCGGGCCAGTACCGGGGGCCTTTGTGTGATTGAGGGCCTGTGATTGGTGGGGCGGAGAGTGCTGGGCGCGATGCACGGCCGATCCAAGTACCCCCAATGTACTTTTCGGTATAGTGCACCCTGAAAAGTACTTCTCCACTACCTACTTATCTGCCGATCAGGTCCCGATGTGACCAGCTGTCGCGCCCCTGGAACCCCTCAACCTCAAACCGATCCTTCTTGACCGACGATCGGTACTCCCGCGCTGCTTAGCGGAAATTACTAATCCGAAGTACGCTGTACCACCCTCTACATAGGGGCCTGGATCGACTTCACCAGGGACCGACCCTATTGAATTGCGATGCCCTATCTGATCATGCACCAACCACACCCACGCCTGGTATATTTACATCTGAATGGGGACATGACTAACCCTCCGCTGCAAGGAGCCGTGTCGTGCAGCCTTTCCGCGTCCACCATCCACTCACCGGCTACATGTCATGACGGGCCCTGACGCCAGGGGGAATGCGACATTCCTCACAATAATCATCCGATGGTCGCGCTGATGTCAACTTACCCGAGACGGTGCCTAAAGAGGACGGAACACAGTAGGGTGGTTGCTCTACCACGATCACGGTCGCTTCACAGCCTCCGAAGACGAGGGCATCCTGCGAGAGGAGTAAAGTAATCCCAAAAGGACTGAACCCAGCGATCCGTCATTCGTTAGTGGAGCGCCAGACAGTCTCAACTGCCCCCCGGTCGGCGCGATACGGAAGATCTGTGCGAGCGCATTTGGAAAAATATACTCCGTACCCAGGACGGTGCGGGATAGTACCCCAGAACAGGCATCTCGGCCACGACAACTCTTTGCACGCGGTTCTATCATGAGTATCGTGTCCTGTGAACAAGCCAAGCCCCTGCAGGGTGCAAATGAACCGCAATTAACTTAATTTACATCTTGCCGCCGCAAGTCCGCCCCCCCTTTCAAGTAAGGGGCCAGAGAAAAGCGCGCCAAAAAAAGCTTGACCCATCGACCAGCAGCTTGTAGGTACTTAACCTGAACTATCTTAGTTAGGTATCCGCCAGGAGGCAGGGTCGTCTGAACCGTGGGTTTACCCGCCCATAATGTATATCATCTCCAACGGGACGTTATATATGGATAGTTGATTTTTAGAGGGAGGCTGGTTAGCAGCCCGATGGTCGGGATTTATCAAATACTTTGGCTATGGCTATTGAAATGCGGATGTCGAAAAGCTATGCCTTCTCTCGTGAATTACCCGACACACTAACCCTATCTATTAACCGTGGCTCTCTAACTACACGCTTATTTCGACTTGATACCTACGGTCTCTAGAGAAAGATTCCTCCCCAGAGATTTTCAGGACCTAACAAAAAAGGGACTCGGGAGCTCAATGATACCCTGCCAGCGGTTGACAGATCTATCGAAGCTTGAGAAAGCAGGAGCTCTTCCGTGTGCAAGAATGAAATAACGTCTGACGAGACACTGCGAGAACAAAGACCAGAAGTAGGGAAATGACAACATACAATCCAATCAGCGTGAAAGCACGTACCATGCCGAGAAAGCAAAGTGTCAAACCCACAGCACAGTATGGGCGAGATATCTCGCCAATTGTTCCAGCCGTGCATCGAAAATTGAGCCTGCGTGAAATGCTGTTTTCTACCGCACTAAGGCCAGAAAACGGTGTACTAAGCTCTGTAACCTCCCCAGGGCTGTGAACGGCGTGGGATTCCAGCGATATTGCATAGCTTCCAGATTGGTTTCCATGGCGGTCGGACATGATCCACGAACACTTGGAGTATCACAACTGTATATATCCATATCTTATTGATCCATGAACTTCAATTGCTTTTTCAATTGCTTCTCTGGAAGCCAAGCACAACTTCTAATTAAAATCAACCCCATGCATTATCAATGATGGATGCAGAGTACCTAACTTAGAGAATGTTATGTCACCTAACAGGAGGAAAGGCAGAGCATCATGTTAACTAGAAAGGTCGATAAAAATCAAGCTACCTGATTAGAATATGAACCACTTGATAATGCAAGTCAAATTTCGATCAATTATGAGTAATACCTAGTATACACCATAAACACCCCGAATGAAGAACCCAGGATATCTCAACGAAAACCGGAAGCTAACAAAAACAGCACGAACTCGTCACCTCACGACAAGCCCGACTCTCTCAGTACAGGCGTATACCCAAGATGACTGGCCCGAACACCTTCATACCCACCCTCATCCCCTATGCCGGCAGCGGAATATTGACATCAAACGCCTCCTCGGCCCCAGCAACCCTCCCAACAATACAACAAGCCCGCTCCAGCAATGTCTCCTCAACACAAAACCGATGCTCCGCCCCAAGATGCAGCATAAACGCTTCCAAACTCTCAAATCCCGGCGGCGCCGCCACCCCCCGCTCCCGACAACAAAAAATACACCCAAACGGACCACGCGCCTGCTTAGGTGCCCCCCCGCTCGCCCGCTTACACTTCATATGGCTCTTGGCAAGGAACAGCCAGCGGAACTGGATGCCGGTGGGCGCGTGGATGAACAGCTTGTTGTTATACTTGGGGTTCTGCCGGTCGCTGTCGGGTGCGAGCGGCATTTCGAAGGAGCAGTTCGCGCAGCGCCATTTTGATTCCATCATGTAGTAGCCTTTCGGCTCGGAGTGGACTTTGAAGCCACCGAGGCCAGAGTGCAATTTCCAGGCGCCTTTGCAGAAGCCGGCATAATTGTTGTCGTTGCTGGGGGGCCAGCAGGAGCGGATTGAAGGGTTGGAGGAGGTGGTGGAGGTGGTGGAGTTGGTGGAGGCGATGGAGGGCGGGTGTTGGGTGCGCGGGGCGGGGGTGCGGGTCGGGGGGGACGCCTCGGTGTTGACTGGGATGGGGGCGTCGCCGGAGCGGGTGCGCTGCGGGGCGCCGGGGTGGGGATGTGGGTGTCGATGTGAGGGTGGAACGGGGCGGGCGTAGGCGTAGTGCTCTTGCCGAATGGTTTCTTCGGCGGCGGGCCGGGGGATGAAGGCTCTTGTGTCGGGGCTAGTGTCCATCATCTGAGGCCTGCGCGGCTGAGGGATTGGCAGGGGCCTCGACGGCTGCGCCCATACTCCATCCGTGTCACTCAGCTGTCTGGCGTCAACGGCAATCCCGCGTGACATTGGCTCAGGAATGGGGTCGGTGTTCGAGGGCTCTTGCCAGTGGTTTTCTGTCGGCGAGGGTCCCGCATCCACCGTCCACGGGTTGGCAGTCATTTCACGGGTCATGTCGTCCTCCATCTCGTGCTGCACAGGCTCCTGGTGCATACTATCATGCCGCTGGGCCGGCGGAGGCTTGTCTTGCTGCCGATACTCCTCCATCTCGTTCTGCCTCTGCTCCTGATTGAGGGCCTGTTGCAGGCGAGCTGCAGTAGCACGATCCTGCTCGATGTAGTCCTGTATCTCGGCTGCATACGCACCGGTCGAGCTCACAGGACCCCCCCGCGGCTGGTCGATAAACGCATGATGATCGGGCATTTCGAGCATGGGCGTGAGCCCCACCCCCGACCCGACGCTTCCAAAGCGAGAGCCAGCATCGATTCGCGAGCCGCCCGCCTCGGCTGATGACCGTCGGCGGCCCGCAAAAATGCTGCCGAGGGAGGTCCGGGAGGATCTTCTGGACTGCGAGGGGGAGCTCTGAGCATCTGCCTGGCGGAGTAAACCCATCGTGTCAGGGGGTGAGCCCGTCAGTCCACCAGATAGAACCGTTCCTACCGGCGAAGAGGACAGGCTTTGAATATATCGGGAGGATGGAACCTGAGCTATGGGCTGATTCTCGATCAGATTAATCCAGTATCCCAGCCTCGACAGCGGGTCAATCAGGGCCGGCCCGGAATCCATCGGCCACGGGATAGAAGCCACTTGTGCGAGCCGCTGGTACAACGCATGGAAGACCTGGATGGTGTCCTTACGACCACGGTCGGATGCGTGCAACAGAGAAAGGATATCGAGATGAGCGTTGTTCTCGCGCAGGTTGGTGAGCAAGGCCCGCTGCAGCTCGATCACGATATCCTTCATCTGCTCACGGGCGATCGCGTCGCCATCCTCGAACCGGCGGCCCAGTCGGCCGGCATGGGCGCTCCACTGGGTGAGGATGTCCTCTTGCCCGCGCCGGAGCGACCACTCGAGGTCGTTGGTGGACGCCTCGCTGGACGCGGTCTCAGGGTGGCGGTGCTGCTTCCATTTTCTCTTGATAGTACTGAAGAGCTGACCACCATCATGGTAGGCGGAGACGACTGGATGTTTGTAAGGTTATCAGCTATACCGTCCTCGCCAGCATCATGGCTGGGTAGTGAATACAGAACTGGAATACGTACCTGCTGCCACGCAGGCGACAACGGCGATCACCTCCGCCCCGGACATGGTGATTGCTGGTGTTGGTCAGAGGTGGGCTTGGCGGGAATGGATGCGGCGATGCCGTCACAGGAGTAGACGGCGGGAGATCAAGAGTTGAGATCGATTCAAAAAGGGGAAGAAGTAGAGATAGCCAGTGGAATCGAAAAGCAAACAGGCAGAGAGGCACGACAAGGACGAGAGATCGAGGATCAGAGAAAGAAGAAAATGCCCAGAAAGTCAGAAAGCCAGATGACCGGGGATATCACCAACCACCCAAACCCCTCTGAATCCAAGGACCTGCGCTCAGCGCCCACTGGGAGCTTTCATCTGCGCCAGCCAGCACGGGCCACAGTCAAGTCATCCTCTGGACTGGTGGATCTGTTTGCGTAGACGAGTCGCCTGCTCGCCTCGGGGCTTTCTGGCAGGGAGAGCCAGAAAGCCGCCAGTCGGGGCAGCGGATGAGAGCCCAGGCGCGATAACCTGCAGGTCTGCAGCGGAGATTAGGTGGCGGCCAGTTTGGTGAGAACAGGCGAGTTCCGGGGGATTGGACGGAGAGGATAGGATAGGGACCCAGTAGAGGTACTGCAAAGTCCGGCACGGCACGCATAGTGGACGAAAGTACCTGAGACCAGGAGACCTGCTGGGAGAGAGGGGGGGGAAGATACCAAGAGGCTAGGAAGTGAGGCTGAGTCTCGTCGCGGAGATTGTCCAATCCCCCGCGCCAGTCAGATGAAGAGAGTGGGGAGGCCAGCATTTGCAGTTGGTTGACGAATCGTCCAATGGCCGCTCCTAAGACCCCCTGACCCCCTGCTGGAGGGCAGTGCCAGCACGACTGCAGAGCCCCGGTAAGTGATATAAGCGATAACGAAGATACCTCGGAACCTGAGCCAACAATGCACGGATGCAGGGCCGAAAGCCAAATTTGCGGAAGCCGGAACGCTGCCAAAGCCGGGGGCGTGGCAGTCGATCGGGCTGTTTACCCCGGAGATCCACTCCACTCCCGTCGTTTCCCCCGGGCTGACATCACCGACGCAATGGGCAGCGGATATCTGGGCTGACCACCGACATTATCCGCCCGGGTTTAGGATATATAATGGAATATATAATGGATCGTCTGCCGGTTTGCGTATTCGACTGCGATAGATGCTTGTCTAAGGACCCACGTCCCGGGCCACGGGACTCCTGGAACCCAGAGGATCCGACGCCACGAGGGAAGAATAAGCATAGACTAGAACCGACGACTTTACTCTCCCAATCTGTTCCCCTCACTAGGTGGGTAGCGCCGATCATAGCTAATAGTGTGGATGGCGAGGCGAGTGACAGCGCCCGGGTCATAGATTCATAGATGCGGTCCCAGATCAGCCCGCTGTCCAACACTGTGTCCTTTTAGAAACAGCTCCTGTCCCAGGCAAGAGCCGCCTGGGTATTGCTGACCTGTCCATGCTCCTCGTACATAATCAAGAATCACGAGTCCGATGACGTACTGCAGGCCCATTTTCATCGCAGATCTGCGGCTACCAAGGTACAGTATGGTACAGCACACGATCCCCATTACAGTAGGAGTTCTGGCCGTGAACCTTCTTCTTTCTCTACACGTAAGGTGGGTTTACATATGCTGATAATATTCTCCTTAGTATCGTATATCGATTGTGACAACTCTCTAATCGTTTTCTTGAGTACATCCATTTGTTTAATTCAAATACGTATTCTCCTCAAGCACGTCGCTTCTATATACTGTAGTTTATATATTTATGAAAGCCGCCGAAAAGCTATTCGTACCGTGACCAAACCAGGCCAGCCTTTTTACCTACGCCATATCCGTGACCGATATCATCAATGATATCACGCCGCCACTGGAGTCCGCTGCAGAGGAGCGTGCACCTCCGACATCTTGTTCACGGGGGCCTCGGACAAGGAAGCCGCCACGTTGGGCGTCTCCACCGGACCGCCCAAGGCGATCAGCACCTGCTCCTTCGTCGCCTCGCCAAGGCCAGCAGCCGCCAGCGTCCTCCCATGCTCAAAGTAGTCGAAGCCACTCACGACCGAAGCCATCTCGATCAGAGCCCGGATAGTCGGCGACGGCAGCCCACACTTCAGCCCGAGCTCGTACCAGGGCACCATGCCGTACAGGATGTCCTCCAACAGATATCGGTGGTGCATGCCCGACGGCGCACTCTTGGTCTTATTGTGGATGACAGAGCCCTTGGCAAAATCGTGATACGTGGGAAACACCTCGTCGTGCTGGTAGTTCTCGTTCATGTACGTCGTGATGGAAACCAGGTCCAGCCCGTACGCGCGCGCAATGGCTAGCCGCTCCTCGTCCACTTTCTCCGTCACCCGCGACACGGCCGGCGACATGCCCTGCGCGTAGAAGTAGAAGTCGCCTTTGGTGGCTTCGATCCAGCCCGCGTTCATCAGCGCTGCCGGGCAGTGCACGACGGGGTTGATATTGTTCAGGCCGACCTGCAGCAGATTCTGGCACCACACCAGCTTCTGCGAGAAGATGGACTCGACCTGGCGGCGGAGACGGGCCTCGGCCCCGGCTTCCAGGCGGGTCGCCTGTGTGGTGGGCGGCTCGGCCCAGATGGCGAGGCTCTTCTTGATGCCCTTGACGAAGACGGTGTCGCCGGTGATGCGGGTGGCGTAGGGGGAAATATCCGTTTCCAGGATGGCGTGAGCGTTGATCTGTTGGCGCGCCGAGAGGTAGAAGAAGTTGCCGACGTTGATGATGAGGGTGTGGTTGCGGAGGTCAAACTGGCTGAGCGTGGCCAGGATGGTGTCTTGGCCGTAGGAGGGGACGGTGGTGACGATGAAGGGGGAGTGTCGGATGGCGAGATAGAGGTCGCTGGTGGTTTGGATGTGGAACCTCCCAGTGATCTCACCGCTGGAGCTCAGCCAGCCATCTTGCTCTTCGATCATGGGCAGGGCGCCGCGGTGATCGGGGTGGCCATAGAGAAGGACCGACTTGCCTCGGCTGGCGAGGTCGGCCGCAAAGGCACAACCGCATGGCCCAGCTCCGATAATCGTGACGGATGGCACAGAGTCGATGTCGACGGTAGGCATGATGGTGTTGATTGTGTTGGGGTATATGGGATATCGGGCGAGACAGATGAGGAGAAAGAGACGCAAGAACAGTTGGGGTCTTCAGCAGAGTGCGCTTAGAGGTGTCCTATTTGAATTCCCTGATTGCGAGGCGATTCGCTGGGTTAAATATTGCAATCCCGAGGACGAATGGATCTAGACACAGCCGCGTAGGGAAGCGCAGAGAACCATGGAAGGCCGGTTTTGCTCTCCTGATCTCCTAGTTGCCCATCACAGAAACTCTGTTGAGCTTGCGTCATGTCCCTCTTCGCGAATATCTTCCGTATGGACAAGCGATATGTCGCATTCCACGCGCATCGGGGGTTGTTGAATCGCGTCTGGCCGTGGCGTGATCTCCGAGAGTATATAGAATAGATTTTTCTTACACAATAGAAACCATATTGTGGATCGTAGGCAGCAGATTATTGAGTGTAACTTGGCACGAGCCCTACGTAGGTGGGGTTATTGGCTATATATCAGACCGTGTGCTTCATGCATTCGCTATGATGCCACCCGAAATCCGCGCCGATCACTAGAATTTGAGTCTAGACATGGGATCGAATGCACCCTCAGAGACAATCAGGCGAGTGCGGTTCAGCGTCCTCCAACGGAACACTATACTCAGTTCCTCTTCTCCGAGCGTGATGGGATTGAAGGAGGACCCCTAGGGCCCGAGCAGATGGGGAATGCACGCCTGGCCCACAAGGTTGGATATGAACCTGCATGGTACGACATGAATCGCCCGAGCAGTGCTTGCGTAACTTATTCATCGATCTGATAATTATTTCTCACGTCGGTCTCGGCCGCGACAAGCAGCGGGTCGTCACAGGTAGATCAAAAAAGATCATAGTCGATCAGGGCGGATCAGTGGGTAAAGTGGACCAGCACGCAAGACCCTTTCACCTCTGGGGCCAATTGCAACCTCTCCAATGCTCCACCCAGTGGCTTCCAAAGACCCTGAAATCCCCCAGGGTCCCTCAGCGCCCAGGGGTCTCCGAATCAAACCACCAAGGCGCATGGGATCCCGCACCTCCGATGGCTGGTCCATCCGTCCGGCCCATACATGGTCCGGAACCGAACCACGAATGGCGAGTGTACCCGTACAAGGTGCCTCTGCAGGCAGTTATTCATACCTGCTGCATTGCTTGTTTTCGGTCAAGCTCATTTTTGAACCTACTGTCGATCGGTCTTGGCTGAACCTCCTGAAGAAATCATGACATAATTGCAAGACTTCCACGTGTTGGAGTGGGTCGTGTAATTCGACGCCAGTACTTTGGAGTTGAGTTGTAGTCATAGTTTTGATAATCCATCATAATTGACTTTCGACGTGAATGAAGAAGAAAAAAGGAGAGGGACCCTTTATTGTCAGTCAAATTAACAAGCTGCTTTTTAAACCCTCTTCTGCTGCGTGACTCGAACCCAGTCACGCCAGAATGAGTTCAGAGTCCTCCCTTTCAAAGGCCGCTCCCAGGCCCTATAGCTCATATAGCAGCTTTCAAAAAGGATACATCGTTTTTACAGCAGCGGGCGCTGGTTTCTTCTCCTCGTTGTCAGCGCAAATCTACTTTCCAGCCCTGAATACTCTTGCCGAGGATCTGAATGTGTCCGCGTCGCTCATTAACCTGACGGTGACAAGTTATATGGTAACTATGAACCCCGGCAAACCTAGCCTCAAATTGCCTGTTTATAACAATCGGTAACCAATACTTTTGCCCAGATCTTCCAAGGTATTGCGCCCATGTTCATTGGCAGCTTCGCAGACCAGGCCGGCCGACGACCTGCATACATTATCTGCTTCATCATTTACATTGCCTCCAACATCGGCCTGGCATTGCAGGACAACTATGCCGCCTTGATCGTACTACGATGTTTGCAGAGCTCCGGGATCAGCAGCACCGTGGCGCTGTCCGCCGCAACTGTGGCCGACATCAGCACGAAAGAAGAGCGAGGATCATCCATGGGCTTCGTCATGGCGGGGAATTTCATGGGGCCAGCCATTGGGCCTATCATCGGTGGCTTACTAGCACAGTATCTCGGCTGGAGGTCGATCTTTTGGTTCCTAACCATTGCATCGGGGGTCTTTCTGCTACCCCTTCTCTTATTCCTCCCAGAGACAGCACGCAATGTCGTCGGGGACGGCTCGTCTCCCGCACAGCCTTGGAACAGGCCCTTTATTCCATGCATGCTGCCGCCAACCAGAACGGCTGAGAAGGGACCCTCCTCACCCCCTGACGATCTCGACAGCTGCGCTAGTGATGATGCGTCGAAGAAGATGCAGCACAAGCTACGATTCCCCAATCCACTCCATCCGCTTACCGTCGTGTTCCATCCCAACTCGATCATTGTTCTCCTAGTCACCGGCGTTATCATGGGTGGCAATATGACCGTCCTCTCCTCCATCACCGAGATCTACAGCGAGCAGTACGGCCTAGACATGCTACAGATAGGGCTGTGCTATATCACGCTGGGGACGGGGTCAATCGTCGCCTCCGTCGTCACAGGACGACTGCTAGACTGGAATTATAAGCGCATGGCCTCCCACAGCGCGAAAGATGACACCCCCGAGGAACAGCAGAAGGCCAAAGATGCCGTGTCGGTCGAGAAAGCCCGCAGCATGATCACCATCCCACTTGTCGTTCTTGGTAGTTTGACCGTGCTGGCCTTCGGCTGGGTGCTCAATTACGGGGCACCCCTCCCAGCGCCGGAGGTGCTTCTGTTCTTCGTTGGGGTGGGCCAGACAGGCGGCTTTATTTCGACCTCGACCCTTCTGGTGGACCTGCATACGTCTCAGCCTGCGGCTGCTACTGCCGCCAACAACATGGTGCGCTCGTTCTTCTCGGCTGGAGCATCCGCTGCTATCGATCCCATGCTGAAGGCGATGGGACGGGGATGGGCATTCACACTTGTCACATTCATCTTACTGGGCACCATTCCGTTCCTCTTGCTGCTCTGTGGCATAGGGCGACAGAAGAAAGACGCGGTACAAGATAGGACTTGAGCGGCCCACACAACTTATTGAGGTATATCAAGACACAGAACGCTCTACAATAAAATCACCACCACGGAAAAGACTGCAGGACCGCATCATGTTGCATAGTCATTTCTTGTTCCATTAACTGCCAGGACGGCATGATAGCAAAGTAATATTAACCAAAGATTATGCACGACGTAAACTCGACCAAAAAGAACATATCTGTATGCGTAAAACAAACCCAGCGCCAAAACACAACGCCGGTCTGGAAATGGAAATAGAACCCCCCTATCCCCCCAAGATATCATCCCAATATATGAACAGAAATCAAAGACAGCAGAAGAGAAACGACCGGTCACGAGAGGGGGTTTAACAGCACCGCCCACGTCTCTTCGCGGTCCGCATGACTTGCACTTCCTCAGCCTCGCCTACCGTCGGCGCCGCCAGCCCCAGCCAGCTGCGTCTCTTATCCCCATACCCCAGTCGGAAACTGCCTGTACCATCCAGGCTGCCCGGCGTAAACGATCCGATCGGTGCATCCGCCAGTCCAGGCGTCCCCGCGGCCGAAAGCACCAGCTCCGCATCCCGACGATTCCGCTGCTCAACTAACTTCCTCGTAATCACGCGAAACACCTCATCAATACCCTCCCCATCCTTCGCACTAATCTCATGACAACAATCCCACCCAATCTCCTGGCCCCAAAACGCAGAGCTCCGTTTACTATCCGGACTCTGCAGCACCCCAGGACTAGCGCCGGCCGCACTAGCCCCCGACGCACTCGTCGCACTGCCCCCGAACATCCCAGACCCAAGCGTCAGCCCCATGCCCATGCTCGCTGTGGGCGGCGGCGTCGACGCCAGACTGGGATACAGCTGCTCCGCGACATACGCGATCGTCCGCTCAAACGGCACGCGCCGCTTGCCCGGGTCCATGGCGACAATATCGCTCTTCGTGCCGACGACATGAATCACCAGCGGATCGGGATCGCCGTCGCCGCTGATATTGCGCCTCAGCTCGCGCAGCCAGCCAGCCATCTCCTGGAAGCTGTTATCGTCGGTGATATCGTAGCATAGCAGGCACGCGTGCGCACCGCGGTAGTATAGGCGGGATATGGAGCGGAAACGCTCCTGACCGGCTGTGTCCCAGATCTGGAGGCGCACCGTGGTGTCGGAGGTGGTGTCGAGGACGCGCTTGGTAACGAAGGACGCGCCTACGGTGGAGGTGGTGGTGGAGGGGTCGAAGGAGTTGCGGACGTACCGCTGGACGAGGGAGGTTTTGCCAACGCCTGCGTGGGGGAAGCGTTAGTATATTCATATTCTCTCTTCGTTTTTTTTTAAAGCGGGGAGGGGCGGCGTACCCTGCGCGCCGAGCACGACTATCTTTGCCTCGAGCGAGGAGCTCATGGCGCGGGGCTGAGGCGAGCGGGGCCAACCGTTCTCATGGGCATGATCGAACTAGATGGCGTGAAGAATGTAAAGGTAGCCGCGGGGGTTTCTGGGACGCAGCTGCAGGAGGGAGAAAGTTGGCAAGGGAGAGAGATCACAAACCAAGGAACCCAACAAAGCGGGATCAGCCGGTCGCTCGTGTTGTTCCAGAGTTCGCAGGTCAGCTGCGGGGGATCTCCCCTTGCACTCTCCCCTTGCACCGCGGCGGGCGCCTGAGTCTTACCAGAGCCCTGGGGGCGTCAGGCAGGTGCAAGCCAGTTGTGACTCACTTTGGCTGGATAGTTGATTACTGATTATGGTCATGTGCGGAAGAAGTTTTTAATCTGTGATTCTTCTGTTTATAGTCCTATTTTGAGCCTCATGCAGGGATTGCCTACCGCCCCTCCCCCCTTGGTCCCCTCCCTCTCGCCAACCTTCAAGTGCACTGGGGGGAGAAGTTGCATCTTCTCTCCACCCAACTTAATGCCGAATTTAAAACCAGACGCCAACTGATACGGACGGATGTAGATATCCATCCTCCATCTGTTCAACACACTAGAATGACCCAAGCAACAACTACGTAAACACCTACTGTGTCAACAGAAATAACTGAAGGAAGGTTTCGTTCCAAGCTTGAAAACAGGAGCAGTAGTATTGATATTAAAAATGCAATCGAAGGGTATATTCGGACAAGAGACACCAGTCTCGGGGGTGCAGTTTGGAACCAGTGGCAGCGGCCAGCGCGGGAACACATCCTGCAACAGACAGAAATATGGCATGACGACATGAGGAGAGACGGGAAGGAAAATAGAGATAGGATATAAATAGGCCAGCTTTGATCCCAGCCCCATCCTGTTCATTCCGCGCGTTTTTAAATGCCGTGCTCACGCTGCTCGTCCTCGGAGGAAGGGGACGCAGCGCCCTTCTCAGGGTCGGTGGGCCTCGCGTCACAAAAGCCATACTCGGCCGCCTTCTGCTCGATCTCGTCGTCGCTGAGTTTGGGCAGCTCATAAGAGGCCTTGACATAGCTCATCTTCTCGCAGTAGGCCTTGGCGAAGATCAGGTCGATTTCCTCGAGGGAACGGCCGGCGGTCTCGGGGTAGAAGAAGTACATCGGCGGGATGAAGATGGCATTCATCACCGCGAAGAACAGGTACGTCCCCCAGTGGATATGGGCGACCATCACAGGGGTGATCATGACAACGGTGAAGTTGAACAGCCAGTTCGAGCAGGTGGAGACGGCGTTCGCCTTGGCGCGTGTGCGGATAGGCGACAGCTCAGCCGGGTACAGCCAGGGCAGAGGCAGCATGGCCGCGCCGAAGAACGCCATGTACAGGAAGAGACCGAACACGGCGCCCTTGGCGGGACCGGGGGAGCCGGGGATCAGGCAGGCGAAGACAATGATCATGGAAACCATTTGGCCCGTCATCCCGCCGATGAACAGCTTGCGGCGGCCGATCTTCTCGATGAAGAACCAGGAGAAGGTGGCGAAGATGGCGTAGACGATCATGTTGACACCGCCGATCAGCATGGACATGAAGTCGTCCTGGCCGAGGGACTGCTTGAGCAGCACGGGGAGGTAGTAGATCACGGCGTTGCAGCCGGACAGCTGCTGAGCGATCTGCGAGGACGAGCCGATGAGCATGCGGCGGAAGTGCTGAGTCTTGCCGCCGGTAAGCAGGTCGGAGTAGCCGGAGCCCTCGGCGACACCCGCACTAGAAAGAGGGTGAGTGAGTGAGATACATTTGAGGGGACGTAACAGATGAGAACGTACGCTTCAATGGACTCAATGACAAGTTGCTTCTGGATCTGGGTCTCGTGGTCGTCGATTTCTTTCCCAGCCAGCGCCGCGAGCACATACTCCCCCTCGTGCACCTTGCCCTTGGAGATCAGGTAACGAGGCGAATCGGGGAGGAAGTACATGCCCACGATGATGATGACTCCGAAGACGATCTGGAAGGCGATGGGGAACCGCCAGACGAGGTCGGGAGGACCATACGAGGCCCCGAAATCAATCCAGTAGGCGATCGCAGTTCCAATGGCGATGACGCCGCCCTCAATACAGATCAGCAGGCCACGGTTGCTAGTGCGGGAGCACTCCGCCTGGTAGGTGGGGATCGTGGAGGTGTTCATGCCGTTTCCAATACCGGTGATGACACGGCCGAACATGAACTGCAACAGGGGGATATGGTCGGCGAACGAGGTCACTTGGATAATGACCCCGATGATCATAATCGCCGCGCCCCAAATGACCATCCAGCGACGACCCATCCGGTCCCCAGTAAACAGAGCCCAGACCGCACCGAATAGACAGCCCAGCTCGTACACGGCCGTAATGAGGGCTTGCATGGTGTTATTGCCCTTGGTGGCCGTAAAGACGTCGTCAAAGGCCTTGGCGGAAATGATGCCCGACATCACACCCTGGTCGTAGCCGAAGAGCAGGAAACCCATGGTGGCAATCGTGGACACTGTCAGGGACAGCGGCCTGCCGGACATGCCAGCATAGGAGGGCGCCATGGTGGCAATTGTCGTGGTGGTAGCGAGTATAGGGGATTGTAGGTATTAGGCTAGTTGCGGCAAGCCAGGATGGGGAAGGGGTGTGGTGGTATATCCCCACGTGTCGATATATCGTTCCAAGAAAGGGGAGTGTGTAAAGAAGACTGGAACTGGAGCAGAGAAATACGGAGAACGAAGGGAGAAACGAAGGGAGACCCTGGGGACGGCGAGGGGAGCGGCCCTATTTAAAAGGCGCGCATCCTAACAGCCCAGCGCACCACGCAAGTGGCAACGAGATGCAATCGTGGGGGGCTGCAGCATTTCCCCGTGTTAGGCATCGTCGTGTGCGCGGATTCTCGTTGCCCTTGCCATCAGCATCGGGCGGTCCATCCAGGACAGAGTGACTGGCTCCCGAGCCCGCCAGCCGACCGATTCTAGGGCTCCACCCATACTGCAGGCCGTGCTGGTACGGCGCATGGGGGCTCCGCTGGGTGGAGCCAAGCTCCCGGATGCATCAATAATGGGCAGTTAAGCATTTTCGAGGACCCGCCCGGCGCCGCGTTAGCGGGCGTCCCTGACGACATCAAGGCCGCCCCAGTCAACGCGCACGGTGGGAGGGTCCAGTCTGCGTACCTCGATGATTGGCACCAAGTCGAGTGGAGGAGCAGTGAGTGTGCGGGTTACGTTGTCGATGCGCTGTGACGGTGTTGAGATGCCTGAGCCATTCACATCGAGTAGGAATTTGTCCTGGGGCTCGAGTAGCCTTCCTAGTTGGGAGGGGCTGGACGGGGCTGGCGATAGTCGGAATATGCTGAATGCACCACAACCGTGCAAGACGGTAGGGTACTTCGCAGGAGTGTGAAGGCACAGGTGGTGCTATTGACAATAAGCTTGCGGCATCGGCAAGGAGGTCGCAACCCTGTCGCGACCACATTCACGGGCCGAATCACGAGATTGACCAATTGGAATCGTAGTCAACCCAAACCCGTCCCGCTAACCAGGGCCGTTCCATCTTCCGCTCTCTCTCGGGAGGCCGTATCACACGTCGGACTACGGTGCACTCGCCTACCGACCAACCATTCCCCCTCTCAGGAACTTGCCACACAATAGCCGCTTCTCTGGGACGTCGCCATCGAACAATAGCGCCACTACAGACCCTTGGGGCTGCCGGGCACACCCCTCAACCCGACCCCGACCCTGCCCCATGCAAACCGACCGTGGTGTGCGCCCAGCGGCGCGGAGTATGAGGGGAACCGGAGTCGAGAGAGGGGATGAGCATGCCCGGACCCTCGGGGCTGCAGCGAAACCCTCGGGAAGCCGTCACCGTAGGCCCGACCGAGCACGGCGCAAGCGATGATGCCAGAATGCACCGGGCGCGAACTAGCGGACCCTCCAGCGGATCAGTGGGGCATAGCGGACCCATTCTTGAATCGCATGCCTGGCGAGAATCTAGCCTGCTATCTACAGCACTGGACTCAATTCTGCAGGCGTCTGGCGTCCAGAGTATGGTGCTTTTCGTTCAATTCTCCGTGCCGATGCATGCAAACGACTACCCCCAAATATGGGGATTTGAATCTTTCTCTCCCAGAGAAGTTTTCCCTTCACTACCACCGCATCACTTGAAGCTCCCCGTTGTAGAAGCGGGCTGGTACGCCTCACCCGGCCACAGTCACCGGAACAAGTCCGTCAAATGGAAACCCACCGCAACACAGCCTGCCCTCTCAGACGCCCCGGACCCACGTCACTGGCTCCAGCTGCCCCCGTTGGAAACAAAACTCGGGTGCACTCTCGCGATCCATCCAGCGCGCATGGCGGGAAAGCGACGTCAGCCTCCACGCGATGATGTAGGGAACCACTTTTCGGCGTGGTGGCATTTTTCTCGAATCGCCCAGCGGGGTCGGACAAACTCTTACCAGGTCTGCGCTGCCTTGATATCGTGGGGCTCGCCCGGCGATCCCAGTAACGTCATACCCGAAGGCACGCCGAACTCGACGGCTTTTCAGCACCACGGAGGAAACAGCCGTGGGTCCAGCAAAAATCTCATTACTTTAGTGATCGGTTCCCATCAAACAGACAAATGCAGAGGCATCAAGGTCGTGGTAAAGACAGTGCCGTCTGGCAGGGACCGTAGTCATATGCGCGAGGCTCGGTCTAACATCTGGCTACGACCAGGCCACGGCTGGGATGGATCTTAGCAGCACGGCCATGCGATAACATGGGTCTCCTGCCACGAGGAGCTCAAGCTACCTATCCCTCTCTGCATCCGCTGCACTAGGCAAAGAACGGGCGAAGCAGAAGCTCGGATGCGCTGTTGTCATCGCGTGGCGGGACACACGACGCGCCCGGGAACACTAGACGAACTCGGCCAGCGTCGCACGTCGCATGACTGTTGCGAGGTTAGATGTGCAGGGATGTGCTTCGATGCCGACGTCGATGCTTGCATTGGAGCTGGCCGTGGTTGATGCTTTTTGTGAGGTGAAAGCTGGAGATGGGATCGACAGTGGCGTCTGTCGGCCCGTCAGCCACGAGGTTGGAATTGTAGGAGGATTGGTGAGAGGCGGAGTGCAGGGGGTTGCCGAAATTCACGTTTGTTCGCAGCTCTAATGATGGTTCTAGGGGTATCTGCTCCTCCCTCTCAGAGACATTTGAGGCATTCTTCTGTGGCAGCAAGTGTTTCGGAGCTTCTCGGCCTCAGGCATATATGATCATTGCCATTGCGTCGGACACTTGTTGCCTCAGGCCATAATGTCATTCGCAGGCCTTCCCCCTGTAGAACTATGTCTCATGGACGCATCATGGCCAATCCCCCTGTAAAATTCCCCTGCGTGCAGGAGCTGCAAACAAGCCAGTATGATCTCTCCACAAAACTGCTCGGGGTGACATTCTCCGGAGCCGACGCCGGGTAATGCGCGGGCTTTGACTGGCCGGGCCGCCTTCAGATGGGCCGAGGCTGCTGGCCTGGCCTCCATGTACATGCATTGAATACATGTAATGCCACAAGGACGGTGCGCGGTCTATGATTGTGTGTCCTGAAGGACCCGCACGAGAGCATCCTATCGGCCGTCTCGGCCGTTGTGTATTGGAGGAGACGTGCTGTAGTTCATGGGTGTAGTTCATGGGCGACGATTGACGGACCAGCGGCGAATCAAATCGACCCGAGTCGGCCGAGAAGCTCCCCGCAACGTTTCTCTCCCCCGGACTTCATTAGACCGAGGCGTACAAGCCCATCTTGTTCTTCTCCGAACACTCCTGCCCTCACACACATCCTCCGCTGCCTTCTTTTCTCCTGTAGGACTGGATGCGGTAGAGCTCTTTGTTTTGTTTCACATCCTCTCCGCAATCATGAGCCAAAAGTTGACAGGCGCCGCCGTCGCCGAGCACAACTCCAAGGATTCATGCTGGGTAATCGTGCACGGCAAGGCCTACGATGTCACCGAGTTCCTGCCAGGTAGGCACCTGACAAAAGTTCACGTTGCTCCGGCTCGACCGTCTAACACCCTTTAGAACACCCGGGCGGCCAAAAAATCATCCTCAAGTACGCCGGCAAAGATGCGACCGAGGAATTCGACCCCATCCACCCTCCCGACACCCTTGATAAGTACCTCGACCATTCCAAGCATCTCGGCGAGGTCGACATGTCCACTGTCGAGCAGGAGGAGAAGGCATTCGACCCGGAGGAGGCCGACCGCTTGGAGCGCGTGAAGCGGATGCCCCCGCTCGCCGCGTGCTACAACCTCCTGGACTTTGAGTCCGTTGCACGGCAGGTCATGAAGAAAACGGCGTGGGCATACTACTCCAGCGGAGCAGATGATGAGATCGTACGTGGCAGCGCCACCCCAACCCTGGAATAATCAACTAACATGAACTCCCATCTTCCCTTGTGCAGACATTGCGTGAGAACCACCTTGCCTTCCACAAGATCTGGTTCCGTCCCCGCGTCCTCGTCGATGTCGCGAACATCGATATGTCCACCACCATGCTCGGCACTCCCTGCTCCATCCCCTTCTACGTGACCGCCACCGCACTCGGCAAGCTAGGGCACCCGGAAGGCGAAGTCGTGCTCACCAGGGCCGCGCACCAGCACCAGGTCGTCCAGATGATCCCGACCCTAGCATCCTGCTCCTTCGACGAGATCGTCGACGCCCGGCAAGGCGATCAGGTGCAGTGGCTACAGCTCTACGTCAACAAAGACCGCGAGATCACGCGGAGGATTGTCGCGCATGCCGAAGCTCGGGGGTGCAAGGGCCTCTTCATCACAGTCGACGCACCCCAGCTCGGCCGCCGCGAGAAAGATATGCGGTCGAAGTTCAGCGACGCCGGCTCGAACGTACAAACAGGCGACGACTCGGTCGACCGCTCCCAGGGCGCCGCCCGCGCCATCTCCTCCTTCATCGACCCCGCACTCTCGTGGAAGGATATCCCTTGGTTCAAGAGCATCACGAAGATGCCGATTGTGCTGAAGGGGGTGCAATGCGTTGAGGACGTGCTGCGCGCCGTCGAGGCCGGCGTCGACGGTGTCGTGCTCTCCAACCACGGCGGCCGCCAACTCGAAACCGCCCGCTCGGGTATCGAGATTCTGGCTGAGGTGATGCCGGCGCTGCGCGAGCGCGGCTGGGAGAAGCGCCTCGAGGTGTACGTTGACGGTGGTGTGCGCCGGGCCACCGATATCCTGAAGGCGCTGTGCCTCGGCGCCAAGGGCGTTGGCATCGGGCGACCCTTCTTGTACGCTATGTCTGCGTATGGGCTGGACGGGGTCAACCGGGCGATGCAGCTGCTAAAGGACGAGATGGAGATGAATATGCGGCTGATTGGCGCGGCGCGGATTGAGGAGCTGAACCCTAGTTTGCTGGACACGAGGGGCTTGTTGGGTGGGCATGCTGGTGCCATCCCATCCGACACGCTTGGTCTCCACGCGTATGATCCGCTGGAGGCGCCGCGGTTCAATGAGAAGGCCAAGCTGTAGACCATTGGCGCTGGTAGGGTGTTTATGGGCACTGTGTGTCTGTTGATATTTGAGCATGTTGCGTTAGATACTCTTTTTTCCTTCTGGGACGCATATATATTATACCCTTGTCCAGTATTAGGCATTGAAAGCTACAATAGAAAACACGACAGACAATCAATCAAATTTCTGCGCACCTAAGTACTTTTCGATTCTACCGAGATTCTGATGTTCCGGTTTCCTTGCCATACCACAGGTAATAGGTCCCTGCCATGGCGTTTACCTGGGCCCTTGAGCGTTGTAACCGCCGAGTATTGGCCATCCCATGGACTATTGCTTAATTATCGGTGCTTGATTACCCCCAAGTAACAAAGCTGCTTGTCAAAATGACCCTGGACTGATCATAGCATCTTTGCCGCCATTTCCCCATCCACAACTTGGACACGTTGATTTCCAGGCGGGGAATTGGGGCGCCGGTTGAGGCGATGACCCGCGTGGCTGACTTTGGACCCCGCGGGGCGAGGCTGGAGTTGCATTCATCCTCGTCAAAAGAAGCGCTAAATGAAAAGCTCCAGTTGGCACTGTCCATGAATCCCCGGCCTCCAACCAACATAGCCTTGGCTACTACGTACGAGATGTCCCTGCAAATAATCCTCCCTCTCTCATTGATGGACTCTGCATTTGCTATTCATCGGCTGGCGTAGACCAACACCATAATCATTCCCACAGGTGCGAAGTTTATATCATGCACATTCTGTAGCCGAGATCTGATCTTTGGATCATTCAAAGGGACGCTACCTGCCGCCTGACTTGAAGGCTCTTAATTCACTACAACTCCCTCACTTCCTTTCAAACGCAATGAGACCTCTCCGACTTTGTGCCCTCCTTGTGGTTGTGGCTATCTTTCCTCAGGTCACCGGGAGTGACTCTCTCGCAATCCCCATAGCGCCAATTTCGATCGGGTCCCTCGCCAGCCAGTTCTCGCCGCCGAAGCGTGAAGATGCAGCCACGATCGAAGCGATCAGAAACACACTCGCAATCTATCCCTTTGCCATCGATGGCAAAGATTTTGATGCCTTGAGTAAAGTGTTCACCAGCGATACGACAGCCAACTATTCGGCCCCGCTGAATGTGCTAACACCACTGTCTACTATTCAATCGACACTCAAAGCTAGCCTGACGTGCGTGACTACGCAGCACTTGTATGGCACTCAGCTTATCGATGTTATCTCCCCCACTGTCGCCCGGTCCGTGACGTATTTCCGCGCTGCTCATTTTGGGAAAGGAGATACCACGGGACAGGTCCTTTATGCCTTTGGCAATTATCAGGATAGGTGGCACCTTCAAGATGATCACACGTGGAGGATTACATATCGCAATCTGGTATACATGGTAGGTTCGATGCGATTCAACCTAGCAGCAAAGCTAGAAAATTAATCAATTCATGCGATAGGGACCGTTCATTGGAAACCAGTCAATGTTTGTATGCTAGCAATCTCATGACGATATGCTGGACGATATCGATGGTGCGCTTTACTTGAAGAAGCAGCTCAATTCTCGAGAGCCGCAATAGAGACCTCAAGCTCCTGACAGGCTTCGACTTGAAATCAATCTACTTGGTACTCATCCGTGACCCGCAGTCGCTCACTGATTCTCGACGAATAGAAGAACAAGAATAGTAATGACACAATTCCGACGTATAAGCGTATACTTGTTCACGCACCTACAGGGATCCGCGGGTACCTTAACATAGGAACTACACGATTCTTCCAATGCTAGGACCTATATAAGGGACTATGTATAGCGAAATGGTAGATGGATGTTCGCGGAATAACATCTCTTCCATTAAGCTGTCGAGGCCGGAGTGAAAAGAACTTCTCCGTAGAACTTGGATCTTGCATTAAATAGGGTTCATACCATGGCATGGGAGAAATTCAATGTACTGGTTATTCAAGTGCATATAACATCCCGAGGGAAGACATTCGAGGTGCTGGCATCGATGATCTTCTCCACATTTTCCAGGAAATAATCTATGGTGACGCGATCACTACATGTTGGCTATACGGAAAAGGTCTCTTGCAACAGCATTATCATGGATTGCAGGCTCCTATGTACATTTTCGCCTCGCAAAGCATCCACTCTGAAACGCAAGTTATGATTAGACGCCATGCACGCTCCAGCCGGAGGAAAAGAACCAACTATCATCAAAGTTCAATAACTTGCGGCGGATTCCGCAGTCTCCCGCTACTGCGATACATGCATGCCGCATTCACCATCCATCCCCCGTCCCGCGTCTCGCCTCCCCAGACCCTCGACCACACCACGCCCAGCACACCGTACAACACAACTCGGGCCGCATCAGCCCAACCAGACGGATCGAACAGGTCCCGGAAGAAGCCCGTCAACGCCATAAGACGACCGTACTTTGCACGGGGGCGCCTCGACGCACACAGGCGCTCCCACGCGCGCTGCGCTTCGTCCCAGAAGATGGGTTCCCGGCCTGCCGAGTTGTGGATGTGCCCGAAGACGTGTAGCGCGGGCCGCACGCGCCACGCTTCAGCGAGGAGATTCGGACAGCCGGTTGAGTAGACTGGGGACATGTCCAGATGTGCTTGTGGGGGGGTGTGCGTGACCAGGATGTCTGTGTCGGACGGGACGGTGCGCGACCAGGCGTCGTGGTGTGGCGGGTATGTGAAGGCGTGCTCGGGGCCGAAGGGGACGAGCGCGGGGATTTGCGGGGCACCGTAGATGGTGAGTTCGCGCGCGCGCGAGCTTGAGCTTGTGAGCGGTGTTGTTGACGAGGTCGAGGATGAGTCTGTCGCGCTGGGGAAGGACAGTGTTACGGCGGAGTGCTGGAGGTAGTGGATGTCACCCCAGTCGATGCGCGAGGACGCGGTCTCGTCGAGGGAGTGGATGGAGGCTGTGGACGCGGAAACCGCCGCAAATGAGGAGGAGGGCTTCTCATCACGATCTTCCTCGCAGCGCGACCGCACGTCGAAGTAGCTGTCATGGTTGCCGCAGATGACGACCTTCTGTGGGTGCGGGAGCGAGCGCAGCCAGTCGACGGCGGCTTGGATCTCGCGTACGGAGCCGTCGTTGGCCAGGTCGCCGGCGTGAATCAAGAGGTCGCCATCGGGTATGTCGGGCCACTCGAGGGTGTGGGTGTCGGAGATACAGACGACGCGGATCGGCCGAGCGTTGGGGGGTGATGGTCGGGGAGATCCCCGGATGCGGAGGAGGAGCTGATGGAGCGGGTAGAGGAGGGCGAGGAGCGGGGAGGAGATGAAGTAGTCTGGCAGTGGACGGTGATGGTAGGGGTTGGACATGGTGGTGATCGAGTGCCCCGGTTGCTGGGAAACAGCTGGTGGAGCAAGGAAGCAAGGTTGTTTGAGCCGTGTCGGAGTTTGGGAGGTTGTCAGTTTGGGCGGGCGTGGATGGAGAGATCTCGGTGACATCCGGATGAGATGGACGAGACCATTTTGACCGACGGTCCCGGCAGATTCTAATGTCTGATACTGGTAGTCTAATCATATTGTACGATTCTATTGACTTCCCATGATAGTAGAGTGGGCCTCCGATCGGTCCTCTGGGCTGTTTGCTAGTCAACGACAGCGCTACATACTGCTCATCTGTATTCTGGACTTTGTATAGTTGCCTCGGACAACAGCAAGAATGGCAAAGTCTTGCTATAATCCTATAAGGCTTGACAGAATGACGACTGTAGCTCACTAGCCGATCCTCTCCGCCAGTCATGTCGACTAGTTTATTTTGGCGCCCATCTGCAACGCATCACCAGCCCCTTCCCCCGCGCTGGGCACCAGATCGCAATCTGCACGATGCTATATAGCCCGGGCATTCGATTATTCTCTTGCGCAATGTGATCTGGATCGCTGTGCGTATTGTTGATCAAGCTTCCCTTGTTTACTCCGATCGGCCCACGTCTATTTCCTGTTTACTTGGTTGAGTTCTCGGGCTCGATGCGTCGTTCGCCACATCCGTCGCATACACACCAACTTGGCTGCTTGCGGAATCTCTCTTCCTCACCACCCTCTTCCTCCCGTGCATCGCCCTAAAGCGACTCTTTTCGACCTACATTCTCTCCTCCGTCGCATCCTATCACTGACACTTTGTTGCGCCCTCCTGTCTCCCCTTCTTCTCGTCACCTGTCCTGCGGTGAAGGGCCCCTCCGCGCGCCACCCTCTTTTCCCTCCCGCAACCAACCACCTCGCATCCCGGTGCCCCGCCTCTCTCAGCTGTCGTCCCCCCAACTCCTTCCACTCCACAACATGGAGGGCGTTGATCTCACCAAGGCCATGTTGAACAAGGGGAAACAGATAGCCAGTGTGGCTGCCTCCGCTGCCAATGGCAACGGCGGCAAGAAGAGGAGAAAGGGCACTGACCTCAAACCCATCGTCACCAATGATGCAAAGTCGGGCGAAGCGGGCGAGGCCACAGAATCGTAGGTGCCATTTTTTTCCCCTCAACCTGCCGCGACCTCCCCTCCCACCGCACCTCAGATCATGAAAATTCTGAAGCTTCTTCTTCTCTGTTTTATCTCGCTGACAACTCTTTCTCCGACAACAGCAGTGGCGCCGCACCAAATTCTAAAGCCATTGGAACGTCAGGTTCGCGCTCGCCGTCTACCTCGTCGGGCGACGAGCTCGAAACCGCCGCCGAGGAGGAAGATTCCGAGGATTACTGCAAGGGTGGTTATCACCCGGTAGCCGTGGGCGAGACATATAACAATGGCCGGTATGTCGTGGTGCGCAAGCTTGGGTGGGGCCACTTCTCGACCGTGTGGTTGTCGAGGGATACGACCACGAACAAACACGTCGCGTTGAAGGTCGTTCGCTCCGCCGCCCACTACACCGAGACCGCCATAGACGAGATCAAGCTGCTCAACCGAATCGTCCAAGCGAAACCTTCCCACCCGGGCCGCAAGCATGTGGTCAGTCTGCTGGATTCGTTCGAACACAAGGGACCCAACGGCGTCCACGTGTGTATGGTGTTTGAGGTGCTGGGCGAGAATCTGCTGGGTCTGATCAAGCGATGGAACCACCGGGGCATCCCGATGCCATTAGTCAAGCAGATCACGAAGCAGGTGCTACTGGGATTGGACTACCTGCATCGCGAGTGTGGGATTATTCATACGGACCTCAAGCCGGAAAATGTGTTGATTGAGATTGGCGACGTCGAGCAGATTGTGAAAGCTCACGTACAGCAAGAAGAGGCGCAGAAGGAGACGGAGAATAAGGAGGACAACCGGAATGGGCGGCGGCGACGGCGCACGTTGATTACGGGCAGCCAACCGCTTCCCAGCCCGCTGAACACCAGCTTCAGCAGCTTTGATTTCAAACACAGCTCGTCCAATTCGCACAGCAGTTTGAGCCAGATGGTGAACGATCCGAGTGAGTGTATCCCGTGGAAAAGGTTGCATAGAACACTTGGGGACTGTCGATTAACATGCGACTCATTTAGCACCAAATGAGCCATCGATGAGGGAGACCCTCGGGATCAAGACCGAGGATGAGCAGCAGAAGACGCGAGAAAAGACAGCGTACGCCCCCTCCCAGAAGTGGACATTCACTACCGCCCGTACCACCCTGAAGCTAACGTATCCCCCAAGTGATCTCCTGGAGAGAGAAGTATCCGGTATATCTCTCGACAAGAGCTCGTCAAGGAAGTCTCTCGAAGAGGAGATCGACGCTAGCATTATCTCTGTTAAGATCGCCGATCTGGGTAACGCATGCTGGGTTGGCCATCACTTTACCAACGACATCCAGACGCGGCAATACCGCTCGCCGGAGGTTATACTAGGTGCGAAATGGGGGGCCAGTACGGACGTGTGGAGTATGGCATGCATGGTAAGGCGATCCCATCAACCCCACCAGTCTTCAAATGAATTGCACGTCTAAAATATACAGGTCTTTGAACTCATCACGGGAGACTATCTCTTCGACCCGCAATCCGGCACCAAGTATGGCAAAGACGACGACCACATCGCCCAAATCATCGAGCTGCTTGGACCTTTCCCCAAATCTCTCTGCCTGTCTGGTAAATGGTCGCAAGATATCTTCAATCGCAAGGGCGAGCTGCGCAATATCCACCGCCTGCGCCATTGGGCCTTGCCGGAAGTCCTACGCGAGAAATACCACTACAGCGTGGAAGAAGCCATGCGCATCAGCGAATTCCTCCTGCCCATGCTGGACCTGTCGCCGGAGAAGCGCGCCAACGCCGGCGGCATGGGGTCGCACGAGTGGATGAAGGATACGCCAGGCATGGACGGGATCAGCCTAGGCATTCCGCCGGGGACGCGGGGCGAGGGGATTGAGGGGTGGGCGGCCGAAGTCAAGCGGCGCTAGTGGAGCCGTGCTGTGAGCGTAACAGGGTTTGTTGTATCTCAGCGAGTTCTTCTTCCCTTCTTTCTTTTTCTACTCGGCTCCCTCTTGTCCATTTTCTTTTCTTTCCATCTTTGACGGGCTGGGACCCTAGACGGGCCGATCTGTCAGATTTGCTTCCTGGATTTATCTTTTCTCTTTCTTTTCGCCCCCCGACCCTATCTACCTATCCTATCTTACCTTATCTATCCCAACCAACCGCGATGAAGTGCGAGACTTAACGATCTTTTCCTCTCTCGATTACGTTACAGGATGCGAACGTGGTCGGTTCACGTGTCTGCTTTTTTTTTTTTTTTTTCCTATATTTCCTTTCCTCCTCTCTTTCGTCCGGTCCGGTCGGTAGCTGTTTGGATGGCGCAGCCCCCCTCAGCATGATTCGCGCCCTGTCCATATCCCGCTATGCCCTTGGCCCTTGCCTTTTCAACTCCTATATTAAGCCCATAGAATCTTGTGCTCCAGCTCATTATCGTTTCTTTCCATATCGTGCGCGGTGGCATCTATGGTGTGTGATGTGATGACCATCCTGTCCGCTGGATTGCTATTATTCCTCGGCTACCTGTGGCTCCTGTGGCGCATCTGGCATTGGCGGTTGATATTGGCTTGTGTTGCGTATTACGTTGTTAGAAATACGAAGACTGTATGACGGACATTTTCAGATGCGCGTCTGTTGTGCGGTTTACTCGTTATCGTCAAGGCTGGTTGGTTATGTGTAGAAATTTCAAGAGGCAGTCATAGGAATCCCTTTGGTTCACCTTACGGCCGTCTATTCGAACATGAATATTTGACAGCGATTTTACCATGCGGAAGGGAAGGTGAAAGGATTCGAACCATTCTCAAGTAGTTGTGGGTGTCTTAAGGGAGGTGGCTGTACCCTAGGGTACAGTTACTAGGTATCCTGCACAAATAGATCCCCATTATTCTCCTCGTCCTCGCTGGGTAGCAGTTTCGGGAACCAGCCATACTGGGAGAAGTCGACATATATCTCGCCCATGCTATCTCTAGTTACCTCGACGCCTTCTTCGCGAAGAGCTTCTGCTTGGCGCTCTGCGCTACCTGGTCCACTAAGCGTGCGAGTAAGCTCATATCACGGACCGAATATACTATTCAAGGTGGAGTTAAACGGAAAGCGTGTCTGAGACAGCTTTTGTTACATACCGATGTGATATCATGCCCTTGGAGTTGATAACTCGCTGCCATGGCACTGTGCTTGAGTTGAAGTGAGCACCAGACTCTGCATCAGGCAGGGACTTGAGACAAACACCAACTTGGCGCGGCCTTTGGGCTAAGGCATGGCACGTGCTGTCAGCAAGTGTACGTGAACAATTGTCGTGGTGGGTACATACGCTCGCCGAGAAGTAGGGCGATATGGCCGTAGGACGTGACTTTGCCGTGAGGAATCTCCTGGATGGCCGCATAGACGGCATTAGCCCACCACTCTGCTTCTTCGGAGCGCGGCATCTTCCCGACGGCCAAACTCTTGCTTTCGGCTCTCCCTAAGCCCAGACGCAAGGAAGCCGGGAACTTGCTCGCATCGAGGGACAACGGGTGACTAGGCGGGATACAGTTCGGGAAAACGTTCCTCCGCCTATCGATAAGTCGAGGCAAACCATTTGCTGCACAGCTCCGCGTCCAAAAGACATCCACACCGACCAAACACAATCCTTCTCGAACCATGCCGGGCTCACTGGCGGACTACCTCGCCAAAAACTACCTAAACGCAGACCCAGCCCCAGACCGCCCCAAGAAGAAGCGCAAGAAGACCAAAGCCGCGGACACCGCTGGCACTGGTCTTATTATCGCAGATGACGACGCCCCAGTCTTCGGCAATGCGCGCCCCCTCGAAGATGATGAATACAAGCCCTCCCTCGACACATCGGCCGCGAGCGCCGAGTTTCGCCGCGCAAAGAAATCCAGCTGGAAGACCCTTGGCGGATCCGCGCCCGCCCCCGGGCAGAACGAGCAAGAAGCCGCAGACGCAATCCTAGCCTCAGCAGCCGCGGAGCGCGCCGCCCGCCAAGCAGACGAAGATGACGAGGGACCCGTGATTGAAGGGACAGAAGAGGATGCAGGACCCCGCATGGAAACCGGGGCTCGAGCCGGCCTCCAAACAGCCGCGGACACAGCCGCGATGGTAAAAGCACAGGAGCGCCGCAAAAAGGCTGAAGAAGCGCTTTACCGTGACCCGGCGGCCTCGGATGAAAAGTCCCAAGAAACAATCTACCGTGACGCCTCGGGCCGTATCATCAATGTGGCCATGAAACGCGCCGAAGCCCGCCGTGCCGAGGCGGAGAAAAAGGCGAAGGAAGAAGAAGCCCGCCAAGCGCTCCTGGGCGACGTCCAGCGGCAGCAGCGCGAGACGAGGAAACAGGAGTTACAGGATATTCGGGCGATGCCGGTGGCGCGGGGGATTGAGGACGAAGCGCTGAACGACGAATTGAAGGATGCCGCTAGGTGGAATGATCCTGCGGCGCAGTTCTTGACGCAGAAGAAGGGGCCTGGAGCGAGTGTTACTGGTCGGCCGTTGTATAAAGGTGCGTTCCAGCCGAATCGGTACGGGATTCGGCCGGGGCATCGCTGGGATGGGGTGGATCGGTCGACTGGGTTTGAGAAGGAGTGGTTTGCAGCGAGGAATAAGAAGAGTCGGTTTGAGGCGTTGGATTATCAGTGGCAGATGGATGAGTAGTGAGATCTATGAGGCTAGCCTAATGGCCTGGGGTTTAATGGGTCGGATACTATAGCATGTGGGTGGAGTATACAAAGTGCTGGGTGCTGGCGCCCTTCTTTTACCATGGTTGAAATCCATTCTACGATCATGTAGAGGTAATACTGTGTGTCTATGCAATTAATACCAGTGGACCGTTTGGCTGCACATGCGGTCTTTGATCCACTGTAGGTTCATGCGGCTACTTGCAGGGACCACTGCAACAGCGATAAAAGTGCTCCATTTCCTGGTCGTTCCATGATATTGACAGTCACGAAGATCTTCACACTCAGGTCGCCTATATTGCTGGCGTTGTTTTCTGTCGCAAGCATCCGCTGCCGAGGCCGTCCCGCCACTCCGCCCAGGTTGCTCGGGTGTCTGTTTACCCAAACAAAAACTTCCCGCTCCACCATCCCGCCCTCCTCCTCACCACCAACCTCAGACTCGATCCACCCTGGCATCAACCAAGATGGAATATCGAACTGCCTCTGGTGGAACTGTTCCGATGGAGTGGGAATGGCAAGGAGGAGCCTCAGGTCCGGGCGACGTGACGTCCCCCTTCTACCAAATCGGCATACAGCACCAGCAAGACAACAAGAAACGTATGTGTTCGCCACACCTCGATGCCTGAAATTTGCTCCTATGGTGTCTTTTATCTAACCCTTTCATTATCTAGGAACTCACAGCGCCTTTGATTCTCCTGGAAAGAAACAGTTGCCAGCCCTACGTCCTCCAAACCCGCAATCCTCCTTCCTCTTCTCCCCGCAGCGACAACAATCGGCGATGCCATCCAACTCGTCGGTGTTCGGCCAACCAGCTTTTACGACACCACGCAAGCCTGAATTGGACTTTTCATCGGGAGCGGAGAATCTGTCTTCGCCGGATAATGCGGATAACGAGGATACCCCAGAGCAGTCATCGAAGAGCACACGGCGGAATTCACTATTCAATATCTACGGCCGCTTTGCTCCGAGCCCTGGAAGGGGAGAGATCCCACGCACCAATCACTATACAAACGCGGTCGCACGGCGTGTACAAAAGAAACGACGACGGGTCAAGGCGCTTGGGCGGCGAATGCAAATGGAGGACTACGATGATGAAAGTGACGGACCCAGCAGCCGTGAAGGACGGTCAGACAGAACAGGAACCCAAGACCGGACGTCGGCAACACAAAATGCTCCTTCCAAGATGTCGTCTTTCCGACAGATGTTGTCCATACTAGAAGAGCATCCCAATGTCCCTGCTATCCTGTCATGGTGGGCCCAGCTGTTGGTCAACCTCTCCCTGTTTTCGCTTGCCGTGTGGATGGTCTTTGCATTTGTCTCCGAGATCCGCAGGGAATTCGATGCGGTTGCCAGCAAAGAGATGGACACGATTCTTGGTGAGATCGCCAGGTGCCATCAAGATTACCTGGATAATAAATGTTCGTCTGAAAACCTCGTGCCCGACCTCAAGAGGAGTTGCGCGATCTATCAGGTGTGCATGGATCAAGACCCGACCCATGTTGGACGAGTTAAGCTTTCTGCACACACAATGGCCCAGATTATCAACAGTTTTATCGATCCCATTTCCTGGAAAGCAATTGTAAGGCTTCTCTCCCTTCTTGCCATTGGGGCTTCACTAACCTGTTCATCTAGACCTTCTTCCTAGCAACTATCGGGACGATGGTACTTGCCAACAACTGGTCCTTCCGCTACTTCAGAAACCACCAGCAGCACGGCCAGAGCTACCCACAACACAGCTATCCCCCGCCCCCGTCAGCCTACGACCCAAATCTGCATGGCCAGCCCCTCCACCTCCAGCAGAACCCAGCGTACAGCTACTACGGCCAACAGGATCCACGAGCGTCGCCCGCGAAGGGCTTTGCCGACAAGCAAGAACAACCGTTGATGCTCGAGAACACCCGACCGATGGACTTTGTCACAGAGCGCTCCCGCGAGCGAGAAGTCCATCCCCGCACGCCGAGTCCGTCTAAGCGTATGCATCGCCAATTCGCATAGACCGGACTCGATTAAGATCTACCTCTGGAGTGGGGAGGTCTTTGGCATTTTCAATTTAAGTACTTTCCGGTTAATTTTCCGCAGCATAACAGGTGGCATGGGTCAGGATGGGAAGGGATGAATTCGGATACTGGTGTTTTATTATTTTGCACATTTGTTGTATACCATCGGCAAGGCTTTCATTCTTACTTTCGATTCGGTTCTTGTATTTGTTTCTTTGGTTCGCCATGTTGGTGGCTGAATGTTTTCCTTTCATTGTGTCTACACCTACACCACAAAACCCAGCATGGACTCGGCATTCACCATACCCTGCCTTTGTCTCATATTCGATACACGAATTTGGAAACCATATGCAAACCATTGCCTAGCACAGTATGCCCCATGAACAAGTTCGCCTGTAGCACCAACTGCCTTCAAATTCCTCGGCAAACTGGTGCTCCCCATTCGGCAAACCGCAGCCCAAACCCACCCTCAGTACTCCGTGACGGTCACGCTTTTACGAGAAAGATTTGCAGTCAAGTTGGGATGTAACAGGTCGGTTTGAAATGGATGTAAACATCGATGGTCTAGGGCTGTGGTTTCCATCCTCGGGCATCGGCTTGTACACTTCTTTTCCCTCTTATCATAGACACGGCAACAGAACACCGGCCAAGCGATTCAGTAGAATGACTTTGTCCCATCGCATTATGTATGAGATAGCTACATAGTAGGCACTTTCTGGCTGTCACCGGATTCCTGGGTGTAACAGGAACGTCATTTATCTTCATTGTGCCCGTCGCCAGTAATGGTTATTCTTTCGTCGGCGGCGTGGTGCAGCGACAGGGCTTGCTTGTCCGGCGGAAGTATTGGGGGCGCGGTGTTCCCCCTCGGACTGAATAATCTGGCGTTTAAGATAGGCTTTGAGCGGTGGTCGACACGGATTATGGGGCTCATCACGCCGATTCTGTTGATTGTGGGATGTCTGTTTGTGAGCGCCAATTTCCCGCGTACGGCGCCGTCGCCCCGGTCCACTAGGTTGTTCCTTCCGGACTTGATGATCTGGAAAGAGCCTGTTTTGGCACTAACGAACCATTGGTTGTTCTTCTTTGAATGTGGCTTCTTTTATTCCGCCCGAGTATGTCGCCTCATACTCCCTTGCCACTGGTATCCCGCGCCAGCTGTCGTACTTGATGGTCGTCTTCCTCAACGCAGGCTTCTTTCCCGGGAGATAGTTGCCCGGTATTACCGCGGATCGTATTGGGCGGTTCAGTACACTTCTGTTGACTATTATTCTGTGTCGAGTTGCAGTACTTGCTGTGCGGATACCCGCTGGAGCAAATATTGTCGGGATCATCATCATCTCAGTCTGTTCGGCTTCGCCCACGGGAGTGATATCAGCTCTATCCCAGTGTGTGTGTTGGCGAGCTGTGCCTTGTGCAGAATAAGGGACAATATTATTCCACCGTATACACCATTGTGAGTTTGGGAGAGTCCTTTCTCGTGGTCTTTCTTTCCTGTGTTTGGTGCGATGGACAAGGGCTAACATCTTGAAACATGCTTTGACGGGCGTCCCCATCGCGGGAGAAATCTTGCACCCCGCTGCCAAAGAGCCTACTTGGGACTAATTGCCTTTGTAGGATATGGTTATGTAGCACGTATTGAAGCGGAGAGGCAATGAGTATCAGGCTGCGGCTCTGACATGCTGATGACGAATTGAGTTGGCAGATAGGTGGCGGTCGCAACGAATCCACCCTTCGTGCTGGGTGGATATCGGGCATACCACAAAAACAACCCCTTTCCAGATACCAATCACCTTGAGTCGAAATGCCTCAAATGACTTTTTCTATGTGAATTTTTTCATGGCTTTGGCGTTCATACTGACGTAATTGCCATCCAGAGGCAAGAGGCGATATGAAGAAATCCGCTCACTCGACGGGTATTTCTTTGCGGCTACTCGTGTGGAATCTGCGCTGTATCTCTTTGTAAGGAGTCAAAGCCAACACCTGAAGGTACTAATAAAACAGATCCAGTCAGCAAAAGTCAACCCGAAGGGCAGAAATATCCGATTCATCATGGGTTCAAACGAAGGGAAGCACAACTTGATCATTGTATCGAACAGGCTGCCGCTGTCGATCAAGCGCGTGGATGGCACGTATGAGTCGTCCATTTCAAGTGGCGGGCTGGTCACCGCGTTATCGGGCCTGACCAAGTCCACCCAATTTCGCTGGCTTGGCTGGCCAGGTATCGAAGTTAAGTCCAACAAAGATAGGGAAGAAGTGTCCCGTACTCTGAATGAGCACGATGCAACCCCGATCTTTCTGGACAGTGGATTGGCGCATGAACACTACAACATGTTCGCAAGTAAGAAGCCCTAATTCCCACCTCATCTCACCTGGAGGTGCACGGGACGTCCAACCTCACCACTTCCCAGATCGCATCTTGTGGCCCATCCTCCACTATCAGTCTGGTGTCGTCTTCGACGATGGGCCGTGGCAAGCGTATCGAAGGGTCAATGAGTTGTTCGCCGCCGCGATCGCCGAGGCTGCGGAGACCGGGACCCTAATTTGGGTGCACGACTACCATCTGATGTTGCTTCCCGAACTCCTCCGCAACCGACTATACGAGAAGAACAAGCACTGCGCCATTGGGTTTTCACTCCACACTCCATTCCCTGCTGGTGACTTCTGGCGAAACTTGCCGGTTCGGAAGCACCTTCTCGAAGGCTTATTGTCCAGTGACCTGATCGGGTTTCACACAGACGAGTACAAGCAGAACTTCCAAGACACCTGCGCCAGTCTTATGTAAGAGTCAGCGTTGTGTTTCGAATTGAGACCACCATACACCACCCCATATTTTGAACATGTCTGATTTTGTATCAGGGGCGCACATACAGAAATTCCTAATCAAATCCGGTACAAGAACCGACTGGTCTGTGTGGGAAAATTCATTGTGGGCATCGATCCGCAGAAGTTCGCGCACACTTTGCAGAATCCAGACGTCCAAGACCGCATCAGGTCCCTTGAGGAACGCTATAAGGATGTTAAGGTCATTGTTGGCGTCGATCGACTCGACCATATAAAAGGCTTGACCCAGAAGCTGAAGGGCTTCGACTCCTTTCTGGAGGACTACCCGGAGCTGCGGGACAAGATCATCCTCATCCAAGTCGCCGTGCCTAGTCGCGAGGATGTCAAGGAGTACCAAGAACTAGAGACAGAACTGAGCACCTTAGCCGGCAAGATCAACGGCAAATACGGTAGAGTGGACTTACCCGTGCTCAAGAACACCACACTGATACATCGCAGCCACCCCGGACGGAACGCCGCTGCTTTACATGCATCGTTCAGTGCCATTTACAGAGCTGACAGCGCTGTATTCTGTGGCGGACGTATGCCTGCTGACGTCGACCCGAGACGGAATGAACCTGGTTTCCTTCGAGTTCGTCGCCTGCCAAGAGAAAAGGCAAGGCGTCCTCGTGCTCTCTGAATTCGCTGGAGCAGCATCCTTCATGCGAGAGGGCAGCATCTCCTTTCACCCCGCGAATACGACGGAGATGTCAGAGGCGCTGTATGCGGCGCTGAAACTGGACCCTGATGAGCGTAGACGCAAGTACGAATATCTGAGAGACTTTGTGAATACACATACCAGGTAGGGCTCCCCCTTCAACGTGCCACTTAACGCTGGCCATACTTGCTACTGTGGGTAAAGTTCTTATCAGCTGCTAATATGAGAACAGTGCGAAATGGGGTCAAACATTTATAGAGAAGCTGTCTCAGCGCTGCCGACAACCAGGAAAGGCGTGCTGATTGTATTCAGCTGGGATCCCTGGGCACCAATTGATGGCAAATAACGATGTTTGCAAAGTGAAAATAGAAGATTCAGAATGGAAACGGCAAAGGTGAGAGAATATATTTATGAGGGAACTCCCGGGCGGCGGGCGGGAGCTACCCATGTTACAATCGACATAGCCTATAGAGAATAAACAAATAAGCAATTAGGATTTTTTGTGTATCAACAAGTTAATGGTGCACGCTAAGCGAGATCTCTAAGACGTCCAGTTGGCCTCAGGTCTTGAGTTCCAAATATGGTCGCGCGCCCAACCCACAGGCTCGGACTCGCTTGATTCGGCGCCCCCATCCCTTTGTACCTGTAATTCTCGAGATGCAGACGTAGTAACCTAGTAATGATTGATACGAGGGTTTTCATTTTCTAATTGGGAGAGCTCCGATGTAGATCACGGTAGTGCTGCGGGATGCTGGGCGAGGATCATTTTTGTATACTTCCAAAGAGATTCAGCGCTAAAACATCTTTGGCAAGGGCTGCCTGGTTGAGTTCGGCTTCAACTTCCTTGACAACACTACTGACCCGTGGGAAGGCCACAGTGGACATGGTATGTTTACCTTCAGGGATGTAGTATATTTAGATCTTCAGCTGATAGCCTATAGGTACTCATGTCTCTGGACTGATTGCCGCTCAGCCTAACCCCTACAACTTCACTGGCGTGGCTCCGAATGTGACTCTGGGTCACTACAAGGTCCTTGGAAAGCCTTCAGTACACACCGGTACCGACATTGTCGCTGCCGCTTTCAAGAAGGCGTACGAGGACAAAGCAGACATCATCTCAGCGTCGTTTGGCACGTACAAGGGCTGGAGCGACGAACCGTGGGGACAACTGATCCAGAAATTGGCCGAGGTTGGCCTTCCCTCATTCATTGCAAGTGGCAATGATGGAAGTTTAGGTCTGTTCCTGGCCTCGAATGGTATCGACAACTCCGCCGGCATCGGCATCGGATCCTTCAACAACTTGTATAGTCCCCTGCTGCTGACTGGAGCCTCATATTCCACCCGAAACACCACCAAGGAATTTGGTTGGCAGATCGCGGGTACATCCGACTTCAAGAATGGTACCTACTCTCTCTACCCGAGTAGCCTGAATGCATCCGTTGTGGGTGATTCTTGCGAGCCGTGGACGGCAGGCCACCCCGATGTCTCCGACAAGATCGTGCTCATCCGCTACGGTGGCTGCAAAGGCAGTCAGCAGCAGGCCAACGCGGTGAAGGCCGGTGCTAAGAACATCCTGTTTTATAACAATGTACCAGGCACCTATGAGCTCCCCGTTCAGGACCCTGGTCTGGTGGGCCTGGGAATGGTCTCTGCCCAGACTGGCGCGAACTGGGTGAAACTGGTCGCATCTGGAGCCAACGTTACCCTGCACATGACCAGCAAAAAGAACTCCAAAACCATCTTCATCAATGAGACAAACCCTCAATCTGGTGGCCAAGTTAGTGATTTCACTCAGTGGGGCCCCAGCAACGAGCTCCTCCCTGTGACAGCAGCTTCAGGGGTCGGTGGGTTCATGCTGTCGACATGGCCAGTCCTGGAGGGCAGCTACGCCATCGACACCGGTACCTCGATGGCGACCCCCTACGTTGCTGGCTGCATTGCTCTCTTGATGGAGGCTCGCGGTAAGGGCAAAGTGACTCCTGCTGAGATCAAATCTCTGTTGTCGACCACTTCCACCCCGAATGTGTTCCATGATGGCGTTACAGCCTCGCCTTTCCTGGCCTCCGTGGCGCAGCAGGGGGTGGGCTTATCGATGCGTACAAGCTTGTGCACACCACTACCACGTTCAATGTTAGCACTATCGCCTTCAATGACACCAAGCATATCGCCACGGCATATATCCGCATCAACAACTCCGCCCCCGAGTCGCGTGTCTACGCTGTCAGCCATGTGGGCGCCGCTACCGTCTACGCATTGTCCGACAACAGTTTTATCCCCCAAGTAAACAAGCTCGGCAATTTCGTGGACCGCACAACCGAGGGTGCCTCGCTGAAGTTCAGCTCATCCATCGTGCGCGTGGCCGCCGGTGGGTCGGCTGTGTTGAAGGTCACTGCCACCCCACCCCGGCGTCTCATCGCCCGTCGCATCCCCGTCTACAGCGGATTCATCACGTTCAACGGGACTACTACAGATGATTCTTTCTCGGTTCCATACCTGGGCGTTGCCACCGATATGCGCAACGTGACGATCCTAGATACCACGCAAGGTGACAATTCCCTCATCGACAGCAGCACCCAACAAGCCGTCCAGGCCAACCACCAGTTCGTCTTGCCGGGCGAGAACGACTTTATGGACCGTGCGAACACCAGCTACCCCATCTTCCAGACCCAGCTTTCCATGGGAACGGATCTGCTCCTCATCGGCGTCAGTCCCGCCAACAGCCACGCTATCCTCCCAGTGCGTGCTCCCCAGACAGCCCTCCCCCGGAGTGTTGATGGCGTGACGGGCCCAAGCCCCACATCATGGACGGGCAAATTGGCAAACGGATCATATGTCCCGGCCGGCAATTACTCTTTGGTTGTGCTTGCGCTGAGGATCTTTGGCAACCGCACTAACCCGAGTGATTATGAAACCGTGCGGTCGGTCAAGTTTGGGATCACGTACGCTCCCCCAGCCGACAAGTAGCTATAGAGCTATTCTACCAGGTAACGGGCCCCAGCATGCCTCTTTTATATGCTCAGGCCTTGGAGCTTTTATCTTGTCCATTGGACAACTTGCACATTCGTATCTGTCCTATTTTGTATAGGATGGACGGAAGTTATGATCCGTTATATTATTTTCATTGCCTGGTTCACAGGCTGATCTACCATAGAAGTCGTTATATTACCCTAATATATAATTAGCCATCGCGGTAAATTGCCTGTTTACTTCCCTTTATAAGAAAATATGGCCTGGAAACCCTGGAGACCCGCAGTTCACAGTATTCTTGGCATTGGCGATTCTGCACGTTATCGACGAAACGGGTATAAACGGGCTTGTGGCGTATCCACAAAGAGTAGAAGTGTCTGAATATACCAACTTTAGAAATGATCCAGAACCGAGCGCCAGATTTTCCCTTTAAGGCGACAATCAGCTCCGCGAACCTGCTTGGATAGTTTCGGCAGCCATTTATCCTGACTTCCCACACACTTCGGTGAGGAGTCCGCCGTGACATTTGTTACTCCACGTTCACGGAGATACACCGTGGGGTTCGCTTGAGTTGCCAGGAACCTCCGGCAAACCGGGGAAAAGGAGGAAGAAAGAGGAAATAACAATGCCGAGGGACTTTTGTACGACGCAGAATAAATCCTTTGTCACGCGAAGCTATACCGTCGTCGGTCAAAAGGGCTAGGGTTGAGCCGAATGATGACAAGATATCGTGCTGAATTACTGATGCAAAACTGGATCGCTGTGAAGGCTCTTCCTTGCTTTCAGTTTTCCCCTGCTCTTTGGTTTGTGCTGTGCCTGTCTGTTCATCATGACTAACCCTTCAATGTTGCCTTACAGGCTCCCGAAGTCTCTCCCGAAGTCTCCCCGGCTACGGTTCATTCAACCACTACCACGAAGCCTGTTACACTTCTATCAGGTATGGGCATATTCTGGACCATCTCTCCTGATGTTTTCTTGCACGTGTCCTTTCACTAAACCCATACAACTCTGCGAAGTGAGGAACTCAGAAAACCTGGATGGATTGATGACAGAGCTCTTTTTCAAACTGCCTTTTCACGCATGGCCATATTACGGCCTCTCCCTTCACTCTGACTGTTCGCCCTCATCGCTTCTGATTCCGTGGATATATAAGTAGATATTCATGCTCCTCCAAGACGCAACCGAGCGACTCAGAAAGTGAGAACATCCTCTTAATGTTGACATCCTGCTGACACGGCTATTCTTAGTAACACATGCCCGATCGTGATGGGAAATATGCTGAATTTTCGATCCTACGCTTCGGAAACTGAAGGCTTCTCAAGTCGGGGAACCGGGCTACAAACATTAAGCCGTGTGATATTCCATGGAAGACAGGGTTCGCACTGCTCCGTAACTAACATATTGCAGTGAGATCGACAAACTTCTTGACTGTGTCAATAAACTGCCCAAGCTTGAAGAGCTTCTGACTCTCCCTGGAAGGGCCCGATACATTTCTGAATTACTCGGTAAGCATTGGTTTGTTGGATCTGTTGTGTGAAGGATCCAGAAGTTGAATCCCTATCTTGGAATATGGATGGTTGGCGCGAATAATGAGAAAACCTTCGTGGGTAACTTGTCTTGGGAGTTGTATTCCTATGATTCACGTTTTGTTCTGACCAGCCAGGACCATGTGCACAAGTCTTAAGTCTCTAGAAGGATTCCTCCGTTGGACAGATGTGCATTCACAACTACCCCGGTGTTGAACTCCGACCATGAGAGTAGGATTCCCTATGATGACTAAATCCAACGCTGAATCTGTTGATGACTTAACGCCAGTCTGAGGGAGACTGAAGATATGAGAAACATTCTTGAACGTTCCCAGCATATTCAATCCATATCATGCTCTCGTCTTGCGATATTGGTGATTGCTCATTGCAATCAACGCTGATGATAATGTTTTTGTTGACAGAGTCCAACCGCAGTGCATATAGGACAGAAAATCAGGTGAGTACTGTGCTGATAATTCGATCTTTGAAGTGTACACTGACTAATGTGTGCTCACTTAATCCATTCATTCTTTCACTCTATCCAGAGCTGAAAAATTGACATTTCTAGTCAATCAATGCGCTACGTTGCGCACGTCTATATATATTCGTTGGTTCCTGTCAGTTCTCTGTCGAGGATGAACCTCTCCCCTTTCCCTTTGTTTTCTTGTCCGCTGAGCGCGCTCGAATGATGACTACTCTTTATGACTTTCGATGATGACACACTCTTTAATCTTTGAGATCTGACGGGAAGCGCGCTCTATTTCTTCCTCACCTTTTCAGGGCTTCTTGTTGTCGCAATGCTCTGACTTGATCTAAGGTCCCTCCGTCTCCCACATCTCAGTTGTCACTAGACGTCTTGTGTTACCTTGATCAAACAACAGGCTCACAAATAATTCAATTGAAAGGTCCAGCAAAGTATGCATTATCCGCCCCCTCACGGATAAGTTGCGTATCATGCTAACACCACCTGATCTTTCTAGTTAGTTGGGAATTCTATACGAGATGACAACGTTTCGTCTAAACCCGGATGACAATAGCATAATTCTGATGGGGAATGCTCATTTGCTACTGGTTTCTCTTGCATGGATTCTTGAGGGAGATGGACAGGGACATGCAGGAGAGAACGTTCACTGAAAACGACCCGCAGCTAAAAGAACCTCCACAGTGGTGGTCTCGTATTCGGATAGTCTTGTGGGGTAGCATGCGTCTAAGTTCTAGCAAGATACCCGTTCTGCAGGGCGATTATAGAGAGATAAAGGGATCAGCACGGATTCCGACGGGACGGCGTTCTCCGCGTTGAGATTGATGGTGTGCCGCTTAGTAAAATCCCAAGTGGCCCATGCATCCCTGACGGAAACTAAACGTATACCGATCTAATGGTCCACTGGGTTATTCCAGCCTTGCACTGAATCACCCGCCCAGTTCTTCAGGGACGGACTTTCCCGCCCCCAAAATCCCCACAATTTACCCCAAGGGTCCAACAGCGGCACATCGTGCCCCTAAAGGGCACCACCCATTGGCCCGATAATAGCACGCTGCAAGTCAGGCCATCTTAGTTGCACCGGTAAGGCTCCACGCCCGGGCGACAGCGCTAAAGCCGGCCGATCATTAATTTCCCTACGCGGATCGGACAGGACGCTGCACACTCCGAATCCAACCACCACTCGATCTCTCACGCCGTGCCGTGTCTTCCAATCCGTTCCGATATGTACCTCACCCTGGTGGTCCTTTCTGGCTTCTAGCGCGGGCTGCAGACCGGCGGACATTTCCTCTTGTAGTATGGTTGGCTTTGGACGGAGAAGCGTGTTGGTCTTGCACTCTGTGAATGCCAATCAAATCGTACTGTTCGTGGACCGCCAGATGTAACATTCTTTGGAGTCGGTGTTTCGAAGTGCACAATATCCAGTTTTCGCATAGTTGGCATGCAGGATTCGAGGCTCCCGGTCATGAATATATAAACAGACGGTTATCCCACGATCTAGAGAAGAGTCCCATGGCAGATCCATCCCACATAACCAGCAATCGACTCGTTGATCTTATAGTTTATCCAATTCCCCGTCAAGATGCAGTACTCCAAGGTCTGATCCAACCCCATCTTTCTCGCTAGCAAGTCATATCTTAACCAAAATTCCTGCAGATCCTGGCTCTTGCCACTCTGTTTATCTCCGGTGTCGTTGCCGTGCCCACCAAGCGGGCCTGCGCCTACACCTGCGGCACTGTCTGCTACACCAGCAGTGCCGTCAGCGCCGCCCAGAAAGCCGGCTACGCTCAGTACTCGGCTGGCACCACCGAAGACAGCTACCCCCACGTCTACCACGACTACGAGGGCTTCGTCTTCCCTGTCTCTGGCACCTACTACGAGTTCCCGATCCTGAGCAACGGTGACATCTATGACGGCGGCTCGCCTGGTGCGGACCGTGTCATTTTCAACACGAAAGACCAGCTGGCCGGTGTGATTACCCACACCGGTGCTAGCGGCGACAACTTTGTCTCTTGCTAGATCAGTCGAGAAACTGGATCATGTCTATAGCAAATCATTTGGAGGAAATATACTGGAGCCGCCAATCTAGCATTGATGGAATTATTGTTCTCGAGCGTAGAGTTGCGACTATCTAAATGTAGGAGACTGACTTTCACGTAAACACAAACGGGATCTTGTGCAAACATGCTGTGTATGTCTTCTGTGTTGTTTTAGGTACCTAGAGGCAAACAGCAATCGACACCCGCACAAAAGCGAAAATGTGGGAGCTTGTCGTCGCCGGGGTTTGATACCCTTGGAGGATAACGGGGAGTGGGCTGACATCAGACTTTCTCTGGCAGAAATGTTTGTGACTGTGACTTGATTTCAAGCGCCGACCGTGACAGCAAGAGCACATCAACTGTTGCATTGTGTAGAAGACGAATGTAAAATCATGTCAGACGGCAATGATCGTAAGGAATGGCTCGGGACCACCATGTGACCTCGAGCTGTCCACTGGGCCGCCAAAGCGAGTTCTCAAGAGGAAAAGAAGAAGACACGGGCGAGCAAGGGGTTTTAAATGTGTCGCACAGACTCGGTCGGAATATCTGCCTTCCGGACAGGGATGTGTGGAGAGATTGCGGGGTTTGTTATTATTGTTGTTGGGAGATCGGCATTGGGACTCACCAGGTACCAGGACTCCGTATTGCTTCACCCCTGGATCTTCACAAATACATTGACGGTGTTCATATTTACCAATCTACTTTATTAGGCCTAAAACTAATTATCCTGTGAAAATGCAAGCAAATGACTGTGCCGCCTGTCAATTCATTACTAACATTACTTCATTATGATCATGTGTGGTGTCCGATACTCCCGAGGGGAAAATATGCCTTCTCAGCCCATTCAACACCCATGAAGATGGGCACACACGGCAAAGAGCATCATTCCAAACTCATCCGCCGATTGTACCCACCGCTCAATTCTCTCTCGTCTCGTCTCTGAGCCTGTCTCGGGAGACCTCCACAACTCAGAGAGTGTCAGCATCCCATCTTCCCACTTCGACAGATGCCGGTCATACTTCGTCGTCCACGAAGCCCGGTCAGATGCTTGCCACAGAGCCTTACTCTCAGGAACCAGGACCTCTTTCAGCTCTTCCGCTACAAAGTTCGGCAAGCCTTTCGAAGCATTGTAGATGCTGGTGAAGAGATACATAGTGAGTACAGTGCGTCGTTTGGCAGAGGCCACGATCCAGCATTCCCAGCTCGGTCGTGTTCTGGAGACTTCTGCCTCGCAGGCAAGGCCTCTTTTGGCGGAGTAAAAGGCAATCTCTTGGAGTGCGATGATATCGTTGTCTTCCAAGAGGGAAGTATCGTCGATGGGAAAGAAGTATGCCATCAGCATGTAGATTAGGAGAGCTTGGAATGAGCAGAGAAGGTCAAAATCACCAATGATGGGTGTCTTGGAGCCATGTTAGTTCATCTTCATGATCTCCTAATTGTCCAGTAGGAGGATCCGATATCTTACTTCGGCAATTAGTCGGTCCATTTCCCTTTTCACAGTTGAAAACACGAGCCCCTCACTTCCGGGCGCTCTGTTCATCCACATGCGTACGAGAGACGAGCAATTCGCCAACGCCGGGGGAATAGGCTGCCGAGCAAGTTGCATTGGGTGAATGAAGGGCGGCATGCTGTTGCCATCCAGAAGATGGTTCGGGTAAGACCTCAAAACACATGTGAGGTATTGCACAGTGAATGGGTGGAAAAGCTTGGGCACTTGTCCCGTGGCGGTCATGACATAGGGCCTCAACCAGCGGTCACGAATTTCTTCGGCATGGAGCATGGGGTGAAGGGATATATTCTCAAACTCCAGGTTCATCTTATGCGCAGCAGTTTGGATGAAGGTATTTTGGGGCGTTGGCGAGACATGCAAGTTGAAAATCCCCGGGCTCTGTGGCGAGATAAAGCCTACCGAGGGACCCGGCGTGGAGAAATTGCAGACACTGTTTGCAGCGGAAGTATCAGGGTTGCTGCTCGTAGCAGAACTACCATCTTGCGCGTTGTAGGCTCTGTCGCCCGTGTATCGGCATTGTTTACCTCGATCCCGACATCGAACGCAGGCGGGTTTCTCATGGGTGCAGCGGACTTTGGAGGCGGTGCATTCTTGACAAGCTTTTTTCCGAGAGGGGGCCCGCATTTTGGCCTTGGAAGCTGCAGACACCATATCCTGACAACTTTACCAATGCATCTGTGATTTGAGTGACGTAGTGACGATGAAAAGAAGGAGTTCCGCAGATGGGCGATCTTGATGGTTGCAAGAACGGCTGGAAGTTCGGAACTCCGAAGGCAGCCGATCCGCTAGCAATCTATGGGTAGGTAGCCGAAGAACCAGATGTTGCCTTCCTAGCGCTAGTTCTATGTGCCTAGTACATGATTTTAAAGCTGCAATAATCAGAAGCAGCCTAGGGAAATATAAATTCCGGTGGGAGGATAGACAAGAATTTACATTATGCATTGCACGTGAAAGGGGACCTGGAGACTTTAGCAGCGTCGTCTGGCAAACATCTTCCTCTCTGATATTTTACTCTTTAGATATCGATATCAACCAATCTCCTCATGCCGTATTAATTTGCAGTTTTACCTCACCTCCACACGCCATGGATAGACCACCGGTTACCAAGCTTACAACAGAAATATTGCTCAAGGTATTCGAATTACTCAGCCAGGACAGCGACGCAGCGCTTGTCGCCTCTATCCTGTGCTGCAAGAAGTGGCGCCCTGCTGCTGAATCTGTTCTGTACGGCGATGTTTTTCTGAATACCGACCGCCTCACCAGGTTCCTGGATAGCTACCAGAGCGACCGCCAGATCCGGTCGCTGACATTGGTCATGGATTCTGTTCCCCTCAACCCTTACGACCCAACTCTGGCCGTCCAGACGGCCACCGCCCGGCTCAAGGCGCTACAACAGCTTGGCTCGCGCATCAACAAGCTGGCTCTTGTCTCGCTTTCTATCACGGCGGACTTCCCATTGCCATATACAGCCTCCCCCGAATTTTGTGCTATTGTTAATGACCCGCCCAATTCTTGCGCCTGCCTGGAGATTGATATTAAACACAGCGGCTTCATTCTTGATTCTAGGGCAGACCTTCAAAGCCAGCCAGCAACATCAACAACATCAACAACACTACCACATATGTGCGACGCTATTCGGATGATCCTTCCACAACTCGAGCATGTCCGCCTGCGTCTTCCACTACTCTGCTCTGCTCTATTTAGCGCTGCCACTAAGAGTAAGTCAAATGCGCAAGATTTCGGGCTTCGAAGCTGTGCGTGCCACGAACCTCAGAAGCTGCCTCATCAACCTCTCCCTGGGCGAACCTACAGGGCCATCTTCCTCGGGTTCTTGGGCGGCTCCATGCGAGTCCGGTCTCATTCCTCACATTGGAGTGATACATGACTTTCCGTCGGCCTTACCACCCCTCCTTCCTGTCCTGCAGGACTTTGTCCACGTCAACCTGGCCCATCTAGAGCGGCTTCGGATTATTGATGTACTAACGCGAGACCCAAGCACACCTAACTCATGGGCGACCTGGGTGCGCCGCGATATTTTGTCCAACGCTAGCGTCCCAATTCCCGTAGCCAATATTGGTGGGCTCTTCAACGACGCCTGGCTCGCACGGATTCCGACTGACTCAGGGCGAGCAGAGGATTGGCTTTCGTCTCCCGGACGTTTAGAGGGCCATGCTGAGGGCTGTTTTTGGAACTGGACCACGCGCGGGATCCGCCTGGCGACCTCTATGCTCCGGGAATATGACTATGTTCCTGGGCCATTGACCAAGGAGCTGTTTTTGAACGAAAAACGTCTTACTTGTATGCTATGGCGGAACGAGGAGGTCACGGGCAAAAAGTTGCTTCCCGAGGCTCGCGGACCGTTGATGGAGTTGTGGGATTTAACTGAGAGGACACCTATAGGTTGGAAGAGAGATAACCGCGATGGTTCGCCTATGGTTCAAGAAAGATAGATATTCTAAGCGAATCACTTGGTAGCAAACAAGATACGCGCATCAAATTAGGTTTAATTATATCTATAGCCTCCTATGCCATGCTCTGACATCACACGGTGTTGACGTGTGATATCTCGCTGAAATTTGCTTTGGGGGAGCTTTTCGCTGCCATCAAGAGCTCGCTTCATCGGTCGCAAATTTTGTGATGGTAACGTCTTATGCGACGTGCAACGACGAGGGCTAAGCTTGAAAACAGGTCCCCCGTTTCCACGATCTATTCTTGTTTTGATATATATCCGCACTATTCTACAATATCAGGTGAAGCGCTCAACGGAATTAATTAAGTTGCGACCGAGTGCCCGTAGCTTGCACATACTATGACATGTCTTTCTACCTAGGCTCTTTTATGTAAACCGCATTTGGCCAATGCAGCTTGTCGAGACGCACGACTTTGGTTCCTGCCACTTCGGTCGCTATTTCTCCCGGAATTGTGCTGTCTAGCTTAACAATCCACCGCGTCTACGCTGTCACGATTGTTTCTATACCTACTTGATTGCTATAGCTGCCCAAGGCCGAACAGAATCCAATAAGCAGACTGACCTGCTACATTTCCGGATCTCGTTTGCCTTAGACACTCGGCGGGCGACCCGCTAGTGGCCCCCGTTCGGAAACCGCAACAAGGGTACTCCGCATCCCGGGGTGTCCCCCCGTCGGCTAGGCGACCGAGGGCCAGGAGGCTGGTAATCGATCTGACCTATCATTTGACGCTTTGAGGCTACCATTTGTTCAAAGAATTACAGGAGCCTTTAAATAGACGAAGTTTTGGCAGCTCGGGGAACATCTGCTGCTCCTTGGTAGTGACCGGGATACATCGCTCATCAGAATAGATACAATCGGCCGTCTGGGGACCATCTGGCGCGACTCTGTTTGACAATGATGAGAGGGGTTCTATCAAGGACGGCCACTCGCCTTATTTCCGCGCAGACCAGGCTTTTTCAGAGGCAAAGACAATCGGTACCAGGGCGAGGCTTTTCGACAACTGCCTCTAGCCGCGCGAGCCTGTCGGTGGTTTATGGCATCGCAGGACTAGCCGTTGGTGCCTTGTGCACATCTATCGCATACCATGGCCTATACAGTCTGGAGGAAGGCAAGCCATGCAAGGCTACGGTGAGATACGCCGATGGACCCACTACGCTTAGGGTATGCGACCCGTGGACGTTTTCACGAGCAACATTGCTAATGATTTTACCAGGCGGCAAAAGATATCCAAGATGCCCTTGGAGAAGATGCCGTCAGCATGGATGCGGACGAGCTAGAAACGCATAGCTACTCCGAGGCCTCCACATCCAATGTTGACACTCGACCCGTCGCCATAATCATGCCATCCAGCACGGAAGAAGTGTCCATCATTGCTAAGATATGCACCAAGTACAGAGTACCGATGATCCCATTCGGCGCAGGGTCCAGCGTCGAAGGCCACTTTAGCACCCCCTTCTCGGGCTTCAGCATCGACCTGTCCCGAATGGACAAGATTGTCGCGATTCACGATGAGGACATGGATGTCGTGTTGCAGCCTGGTGTGAACTGGGTGAACCTCAATGACACGCTCAGGCCATCGGGCCTCTTCCTGCCATTGGACCCGAGTCCCACGGCCCATATTGGCGGCATGGTTGCGACCAACTGCAGCGGCACGAATGCGATGCGCTATGGCACGATGAAAGACTGGGTGGTGAATCTCACCGTCGTGCTGGCCGATGGGTCTGTTATCAAAACGCGTCACAGACCGCGCAAGACATCGGCTGGATATAATTTGAATGGCCTATTCACAGGGTCGGAAGGGACACTCGGGATTATCACGGAAATCACACTGAAGCTGGCCATTGTGCCTTCACATTTCGGCGTGGCGACCACCGCGTTTCCGTCGGTCGCGGATGCAACTAGGGCCGCTACCTCCATGATTCGTCGTGGAGTGTCTCTTGCGGCTTTGGAGCTAATGGATGATGTGCAAATGCGAGTGGTGAATCAAACGGGCGGTACTGGAGGGAAGATGTGGCAAGAAAAACCGACTCTGTTCATCAAATTCTCCGGCTCGGAACGCGCGGTTGAAGATAGCATTGCGGCCGCCAAGGCGATTGCTGCCGCACACGGTGGTTCAAGTTTCGCGGCAGCTTTGGATGAGAAGACCATGGACGACCTCTGGTCAGCTAGGAAGCAGGCTCTTTGGGCCATGCTTTCCGTCCGTCCTGAAGGAACACAGATCTGGTCCACCGACGTTGCCGTTCCGCTCTCCCATCTGGCAGACATTGTGGAACAATCGAAGGCGGATGCCTCCAAGCTCGGGTTGTTTTCCAGTGTGCTTGGCCACGTTGGCGACGGGAATTTCCACCAGTCGGTCATGTACAATCCGCATATTCCAGAGCAAGTGGAGGGAGTAAAGAAATGTGTGGATACAATGGTGTCGCGCGCGTTGGAAATGGAGGGTACAGTCTCCGGAGAACATGGCATTGGGCTTGGGAAGAAGCATTGTCTGGAGAAGGAGCTCGGCCCGGTTACGATCGATGTAATGAGGAGGTTGAAGCAGAGCTTGGATCCGCACTGGCTGCTTAACCCTGGGAAGATTATGGATCTCTGAGCTCTGCACATACTGCACTCGGCTCAAGATATGGTACCTGGGCACTGTTGGTCTCCTGTGAATAAATGATGGTCAATAGCAGGGAAGACAGCCTATTTAGGGTTGTAATATCGAGTAGTTCCCCTACCCATTATAGCTTCTAGACATGCGCACGCTCTTTCGCCGACGCCTAAGCTCTCCATAGCCGAGACCGTATTCGGCATTTTTGTGATGTTCAGAGACCTTGTATCGGTATAAAACCTACTCCTGATATTTGTTTCGCGGTACCAACTGGACAGCCAGAGCAAAGCTTCCACTTGCTTTGTAGATCCCAAGTAAGCGTGCCCCACCACACTTCGGAACTCCGAACTGGATGCCTTTTATCGATTCTACAAGACTAGTATTGCTTCAGCACGCGTTTCTCTGCAAAAGTACTCCAAGTTCAAAGTCCAAGACTTTCGAATCGAAGATATTTTTTTGAGTTTGCTAAATACGGCCAACTGCGCAACGCAATCCAATTTCCACGAACAATCTTGATTGAACCTACGCAATCCGGAAACAAGAACCTGAGCTACGCAACTCCGAAAAGCGCCCCACCAATGCTGATCGCCTCGCAAAGGCGCCCACCGCAAAGCAAAGTATAAAAGACCCAACAGCCTCGCGAAGCGCGATTCTTCACTTCCAGGCTACAACCAAACGATCCACACCGATACTATCAAAACCAACCAAACACCAGCTCAACCACAATGCCCCAAGTCTACACAACTGACCACTCAGCCTCCGTCCTCGCCACCCACAGCTGGCGCACCGTCGCCAATTCCGCACCCCACCTCCTCCCCCATCTCAAACCACACCAGCAAATCCTCGACGTAGGCTGCGGCCCCGGCAGCATAACCATCGACCTGGCAAAACACGTACCAACCGGACACGTCACAGGCATCGAGTACGTGTCCTATCCGCTCGCCGGGGCGCGCGAGCTCGCGGCGGCCGCAGGCGTGTCAAACGTCAGCTTCCAAGTAGGCGATATTCACGCCCTTCCATTCGCAGATGGCACATTCGACATCGTGCATGCGCACCAGGTCCTGCAACACATCGCGGATCCGGTGCAGGGGCTCCGGGAAATGCGGCGCGTCGTCAAGGTCGGCGGCATCGTGTCGTGCCGCGAGAGTGCCGCGCTGAGCTGGTACCCCGAGAACGAGGGGATTGCGCTGTGGAAGCGGGTGACGGACGCCATGGGTGCGGCGAAGGGCGGGAATCCGCATCCGGGGCGGATGATTCATGTTTGGGCCGAGAGGGCCGGGTTTGCGAGGGCGGATATGAGGAAAAGTGCGGGGACGTGGTGCTTTAGTAGTCCTGAGGAGCGGGCGTATTGGGGTGGGTCGATGGGGGAGAGGGCGAAGTCGAGTGGGTTTGCGAAGACGGCGGTTGAGGAGGGGTTTGCGGGGCTGGAGGAGTTAAATCGGGTTGCGGAGGGGTGGCGGGAGTTTGTGGAGGATGAGGATGGGTGGTTTGCTTTGTTGCATGGACAAATGCTTTGCTGGAAATGAGAATCAGGGCGATGCGGGGAAGAGGGTAGATGGAAATGGAAATTCACGAAGCGTGAGTCCTCAATGCATGGGATGTCAGGTGGTTGCAAGCCGAGTCCCAGGAAGGAAACAGAAAAGAGAATGAGACATCTGATGCGAAGGTGATCATGATAGGTACCGATACTAAATTGTCGCTGCAATGCTAGAAACGAAACAAAACCACGTCTCAATCAAAAAGAACCCCCGGATTTAATATTCAATCTCGGATGCAGATCACCAGCCACCCTCCTCGTAAGCTTGGTCCTCGCGCCCGTCCTGGTACCCGTCCTGGCGGGCTTCCATGATATCCCCTTGCTCGTGGTCCTCGTCTATAGTGAATCACATTAGCACACATCCCGTCAGAGTATAAGCGCAGCCCCGAAAGTCGGCAGGGGCGCGTGTATAGAACGCAACTCACCCCGTTCATGCTCAATAAAAGCACCTGCAAGACCACCCAGCGCCAAGCCGGCTGCTCCCGCCGCAAGGTACTTCCCAGCATTGCTCTTCTTCTCCTCGACCGGCTGCTGCTGGTATCCGCCGCCATAGCCACGCTCATCATATCCGGCAGGAGGGGCCGCATAGTAACCGCCCTGCGGCTCAGGCGCCACGCTGCGCGAGCCGTCATAGTAGCCCGGTCCCGCGAACGGGGGCTCCCATTGCGCGCGGCCAGTATTGTCCTCCACCCAAAAGGCGCGGCGTACGGTGGGCTCCCACTCCTGGTGCCAGCCGGCGGGGAGGGGAGGGGGAGGGCCGGGGGGAGGCCGGGACATCGGGGGCGGGGCGCTGTAGGCGGCGCGGTCGTAAGGCGGGCGCTGTTCTTGGTAGGGCGGGCGGTCGTAAGGCCGGTCGTAGGGCCGGTCGTAGCCGCCGGGCGGTCCCGGGGGGCGGTTGTAGGGGTCGCCGCCGTAGTAGGCCATGGTTGTAGATGACGATGTGACAGGAGGTAGAGAGATAGATGGGTAAAAGGACCTCTGCCGGGGAGACAAGAGGAGGGGCCTGGCGGAGGGAAGCGGAAAAAAAAGTAAACAGACGGAGCGGGGAGAGGTGGCAGCTTTATGAGGGGCGACTCCAGCGCGACAACAAACCCCATACACCTTGTAAAGCCTTGATTAGCCCAGAGGGAATATGATTAATAACGTAGTCTACATCCACAAGGCCGGTGTTCCGTTCAGAGCCGAGACCTCCACCCCCCAGAGCCATAAAGTCTGCGGAAACTGCCGAGGGAAAAAAAACCACGGAGCGGTGGCAGTGACGATCCACCGGGCAGTGGAGAGGTCACTTAGCGCCAAACAAGCCTCGATCAGTGCGAGGAACCAGAAATACGATGCGATAAAGAATCCCGGCGCCTCCTCCTAGCCCGGACCAACTAGGCAGATACGGTTTGGTTTCGCTGCATACTCCGTATACAATGAACGGCCATCAGCCCCATCATCAAACTCTGATCGTGGTCTATCGGTCCCGTTCGTCTCCGCAAATACCCCTGACCACGAGGGACTGTCAGCTTGGCGGCACACACAGTACAGAACATCACCAGGCGAGCCGAGCTCAAGGCCCTGGAATATCCACAGGTCGAGGCGACGAGATAGAAACACCCTGTTCCCTGCCAGCACGCGCCAATGTGGCTTTGTGTCACGATCAGTCGGCCACGTCCCTCGTCGAGGGCCAGCGGGCATCATACATGGGCAGCAGGTGGGGAAACGGGCGCAATGGCAGGCGGAGTTGAGGCGAGTCGGCGGAAGAGCGACCCTCATACATGCATGGTAGGTCTCGGGACGATCGCGGCCTCCTGATCGGCTAGGTCCCGTAGGGGCCAAAGCTTGACGCTACTGCAGCCCTTCTGCCCGACTGAACTGCAATTATATCGCGGGCGCTGTCGTCCGGGCATTTCCATGGGTACGGAGAAGACTATGCAGCCGAAGTGCGATAGGTGAGATTGATCGGAAGAAATCATATCTGGCAGGAAATGGAGGGGTCCATGCACTCCACCGGCCGAAAGGGTAGTGGAGCAGCACAGGGTCCCCTGTTCGTGACAGTAGAACGGCTGAGAGGGGAGGCAAGATAAGTGGCTCGTTGGGCCCGTTAGAACCAGTGTGGGTTGTGCGAACTGCAGTCACACAATCAGACAGTCAAATGGTCAACCGTTCACAGTCGACAATCTTTTACAGTGGGGCGACTCCAACGGGTTAGTGATCAGATTAGTGGTCAGCTAGTGCGGGCGCTAGCAGGCGTGCCGAGCCACGATGTGGCTCAGGCAGCCGAGACACAGCCACTGGCGGTGTCACACGTGGCTGATGTTGGGATCTCGGTGAAATGGGAGCAGTCGCGCACAGTTGCAAGGTGACGAGTGTAGTGGAGGATTGTGATTGTCTGGCAGGTGGAGGCGAGGCGCCCGTACTGGACACTGCACTCCGGCTAACGACCCAAGGTCGTTAACGGTCTTGGTCCTAATCCCGGTCCTGCGTTCCATACGGGATACTGATGTGGATGTCCCGCAGGAAGTACAGAATGTCGGAGCATGGATGGAGGTGGTGGGGATGAAGGAGAGGTACGAAGAGATAGGAAAAGATCAGCCGGGCAGGGGATCAAGGAGTCCGCTCCATCTATTTTCAGTAGACGCCGCCCTCCCGGCAGATAAGTAGTGTATTTCTGACGCGGAGATGGAAAATATTTCCGTTCTCAGAACTGATTACATAGAATAGGAAGCAATTGTGGCATGGCAAACCGGGCCATATTATCGATTCATGATAGCCCTGTGTTGATGGCTGCAAACCCGTGCGCCCTGTACCGGCGAGGAACGAGACCGGCCAAGCCAAGGGCCAATCGCTCCAAACAAAGACGGTGCTTCGGCTTAGGAGCCCGCCAGCGTGCTAGTAGCGTCGTCTCCCGGGTAGTAGAAGGCCGCCAGTCTAGATGGTGGTTTAGTCAATGCAACGAAAGTCAACGAGGCCCAGGAAGACTTACGCAATGATAATGTAAGCGGCAATCAGAAGTGCACCCTCCAGATAGTTACTTCGGCCATCCAGAACCAGGAAGTTGACCACAAAGGCAGTAACAAAGAGGCAAATGGTCTCAAACAGGGTGAAGTACAGGGACATGTCCTTGTCCATGCACCAACCCAGAATGACGACAAGTGGGGTCACGAAGATTGCTGAAAGATGGTTAGCATGCGAAAGAAGAGACTGTAATGGTAGGCATTGGACTCACCGATCTGAATGCTACTTCCTACAGACACGCCAATCGACAGATCCATCTTATTCTTCGTAGCCACACTTACAGCGGTAACATGCTCGGCCGCGTTACCGACAATGGGCAGAATAATCAAACCAATAAAGGCCTCACTGACGGGCGAGTTTTGGATCATGTCGGGGATGGCATCGACCAGGAACTCGGCACAGATGGCCACAAGACCGGTAGACAGGAGCAACATTACCACGGCGGCGGTGCGTGACATCTCCGGTTCAGCTTCTGCGACAACAGCCTCAGGGGCCACGGGGTCAATGGGGGCAGCTGCGCGAGCAGCACCACGGGCAAACTGAACAGCATTGCCAACGGGAGGTTGGCGGCTGACTCGTGCAGGAAGTGAGTTACTTCGAGAGAGACCAGGACGCGGAACAGCAGCTCCCATGCTGGGAGAATGGGCAGGGGACTGGGAGCTAAAGACAGTGTTGGACAGCAAAGAAGGAATAGGGCCGAAGGGTGAACGTCTCCTCTGCTCGATTTCCCCAGCGCCCTCCACGCCGGCGAAGGTGGGCGTAGAAGCGAATCCCTTCATTGAAGGTCGGGAATCATGCGCCTGCTGTGCCAGATCGGGAGGCTGGCTGCGAGCCTTTTCGTCTCTCTGGGAGCTGCGCTTCTTGCGTGACTTGCGCCGCTTTTCGCTGCGGGTGCTCTCGACACGCTGCAAGGCGATACCAAAGTCACGAGAGCGGAATTCGGAGGACCGTTGCACGTCATCATCGGCGTCATAGCGAATTTCGTCCCCAAGGTCGATGGTACAGGAATTGGCGTCATTGCTGGCAATCGAGTTGCCAACCGAGCTCTGGGTTTCGTTCGCTATAACCTTCTTCTGGGCCGACTGGCGGGAGGTGGTTCCCTTGGAGCTGGTGCTGGACTTGCGACGCCTGCGATTCTTCATGGCCCTCTTGATACGCTTGGCAGTGGTCCATGAGGTAGTGGTGTCCACAGACTCGTCACTAGAGCTGCTGGAGGAGTCTGATGAACTGTTCATAAACTCCGCCAGTACACCAGGGTGCGACTCCTCGTCGATAATCCGTTGTGGGATACTGGCGTATAGGTAGGAGTGTGTTCTGAGTTGGAAAACAATGTACAGGACGTATACAAGCAGTAGAACCACACTAGTACCACGGCTGACCTTCAGTGTACTCCGGTCGGCATCTGCGCTGTCCGAGAACGAAGCATGGAAAGCGGTGGGCAGGAGCAGACTTGTCACGGCCAAACTGAGCATGCATGCACTCATCTGCGTGACGGTGCTGTTGTAGATCTGCTCTCGAAAGCGCAGACCACCCAGCAAAAATGCCATGCCCATGATCAGGAGCAGATTCGCCAGGATTGAGCCTAGCAGGGAAGCCTGTACAATCCGAATTTCATTCTTGACCAGCGCAATAATGAAGATGATTAGCTCGACGGCATTACCGAACGAGACGTTGATCAGGGCGCCCATGGTGTCGCCCAGGCGGCTGGCCACACTTTCGGTCGCATGGCTCAGCAGTCCAGCCAGAGGGATGATAGCCACGGCATTCATCGCAAAGATGATGGCCGGGCTTAGGCCAGCGGCCTTGGCGACGATACCCACTGGCACGAAGACCAGCAGGATGTTGATCCAGCTGTGGCAGATAGCATCCTTGGTATGGTGGTAGAACCGGCCGGACCCATTTCGCATACGGGTAACGAGGCCCGGAGATTTCTTTTCTTCCTCTGCGGGCCCTGCTGCCAGAGCAGGGCCCTCCGTTGGTCCAGTCACTTGTACATCATTGGAGACAGGAGGGCGGTCCGTAGATGCCTCGGCTTCAGAGAGCTCGTTCGTGACCTGGGTTTGGTTCGGAGTCTGGTTGGGCAGGCCGTGAGAAGATGCGTGAGCTTTCGCCCACGAGTTAATCCGGTCTGTTCGATGACGTTCGGTCAGCCGCGTGCAAGATGCCAAGGGAGCGCAGATAAGCTATCTAGGGCCGGGAGAGGGACGGCCTGGATATTCAAGTCGACTTACGCATGTATTTCAGGAACCAGTAGCTGATTCAAGGTAGAAGGCTGTCAAGCCTGGAGGGGGTAAAGCAGGTAGAGTTTGTCTGGACAGACAAAGCCCGGGGGAAGAATGGCAAAGTGAGAGATTAGGGGGAAGGAGCGGGCCCTTATTTATCGCAAGCCTTGGCGGTGCCTTGGCGCTTACTTCGCCTTTCCAGAATGACTGGAAAGCCACCGAATTTCCCCTGCGGAGTAAAGACTTTCGCCTGCGGTACCACAAACAGAAGCTGGCAGATTCTCCGCAGATCCACGAATGTTGACGACTACGCGGTTGACAGGCGCATTCTCCGCGCGGAAACGGCCTCGTCAGCCTATCCCTCGCATTGTTTCTCCTTATGATGTCAACACTCTTTCAGGCCGAAGTTTAAGGTCTTCCCCGTGGAACTCTCAATAGAACATGGCGAATGACGCGTTCTCGAGCCCGCTCTCTGGAGGGATCTGTAAATAGTTGCTAAAGATGCGCCCTCGCAGGGAATCCGGCTCCACCGTGGACAATGTCCGACACTGGTCGTGCAAAATCCCACCCGGTTGGTCCAATTGTCTCCACACGATCGACGCCGCCGTATGAGAGGTCGCCCTACTGAGGCAAAAGCCGGCTGCGAGTCTCGCTGTTCGTAACACAAGCAGTCGCACACGACCAAACAGGCATTGTCGGCGTGGCTTCACAGGCTTATACAGCTAAGCTTATCGGGCTTGTCAAACTCGGCGGACCGAGACGACCCTCCATTGCAAGTTCGCAAGGCTCTCCCGAGGCCGACGCTGATTTCCTACCCTCGAGGCCGCGCCACAGTCGCGTAATCGCCGAGATGTTCGCGCGTTTCGGTACGATGCCCCGAAGTGCTCTAGTCCTGCTTCGGACTGCGAATTAAGCTAATAGGACCGGAGCGGACGGGTGGCAGCCACCGCGCCTCACCCGACTCGACAACTGGTCCTCCCAGGGTCCACATGACGTCATGTGGGCTACCGATAGGCAGTGAGCGTATCGGGGAGCGTACAGAACAGCTAGTCACCAAATAGACTTCACCCAGTCATCAAACTAGACCTGCTTCGGAAGACTGGCCCCTTCCTGCATCCTGAAAGATAGTGGTCTCCTGTAGTTTGGACAGCTGCGTCGGACAATTGCATGCCACTCTACTTCCAGTGCCGTCCAGTCGCTATATGGGAGAGATCTTTTCCAACGCTTCCCAAATCTTGTCTAGGCCCAACCTGCGGCTCGAAGGCCCCACCCTCTCGCCACATCTCTTTCGTGGCTGGGGCGGTGCTAAAGGATGGCTGTGTTCTCCGTCGCCTTCGCCACCCTACATCATTTGAATACATTTGACTCAATTGTGATGGAAACGGGGATGCTCTGAATCGCTGATTCATTTCTTGGAGATATAGATGATGCTTTGATCTGAGCTGAGGCTCTGGATTGGTTGATAGCTAATTCTTACATTGTGAGTGTAAGTGTACAGAGGTATACGAGCCCTGTGACGGGGAACCGACCAGGAATGGAAGAATTTTGAAATATCTTCATAATAATTAGTAGCTATACGAGATAGACCGTCAAATGCTCTATATTTCTCCATGACGATGACCCTGAATGTTTGAGGTCTAGAAGGAGAACTCCGTCCCTTGACCCTGGCTCATCCGGTGTGCTTTTGCGTTACACGTGCCTTTCCCGAGTGGCCTCATCACCAGCATAAAACAAAATTGTAAGCCATGCGATAGACAGACATAGATAGGTCTAAAGGCTCCCAAACAAAGTTTCCGCTTCCCAAGCAACAAGAAAGATCATAGTGGCAGAGTAGCCATTCCGCAACCGTTTCTCTAATGTTGACCACAATTTGTGTAGTCCAGGTACGAGAGTAGTCAATACCACCCGAGACGCCTTTATCTTTAATTAGGGTCCAGTCAAGGCAAGCGCAGACAGTGAGACCGTTGCTGACGCTATACCGGAGCTAAAATACACATCAAAGCCGTTCAGTGCCGATAACAACAGGTACATCTGGACATCCCAGTCGATAAACGTCTGAGTTTTGTCAGTAACGGCGGCGGTAATCAAACGATGATTGTCATCGTCATCGGAATGGGCCCAACAAGTGGGCAGTCTATATTTCAATTTATTGCTGGAATCATTCTGACCGTAATGTCACCGGCTTTCAGTTTGGTCGTCTGGTATATCGTCGATGGCAAGACGCCGGGTGTGATTGTCTTCCTGTAGCTCACTATTGTGGTCGATGTAAGTGCAAGGCCACCGTCTCTGTGTAGAGTCGGAGCACTCGGGACTAGAAGTTTTATCTGGATATCTACGTGGCGCACAATAATCCTGAGTAGACACTAAGGCTCGGCGGTATTAGAGTTGATATCAGGCGGGATATCAGACTGGAAATTTTGTCCTGCAGGACTATCCGAGGACCCGTATATCAACATCAACGCAGTATAATAATGAAACAAAAGCCGCATCCGAATTCATAGATCAATTAACTCCTTACCAGTCGCGGAGCAACGGAATTCTTTCCATCCAATTAGCGTGATGTATATATATCACATAAGCTCCATAGCAAAGCCGCCCGGACCAGCCAAGACCAGCACCTAAGACACTATCGTTAGTCCCTAGGCAGGGCCTCATTGCGTGCCGAGTTCCGCTCAGCTGGGCGTGGTTGAACTTACAACGTAAGTCATTCCATTCACTCATCATCCTCGATGGGATGTCTGGGGTCCACCCCTTGTTCACCAATGGCATACAACTTTCGCAGCCGCGGATATGCCAGGATAAAGAAGACCACGACGGCCAAGAGAATCAGAAAGGTCGGCATAAACATTTAGGTGAACAGGAACAGGCTCAGCCCGAAGGCCACGTTTTGCCCGGGGAGAAATCGGCGAGCCATGAGGTCGAGTACTGAGGAGAACGGCATGAGCTCAGAGGGATGCCGAGGTGAGTAGGGCTGGACAGGACCGGCTGGAAGGTGCCCGGGAATGACCGAAGCAGAGGGACACAGGGTAAGTAGACGCGATGTGCGCAATGCAATTGAAGCACCGCTCTATGCACGGAGTGGCCGTGCTGTACGGAAGAAAGTGGATTGAACTGGTCTCGGACCCGGTCGACACGGTATCCCAGCCCGCTTAAGCTTCCCCTGGATATATATACACGACGCGGTTCAAGGTCGCGATGGAAACGCCGTTGGGGAACGCCTCCTTGTGGCTTACGCCGTTGAGAGACAGTCTGAATGGTCCTCTATTGGCAGGACTATGAATGCTGATGCCTATGGTGGCAGTGCGCGACCGGATTATTGGATGATTAGGCTATTGGCCGTGCCGTTCTTAGCCGCCGTCATTGACCCAGTCGGCAGCGTCCCAGCGGGTCTTGGCAGTGCCCGTTTCGTTGCTGCCGGGGAAGAATGCCAGGCTCCATGGGCCTGGCCTGGCCAAACCAGGGTTATGATTCAAATCAAACAGGTCCATCATAATATTAGTTTTACTTTTGAGTTGAGGGATAGGGACTGGGAAACGGGGTATTTTCGACGCCTGGCAGCGGGTATGTGGAATGCCCCATTCCTGCTGAAGTGTGGCGGGAACAGCTTCAGGCAGCAGCTTTTTGGGGAAGCTTCGTGGAGGCTGCCCTCGGCGGGTGACTATTGCCTGGTGGTGGGGCACCGACCGTGACCGGTGGGTTACCTGGCAGCGTGCAGGGTTGCGAGGTGGCCATTCGAGGCATTTGAGGGTTTTCTGCGGAGAGTTCAGTCCGCCCTGCAGGAGAACCCCCTCACGGGGCCAGGGAGGTGATTCGGGTATTGTGAATTACTTGTCTATATTAACAATCCGAGAGTCTGTACGGAGCAGCTCTAATACGTGAACTCCGTCGCATCATGTCCTGGAAATAAAGGGATATAATTAAGTCTGCCGATCGTGTTTTCCGGGCGGCAAGAATAGGCATCGTGTTGGGACCTTTTCCCTGTAGGGCTGAAGCTTGGCCCATGGATCCCCGCTTCGTCTAAAAACAGCAGCCTGCAAACCTTGCCCTTCCGCGACCCCACGCCGCTGTACACCCCGATTATCAATAGTGCCTACCACCACCAGAGCCAGCCGATTGAGGAACCCGTCAATCACTAGGATTGCGGCCGGCGTCGAGCCGAAACAAAACGATCAGCGGGGCAGGGTTCCGAAGTCATCGTGCCCTTGCGGTGGACCCGCCCATTAGGATTACGAGACGATAGAAGCGCGAACTAGACCCATTAGATCGAATTAAAAACCCGAATTCCTGACAGGGCTGGCGTTCCTCCACACTGGCCTCCCCCTCTGGATTTGCGTTCCCAACAGTAGTTTTTCTTCTTCTCCTCACTCCACCTGACCCCGGCGGTCTTCACCGTCTTTTTGCCAACGCACAACTCTATACCGGCCCATATTTGCGAGCTGGGCATACCAACCAACACGACACAGGAGTAACGCGGGGAACTCCTACGTCGATTCTGCTTTGGTAGGACCTATCCTCCAGCCGCGACCCCGACCAAAATGTCTTGGCTCGCGCGGCAGGAGACGCACGACTACGAGGAGAATGATAACCTCGGCGTGGACTGGGTGCTGCAGTATGAGTTTGGCGATCTAGGTACGGACACAGCCTCGCTAACTGCAGACATCTCTTCCCTTAATTCTCCAGTGTGCATGGCCTGACGATCGCATAGATCAGGCAACGGCCATCTCTGAGTTTCGCGCGCTCATCCACGACCTGACCGAAGCTGGTCTTCGCGTGCAGGTGCGCCCTGGGCATGGCTCGGCGCTACTCGTGTGCATCCGAGTCCCCAGAGATCATCTGGGGAAGATGGTGCACCAATCCAGGTATGCCAATCGGCCAAGCTTGCCAACTAGTCCCTCTTTGACTCTACCCCGCCACTCCCAGCTCTCTCGACGGAATTAGCGACTCTTGATGTCGATACCATACTCACTTCCACACAGGATAAAAGATTGGCTCTTCGGCATAACGAATACCCTGCCCGCCGGGGACGAAAAAACCACTGCCACCGCGGCAACACCCTCGGAGGAGATCCGCTCGGTCTACCATGCCGTCACCTGGCAGAAGGAGCTCGGTGGTGCTGGCATCACGCGGAAGTTTGGGAACTGGAAGAATATCACCGCTTCGTTCCCGTTGCATGACCGGGATGCGTGCTCGGAGTTGCTAAGCAAGTGGAATCGGAAGACGAACTTGACGGTCCAGGACTTGGATACCATTCGCGCGTTGTTTGGTGAGAAGGTTGCCATATCGCATCATACTTCTTGGAAAATGTCTCGGGTCTGAGCGCTAATCCCCTTGTACTTGTCCATCTAGGTCGCTTTTTACTTCGCTTTTATTCATTGCTATTCGCTGTTTCTGGTGGTCCCCGCTGCGCTCGGCATCCTGGCATGGTGGTTTCTCGGTCCGTACTCGATCATCTACGGCAGCGCGCTGTGTGTCTGGTGCGTGGTGTTTGTGGAGTTCTGGAAGGTCCGCGAGTCCGATCTGAGCCTGCGGTGGAATGTGAAGGGGGTGGGGCGGTTGAAGCTCAATCGCACGCAGTACGTGTGGGAGAAGGAAGTCAAGGACCCCATCTCTGGCCAGGTGACGCGCACGTTCCCCGCGTGGAAGCAGTTTCTGCGACAGATGCTGTTGATCCCGTTCGCGTCGATTGCGAGTGTGGCGCTGGGTGGTTTGATTGTGTTTACATTTGCGAGCGAGGTGTTCATTTCGGAGGTGTATAATGGCCCGCTGAAGGAGTATCTGGAGTTCGTGCCGACGATTCTGTTCTCGCTCTCGCTACCGGCGATTACTTCCTTCTTGACTGGCATTGCGACGCATCTCACCGACTATGAGAACCATCGTACGCAGGATCTATACGATCTCGCTCAGACGCAGAAGACTTTCGTGATGAATTTTATCACCGCCTTCCTGCCGACTCTCCTGACCGCGTATGTCTACGTACCGTTCGGCGCGTCGATTGTTCCGCGCTTGGATATTCTGCGCCGGACAGGCCTGGACGTCAACATGGCCAACCACAAGGAATTCCAAGTGGACACCTCGCGCTTCCAGGCCGAAGTTATCTACCTCTCCATGACAGCGCAGGTCTTCAGCTTCACTGAAGAGGTCGTCCTACCTTACGTCAAGCACGTGCTGTGGCAGAAATGGCGCAACTACCGCGACCACAAAGCTGGCCTGGCCCGCCAACGCAGTTTCTCCAAATCTACCGATCTCCTGCTGATCGACCCGCCCGGCGAAGCAGCGTTCCTGCGCCGCGTGCGCGGCGAGGCCGACGCAGATGAGTACAAGGTCGAGGAGGACATCCTCGAGATGTGCGTGCAGTTCGGCTACCTCGCGGTGTTCGGAGTAGCCTGGCCGCTCGTCCCGCTGGGCTTCTTGTTGAACAACTGGCTGGAGGTGCGCGGCGACTTCTTCAAGCTAACGCTAGAATGCCAGCGGCCACCGCCCATCCGCGCCGACTCGATCGGGCCCTGCGTACTAGGACTGGACTTCCTAGCGTGGATGGGCACGCTCTCGACCGCGGCAATCGTGCACCTGTACCGCGGGCCAATGGCCGAAGTCCGGCTCTCATCACTTCTGCTCACCATCTTCATCGCGGAGCAGGTCTACCTCGGCATCCGGTTCACAGCCTCCACGGCCTTGCAAAAAGTCTTCTCGGACACGTTACGCCGCGAAGAAGCAGGCCGGTACGCCGTACGAAAGGCTTTCCTCGAAAGTAGCCAGTCCCAGCACGGCTCACCGGGGTCATCGTCACGCGTACGCCAGCGCGTGCGCTTCCACGAGCGCGTGAATGTGTATAGTAGTGACTCGGCGCCGTCCCCGGATGGCTCCCCCTCGCCGACGGGCGAACAGCCGCAGCACGATGTGCTGCGCGGGTCAGACCGCGAATCTGAGTTCTGGACGGGACGGGAGGGCGATCCAGCCGACGCCGGCGTCAAGCTGATCCGCGCTTTGCACGCGGGGCAGCCTAGGGATGATCCTAAGATGACAAAACTCGCGTAGAGGGTCTCTGTTCCTACTAGTGTGCATGGTATTTCGCTAGACAGTATATACAGATTCTTTGAATATATCGATCGTATTCTAAGTTATCTATTGGAGCTGCAGCGTGCTTTGTATTGTGGGGTTTTTTCCTTTTTTGTGGGTGCCTAGAATAAAAGGAGGTACTCCGCGGTGCGCCGCTTTCTAGGTAGAGTTTGTACTAGTGGTACAGGGTAGTCTGTCCACACCAACTGGTGCACTGGCCCCATCGGCAGCATACAGGCTATCTCATCAATGTCGCGTCATGGAAATACCGGGAGTCTGGCAGGGAGCTTGGAGACGTGCTAGGTTTATGGAAAGACGTGAGGGACTCGGCGGGTCGTGGGACTTATTTGCTAGGACTGCTAAGGCCATGGGGCTAGCAGCGTAAATAATGTATCACAAATGCTAGTACAGAGCTTACAATGCCTGTTTCAGGTATTTCCGGAGGGGATGGGGTAGCCAATCATTCCTACGGTAGGAATCTATGAATAATGAAGAATGACGGGGGAGCCTCTTCAGCCCTATAGGGTGACGCCAAGCCGTCGATCCACCAGGTCCCGCAAGTAGAGCCGGTTGAGCCTCGCCTCGCCCGATTGTGTCCCCCCCCAATTTCCATTTCCCCCCCTTCTCCTAGCCTATTTTTATACATCTTCCGCCCTGACTCCGTGCCTCAACACCTTCCCAAGTACCTTGCAACGCCTCCAACCCCGCATGTGAACAGCCTGCCTCCCCGTGACTAGGAACAATCCACACTATTTCTGCTGGCAGGCCACGAGGCCACAACTGCGCCCGTAACCAGCATGGCGACCCTGGGGGCTTCTTCTGATACCCTATTCACTCCCCCTTGGCCATCACAGGTTTCATCCGGGCCACACATTATGCATAGCTCGGCAGACACAAAGCCAGGGCCAGACTCCGACCTCGAACTGGTAGCCCTCGAGCCCGCACTGCCCGCTGAAAAGCCCCTCCGCAACGCTAGCGACATCACTGGGGAAGAGTCACTCCAGTTCAATAGAGACACCGTCACCCTCGTCTTCCGCGGCGGCCGCTTCCGCCTCTTGCACCAGCAGCAATTCCGGAACAGTCTGCTCGCAAGCGTGGGATATCTGGAGCTCGCGAACGCGGCGGACTTCGCGGCCAACGTATGGAACCAGATCCCTGTACCGACCTTTGCAGCTGTGCTAATGGGTATCGGCGGCACATGTGCTCTGGGCATGGTATTCGTCGCGGTGCAGGATATTCGGCTGAGCTGGCGGAACGTGAAGCTTCTTCGTGCGGAGCGGGAGAACCTGAAGCGACTGCGGCAGTATCATGTCAGGAACGTGGAATTGGACCAGCTGCTGGAGAGCAAGCTGGGCGTGAGCGACCGAGAAATCGGCACCGAGGTCGTGGATCGCATCGCGATGGATTGTCTTCTCGGTTTCGGCTCGGTGTTGGTAGGCGTGGGCACCCTCATGGCCATCGGCGGCGCCAACCCGCGCGTTTTTAAAGCCAGTAACCTGCTATCCGGGTACATCGGTAATGGACTGGCCGCGCTTTTTGGCCTGGTCAACGCTATCTGGTCTGCTTACTTACTCTGCCGCTTTCACCTGCACCTCCGAGCGGCACGGGCGGCGCTGCCGAGTGATCATATCCGCTGGCGGCTGCACACCCGCATCCGCCGGTTCCAGTGGCACGCGTTCGTGAACGGCCTTAATGGTCTCGTGGCCGGGGCGGGGTCCCTAGTCACGGCGGAGCGGTGGTGGGGGTATGTCGTGCTCATCCCGTGCATCATCTCCCTGATCGCGATCAACTACTTTTGGCGGAAAAAGCTCGGCTACGACAGGCCACTATTGATGGGCGCTTCGATTGCACGCACGCAGTTGATGCCGGTCGTCGAACAGCTGGAGTATGTGATCGCCATGCAGCGTGCCTTCGCGGAGCCGGACACTGCCCTGCCAAAGCTCGTGAAGACAGACTCGCTGGAGTCGATGCTGCGCTTTATAGTGCACAATCACATGCTGGAACCGTACTGCGAATCTCTGGTCCATGATAAACAGGCCCGATCCCTCTTGCAAGATCTCCGAGGCACAGCCAGCACACCACATGAAATCACCATCTCGCTAGATGCGCTCCTTCGCCTCTCCACCTCCCGTACTAAAAACACTAGTCTTCTCCTGACTCATGCAATTTGCTTCCTTCGTAAAGACGGAGTCCGCATCTTCATACATCGCGAGCGCTATCTCCTCGAGTTATTGGGCTACGCTGCTTGGCGGGATCACACAGCGGCCGCTGCGGGTGGTGCTCCGGGAGCAACGATAGAAACCAAGTAATGCGTAGACCTCAGGATTTCTTTCCCCCTTGCCTGCAAGTGCGGAGTATGTTAGCTTGTTTCCTTTCACGGCGGCTGGGTCGCCGCAGGATGTACGGAAATCGCATTGCCTACCATGGCGGATGGTTGAACAAATAATATGCCTGCCCTGTTAGATGCATATTCAATTTCGATGTTATTCATCACATATTTGAACATTAAATTAATAGGTGCCAGTTCTGTATCTTCTACTCTACGGTCTTAACAAATCCACCATCAAGGTATATTCCGGCTTCTCTCAGCACGACTCAATTGAAAACCTATCTACTGGCGAACCTCGACGCATAAATTCATATATACATCACAGAATCTCACTCTGCAAGACATCTAGTTATCAAGACCAGGGCAGTTCTCGCTCGTCTCCGAAGTGATAGTGTTATAGGGCGAGGGATCCGTCCAGATAATGTTGAAGCTAGCATCCAGTCAGCATCTCCGCCCATCCTAGTTCGTATCGCGCATGTGCGTCCCTCGCACAAAGTAGCATAGATATACATACCTGTCATCCGGATAAGTCGGCGCATCATCATCGCCCAACTGCTGGACGATATCAGTCAGAGCGTCGTGCTCCCAGCAAATCAAGATATTGCCGGAACCAGAGTAGCCCTTGACAACGTCCTCGACGCACTCCGGGTCATCCCGGTCGCAGGAGATGTCAACCGTCAAGCCGAGGTCCTCAGCTAGCGGTTCCACAGTGTCATACGGGCGCTGTCGGCTGCCATCTGTAGGAAGGTTAGGTCAGAAGGGCCGGCGTACAAGTACATGATATTGATGGAGAGAGGGGTTTGACGACTCGGGAGTGTTATGTGGTACATACCGCTCTTCGGGGTTTGAGCCATGATATGACCGATGTTATAGCCCGAGCTGGCACCAAACACAGTGCGCAGACATTGCGCGCGCTCCTCGCCCTGAGCATTCAGGCCATTGCCGGAAGAGGGCTTCTCGCCGTGGCGGATGAGATAGACCGTCGGGTCCGCCACCGCAAGAGTGGCAGCAGTCAAAGCCGCGAGAGCAACAATCTTGATCATTTCGAATTGGTATATCTGACAGTTATAAACACAGTTATTTCCTGGATATAGGTATATTTCCCTCGCTTTTTAGGTGCCCTTTCACCACATATTTATACATCCTGTGCACTGAATCTATGAGTAAACATGTTCTAGCCCCGATCGGGGTGAATACTACCTTCCCCTGCATGGTCAAGAATACTCCGATACCCGGCGGCCACACGCCGTCGTGATCGGCACGACATGCGCGGTGGCGTGGGTCTGATTCGCCCGCCGATCAGTTGGCTAGCCTGGCTAGGAAATTGAAGAAATGCGCCCCACGACCGGCGCAGGCTGCGCTGGCAGCGGCTAGGTGAGTAGAGGATGCTTGATTTTGTTTTATTATCTAGTTTGGCCTTTCCTGTGATCTTAAGCTTGGGTCTGGGTCGGGGTTCGCATTTTCTGGTTTTGCATGTTGAAGCGTGTGTGTATGGGCGGGTGGCTAGGTATTGAGGTTGAATTTAGTTATAACAAGCATTGCAGGAGTTATATAATGGGATAGGGGATTTGAGGTCGTGCGAGCGCTAACGAACACAAGTTTCGGGACTGTGTAGTGTGATGCCGGTCTTGTTGCTTGTTTTGTGCGTGTTAGTGCTATAGTTAGTGGCTGTTCATTAGTATTTGCACCCTGGTACTTCCCTCATACACTGCCTTCTTTTATTATCATTACCTTACTTTATCGATGAGATAGACCCACGCTCCTCCCCCTTTGTTATCTATCGTCTACCCAGTAACGCCTTACAGTAGAGCGCAGGGTACTGGATACGAAAGCTGGCACACTGTTAATTATGAACTTCCTACGGGACTTGGGACTTGATGTGGAAGAAAGATCGGAACGGCAGAAGGAATAGTGGGCCTCTTGGCTTCGCCAAGGAACTACAGTGCTTGCTAAAGCTTCGCTCTCGTATTCGTACCCCACGTGCTGCCTTTCCGGTCGCGATAGCTTCCATTATTGGCTATGGATCTTGCGTGCTCCTGCTCTTTCTATCTATTTTGGATGCGAATTAGAAACTGTGTTGGCTGACACAGAAGACGGGTCTACAAGCGGGGCTGGCACGCGAGGTTGCATATACTATATGAGAAATTGCCGAGTTCACCTTCGGGTTTTTCTTGCAACGCTGCCGGAGAAGGGGGGTTGCCTGTATGCCCATCATCATCCAATGGGCTAGATCCATTGTGGGGCCTACACATGCTTCGTTGATTCGTGGTCGTGGGCCCGGGTCGGCTCTTTATCACTCGGGTAGATCGGGATCACTGAGGTGATGAATTTTGAAATATTTAATGGTTGGATCTGGAACAAAGTATCTTAGTATCTATATTAGTAGCTGTAAGTCTGCGTGGAAGCCTCAGTATTGAATTGGTGGTAATCTAGAAGCTAAAGAGGCCGCTTCTACGCTTTCCGTAAGGATAAACAACCAGCGCCGCGATAAACAAGCCAATAGTGATGCCAATCGCCACCTGAATCATACCAAATCCCAAGCTGAACTCCGAGCTACTTGAGGCTAACCCGGCCCCAGGGGAAGAGCTTGCTGAGCCATGGGATGTAACATTTTGCCTGATCTGGTCTGCAGACTGCACGCCTGATATCAACGAGCCCGTTGCAGCAAGACCGGACGGCACTAAAATGAAGATACCTGGTAAGATGGCGGTGGCGGCGTGCCCATGCCAAAGGCGGCTGTACAAATTTCCCATGATGCCAACTGTGAACGCGCCCACCGTATTGGCGACCTGAGAATTCGACCCAAGTTTCTTGGTGCTGAAGTAGTTGCTGATGTATCCTGATAGAGCGATGATCGTCATTGGCGGCAGTTGCTTCCATTTCCCCTGGTTGATGATCAACAGCCAGACTGTCATGATGGCCACGAAAGGGAAGCGCTGAACGTATGGGTTCGTAAATGCCCCCTTTTGGGGACATTGAATGTCTGACACGGCGCCGTTATCCATGAGCCCGTATATCGTAGTGCCAACGGTGATGCCGTAGCCGAGGAAAAGCGAGAAGATGATCGCGTATACCATCCGGATCGAACCAGCAATGATTTGATGGGACTGCAGCTCCAAGCTGCTACACAGCACGAGGAACCCGGGCAAGATCAACGCAATCGAGGCCTGCGCGATGGCCGAGAAACAGAAGATGTACTGCCGCTTGCCATCCACAATTGTCTGCGGGATGCTACCGAAAGCGCGAGCCAGAAACGAGGTCACCACTGTCGATGTTACCTCGAAGACGTTGGAGTAGAGGACTGATCGAGGGGCGGCGACGTGTTGCATAGCGCCAACGAGAAGGCCGTTGATGAAGATGATGGGCATGTCGATGGGACGTGCATTGAACGCAAAAGGACCAACGGTCGCAGTCGCCAGCCCGTATACCAGAACGACAATAAATTTGGGGTAGCGGGGCTTTTTCTTCATGACCGCGTCTAGTTCCTGCACTGCTTCTTCGATCCCAATCACATCGTGGATGACATTCTTGTAGATGAGGTGGGTATCGGAGAGTCGTGCCAAATCGACGCCCTGTGCGACTCGGACGAGCTTTACTTCTGTCGTTCGCGTACTCGGATCATCAAACGACATGATCATGCAACCAGGCAGATACAAGAATTGGCTGTCGACCTCCAGGATCTTGGCCGTCATCTGCATGTATTCTTCCAGTCGGTGGGTCGGGGCGCCGAATGCCATCAAGGCCCTGCAGAGCTGCATGATATACCGCTGTCGACAGATAATCTCGGCAATGTGGATGGTCACTCGAATCTCATCCTCTAGCTTGACTTTGTGGTCTGACTGCTTGCCGCGGCGTTGGGACGCTGCCGATAGCACCTCGCTCGAGACCGGTGTGCTTGCTCCACTCAGGCTCCCTGGAACGCCGATCAGAGTGGACGTCGACGTATTGGGGGGCCTTTTATACCACTTGGGCGGCTTGCCCTTTCTCCCGGGTGTTTCTCTTCCGGACTCCGAGTCAGACTTGGAAGCTGGAGCAGCTGACTCGAGCGAAGACTGACTCGGCGTGCGCGACGCCATGTCTGCCGGTTGCTGATTTCCCCCATTGAGCTTCATCAACTGCGATAGAATCCCACCTCCACCAGAGCGATACCGCAACCCGGACTCGAGAGCCGACTCTTCGTCGCCGCCAACCTGCTCCGTCCCACCGAGCGGATATGGCCGACCGCGCGTTTTGCGCCGCCGGGAGGACTGATTCTGCGTCAGGTCGCGCACCAGACGATGGGCCTCGGAGCTACTTTCGGCCTGGTGCTGTCGTTTCTCGTCATCAGTCTTATTCTTATTGTCCGTTACATCTGATAGCGGGACTTCACCCCCGGACGCCCAGTCGCGGTGGTACACACCCGATTGTAGATCGTCTCCACCAGTAGTTGGCCGGCCCAAGCGTTCTCCGAAACGAGACGCTTTCTGTCTGAGTCTCTCGGTCGCTGAGCGGAGTCTCTGCTTCGTGCTTTGAAGATTCAATGTGTCAGGCCAGGCGCGTTCTGGTGCTTTTTGCTCCGGTGGTATTTCGTCGGGTTTCTTTTCCTCCCCGGCTTCGTGACCCTGATCGGCCTGCGCTCGATCTCGTAGTGGTGTATCCGCAATATCTGAAGTGTCATGGTAATATGGCATTGAGGGAGGATGGGGCTCATTAAGTCTCTGCGATCGGTCCCATTCTGCGCGAGGGTCTTCGGGGGGCTGTCGGCGAGGAACCTCATCCGCGAGGCTGGCGTTGGAGCGAAAGTGAATGTGAGGAGAGGGCGGGGCGGCTTCCTCTTTTTCGCTTTCTTGGCCACCATTGTATCTTTCGTTCAGCTCCTCTGTTCGTTCAGGGTGATCTGTGAAATAATTGTCGCTGTCACTGGTATTGTTGCCGCCGGCTGGGGGTCGCTCTCTATACTCTCCCGTTCGGACATCACGACTGGCACTAATAACCCGACAGCAAGCCTTAATCGTTTTCACTCAAACGACATTGGAGTTGTGCGCAGGGATTTTCTTGACTTAAATCTAGTTAGTTGTTAGTTACTTGGCCATTGCAAGTCGCCCCGGCTTGAGCTTGCGTATACTCACCCCCTTGTGATGGAGTCAGTCTCTATGTTTGCAGGAACGACCAGCGCTGTCGACCTTTCTGACGAAAGATGGGAACTTTATTCAACGCAATGTTAAACTTGCCGGAAGATACCAGGCTAGAGAGTTCGCCATTGGTGTTAGTTGGATGAGCTCATGGAGGCGGGTATCGGGCATACTCCCGTTCGATGCGTTTTCAGCATACGGACTGGTAGTCCTTACAACCAATCATAGCAGATGAAAGGAGCATCTGAACATGCAGAAAATTTTCCACTTTTGTCCAGGGCTGTTGAGTTCAGTCGTCGTCTGACGTCAGGGCGTCGGAATACTTGTCCGACCACTCTACCTCCAGAGAAGTCCCCCACAACATCCATTCATTAATAGGGTCATGGTCTCAAACCAATTGCTGATTTCCAGAACTGCTAGTCTTATGCGAAACCTGCGAACACTCAATAAGGGAGGTAGGAGAGGGAGGATCTAGATTACTGGAGCTGGCAGGGTATACAGGATAGACATCATAGAATGCCCAGACCCTTTGACTATATAGGTCTGCTGATAATCCATCCTATTAGTTTCTTATTACATTAATATGTCATTTTCGTAAGCTGCAGATCCTGAGTTCCTATCATGCCCGCATGGGTGGCAATGACATTAATTTGACTCTAAGTGATGGCAAGGGTTCCTGCCGCCCCTACTCGAACACTCCCAATGGAGGAATTATCCAGTGCCCAGGTCATTCATTTCTCTGCTCACTCATAGAAAATCAATTATTCTTTGCATCTACAGTTATACGATGTGAGGTTCTAAGTATCATACGTGAAAATCAATGAGTATCGTAGTATATTTTCCAATTTGCAAGCTAGTCTAATATGAAACAGCGAAGGAGGAAATCATAGTAAGATACCTGAAATGACAAATAATCCTCTCCTTGGTACCGGCTTCCCTTTAAATCCATCCTGCTATCTCCGATAGAAATACTCCTCAAACTTCGATATCAAGAGTGCCCTCGTAGTGGCAGCGAATCTTGACATGCTCAACAGGGTTGTTCACACAGATCCATTTGGTTCCGGGAGCGCCTCCGTTGGCGTTTGAACTCAGTAGGATTTGGCCATCCTCTGGGATCGAACCGCTTACTCGTTGGAGTTCCAAAGTGAAAAGATTGAAGTCGGGAGCACCCTGGGGGAACTTAATGTAGTACTCCCCGTTGTTGCACCGCGCCCCCTCCTTTGGCAGGCTGCCGTAAGACCTAAGCTCGCCATTAGTCACCGAAATCTTAAACATACATGGGGTATAGCTCGGCTTACCAAATCAAGTTGCAGTCAGTGGGAGTATCGTCAGGATAGTTGGGATCCGTGAGGACAAAGTGCATGGAAGCACTGTCCGGATCAGCAGCACTAGCCTGAAAATCGGTGATTTGAAGAGAGGTGGAGCGCTTGGCATTTGAAGGCGCGGCGAATGCCGAGCTGGCAGCCAGAAGAACAGAAGCGATAGCTGTAAACTTCATTTTCGAGAATTTGATAGAGGGGTTGAAGGGTAGTTTGATGTATAATGGTGGTGCTTTTTCAATCTTATCTGATGAAAAGGAGCATCTACGGGCAGCCCTGAGCGTGATATTTATACCTTTGGATCCCGTTCTGGAATTCAAACACATACAACTTTGTGCCTTCATTAGGCATCCCGTCATGCGATGAGGACTTGGAAATACACGTCATATCGGATATAATACAATTGAATGAGACATCATGGAGTCGGCGAGGCTTAGCAAGCGTCGAATCGGGCAGCCGAACAGCGAAATGGTCGAGCTCTGAAGCTAAGCACATACATACTCCAGCGCGGTCGCAAGCATAAAACAGCCAGACCGCTTTCCCAAGTTCGCTAAGATAATTTGATGATCGCCTGCTCAGGTTGCATGACGCACCATGAATCTATTTTCAGTATTGATGTGGCGTGAGCTGCAGGTAAGGCCCCCGATCTCCACAGATCCCATGCCGACAGTCTAGAGACTGGACTCTTACCACGCAGGGGGAGTTGTCTTCCTAGGCCTGAATTTTGACACCGATTGCAGTATTCTGAGACTTGCTGCTTTTCGCGCTTGCTCTGAGTACCGAATTCTGACTGCAATTGGGCGCTCACTGTCCGCCTTATGAGTTTCTTCGTGCCTAGCCATGGGGGCGAAGAGTTTTAATTTGGGACCCTCGCAGAGTGTCTCGACCGAATGATCATGGGCTCAGAATTTCAGAATTTGACGTCGGTGGTAAGCAGCTTCGTAAGGCTTCCGGGCCATTTCATAGCGCGATCACCAAGAGCCAACCAATATTAGAACCAAAAGCAAGTTGAGAAAACCCATGTCGACCCTCAATCCATCCCACTAGCATACTATTGTTATCTGCAGTTCCATATTTAGATGGGTGTCGCCTGCTAAGCGCTCATTAAGCATCGCGTAACATGACTAGGATGAGGAATGAGAGCGCGTAGTGGATAGAGTGAGAAAGTGGGTGAGAATTATTATTTAATGTTATTCCCCATTGGGCGACGACCGCACAGAGCCTTTTTAGCTAAGGGACAATTAACGCTTGTTTATGCGCGAGGTCTTGTAAATTTATACGCCTATAAAACGTTGTTCTTTCTGCCTCATTCCTCCAGTGGACCGTTTGAGTTTTAGCATCACCCCTTAACGCCGTAAACTCTTCGGTCTGTCCTTTCCTCCCTACCGCGATTTCCCCCATCACTACAGGATTTAATACTACTAATTAATCTTGTCCTTTATTTAGAATCAACCGTCCGTCCTAAGATAGTAGCCTTAGAACGAGATATACTGAACCTGTCCTACCCGGTGAATATACCTTGATTCATGCTAGCCCCTCACCCGATACATGCAAGTTTCCTGGTTTCCGGTCTTTACACGGATCATGAAGTACATATTCTCTGCTTTGGTCACATTCGACGCCCTCTGAATGATGCTCCTAGTTTACTCGCATTTTTTCAGGAATTTCGAAACAAACCCGGCGACCCTAGGGCGGAGAATCGCATTACAGATCCCCCATTCCTAAACGAGTAAGATCAAAACTCCACAGAGCCAACACCATAGCTGAAACTTTTCAGACCATATCTCATCTGTGAGGCCAAAAGTGACAACATGAGTCTTTTGAGCCGATTCAATAGTAGCCATGCCCGTCGGTCGCGGGGCCACCTGTCCGGCACGTTCCTCGGATACTGGTTCGCGCAAGGGGGTCGATCTAGACCTTCTCCAGGGAGCAACCGCCCAAACGTAAAGCCGCATTCCTGATGGATGTTATCGAAGCACGCGCATACCAGTTGCAATGGGCTCTGCCTGTGCGTTGCTGTGTGTTGGGCATCTGGACCCCGATCTTCTCTTTTCTGTCATACCTTGTTTACTGTCTTCCTTTCATCTTTCTTTCCACTTTCACAGCGCGTTAATTGTGCCATTGAGGTTGATCGAAGATGCGGAGACAACTTTCTTCGGTTGCTTTAGCAGCCTTGATCATTTCGACCTCCAGCGCGATTGTTCCCATTGGAAAAACCAAGGGCACTGCCGTTGGGGCTGTGGAAGCGCCCAGAATGAGTTTACCGCCGTGGTTTCTGAGCTTGGCAGCTGAGTATGTGACTTTGGATCGTGAGGATGTGATATGATGCTAACATCACTTTCAAGGATTGCCATGTTAGGTTCGAGTGATACTAGTTCTTCCGCTGAACTACCCAGCAGCTCCAGCTCAGGTAGTTCGATACCTGCTCCGACTGTTCCAAGCCAGTCGACAACACCGCCTGCTCAACCACCACAGACTGTCCAAATAACGCTATCTGTTCCACCAAGTCCATCTGCTCTACCAAGCACACCTGTTCCACCAACCCCGTCTGCTTCTCCCCCTCGAGTAGCTCGAGCATAGCCGCTCTTCCAAGCAGTGTTGATGCCCCTTCCAGCGCTGCTGGTCCATCAAATGCTGCGGCAACAAAGACATGCCCTGGGCCCGCACCGAAGTTTGCAGATGTCTATTGGCTTGATGATCAGGACCACAATCGTGAGGGAGCGGGACACGCGCCGTTTACCAATGGCACCAACCCGTACCCTGTATTCCGTAATGCAATGGATTACAATGTTGTCAATGACGGATCGGGCGACCAAACACCCAAGCTGCAGAAGGCCATTGATGACGATGGAAATGGCGGTACTCGCAAGGGAAGTGGTGTCACTCGCCATCCAGCTGAGGTCTTCCTCCCCGGCGGTATTTACCAACTGGGTAGTACGCTCACCCTCACGGTTGGAACAATTATTGTTGGTGACCCAAGAAACCCTCCTATCATCAGGGCTTCACCATATTTCCAAGGCGAGTTCCTCATTATGGGCTACGACAAGAACAACGGCAACCCAGAGACTAGCTTCATGATGTTGATGAAGAACGTCATTTTGGATACAGCCACTGTGCCAACAACTCAATCAATCACCGCTTTACAATGGGGTGTGGCCCAGGGGGCTGGATTAACCAACATACAAATTCGTATGCCCACTGGTTCCAGTCTGCACACGGGTATTAACATCGTTGCTGGCTCGACAATTGCTGTTACCGACGTGGTAAGTATCGCGTACCGATCTTATCGCTAAGAGCTCCCACTAACAAAGGCAGACTATCATCGGCGGGGCAACTGGCATAATCAACTCGAACCAGCAAGTCAACTTCAAAAACGTCCATTTTATTTCGTGCGGCACTGCTTTCGAAGCAGCGGGTGGATTTACCGTACTGTTGCAAAGCGCTTTCTTTGAATCTTGCGGCACAGGTATCAATATGACATCCAACGCTCTTGGCAGCTTGGTTATTTTGGATTCCGTGTCCACTAATTCCGGTCCCTTCATTCGTTTCTATGATTCCTCACACGATACCGGCAACCAAAACAGCCAGCTCCTTATTCAAAACCTGGAATACAACTCGAAGAGCCCCATTGCCGTTGATACCAATGGTCACGTCCGCTTGGAGGCAACGGCGCATGTCGACACCTGGGTCTGGGGCACTATGGTACCGGGTGCATATGTAGCCGGCGCTGAGTGGACTACTCAGCGATCTCCGCAGCTGCTTGTGAACGGGAGGTACTTTACAAAGCCTCAACCGACATACGCTAGATTCAGCGGCGACGATATTGTCAACGTGAAGACGGCCCCCGGACAGACTGCCAAGGGGGATGGCGTCACGGATGATACCGCTGCCTTGAACGCAATTCTCGCTAGAAACGCTGCGAACTGCAAGATCACCTATATTCCCTTCGGAGTCTATCGAGTATCAGACACGATTCACATTCCAGTTGGATCTCGTATCGTCGGCGAGGCGTGGCCTGTCATCTCCGCCTATGGTGATACTTTCAAAGACCCCGCCAGCCCCAGAGCAGTCGTCCGCCTTGGCAACCCTGGAGACGTTGGTTTAATTGAAATCCAGGACATGCGGTTCTCGGTGGGGGAGATCCTGCCCGGAGCGAAGGTTGTTGAGATTAACGCCGCCGGGCAGCAGCCCGGTGATGTTGGACTCTGGAATAGCTTGGTCATGATTGGAGGCACTGCCGAAACAAGCATATCCGACGTGTGCACTTCACAAGACCCCAAGGACTGCATGGCTGCCTTCATGGTGATGCACCTGACCGAGACTTCGTCTGCATACATCGAGAACTTCTGGGGATGGACCGCAGACCACAACCTGGACAGCAAGTCGCTTCTAACCATCGTTTCCACTGGACGTGGTATTCTTGTCGAGTCTACAAAGGGCACTTGGCTCACCGGCACTGGGTCCGAGCACCACTGGCTATACAACTATAACTTCCACCGAGCTGCGAACGTCTACGCTGGCCTCCTGCAAAGCGAGTCACCCTACATGCAGGGATCAGGCGAGTTTGAGAAAGCACCGGCGCCCTGGACCGCGGACGCACAACTCGGTGACCCAGACTTCTCCTGGTGCGGAGCAGATGATGATAAGTGCCGAACTGCGCTAGCGACTAACGTAGATGGGGGATCAAACATCGCGTTGTACAACTCCGCCGCGTGGGCTTTCTTTGACGGCTACTGGAACGGTCTATATAATGAGCCGTGTCAAGGCAAGTGTCAGGCTAATATGATGCGGGTAACGGGTGCGCCGCAGAATCTTGTTTGGTACTCGATCGGCACGCGCCAGACGGATGTGATGGTATTGGATGGAAAGAGTAATCCCCGGGAGACTGATCACGCTGGTGGATGGGAGGCTATCATTCAGGCTTATGGTGAATTTGCTGCTTAAGTTGTTCCATTCCAAGTTTGGATGGCAGATTCTTGATTATTGGTGTTTCCGCTTGTGCATATCATAACATTTGGACATATGACATAGGATTGATTCGAATTCTAAATATAGGCATTAATGGATGGCTACTGCCCTAGGTTGGTACCTCGAGCGTTGGAATTAGAATCAAGAAATCCTTCCGCCTAGTCTCATTATATTCCTTCTGCGATGGGTTGCCCTCGTGATTCATGTTGCGTCGTCGATCTCAGCCGTATGGGGTAATTAGTTTGCTACCGCAGACTTCCAAGCGTGCCAGAATGGTGTTCAGGCGTCCCTGGTGGACCCCGGGCCCAGGTAATGACTGGACTTTCGGCTTCTCGAATTTGCTGTCGGCTGCATCCCCCTGTAATCACCGCCCGATCTTTTAGGTGTCAATTCTGTTTTTAGAAGCACGTGAACGTGGCTGTGTTTGCGGCCTGAGGCCTGCAATCCGCTGGATTCCGATGGCTTCGCCTCTCGGTCGCATCCCGACGAGATCCAGGCCAATCTTGCGCTTCCTCGTGCTTGCTGTCTAACATTCCGATGTGGAAACGTCATCCCAGACTCTTGGCCCGCTTCATCAGAAACAAGTCCTGATTCAATTGAATGAAGCGCCATTTACGCCGGACGGAGGGGCTTCGCGCTAGTCCCTCTTCAGGGACGAGACTTGGTGGAGCCCACTGGGGAAGTTCTCCAACGAGCAGCCACTGACGGAAGGATGCCACTGAGCCTCGCCATAATCAACAAGGCCGTCCACCTCAGGAGACCCCTCGGAGGGCTGCGGCGACATACACCTGCAGTGGGTCCCAGCCGTAATGTCTTTCTTGGGAGGCCGTGGAGGCAGCAGAAAACTCAGCAACACGCGTTTCTAAAATCGGCTCTGAGATCAAGGCTGTTCCAACCACTCCAGCTCACGAAATGCATGTCAACGCGTTCATGCAGCACCAGCACCCAAGCACGAGACCCTACCTACAGGGCTTGGATCTCGCAGGCCTCCCGCCCGTAGTCTACGGGGCGGGAAAGATATGAAACAAATCGCCGGCCGTACCGGCCTCGCAGGTGGAGCCGCGAAATGACGATTGGCCTGCCCAAGGTTCGTTACGGCCGTGTGTCTGGGCGCAATGAAACTATTCTGCAATTGCACTCGGCGCAGCCCAGCCGCAGATCGCTCGTGGGGAATAGCTCCGTTTCGTTTCCACAAACCGGCTGAGGTCATGTTGCCACTTCCACACCCGGTGCCTAGCAGCTCAACTCCACTATTTCTATCTATATTTGGGTGGGAAATTCGCACATCCTTTCGGCACATATAAGGACCTCCTGGGGCTGCCCCCAAAATCGTGTGTACACTACTGAAAAACCTCCTTTTCAACCCAGCCTTATACATACCCCCGTACCGAAGGACATACCGTACTCAAACCAACTCAATTCGCCATGAAGTTCTCCATTCTCACCTCCGCCCTCTTCCTGGCTACTGCTGCCCTCGCCGTTGACGTGAACTCAATCATCTCCGAGGCCGAGAACGCCGTCTCTACAGCCGCCGCCGACGGTCAGTCCATTGGCTCAGACGTTGTCGCCGCAGCTACCTCTCTCGCCAACGCCGCTGAGACCGGCGGTTCCGCCGCCGTCTCGTCCATCACCAAGGACGCTGCCTCCATCATCTCCGCAGCTGAGACCGCTGGTTCCTCCATCAAGTCCGCCGGCGAGTCCATTGCCTCCGAAGCTGCTAGTCGTGCTTCCACCTTCGTCAGCCAGTTCACGACCACCAACTCTGACGGCCAGACGACTACCGTCAGTTCCACGATCACCTCCGCAGCTTCCTCCAGCTCTGGTGCATCTACCACCGGCACCCAAACTGGCTCCAGTTCCGCCTCTACTAGCACCGGCGGTGCTGTCTCTCGTCCTGAGGCCATGGGCGCTGCCGTCGCCGGTATGGCGGGTATTCTCGGTGTCATGGTCGCTCTGTAAATGAGTGTGGACCTGAACAACATCTATTCTTCGATCACTTCCTTGTGAATATTGAGATTGGTCACGCTTCCTTTTTACGACTTTCATTGACTTGTTTATAAATCCGGCTTGCACTGGGCTAGAAAGATGGGTTGTATATTGGCGTTTGATACTGTATATAGAGTACAATGAACATCTTCCATACCTTCACTCGATTACTTAATGATTAAAACACACACTGCTGTCACAGGGAAACGGGTGAAGAAAGCCAAGAGAGTGTGCAAACGAGAATGGAGTGAAGAAAAAGATCACAACACAGAAGGGACGGGGATGCAAGCGACCTAGAATATCTTAAAGACGAGGGCACTCGAAACTGTTGATTCGAACGTGATTGGGTTGAGATTTGCAAACGGGAGAATGTTGTAAAACCACCTAAGCTAGATGATAATTTGGTATTGGCTTGTTACCAATAAATCATAGGTCCTCAGTTCTCATCGACTCTCCCAAAACTGCGCATCAATAGCAATTAGCCGGTTGAACAACTGGTTCCGCGATCTCATCCCGGTGAGGTGGAACGTCTGCCCTTCCTCTTTCCCAACGATCACCAGTCCATCGGCTGCCTCTTTACTGCCGGCCGTCAACTCCACAATCAATTTTCCCTTCCATCCCAGCCCCTCGGTCTTCTTCAACTCCTGGATGTCGGTAACAGGAATCTGGAACAGAACAGAATTTTTCTTGCGACTTTCAACGCGTAAATCATCAAGTCCGGCTGACTGGTAAGTCGTGAAGTATAGGATTGGTGGCTCCTTTGTTGAGTCAATCACTGCTGCGCCTCTCTTCTTTTCGAACTTTGCATCGAACTTGAGAGGTCCGAATGGCGTCGAGACAAGACCTCTCTTTTGTAGCATTCCGATCAGGTGCTTTGTATGGGCTGAGCCTGCAATCGCCATAGCGCGGTCAAATGCGATGTGGCCGCGAATTGCCGTTGCGATGGTGCGACGCACAAATCTAAGTACCTTGAACACCCATCTTCGCTTTGGCTTAACTTCCGGAAGAGGTTCATGGATATTCTGTGTTGGGGCGTTAAGTGAAAGGTCTCGCTCGCTAGCTTGGGTGGAAACAGTGGCTTTGGACTTCTTGCGGGGTATAGGCCACGATGGTTCATTGTCTCCAGAATTCGGCGGTGGTGGTAATGGAGACGAATTGATCTCCCCGATTCGGAATAGGGTCAGTGTGAGCTGCGCATTCGTGGGGACACCCTCCAACAGTGTCCTATTTCAGTATTAGCAGAGCATCAAATGCGAAGCGAACTCCAAAGTCATACTTTTGGATGTCCAGATGGCTTTTCCAGTCTGGAATTTTCTGAGTCAATAGATCTGCTCCGTATGCGAAGAGTGGGTCGCCAAAGAAACCGATCCCGATGGTAAATCCAATAGCCTTGTTAATCCAATAGCTCGACGTAAAAGGGAGTGTCAAGCAAATAAAGCTCAAGATGCCTGATATACGCAAGCGTGATGTGACTAGAAAAAATGGTGGAGTGGGCGAAAGAAGACTGTTAACCTGTCAACGGATGGCTTCAAGTTGATGAATGGGTAGAGATTCAACTCACTTTGCAAATTTTTCGTATATGTCTGTGATATCACTGATGACACGCATAGCTTTATCAGTTCCGCGCGACACTTTATTCTTTACTGGCTTTTTCGTCTCATCTTCAGACGAGTCACCAGCTTTTGCGTTTTCGGACAGTTTCCCTAAGTCAATTGCTTCAGACGCCGTGGGCACTTCATCCAAATCTTCAGGTACAGCTTGACCATACCTCCCTGCAGCACTTTCCACAGCAATGGTCGCGACACTGTCAATCATGTTCTTGGCCTCCTGTTCGGCCGCCTCGCCTTTGTGGGTTTCCGGTGCTCCAGTAAGACTATCCTGGGATTCAGGCTGTCCAATGTTGGATGCTTTACCATTGAATGTCTCTAGGTCCTTGATTGCTAGAGCAACAGGAAACAGAATCGGTCGGATGGGTGGAAACATTATTAACGCTATCAAGACGCTCAACATCGTAGGGATGAGTAGGTTCAAGTGCCATGAAGCAAAGTAGACCTTTAACCGTTAGAATGTCCGCACAAGGTAACTCGTTCATCAACGAAAGAAAGGGCATACAATAGTAAAAGTCGACGTCCGAGCCGGGTCTTTCCACGATCGCAGTCGCCCAACATGTCGAAAGAGCTCCGTCAGACCCACAATAACAGACGTGTAGAATCGCTCAATCGTCATGCGCAGCTTCTCAGGTGGAAACTGCTCGTCCTTTGCTCGATTCAAATCGAGAGTTTGACTGGTCGCGTCATGGACGGCTTTCACATGGTATATTTGCTGATCACGTGTCAGCTTCGTAGACTCCGGTGCTAGTCGCTGCACCTACCTTGTTAAATCGCCGGATCAGCATCCATAGATCCTCGTTGGAGAGTCCTTCAGCTAGTGTCTCTTCGGTACTCCGCGACGCGGGCTTCCATTGGATATTCTGGGGTCTTTGGTTCCAGGGCTCGGCTGGCTCGTTTCTTTCTCGGGGTGGTGCCTGGGGGCTGTCGCTGCCCTCTAACTCCCTAGGCACATCGCGGCCTTGGCTCATGGTAATGCTGAAGCCCTCAAGGCAGAAAATGATATGGTTCAAATATCGTGCGCGTGCCGAGAGAGCCAAGTACTCCCAGTTGATATGTTGTTGGATTTGAGGGTCCTTCTCCCCTGGCTTCAGGTTGAGGGGAAGCGTGGGGTCCGACGTCATTCCGGGGCCTATTTTTAGCGCGCTCCACACGGGGAATGTCAAGTGAAGAACCGTTTGCTGATCCAGCACACAAAATTGGCAAATATTGGTATGCTCTATTTATGAAAGAGGGTGACTCAAAGTTTTGCAGCTTTACCTAACAACAAGAATGATTTCTAATTGTATCGTCCCTTGTCGAAAGACATGTATGTAGTGGTAACTTAACGTACTTTTGCTCCGCCGCCTACCCCAAATGACTGGCAGACCTGATCGCATCGTGATTGAAATTGGATTGGACGTTTTCAGTGAGCCTAAGCATAAGCACTTCGACCTTGTTGCCTTTGCCGAGTCTTCGTAGGACCTTCAAATGTCGATTTTCCCAAGGATCGTTTTAGTCAGGTATAATTTCCTCGAATATGCCTCTCAGATTTGGTGCCTTTGAACCACAATCGTCAGTGGTTTCCTCTAGGGCATCGCTGATAATATCGCCATGGCTAAAATATGATACAAGTGACTTATTAGGCCCCATGGCTCTCATTGTCTTTTATTCTGACACAGGCTCTCTATATTCACGGTGTATCAGACTTTATCGGTTCTTATTTCACTAAAGGCTAGGAACAGTTGGCTGCTCATCCTAATAAAGTTTGGATATATCAGGACACAAAATGGAACGTGCAAATTGGCTTCTCAAATCGTGAGGTTTTTTGGGTGGTTACGCCTAGGCTAGATCACATGGTCGCGGAATACGCTGGACGGATTTTCCGGTCAACACCCAACGCCATTTACGGTAAGAGCTGCCCACATCTCTCACTCAGCTGTGTTTCTCCTCCTCTTTCCCCCATGAGCCTTGCTGGTCAACACCGTCTCCAGATTGACAGCATGGCCACCGTTGCGCCTCAGGAAACCGATCTACCGACGGTTGCGGAGATTGAAGCTTCACCTGATGTGCTGAGTATTCCGACAAACGATATCAAGGTTGTTCGAGCTCGGGAACGCTTCGCAGTCAAGATAGGCAATAGGATTCCATCACAAGAGGCAGAGAACATGAAATTCGTGGCACAAAACAGCAACGTTCCGGTGCCAAAGGTTTACGATCACTTCTTCGATCTGGAAACTCAGAAGAGATACATCATTATGGATTACATCCCAGGCGCCGATCTAGAAAAAGCTTACCATCGCTCACGCCAACGGAGAAAAAGACAATCAGCAAACGGATTAGAGCCGTACTTGATGAACTACGGGATATCCCAGATCAGGGGTACTTTGGAAACTTGGGGCGCCAGCCTTATCTCGACGGTGTGCTCTCCTCCCCTGATAACAATCCAACAATGTCGGGGCCTTTCGAGAATCAAGAGCAGATGAATCAGGGTATCTTGGCGACGCTTAGTGTGAGGGACTCCCCTCAGTACGTTCGACTACTGCGAGGAATGATTGCTCGCACCCTCAAAGACCACAAGATTGTGTTCACTCACGGAGACCTTCAACCAAAGAATATCATGGTTGAACGCAATGGACTGCAAGAGGATGGAAACAGCGACTTCAAAATCACACTGATTGACTGGAATCTTTCTGGCTGGTACCCGGAATGCTGGGACTTTTGCAATTCGACGGTTCATTGCCAGTTGAAGCCTGGTTGGCTAGAGCTCATCCCGGATATTATGGACGAGTATACTCTAGAGTATTTGATGATGCGGGTTGTTTACTCCTCGGTCTTTTACTAGGAATGTGTTATCCATTGAATCGATTTCAAAGGTGTCCCTGAGCGCATATCTCCTAAAAAATGATTCAAAATACAATAGGGATCGTAACTTCACGCCTTATGATTCCCAGCCTAATATCTTGCGTTGACACCGCTGAAAACCAACCCCTTCAAGGCATGTTATCTTTCGAGTCTTGCTAAGCTTGAAAAGCCTTCCGAAGACATTCACTGTACTTCGTTTCTTGTTCTGAGTTAGATAATGACAGGGCAAATTCGTTTTGGACTTGATGTACCGTAATCACCGTCTGATGATCCCCTTTTCGAATGCGAGCTTCTGGACGTCGCGGAGCCAGTCTCCGCAGCGATAGAGCTGCGTGCCAGGATACAGTTGTTTGCCACCGAGAGCCAATTGGGGACGGGGCGGGGGAACTGCTTGGCAGCACTCAATCTCAAATCTGGCCAAATCTTCCATTGCGATCGTACCAATCTTTATTTTGGTGCCCGGTACATGCGAAGCATCGAGTTCAGGGTCCACTGTGGGTCTGGGGGTGTAATCCATGCCGCGAAGTATAGTTCCTGTCACATGATAGAGGACACCTTCTGCTCGCGTGCTCGGGGTGGCAGGTTGGGTTTCAATGTAGATGGCTTCATGGTTTGGCACACCGATGTATTCGGCTGTGTAGACATTGAAGGACATGATGAGGATCTGGAATGGCGCGAAGGGTTCAAAGATTGATCGATCCATGAATCGAGAAGAGATGAGTTACCGGCTAGCGAGAGCTCTTTCCTTGACTACGTTCCCCAGACTTTAATATGTTCGATACCAGGCATGTGATTCACAAGACTTTTGGGCGCTCAGCTAGGCTTCCCACCTACTTGCATAGTCTAGGAACCTACAAGGCACCCTCCGAGTTTTAGTAGCCAATATCAAAGTGGCCTAAATAACCGCCGTCCAGTTTTCCTTTGTAGGCAGCGAGGCCGCTGCCTGAACAGGAGCGACAGTAGTATTGTCAGAATCAGTCACACAGTTCTCGTCCACCGTCATTCGCGGGCCAGTGAACCAGTGCCTGGCAAAAAGAAAATAATACACCATACACCCAATCCAAACAAACGCATTGATGACGACTGTATAGTTCATGTCCGGTGCTATACAATGAAAAATTAGCACACGACATTGGACGCTAAAAGTGACGTAAGGAATACATACGATCGGGATTCGGGCCCGCAGTCGGAAACATGGACAGAACCACACCGAAAAGTAAGTAGATGACAGCGATACACGCGATGGGCTTGCTGAACCGGCCAGTATAGAACTCCCCAGGATGGAACCGATCCTGGCCCCAGACCAGACGGCAGAAGATCGGCATGCCCCAGGATAAGTAGTTGCTAGCAACAAACAAAGAGAATAAGGCATTCGCAGCGGCGTTGTTAATCAGGCACAGCAAGCCCAAGACCAGACTGATCCCCGCCAGGCCACAAATCACTCGCACGGGCTGGTATTGAATGTGTGTGCTGACATGGCGAAAGAAGGTCGAGAATGGGAGGGCGCCGTCACGAGAGAATGCCCATGCCTGGCGTGATGCGGCAACAAGCTATGTTTCTGGTTCAGCATGTTACCGAAGCTTTAATTAATATGAACTTACCAAGCTAAGACCAATCAGAAACTGGACGATGCATAGCACAATCATGAAGCCCAAAGCGCCATCTTTGCCAAGCGCGTCATAATAGATCTGCAAATACCAATTAGCCGCTATATACAGAGGTCAGATTAGATGCTCTGGTCTTACCTGCGCCATTGGCTGCCCAAATTTGGTGCTGAGAGTTTGCGACACGTCCGGATTCATTGTAGCAGCCATGACGGACAGTACCAAGAATCCAAAGGCCAATGCTGAGCCGGCAGAGAACATAATCCCCAGTGGCACTGCTTTAGCGGCATGCATAGCCTCCTCGCTCATATGCACACAGGAATCAAATGACCCGATTGACCAAATTGGAGCCAGCCACGCAAGCATAAATGCCCACCCAGTTGGCCATTCGGTTTCATTGTCAATATGGCGAAAGACATAATCCCCTGAATTAAGTGATCCACCTCGGGCTACTTTCCCGACCGGTAATGCAATCACGGTCGCGATCATCAGAGCAATGTTGATGTAAATGCAGGCGGTCTGGATGGTGGGCATGACACGGCCTGTAAGAGCAGCCGAAAGTCCGTGGAGGAGGATCAGTCCCACGTAAACGGCGTAAACGACCCCGCGTGATGCCGCCCAGTCCGAGTCGCGGACGATAGAAACACAGGAAAGAATCATTAGAGAAAGTGTATCTAGAAATGTCAGTCAGCCTTCAAGATTCCCGCACGAACCCTGCGTCTCAGTCAACCCACAGTCTACCGAACATATACCACCAATTAGGCCAAGCGTGTTGCTATACCCAATCAAAAAGCTCAAGGAGTTTTTGTACCTGTCGCCGGCAAAATAATGGGTCCAAAAATACAGACCCCCAGCCGTCGGCATTGCAGATGCCAGATCTGACTACAAACAAAATGTGAACGACTATTTCGTCGGCGGATTCCTGAGAAAAAGAAACCATACCATTGCCAATGCAACCACGAAAATGAAGATACTTGCGGTGAACCATCCCTATGCCAATCGCGAGTCAGCCACCTACTTTACAGGACGAGTAGTTCAATGGTGCGCGCTTGCATACCCAAACCATACCAACTGGTCCAGCTGGCAGCGAAAACGCAAGGGTCGACGCGATGGACGGAACGAGGCCCATAATGCTAAACGCGATCGCAAACACCTGCAGCGTGGAATACTGTCGTTTCAACTCCTGCTTGTACCCCATCTTGGCTTTGTACAACGATCAGCATGCGACCGTCAGCTCTCACTCCCCGCAGTTGAAGCAAACTCACCCAGCAACTGCAAGTCGCCGGAATCCGCGGGGCCTGGCGCGGTAGCCAAGTTCATGGCTCCGGGGTCCCCTCCATCTCTCCTCGCCGGGTGAGTAGGGAGCATGGCGAGCAGCGACTCAGATACGGTTGGGTAGAGCGACACGTACGGCGGAAAGGCTGCTTTAAAGCGTCTCAAGACCCCGGCGGGTTAAAGGTGGAGTCCCAGCCCGGCCTTGCCTGATATGGATGTGGGCAGGGATGGGGATGGGTGGAGCTGCAAATCATCGATTCTTTCGACTAGTTCGCGGGCCGCGCTAGAACGGGCCGGCGAAGGCCTAGCTACATCCAGCGCTGGGCTGGATAGGACCGCTTCGCAGATTGCAGCACATTCTTCTGCAGGTCTGACTTGCAGGAGATGAGGGTGTTCCCTCGTCGCGTCGAGGTTGCTGACACCGGCGTTTCTCATTCCTCCACCCCGACAGCCGATCCTTGCATTCGAGGTTAGTGGTGGCTTGGTGGGGACTGTTGAGTTGTTCGCCAATTCGTGGCAACACTCATTTTCAACCCCCTTTTCCCGCCTCATTGGCCGCGGGGTGCTGATCGGGAGCGAGCCCATTATTGATCCATGTCGAGTAGTGACGGCCTGGTTATCACTTTCCCATTATGTGCCCAATGGTACAAACATGTTGCAGGTGGGTTTGCAGTATTCAAGCGCGTCACACAGATGGCATGCTGCTTACTGAGCCGGCTGGTCTTTCCTGCAATTAGGGGCCATCACGCTCTACCTATGCAGCTAACGTGTATCTTATTGGCTTTAGAGAAACGGCAAATAATTGTCGCGTCGAGTTACACTTGGTCACACTGAGCCCAGTCGCAGCCTTGCGCTTGCGATTTTGATGCTCCGTCTGCACACCAAATACCTATAGAGTCACTCCCCTGACGGAAAATGATTGGGTTTCTCTGCGCGCGTATAATTCTCGCATGGCGTTTGTTCCCCATCACGACTCGCTAGACATAAAGGGCTAATTAATTATCTGAAATTATATAGAATAAAGCATATGCAAAACGGACAACATGACAACATGACCTGCGAACGATTTCGATGCGCCCTGCCGTCCCGTCCGCCGCATCAGAGAAGCACAATGATCTCCATAGGTATCATAAATATACGATAATCCGCCGTCAAAGGGGAGTCACGTCAAAAAATCTCATTCGAACAATGATATACCCCATTAATGGGAATCATTGACTCCGAGGCCGCTTTTGTCTCTGAATTAGATTTAAACCTGCTGGTCGGGGGGAGCCTCATTCGTCGGCTGGCGCACATATCCATGACCATTGCCATTGTGAACGGGATCGTTCATGGTGTTCTCCGAGGCGGGGATAGAGTCCTTGCGAGCCTTGGTCTCCCACTCGTTGTAATCCTGACCGGGGTTGATATTCTCCCAACGGACAAAGCAGAGCAGGTGGTAGAAGCCAGAGGCAAGAAGGGAACCGAGCAAAGGACCAACCCAGTAGATCCAGTGATATCCGGGGAAGCTGCGGTTGATGGTATCCGGTCCCAGGGATCGGGCGGGGTTTAGAGAGCCGCCGGTGTAATAATCACCTGTAATATTCACTTAATTAGGGTCTATATGGGAAGGTGGTGTGAACCATAATCTTACCGATCATCTCACAAACGAAGAAGGTGAGACCAATGCCGACCGGAGCTAGGTAGGTCGACTTGTGCTTGACGACTGCCAGCATGATAATAACAAGCACAAGTTGAGCGGTCAGGAACATCTCAATGAACAGACCCTGCGAGATGGAAGTACCACCACCAAGTCGAGTAGCGCAGTTCAAGGGGCCCGGGAACAGACAGCTAACGACACCAGCTGCAGCAATGCCGCCAACCAGTTGAGCAGGGAACACCATCAAGCCACGTAGAGCGGGCATTCCACCGGTAAGACAAAGCGCAAGAGTAACCTATCTATCATCAGAAGGAATCACACACAGAATCAAATTAATCCCTACCGCAGGGTTGAAGAGACCGCCGGTGATGCGGAAGAAGGCCCAGACATTGACAGTCAAAGAGAAACCAAAAGCAAGAGACGAGTAAAGAAGGTTGGAAGTATTTGGATATGATCCGGGAACAGGCATAGGTGTATTCGAAACCTGAGTTCCAGCAAACGAGAAAAAGAGGAATAAGAATGTGCCGACAAACTCGCCGATCATGCAGAGTACATTGAATCGGATACTGTCCGGCATTTGGATCATGGGCAGCTGGCTGCGACCGCCGGGACCAGACGGCCCAGCCAGGGAAGAACCCTGCGATGACTGGCGCTTGTGGAATAGCATGTTGTCGGTATTATGGGCTTCAACAACTGATCGAGTGAAAGCAACTAGCCTAGTCTCAGCTCAATGCGCTTGGAGGGAAAGCGACTTTTCTTCAGTTCAACTCAGAAAAGCTCAAGCCAACCCCTCTACAACCTAGGAACAAGATATTTATTCAATTCATCCGCTAATCACCGACGTCACTACCAAGATTCTCCTCAGTAGAAGCTAGATGCATGTATCATCGATCGACGCGGTCTTGGTGCGGAGCCGAGCGAGAATAGGCGGAACGGGCGTTTTCAACGCCGCTGAATAGCCTTTTTGTCTGAGACTTCGTTGTCCACTTTGGGCGATATACTCCTAAATGATCGAGTCAAGATCTGTTCGATGAGCAGTGGTGAGGTCAATATTTGAGTTGTCCCATGTCTGTGTTTGGCCAATCCCAGCTCGTTGTTGGGCGGGAACACCCGGCCTTCCGCAAACGGACGAGCCAGGAGTGTCTAGAACCGCTATGCGAGTCTGTCAATGGGCTTCCCGTAATGATCATCTCCATCGAGTGAGGTAACAGGTGGGGGACGAACACTGATTGGACTCGGAGATCTTTGCTGCTCCTATCACTGTAATGGTTTAGATCATGGGCTCATCGAATTACGATTCATCGTGATGGTCCTTCTTGAATCAGGACAAGTAGTAGAAAACCGGATAATTCCGTTCGGAGAAATTATGCTGACTTTCTACCGTTTTTCTTCCTATGAAATCTTCCGGCCATAAATGTTTGAGTTGCATCTCATTCCTTGGGCGCACGCAGGGGCCGGAAGTCACCAGGAGATAAAACATTTGAGAAGCCCTTAAGAATGAACTTTTGACTTAGGCACTTTCCTGAAAGATTTCAAGTAGTAGATTATCAGTAATGTTGACAACGGTGGAAAGAAAGATTACCTGCTTCAATAGGTCTTGCTGCGAATTACCGATCATCGCAGACTTCGAGCATACCCCCAGTGAACCCTAACATTCACTGCACGCTGATCAAAAGCTCACGATTAGAGTGATAATTCTTTCATGACCACTGGCGGATACACGGCACCCTTAGATACTGGCGTCATATTCGGCACAATTCCATACGCTCTAGTTCCTAAGAATTCTCGTTCGTGGGCTGACGGTCGGGATGGGGCGGCCAGTGCGTGACAGGCGGGGGACCTCTAGTCGGAGCTAGACGTGACAGTTTGCTACCGCGGCAACGAACGTCTATTCTTTTTGAGAAGTATGATCATTATCATAAATGGCTACAATGCATTTAAATAACATGATTGTTATCAGTCTCGGTTTATTGGGGTCTTCCCGAGCATGATCGACGCTTTGACAACAGCGACCAACCTTATTAGGTAGTGGTAGTTGGGAAGTATTGAAGTTTGATATCGAAGTTAAACTACCAAAGATAACACCAGAAAGCTGAAAGAAACACATAATTTCGGAGAATGCCCAGCAAATACCAGTGGCTTATGCCTTTTCCCGCGCCGAGAAAACTCTTGCCCGGCGAAGCTGCCATCGAACCGCCTCCCGCCGCTTAGTGATCCCTCCGCGGAGATGCTTGTTTTTATCGGGACAAATCGTTCTCCACGGAACCGAACCGCTATACCCGTTCAGGGGCACCTTTCTCGTTATCTCTAGACGTCCAAAGGGTGAGCCTATGAGACAAGCGCTGTTTCACTTACTGCGCGGGCCTTGCTGGCCCGGGCCACGGGCCCGCGTGCGCGTGGAGATAAATCGCTGGCCAACAACCGGCTCTTAGTCCGCAAGTCTTCCTGCAGTGATACATCTGTATAACGGAGTGGAGACACTGGTTTTTTCCCCCCTTATATAAATCCGGCGGCGCTCATCAACGGCTTTCGTTGAACCAAACTTACAATCGCACCAACGATCACCATGGGTTCCAACGCGGGATTGACTTCGGACCAAGTCAGGCTTATCAAAGCGACAGTTCCAGTTCTCACGGAGCATGGCAACAAAATCACGACAGTATTCTACAAGAACATGCTGACTGTCCACCCGGAGCTGAACAACGTTTTCAACATCCCGAACCAAATCAATGGCCACCAGCCGCGTGCCCTCACTAGCGCCCTCTTCGCATACGCCATGAATATCGACAACTTGGGAGCCTTGGGGCCGGCCGTTGAGATGATCTGCAACAAACACGTCTCTCTATACATCAAGCCCGACGACTATAAGATTGTCGGCAAGTACCTTCTTGAGGCAATGGGTGAGGTTCTTGGAGAGGCTCTCACGCCCGCGATCAAGGATGCCTGGGAGATGGCATATTGGCAACTAGCAGATATTATGATCAGCCGCGAGAGCCAAATATACGAGCAGAATGACGGCTGGACTGACTGGCGTGAGTTCAAAATTGCCGACAAAGTCAATGAATCGGATGAGATCACCTCTTTCTATCTCGCCCCGGTCGACGGCAAACCGCTACCAACTTTCCGCCCCGGCCAGTACATTTCGGTGCAAATCGAGGTACCGGAGCTCAAGTACCTCCAGCCCCGTCAGTACTCGCTCAGCGACAAGCCCTCTCAGGACTACTACCGCATCAGCGTGAAGAAGGAGAAGGGGCTGGCCGCGACTGATTCGGCCCCGGCTACTCACGCTGGCTATGTTTCGAATCTCCTGCATGACCGGTTCAACAAGGGGGACACGCTCAACGTCTCTCACCCATGTGGTGATTTCTTCCTGTCTGCTACCGACGCCAACCCTGCCAGTCCTGTTGTTCTTATCTCTGCTGGTGTGGGCTTGACCCCCTGACTTCCATCATGAACACATTGACTTCCAATTCGGCGTCTCCCAAGCGCAAGCTGCATTTTATCCATGGCGCACGCACATCCGCCGCGCGGGCCTTCAAGGACCATTTCTCTGCATTGCAGACGGACCATCCCAACCTCCAAACAACATTCTTCACCAGCCACCCGGCGGAGGGCGAGAAAGAGGGCAACGATTTCGACCACATCGGACGAGTTGACTTGACCAAGTTGGACGCAAACACTGAGCTGTTTATTGACAGCCCTGCGACCGAATACTATATCTGCGGTCCTGATAAATTCATGACGGACATCCAGGCGGCTCTCAAGGAGAAGGGCGTGGGGGCCGACCGTATCAAGATGGAACGTTTCGGCACTGGTGGTGTGAACTAGGCGAGAATCTTGTATTTTTTGGCATTTTCATTAGCTGGATATGGCGTTTATATGATACCTCCCTACTCTACATAAACAATTTGCATGTTATGACTTCAGGCACGCGACCTGCTACCTCTTCAGACTAGTTCAATTCTTTGGGGATGTCTTCAGCAGCATCAGAATATGCCTGACCATACGAGCATGCCCACATTTCGCCCGCGATGCCATGGCGTTATCGTCTCCGCTAGGGGTCTTCACGAGCACATTGTAACGTCCGGAGGCTATTTTGGGATCTCCGCCCGAGCTTGGTTGTGGCCCCGCGGCCTACCAACGCAGGATCGAAGCTATAATCCTGTGCACAAGGGGTATTTATACCGTGAAGTACGATGGGAGACGATATACCTTGTCATGTAAAGTCTAAAATATCTGCTCTAACAGGCATGACTTTTGCATATTGGGCCTCAAATATATGTTAATCAATGGCTTCCAGCTATTGGTCGTCTAATTGGATACTCGATACAATAACACGATATGAGTCCAGACAATCCAAATCGTACTCGGGAGTTATCCAAGTAAAGTCCGTGGGCTACTTCCGAGTTCTGGATAAAAAAGATTGTTGTCGGCGGCCGATATAGCCGACCAAGGGTCATTTATAATCAAATGCTGATCAGCACCATGCTAGAAATACCCCACAACCCCCATCGTTCCCTTGACGCAATTGGCACGAAACATTTAAGCCACTGCCCTGTCCGATCCTTTTGATTAAAGACCTTTCGCGATAGCGCTGTGACGTTCGAATACCTCATTATCGTACAGCCCATTCCAACCCTCACAATGAGCCCCAAAATCGGAGTCTTCCCTGCCTCCGGCGGTCTCGGGACAAGCATTGTCAACCACCTTACAAAACTTGTCGCAGCGTCTCAATTGGTCCTAATGGCTCGCAACCCCGATAAATGGTCCAAACTGGGCCAAGAAGGTGCTACACTGCGACAGGCAGACTATGACCAGCCAGCTACACTGGACGCTGCCTTTCAGGGTGTCGATGTTTTGATGCTGATCTCATACGCATCTTTTGAGATACAGCATCGGGTAGAGGTTGGTTCCTGGCAGACTCCTTTGATATACATAAAAACGTGTTCTGACCCAGAACTAGGCGCATCGCGCCGCCATTCTAGCTGCCATCAAAAGCGGCGTCAAGCACATATTTTACTCATCGCTCGGATTCGCGGGTGACCTGACCGATCAAAGTGTAGCCCACGTTATGGGTGCGCATCTTGAAACAGAGAAGTTTCTCGACGAGCTATCGGACAAAGTCACATACACTAGCGTCCGCGAAGGGATTTACTCTGAGTCATTCCCAATCTACACGGCATGGTTAGACCCGGCGAACCCCGTGGATGAAATCACCATTCCGCACCCAGGAACAGGGCCTGGGGTTGCATGGGTGAAGCGTGATGAGCTCGGCGAAGCAACCGCTAAGCTGATTGTCTCGTACATAAGCGACCCCGCCGGCTTCCAGTACTTGAACAAGAAGGTTTTGTTCACTGGCCCAAGGGAAATATCCCTTGCTGAGACGGTGAACATCTTGGGTCGTGCGATCGGAAAGCTTTTGAAGATTCGGGAGATCTCCGTGGACGAGTATGTAGCTCTTCCACAAATCGGGGATAAGCATACATATCACGGAGTCGATCTCTCGAGGGAATGGGCTACCGCCTGGGAGGCTATCAAGAACGGAGAGACTGCTGTAGTGTCCCCGACTATGAAAGAAATTCTTGGAAGAGAGCCAGAGAGCTACGAAACAACTATCCAAGCACTAGTTGGTTAGACTGTGCTCCAGTCAGAATGTGAATGAAACTATTACCGAGCACTACGGACGAGAAATGATGTTGCAACGTCTAATGTTGGCCACTGGATCCATTAATGCTCGTAATTTCTAATCACAATCCTAGCCGCGAAGAAGCCCGAAAATATATATATCCACTTATTTGTACAGATAGAAATAATACGGCCCCGCCTGGGTCGTTTTTGAGTCCATTGCACCAGCGAGCAGGTTATCGTTCACGTATCTGAAGTAGTCAATGATGGGGAAGTCGTCATAAACCATCGCGGTGGAGACAACGCCACGGAACTCAATCTGGCGGAGCTAAAATGCACAGCTATTAGCCCTCCACTCTAGCGCCAGACTCAGGCGATTCAAATTCCAATATCATAGACGTTGTACACTTACTCGAGCATGGCCCCAGTCCTCATTCCAGGCCCGTGACCCATCCTCCTTATAGACCATAATAGGATCCACATCCTCAGCGGACCGGAAAGTCTTCCCGGCCCAGCGCATCTTAGTGAGCTTCTCCTCGGTCGGATGGTTTGTGTTAACGTTAGCGCCAATCCAAGTTCCGATGAATTGCTCGGGCTCGACGGGCTTTAGTTTATCGAAGACAGCGAGGACCTCATCGCAGGAAAGATCGGTGCGCTGGACTAGCTCTTGGTATTCCTGTTCCGGCGTACTTGATGCCGAGGTGGGGTCAGCCCGAGCCAGGAATTTTTCAGGGAAGTTTAGAGGTTGATATACAGGGACATGATGTTGGAAGTACTTGGTGTGAAGTTGATAGCTGAGATACTCGATAAATAAGGGCAGTAGTTGGACAGAGGCGGTCGGATTGCTTTGGATTATTTCTGGGAGACTCTAGGGGCTACTTATTCTCTGCGAGCAAGGGCATATAGTATGCAAACCTGCGTCATGGGGTTATTAGTTCTATTGATTGACACACTATTAACCCGATGCCGCCCACTAGGCTGCGTCATAGGGCTCATGTATATTTCCATTCCAGGCGATATCGATCGGCCCCTCCATGAGAATTCAATCGTCCTATTAATGTGCTGGGAGGAACAGTGGGATCCTTGTAGATCGCAGCGATCATGATCCCTCAAAGGGTAGGGCTACAGGTGTCGAGTTTCCGTGTTGGGTGGCAAACAGCAGACTCGACCGCCGGGGTAATTCGTCATAATTGGAACCCTTTCTGCTCTCAATCCCAGCGAGTGTAGTAACGGAGATACTATATAGTACATCCAAACTAACGATTATCGGGACGTGCGTTGGAAGGGAAAGCACAGGCTGCCCTCACGGAGTAGCTGAACCCGATGAAAGATCCCACTCGCTTGCGCCACACGTGCCATACACTCGGTCCGATGAGATCGCCGTGGCCGGTCCCGAGTCAAAAATGGAGGGGCAGTGATGGACGAATGAGCATTGGTGAAGACTGAACAATCCTCAATCCCGAACTTACCACTGACGGTTGGAGCTTTCTTCTGTGGCAATTTCCCCTCCAAACCGACGATAATACGGTACACTCAGGTAAAATTGCGAACAGGTGAATCGGCTTCTGGTGTCTTCAGCCCGACGCACGTTGCACAATGTGCGTCACCGGGCTTGCAGATCGTGCTACCTTCGCGGTAAAGCCTTCCACCGCTGTTATGGCAAGCTTGCAGGGCACTTCACGATCACAAATTTCGGCAGGGTCGATGGGGTTCCTCATCCGGCTCTTGTGCATTGTGAGGTGGGTCGGTATCAGTAGCCCGTTTGTACGGTTTTATATATTGAAGGATTTTCGTCAACCACCGATGGGTGTTAGGGATTAGAATGGTAACCGGGCTGCTTTTCTTGGTACGAACGACTGTCTCTGTCCATCCGATTGATCAAACACGGTCTATTCTTACTGTTAGCTTTCCAGTACAGTATGGGCAAGACGGGGGTGTTCGTTCTTCAAGACCATTCACTGGCCAATTGTCACCCTACTCATGAATCGAGCAATGACGAACCCAGGTGATTCTTTTGACACTGGCCACAATTGGAAGCTCAAGCCCTTGAATTCCGAGTCAGATGGATTATCAAATTGGCGTTACCCATCTCATACCCAAGACGAGGATGTCCTGAAGAAATGCAGCCAGGCAGCCTTCGTGCCTCTTAGCACAGCGGGTGAGAATATATCCCTCCATAAACACACAGATCTGCGCAGTATTGGGCACCCAAGGCCCTCTAGCTGCCGATGGAGATCCCGCCGCGGAAGCCAGAATGCGGGGAAATGCCTGGCGTCGGCAGTACGATCCAGCCTCGGTCCGTGGACATGGCCCAGCTGCCGATTTTAGGTAGCTCCCCATCCGGGCCGAGAGCTTGCCACGTCGACTGACCGTAGCATGGACATGAAGTAAAGGCAAGGACTCGTCAATTAACGCAGGGGCAACGGTCAACACGCAGACTCCTCTAGGTAGGTGAAACCCCTCCACCTAGGTCGGACCCGGGGGTGGCTGTTCGGGCTGGCTCTGATAGATATACTCTCTATTCAGATAGGGTGATTCCATTTGGCGGATGATTGCGAGAATCCCTTGACGTAGGTCCTATTTGAAGAGCCACAGATGTACTTTCTAGCAGTGAATGATTGTGTAGAATCAATGGGACCTACTCAACTCGAATTATCCAATTATCTTGATTTAGCAAGGCCAATGGTCAATCTCAGTCCTAAGATCACGGCACTCGGATCAAGAAAGATACAGCGTCAGCAGATAATCAATATTTAACGATTCTTCTCACCACAAGCACCGGAACTGGTCACCGAAACTGGGTCCTCATAAGCTCTATCCCGTACCTAATTCTCGTGCAGAAAAATGACACCTGTCACGGGAACCAAAAATTAGGCAATACTATTGCAACAACCCGGTAGAGATCGGGTTGAAACCCTTCACCGGGCCCACCCGAGGGAAGATTCCATCCGGATCACCCCACAGCCCAGAGTGGCACCTGACAGGTGAAGCAGGGCAGCCGCCGGGTCAGCGAGAATTGCGTGGCTCCCGAGTGGCCCGGCAGGAGTCCACTACCGTCGCACTAGCCCAGGCCTAATCTGGGTATTTGGGTGCCAGATGGCCGTGCCGTCTCCACTTGTTCCACCACCCAGGCGAGGTACACGATCTCGGATTCACGTGCACGAGGTTGGAGATGTCGGGCTTGTATGAATGAGGTAGGCATTCGAAGACAGTGCGGAGGCCAAGCTGTTGAAATTATCTCGTCTCCTACAGTATTGCCCGGGTCGGTGTCTGCATGTCTTCCGCCATGGATGTGATTACCGAAGTTATAATCTGCCAATAACGATGCTAATGCCAATGCCAATTTACCGATAGCATTGGCAGCGTAGAAATATCTTGACTTGATCCTCGCGTAGACCCTGTTTAGGATGACGGTGGTGGCTTTTCAGGAACAAATATTCTGCTTGCACATGCTGGGTCCACAAGCAGAGAAAGCTGCATGGAGAAAATCCTGCCGAGTTATTTCCGTTGTATCGGCGGCAGCATACGGTGGCATTTCAGAAGTCACTGTCTTCTTTCCTTTCCGCCCCTCCGTTCTCTTTTCTCCTGCAACGTCAGATCTGCTCTACCAGTAATGCTAAAACACTTGATTATGATCAAAACGCGAAATGATGCGGGTACCACCCTTCTGCCTCAATAATAATAGCCTGCGCCCTATGATGTATAGTGGGTGACAATCAAACTAGAGTATGCAGATTCCGCAGATCCCATGGCCGCTGCGTTTTCAAATTCAAAAAAGCGTGCATACCGTCGTTATTTCCCATATTCATAGCCTCGGGCAAATCTTATACAGGTTAGTTATCCTTCAGCAGGATGCGAGGGTCTTAATTGGGTACAAACCTCGTGAGCATGGTAGCCAATCCCATATGTTATTTTTAGCCTGCCAAATTGATCACCAGCGGATCGCCCTCGTCATGCAGGTTAACCGGGCGAGTCGCCAGCCACAATCAACTCGGACGAAGCAGCATCGGGCAGGGAATGAATTGGTCTGGCTAGGAGTTGAGGCGACCGAGTCAATCAAGTAACGCTGATTGGTGAACAGGGAGGATACGTAAGGGAGGTACTTTTGGACTATTGGACTGTTCTGGACTGTGCAAAATGTACTCCGTGCAGCAGCAATCATAGCAAACATAGCTCGGCTCCGAGACTCGGCCGGGTGCTCGGCGGGTCCCGTTCTTTTGCGGGCGGCCCCACCGCTGCCATTCCGTTGTTGGCCCGGCTGCTTTACACCCAGCTGGTGTACTGCTGGGCCTTGCTGGGCCTGGCCCAGAACTTCAACGGTTTCTCCCACTCCCACGACATGAACACTCGGAACGACTCACGGCTGATCTGCCCTCTTCGGAGCCGGCCGTGTGCCAGCTCTGCTATCCAGCCTGCTAAGGTGATCTCGGCTTGTCCACACCGAGCGAATCGTAGTGGCTTAAGGAGCACTACGCCGTTAGTGGAGTAGGGTCTACCTACACTAATAGGATCTATTCCGCTTTCGAGCTGCCAGGCCTGACATCACAAGTCCATTCTCGGCACGCTCGGTCAAGCAAGCGCGAGTCGTCATCACTCCGGCCCCTGTCCGTTTTATTTTCTGTTGAGTACCCGAACGGATATATAACCTTAGCCAGCCGATAGGGGCCGGTCTTCTGTTCCATGGTTAACATCTCTAACATCGATCTGAATTCCTTTGATATTCTTCGATCCCTCCCCATCGCCACACAGCCAGTTCTTGCTCGTGCACAAATCTTTATATTTTGTCCTCGAGCCTTCCCCACCTTACCGTCTGCCCAGCTTGTGCATGATCGCAACATGCCCCTTAGTTCTATCATGGCATTCAATCGCCCCAACCCATTGTCCAACCTCTCGTTAGAAGAGGAGAGATACCTCAGCCAGCAACCGAGTTCTCAGCCCTGCTCAATGGATTTGTTTTCTCCTGTCACCAAGGACTCCGACTCTCTCCCGGGCAATTGGTCCTATGACAGCGCCATCGACCTGTTCTCCCTGGATCCCGCCGGCATGGACCCCAACTCGTTCGAGTTCGCCGACAGCTTGACCAGCGCCAACTCCAAAGATCTCTTCATGGATCCGTTCGGCACCCCAACGGCGATTAGTGGGTTCACCATGTCAACCGCAGATGACACCGTTTCGCTCTCATCGGTACAATAACCGCCATCCATCCCCAACCCCTCCTGTAACCTGACTGACGACATTGCAGGATCTTGACAGCGACGACCAGTCCTGGTCTGTCGGTGCCCGACCCTCACCAGACCTAGTCATGTCCTCGCCCCGCACAACAAGGCAATCGAGCAAACCAACAACCCGCGCCTCCCTCACCCAAAGCACAAGCACAACAACCTCCTCAACACGCTGGTCGTCCAGTCCCGAAATCAAACCCCAGGATAACCTCGCCCCACGCCCAGATAAGCGCACCCCCTCCACCTCCACCCGCAAAGCCCGTAGCCTCTCCGACGACTTCAACACCGACTCCACCACCCGCTCTGGCAGCACCCAAGACACACAGGGCCGCAACGCAGCCAAGCGGGCCGCACACAACATAATCGAAAAGCGCTATCGTACAAATATGAACGCCAAGTTCCTGGCGCTCGAGAAGGCTACCTCCCCCGCCGCGGGCCACAAAACCGGGCGAGCGGGTGCAGGATCACTGAAGAAATCGGAGATCCTGAGTAACGCGCTTGCGTACATCGAGAGTGTGCAGTTGGAGAATCAGGCTATGCGGAAGGAGCTTGCCCTGCTCACAGGGGGTAAGTTGTCTGGTGGTGCGTGGGGACGTGCGAAGCAGGGTCGCTCTTGAGTGGCATTGGGTCGAAGTGTGTCTTGCCAGGGTTAGCAGGTATAGCCCGTTGGCACCCGGCGTTTTTGGGACTGAGTTTGCATTTCCTTTTCCCATTTTGTTTCGTTTTTCCGTTTTGCTTGTCTTTTTTGCTCATGACCGTGACACGATATATATTCAGGTTGTCCGCATCCAGCAATCTGGCGGTCGGAGTTCTGGCTTGGGCATCCATTCAGGCCTGGTCATGGCCATGCAGACAATCACAGTCATGGTTCTATCTCGGCGTTTCGGAGAATTTTGGATGGATTTGGATTTGGATTGCATTTGGGTCGTTCGGTCACTCTCCCATCATTGCTGTTCGGGTCCCGGTGACAACAAAAGTGTGCTTTTGCTTTCTGGATTCGAGATTCCCCAACTTGCGTCGGTGTGTCCGATAGTGGTTCAAGCATTAATATAATTGCCAAGACTCGGATGATTTGTCTTTTTCGTGCTCGTGCTTCCTGTTCATGATTTCTCGAAAGGGGTCAGATGATGAATGGAGTAAGGCTTGCCGCAGTGTGGTTTGAAGTGCTTAAAATGGAAAGAATTGTGTTCGCTTGGTGCTGGATGGGCGAGGAGAGCCGGCGGAATTGGCTGAGGCAGTTGGGGCTCGTGTCTGGACCTGTACCTGGTCTTCCCGATTAGGATATAATTGCGCCAACAGAACAGTACGGACTGGATGCATAAGAAGGATCGTAAGATGTTCTGGTCACTTCCTTCTTGATCAAGAAGTCATGCTAAATGCTGATCACTCCGCAGACATTATATCCAAAAAGACGCACCTCTCCCACCAAAAGGACACCGCCGAATCCGTACTCGGCTCCTCACCCAGTCCAACCTTGACTCACCATTGGGCCAAGTGATCCCAGCAAGCTGCTGAGTACCACAGAACAGCTTGAATGGGCAGCTACTCTCCGGGCCTGACCATGTGTTACGCGGGATGTCGCACGAAATCCATTCCTCGAGCAGGACGTGAAACCACATCACACAAAAGGAATGCGCCTCACAAAACCAACATTCCGCTCCATCCGCCCCAGAACGCAACTCACCCAGTGCGTACAAGCATGCAGTCAGTCCTGCATACCTGGGCTTGATACACCACCTATTAGTCACTTCCAGCCAAGCCCGGCCAGGTGTCAATTGATATCATTGCCAGTCGCTAGGCATTTTCATCGCGAGATATTGCTCACCAGACAAGCGCCACCTATCGGGGACAGAGACTATCGCATCAGATGACAGGACAGACAAAGTGGGCCCGCAAATGTGATTCATGCCGTTCATTCATGACATTTGGAGAATGGAACAAGGTCATCACAAAAGAAGCAGGTAGAAAAAGCCTCAGCGCGCTACTGCGGATATCGGCTCGGCCAAGTCGCTTGGAGACGACCTGGCTATAAATGCCTAAATGGGTTTGGCATGCTGCGCGGTACCTGAGTATCGCTTGGGCGACGACACCTCATGATGGAATCATGATGAAGAGACCGTTACGCAATATCTGAATATGCGAACATGTCGATGGCGAGATAGACTCATTGACGGAGAGGGTCATGCTATCGAAAGCTTCACCCACATTTCAGTTCCATCGATTGCAAGTCTATCTCAAATCTTTCACGACACATCATTACGCCTTGACTAGACCTCAAACGGCCTGAAAAGGAAACAGAAGGAGAGCTCAAGGCCGAGCGGCGACGCAGGCCAATGATACACATCACACAGGGCTGTGAAGCTCCCGGGGCCAGTGTGCCGGATCGTCTAGGTAGCTCGAGCTGCCCGTTTCTGCGGGTTTACCGTTTGTCATAGCCCGCGGCCAAGCCCACGCCGATCTCTCCGCCATGTTCCTACGTTCCTATCCCCGGGGCCCTTCATCCAAGAGTGGATCCCCGGGCCTCGCGTCCCCAGATCCGTCGGCGGCCAGCAACCCAACGCTGCTGCCTCACTGGCCGAGCCACATCGTCTCGTCTTTCCTTATTGCTTTGGCCGTAAGCTTTCCCCGGAAAAGTGTCTTTGGGAGCCCGGGTCACGTTCTGGGCGGGCGCTGAGCTGAGCCTGGGGTACTTCTAGAGCAATTGAGTTTGTGCTCGTTGTACACCGTCCAGCCACATTCCTGCAATCCGGCATCGGGGCACGCAGTGACTCCACTGACAATGGAGCCCATCTGATATGTCGGCACTTGAGTGATTGTGTTATTGGGCTGTTAGTACATCTGATTTGTCTCATGCGGTCATACTCTCAGCGGACTTTTAGCCGCTGCGGCGATAACGGGCTTATCGACCGCATAGACTTGCTCTTTTCGGACTGGCCTTGCCACCGACCCGAAGTTGCTTCCATTGCCGAGAGGCAGCTGCAGGGTTCAAGGAAATGCAGAAATGGATGCTAATAGAGTTATAGGGCGTATAGAGGGACGATCGTTCAATGGACCTGCTTCTTGAGGCTAACAGCCAGGCAAGGCAGGGTAGTGGGCGTTGATGTATGTAAGCTGCCACTGATCGGGGGTAAACCGCTCCCTACCACAAAACCACTATATTGCCGATAGTTTGCTCCAACCGATCACTCGAAGCAGAAAATATACATTCGATATCCAAGATAATCTAATTCCAACTCCATATTCTAACATCTATCGCATTGCTTATCGAATATGGGGAGCATCAAAACAATGGGCCGGCGGCCCACTCAAGGAGGTCCTGCCGAGGGCGGAACGCTCCCCGCAAAAAAAATCCGGTCGACACGCGGTGATGGTTTCTATTAGCAACAGCTCGCGAGTCCATGACCAATTGACCAATATCTCCCAGGTCGACCCGTTAAACCTGCCAGACGCAGCTTGTTCATTGGCCCCCAGCTTTATCTGCGCCGGCCCCGTATTTTCCCTAGAGCAAGTGACAAGAGCTACAGCGCCTGGCTGACACGGGTATCGCTTAGCCTTTTTGGCCTACCACTGCGCGAGGGGTTGATCGCACGGGGAAAGCCGCCTCGGGCCAGCTATATAGAAACTCCCGCTGTCCTTGCATCTCTCCCCCTTTTCCTTCTAGTTCCAACTCGGAGGCAGAAAATGGGCACGCCTCTTACTGTCCTGCCAAGAGAATCGATCTTTATTCCTTCCGGCTGAGGAAGTCACCCAAGTTATGGACGTGGAATCAAACTCGCTCCCCCTCAAGCCACGCCTCGAGAATGAACAGGATGTGCAGGATGCCACCGACCTCGCAGCCCTGGGACATGCCCAGGCGCTGACCCGCAAATTTAATATCTGGAGCATGCTCGCGCTCGCTTTTTGTGTTCTGGGTATGCATTTCTTTCTTCGTGGGCGCGCTGCCGCTGCCCTTGCCGTGGCAAGACGGGCTCGCTAACAACTGCCTCCGACAGGAACCTATTCTACATTTGCCCAGGATCTTAGCAGCGGCCTCACTACTGGTGGCCCTATCACCATCCTCTGGGGCCTGGTGCTGGTCACGGGTTGTAATCTATGCGTGGCTCTCTCGCTGGGCGAGATGACGAGCAGCATGCCCACGGCGCTTGGCCAGGCGTATTGGGTGTACCGCCTTTGGGGCACGCCGCTCGGGAGATTCGTCTCGTATATGTGTGCTTGGATCAACACTTTTGGCTGGTGGACCCTCACCGCATCCCAGGTCGCTTTCATGACTGAGTTCCTGCTGGGCGTGAAGACCATGTTCCAGCCCGACTGGGCCGGTGCAGACAAGGGCTGGCTCAACTTCGTCGTGTATATTGGCGTCGTATTTGCTTTGACGCTTGTCAATGTCGTCAGCTGCCGGCGAGAGCAGATCCTGCCATGGATCAACAATTTCGTCGGCGTCTGGTTTGCCGGCTTGTTCATCGTGATGTCGCTGGTCATGCTGATCTGCGTCGGCGCCAAGAGCGACCTGCACTTCCAACCGGGCTCGTTCGTGTTCGGCACCTGGATTAACCAAACTGGCTGGAGCGACGGCGTCGTCTGGTTCACTGGGCTGGTGCAGGCTGCATACGGCCTGACCGCGTTTGACTCGGTCATTCACATGGTCGAAGAAATCCCCAACCCACGCCGCAACGCGCCGCGTGTCATCTGGATGGCTGTGCTCTTCGGCGCCATTACTGGCTTCATCTTCATGGTGGTCTGTCTGTTCTGCATCCAGAACGTCGACAACGTCACCGGCGCCAATCTGCCCTTCATGGAGCTTATGCTCGAGACCGTCGGCCAAAAGGGTGGCGCCACCTTGATCGCCCTCTTCATCTTCAACGGCCTGGGTCAGGGCATCAGCGTCCTGACTACCGCCTCCCGGCTGTCCTGGGGCTTTGCCCGTGACGGTGGGCTCCCCTTCAGCCGGTATTTCAGCCACGTCGACCCCGTGTGGCAAGTTCCAGCGCGGGCGCTATGGGGCCAGGGTGTTATCATCGGGCTGGTGGGCATCCTCTACCTCTTCTCCAACACCGTTCTTGAGGCCATTCTATCCGTCAGCACCATCGCGCTGACTGTCTCCTACGGCATGCCCATCATGGCGCTCCTGGTCGTCGGCCGTGAGAAGCTGCCGCCCGGCGGCTCGGCCGGGCTTGGGCGCTGGGGCCCGTGGCTGAACTGGACCAGTATCGTTTACTGTGTCATCACCTCCATCTTCTTCCTTTTCCCTGGCAGCCCGAACCCGGCGCCAAGCGATATGAACTACGCCATTGCTGTCTTTGGCGTGATGCTGGTTATCGCGGTTGCGTTTTGGTTTATCCGGGGCAGTCGGACGTATCTCCAGACGGAGGATGCGATCGCTCAGATGTTCTATGCGCAGCACCTGGAGAATGCGGAGTCGACTGCTGAGCCGCGCTCTGATGCCGACTCGAAGTAGAGTTGAGTGGTAGTCTACCTGGGTGGGAGGGTTGGCTGGATCCATTCCAGCAGCGCTTGGGCTTGGTCTTGGGCGTGTTGCACATATATCATTATGGTGTTGATATTGTCATCCTATCTGTGCCTCGATTAATTTAAACATACCTACTGCGCGCTACCACTCCCAAATTAATATATTCATTTCACATTGATATTTTGCCTCAAATGTTGCTCGTACTGTCCGAAATAACTCTCATTAATATGACAGTTGTCTTGATGGTTCCTCCAGTTGCGTTTTCGATCTCGCCCGACAAACAGCACGTGCAGCTTACAGGCTTCAAACATTTGTTGACAGCCTGCACCCAACCTGAATATTCCAATGGTACCAGCATCCCAGGGACGGGGGACTTGTCCAAAGTCACACTACACGACTCGGAGGGATGCGGGACTGATACCCAGACTCCTGACAGGTAGGACCTGGCCACGGCGCGATAAGGTCTGTATTCTGCTTTCTGGGTGGTGGGTTCAGTAATTGGAGAGATCGAAGCAGAGTCATTGCATGACGGCCCGTCTCAATATGCAATTTGCACCGATGAGACGGGAGGGAGCGGTCGCGCCTTTTCCAGCCACAGCCGCTGACTAGTGGATTAGTCCGTCCAGCCTCTTTGCAATTAACTACCTCCACGATCAGAAACGAGGGCTCTTCCTCCCACTCTAGTGAGGCTAATACCCTCGCTCTTTTATCATTCATCGCCACCCAGGCTTATCGCGTGTTTCTGATAGACATCCACCACTGTTGGCCTTTGTGGAGACTCCGCCATCCGATTGGCCTACACGCATTGTGATTGGGCCCAATCAACGCGCCAAGTCGACGAGAGCTTGGCAGGGCCAGCGATGACTGCATTCCATTGTCAGCTGCACAGCTATTGCACAATGGTTCGAACGATCGGGTTGACGGAAGTTGAACAAAGAAAAGGGTTCGTCAGTAGCCGCCTCTGCGCAAGCGCTCGGGCTCAGCTGGCCACCGATCACTCCCAAGGCCCAGCCACATCGGACCCTTAGAGCAGCCCCTCGCTTTTGTTGCCATGCCAAGCGGGTGGGTCCTTTTCCCCTGCCGATCATCGCGACACCATAAAACTGGGGGCCGGGGACAGGGGGGGTCTGCTGCTGCGCGACCACGCCCCAGGTCACAATGTCTCAGCGCCGGCGGAAAAAGGGAGGGGCAGGCTCCCATAGCCTCCCATACCGATCCTATCACTGGTTATCTTCCTGCAGCATCATTTCCCAGCGGGTGCGACGGGCGATGCGACGAACCGTTGTAACGAGTGGAAGGCCGCCGCAGCACCGCAGGCCGCAAGGCGGGCGATTGGCTGGGAGCTGCAGCGCCCTGAACCGCACATCGCGGCCGACGGGCATCCGCGTTGGCCAGGGTCCACTGATGTCCACCGATGAGACTCTGCACGGCCAAGACGAGGAGGTCCGGCTGGGCAGCCCAGTGGCTTAACTTAAAGCTTGCCGAGTTGCCTGGCTTGGCCGGGATTAGACTCGCTCATTGCACCACATTCTTGGTCCCACTGTTGCTCATTCCCCCGGGCCAATGCAACCATAGTTGACCATAATAAACAGTCTGCCGCGGGTCTACCCCTCTCTCGTGTCATTCATTCCGGGCTATTTGGTTATTTATACTTTTGGCATTCGCTTCGGGGCCTCTCTGTTCTGGTTGGGAGTCGTGTGTTGTGTCTAAATTCGCTCTTTTATCACCATGTTTGCGTCCCTGTTGAACCGCGGCGCCTTGTCGCTGGTGGTGGTTTCGCTGCTGGCGTCCAGTGTTGCGGCTGATGTATTCGAGAGGCTTGCTGCTGTGCCAGAAGGTAAACATATGACCTTCATTCGCAGAGTTCCTCTCCATCTCGCACTCATAGCTGATCGATTGCCTCTTCTACAGGATGGCAATATTCCCGAACCCCTCGCTCCAACCAGCCTATCAAGCTTCAGGTTGCCCTCTCCCAGGGCGATACTGCTGGGTTCGAGCAGGCCGTGCTGGACATGTCGACCCCTGGGCACCCGAATTACGGGAAGCACTTTCGCAGCCACGACGAGATGAAACGCATGTTGCAACCGACTGCTTCCTCTGTAGATGCCGTGCGGGACTGGCTCGAGGACGCCGGAATCACCGATATCCAACAAGATGCGGACTGGATGACATTCCACACGACCGTGGAGAAGGCCAATGACCTCCTGGAAGCCAACTTCCAGTACTATATCAACCGCTTCCACCATGTCGAGCGCCTGCGAACCCTCGAATACTCGATCCCCGGCTCGCTTGTTACCCATGTCAACCTCGTGACGCCTACCACTCGCTTTGGTCAGCTGCACGCCAATCGCATGACTCTCCACGGAAAGTCCAAGACCGCCGATGAAACCTTCAAGAAGGCCGTGCTGTCCGCCAGCACTGACTGCAACAGCGCTATCACACCTCAATGCCTCAAAGAGTTGTACAAGGTCGATGACTACGAGGCGGATGAGAGCAATGGCAATAAGGTCGCATTCACTAGTTATCTGGAACAGTATGCGCGGTATTCCGATCTTGCTTTGTTCGAGCAGGATATTGCCCCCTATGCCGCGGGGCAAAATTTCACTGTTATCGAGTATAATGGTGGTCTGAATGACCAGAACTCGAATTCTGATAGCAGCGAGGCCAACCTGGATCTGCAGTATATCGTTGGTATCAGCTCCCCTGTCCCGGTCACCGAGTTCAGCACTGGTGGTCGTGCTCCTCTCGTCCCGGATCTAGATCAGCCCGACGTGAACAATAACAACAATGAGCCGTACCTTGAGTTCCTGCAGAACCTTGTGAATATGGACGACAAGGATCTGCCTCAGGTCATCTCTACCTCGTATGGCGAGGACGAACAGGTAAGACGAACCAGAAATATACCTAATCATAGCGCGCCGAATACTCACTAACCCTACCCCACAGAGCGTCCCCGCAACATATGCCCGCAGCGTCTGCAATCTGTTCATGCAACTCGGGAGCCGCGGCGTTTCCGTGATCTTTTCCTCCGGCGACTCTGGCGTCGGCGCAGCCTGCCAAACCAACGACGGCACGAACACAACCCACTTCCCGCCCCAGTTCCCCGCCGCCTGCCCATGGGTAACTTCCGTCGGCGCGACAACCAACATATCCCCTGAACGCGCCGTCTACTTCTCATCCGGCGGCTTCTCCGACCTCTGGGAGCGCCCAGATTGGCAAAACGCCTCCGTCGCCGCGTACCTATCCCAGCTCGGCGATCGCCAAGCAGGCCTGTTCAACGCCAGCGGCCGCGCCTTCCCCGACGTCGCCGCCCAGGGTCAGAACTACGCCATCTACGAGAAGGGCCGAATGACCAAGGTGGACGGGACGTCGTGCGCTTCGCCCGCTTTCGCGGGTATCATCGCGCTGCTGAACGACGCCCGCATCAATTCCAACCTGTCGACTATGGGCTTCCTGAACCCGTGGCTGTACTCGAACCCGGGTGTGCTGAATGATATCACCATTGGCGGAAGCACAGGGTGCGATGGTAATGGGCGATTCAGTGGACCTGCGAATGGCGGACCTGTTGTGCCGTATGCGAGCTGGAATGCCACTGCGGGCTGGGATCCTGTGACTGGTCTGGGCACGCCGAACTTTGAGAGCATGTTGATGGTAGCGACTGGGAACTAGCTACATTTTGCATTGGCATTTATGTGATACATTTGTCTTGGGTTGTCCACTGTTGAGTGGAGGGCTGGTGATGAGACGCGATGCGTCCCGGGTGGGTGTATATAGATTCATTGTTCACGACTTAAATTCAGATATATACTGACATTTTTTGAAGTGTTTATTCAAGATTCTTCTAGCAGGCTCTCGTCAAAAGCTTATGTCGGAAGACTCAACTTGAAAGCTCGTTAGGTCGCTCTCGATGTAATCTGGATATGGGGGATGCAAAACCAGCTTCAATTCCGGGCCCTCTTTCGTCTTGTCCTGAATAATATTACCTGTCGATGCAGGGTGTAATAGATTGCTAAACCAAAGATCTAGTATTCTTGGCGCCATTCCTCAATAGTAGCTGCATAACCTCTGTGTGACCGCGAAGAGAAGCAGCCTGCAGTGCATTACCAAACTCGCCGCCCTGTATATTCACATCGGCGCCATTCCTTAATAGCAGCTGCACGTCCTCTGTGTGACCGCGAAGAGAAGCAGCCTGCAGTGCATTACCAAACTCGCCGCCCTGTATATTTACATCGGCGCCATTCCTTAATAGCAGCTGCATAACCTCGGTATATCCCCCCGCGGAAGCAGCCTGCAGTGCATTACCAAAGTAGCCGCCCTGTATATTCACATCGGCGCCATTCCTTAATAGCAGCTGCATAACCTCGGTATATCCTCCCGCGGAAGCAGCCTGCAGTGCAGTATCAAACAAGCCACCCCGTTTATTCATATCTGCGCCATTCCTGAATAGCAGCTGCACAATCTCCAAGTGGCCTCGCGAGGAAGCACCCTGTAGTGCATTACCAAAGTGGCCGCCCTGTATATTCACATCGGCGCCATTCCTTAATAGCAGCTGCACGTCCTCTGTGTGACCGCGAAGAGAAGCAGCCTGCAGTGCATTATCAAACTCGCCGCCCTGTATATTCACATCGGCGCCATTCCTTAATAGCAGCTGCATAACCTCGGTATACCCTCCCGCGGAAGCAGCCTGCAGTGCATTACCAAAGTGGCCGCCCTGTATATTCACATCGGCGCCATTCCTGAATGGCAGCTGCACAGCCTCTGTACAACCGCCCATAGAAGCAGCCTGTAGTGCATCTTCACCATGCACCTTTAGATCACCCTCCCTATTCAACAGCAGCTGGACCGTGTGTTGGAGACCTGCTAAAGCTGCGTAGTAAAGTGGGGGCATCTTTTCATATCCAGGCTCGAAAACGGGTGGGACAGACGGATCTAGGCAAAAGGCCTGCTCCCAGGCTTCGTACGCTTCAACCTGCTCCAGGAAGAACTTCAAAATACGGTCCAGCACATGCTTTTCTGTCTCACAGATTTTCGCATGGCCCATCCAATATCGAGCGGAGTATACGAAGAATGGGTATTCCTTCGCAAGCTCCCCAGTCGATTTTCGAGTATCGAGCTGCGACAAGTATTGAAGACACACTGTCGTGATATCTCCGCTTGCAACAGTCAAATTCAAACTATTCTGGAATAGCATGCCGACATCACTGCTCTTCGGGTCAAAGCTGGACACAATTCGATCGGATTTGAGATACTGCTGAACAGAGAGATGAGCTAACTGAAGTTCTGTCCAGCTCTTCCGATAACGCTGCTCTCTGACCACGAGTGTGACCAAACTTGGACAAAATTTCCCAATCTCTCGGGGGTCTGGCATTCGAAATGTGGGATCAAAGACAGGGTGTCCGCTAGGATCGATAGCAACAATATCCACGGCCTCTTCAATTGTTAACGGCGGCTCCGAATAAGTGAGAAATTGCAGGATTCGGATTGCACAGTCGCGATAGTCTTCGTCGATACCGTTCAATATGCGAGCATACATCTCTTCTAATGTCCTAGGAAGAAGTTGAAGCGACTTGCGAAGCCTCGGAAGATCAAGGTGCTTCTGCAGATTATCCAGTTGGCACACGGCTAATCGAAACCTATATTGCGAACACTTATCAGCCTCAAATTTGCAAGTTCATCGGCAGGAAACAATTTCCTTACATTCCATCCGCTCTCTGCATAATTCCAGTCTCAATTTCGTCCAGCACTGTCGGTTTCGAACACCACCTCGCAAAATCTCGACCATTTCGCAGTTGTTCATGGACATATAGGCGAATATCAGTGTTTACAGAGCCAGGGCGGATCGAAACCATCCCCTCGCAATGCAGCCAACGATGTAGCTCTCATTCGATGTCGGCTTCCCTCCGGCTAGTGACGAGAAGGCAGACTCCCGTGTGGCTGGTCTTAATGAAAATTTTCAGCCAGTGAAGAAGGTCGGTTCTCTCTCTGCATTCATCCAGAGCATCTATAACAATTCTGACCTTCTGAACGTGGCTCAGCAGTTGCTGAAACGCAGTAGAAAGTGACTCGCAAGTTGGTTGCCGGTCGCTATTTTTGTACGCCTTAATGACTCGATCTAGTTCTTTTCGGGTGTCCTTGGATCTTAAATATAGTTGACCGATGAGTGACCGAACAAGCTGATCAAGTGTCTGCTTCTTCGTATCTGTGAAGTCAAAGAAAAACTCCAGGATAACGCCTGTGGAATGGAGCTGCTGATTCAGGTAATCGATAATGCTGGCGCTAAGAACCGTTTTCCCGCACCCTGGAATCCCATATAGCCAGAGGGTCTGACGTGTTCCCACATACCATTCCTGGAACGAGGCACTTTCGAGAAACCAGAGTCCAGTCCCTGCCTGTCGCTTCTTTTGCGCCTCATTCAAGTTGGTTGAAGTATCAGGGGCCGAGAGCCACGTTCTAATCTGGTCGAGGTGACGATTTGACTCCAGGCTTTCCACCGCCGTTTTGGTTACACTGACTATAGCATGAATCTGCTGGATATCTACATCATTTGCAGCAATCAGTGGACTATCCATTAAACAGCTCAGAATACTAACCGGAGCTGAGCACCTCTAGAGCCGTTCGCGTCTCTTGTAGCTCTGCAGTCGGCACATAACTAAGAAGCTCCTTCCCATATGCCGCAGCCGTAGCAGAAGCATAGCGCTGCCACCGATCATTCTTATGCGAATCTGCGTAATCACTAACACCCCTAATAACGAGGCAGGGAAAGTGATTCATCAAGCCAGCAGCTTCCATCTCGAGGCAGATACACTCCTCGCCGATCTCCTCAAACATCCTGTCTCGTGATATAGCATCCTTGACCAGCGTATTGCCAGACGCAATGATACCATAGTGAACTTCCGGATCAGTAGTCTCACGCTCCGCACGATCTACCGTCTGCATCTCCTCGCAATCATGGCAGTCATGCCCTCCTTTATGACCGTAGGAGGATCTGAACAGTCGGTCATGTTCGAAGCCTTGATAGGAGTACCAATTGGCGCCCTTTTTCAGTTTTTCTGCGGCGGTCAGGAATTCGGGGACTCTCGATTCCCCCAACTCGTGCTCCGCTTGGAGACTTGCGAGAGCGTGAAGAAGGACTCGTGGAGGCAGGCTAAGAAAGCCTTTCCGCTCCCATCTCTGATTAGACAGTGCCTTGCCCAGATCGTACTGTAATAACCCCCCGGTTGTTCCCCGCGGCTCACTCACGACGATATCCCCGAGCCGGATATCACGACCTTGCTCCGGCCTCGCGATGCCGCCGCCAATCCCCACTAACAGACTGATTCTAATATTCGGGAGTGAGGAGAGTAGGCTCGACGCAGTTGTCGCCGCAGAAGTAGTGCCATATAAACCCGCAGGAAGTGAGGCAATCACCACATTGTGCTCGCCCATTCTACCCCAGCTATATGAGTTTGAATCAGCTTGGTGCTGGACGAAGCCGCAGGGCTTATCATGGCGCTCATCAAGCATCGCAATCGCTGCGGCACGCTCGATGGGTAGAGCTGAGATCCATCCCACCGTATACATATCAGAGCTTTCCAAAGATTTCATGGTCGCTCGCGTTTGAGAAGTCCAGCAAGCAAGTTGGATCGATATCGGCAGAAGATTTGATCAAAAGACTATCTTCTTGCCGCGTTGGCGCTGAGTTGGGCGGGGCGGGGTAATGTGATGCGGCTGAACGTGGCGGAGCTTACCACCTTCAGAATGCGGCTTAGGGCAAGCGGACATGGACATGATGCCTGTGCCCAACACCGAGATTACAACCAAACTGCCGGTCTGGAGTTTCAAGCTGTCGGTACAGTTCGCGGAACATGAAGGTTGATCCAGTGTAAAATCAGAATTTGCAAAGCTGTGGATACATGAAAGCACTACTTATTCGGCCAATGGTGTTGTAGTCCGGCCATGATCCGCATAGTAACTCGCCATTGTAGTACGAACAAGCCCATTCTCCTCTCAAGTAGACTCATGTTGCTTTTTCAGTTGTCCGTTTCTTGACTTGCCGTCGTTTTCACTTGGTGTTGGTGGTCACACTTGGTAATGCTTCGTCGTGTCGGAGATGATTGGAGCCCAAAGATGTTCGCTGGAAGGTGGGAAACTGCCCATAGCAGTCATGGGCTGAGTCGGTTGCTGTCTGCTTCGTGTTCAGTTTATGCCTTACTGGTAGGGAACTTGCCTGGCGTATTAAGAGCGGGATGTACTCCATGGGGGACGTTGGCGCAGACATCAGATCCGTGATGACCCAACACATCCAAAGCCGGCCAATTTCCTTATGCACACAATGAAAACAGGTAGCAGGCCCATCAAAGGCACCCACCGACGGTAAGGTGTAGTCTATATAGAGGATACATCCTCGGGCAAGCAAGGTGGCACCCCTATACAGACTACACCTTACCGTCGTCAGGTCTCTTTGATGGTCCTGCTTCGTTTGTGGTTGACTGTGCGCGTTTCCAGGTAGTATATATTAGAGCTGTGACCCTGAGTCTGTGTAGTCAGCAAATCTCAACCACCATCAGGGCTATCACCCAGTCGACGACGGCAGCCATTCAAACCATTTGGCCATGTTCATCATGCACAGAATGAAACCAAGTAGCAGGCCCGTCAACGGCACCCACCGACGGTAAGGTTTAGTCTATATAGGAGATACATCCTCGTGAAGGCAAGGTGGCACCCCTATATAGACTAAACCCCACCGTCGTCAGGTCTCTTTGATGGGTCATGCCAAGAAGAACAAGAGCAGTCGTCAGATAATCGGCACTCTAACCAGAGCGGCTGGAAGTGGTGAGAGAGGGTGAGGGCATCAAAGAACTCTGAGAAGGGGTAAAAGGCAAAGGATGAGGATGACAAGGATGGTGCTGAAGGAAAGATCCTACAATGGTGATCAGGAGCACGGGAGAGCTTATATATTCTGGAGGATCATTCACCTTCATCGGAAAATACCGTGCACATGCTTGAAGTCGAATCACCTGTGACCAGGCTTGCGTATAGATCTGAGTGCTCATTGGCCGGACCAGAAGGATGTAGATAGTCACATGTATTCTGCAAACGACTCGCAGGGTGCTCATTGGCCAGATGAAGAGCGTGAAGTAGATAATCACGTGGATATTATATCATAAACCCCTCACAGGCCGCTCAATGGCCAGACCAGAAGGAAGCAGCGTTAATGTGTATAATCACGTGGATTTTCAAAGGCCTGGCAAGCCAATAGCATACGGCATGTGATCTATATGGAAACTAGTCGTAGACCCTAACTCCAACAAAGTCAGCACCCCAGGTCTGAAAGGCATCACTGCCAGCCACATTTGCAACGACAACTTCATTGTCACCATCTTTCCAACCACCAACTAAGACACCCAGTGATGAGGTATCCCACCAGCCGAGCCCAGGCCCAAAGAGCTCGCTATGACGGCCAGAAAGCGGCACCTCAAGCCTCACGGGCTCCCCGCCATTCACTGAGATCGTGACATTCCGAGAATTTGAGCCCCAGCCCCAGGACGACGAGAAGGCGATGTCGTTGTTGATATAGTCGAGCTCAAGGTACTTGGACGCCGTGGCATCACCTGACGAAGACGGGATTGTCGCGGAAATTGTGACCTTGGCTGTGTTCGTGCTGTCCAGGAAGCCGATCTTGGCGCCGACTGGCTGACAGAATCCGTCACCGCACTGTGTGAGTGATGCGGAGCCTGTGAGAGTGAACTCGGTTGATGGGTAATACGTGCCGAGAGGGGATTTGATTTGGATGGAGTGTATGGCAAGAGACGAGTCGATGACGACCTTGTTGCTGGATCCGGCGGTTAGGGAGATGGAAGTCGATACGCTCTTGCTCGATGCTGGCACGTGGATGGTGTGTTTACTCGGATTAGTGGACGATTGCACGGTGATACTGGTACTCGACGAAGCAGGGCGTGAGAATACGATGGAAATGGTGTGGTTGGAGCTCGACGTGTTGGCATAGACGGAGTCAAACGTCACTTTGTTGCTGTAGAGAGTCAGCACAAAGAATGTGGCCCATTTCGCGGTGAAGACGACAAACCCCACGGATGATGCAAACTTGTTGCTAGGGTAGAGACCGGCCTCTGTCGTATCCTCGAGTTCTAGTAGCATGACTCCGTGAGCGTCGACCGTCGCCGTATACGACGTCTTGACAGTCCTGATGGTTTGGCCGGCCCATATGTTTTTCACTGTCCCCGCGTGCTGGATTCCAACGTCAGGCAGATTCAGTGTCAATTCCCGCGAACCAGCGGCCCAATTGATCAGCGCCACGACGGTTCTGCCATTAGCAAGAGGGCCGCTCCAGACTTCGTATTGCTCTTCGGACCACCGCCGTCTCAAGTTAGCACTGACACCCAAAGCGTCCTGATTGAAGGAGATGACATCCTTGCTAGACAGAATCGAGAGTGACACATCGCCAATGGAAGTCGTTTCATCGTTTAAAGCGGCTCCAATGACCAGGGGGCTCTTGAGAATGGCCCACAGAGAAAAGTGAGTCTGCTCCTCTGCGGGCGTCAAGATGTTGTTTCCTACCTCCAGCATGTCCAGATCCGGCCATTGGCCTGGACCAGCGAACGACGTCTGCGGGACGGCTTGATTCAAGGTTCGGAAGATCGCGCGCCAGGCTGGAATGATATCGTTGCCGATGCGTCACGTATGTCCCAGCAACGGCGCCCATAGTGCCGGGAAGTCGACGCCCCATTCGCAAATCTGGAAGAGCACGGCGCGGTTTTGGGCTGCCAGGGCTTTAGTCATGTTCGCATATCGAGCACTTGGCGAGGTGCTTGGCGCGTAGTTGACGTTCGGATAGCCTGTCGCCGCATCGGAGAAGCAATTGTCGTCTGCCGAGGGTGAGCTACGCCATCACCTCCCATTGAGACTTGCATATCAACGTAGTACTTACACTTCAGAGCATCAATGTTCCACGACGCAAACAACGCAGCATCCTGGGCCTCGTGGTCTTACAGGCCCGTCAGCATTCGCTCATCGCATGTACGGCAGGAGCTCATTCTCCGCGACTTACACAAGCTTCCCGCCTGCTGTATGTTAATCTGGCACGATCGGATGCCCGCATCCTCGTAGACCCCAAACAGCAGACCAAGGCCATGGATATACTCCCCCAGCGCGGGAAACCCGTTGGGAAAGAGGGTTTCATTCCACGTCAGCGACCCATTGGCCGTCCGATCCCGGACGGTCCAGCCACAGTCTGTCGTCACATAGCGATAGCCGAGATCTGCAAGGCCCAGGTCGACCAGGGCTTTTGCGTTGGACTTGACAATTGTCTCGTTTGGCGAGCACGAATAGTGATTGTACGTATTCCATCTGCATGCAATTAGCCACAGCCGGACATCGTTGTGGTATCCTGTGGTATCCTGTTTGTCATTTGGTCCCGGGTGGCGTACCCCATTGGCGGTGTTTTGGCCACGCCATTATCAAGTCGTGGTCTCACAGCGGCCGCATAAACGAGATGGGCCGTCAACAGGACCGGCAGAACAATTGCCGCCCCAAACATCTTAGATAATGCTTGACTATTGCCTGCCTCCTACCTGGCAGCTATACACACCTTAACTTGCCACGCAAGAGTCAGTTATATATGTGACACCTCCCCGCACGCCGGTCCCTGGCCTGCAGCGGGGTAAAGTCGGCGGAACTATACTATCCACGGGGGACCAACAACCCTGCGACGGGAAATTGCCTAAACGGGCCTGTCGAAAACAAGACTAACGCGGGGACGCGGCGGATCCCAATGCCGTGATCTGCGATCGGCAGCGGGGCTCCCTCAAGTCTTCAGGAGCGCCCCATACGCTCTGGACTGACCACCAAAATATTCAAATACACCAATGCAGGAATATAGGAATATGGGGGTATATTTGCAAACTAGGCGGATTATGTGGTGCTAAGTAATGGTACACGAGACGCAAACAAAATGGAGACAATGACGGAGGCCCCATCGTGCTCTCTGGGCTCTAGCGAGGGCTTGGATGCTTATTTCAACTATGCACACCTCATAAACGCACAATGCAGTTTGCTCGGCCTATCCAATTCTCATGGCCATTCCCTCTTCCTCTATTATATTCAGGTCATATCCGTATCATCATCGCCATTCCCACCGCAGATGAGGCTGATGCCGACACCTACGCAACCATGCTCATCAATGCCGAGCAGAAAAGCATCGCGATCACCCCCAGGCCCGTCTTTGACACAGGCTGGTTGGCCACAGCCGCGCCGGAGCTGGTGTGGGCAGACCCGGTGCTGGTCGAAGTGCCAGTGCTAGTGGCCTTGGTCGTAGCCGCAGCCGTGGCCGTCGCGTTGCTGCGCTGGTTGCAGAAGATGGAGTTGGTGCCGCTCTTTTGCTCGAGGCACGTGGTCAGTTCGCCGACAGTCTGCTCTTGCGCTAGACAGTAGATGCCGCAGTCGTTGTCGTATTGGACGGGGCTGTTGCCCTTGCAGCAGGAGTCGAAGGCGGAGGTCATGTTGCCGGTGACGGGGCCGCCGCAGGCTGCGTCGGTCACATTGGGGAGCTCGTAGATGTTACCGATACAGGCGGTGCTGGCAGCAGTTGTGGTGGCTTTTGTAGCGGGCATTGTGGTGGTTGGTAATTGGTAGTTGGTAGTTGGTGGGTGTGGGCGAGGTGGTCAAGAGCTCAGTGGAGCGCGGTTGGGCCGAGTTGAGGTGAGGAAGTCTGGTGGGTGAGGGTTTCAGAATGGGCCGGGCTTATGGAAGAGAGAGTAGAACAGAAGAGCAGACAAGTCAAGGCCGCGATCATGCAATAAGTGAAAAATCAAGTATCGGCATAAGGGAACAGGCGCACCCTAAGCCTACCGTCACGACGTACGCGAAGACCACTTCATCAATCACAATCGCCCACAGGTTCATGGAAGACAGCTGCGTCCTACACGCTCTCCCTGAGGGTACTGTGGTACTTGTGAGTCTAGTGTGACGTGTGGGCTGCAGGATGAGCGCTACTGCATGATGGGCCAACTAGTTACACGCCACATGGATCTCACCCTGCAGTTTCATCAAGACTCCTTATACTACTCACATCCTACTGATGAGCCGAGTCAGTTGGACCTATATCGAGTCTACCCATATCTAGCGGCTAAGCGAATAGTATGAGCGATGCACAATAGATCCATGCTATCTAGCCCAAGTATTGATAGATAAGGTATAGTTTCGGGTACATCAAACGCCTCACCGGTCGGGTTTCTGCGACTCCTTGCATGACAGAACCAGGCAGACGACCACTCCATTCAAGCAACAACCAGCCAGCAGCCCGTCTGGTTCAGCACATATCACAACGTTTCTTGACGCCTACTGTTTCACGGGATCCGACTCGCTCACATACTCCTTGTTATGCGAGACCTCTTCTTATCTTCTGCTCACTCTCGGAACCTTCCACACCCACCAGCGCGAGGAGTCCCATCTCGCGCTCGATGCGGTCCTTGCGCGTGGCGTCCGCAGTGGCCATGCCGGCTGAGCCAAAGAGCTCATCCATTTCTCTCGTGTGCGGCTGCGCGTCTCAGGGACCAGGAAGATAACGTAGAAGATGCCGATGGTGGTGACGCAGCCGAAGAAGACGAAGGCACCGAGCTCGCTCTTGTCCAGAAATGGTGATGTCGCGGTTGCGACGGCGAAGTTGTTCAACTAGGAAGATGGGTTAGCTGGATGCCGGAATGGTAAAGGGGCCTCTGCGGGAAATCCTCTTTCCAACAGAACCCTAAAGACCTCGACGTGGACCCCGGCCCTGTATAGTCGTCTTCATCCGGCATAGGTTTGCAAAGCACCAACTATAGCAGACCACTCTGCCAACACGGAAGAGCCCGAACCCCATGCCGAGAGAGCGGAAACCCCGTGGTCATCCCCACATCCCACACTCTCCACCCTGGGACCTGGACGGATGAAGTCGCACCGCTTTAGCCTGTTCGCACGCACCCTTCCCCAGCACGCCACCACGCCTCACCCGCGCCTGATAAAATGCTTTGTGAATCGGCGGGTGGACCGGACGCCTGTCGGGAACGCTGTTGGTCAGGGTTGCCGGCAAATGTGCCCGCCCGTCATCGGGCTGGGCGTAGCTGGGACGACAAATAGCGCTCGGAACATGGCTAAAGGGCTGGCTCTGGGGTATTCAGGGGGATGGGTGTGCTCCCGGACAGCAACCGGGTTTGCGCTCGGGATGGATTGCAGCTTGCGGCCAGAGATTGGTCGGCGTGTTGGCTGGCGGCTGATCGAGTGAGAGTGCCCTAGCTGGGGAAAGAATTGGTAGTAGACGAGGCAGATTGCAGCCGCCATTCGTCAAACAGCACACTCCGAGCTCAGCCCTAAAACAGTAAATATGCCCGTAGGTTCCTAATTCCTGGAGCGAATCTACATCCGCGGAGTTTGGACGCCTCAGCCTTAGTAGGTAACGTGCCCCCGATCCCAGATTTCGGAGATAATACAGCAGCTTTCCCCACGATGTGCTAATCCGTGTTTTCTGGTTTCAGTTGTGGGAGGAAATTACTGCTTCTAGGGTTAGTCCAGTCGTGGGAACGGTCAACCTCCATGGGTGCTGCTCTTGAAGTCGATGTACCGAGGGGACGTCTTAACATATGTAGCCATTATGATCATTTTTCAACATGTATCACTTTCGTCATCTTTGGGTATGGTCATAGCAAATCATCGCTGTTAACAAAATACACTCTCCTAACACATCCAGTGGAATCCTCAGACGCCATCAGGCCACTCGCTGTCTCCAAGCCCACCTAAGGATAAAGAATCAGCCTCTCAAATAACACTCCGCATGGCCCATTCATTCCCTTCTTCCAGCTTCGCCCAAAATATCTCGATATCCCGCGCCAGCCTGTTCTTCGCCCGAGCCTCCATCCTATCAATCCACCCATTAAACACGCTCGGAAGAACACGCACAGAATTGGCATGGTCCGCCGCAAACTCCGGCCCCATCCAGCCATATTGCAGACACAGCACCAGTGCGTCTTTGAGCATCCATGCACCGATTCCGGCCCCACGGTGGCTCTGCTTCACAGTCCAGGCCCGGATGACCACCTTGCAGGGCTGGGGTGATCGGTGTATCATCTGGCACCGCTTTTGGGAGCTCTTTGACCGGCTCGCTTTCTCAGAGGAAGTGGTAATGGGTACGACACGGAGAATGATGGTGCCGATGATATCGCCGTCGTCCGTCAGTCGAGCAACGAGAACGAAGTCCCGCTTGCAGATGGAGCCCATCGAGCGGATATGAGAGCCCTCATCCATGTGCATTGGCTTGGTGTCAGTCTCCTGTCGTCGCGCCTTTGTCTTGGACTTGTCCTCAAAGCCGTATAGCCACCTCCACGTACCTACCTTCTCGGCCGCGTCCAGGTATCCTCGTACCGACCACTTCACGGCGACTCCAAAAGCCATGGAGATCCCGATGCAGAGAAGGAAGATTGTCAAGTTATCGACGCGCTCTTGATATGGCGAGTAGTAAATGCATGCTGGAACGAGAGGGATCAAGGCCCAGCAGAGGGGGCTGCACAGGACGGCGCCAGCGGCGAGTTGTCGCTGTTGCGCGACCGAGTCGGCGACGAGGCGTAGGGCTGCAATATGTTCGTTCGCCTTGGTGGCGATCTGAGTGATGCGCGAGTCCTTGTCTGGCATGGTGATGAGGTTGGTACTGGTAGGGCAGGGCGCGTAGTTACTTTCGAACGAGGTAGTTTCCCTCTGTCTTTTTGATGGGCTCTCGTTAGCGCGAGAAGGACCTCGGCTCTCATTGTTGGATGCCTCTTTCGAGGGCTCTTCTGACGAAGCTCCCGATGATACTGAGGAGGAATTATCTTCAGTCGACGATGGGGTGGCCTTGTCGCGATGACGCCCTTTTCCTCGGGTCACGTCGCCAGCCGTGGTTACAGCTGAATAGGTACCCCGCCGCTTGGCCATGGTTGGATTGCAGAAGAAGAGGACGAGGGTGATCAGCAGAGATGACGATGAAGGTAGAAGAGGGGTCTCCCATTCACTTGTCGGGTGCGGCGAGACAGAATGAGATGCGGGTAGATGCACGGCGCATGAAGAAGTCGAAGAAGCGATATCACCGGAAGGTACCCCCACGAGATCGAGGTATCGCGAAAATAGCCTGGTCACCGATCCAACCAAAAAAGATAGTAGCCTCCACAGTTTACTGGCGGACAGTATGATGACAATATGAAAGTATGACGGGGGCTGGACCAGGTTCCACAACTATGATCTAGTAAGGTGTCTGACTCGAACCTTATTTAATGCGCTATGCCTACTTGTCAGCGATGAGAAGCTTTGGTTTAGCTCTGGCATAGTCGTTAGAGGCCGTGTTACTGTCCTAGCTACAATATTCACTCGCAATAGGTCGTTACCGGGGAATGGACAAGGCCATATAAATCACACACAACGGCTCGCTGGGAAACCTTCAGCCGAGTCGAAGCGGAAGGAATAAGCCAAGATATATATATATATAAGCCAAGATTTTGAACCTCACCACGGTTGGGCAAAACTAGCGCCAGCCAGGAAACGGAGTGGTTGCTGTCAGCCTTGCGTTGCCAGGACCGCCCAAGGCCACCCAACCTCTGCGACTGAACATATATCTGCGTCGGCATCCAACATGAGATGCAGACCGCATCGACGATTACAATTCCATCCTGTGGAATCTACAACACCGCAATGTCCCAACCAACCGGGGGTACCACATCTCCAAGCCCTGCGGTGCCACAACCGTCGCTATGGATTCTCGTGCCCTTCGCCATCATCATTCTACCAGCATTGCCCTTCGCCATCACATATAGCGTGTGCCGAGGAATGATCCGAAAATTGAAAGCAATGGAGGCACCAGTCCGCCCGCTACATCGCCAGCGAAAGCGTGCTTTAACACTGCCCCTACCTGAAACGTCCCCTGGTCGAAAAGCACAACGGACATATGATCAGTCACAGTCGCTCTTCCTAGACCGGTTACCATTCGAGATTCGACACAAGATATACGAAGCAATATTGGCTCCGCCCGATAATCGGATTCTACATGTTGCTGCCATCTCCGGTCGTTTGTGTGGTATCCGATGCCACGAAACAGACCCTACGCGATCGACGTGGTGTCATCAGTGCTGGGATCCCCCTAAAAAAGCCCAACGTTCTTCGAAATATGACCGGTCACCTGGCCTTGGCCTGCTGTGCTCATGCCGTCAAATGTAAGTGTCGACATCCACAGGCAATGGCCGTCTTCGGAACTAACGGGCTGACAGATATTCGGAGTCGATTGATCTTCTCTACGCGGAGAATTGCTTCAGTCTACGAGATCTCCGCGCCATTCTGTCATTTCCTCTGGCAATGCTGCCTCAGAGAATTGCAGCCATTCGCAAGATGGGTATCGATACTCTCGTGTGGTTTAGCACGCGTGATGCGCGGAGCTATGATTGGACGGAAGCTTCCGCGCAGAATTGGAGGCGTGTTTGTCAAGTATTGAGCCCAATGAGCGCGTGCGGCCTTCGACGCCTTGATATCACATTACGCCTTCCGGATGGTGGGAAGAGTTCAGAGACAGATAAGTGGGCTACTGAAGGTGGACTCGCCGGACGACTAGGGGCACTTATGGATATTCACGTCCCTGAGTTCAGTGTGACCCTGCATGACTGGCCACAGAGTGAAGAGGACGTGCGACGTATGCTTGGGAGGGATCCCCCATTTTCACTTAAATTCACTAGAACGGGATGATCCATGAGTAGATAAACCTGAAATGCGTTCCTCGAAGAAAATAGGTAGTGCTCTCTCGAGTATTACTATCATCAGAATTATCCTTGACTAATATTCTTCGACACCCCCTTGATATAGACGTCATTGCTGGTGTGTTTCAATCACGCTATAAGACCGTGATACATTGCAGTCAAGATCACCTCGTTGACTGCCCGAATGTCCTAGGGCAGAGAAGACTCAGAATAGAACCTGGTAAACACCCTGTTTCCATCACACACACAGAACCCAAAAAAAGGTCGCGTGGTCTCGCGTGGTAGTATCTCAAGCCAGCACCTGTACAACCCGCACAACGCAGGCTTAAAATCCTCCGAAGATGCCTTCCTTCGCCTCAGCTCAGCACACCTACTGTGGTGTCGCAAAGGACATAGAACATGTCGGTAACCATCATCCCTGCCCCTTCCGACAACATAGATTCATTAGCAGAACAATCAAAAATTACCATAGGAGGGGTATCAGGGGATGAGAAAGACGAAAGGCAAACATTCTTTATTTCCCATTAGCTAATTACCGAATTACCGCTCCATAAGTTAGCTAGCATAGCAGCCCCGAGCCATATCGCATTTGTAACTAGATAAGCCTCCTGGCCTCCCTCCAGCCGAGATTCTATTACCACCACTAGCCATAAATGAACGCAGGACCAAAGAAAATGAAAACAAGGAAAGGAGAAAACGAACTGAGATAATGTCAAGCCTGCCATGTTCGCCGCATCGCGCCTCCATCAACCGCCCATTAGGCCTCCCTTGGCTGTGCTATTGATTTGTATCTGTCATCGCAGGCGAGTTGGCTAGGGTGGCACGCGGACAAATCCAGTATCCCGTTACACATGCGTCTACTGACCCTGCACGGTGGTAGCGGTGGCAACCACGGTGGGGTCCCGCGACTTCTCCCTATCTGGTGTATTCAACTCCTCCGGCCGCCCATAATCTTCACCAGACAGCTCTTCAAGGGTGCGACGCTTCGTCTCAGGAATGAGCCAGGTCGTCAAGATGCCGCAGAACATGAAGGCGCCGAAGATCTTCATGACATGATTGAGCCAGGGAGTGTCGGAACTGCCAGGCTTTGCACCCTTGTGCACCAGCGGGCCGAAGACACACTGTGCGATGATGGCACCGACCTTACCGCAGGCGGCGCTGATGCCGTGAGACGTGGAGCGGTAGCGGGTGGGGAAGCACTCGCCCGGAACAATGAATGTAGTTGCGTTGGGGCCGAAGTTGAAGAAGAACTGGGCCAGAACATAGAGCGCAAGCAGACCGTTGTGGGACTGCTTGAGGGAGTCGTACGCGCCGCCGATTATGAAGAACAGGATTGTCAGAATGATGAAGCCGCCCATCTGGATTGGCTTGCGGCCGAGGACGTCCACGATTGCGACGGTCACCCAGTAACCCGGAATAGCACCGGCGCAGATGAGGATTAGGTTACCGACTGCGTTGCGGTAAAAGGTTTCGTAAACGTTCTTGCCTCCAGTCCAGCCGATCGCATTGAGGATAATCGAGTTGTTCAAGCCGAGACCGTAGAAAGCTAGGGGAGAAAAAAAAGGGAATGAGTGTTGGAGACGTGAATAAAATCAAAAACCATGGTGATGGAATGAACATACCGACATCAAGGAAAAACCAGGATCCCGCAGTCCCCAGAAGAACTTTGAAGTTCTTCCACTGTCCATAATGGTGTCGAAAGTCATTCCAGCTCGCCTTGGGCGTGAGGAACTCGAGACTATCCTGGCGCAGAACCCGGATGCGCTGGATCTCATCGGGATGTCCCTCAGGGTGGCCCTTGATGTATGCACGGATATCCTCGTCAGCTTTGAGGATGTCACGACTCACATCAAAGGTGTATCGAGGTGTCTCGGGGATGGTCAGGCGATAGTATAGAGCAGCACAGGCGGGGATCGCACCGAAGCCGATGACTGTTCGCCACATCTTGTCGACTGCCAGTCGGCAGACACCACTGCAGTGAGCCACATCCTTGGCAGTTTCGAGAGACTCTTTGAAGCCAGAAGTGACGATCAGGGCGACTATGGCAGCAGCAAACTGCCCGATGCCCTGCATGGCAAACACGGCTCCCATCATGGCACCGCGCCACTTGGTGGTGGCAAACCTGGCTGAAGTCAGTCCAAAATGTAAAACCGCTGTTTGGCGTGTCCCCAGCAACCGCCCCATGAGACTTACTCCGAGGTAATGATTGAGGACAGCGGGTAATCCCCTCCAATGCCAATGCCCATGATGACACGCCAGAAAATAAGCAGGCCGGTAATCGACATTCCCGGCGAGTTCGACGAAAGGGCCTGGGCCAGGGTCGCCATGATGATGATCATGAGCTCGATGCCGTACATGCGTTTTCGTCCAATACGATCTGCCAGCCATCCAAAGAACAGCTGGCCAATAACTGTTCCACCTGAAGTCGCCACCTTGATGGCCGTGTCAGAGCTGGAAGGTAACTTGCCCGCACCTGACTTGGCATCCTGCCAGTAGACAACGCCCAGCATGGAGACAGCCAGGTTGATGGCGAAGATATCGTATGAGTCGGTGAAGAAGCCGACGCCGGCGACGACGACGGCGCGTACATGGTACCAGCCGAACTTGGCGTTATCGATGCGGGCTAGTGCGGCCCGGCGGCGTTCGTTGGCATCCATGATGGACGACAGCTCACTGTCAACGGGGACAGCACTCTCCTCGAGATCCCGGTCAACGACGTGGCGGGTGGTGGCCATCGTTGTTTCGTCGAGAGATACAAAGCCACAACGACCGTGTTGAGAGTGATGTTGAGACGAATAGTAGTCTACGCGAGTAAAGAGGAGGAGAAAGAAAGTTCCAGTGAGAGGAGAGCAGGCAAGTGAAAAGATGAAGAGGGTGAGCCGGCGACTATCGCGGAGGATAAGGCACAACAATGACGGTTACACGGTGCGTGGCAGCCAGTCTCGGAGTCCCCAAGAAGGAGCAGGTAATGTGTAGGCACGCAGTACCATGCAGGGACTAGCAGCTACTTACCTGTTGCAGTAATGCATCAAGTGCGGTCCTGTCGGAGGGCCGCCGAAGCTCTGAGCTGCGGCCTGCTACCCGGCACTCATACTTCTGAATCGACCAATCAGAGGGCGGGATCGGAGCACGGGTCGGATGGACAAGCGCCAGTCGGTGCAGCAGGTGCGCCTTGCCACGCCTTCCGTGGGTGCGGGACCTGCCAGCCAAAACCTTGCAAACCTTATCTGCAATAGACTCCCCATGTGCCTTCCCCATTGGCCATAGCAGAGACCTTCCCAGCCCTGCTTTTTCAGGAACCATCTCGGCTTAGCTGGCTGACATACTCACCAACGTCGAGTGAGGCGGTTTCGTCTCATGTGGCAGGGCATGCCCATGATGGCACCTACAGAATTGACTCGGGATGAACATCCCACATCCCATAATACTCGGTGATTTACATGTCTGGGCCACGAGGTTCAAACTGATGGATGCTTATGGAGAGCCGCACGTTCAGGATGCTGCGGGATTCGAGCCCTATCCTTTGTGCCAATTGATCTCCCATGCAGATGCACCTATGCATCCGCAGACGGTCTAGAAGTGTCTTTCCACGTCACGGTGGCTCAACCGAAGGCCCGTCTCCTACCAAGCATACCCATCCACGGCCCCCCTCCCATCGCCTCCTTTCGTCCATTAACCATGGATCCCGCGGCGGACAGTTCATTCCGAGTGTCATCCCGACATCACGCCAACGTCAACCGTCGCCAACCTGGCCACGCGTGGCGGACCCGAATAACGACAAATATTTATACCGCACCGCTCGACCTGGAAACATTCTCAAAACAGGGTCATTCAAACAAGCATCACAAAAAAGGTCCATTCATAGCTCGTTCTTCGCCGAACAGTATCGGTAACCAGCCAAAGTGAAAGTCCAATCCAGGGTATCCACATCAACACCAAAGTTAACATCACCATCACCATCACCATCCGACATGGGCCGTCAAGGAGGCAGCGAAGAGAACAAGCTGCGAGGCTACAAAGCGTGACAACCCACCCTCCCCCCTCTTCTCTCCACATAGCTAACTCCAAATACTAATCTACCATCGCGGATCAGAGCCGTTCACAACGAGAGGGTCTCTGAGCCCGCCAAACACCACGCCCAGGAAGAAGTCGACCGGCTATCCCGTCATCAAAACAACGACGAGCGCCACGAGCAAAATGTGAAGCGTGGGCTGAGATCGTACGTATCCCCCATTGCTCTGGAGAAAGCTGGTGTTGACCCTAAGAACTCGGTGCTGATGTCACTAGGGCCATCCACAACCCGCGTGTCACGGACGAGGGCCGCGGCAGCGCGGCGCATAAATTGGAGGACATGGGCGAGCCGGCTGAGTAGGGCTGCTCCGCAGGTGTACATGTGGGGCAGCAGCCCGATCATAGTCTCCATATATCAGCACTATTAGTGCTGTTCCGATCGTTATAGATGCGGATCATGAATCTCAAGATCTCAAGTCTATTCTCATTTCGTGGATAAAGTCGGATCTCGTGTAAGACATGTATGGTCAAAATATCAAGTAGCAGGGACTCTTAGCAACCGTTGCACAGAAATCGGATATCCCCGTGCAGTGCAGTCTATACAGTGCGTCCTGAAACTGGTGCGACCACCTACACTCCTCGATTGATGCTCAAGCCCCAACGCCAAAACCCACTAGTCCATATTCAAACTCGGGATTTCAATATTCCCGTATCAGTATCAATACACTGACATACTCCAATAATACGTCACTCTGTCTTAGAACCGAATTGGCGATGCAAGGCAACTAGAGTTTTTCATTCAAAACACCAGAGCCCGGCAGCCTTCAGAATCTGGCGAGATCGCTTTCCCCTGCCACTTTCCCTTATTCAATGACCGTCTGGGGGAAGGATATACTTCGTTTTTGAAATACCATGTTGTTGGAACTTGACCTGCTGACTGATTCACAGTTACCTCCCGCGTACCTTCGGCCATTGAGGCGCAGCGACGCCACGAGGGTCCAACCGCCTCGCTAATCTGAAACTGTTGCCTAAGGAAGGCTTATACGGATGAGGCTAACGTCGTCGCCAAAATTACCCTCTCACGGGTAGGCGTCTAGATTTCTTTCATAAAGCTACGGTGTTCAAGTACAGTAGCTTCTCCCTTTCCTGTGTATATTTACTCCTATCGAATGCAAATTGCTTGTCTTCGCCTGATAACGACTCAAATTTTGTCCTTAGTTCCGACCATTCACCCATGATGGACAGTCCTCTGGATGACAAGCTCACCTCGGAGTACGGCGTGTTCCAATCCTCACGATTCCTTTGGCATTGTATCTGATCTTCGATGTCTCCAGTGCTATTCAGGAAGCTTCCCCAGATACATCAAGCCCCAGATGCACAGACATGTTCCGAATTACACGCGCTGAGCCCTGGGCCATTGACACAGGCAATTGGTGCCTATTCTCATCGGAGCCCAAGCTGTGCTTCCAAATAACCCAAGGGTCCTCCTGGAAGCAAGACTCTATGTTCCCGGTATACAACATCTGGAGCCCCGCATACTTCGGCATCTCGCTTCCACAGCCAGATTCGAAGCCATATAAGCTGAGCTGCAACGACCTTATTGTGACGAGCTACGATGACGATATAGCATCCCTAAAGGTCGGAGACACCGGGGCAATTCCGTTTGAGGCCGAAAACACCATTGGTGGTATTGACGTCGACTACCCCGGCTTCCTGTGCTGCAGGTGTTGCCTCCGGTATCGAGGGTGGGTGACCTTGGCTAATGGCGAACTCTGGCGATTCGACGAAAACGACCAGTCGTATTACCAGTTCCAGCGTGTACATAAGGGTGTAGATGATGGGAAGTTCCCAAAAGTGTACCCTAAGACGCTCATATGGGAGCGTTTTCGCGACTGGGAATCCGGATATGGAGAGGCCCCGGCGGAGGTTCCATTCATTATGGACCGGGATACGCGCCTGTGCCGGGTTAACCTGGAACACCGGGGACGGCACTGGGATACTTCTGGGCTTATAGCTCCCGTTATTGCTATTATGAATCGAGAAGGTCTTGTCTTTGTCGATGGATTAGAGCATGGTCATGAGATTGAGACTGCTAATCTTCGGGAACTAGTTCTAATGACGGGCCTTACGGTTGCGAAATTTGAACGCCCGGCTTTAGAGCAGTGAAACTTGTTTAGATTAACTCCAGTACTCTTTGTTATGATGCTCAGAGAGCCTTTCCAACATTAATTGCCGGTAAATCTCAGGCTGAATATAGTTTCTGCGTAGATGATAGGACGGGAAGGAGACACATTAAAGTTATATATATACATCTCAACCCAGCACATACTTGGAACTGGCAGTGTATACTAAGGTAGTTTTAAGTAAGATACAATGATATATATGCATAAATATTTCGGAAATAAAGGGGATCTATTCTGAGAAAATGGTGATATATAACTTAGCCAAATACAGGTTGAATGATTTTGTATACAGGCCGAGAAAGGATTTGTGTGTGTTTATAGGAGAATCGGATTTCGAATATTGCTATAGCATCGTCATATTAAAGGTTCGAATGTCTTTTTTCTTTTTTTGCGGGATGACATTTGTGAGAAAGTAGTGTTACTAATATGTATATGGTTTTGTTTCCGGCCTCTTCACGTTTAGGCAGCATATGATATTATATTAGGTAAGAACTCGTAGGTTAATATCGAGTAGAGTTAATAATTAGATAGTAGCTATGAGTTTACGCTCTAAGGTCTTTCACTTTGGGTTTAGCGCTTTTTATGTCTCACGTGTCTAAACAGGCGAAGCTGGCTTTAGGGTCCTCCCCCTCCTACTCCTGTTTTACACTATGTCAAATACCCCTCACTATGGCGAGCAGCGCACCGCTTCCCGACCAGCCACAACAGGCCACGACAGCTGAACGACGTGACCTTGATGGCGATGCGCTCCTGGTTGCTTCATCCAAAGGCTGTGAACAAACTGTACAGCAACTGTTAGAGGAAGGCGCCGATGTTAACGCGCAAAGTGGTTCGTACGGCAATGCACTATACGCTGCATCATCAGAAGGCCATGAACGGATTGTACGGCTGCTATTGGAGAGAGGTGCCGATGTCAACGCTCCGGGTGGCTTTTATGGAGATGGACTATATGTTGCTTCATCGGATGTCAAGGAACGGATGGTACGGTGGTTGTTAGAGAATGGTTCCGATGTCAACGCTCGGGGTAAAAGCAATTTTCTTCACCGAGTGTTGGAGGGACGTCCCGATATCAATGTGCAGGCTGGCAGGCATGGCAATGCACTATATGCTGCTTCGCTGGGAGGCCATGAACGGATTGCACAGCTGCTTCTGGACAACGGCGCTGATGTTAACGCGCAAGGTGGCATTTGCGGAAATGCACTATATGCCGCTTTGTCGAAAGGCCACGATGGGGTTGTGTACCTGCTGTTACGGAACGGCGCTGATGCCAACGCACAGGGTGGCCACTACGGTAATCCGCTCCAGGCTGCTGCATCGAAAGGCCTTGCCGGGATAACACAGCTACTGTTGGACAAGGGTGCCGATATCAACGCACGAGGTGGCGCTTATGGTACTGCGCTCCAGGCTGCTTTATGGAAAGACCATAATGAGATTGCGCAGCTACTGTTAGAGAAAGGCGCTGATGTCAACGCGCAACATGGCTCTTATGGCACTCCACTCCAGGCGGCTTCATTTGGTGGCCATGAAGGGATTGTCCGGTTGCTGTTGGAGAAAGGGGCTGATGTGAACGCGCAAGGGGGCCCTTACGACAATGCACTGTATGCTGCTCTTTCGGAAGGACATGTCGAGATTGCACGGCTGCTGTTAGAGAAAGGTTGGAAAAAGTCGCTCATGGCCACATGCTGGCCTCAATTCGACACTTACATCGCTCAGATATCTGGACAAGTCCATCCATCTCTCGGTGGGGTTTGAAGGTGGGATGGAGGTCAAAGATATATTATTACAATTTAATACGTGATTTAAATACATTTTAATTAAAAAAAGACGCAATGCGCGTCTAACTAGCATAGCAGGGGTGTTCCGGAAGAATTCCCGATATAGGTCAGTATATCTTGGCATTAGGAATGGAGAATCCATCGAAGCGTGTATGTGATGGCACCAGTTTCCGATCATCCTGTACTGCGATTAGTATCAGGGTCAGCATTAGTATCGTGACATCATCACGCCAATCCGCGCCTCATCTTCCACCGCATGATAAAGGTCGCAACGGGGAAAAAGGCAATCGACACGACGACCCAAATCAACAGGACCCCAAAATCGAGCCCGATGCGCGAGTGTGTACCAAACAGGATAGTCCGTATCGCCTCGACAACTGTGTCCCAAAGCAAGAAAGAAACCAATTAGCAAAGCACACCACCCCAACGCCATCCCATTCCGGAAGAGGTGGTAGGTAGAAGCACTTACTCCGATGCAACGGCCACACAAACCCCCACCGATAAAACACACTGGCAAGCTCCACGGCATAAAACCCCGTCGCAACATTCGTAATAACCCAGAAGATGAGGAAAAATGAACTCCATGGGAAACCCAGCACCATAGCCATATTCTCGCACGGAAGGCCCAGCGCCGTCATACCGACCCAGTTCAGCATCCAAAACACCACGAACGAGCCCTTGCCGTAGGCGTTAGGGTTATTCGCGGAGAGCGTCTCGGGTGCAGGCTGATTGGAGAATGGGATGCCGAAGGCCAGCGAGACGAGGCTGTAGAAGAGCGAGAGGAAGAAGTAAGCGGCTATGTTGGAGACGATGCGCCAGGCCAGCCACTGCGTATATTTGAGGGGCGGGTGGGATGGGGTTGGTTTTATGAGTTGCGCGTGGATGGGCATTAGGAAGGGGAAGTTGAAGAAGGCGATGATGATGAGGTAGATGAGGCCAATGGTGACCGCGGGTGCGGCAACATCTGGCGTGAAGGGTCGGAGGTCGACGAGCGTGAAGCCGATGGCTGGGTTGATCGCTTGGGGGGGCGTGGCGGTTAGGTTTACCCCGGATGTGACGAGCTGGCGGGCCCACTGTGGGCCGAAGGAGGCGAGTACCGTGTTCTCAAAAATGGCGAGGTCTGGCTGGACGTAGTGGTAGTAGGTGTCTTCGTCGCGGGCCGTGATGATCACCGTCTGTATGGCGCCGGCCGGGTCGTAGCTGGTGTTGTGGCGCGAAATTGCGGCCTGCAAGAGGGTCGTGGCGTTGGGGTTGATGATGACTGCGGCGTGGGCGTGCTCATCGTAGACGCCTTGACGGACGGCCCAGGGGTCGTTGTTGAAGCTGCTGGCATTCTTGATGATGTAGCCCAGGTGCAGACCTGGCGAGGCGAGAATGGATTGTGTTGCATTTGTGACGGCGGGCCCGACGATGGGGTCGCTGGTGCGGTAGGCGTCGGTTTGGCCGTCGAAGTCGACCACCCAGACTTTGAGCTCGGAGTACTTGCTTTCAGTGCTGTATTGGGAGCCCCAGAAGAGGGATAGCACGGTGAACACGAAGACGCAGAGGATGAAAACTGTGATGGCCGGTCAGCCACGATATACTTGTGGGGAAGATATCGTCCTACCAGTCCGGCTCCATTGATAGAACACTCGCCGCCGGACCTCCTTCAACGCAGGGTCGAAAAAGGAGACGGCTGGCAGCATGGGCTCATCTGCCTTATCTACCGACATGATGAAGATGTGTGATGTGCGGAAGTTCGAAGTTCAATCTTCAACTCGCCGTTGCAGTAGGACCAGCGGCATCCGTTTCCGGCGGCTCCAGGGCCAGTCGAAAAATCGGAAATCCGGTTTGGGCGATGACCTGGTTCAAATCCGGGTGTCACATCGCAAAATATGGTTCATCCAGACAAGCTTCTGTCAAGATCGTGAAGGGTCTGGGCTGTTTCCAAGTATTTGCTGGATAAGCTTCCTGGCGGGGTATGCAAGATCGGCATTTGGGGGTTGACCGTTGGCTGACGGGCCAGCAGCACCGAAGTGTATATTCCGATCATATTGTGGGCCCGGTCGGGAAGGACCGAGCGGAGGAAACAGAAGATTTCACCTATTGGCTGGCCATGCTTTGCTTGCGTACATTGTACATGAGCAAGAAGCAAATCAGACTTTTGTCCGTGCCTGCACGAAGCTTCCGCTACATCACATCCCTCCCTTCGCCCCCCGGCGAGGGGCCCGTTTCACGTCCGAATAGAGCCAATGTGTGCCCTCTCGACCCGAACCCGCCGATTAACACGAAACAGGACGTTGCACGCACCAAACTCAACCCTCCTATGGAGTGTTCCATCGCCATCACCCTGGTCGCAGACGGGATCACGATTGGCTGGCGGTGCGGGGGCCGTGCGCGGACCAGCAGGGCTCCGCGAATGAGATTCGCCGTAGGGCACAGGGGATGATAGGATGGATGAATTTGCATGGAGAGATCATTTACCAGAAACGCGACTGGAGTGTCTAACAAGAGTACCAGTGGAGTATCAGGGATGCCCCAAAAAAAGAAACGTCCAGTTCGCTGATCGACAATAATCATAAAAGGTCTATCTTATATGGAAATCACCAGGAACCCGCCCGGGGATATTCATATTCAGTTCATGCAAATCATTCCTCCCAAGGTCCGCCCCTTTCTGTTCTGTTTTCCCAAATCCCACTGCTACGCAAACCCCCGCGGTCGCGATCACACCTCCACCTTCTCACAAGTAACCTGGTACGAGGCATACCGCCGGTGCAAGTTCGGCACCCGGCACGTCCCAGGACTCGTCATGGGCCCTGCAATATCCGAAAGCTCATTGCCATCACACATGGTGTTGTCGTAGAATTCAATGCGGCAGCCGTCGGCGACGGTGTTCAAGGTGTACGCCGAGGCGACGCTGTTGAGGTCCGCACGACATCCAGTGCTGCCGTGGCCGGCGTGTGGGTCGGCCGTGCCGTTGCAGGCTTGTGTTGGGTACAGGTCAAAGGACCATTGGATGTCGCGGGGCATGAGGGGGAACGAGGTGGCTGTTTGGGTCTGTAGGAGGAAGAAGGTGGCAGTCGCAAGGGCACGGAGCACAGGGAACGGCATCTTCGCGGTGTGGTGGTGAGGATAGGTAGCGAAAGGGACGTAGAGTGAGACGTGTATATAGTAAGAACAACGAGGGACGAGTCCTGGGAGAGGAGGTTAGCAACCATGTTCAAAAGCAAGTAAACAGGACGAACACAAGGTACATACCGACACCCTAAGACGCTTGAAGCGATCCGGCAGAACAGAGCAGATGTAGATGTAAATTGTAGATGTAAATCGTAGATGTCAATCCAGGGTCCGGCCCAGAAAAAAAGGGTCGAAGAAGCCCAGAATAAGAAGCCAAGTGGACTACCAGCCCCAGTTTAATAACTGGGCTTTTCTAGTGGCGGGGGACCCAGCGCGGGCCCCCCAGCGTCCGTGTTTCAGGCCAGGCGGACGATCGCCCATGCTCCGTTCCTGCAGGCGTACGTATACTTCGGTGGGACATGGAGTAATCGTAAGCTCAGAATGAGCGGAGTGTAGGCAGTACGGGAATCCGAGAGTCCTCAGGCCAGGCTGGCCGAGCAACCCAGCCCGCCAAAAGAATGGGTGGGCTTGACTCCACTCATTTGCTGCATTTGTTGCCCGGAGCCCCTGCCCACGGCCATTCCGATGATGTCACGCGGATCGTCGTGGAGTGGGGCTGGCGCCTCGCCGGCTTACGTATCGGGCGTACGTACCCTCCAGCCCGCTGGAGACGATCGCCGACAGGGTCTGGGATTGCCGGCTTGCGTGCCCGGAGGACTTGGTGGCGGGGGTTCTGTCTCGCTGGGATCTCGCTTTGGATGCGGTTTCTATATTTGTTCGCGCGGGTCCGGCCTGGCTAATCGCGGAGGTTCATTGACTGACGGCTTTAAACACGTTGGTTTCGATGGATCCCGACGAGGCGGTTGAAGAAATTTCCGTATAGTGGCGAGCGGCAGATATTTTGGGACCTTGCATGATTCCATCGGCTGCGAATGGGCAGTGTATCTGTTTTCACACTCCTGGGGGGAAGTGGTTTTTTCCAAGCTTACACGACACGTGTTGTTGTTCGCCTGTTCAGGGTTGACTCATATATAGTATCAGCTAAAGTAGACGTAGTAGTTCTCAAATCTGTTCCTCTATTGGATGAGGTATTTCAACCTGCCCTACGGATGGATGACCATCAAGCATTGACGGAGAGGAGCTTCGTCTGCGCGAGTCGGACAATGGGGTGAATCGTCTACCTCTGAAGCACGAGCCGGGACTAACATCGGAAGATCGAATTTCAAACAAGATCATTCATGGATAGCCATCTTGGGTGTTGATTCTGGAGGTCCTGGGGATCCTAGAAACAGCGTGACTGGATTAATGAGTTCTGGAAGGATGCTCCATCAACTTTAAGGGTTGAGACGGTTTCGCACAGACTGTGGCACAGTGAATGCTTGCAAGACCAATCAATCAAGAAGAGCTCTTGTTTCTATTTCTATCCGCTGCTTTAGTCGTGGCTCCAGAATGGAAGTCGTCCACGGCGTGGAGAGACATAGGATAAGAACATTGGAGGATGCTGCGAAAGAGATCGATGTGATAGCGAAAGGTCTATTACACATCACCGAAATGGATTCCGAACGAACTTTTAAATCACACCAATATGCTGAATTGGCATACACCTGGGCTCGGCGGGGACTGGAGGCAACTGTCCAGACTAGTGATTGGCATGCAACTCGGCCTGGTTTGGCAGCTGCCACGCTCCACATCGTGCCCCTCCACTGTGTAGATCACGACTCGAATAGAGCGCCAGCAATCCCACCCACAGTAAAATATTGGCAAACTAGATATAATATGCACAAAGTGGAGCACAAGGTAGTACTCCATTATCTGTGTTTACTAGACTATGGACGAGGCTGGTGCTCAGAAAGCAACAGGATCATTTATCATGCATATGATTACCCAGCCATCCTTGGATGTGCTGCTGCACGTAGGAAGGCAATTACACAGGTCCCAACAGCCCAATATCCTATGCCTCCAGCGATTTGGAGAGAGTCGGCCCAAACTTGCAAAGTTTGTTTCCCAATGTAGCGGCAACGGTGATTTCAATCCCCAAATTTAATCTTCACCCCAGGTGTGTCTCCAGACTTCTTGTTGGTTTTGCTTTGGCGTAGAATCACTGCCGTCTTGTAGATCCGGGAGTACTGCAGTCCACGAATGCTCATCCACATATTGAGGCTGTTCAACTGGGCGGGGGATAGAACACTCTTCTCGCACTAGTCCTGTGCTTCCCAGATGGTCTCTGCGATTTCCTCCAGTTGTTGTTGCGAGATTTCGACATCTTTCTCCCGTGGGCACCTTGATTGGCGATGGAACAGACTTTTGAGCGGGATCGTCAATGGATGATAGGTAACTAGGTAACCCTGACCTGATCCCTACGTTTGGTATCCAAGTGACCCAGGAGCAATGGATCTTGTTGTTTTGCCACTCCTATTTTTCAATCCGGATTTCTGGCCGAGACCTATTGATCCAGAGTGTGAGGCATATATCAGCATTGCTATCATGAGGGTTTAACCGAACCTAGATATCGGAATTCGATATCGACATCGTTTCCGAGAACGCAACCTCGAGCGTAATTGAGGGAGACGGGTTGACCACCCGCTATTCTTTTAGGTCCCTAGCTATAGTTAGGCCCTTTCCCTTTCGTCTTCTTTTTCAGTAAGTCCCCCCGGCCATCCCCGGAGAGAAGAGGATAACCCTATTAGTAGTATGGTCTCGCGAACCATCGTGTTTATAATTTTGGCCGCCTAAGCCTGTGGATATGAAGGGACTATGGCTAGGATAAGCTATTCGTTGGTGTCAAATACACAATAGTATTTTGCGATAGAAGTATATTCGTTTTCCGCAAATACTGTCGATAGTCTCTTTGCTTGCATAAATTAGGATAGGACGTATTCGCTTGTGTCTGTGGAGGCTTCGAAGCGATCGGGTTCGGAGTTGAGGAATATATCGAATAATTGCGACTTTCCGTGGTATATGTATCGTTTGCGACCTTGTTGACGAATATAGGTGCCCTGTCCTCGCCAGAGAGCGTCCAAGATGGATGGTCGACAGGAACTGTGAAGTTCCAAAGTTTTCGCGGAGGGACTTGCCATTGGATAATGCGGTGGCATACGTTCTGTACGTGATAGCGCGCAGAGAGAGCTCTTTTGACCCGCTATCTACGGCGTCACCATTCGGCTCGGTGACAGTCATTCTGGAAGTTGAATATATAGTAATTGTTCTTTCCGAGATAAACAGTCGGCGCGTATCCACCCCAAGAGACAGTCAGCGGGGGATAACCCTCGGTGTAGTAAAGTTGGCAATGGTAGTGATTTCGCTATTTCAGGGGTTTAATGTGAGTGGGAAACCCTCGCGTTCCAAAGACACTGTGCCTAATTCTAGGCTCTGAGCTGTAGATACAGCGGATGTATTCTGAAACACTCAGGCGTTGCTGAACAGTAACGGTCGAGAACTTACTTGAAGAGGCTTACTCCATGAGGGGACGGACACCGGGCTAGCGACAATGCAGATACAGAATTGCGGATCTGATCATAAAATTATCTTGCAAATGAACGGCATCCATGACTTACTCTTCCGTACTCTGGAATGCCTAAGACATCAACTAGTCGACGCTGCTCATCCATAGAGCGCGCATCCTTCCGCTTGCCGACACGCGCTTCATAACCCTTGCGATTCCCAAGGTGGCGAATGACGCCTCCCTTGGACCAAATACGATAAAAGAAGCATTTCTTGAACCACTTCTTTCAAGTACTTACGGATTGCCTACTGATCCTCAACCCCATTTCTCTTCAGACCCGCCTGCCCCACATGTAGGGCGTAAGGTGCGGAAAGGTGCAAGATGTGGGCCGGAGGGTGTGAGTCAGGTGGGAGTAATAGCTGCATGTATAAAACACACCAATTCCCATAGGGACGACAAAATCTGGTTCCAAAATAGGATCCTTGTTCTCGTCGCTTCTGAACCTCGCTATGTCTCCTCGCGACTGTCTTGCGCAATGCCCCGGATTGTCGGGGCTAAATGCCTTTGTGCGGCCTCTGTCGGTTGCCGACGTCAAATCCTGCGTTGTTGTTGAAAGTACGTTTCCGGAGCACGAGCGATGTTCGGAGGAGAAGGTAAAGAATGGTATTTCGTTTTTCAAACTTTTAACATCATGCTAAACGGATAACAGTTCCGATACCGGCTCACCATGTCCCCAGAGCTAAGCTTGGGTCTTTTCCTCAAGACTGAAAACGGGGATCGCCATATCGGCCACGTTATCGGGAACAAGCTATCCTCCAATTCTATCACAGAATCATCAATGCATATGCCTGCAAACTGGGAATCTCAGCCAGCCAATGAGCCTTGTGTACTCGATGGTCAGACTGTCGGACACGACCCAAAGGGTGAAAACCTCGCTATACACTCAGTTGTCACCATTCCCGAATTTCAAGGGAGGGGGATTGGAAAGGCTCTTGTGAAGGCGTATATTGCATTCGTCAGGCAGGAGGAAATACCAGCAAAGAACATCCTACTTATCGCCCATGACTACTTGATAAAATTCTATGAAAGTGCAGGATTTGAGAACCATGGGCCGAGCGCGTGTCAGTTTGCGGGTGGTGGCTGGTATGACTTGGTAAGACATTTCAATCTGCCTTTCTTGTGACACCCACTGATTGATTGCTTTGAAGAGATTAGAGTTGTAGTGCGGCCATGGAGACGATATAGAAGTGATTAGTCAAGCATTCTCATGAATCGATGCCGTCGCGTGTTAGACCTCTGTTAAAAGTTTCTGGCCAAGGTCTAGAAGACGCAAACATAATATCCCCATTTATATCTTCTACAGCCAGAATCAACCATTTCCGACTGGGCCCTCGGGATCACAGTGTAGCCGTCGAAATGAAGACAGCCACTCCGGATTGTCGGCAATAGTTTGATCCCAAGCATCCTCACAATCAAAAATAACCCTCCTCGCCTCTTGCTGAAACATCTCATCTGTAGGGATCACCCCACTCTGCATCTGCTGTCGCGCAAACTGCCCCAAATGGCGCGTGAAATTACCCAAGAAGTTGTCAAACTGCGACTTCATCGGATCAACTGGGACAGCCGTGGCGGGCTCCTGCCCGATACCTCCGTCTCCCTTGGCGGCGTCCACGCGAGAAGACATTTGTGCATAGTGATCCCGTACATCAGCGTTGGTTGACGAGAAGGGGATCATGCTCTTAGATTCGGCACCGATGAGATATGGCGGGAACGCATTCCTCAGCTGCGCTGTGATGGATGGCGGAAATCCGTGGTCGCCCTGCCAGTCCTTCATTGTGCATCCCGAGCGAAAATGCTCGCCGATGTGCTCGATGCGCTGATCCCAATCGTGCAGGTTCTCATCGCAGAATCCACATCGCGATGTAATGTTCTTGGTCTCCACCTTCCACTCGTCGAGGAGCGGTACAGTGTTGACCTGATGCACATGGCGAAGATGTTGCACAAGATGGTCTTTCCGGCGGAATGAGCGGGAAGCCTTAGAAAGATTCTGGCATTCCTCATAATTATGCTCTTCAGTCAGGTGCTCCCGAGATGGATCCAGAGCATTGCAGTATGCGCAGTGCTCTCGTCCGGTGGTCTGAGAGACAACGGATGGCCCGAGGGGTGCGCAATACCAAGTCTCCAGGCTCAGATGCAACGACTTCTCGTGTCGCACCCAGTCATACTTGCTTCTGAAGCGGTCGCAGCAGAAAGTGCAACAGAATATGCGCGGCTTAGTATCGTTCCACGGCTTAGCTTTGCTCTTTGCAATTCGCCCCTTTGATCGACGGCTTTGGCTGCTTTGCGGTGTGGATCGGCCGGCAGATGAGCAAGCTGAGTCCGCCGAAGAGGCACTGATTTCACCGCTCGTTATGGATGCCGATTGACGATAGTGTCGGAAGGGATTGGTCGGCCTGCTGCCGCTGCCTTGGCCTTGGCCTGGACTCTGACTTGTCGGCATCTCATCCATAGCATTCATAATCGCCGTGAGCGATGCCGGCTCGTCTTCCGGTGGAGATTCCTGCCATCTTTGCATTGGATTCATCTCTTTCGCAGAAGGAACATGAATAGGAGCGGAGCTTTCAGCTGATCGCGAGACAAGATACCGACTCCTGCGCCGAGGTAGGCCGTTTCTACTTTGAGGTAGGTGCGAGAAACTTCGGTAGAGACGAGCAGGAGGGACAGGGTCTTCGTAAGGTTCTGACGATAAAAAAGGATCAAGGGTATTGGGATCGCATCCCCAGCTCCATGGTAGACTGTCCATCCTACTATTAGATTGGATAGCTGGGATGTTTTGGGGTTGGCCATATCCAGGACTTGTTGCGCCAGAGTGCATGTTCATCATATCAGAGAATGCATCCAGGGACGAGAACGACGCAGGAAAACTGTCCGTTCCTAGCTCATGCTCCGTCGGACATGGGATTGTAGATGACATATCGGGGGCATCGAAGCTGGTTTCAAGAAAACACAGATTGTTTGCATCCAGCAATTGCGGGTTCAAAGTATTCCCTGCATGAAAAGCAGGAGCATCCAAGCTTAATTTATCGGAGGTAAAGATATCAGCACTTTGAGAATATTGGCCGCATATCCAGCTATCACTCCTTGCGAGGAGTTCATGTGGCTCAGCATAACTGGTCCTCTCGTCCTGGCCTTCTTGTGACATGACGAAAACAGTGCCTTACCAGCCGGTGATATATGCAGACGGCAAGTTCTAGATTAGCCCGGAGAGGGGCCAAGTGGGAATGACTCCAACAGCCGAGTGGGTCGGGGAATCTGAACTCCGATAACGTAATCCCCGATCATTTTTCAACGGGCCGCCCGCGTTGACAAGCTTGGCTTGGTGTATTTATGAATGATGCACACTGGTTAGGTGGGGTTCTGTAAATCAGAGGAGACTGGTTTCAGACTATACCGGAGATAGTCCAACTGCGTGCTCGACTAAGCTGCGGGGTCTTCTTCGCTTTGGGTGTGCGATCAAAGTGTACTAAAAGGAACATGAATATATATTGACGACCCCAATTGAGCATGGTATATTGGCTTCATCCGATTATATGTCTTGAATAACCGAAATGAGACGCATCCGATTCCGTTTGCGATTCGCGTTCTATACTGCCTCTAGTCAAAATGAAAGAAACCTTCCAGGCCTAAGGATCAACGTCTGGCTTAAACACACCAGAAATGTATGTTTACTGGGTCTAGTACTGTAGGTATGTGAGAACTTAAACCATCCAGTCAGATTATCTGTCTGCAACAACGGTGAAAAGGCATTGAAGATAGAAACTACCTTCGAAATAGTGTATTCATCTCTATATGGCATCAAAGGGAGTCAAGTCATCACCAGCAGGCCACAGGGCCAGCCCAATCTATAAATCAAGCGAAAGTCTTGACATCGCCGTCCTTCAGCTTGCCAGCATCAACCAGACGCTTGGACTCGGCAGCCCAAGCAGCCTTAACAGCACCGCTGTCCTTGCCAGCGATCGTCAGACGCTCAGCCAGAGCAGCAAGCTCATCGGTGTCGATCTTAGCCATGACGAGGTCAACATCGGTCAGGACAGAGTCGACCTGCGCGGCGGAGGCCTCGCCGTCAGCGAAGTAGTTGACATCCTTCACGGAGCCCTTCAGAACACGCTTGTTCTTCTTGGCGGCATTCTTGGCAGCCTCCTTGGACTTCTTATTCTTCTCGCGCTCGGCCTTGGCAGTCTCCTCAGCCTCCTTCTTGCGCTGTTCCTCCTCAACCTTAGCACGCTCCTTCTCCTCAGCCAGACGCTTAGCCTCGTCCTCCTTCGCCTTGCGCTTAGCGTCCTTTCCGGCACGGGCCTGCTGGCGGAACTTCTTGATGCGCTCGTCGAGAGCGAGACACTCATCGACCAATTCACGCAGACGGGCGATGTCCTCGGACTTGCGCTTGCGGCGGGCGTTGGCGTTTTTCTTCTCAGTGTGGCGCTTCTGGTCACGGCCCTCGCCGTCATCGGGAATATCCTCGTCCAAGTACTCGAACGTGCGCCAGCTGTCGAAGTTGTACCAGAAGTTGTAGAAGGTCTCGACCTCCTCCTGCGTGGAGTCCTCGTTGCCGAGCTGCGGCACGGGCTGCTTGATGGAGAAGCGGCCCTCGGCCTTGAAGACAGGACCCCACAACTTGTAGAAGTTGCCCTTCTGGAGGTCTTTCTTGCTGGGCGGCTCGACGTCGGCGGCCTCGTCGACGGAGTCGAATTGGCGGCGGCGGACAGGGTCTAGGAGCAGCTCGGTGGCCTTCTGGATGCACTTGAAGAAGTTGTCGTTCTCGTCACGCTGGCCCATGGCGGCCTTCTTGTCGGGGTGGTGGCGGAGGACCTTCTTACGGTGGGCACGCTTGATCTGCTCGGGGGTAGCGCGCCAGCGGTACTTGGTCAGGCCGAGAACGGCGTAGTGGTCCTGGGCCTGCTAGGAATTAGCAAAAGTACAAGGCAGGGGATGTAAGCTCGAAATAAACCGACCTTCCAGTCCTTCGCGTCACGGGTGAGCATCACGGGGTCCTCATCCTCGGAGATATCATCATCCTCCTCCTCCTCGGTCTTCTTGACGTTCTGCTGAGCCTGAATGCGCTCATCCTCGGAGAAAGTACGGGCGTGGCGCTTCTATAGAATTGTTAGAGCCGATCTTCATCACTGCCCGCATCAGCAGGCAAGAGTTTCACTAAAAACACATACTCGGCGAGCGTGGGCGAGGAAGTGCGGGCCCACGGGCTCAATGTTGCGCTGGGTAGCAGCCGAGAGGGCACCGATGGGCTTGAAATCCTTGTCGGCACTCCAGCCCGAAGGCAGAGAGGGGAGGGGGACGTTGACAACCTGCACAGAAGCCATTGTAAGAGGGGGTGATGAGGAGGTCTCGAACGTTTGTGGGAGGAGTAGTTGGTTTTTTTTGCCTGCCTTTTTTTCTGCCGCGATTGGCCGCCCGCCAATCAGAACTTGGATAACCCGGTTATGCGTGATGGGACTTCATGATTTAACAGTCTCAGATACCTTTTCCTTCTCTCCGGAACTGATTCTTTGCGATTCTTTCGGCTTTTCATAATGGCTGCACCCAATTTTACTGCACTGAGTGCTTACCGGCAGATTCTGCGCGCTACCCGGGTCGCATTTAGAGGTTTGTTCTGCACCACCCTCCGCAACAGCCGTTTCTGTGACTGTCAAAGGTACTAATGCGGTAAACCTAGATGACACACGAGTGATGCTCGCTGCGCGTCAGGAGGCGCGTCGGAATTTCGACCAGAACCGCCGTGTTGGCATCGACAGTGGTATGCAGATCAACCACGCCATCGAGGTGGCCAACATCTTGCGACACAATCTGGTGCAGGGCGCCCGGGAAGTTGGCGACGAGTCTGCCAAGTGGGGTAAGTGACAGGCTGTGTCTTCCTGGTCATGGAAGTTTTCGTACTGGCAGTGGCCGCGACGAGGACAAACTTGCTATCCCGCAGACCCGAGACTGACGCACCCTCGTTCATCTAGAACTCCGGATCCACGAGGAGATCGAGCGCGGTGACAACGACTCCATTAAAGTCGGTGACAAGAATGTCAAGATTCACAAAGCCTGCTCCTCCTAATCCGATCCGTCCAACCAATCTACCACTTTGCATACCGCGCCTCTACGATTCCGAGCGGTCGAAGTACTACACCAGGCATCCGGAACCGTAAAATAGAAGGCAGGACCTGTGGAGGTGGAACTGGAAACATGTATTATAATATACCCGACTCTTTTGTATTGCTTTTGGCGTCTCCGGGGTATTTTCGACTGTGATAGATCTGCATACACTTACATACAAACAAGAACCAGGAACCAATCCGTGTCAACGCCCGCTTTGTAAATCCGCGTCATGCAAGTCACTTCCATCCTCATGATCACCTGCACTCAAACAAAAGAAGAAAAGAAACGCAAAGAACCGTTTTGAGGCTGCGGTTTGATCAGTCGCCAGACATACTGGCGTACTGGACGGGGCCCGAGCCTGGAGGCGGGGCCACAGTGTAGGTCTGCTCCTTCTCCTGCTGACCCGCGCTCTCGCCGGCCGCTGTGATCGCCTTCTTGCCCGAGCCACCCTTTGCAGCTGGACCAAGTGCTGACCGTCCATCTCGAGCATTCTTGATTCGCTCCTCCCGGTCCATATTGTCCAGCGGCTTGGGCTTGCCCCAGCGCACGCGCAGTGGGCAGCCTTGGATGATAGCCTTGCCTTGACATTTCTCTGCAGCAGTCTCGGCGTCGGAGCGGTTGACGTAGTTGATAAACGCACAGTGTGAGCGGTGGGAGCAGACCAGCGAGCGAAGCTGACCGAACTCCGTGAAGAACGCGCGGAGCGCATGTTCGGGGAGGTCGTCCTCGACACCGGTGATAAAGAGTGAGGTTACGTTAGGGTCGGGCGGGGGCCTGACGTCTTCCGCTGATGGGGGCAACTGGGCGGTGCTAGGGAAAGGGCGGCCACCACGGCCTGCACCTCGACCCCCGCGCGCACCTCCACGGCCGGGCAGCCTATTTCCGAGACGGCTCTCGCTTGTGCGGACGGGGCCTGGACCATTTCCATATCGACTTTGTGTTCGGGGCTGTTCCGACGGGCCAGCCTCTTCTCCTTCCTCGCCATCTGCCGCTGGGGGTCCCTCGATGCGCCGTGGCTTGCGGTAGTAGGGTTCGCTGTTGGCGAGGCGGCGTAGCAGCTCGCGCGCCTTATCGTCTGTCTTCTCGTATTCCTCGATAGCACCAACCCCATCCTCGATATCCTTCTCGTGGTTTTGCGCGTAGTATTCGCGGTTAATAGAACTGTCGGGGCCCGGGGCGACCATCTTCAGCGCCGCATCGCGGACCTGCAGCGGCAAGCCGAATGACAAATCGAGCATGCAGCATTGGCAGCAGTTCTTCAGGCGCGCGCAGGTAAGGCAGATGTTAGTGCGCTTCTGGCGCGAGGTCCGGTCGGCCTTCCAGCGAAAGATAGTGAAGGGCCGCGTGCACTAATTGTCTGGTGTTAGCTCGAGTGTAGGAGTGGGAGCTCTGGGACGCGGAAAAACTTACAATCTTGCACTCGGCGCCGTGGTCTTCTTTCAGCATTTGCACGTACGGGTTTTCGGGAAGGCAGTTCTCGCACACGGACGGGAAGTCGGTGGACTCCCAGCCGGAGCGGTTGAGATCATGCTTGATCTGGGGGGGCATGGTGGGTGGTGGATAGCTGGGATGACTCTCAGTCAAGAAGAAGCGGACAAAGACGATTATGATTATCGATAGTGGCGGTGTGTGGCTGGTGAGCCACGTGACTTGGAAGAGGTGACAGACGTTAAGCAGTCCCGGCAATTCCACTGAGTGACCTGATGAGCGCTCGGGATCTTTTCGGTGACTCCCGGCAAGTCTGTCTGCGTGAGCTGCAGCCTTGTGTCGACCTTCATGCTCCGTCGTCGCGCCCCCCGCAAGATCAGGTCACCCACAGATATCGCCGGGGCCCTTTCCATCCGGCGCAGCCACCTCCCGGAAGTTCTAGTCCCGCGGGTCAACCGCCGCTGATTGGCCCTCCGCAAGGCTGCCGCCAACCTGCTTGGGCCTAGCTGCTAAGCACGCGCTCAGGGGTTTGTGATTGGCCTGGCCTTTTTCAGTCCGCCAAAAAGTTGTCCTTTGAGCGCACCCTATTTATCCTTCTTGACCACCTTTCCACTCCCTCGCTCTCTGTTTCAAATCACTCTTCTTCGCTTCTCCGCAGCTTCTGGGCTTCCCCAATTGCTATTTTTGTTACTTCTTTACGGACCATTGTCCCTTTCCTCCCTTCAATCCCTCAATTCCTCCGGCTCCACCCCCCCTTTTTAATACCAATCCACCTCTCTTCCTTTCTTGACCATGGCCCCTACTGCTCTGGAACACGAGGACGTTGCGCGCGATGCCGCATTCAACCAGGCTATGCACGGCAAGTCGGCCAAGGTCCGCGGCGGTCTGACTGCCATGCACGGTAAGGACTCTGCTGCCCAGAAGGCCGCCGTCGACGAGTACTTCAAGCACTGGGACAACAAGGGTCACGTCGAGGAGACCGCCGAGACTCGTGAGGTATGGACAAGAAGAGAAATTTCGCAAATGCAAATGTGCTTTTACTGATCTGCAATGTGGAACAGGCCCGTCGCAAGGAATACGCCACCCTGACTCGGCAGTATGTCTATGTCCCCCTCTCCATGTCTCCAATTGCGGTTTGCGCAACACAAAATACCCCTGTGTACTAACGTCGCAAACAGTTACTACAACCTGGCCACCGACTTCTACGAGTACGGCTGGGGTACCTCCTTCCATTTCTGCCGTTTCGCCTACGGGGAGCCCTTCAACCAGGCCATCGCCCGCCACGAGCATTACCTCGCCATGCAGACCGGTATCACCGAGGGCATGAAGGTTCTGGATGTGGGCTGCGGCGTCGGTGGCCCTGCCCGTGAGATGGTTAAGTTCACTGGTGCCCACGTCACCGGTCTTAACAACAACGACTACCAGATCGACCGCGCTACTCACTACGCCGTCAAGCAGGGCCTGACGGACAAGATGGCCTTCGTCAAGGGTGATTTCATGCAAATGAAGTTCGCGGACAACACCTTTGACGCCGTCTACGCAATCGAGGCCACCGTTCACGCTCCCGAGCTGGTTGGCGTCTACAGCGAGATCTTCCGCGTGCTCAAGCCCGGTGGCACCTTTGGTGTCTACGAGTGGCTCATGACCGATGAGTACAACAACGACGACCCGGAGCACCGTCGCATTCGCCTGGGCATCGAGCAGGGTGACGGTATCTCCAACATGGTCCGCATCTCTGAGGGCGTGCAGGCTATGCGCGACGCTGGCTTCGAGCTCCTGCACAACGAGGATCTCGCGGCTCGCCCCGACGCTACTCCCTGGTACTACCCTCTGGCTGGTTCTTTCAAGCACATGGGCTCCATGTGGGACTTGTTTACCATCGCCCGCATGACTTGGTGGGGCCGTGGTATTGCCCACCGCTTCGTCGGTGCCGGCGAGACCATCGGCCTGTTCCCTAAGGGCTCGCAAAAGACCGCCGACAGCCTGGCTTTGGCTGCAGACTGCCTGGTGGAGGGTGCGCAGAAGAATCTCTTCACGCCCATGTACCTGATGGTCGGCAAGAAGCCCGAGTAAAGGGGTTCAAATGTTGCATCATGTCGTTCTTCGTGATTCCAATTCCGATTTCTCTTGGCCGGTGATATACACACAGCGCTGCCCTGCCTTTTATTTTTCCTCCTCCGCACCCGCACACATACACTATTTTCTTCCTCTCGTCTGGCGGCTTCGTTGATCCCGTTCCTATTCATCTCCTCATTACCCCTACGATGTTACCATGTACTTAGCTTCTGCTGTCATTATTTCGAATACCTGCGGTGCGGCTGAGACGTGAGATCTTTCTGGCTCTGATCTTACCCTGCTCTCGGCGGAGATCGAGTCCTCGTGTCACTTTCTTCTTGGAGGGTGGTGATGTTTATGTTTTGTATTTTTTTTCCCCATTGTTTCTCTTGGACTGTCATAGATATGTAATAGTTATTGAGGCAAGAATGATGAGCAAAGGACCGACATTGTTCTATATCTGCATATTGACCTTCGTGTACTTTTAGCCCCAGCCCAAGCCGGAATGGTGCCAGTTGTTCCATGATGGTTTGAATCAGGCTTGCCCGTTTACACGTCTGTAGGCTTCACCTTGCTTGCTTTTTCAGCACCTTTAGCCCTACCGTAAGTCGGATCATGCTTGCAAACGCCGGTAAACCCCAACCTCTTTCTGCATAAGTCCCTTCTTTTCTACCTATCTCCTGGATACATCATCAGCGCCCACCCACAACACGTTATTCAAGAACCCACTGAAACAACATACAACTCAACCTCCATACTCAAGAGTCTTTCTCATCATGTCAACCTCACGAAATACATACCACCAACCCTCAGCCGCCGAGCTCTTGCGCCTTATGTACCCCGACGCCCACCCAAATCCCATGCAAGATCTGGAGGAACGACTTACTGAAGTCGACAGCTCCTTGCTCTCGCTAATTGTATTCGAAACCGCAGGAGAGGATGAATATGACGCGGCCCAGCAAGCGGATAACGCGCTCAAGGCATTCTTCGAATACGTGCAGGCAGGCCGTGCTTTCAACAATGCTCTTAAGTCCGCCCCACTGGGACAAAGGATTGCTTAAGGTCCTTACACGTAGCTTCCACAAGAGCTTTGTGAAAGAACTCCATCCGCCTGGACGTTCCCCTTTGACGAATACGACCTTGTTGCAGAAGGGTCTGTTCAGCCTGGTGGGCCTGGTGACCTGCAAGCAGCCCGAGTGGAGGACCTCAAAACTGAGAAGTAATCTAGCAAATGGGCCGCCCCTGTCTTCCGGGCCAAAATCAAACAAGATCTAGTGCTATGCAAAATCTCATGTGCTTTGGAAAATGTTCATCTTACTGACATAATCCTAGGTTATTATGGGGCTTTACCACTGATGTGGGATTTCCTTCGGCAGACTCCATCGTGGTAGGTGTTCAGGTAGCTTTTTATACACTTCAAAGGAGCCCGCCCCACTGTAGATGAACTATGTATAATTCCGAAACCCATCACTATGGCATCCTGACTAGCATACGGTCCGCTTCACGTGACCGGCGTGCCGAAGTGCCGAACAATTTGAGTCAGCCAGCCGGAACCGGCATTGACAGTGTTCTCGCCCACGTTTGCCCACGTTTTGACCCGCTATACCTCCGCTTCTTTCCCTGAAAAGCGGTGGCCATGCCGGTTCAGGCCGCTGCAGACCAGAATTTTTATCTCTTGGCGGGGCCTATGGGCCCCGTCCGGTGCCAAACCCCTGTCAAGCTTTGCTATTGAGCCTATCGCAGTGTCGGTGAATGGAATCGATGGGGGCAACGGAGGAGAGGACCCGTCTGAGACGCGGTTTTAAGGCTCGATTATCACCTAGTGCACTCCAGTCGGAGGTTTTATGCTGTCCGCCCGCGGAAGCTTGGAATCCGTTGTGAAGTTCATATAAATAGCATTCCTGCGGCTTGCTCACTGACTTTAGTGTGTCGCGTGAGGTGGGAAAAATTTGTATCTATTGCTTGGGCAGGATTTTCTTCCTTGCTAAATATATTTCCACTTTTCATCTCCTTGGCCCAACTGCATAGACTACATGCACTACAGCAATGTCGGAAAAAGACGAACACGACCACGCATCGACACACTCTGCTTCTACTTCGGATGCCAGCTCCAACATTGAGAACCCCGCATCGCGGACACAGGCCCCTCCCGGAGGTCTTGCGGAGTCTATCAAGTCAAGACTGAGGTCAAAATCAAACCCGGATGCACCAGATCTTGACCGCGTCCACTCTGCGAGGTACCCAGACGACAACACTGTGTATCACAGTCACAGTGACGACGACGAGACAGATAATTCATCCGTGGCTGCCGATGATGCCGATACTATTTGGGAGGTAAGAGGCGGGATCGCGAACGAGCGGGATGTGGACCTGGAAAGAGGCCAGCATCCAGCGTCGGAGCTAGAGAAGTCCACGACGGCACGATCCACGAAATCTCGTCGTGCTGGCAAGCTAGTGAGAGTCCCTTGAAGCTCCCATCCATATTGCCAATCTAACAGAGTCTCTAGGTAACATGGGATGGCCCTGATGATCCAGAAAACCCTAAGAATTGGCCCAACAAGAAGAAATGGGCTGCCACCATTACTGTCTCCATGTTCACTTTCATTTCGCCCGTATCTTCTTCCATGGTAGCACCGGCCTTGACCACTATCGCCGCGCAATTCAACGTCACAGACCAAATCGTCTCCCAGCTCATGCTTTCTATTTTCGTTCTTGCCTACGCCGTTGGCCCGCTCTTTCTCGGACCCCTTTCAGAGATCTATGGCCGTACCATCGTTCTCCAGCTATCCAACCTATTTTTCCTGATCTTCAATATCGGCTGTGGCGTGTCCCAGACTAAGACGCAGTTGATCATTTGTCGATTCTTTGCAGGACTCGGCGGGAGTGCTCCACTCGCAGTTGGCGGCGGTGTTCTATCTGACTGCTTCAAACCAGAAGAGCGAGGCAAGAGCATCGCCATTTACAGCCTTGCCCCGCTTTTAGGACCTGCCCTCGGCCCTATCGCGGGCGGCTTCATTGCTGAGAACACTACTTGGCGCTGGGTCTTCTACTCGGTGTCGATTGCAGACGGGCTCATCCAGCTCATGGGCCTCTTCTTCCTGCGCGAAACCTACGGCCCTCGCATCCTACGTACTCGAGCCAAGCGTATCCGCAAGGAGACCGGCGACAACTCCTACCTAACCGAGGCAGAAATGCAGAAGAAGACGCTCGCTCAAGTCCTCCGCGGGTCTCTTATCCGACCTTTCCGTCTACTGCTCACCCAATCCATCGTCCAAGTGCTAGCTTTCTACATGGCCTACGTCTACGGCATCATGTACCTCGTCCTCTCCACCTTCCCAGCTCTCTGGACAAGCGAAAAATACTACAACGAGTCCATCGGTATCGGCGGCCTCAACTACATTTCCCTTGGTGCCGGTTTCTGGTGCGGGTCGCAGATCTGCGCCCCGCTCAACGACCGCATCTACAAGCGCCTCAAAGCCCGCAACAACGGCGTTGGCCGCCCAGAGTTCCGCGTGCCCCTCCTCGGCGTCGCTGCCATCTGCCTGCCCACTGGCCTCTTCATCTACGGCTGGACCGCTCAGACACACTGCCACTGGATCGCGCCCAATATCGGTGCCGCGATCTTCGGCGCAGGCACTATCATTTCCTTCCAGTGCATGCAGACCTACATTGTCGACGCGTATACACGCTTTGCAGCTAGTGCGCTTGCGGCAGGCGCATTCCTGCGTTCCCTGGCGGGCTTTGGTTTCCCGCTTTTCGCGCCGTATATGTACGACAAGTTACATTATGGTTGGGGGAATAGCGTGCTGGCGTTTGTTTCGATTGCTATTGGGATTCCGGCGCCCATCTTTCTATGGAAGTTTGGCGAGTTGCTCCGGAAGAAGAGTACATATGCTGCCGGTTAAATAAGTTACACCGAGCGATATTATTGCCTGCATTTGCATCTCTGGTTTTGTTCATTTTGCATTTCCCACATATCGAATACGTGCTGCCTACACGAGTAATGTCTATGGTCATACAATATATCCAGAATATTAAGAGTGAATTTCCGTCGCCCCATCTCTACAATTTTCAAAGTAAATGCCTACAAAATGCACGTGAAATACTGATGGATATCCTCCATATGCGTTATCAGTATATACAGTCTATCACAATTGACAATGGATGAACATCAGGTACGGTGTCTGAAGTTCTGGTGGCTTTTCACGCTGAATGCGAAGATCGCATTTAGTTGGTGATGCCGCGCTCCTTCTTGCCGTTCTTCTACAGAACATATTAGTCGATCTTCCCTTCGTTAGAATAGGACAGTGGGAAAGGGAACTCACTCGAGTACGGGTGTACTCAACACCAGTGTTGATGCCAGCAGCGGCGCTGTAAGGAATGGGGCTGAGGTAGTTGTAGGTAGGCTTGAGGCCGTGGTAGGTCTTCTTGACGATGTCCAGGATACCGTGGCCAGCAGAGCAGCGCTCGTGGACAGTAGGAATAGGCCACTCGGAAGAGAACTTGGAGTAGATACCATCAGACAGCGGGCCGGGGAGGTCTGGTTCAGGTAGTCGTTCTCGGCGATGGTCTTGAGATCGACCTCCCAGTTGACGTAGCCAGTCTTCTCAGCAACCAGGTTGAGCAGGTTGGCACCGCAGTCCCAGCGGCCAAGGGAGGGAAGACCCCAGTTAGCGCTCAGCGAGGCAATAACCGAATAGTGGGTGTAGAAGGTGTCATCCTGGGTGCCCTTGAGGTGCTCAGGGACAGCACCGCCAAGGAGGAAGGAGTAAACGCGGTTCTCCTGCTTGTAGGTGGCGGTCTCGTCGAAGGTGACCAACACAAGGGTGTCCTTGGTGAAGTACTCATTCTGCAGAAGAGGGGGAAGGAAGCGAGCGAGGAAGTCGCCGGCCACGGTGATGTTAGTGTCGTGAGCGTCGTTAGTCATGTTCGGGGTGATGAACATGTGCTGGGGCAGGCGGTGGTGCTCCAGGTCCTCGTAGAAAGAGGTGAAGTTCTTAATCTGACGAGGGCGGACCGCGTCGTTGGTGACAGAGTCGAACAGGATCAGAGGGTTGTGCTTGCGAACGTAATCGTTCGGCCCGGACTCCGGGTAGCGGAAGCCCTGGTAACCTAAATGACACGAGAGTCAGTTAGCAGACGAACAAGCGCACGGTGAACCGAAAGAGCTTATTTTGCTTACCGGCATAGGGCATGGCCTCCTGGTACTCGCCCCAGGCAACACCCTTGGTGTCGAACAGATCAGCGATGGTGGACACGTTGGCGGGGATCTGGTGCCAGTCGTCGTTGTCCATGCCAAAGTCGTCACCGGCAGCGGAAGCGCAGTAGTTGGGCTCCGAAGGGTGAGAGACGCCGAAGTAGTTGGTCAGCATGATACCCTCCTTCGCCAGCGCCTCAAAGTTCTTGTCCGCAGCAGTGGTGTCGAAATCCTATACGTCCATGTTAGCGCCAGTCTGCAACCGACTCCCAACAGATCAAACTTACAGTGTTCTCGATCCAGATATTGACAAATCGGTCGAAAGCAAGACCCCGGACATTGGAGACCGGCGAGTAAGGCAGCACAGACTCGCGCGAGGCCTCAATCTCCGCAGCGGTAGGGTACTGCACGGTCGAGGTCTCTGCTGCGGCCAAGGCCAAGCAGCTGACGAAAGCGAACAGGCTCTTCTTGGTGAACATGATGGTTGTTTGATTTGATTTTCTGTTCTACCGACCGCTTCGAGGGAAATTCACACGATGCAACAGGAAACAGACCAGCCGATCAGTCGGGCAACACACACGATCTTATACCCAGAGCACCGAGCGGAGCATCGGCAGTTGCCAGTGGGGAAACGCGCATTGACATGCCATGGCTTTCCATTGCCCCTCTTCGCTTAGAGAGCACGACGGACGCCGGAGCGGCGCAGACACCGCACAAGACGAGGTTGTATTGTGGCAGGGATGCACGTTGCATCTCACGCTGGGTTGACTGGCCGCTTTTTAAGCCGGCGTACCCGCACTGGGAATGACTGGCGGGGAGCTTGGGTGTGCTGTCGCCGTTTATTGGCGGACACTGCCCAGGCCGCCGATGTGGGGCGTCGCCGTACCTTGCACGTTGCGCCCCAAAGCTTCGTGACTGGCTGTGGATCATAGATTACGGAGCACAAAGGGTTCGAGGGCTTCTGAGGAATTTCCATGCAGAGATTAAAAAGCTTCCGAGCGGAACAAGCTTTGGCCAAAACCGGTCTCGCATTGCCTTCGGTATAGTCGGTCCGGGGAATCTAGATCCCCGGCGTAAGACTGACCGAGCGCAAAACTGACCGCGTAAGTCTTTGGAAGAACTTGTGATTACCGTAAACACTATGCGCTGAAAAGACCATACTCTGGCCCAACGTGCCGGTTCACTTTAGAGGACTACTCGTGTAGTCAGAGGAAATTACCATCGCCAATCTTCTACTATCGGACTGTTGCCGGACCGAACGGCAGCTATGTGCACGGACTGCCGCCACTAGCGCGAAGCAATGCATTCATTTCCTTTAGACCTGGGCTTGCGTAGAATGTAGAGACAGGCCGGAAACAGCACCTCCAAGTTTTCTTTAGATAGGCCCACGTGGGAGGCACGCAGGAATGAAAGGACCCCACACACTTCTGTAATTATCAAGGTGCCACCAATGCCGCTGGCAAGAAGGTCGAGGAATTCTATGTTCTCGGGAATTCTCCGTCCCGTACACGAGCTACAGGAAGCAGAGAGCAGATCGGCGAATCTCGTCAAGCCGGTGACATTTCAATTGGGGTGAGATGGTACTTCAGCCCACAGACCCATTTAACCTAGGACGGTGTCCCCGAAGCAGGCGTTTAGCCGGAACAGGAATAAAAGGCCTACTAGTGGTGTAAAAAAAACCTAGAGGAATGTCGCCAAATTTCCGAAGAATTTCCCAGCTAAACTGGTAACCAGAGGGGATATCCCCGCGCGCTCTGACCGAAGAATATTTTGGATCCTATCAGTGACACTGGGGACGGGTTCCGTGTATTTGCGTGGACTGACCCCATTTTTGACTCCCGGTTAATGGACGCGCTACGAGCGTGGATGGTCAGGGCTGCCCGTCTTTTCGCTGGTCGCGACAATTCACTCTTCTGAGGGCCTACTTTTACGCCATTATTTTGGATCTTGGATCGTTGGTGTCCTGCGCAACATACTTCAAGAATATAGAGATATCATAGCAAGGCCCTTCCTCTAGCGCGTTTTGCGAGGCCGGCTGAAGTTAGCTCGCGGAGAGCCATATAACTACCTAGTGAATCTATGACATAGAGAGTCAACCTCACTATGCCTCCGAATATATTACTTTTACCATGTCGGGTTGCTTTGGTGGTCTTTCTGGGACAGATACTATCATTAGGAAACCTCCCACCCGGGAGTTCCTGTCTTTACATCTCACGTGTCTTTGAGAGAGGTTGATCACCATGGGTCTGTCTGGAACCGGTGAAAGTATCGAATAAAGAAGGGTTTGAAATGTGTCTCGAATGCATAGTTTTCCATATCACAGTCAATGAGAAGCTGCGGCGCTTTCCGCTATATTTTCGGCCCTTGCTTGTCGTATGTCATTTCTCTTTCCGGGCCCAAAGTCAAATAACCTGCTGGGCACGGGCCCTTGATCTCTTATGAACGTCATTATTCTTGAGAGTTCTCTTCGACTCTAGCACCCAAACCATGCTGTGGCTGCTGTAGGGTCTTGTGAATAGCATGGAAAATATATTTCGGAGCTGTTTATTGAACCTTGTTGAGACTGTTTTTGCCCTCTAATCCGTAACAAAAGTCTGTCCTTCGATGATCAAAAATACTCAAATAACGTGATAATTCAATCGAATTTCCTCCGCCGCAAGTCATAGTGGCCAATCATTTACATTAAAAGCCAGGTTATACGTCACCTGACGTTTAGGGTTGGGATCCCTATTTTATATTTTCCTACCAACGCATTTTGCTGAAGAGTGCGTCAACCGTTTGCCACGTAGCAGCCAATCTTTCCATACACATCCTTTTTTTTGTGGAGTAAACAATGGTAGTAGGCAGCATCACAGGTACGCTCGAACAAGTAACTATGTAGTGACCCTATGATTTCATAGTACAAGAAATGTCGACAAGACAGAGACTATGATCGAGGCTCCATTTTTCACTCCTAGCAAATTCAGTCACGTAGTATCTTGAGTTGCTTTCACTTACTCATAGCCTCTTTTTCACTTATTGTGCTCATAGTGGCTGGCCGTCATGCCAATATTAGCAGTCAGTATATCGGACAGACGGGCCGATCTCCAGGGATCTGCGTTGTGGCGTCGGCTAATCCTCGGCACCCAACACGAACTCGTGAGTTTTGACGGTCAGCTGTTCATTTTCTTTGAAATCAAGTCTGGCTTATCGAATAGGATTCTTAATCATAACTAACCTTGATCAACCTCGTCCGTGTCCAAAAAGCACGGATGTTTGGGGCGAGGGCCGCGACGATGGAGGTCGAATCTTATAAGCCGCACACTCGCCGCGCACTGCCTTATAACATACGAAGCAGGAAGAAAACTGCTCTTGGAAATTGGAAAACACACCTCTGACATCATGGCTACCTCCAATCTGAAATGGCAGCAGAATTCAACCTGCCGGTGGGAGCGAGACGTTGACGAGGCTGAGGCATTTTACACAACCATGGCCAGAAAATTTGAAGGATTGTTCGACCATTTCAACCTACTTCATGGCTATCTACTGACTATTGGACAGGAACTGGCCGGAAGTTCTTCGCTATGACTTGTCATATTTCTCTCACTGTCCCACCAAGTGATGTGTCTCCTGCAGCGGTGAAGTCGCAAATCCTCCACGCGCTCCAGGGGGCATGGATCTGTCTCCGATATGACCATCCGACTATTGCATCATGGGTTGAATACGACCACCATGCCAAAAGATGCAAGAAGATCTATGAGGGATTTCTCAAGGATGAAGTCCACCGCGCCCCACCGGCGTGGCTCAAGGAGACCTTCCAAATCGTTTCTAGCGGCCAGTCGGGACAGGAGTGGTGCAACTCGGACCCTCCGGCACCCAAGTTGCCAACACTCTTCATCGTTACACGCAACAGTATACCGGGTGCGGGCTTCACGGCGGACATTGTGCTTAGGTCACCACACGATGTGATTGACGGTATTGGGTCGCTCCACCTTCTTCAAAATCTACTCAAATACGCCGCGCGGGCATATGAAGACCCGAGGGCGTTCGCCTTGCCCATATTTGGAGACGAGTGGAAGAATCTCAGCCCACCACTTCGAGTTGCCGCCAATATTCCAGCAAACTTAACACCAGAGCAAGATGCGAAGCTCAATGAAATTTTGCAACACAATGCCAAACTTCGCAAGGAAATCGACATTGCTGCAGTCCCATTCCGGTGTGGTCGTACAATCCCCGCTCGGCACCAGCGGGTTGCGCTTAGGCTGACCCAGCAAGAAACGTCGAAGGTAATGGCAGCATGCAAACAGCTCGGATCGAGTGTCACCCATGTTTACCATGCCGTTGTGGCTTTGCTAGTTTTGGGATCTCTAGAGCGCCGGGTCACAAGACGATTAGTTCGGTATATCAACTATTGCCTCATCAATGAGCGTGCGCATTGTCAGAAGCAGTATAGTACACCCCAGCATGCTGTCGCAGTCTATCACTCCGTTTCTGGGAGGAGTTTGGCAATCGACTGGACTGTTCCCGCGATATCAGACGAAGCGAAGAGTGAACATGAAAGGCGACATGATCTTCTGCGTATAATCAAGCAGGTCAAAGACCATTACTTGACTATCCGCAATGATCAAGCACATATCGGCCTCGTCCCATCGTATTGGGGCCTCTCCACCCCTGCTTACCCTGTCGGGCGCGAGGTTCCACCAGTTCCTCGACCCAACGAAACACCATCCGCCTCGATATCTAGCTTGGGCGTTATTGACAACATTATCTCGCCTAAACATGGCTTTTTCGAGGTAGACGATCCCTGGGTGACAGGAGAAGAGTTGGGCACAGGACTGGGGTTATTTTTGGTGACGTTCCGCGGTCGCATGTGCCTGAGTGCTGCTTACAATGACGCGTGGCACGATAGGGCCGAAGTGATGGATTTTCTGAAACGTTGCAATGAGCTAGTCTTCACCACGTTGGATGTATCGCCGCGTGTCGCATCGAGTGACTGACACGACTGGGTTCAAGCCAAATTGTAACTCGTCCCAGGAATTAGATAACGACTATCAATGGAAGGGCGCGCCCATCAGCCCAATCGTCACTGGTGCAAATAGACTTTCCCTACCCCACACCCGAGCCGGGCCAGTCTCTTATCAGCTATCCCCTTCTCGTTCCTTCCGATTCCCCCGATAGCGCTTTTCCCTCACGCGTACACGATGCCTCCAGATCGACCGCCGCGGGTTCAGCGCATAGTTCGCGTCCGCACCGGATGCTGGTCCTGTAGGCGTCGGAAAAAGAAGTGCGACGAGATCCGACCGATATGTTCGGGCTGCAGGCGGAATGACCTCCGGTGCGAGTGGCCGTCTACCGTACCGGCGAGGAGGGATTCTGGCCCAGATAGCGACATGTTCGGGCTCATCCCAGAGGACCGCCAGTCCAAACTCGGGGTCAGTGAAGATCTAGATGCGATGCAACTACCCGGTAGCCCGTTGTCGAGGCGCCATTCCTCCATTTCGTCGAGTGCGGGGCTCTCCACCGTTATGGAAGAGCGCCTTGCCAATGCGTCGCCTGAAGTGGAAGCTATAGATTGCAGCCGGTCACCCCGCGGGGATGAGGAAAATGCCCTTGTGGCCAGTATAGCTGGGGGGAATGGTATGCCACGGACCTTGTCCATGCTGCCTGGGCACGAGCCAGAAAGCTATTCTCTTCTTTCGCATTATCTCGCCAAGACGGCCGATGTGATGGCCAATGGCACCACGCCTATCAACCCATTCTTGGTGCAAATCGTACCGCTAGCGTTTGCCAGTGATCTACTATTACAACTTGTCATTGCGCAGAGTGCCGCACATCGGGCTTTTCGACGGCGTGACGACTCGGATGCTGTCGCCAATTCGCACTACACGAAAGCCATCCAGCTCTTCAGGCACGGCGTTAACGAGTTCATCCAGGGAAGAGAGTCGAATCCGCTCATGCTGCTGGTTGGTGCCTTGTTGATGTGCTTTACCGAGGTACGTTTGGGCAAATGGCTTCGGTTGCGAATATACTAACCCGCATGGCAGACTGCCAAGGGCGACATGACGGGAACCGTTTTTGACCACTTGTCGGCTGCCCACTCGTTGTTAGTGAAGCTCCTAGCACAAAGCGATACCGCAGTGCCAAGAGATCTCAAAGATTTTGTCATCGAATATTATGTCTACACGGCGACTGTCAGCATGATCTCCATAGATGCCCGCTGGAGCGGCCAGCTGTTTCTCAACTTTGACCTCGAGCAACGAGCGCGTGAGGTACTCCGCACACAATACGTCGGGAACTTGTGCGGCTGCTGGTTGGAGCTTTTGCTTCTCATCCCTTGCATTTTTGATCTCGGCCGACAGTGGATGATGGATGATGCTCAGGCCACCGTTCCGACCGCGGACGACATGGCTATGTTCGCCTCAATCCAGGCCCAAATTCTGCGCTGGGTTCCCTACACTTTTGTGGAGCCTGAAGTATATCTAGCCGGTCTTGTCTTTCAGCAAGCCATGCTGATCTATCTGTACACCTCGCTTGGGGGTTATACATACTCTGCAGATGGAATTTACAAGGGCCTTGTCCAAACTGCGGTTAATGAGACACTGTCCTATCTTGACGAGATTTCCCCACAAGCTCGAATCAATTCCGGGCTTTGCTGGCCGATCGCAGTGGTTGGGTCCTGCCTCGAGAAACCCGAACAACAGGAAGGTCTACGGACACGCTTGACCGCAATGGCAAGCCATTTTGGCCTTGGGAATATGCAACGAACGCTTCTTCTGCTGGAGGCCATATGGGAACACCCCTCAACTGATGCAGGCCCATGGAATATATGTCGGACAATGCAGTCCAAACAGATTTGGATCTCCTTTGCGTGACGTGACATCCATCGATGAACTCCAAGTGCATGGTATATAATATTCAAAGAATAATTCCCCGATCTATGGACCAACCAGGTTTTTGGGCGCCTCGGTCGCGGGGCCCGCAGTTGTCACATACGCCTTTGTGAGACCGCCATCCACCGCGAAATCCGTGGCGTTTCACGAATGAGCTCTCATCACTGCCCAGGAAGACAACTGCGTGAGCCTGCTAGATCACCTCGCCGATCCGGCCAGTGGGGAAGTGAACTCGCGGCGGAATCGCGTCTCCTTGTTGTCGCCTAGCCAACCCTGCAGAAGCGGTGTGCTATACCTATGTTAGAACTGTGACACAACCGGTCAAACAAATGCAGCGACGTGCTTGAGCGGTGCCGGGCAGAGGGAATTGGAGCGGAATCCTTCTCAGGCATGCACCATGACAAGCTCCCGCGTCATCGCCAGAACGGCTCCCTCACCCGCGCTACACGCCAACTACGGCGTGGCAGCACCAACCAGAGCAACCATACTAGCAGTTTTGATCACACTCGCGCGCTTTCTGCCGTGCTTTCGGAAGCTACGCACAGCATGCTTAAACCCATACCACACCCCCTTGACACTGGTGTCCATTGTGCGATTCCAGATATCCTCCAGGCACTCCCCGAGTCCCCGTCCTTCGGGGGCACGATGCCAGCATTGTTCGAAAATCGCATCCAGACCGCCTCACGAACCAAGATAAGCGACTGCGGCCTCGATCTGCAATTCATTGAATACGTCGACAACCTTTTGTCTCCACCTTTTGTGAGCGCGACTCGGGTGGAACGATGGAGTTGACCTTGTCAAGGGCAGTGGCAAGACTGGCATCGCTGATATCGGCCGCGAGGACAGAAGCTCCCTCGCGAAAAATAAGAATTGTCGTTCCAAGGCCAAATGCCCCCTGTTCTGATGTCAATTTGTTTGTCTTTCGCATGAGTGAAGGATGAGGGCACATACCCGGCTGCGCCGGTGACAATGGCATTCTTGCCCTGCATCCTTCCAACCATTATGTGCGTTTAAGTATAGGTAGATTCTCAAGGATTACGAATCAAAGGTCTTTTCAAGGAACGCCAGCAATCCAGCCCAAACCCGAGGATTCTCTTGTTTGATATGAATTTATAGCTACGACATCCCCGCGCAACCCAACCACCGCCATTATCGCATCCAGCTCATACCAAACATGTCGATGCCGAAAGATACACAATCTCAGAGCGCAATGAAACACGCTAATCTATATCCCGCTCAGCCTTATTTTAAGACTCGAATTATATCAAAAGATGTTATCGCGTGAGATTGAGTCTACAACGTAGAAGGAAGGAAGAGATGCATAAACAGTAAATTGTCACCACGGATCATGTGCTCCATATATGAAAAGGATAAAGACCCTCTGCCCGGGATGACTTCACTGGCCTAAGCTTACATTAGGAAGCACCTACGCCCGCCTCTCACGGACTAGTCTACTGCTATGTCTCCTGTTAGCACTAGATGAGAAGTGCAGGGCCATTTGTTGCAGTAGTTTAATCTACATATATACTGGGTAATGTCCAGCAACTCTTGGCGGTCCCCTTCCGTTCTAGTACTCACCCTCTTGCCGCTTTTGCTCACTGAGTAGAATTGAGCACGCCCCTGATCAGCCTCAGTGATCATTACATAGTCAAACTGATTCACTAACAGAGCCTGATCTGAGCATCCTGATTTACTCACTGACCCTGACATGAGCATCCCGATTTACTTACTTAGCTCACCCAGAGAGGAGTGATCTAAGTAAGCAGGGTTAACGAAACGCGATATGCTAGCTCGACCCGTGTATAACTTTTCCGTCGGAGCAATAAATGGCGGTATAGACTAAGAATGTTGTCTATAGTGCATTTTTGGTCTAGTGGTTATTTTGCCTAGGATCTGGCCCTATTTAGTCTTGACTTTTTCCTTTCTAGTTAACATCTTCTATCCCACAGAGCCAGAGCAACCCATGCGGCGCGTAATGAGCACCTTTCATTGGTGAATCTAGTTGGCAATGGTCCCCGCACATGTAGCGGTGAGCGCCAGGCTATTCAGATAAGCGTGGTGTGATTTATACAGTACGGGAGTTGCCAGTAAAATACGCAAACTCTGTCATATAATGTAATAGCGGTAGCAAAGGCAGTCAAATCAATAGCCAGTTATGCTTGGTTGGGAAGGTTTGCTCGTTTGCCATGTATTTAGGCTCTCTCTTCCCTGCTGGTCTTCTTCTTCCTTCCTTCCTTCCTTCCTTCCTTCCTTCCCTCGGTCTTGATACCTTCGTTCAAATGCACAAGTTGATCTTCTTGATGAGCTTCCTGGCATGTAACATTTTGGACTTGAGCGATTAGTCTGATCAATACAGCCATCTGTTGGATTCCTTCACTCTAATTCTTATTTCCCGCCAGGACTCGCTAGTAAGCCAGTCCTAACAAGTAGGATCTAATTACTCCTATAGGATAGCGGGAGCCTGGGTATAGCTTCTTGAGTATGTTAAGGTAGATAAATTTATCGACCGATCTACACACAGCATTTGAAGAATAGACCATCTCTATCAGTCCACCTCACCCACGCTGATCCCATTCGTCAAACGGGACATGTCAACGTCTGCTACCCTCTCCACAAATCCTTCGTACATGGTTGGGAACCGCCATTTCAGCCGATCAATAATCAAATGATTCAATTTTTCGAACTCGAGCAGAAACGCATCGTGTCCGTCTGGCGACTTGAGCATGGCCAAGGTGGCATCCGGAAGGGAAGCGGCCAGGTCATGTTGTTGGGTAGGGAGAAAGAGAGCATCGGACTCGATACCAACGACTAAGGCACACGACGGTACACGCGAGAGTACGGCGGCTATGATGTTGTCGGGAGGGCTGCACTCGCCATGCAAATGGCGATGACGACCCTCGGGTACACGGCCACGCCGAACATCGTGCATATCCATTTTATGGGTCAAGTGGAGATAACAGTTCGCGTCAAAACGACGCAGAAACTTGGCTCCCTGGTAATCAAGATAATCCTGGGCAGAAAATTGCCTCATAGGGGTGTTCGAGGGCGGTGGTGATGGATTTACTGATGGATGAGATGATGGACCATTACATGCCGGTGCCACTGCAGGTGTTATGAGGTACTTGCTCTGGCTGGATGGTTTTCTGCCGAATCGCTTCTCGAAGCTCTCCCCTGAACGGTAGGTTAACATGGCCACCATGCGCGCTGTCGCAAGGCCAGATGTCGGCTGCTGGTTCAGCTCGTAGTAACCGTCACGGAACAAAGGATCCGAGCGAATACATCGCCTCTGAACCTCAGACCATGAAATTCCCCAAGCGCTCTGAGCAACCGAGGTTGCAATAGGGATAACCGCCTTCACGAACCCGGGCGGCGTACAGAGGGGCCACTCGATCGTTGTCATGCCTCCCATGGATCCTCCAATTACGGCAGCAATGGATGAAACGCCCAGTGTGTCAAGGACTAACTTGTGTGCCCTTCCACAGATATGTTAGCAAGGAGAGCCTCATAGATCAAGGGACAAACAGTGTATCACGCACATTACATCATCCCTGATACTGGTGGGTGGGAATTCAGGGCCGTAGGGTCGTCCAGTCTCAACATTTGCTGTTAAAGGCGATGAGCTTCCGTAGGGCGATCCGAGTGCATTTCCGCAGAAGACAAAGAACCGGGTATAGTCAAGGGCTTTCCCTGGGCCCATGAGAGGCGCCCACCAATCAGCAACATCACTGCTCCCGGACAGTGCATGACAGACGACCAGCACATTGTCGCGGGTGGCATTGAGCTGGCCCCAGGTTTTATAGGCCACTTGGCACGACTTAAGTACATGCCCAGATTCAAGTATTAGAGATGGGATCAGCGCGATACGCTGACCAGATATGTGGTCTGCAAAAGGATTGGGCTGCGCTGGTTTGTAGTCAAGTGCTGGTAAGCCCGTATTAGTCCCGTATATAATATCCAAAGGCACATCCAGGAGGATCTAAGAATTACCGATTGTCATAGTAGCTGTTTGGTTTTTAGGAGCACTGTGAAGAGTGGATTGATTGCGAGGGCCGTAGAGCATGTCTTCCAGGTAATATTTCTATGCTTGATTTCATATTGTGCAGGAGCCAAAATTGTCATTGGCAGGCATCGGTATAGAATGGAACAATTTGCGATACGTAATACTGGGAGAGCCCTCGGTGTTTGCTGATTTGTCTTGCAAAGCCCGGCACCGGGGTTTAATTTTCACTCCTGATAAGCCTCCACGATGCGGCAGAAACTCTCTATCAGTATCACCGTGGAGCGGTGTTTCAAACCACTTGCACCTTTACCCGGGTCCCTGCAATCTCAAGTTTTTTTCTTTTCTTCTTGTTTTGGATGCTGCCTGAAATAGCATAGAATAGCTTTTAGTCTTCTTCTTTTCGTTTCAATCTCACAGGACATCGGTGCCTTCCCTCTCTACAGTCGACATCGACTCCAAAAAAACAAGGATGCCTCAATTGTCCAATAGCGTCGTGGTTGCAGCTATCCAATCAGCCCCTGTGTCATTTGATCTGCCAAAGAGCCTACGAAAAGTGGCTCAGTTCACCTCGCAGGCCGCAGCCGCAGGTGCTGACCTCGTCGTTTTCCCGTGTGTTTTGGCCCCTCGAAGCCTACAAAACCTGGTAGCTAATGGGGTCTAGGGAGGGGTTCCTGTCTGCATATCCATGGAGGTATGCCTTTGATGCAACAATCGGCACGCGAGAGCCTCGAGGTTCGTATGGGCCCTGTCTTCCATCATGAAAATGTTTGCCTGATACAGAAGCAGGCCGCAAGTGGTACTCTCGATACTACAACTCAGCTGTTGCCATTCCTTCACCAGAGCTGGATCAGTTATGTGAGATAGCCAGCAACAACAACGTTCACCTTCAAGTGGGAATCATAGAAAAAGACGGCGGAACTCTCTACTGCACAGCGTTGCTTCTGAGTCGCGATGGTGCCGTCTTGTCCCGACATCGCAAGGTATACAATACTTACCCGTATTTGCGGTCTATTAGCTCCAACAGACCAACTGATTGATTATTAGTTGATCCCAACGGCAGCTGAGCGGTTGGTTTGGGGTAGAGGCGCCGGTGATGGGCTGGATGTTGTGGACCTTGATATTGGCAAAGTCGGAGGGCTCATCTGGTAACAAAGCCACTGCTCTTTTCTCGATGATTAGATGACTCTTTCTAATCATACATTTAGCTGGGAGAATTACATGCCTGCTGCACGTCTGGCATTATATCAGCAAGGGATCGAGTTAGGCCTCCTTCTCCCCATTTCAACTCTCACTTGACTTCGCGAGGTCCTTGAACCTAACTCAACCATCAGGATTTACATTGCCCCAAACGCCGATGATCTGCCAAGTTGGATCGCAACAATGCAACATATTGCGAAAGAAGGGCGATGCTTTGTTATATCCGTAAATCAATTTTGCAAGGTAAGCATTCTTTTGCATTCTCCTTATATTTCCCTTTTTAAGAATCAGGAAGAAGAGGTTGCTCGCTAATAGAACTTTTCCCCATAAGGTGTCTGATTTTCCTTCTGACTACCCCCCATTTACACCAGAACACTACGACCGCAAGCCCGACGGGTCTCGATGGGAGGCAGAAGACGTCCTGAGCCATGGCGGTTCTTGTGTGGTCGGGCCTCTTGGTACCTTTGTTTCGCAGCCAGTGTGGGACAAAGAGGAAATAATCCTCGCAACTTTGGAAATGTCCGATATTGTAGAGGCTCGGGTGAGTTTCAATGCCAGGCTGTTCGAAATTGTGCTGTGGACTAACCGCGATTCGCTTTTTGTAGTTGGACTTTGACCCCGTTGGTAGCTACTCGCGGCCGGATATCTTGTAAGGAAACAGACTATCTACCTTTGGCGGACCTTTTGATAAGAAACTGATGACTCCTTTTCTAGCTCATTGACCGTGAGCAAAAAGCCTGGGGTAAATGTAGCATTTGAAGAGGCTGTCTAGATGGAGCGCAGATGGAGTGTGGCATCTTGCATTTTTTTACTTTTTTATATCACAAGTGATTAAACCCTAAGCAGTTAACGGCGTACTCCCAAACGCGTACGAGTAAAAATGAGAAGAAAACCACAATTAGGTTAAAAGCAGATGGGAAGCAAGTGAATCGAGGATTTAACGTTCGCAGTAAACAATAACAAGGTTATTTATCATAAACCAAGCTTAGCATCCGTTTGGCTCTGAAAGGTGTGGTCCGAACTGTGTGGTCCCTAAAGCATACACCAAGGTACATATTGAAGCTTCTAGAACTAAATCTATATAAGGCACTCCCTTTGCTCTGACCGCCGAATATTTGACCGGAAGTTGTACAACGGGGGTCATACTTAAGTCATACTTGATCAATGTCTTTCGACTACCTTAAGCTATTGTCAGAATTACTAAATACATAACGAAATTGCTTGACCTACGGGAAGAGCTTCGAATTTCACGGTTAACCTCGAGAGACTTACCTCACCTACCGAACCCACGAAATAACACATTAGGTCCTTATCCAGAAAGTTTAACCTCTAGGAGCAGAGAGACCATGGATATGGGACATCTAGTATAACGTGGCGAATATGCTCACAAACGTAGATAGTGACTAGAAGGGATGATTGTAAAATATAGAGGAAAAGTTAAGAATCTTCAAGTGACAATCGGTTTGGGCGCCGCGGTGCCGAGATCCTTCATGAACCCGTCCTTAAACATGGCCAGGGCCTTGTCAAACGGATCACCATTCAGCTTCGTAGCTGTCTTCAATCCTGCCGCAACGAATGCTTGCTCAAAGTCATGCTTGATATCCTCGAAATCCTCGAGACCGACGCTAACACGGATCAAATCCGGGGTGACTCCACCCTTGATCTTCTCCTCGTCGGGCAGCTGTTGGTGCGTTGTGACCCATGGGTGGATGATGAGTGTTTTAGCATCGCCAACGTTAGCCAAATGACTGCATAATTTAAGATTGTTGACGACTGCTCGGACTTCGTCGACAGTTCCAGCCTGTGAAATTGTTTGGTTAGCCCCATGACTCAAGTGTCTAAGGTCAAGGCCATTGAAAAAGAGATTAATCGAACTCACCACGCCGAAAGTAAGGACGCCTCCACCACCGTTGGGCATGACCTTCCTGACAAGCTCGTAGTCTGGATGTGATTTCAGACCTGGGTAGAGGACCCAGTTGACGGAAGGGTGAGCTTCAAGCCACTCTGCCAAAGCTAATGTGGTTTCACAATGGCGTTTTCCGCGCAGGCTGATCGTCTCCAGACCCTGCAGGAACAGCCATGCATTAAATGGGCTCATACATGGACCCAGATCGCGCATGCTGTCCATTCGGAGCTTGGCAGCCAGGGCTTTGTAGCTATACGTTTCCCAAAAGCGCAGGCCGTGGTAGCCATCTGCGGGCTCTGTGAAGCCGGGAAATTTGCCAGATGCAGACCAGTCAAAGTGGCCGCCGTCAATAACAATGCCACCCATGCTGGTTCCATGTCCACCGATCCATTTAGTGCAACTATGGGTCACAATGTCGGCGCCCAATGTAAGGGGTCGGGACAGATAGCCGGCCATGCCGAACGTGTTATCCACAATCAATGGGATACCGTGTTTGTGCGCAACGGCAGCAATGGCCTCAATGTCTGGCACGCTGTGCTTGGGATTGGAGATCGTTTCGATGTACACTGCCCGAGTGTTCTCGTCAATTGCCTTGTCGACTTCGACCGGGTCGTTACCATGTACCCATTTAACATCGATATTGAACTTTTTCATGTAGACCCGAAACTGGTTGTAGGTTCCGCCATACAGCCAGCTGGTGCTGACAAAGTTTTGGCCGGGCGAGCAGCAGTTGGTGATGGCCATAAACTATGACCGGTTAGCTTGGAGCGTTTCTTTTTTCGTCGGTTGGGAATCTCCTTGATGACTACATAGGAGAACAATGAGACAAAAGCATATGAAATCCAAAACGTACCTGCGCAGCGTGACCAGAGGCAGTGGCGACAGCGCCAACACCGCCTTCTAACATGGACATCCTCGTCTCGAAGACTGAATTCGTAGGATTACCCATACGGGTATACACATATCCATCTTTGGACCATGCAAACTTGCTAGCGCCATCAGCAGCATCAGAAAAGTTATATGCTGCCGTTTGATACAGTGGCACAGCGCGGGAGCCGTTAATGGGGTCCGGCTCCTGGCCACCGTGGAGCGAGAGCGTCGTCCAAGCAGGCGTCCTAAATGAAATTCGTCAGATTTGAAGCACCTTCCCGCTGATTCAAAAATCGGGAGATGAAAAGGAAAGAAAGAAAATACGTACTTTGTGACGTCCTTGAGAGATCCCGGGACAGACATTGTGCCAGAAATGGTTCTTGCTGGAATAAATACGGAGCGAGCTAGTATCACGAGAAAGATTGTTGTTGAATCGTGTTGTATGTGTTCGCTTTGCATCTGCACTTGAGGTGATATATCTTGCTGTATAAGTACTTAAGTAATCAGTCAAGTCACTATATACTCGATATCTCAGCATTGATAGGTATTTGCTGCAGCATGCATCTATCTAAAGTTACCATTTCCCAAACACCGGTTTTAAACACCGACCACAAACACCCGAGCCAAACACCGACCGGTTAACAGGACTACATTGGTCTCTGGCCCTTTGGTAACTCCGTCTGATTCAACGAAAGAGAGCGTCAGGAGGTGCTTCTTCTCATTGTGAATAGTAATCAACGCGTCATCAACGGCCGGGAAGTTCCTACTCGATACGCGATGTGTATAACGAACCCCCAACGGGTTTTGTGATCAGACTCCTATGGCTTTACTTCCTACAGCATGATCCCACAAAGATATGCCTCGGAAAGGTTTCCACTACATCTACTCGACGGCCTCGACGGCCTACGGTGATCCAAAGGGAATCTTGCTGGACAATAATAAATGCAGATCACGACTTGGTGCTAAACTGATTCTGGGATTGACAAAGTTCCCAGGAACTAGTGAAGAGGAAAGTAAGGGAAACACCAATATGAGGAGCAGAGAGACGATAGATTGAAAAGTTAAAATTGAAATAATCTGCTAAATTCGCAAACACTCGTAGTTACAAGATGTTATATGGATTATAGAAAAAAAAGAGCGTTCCAATCCCACAAACTCCGGAGTGGCTCCCGTTCCTTCTCTTGCCTTATTCGTACAAAATACCAATCCCATTCTCGTCGACTTCACAGGTTCTTGCTTTTCATCTCTTATTAGGTGAATTAGAAGACCCAACCATCATTTTTATTTGATCTGAAAGACCAGTCAATAACGTTCTCTGTGCCTAGGGGGTGGTGGATCATTTTACATACCTCTCATACCCGCAAGCGCTTCGAACGCGATGGAATAGTTCTCGAGAGCTCCAACGACAGATTGTAGACCCTCTTGCAGTTGGTTGTACAATTGTTCGACCATAGGATTGGCCATAGTATTATTCGGGTGCATAATTTCCACTTTGTGACGGACCATCAACATTGAGTAGCTACTTTGCATTGCACAGCATGCAAAGGATGGCATGGTGCGAGGCAGAATCATCTTCCATGCCGAGGTTCGGGATGCTGGAGAGATAGATGCATCAAATGAGCCAAAAGGGTTGGGATACGGGAGTCGTTCAAAGCACTGAGCAATATTCAACGCGGATTTGAGACAAATCTTAACCGACAACTGGTTGCCAAGACCGAGAAGATCCTTGGCGCCTGAGCTGGCACTCGATGACAGTGACGACGTATTTGGCAAGTGCACATCGTCCCAGGACGAACCAACAGGTGGAGTGGAGGCGGTAGATGTGGGGCATGAGCACGTCGGAGATTTCTTTGGTCCTGGATCCTCCCCATGTCTAGGCGATGGCATCAGGTCGCAGTGTTTCTGAGGGAAGAGTGGGAGGTCGAAGAAAGCACTGTATCGATGGAGTTTGATCCTCGCGCTGAACGGTGGTGTCATGAAAATTTCCTCTCCCTCAAGAACGAAACGTGTGGTGACTAACCTGTTCACCTTGATGCGTCCTATCAATATCAAACTATCCGCAACTACAGACTCCCCCTGGTCGAGTAGGCTCGATACAGGATATGGCGGCAGATAAGCGTCGGCTTTGGAAGCTAGCAACTTTATCTCATTATCAAGCTCGAGGTTGCGCTCCAACTTAGACTGCACGCTAGTTCCAGCTTTCAGAGCTTTATTTAGTTCGACCACAGCCATTGTTGCGGAAACGATCGCTCGTTGGGTATCGATAAAGAAGGACCATGCCTGGTATTCGGAGTGTCAGCAAGAGTCGTGATGAGGAGGCAAGTCCGTCGGGGCCATGCTTACATTCGAGTCCGCGCGAATAGTAGGATATTGAGTAGTAAATCTCGGGTCGTCCATAGATATTGCTGGTTCCTTGATCATCCTCACTTAGCCGCAAACCAAATAGAAGAGAGACAGGGCCATCGACCTACAGTGACGCTGACAACTGATCCCTGACAATTACAGATGCACTGGCGACTTGGATTAGCTGCGGGATTTATTCCCGCGTTGGAGATAAGAGCTTACTGTCACCCACCAAGCCCGGCGCCTTGCTTCCGTGAATTCGTCGGCTTTCTCGGTTTCTGGTTCACGATGGAGAGACAAATCCATAGCTGCCATGATGGCCTGTCCCGCTCGTTGACGCATTCTTTTGATGTTCCCTCGTTGTGCGTATTCATATACGCTCAAGATAGAGAGGGCGATTATGCTCTCCAGCTCGACAGGAACATGCGGGTGAAAAGGCATACACAGGTACGCATCTGAGCCTTCAGAAAGGACCTGCGCAGGCGACGTCGAGGAGGCTGGCACTTCAGTTTCAATGTTGACGCTTTCCAAGGCTGCCTGAGCCAAACTCTCAGCATACTTTCTGCGGAATAGAACGGCGTCCTCACTACAGGGATTCGGGTCATCTGGATGAGGAATTAACGATAATATGGTCAAAATGCCGAGGCTGAGAGACGAAGAAGGCTCGTAATCGGCATCGTTCAAATTCTGTTCATCTTCGGAAACGGCAATGGGACGGTCAGTTGGTGCTGACGTTGGAGGAGGCAGTATTGGAAAATATGGATGAATGTAGATATAGTATGCGTCTAGTCTAAGGGGAAATGTTAGATATTTGGTGGACTCATGGCCCATGGTGGCAGAACCCTTACATGTCACGGTTGCTCTGGTATGACCGCACCACCGGTGACACCGGTCGACATGGTTGAGAATCGGACACAAGAGCATCTTCATCATGCTGAAAGATGCTATCAAAGATAAAGTCGCTATCCCGACAAATATCTTCCAGGTTGCGAAGCCCGGCTCCTGGTTCAATGTATTGTTCGATTGGAACTGCGTAAATTATTAGCCAAATGAACAAACCGGACTCTCTATTCTTCTATCTGACTTCCCTCTTCCATCCGAGTACTTACACGGTTCAGTCTGTTTATTCTGACCGTTCTTCTGTATGCCATCCTGCGCGAAACGGCTGCCCGTTCGAGCACCTCCGCGTCTGCTGGGCATATATGCACATTTTTGGCCCTTTCTCCGGCACTAGAAATCGATCAGTTGTGATTATTTATTTATCCAGAATAACATACATTTGTACATATTTCTTTGCCGTCGCAGCGTGTTCGCGAGCGTCTACTTCACTGGGAAGTTAGCCTCCTAGCAACACTGCACATCGGCAAGCACTCGAGAGCATAGAGCTTACCAAGCGAGGCAGGCCAACTTGACCGGTGGCGCAATTGACCGCTTTCGAACATCGCTCTGTTTCGGCTTCCTAGAGCTTTGTTTGTCCATCGGGCTTAACACAAGTAGCTAGGCCGACACTCGCTTTGTTTTCAGTCAAGAGATGAAAGTGTAGCTACTGTGGGTTCAGTCGGCGGAGTGTATAATCCTTCTCCTAGGAGAGGAGTCGCCGGGGTATGCGGGATTTGTAAATCCCGATTATTGCTTATCAGCAACGCGGTGTTTGGTGATCTGCCAGTATATGCCGCATTATGTGCGGGGAAATGATAAGCTGTGGAGACTGGTAGGTAAGATCGTCCCCAGATCGTCCCGTAGTGAGATAACGCAGTTCCTATGACGTGGAACGAAATCTTGGCCAATCAAATAACCTCGAAAGTATTTTTTTAAAAGAGAAATCTACAAAGCATCAATGGCTCATGCCCACTATCAGTCTATTCCTGGAAATCCCTCTTCCGGCACAGGACTAGAGAGCAGGCTCTCGGCTTTGGGCCGATAATCTTCTCATATCTGCTCCGTACGAGACTGACTTTGGCCTATGACTCTTCGGGGAGAACCGAACCCTATTTGCCAGTTGTCTTTTATATAACGGCAATATTGGATGCTGGCCCTTGCCGATCGGTTTTGCACTTACCTTTCTTTACCTGGCACTTTCAGTCATCGGACTTGAGTATCTTTTTGGATCCAAAGGTAGCCTTTGGAATCCGAAACAATTCGCACCATGTCATCTCCAGTCACAAAGAAGAAGTGTGGTAGGTCGGAACCTCTGATGTAATCTCGTTTGAACTATCGCTGACTATACAAAGGTGTCCTCGGAGCGACTGGTTCCGTAGGTCAGCGATTCCTCCTGCTCCTCGCAGATCACCCGTTCCTCATGCTACATAAGGTTGGAGCTTCATCTCGCTCGACTGGCAAGAAGTACAAAGACGCAGTCGTATGGAAGCAAGTGATTCCCATTTCGAAAAATCTGGGCGAACTTGTTGTCCAAGCCTGCAAAGCTACGGAGTTTAGCGATTGTGACCTGGTCTTCTCCGGTTTGGACAGCGATGTTGCTGGTGACGTCGGTACGTTTTCCCATTATCTTGTTCTTTTCTGTTTCATGTGTTCATTCACTAATCACTACCCAGAGATGGAATTTATCAAGGCTGAAATCCCGATTTTCTCGAACGCAAAGAACTACCGCAAGCATCCGCTTGTGCCGCTTGTAGTTCCAACCGTTAATCCGTCGCACCTGGAAATGATTCCACACCAGCGCAAGGAGTTTAATTTAAAGAAAGGTTTCATAATATGCAACTCAAACTGTGCAGTGATCGGTATCGTCATCCCGCTCGCCGCTCTGCAATCCAAATTTGGTCCGGTTGAGGAAGTCGAAGTTTTTACCGAACAGGCCATCTCAGGATCTGGCTACCCTGGCGTCCCTTCTATGGATATTTTGGATAATGTAATCCCGTTTATTAGCGGTGAGGAAAATAAGCTCGAGAACGAGGCACAGAAGATCCTCGGTTCTCTAAACAGTGAAGCCAACTCGTTCCGGGAGCAGAGTGGTCTGCGAGTTGGTGCTACTTGTACCCGTGTTGGGGTTACAGACGGCCACATGGTATTTGTGTCACTACGCTTCGAGAACCGACCACCACCATCTGCCGAGCAAGTGAAGAATATCTTACGAGAGCACCAGTCCGAGGCCCAGAGACTGGGTGCTCACTCGGCCCCAGAGAAGGAAATCATAGTCTTCGATGAGCCTGATCGACCACAGCCGAGGCTGGACCGCAATATATCTAACGGCTACACAGTTAGCGTTGGCCGAGTTCGAGATGGTGCGCAGGGTGGCCACTTTGATATCCGTTTCGCTTGCCTCTCACATAACACGGTCATTGGTGCCGCGGGTTCGTCTATCCTGAATGCCGAAATTGCCGCCATCAAGGGATACCTGTGACGAGTATGAGTGGGGGGAGCAATTTCTATGTCTGTGAATATCACAATAGAGACTCATATGCTAGGTTTAAAGCAACATGGTTCAATCTGGAGATATTGACCAATCAAGCACATTATAGAATTGGCCGCTTGGCTTAGAAGATAAGTTAACTAGTTAGTAAACTAACTAGCTCCAGCTCGCTATCTCTAGATTCTTCCTTCTTCAAGACTTTCTTTCGATTCGCTCTCTCCCGTGTGCCTAGACCCCAGTCTTCCTTGGCCTGCCAATAATTTTTCATACTGGCGGATGGTTCCTATCCATATACAGAGGGAGGCTATGTTTTCATTTTATCCTTCATATGGTAGCCTAACACTGTAGACACATCACTACTGGGAAAATTGTCAATGTCATATGCTATAGATCAAGATTAAATATTTCTGATATTAGCATATTGTAGTAAGTGTTATCTGCTTTCAGCATTCTTCCCGTCGTAGGCAGTGCCATGGGTACCTCTCCTATCTTCGAGTTCAATTATGGAACTATTGTCTCCTCTGATTCTAAATCTCCTGTCCCAGGAGCACATGCTTTCAAACCAAAGCGTCAGAGCTAGGTTTTTCTTTCTTTGTAAGAAAACCGCTGAGGTCGCCCACGGGGAGTGCAACGGGACATCCCACCGAGCCCAGGGTGAGCGCGAAGAGAATATACCAAGCCACAATTCCCGCGATAAAAAGAAAAGCACCTCCAGCCTAATATTGATGAAAACGTAGTTAGGTTTGAATATGGTCCGTCAATGGGTCAAATCAAGTGTCATTATGCTTACCATCTAGAGGTTCGAGGCAACACTTGCATTTCCCATAGCGACCTCCCAAAAGGCACCCGCCAGGAGCGCAAAGACTATGGTGAGACTCAACTCCACCACAGCAAGGGCAATATGTACTTTCAATGCGCCCAGGAAACACACGAGAGAGAAGATTCCCATAAACACGAGCAGGAATCCTGGTAGAGAATCGTCAGCAACAACACTGGTGGCCCTTTCCCTCTTTTACCGAAAACAGGGGTGCAAGGCATTCGCCCCCAGAGAGAAGTGTGCAAAAGAAAGAAATTCAGGGATGGTTCTACCAAAGCTTGCATTGAATCCTGCCATTTCAAGACCCTTTGAGGTGTTCGAGGGATCGGGCGAGTAGGCTCCGTACGCTCCATAGAAGGGCTGGAGCGTGGCACCGAAGCTCAACCACCACCCACCTGTTCACGTTGAATCGATCAGTCTGTCATCCATTTATAAGCCTGGGCGTATATTTGACCACTCACCATACCCACAGAACAGAATGAATGGGAATGTGTTTCCCACAATAAACTCTAGAAATCCGCCCAGTATCATGAGCAGTCCACCCATGAAGAAATAAGCTCCCCTACGGACAATAGTCGGTCAGCTCTGCAGTCACCAAGGAAACAAAAATTTGCGTAAAGAGGCAAGCTCACGTCGACGCCGCGCCATCGCCACCAGCTCCCCTCCATCCCATAAGATCGCATCCCAGCGTCGATACACTTATCGCAAGGCCTAGCACCGCACTTATATAACTGTCAGAGCCTTGACAAGTTTCCGTAGGAGGTCGGTGGAGATACTCACATTGGCGTCGGATTAGCGAAGGACTTGCCGAGGCTGTACTGGACTTCCAACTTCGACGCTGGGGGCTCAGACGGAGTGGATTGGGACATGTTGATCGAGTGATTCATCGACTTTGTCGGTCTACAGTTGTGTAATTTTATCAGTCAACTGAAACTTGTCGCCTCCCTTGGTTTAAGGAACGAAAAACGTCCTCTTGGAGCAGACACTTCAAATATAGCATCTCTCGCTCGCATAAGCATATCAGACCTGTGAAGATCGTCAGAATTTGAGATTGCCAAAAGAAGTGCGCAGTTATCGCTGTCGATCATTAACACTTGAGCCCAAAGCCCGATTCGCGGCTTTCCATGGCAATCCCCTGATGCAAAGCCCGAATCGCCCGCAACGGTCTTTGCAGCTCGGGTGAGGCAAAAGATGCAGATAAGACTTGCAAACACCGTCATCTTTCGTGGCTTGGGAAAAAAACTCATTTTTTCCGTAATAATGACATCTAGGAACTTCCTGGGAATGTAAATTTATTTCAAATACATGGCAACTAGCTTTCCTCGGCGGTCATTGGCTTTTTGTTTCTATTCTTCCAGAGATAGGTCACCGCTCATTCGAAGCCACTATCTACCGATAACCTGGTCTTAACCGAACCAAAATGACCATTCGCCCTGAGTCAAAGCCGTGGGTTGTCCAAAAATACGGCGGCACAAGCCTTGGGAAATTGCTGGACGAGGTGTGTGGGACAATCATTCCATCATATCTTGAGAAGTACAATGTTGCCGTCATCTGCTCTGCATTATCCGGGACCACCAAGTCCAGCGGCACGACAAGTTTGCTGCTCGACTGTCTTCAATGTGCAGAGGTCGTCGGTATGGAATCAATTGGTTGTATAGAGGCGGCGATTGATAGCATCCGTGATGCCCATCTGGATAAATTGCATTCATTTCAAGCCTATTCCAGCAACACCAGCGACTTCCCGCTCAATGAGACTGTTGTGAGTGTGGTCAACGACTGCGAAGAAATTCGCAAATTCCTTCTTGCAGCCCAGGTATGTCTTTTATCGAAATTACAATGGACGCGATCCTTTTGCTTTGTACTGATTGTTGTGCCTCCAGGTTGTGGGAGATCTGTCCCCACGCACCAAAGATCGGGTGCTCTCATTAGGAGAGAGATTGGCGTGTAAGGTCGTGGCCGCTGCATTGACCATCAAGGTATATGCGCCATTCAAGATGGAAACTTCTGCTTGTTAACGTTTATTGATAGGAGGGCATTCCTGCTCGAGTCATCAATCTGGACAACATTGTTGCAGAAGTGTTCGGCAGATCTCTGCCAGACCAGGAAGCTGAATTCGAACGCCTTGGAACCGGATTCTACCATCAACTCGCGGTGAAGATTGGGTCAATAGTATCCGAATCTACAGATGCGGTGCCTATAATCACTGGTATGGACACCATCTCAAAGAATACGTAGAAGTATTATTACATTATCAGCTCACTATGGCATACGGGTCCAGGTTTTTTCGGCCTCATGCCTAACTCGCTCCTCCGGTGTGTTGGTCGAGGGTATTCCGACCTCTGTGGCGCAATGTGTGCGGCGGGCCTGACTGCCATAGAATACCAGATTTGGAAAGAAGTTGATGGAATCTTTACCGCGGATCCCAGAAAAGTGCCATCAGCGCGGGTGCTGGCTACCGTTACCGCAGAGGAAGCTGCAGAACTGACATTTTTTGGCAGCGAGGTAAGGTCCGGAAAGCAGTATATCCCAACATCTGAAACGGGTCACGACTTGGGTTCTAACACTACACCGTCTATTCACGCAGGTTATCCACCCCTTTACCATGGAGCAACTATACAAGTCGGGGATTGTCTTGCGACTGAAAAACGTACTCAGTCCCAGCGGGTCCGGGACCGTGATCTACCCATCCGCTCCCGAGACAGACCGCCAGGTGAATGGAACAGTGCAGGAGCGCCCGACAGGCGTCATTTTTATGCTTTCCAACGGATACCATGGGCAGTCTCAAAGCAGACGACGCCCAACCGCTATTACCAGCAAAGAAGGCCTCACTCTCATCAATGTCGCATGTAACCGGACCACCAAGTCACAAAGTTTCTTGGCTTCTGTCTTTTCGCAGCTTGAGCGGAATGGCCTAGTTCCGGATTTAGTCACCACGAGTGAGCGAAACGTCAGTCTTGCAATCCAAGCATCAAACGACTTCGTCATCGGCAATAAACTCGTCCTGGATTTGCAGAAATTTGGATCCGTCAGTTTTGTCCTTTTTCTACTCTTTACAGCAGATCTATTATAGCTCATCCTTAAACACAGGTTACGATATTGGAAAACATGAATATTGTCTCTGTTATTGGCCAGAGGATGCGCAATATGGTCGGCACTGCAAGTAAGTCTTGTCTGCAAAAATTGCAATAATCAGAAGGAAAGCAGTCAACTGACACAGATCAAATTCAAGACGAAATATTTTCGGCACTCGCGTCCGCAAAAATCAATATTTACCTGATCAGCCAGGGGGCAAGCGAGATAAACATTTCGTGTGTGCTTTCTTCTCCATTTATATATAATGATGGCCCTATTTAATATTTGTCTGCTTGCTATAGATTTGTTGTGAAAGCCGACGACTCCATGCAGGCAATCAATGTTGTTCATGCGCGGGCGCTCCAGATCCCGACTCATCTGGAACAAGAAAATAACTTTATCAAAGGTGAGGTTGTTTTTCATATATTTACTTCCCTGTCTCTTTATTCTTATATTTACTGCTACTAGGACCCTGGTTGTATTAAATAATTGGATATTGATGCCCCACCTAGGTGTAGTGGGTGTGGAGAGATTGGCCACAGGATTAATACATGTAAACATCGCTATATCTAGTTGAATTAATTGGCTGAGATAATCGACTTTGAAATTTTCTAATGGGCTTGGGTGATCGGGACCGGCGGGAATTATGTTCGTTAACTAATGAGCCCTGGTGAGTAAGCAGTAGCTGAGTGATCACTGAGCGATCACTGAGCATCCATGATTGGTCACTAATCAATCACATGACTGCACTGACCAGATCACTGAGTAGGAGCCCGTGCTGACATTTACTCAGTGAGCCTGGGCCTCATCGCCCTCATTAAAGCGGCGGCAGCCCAGACAGGAAAGCCCTTCCCGGCGGACAAAATCCGGTGTATATAGCTGCATGTACTGATCAACATCACGAGTTCTGCTCAAGGTAATGAAGAAGATCAGGTGACATCAGCATGAGGGGCAATGAATCACATAAGTAACCTCCCGGACCGCGCAGCTAGTACATATTTGTTAAGGTAATGTAATATGCCTGTTTCCTCAGTCTAGAAAGCATCTATTCTTCTTCAGAGTTAAGCCATCGTCTTCAAATATGGGCCTATATCCCTACGAGACGGTTGACCAATGCCTAGAAGCATGGCTGGTAGCGTGTGGTACACCGGAGGAATTTGGGGTTGCAAGTTGATTTTACATGCTGACTTACAGGGTCGGAGGGGTACTTGCAAAATGAAGTCTTATCGTGCCACGTGGTAGGCCTAGTTAGATAGGTATAAGATCGACATGACTATCGTACATAGTTTCGTAGTAAATAGGATGCAGTACAGTACAAAATAGCGAGTGTCCGCTGCTCTTTCTATTTCCTGTGCTCACCTAAACACTCCTAGCCTGACACTCGGGTTGAAGATCGGATTTCTTAGCTCAGTCCTGCCATCCTTTACCACAAGGGGGTATATGTCTTATCTCAACTATGGCGTTGTAGGCATAGTACCGGTGTTCTCATATGCCCACAAATACTTACAAGTTCCAGATATTTACTACGCCCTATGCGCATTTTCTTCCAATGTCTACATACACTGGGTTCATTGATGTCGTGCGAACTCAAAATAACATGCTTACTTCTTCGATCAAACGCTTTAATAAGCGTAGGAGAGTTTCTGACCGGACTTCTTGCAAGGTGGCTAGCCTCACCAATTCCCGCCGAGAGAGCACCTTTGCTCTTCAGAGTTTTGGTGGCTTCTGTCTCGTACGCTTATGCCTTCGACATCGCAAACCAAACTACATCAGTTACCGAGGATGCCGTCAACAAACCTTATAGACCTATTCCCTCTGGCCATTTAAGCATCAGAGGAGCACGCTGGAGGTGGGGCCTTAGCTGGTTTGGTATGCCGACACTTGTCTTTGCCCTCTCTGGGAAGTGGGCCGCAACATATCTCGTCTACTGGGAGATATGGGTCTTTTTTTGCTATGTCCGGCCTAGAATCAACAATCCGTTCATGCGCAACACATTTTCTGGGGTGGGAAATGTGCTCCTCCTAAGGCTGCTGAACGCGGTCGTCATCGAATATATACCAAGCTCGGACATGAGTTGGAACTTGGACGCGGCAATGAGTTTGTGGGTATGGGGTACGGTACAAATACAAGAGTTCCACGATGTGGATGGAGATCTCAAGTCGGGAAGAAGAACCACTGCGATTATCCTGACACCAAAACAGGTAGCTTGGGTGCGTCAGGCTACTGCAACATTTCTTATAGCAAGTGGTGCTATGTTTCTGGGTTGGGGACTATCAGTTGCTGGTCAAACCCCCTCGCTCGGACTGAGGTTCTTTGGGATTCTGCAATTCCTAGGCGCTCTCTTGACAGCCTATCGATTTGCCAAAGCTAATTCTGAAACTTCGGGACCGCAACATGAGTTTACTTACAAGAGTTGTTTTGTACCAACTGCACTGATCTTGCAGACATACCTATCTTTTCTCAACCAATATTTGTGATTACACTGACTATGCAAGACATTGAAATTGAAGATAGTTCATCTATCGCATCTCACAGCGCCAGATTGTACTAAAGGATGTAACCCCAAACCTGATAGATCGTGTTGATACATACTAAAGCGGCAGCTGCCGCTGAAGCGAGGCTGGAGGGAAGGAGTCCACGGAGGTGGCGTGTATATAATAGTTTCGTGTAAAATACACTCTTCTGGTTCTCACAGATGTGATGTATAACATCAAGCCTATTCTAGGAAGCGTCATATACTACAAATATTAAGAGTAAAACTGATGTTGATCCGTCCTCTATATTTCGCCGCGCTCTCGGAGTTAGGTAGCGCGGTCCGGGACCGCGCTCGAGTGGGTCCCGTGCCTGATAGCGGTGCGACGGTAAGAATGCCAAGAATCGGGTGACTGAAAGGGAACACAGCCGTTCCTGCGCTCTACGGCGCATGGTAATTGTATTCTCTCATCCTCGAGAACTTGTAAAAGCGTCTTGATTTGATTCCAGATCAATAGTGTATTTATAATTGTAGCAAGGTGACGGGATGGATGCCGGAACTTTAAGTCATATCACAGTTCGCGATACTAGATTGGTAGCGGTCCCGGCGCCAGTAAAATCCCAGTCGGTAGGTCTAAGCGGAGGCATCCTTGATGTGATAGCTCTTCAACTTCACAAACCCGTCAAACCCACGAGGACCTAGTGTGCAGCCCAAACCAGAAGACTTCCAGCCTGTCCAGGCGAGATCCTGTACGAATGTTAGTAAAGCGTCCCCTCAGGTACAGGGGAAATCGGGGAACATACAGGACTCGGGTAATCGCATCGGTTGATAAACACAGTTCCAGCCTCAATCTGCTCAATAAGCTCTTCACCGCGTGCCATATCCTTCGTCCACACGCTGGCGGTCAGTCCGTAGTCGCTGTCGTTCATCAGGGCAACGGCCTCCTCGTCGCTGGAGACCTTCATAATGGGCATCACAGGGCCGAAGGTCTCCTCCTTCATGGTGACCATGCCGTGGTTGACGTTGGTCAGAACGACCGGGGCCAGGAAGTTGCCCTTCTGGCTTGTCTTGGCCATGGAAAATGTGGAGTTCTCCGGGGTGACGTCAACAGCACCCTTCTTCAGAGCATCGTCAATGTGGGATTGAATCTTCTCCTTCGCAGGCGCGGAGATAACAGGTCCAGTAGTTGTGGTCTGATCATGAGGATCGCCCAGTTTATATCTAGTAAGGCTGTTAGCTGTCGTTGCTCAACCCAGGAGAATGTCTGAACATACCCCTTGAGCTCCTCCTGCACACAGCGAACAAACTCATCGTAAATCTTTTCGTGAACGTAAACCCGCTCAACGGCGCAACAACTCTGTCCGGAGTTGAAGACCGCTCCGTCAACCAGGTTTTCGGCAACGTTCTTGACGTCTACGTCGGGGCGCACGTAGGCGGGGTCATTACCACCGAGCTCCAGGTGGAGCGGCTTCACTTGCTTGGCAGTTGCTTCACGCAGCCTGATGCCACCAGCAGTTGATCCAGTAAAGGAGACGGATTGAATCTCCGGCAGCTGAGCGACCTGGTCCAGAACATCCAAGCTTCCAATGTGCAGGACCTGGAGGACATTCTGCGGCAATCCTGCCTCAGTGAAGATCTCGCTTAACCTGTCACCGAAGAAGGGAGTCTGGGGTGACGTGCGCAAAAGCACGGTATTACCAGCGAGTAATGCCGGGACCAGCGCATTGACAGTGGTCAAGTAAGGATACTTCGTGGCGATCAGCATATTGTTTGTAATAGGGATTGATGGGGGCCTCGTACATTCCACGCCGATGCAATGAGAATCGGGCCAATAGGCACACGCTTGACCATGCGTCTAAAGCCCTCTTGGGGCTGTCCGGGCAGGTCAGCCAAGCTCTCCTGCGCGATCTTGATCATATGCTCCGCACGAATGGCGGCCGTCTTAATCTCGCCAGCACAGTAGCGAACGGGGCGGCCCATCTGCGTGGTGAGCTCTTTAGCTAGCTCATCAATATGGGAGTCAATGATTGCGAGAGCTCGCTTCACAATCTCGGTTCTTTCATTCAGACTCAGGGTGCGATACGACTGGAAGGCCTGTTTGGAGGCGGTGGCGATCTTGCCGGCTTCTTCAAGAGAATGTCCCGGCTGGTCAAAAATCACCTCATGAGTCGCAGGGTTGATAGTGCGAATCTGGTTTGCCATTGTGGAAGAATCCGTCGTGGATTGTGGTGTTGGAAGGAAGAAGTGGTTGGAGATGTGTCGAACTCGCGGGAGCGCGAGGAGGGGCATATCGGATTTTATGGGGTCGCTCGGCTTATCGCGGTCTGCTCCACGCGCGCCCTGCTTCTTGCCACTTTCCCGGCAGGTCCTCGATACTCTTCACTCCGCCCCTCTGTACTTTTTAGAGGCCTTCCAACTCGATTTATAGATCGTTCAAATGTAGAATTTGTCTAATTCCCTATGCTACCGCGTCCGCGATGAACTTGATAATCTCCGTAGCAAGAAATTCTCCATCATGAGGCTTTGCCGCCCTCGAAACACCGTCATTATAAAGCTCGTCGCCAAAGAGTCCGCGCCTGGCGTCCAACAAGCACGACATGATAAATTCAGTGAACTCGGGGTGTGCCTGAACGCTCCACAATCTCCCTGGCATGTAAAGTCCCTGGACCGCGCATCGAGGGCTGTACCCGAGATTAACGCATCCCGTAGGCACGTCGTGGACCACATCACGGTGCATTTGTTGTAGATACTATCCAACGTGAGAAGTTGTCTTGTAATGCATCCCACGTTGTTTATTCTTACCAATTTATCTTTGCCGAAGATGCCCTTCCCAGCATCTGTCAAAGTGACCTCCTCAACTGAGACCTCCCATCCATGATCTCCCCTGCCGACACGCGCCCCCAAGGCTCGCGCAATAATCTGGTGTCCGAAGCAGATACCAACAACAGGCTTCTTGTGCTGTTCGATGACACCATGAATATACTCGGTTAGGCTCACGACCCAGGGATCGTCGACAAAGGAATCATGTTCTTGAACCTCTTAGCTAGCGGACCCTCTTGCGGAGCGGGGAGACACATACTGCTTCCAGAGAGGAGCAAAGCATCGTACTCATTTGGGTTGGGGTAAACCGGGTTGTCTACAACGTGCCACCTGCTGATCTCCTGGATCTTGATAGTGGAGTTGTTAGACGACTGTAGACCCTGGTTCAGCAGGCGCGTGAAGATGTCCCCATAGCCCCCGAGTCGCTCCTTGACGGGCGGAATGGGGGTGTCGCATTCGAGAACGGCAATACGGAGAGCTCGGGTCATGTTGCCGATGGGCGGGTATGCTCGAATGATTCCTAGTAGCTACAAAAGAAGTCGATCTCTCTGAATAGATGCTTTAAGGACGTTCGGCCTTTGATGGGGTTCGACCGGTGAGCGCGCGCTGGCCCCACCCCGCGGTCCGCGGAGCATTGGCCCGTCGCGATAGTCTCCGGTGGTGCCGAGCCAGCGCTCACCTACGATGGAGGCGGCTATTTTGAATCGACCAGGCATTTTGTAGCGCTGATTTACCTATATATAACGTGACCTTGATTTCTTGGACCCGTATCTGGTGGAAGAGTCGACACACGCAGGGCACAAAGCGAGAATTCCCCGCTCCGCATTCCATGTCAAATTGTGTGCATTATGAGGTGTCTGTCAACCACTGTTTCAAGAGACTATGCCCGCGACTAGAGGAGTTCTCACTTCTTCAAGAAGATGAAGATGTCTCTAATCGTTCCGGCGATTTTCCTTGATGCTATCGCCGAAATCGGATTGGAAAGAGTTCTGGAATGGTCGAGACAAGGAAAGTAATCTTGGAATTGCTGAGCGAGTGACCACGACGCAAAGGTTACAGATCATTACCCCGAGTTGCATCCTTGATTTGGAATATTCTCTCTTCAGGCAATGGTGAAAAGGCATCTGAGGATTTCACATGGAACTAAGTTCTCGAAAGACAGAACTTTCGAGCCGGTAAGAGTCTTTATAGCCTTGTAGATATTGAGCTTGGGCAGAACGATGTTTCAGAAGGCGCAATGACTCTGCAAGACATCTGAAATGGATCGCTATTAACATAGGTGCTAGCTCTGATACCGCATCGTAGGCATCGTCAGCAATTCTCTTTTGGGTATGAGTATCCGGGCGTGCTCTTGAAACCCAGGACGAAGTCGATAATAGAATAGCAAGAGCATATAACGATACAGATGGGATCCTACAGCATGACATGATATTACGAATACCATAATTGTAGGACATGATTGCGGAAAGTTCCAGGTATCACCCAGTGGTCGGATTTCCAACTCCTCGGAGTGTTTTGTTGGGAGAGGCATTTCTCGCAGGATACCATGTTCTTCTTGGGTTCAACAGTCTACATAAATCCCTGAGTTACAACACACTCTCATTGTTGTTATTATTATGGTGAAAAGTAACGACCGAAAGCGTGCGAGCACTGTGAAGAATTTGAAGGGATCTCACATATCGAGGGTTAGTCACCGGGAGGCTTGCAGTGCAGAAGCGAATTACATAACCAGCTTAAGGTAACGTAATTCCCGGTCAATCCGAACACCTGGTCGTTCCGAACACCCCTTCAAAAAACGCGTCTTCTAAACCACCTACCCAATTCAACCACCTACTATGCCACCAATTCGCTCTAGATCTGCACAGAACTTAGCCCCTCAAGAGGGTAAGATCTTATTAGCCCTAGAGGATATTAAAAATGGCCGCATCACCTCTCTTCGCGCGGCGGCGAAGCTATACGAAATACCACTTACTACACTACACGACCGTCACTACGGCCAGCCCTTACGCGTCGATAAGCGCCTATCTGGTCATAAATTGACCTAATATAAAGAGGATTCGCTTACTGAGTGGATAATCTCTATGGATACGCGTAGTGCAGCGCCTAGGCTATCTACTGTGCGTAAAATAGCTAATATTCTATTGGCTGTGCGTAGTAAAGACCCTCCGCCTACGGTAGGTAAGAACTGGTTATTAACCTTCGTCTAAAGACGCCCTGAGCTTCGTTTAGCCTTCTCTAGGCGCTACGACTATTAAAGAGCCTAAAACGAAGACCCTATCTTACTACGAGCTTAGTTTGCGACCGTATAAGATATTATCGACGCGAACGGTATCTAATCGGAGGATATCTATAACTTTGACGAGACCGGCTTCGCTATAGGGATTATAGCTATATAAAAGGTTATTATAAGGGCGGAATATTACGGTCGGCGATCGATTTTATAACCGGGTAATCGTAAATAGGTTACTGCGGTCGAAGCAGTGAGCGCTAGTGGCTATTCGCTACTACCGTGTGTAATATTTAAAAGTAAAAACTTTATAGCGTCGTGGTTCGATAAAAAGCTTTATCTTCTAAAAGATTAGCGTATCGAGGTCTCGCTAAACGGTTAGACTACCGATAAAATTAGCCTTCGGTGGCTATAGAAGCTATTTATTCTAGCGACGACGATACGTACGAAGGGGAAATATCGACTCTTGATTCTTAATAGCTACGGTAGCTATCTTATACCTTAATTCGACGAGATCTGTATATAAAATCATATTATACCACTTTATATACCTCTGTACTCTTCGTATCTTTTATAACCGCTTGATGTTAGGTGTTTTACTATATTAAAACGTACATACGGTCGCTACGTAAGCGATCTAGCTCGGGCGTTATATAACTATATCGATAAATTCGATTTCCTCGCAGAGTACGCCTGGGTACGTACGGAGGCCTTTTAACCTTATATTATTTAAAATAGCTTTGCTGCTACTAGTCTTATTCCGGTCGACGTAGATCGAGTACTTTCGAAGCTTAATATCTTACTCCGAACGCTATTGCTACTAAATAGCAGGCTAACTACTAGCTGTAGCTAATTTAGCCTAAAAATACCTAGAACGGTCATCTAATTACAAAAATTAGCTTCGATATTAAAGGATCTATTAAGATATCGGTTAAATAGCCCTCCGAGCCTATCAAAAACCGTACTAGATCAGATTATTAAAGGCACTTGTATATCGCTTTACGGGGCCGCACTATTAGCGTAGGAAAACAGCGATCTATATACAGCGAATCAGAAAATACGCTAAAAACGTATACGATCTAAATAACAGATAGTACACGAAGGAGGCCTTACGGTCGAAGAGGGCCTATAGCTAGTTTAGCAGCTAAATCAGCTAATTAAAGACACTCTAGTAGTAGTGCAGCCGCAGGGCGATGAGGCTATTCAACTAGCTTAGCTAATCAGAAAAGCTCTACCGAAGTATAGTGGGTACGGGTAGGTCGGATATAAGGTTAATTATTGTAAAAACCGCTAGATTAAGGTCAAATTCATGTGTTTTGGTTGAGATATTAATATTCAAAATTTCCTAGTAGGGGTGGGTGTTCGGAACGACCGGGTGTTCGGATCGACCGGGAATTACGTTAGTTAACTAACTTATACCCTCCAGGACACGTCTGCATGATTTTATGATGCATGATATGATATTGGTTAATGCCGAGGAGTCTATACTGGCAATGTTTGCTTGATCCAAGTAGGCAAGAAGTTTTGTATGCTGCAAGGTAACCCTTGACATTTGTCTATTGCTTTTGTGAAAATCTGACCGATCTATAAGGAATCTATCTACCATAAACGCGTTGTATAATGAATGGTGGTTTGATTCGAGCCTAAACGAATGGACGGGAAATTTATCCCAAGGTGACGATGTACTGGGCGGAGGTCGAGCAAGAGTTTGTCGCGACATCGTCAGGGTGCTGGTAGGAGTCGGCACAGTTGGAGTCGCCGGCCGCACAAGTGGCGGATTTGCAGCTCGAATCGCTGGGGGTAACAGAGAAGCCATTCTTGACGAAGTCGGAGGACGAATCCAAGTTGATGGATGACAGATCCCAGTACAGCGTGTCGGAGTCGACAGTATATTCAAACTGAAGCACACTGTCTTCACTCTGAGTGGTAGATAGCTTGATCGAGATACCACCGCCGTTGGAGTTGGTCTGCCATTCTTCGCTGTAGGTTCCACCGCCAGAGCTGAGAGTCTTCATGCTACCGGGGTCGGACGAGGTTGTCCAGAGGTAGAGGTCGGAGCCCATGTTGTTCACAAATTGAACGTTGCCACTGGAACCGGAATCACGGGCACGGTGAGGCAGAGCCGCGGCAGCAGCAGCGAGGATGCTGGTAATGAAGACGTTGGCGAAGATCATCTTGAAAATGAAATCGTTTGAGCAAGAATGCCAAAAAGACGGTATGTGGGATAAGGACAGTGTCGTCTGATAAACAGATTGACAAGAGAATGTAAAGATCTGAAAGAGAATGATCAGATCGTAAAAGCAAAAAGAGAAAGAGAAAGAGAAAGAGAAGGACAAAAACTATCAAAGATTGTAGTAGTTGATGGGAAGAAGGAGCAACATCTTCGAGACATATCCTGGTATATATACCTATTGTACCTGGGCAGTTGGGGTTGTGGCAAATCTGAGCCGCGAACTCCATCCGACTCAGCCGGTAGAGTTGACAGTTCATGGGGTTCGCCAATCGCTTCGAAGTAGGTGGGCCATCTTTACCCCAAGGGTCTCGACCACCTTTGCCATCGCCGGAAATGGAAGGCTTCCGGAAGGCCTCAAGGTTTTCGAATTTTCCATCCTTCCATGCTATTCAACTGGTAGAGAATATCGTTTGCTGAATCCCCTGGAGGAACAAACGAATAAATGGGGTATTTCGTCAGTGGCGTTTCTTCTTTTTGAGACGTTTGGCTCGTTGCGCATGATGATTTTGCCGTTCACCAACAATGGCTTCAATGTGCCTGTTCCTGCAAAATTTGCAGGAACCGAACCAAAGAATTGATTATTAGCTGATCAAAACTAGGCAGCATGGCGAAGTAATTGTTAGATGGGGTGACGGGGGTCTTTCAGTTCTCGTGGATGCGGTATGCGATCCAGTTTTCGTGGATGCGGTATGCGATGGGAGATGAATCAATTGATGGTGCACCCCTTTATCAACACGATACCGTTCCTGCAGGAGGGCAATTCTAGACGAAAGACTTATCTACAGCTAAATTGCTCAAATAGAGTATTCTCATCAAAGGAAAGTCAACGTACGGGATTCTGAATTCGTTGGGTGATATTGAAAGCTTCCTCTTCAACTAAACCGAATATCCACGTCGACTAACTACCATACTGAAGAAGAAGCCGGTGGCGATCAAAAATCTAATCAAAATGGCATAAAATGCCTGATAAATTATCTTCCTTGACACGTAGGCTCTTGCTGCATAATCCAGATTGTACGTGGAACCTCGTTAGTTACTATTTCGGAAGGTAGGCCGAATGGATGCTGACTAAGGAGGCAACTGCCTAGGGCGGACTCATGAACCATAGGGCTGGCTCGTCTGGGTCACAGTTCTGGACAGACAATTACCGGGGTCGCGATGACTAACAGCCTCTAACATGGGAGTGAAAATGCAGGAGAAATATGACGGGAGATGGAGAGGGAAAGAGATCGAAAGAAAGAGAAAGCCAGCGTTTCTAACAGGAACATGGATTTTCTGCGCAAAAATTGAGCCTTTTTGCCTTCGCAAGAGAGATGATGTCTCCTGAATTGACTGGATGCAAGAGACCTCTTGAGAGATTGGCACGGGTCTGTCATACGGTGTGTTGGGACATCATATTTCTTCAGTATATATTATCACGCCAAGAATCCATCTTTATGTTGCACAATAATTGATACCGAACGGGCTCTCGATCGTCCACCGCATAAACCATGGAAAGCAGGGACTTCTTTTTAATAAAGAAGATCCTTCCGAATATATCATTCGGTGGAAATCAATTCCCAGTTTCTTCCAGGTTCTCTCTTGAAGGTGAAAATGTGGAGACAAAACCGGGGACCATTACGAATAGCCCGAAGGCACTCGTCGATGGTCGAGAAGCAACCCGAGGATTCTGATCCCGCAGAGGGATGTGGCGTAGAATCTACCAGTGGCGTCAACCACGGAACTGTCCTGTGGCTGACAAATGACGTGCGCAGCCACGCTCATGCCTACCAGCGCAACAATCCGACCATTCTTACTAAGGTGATACCGATGAATCCGATTCCTTATGGCAGAATTCGAATTAGCTACTGTGTAAAGTTTCATCGCGCCTATGTCTGGTACGATCTAAATTCAAAAGACGTGTCCCGTACGATAAGCCGCGTACTTCCGGTTTTCTTAGGCAGCTACCGTGCAGACAGACCTGACGGTGGTTGTTAGTTATCCTGCCAACATGGGATAAGACTCTTGTTTGACTGCTGCAATTACGAACTACTTATAATCCCTCGTCGGCTTATCTATTTTCCTATCGACTTGAATTTTGACAGTCTCTTCATTCCTCAAGCTGTCAATGCTGACATCCAATCATCTCCACATCCCCAGTACTCAGTTGACTAAGGCATCACTAACTTAACTTCCGTTAACTAGTAAACTCATCTTCGTTGCCCAATTAGTCAGCCCCTCATTTCTGCCTGCATACAAAGATTGTATAATGCCAGCATATTACAGTAACATTGCTGGGAGATGAGCTTATCGCTGCCTGTGTTGCAGCTGCGGGGAAGTGGGGTTATAGATAGCGAGAGGACACATGTTGCGGGAAGGTGCCGCGGAACATTAAAAAGGCACTGTGTGCTGTAAACTCAACTTGACTAAATGATCCTGGCTCTTTCATGACACACAATATGCGATCACCACAAACAATCGGACACGATGCAACAAACTTTTGGGTTTATGAACCCGATAGCGACACCATTGATCTCTGCCGCGGTACCAAGTCAAATGACCCCATCAGTCTCAAAACGACGAGGAACCAAATTCGAATAAACCCACAGAAGAGTGCACTCGTGGTAATCGACATGCAAAACTTCTTTTTGCATCCGGCTGTACGACCGCGAGTTGGAAATGGACCTACTGCGGCAGAAGAAGCCGCGCAGGCGCTGCTGAACACCGGGATTCCAGCTGCTCGGGCTCATGGCATACGTGTCATATGGCTGTGTTGGGGTCTTACAGAACACGATCTGAATACCATGCCACCAGGACTGATGCGTACTTTCGGTACCTACGACACTAGTCCATCTGGAGCGAAGCAGAATGAAGGCGAGACTTCTCTACCATCTGCACCGAACATGATTCGAAAGAAAAACCCCGCACTCTATAAGGGACTCGGTACCGACCTCGGTGATGTGGAGCTAGGAGATGACAACACCGTGCAAGGAGGAAGAGTTCTTATGCGTGACTCCTGGAATGCTGCGCTCTATGATCAATTTGACAAAGAATACAAGGCAAATCGGGATTCGCGGGCCGATATCACACGGAAGAAGCCCGACGTCCTAATTCATAAGGACCGGATGTCTGGGCTCTGGGGCTCAGGTTCAGAGCTGGAGATTTTCTTGGAACAAGAAGGAATCACCACGCTACTATTTGCAGGGGTAAACACAGATCAATGTGTTGGTAGCACATTGACCGATGCTTATAGCAAGGGATACGACTGCATCTTGCTGAGGGACGGAACAGCAACGGGTACGCCCTTTGGCGCAAGTGAGGTGTGGGAATGCAATGTCAGTAACTGTTGGGGATTCGTGACAACTTGCGACGCTCTTGAGAATGCATCCACGTAAGATATTCATGCGATCGATAATTGACAATGAATATTGCACAACCTGAACTCTTGACGATTACTCAGGACTTAGTAAGGTGGGGCGACCGTCGGCGCTCGTGAGCCCGTATCTTATCATTCATTCCTACCCTAGCCCAGGCAGCCATCAGATAAGTAAACCACGGTTATGGTCGCTGCGAAGGAATCATACTAGGTTTCCAGCAAAGTAAGTGCTATCTCGGTTCCGTCGGAAATTAATTAGCCCCCCAGAAATATCCTTGTGGATCTCAAGCGCCGGCGACCGAAAAGAGAGAAAAATTGTTCGCCGAATTCGACCTAGCTGGTCGGACACCAGGTTGGGCTTAGGGTCAAAATAAGCACTTAGGGTCAGAACAAGCACTATAAATCATCCCGAGCCTCCCCCTCGGGGCTAACCAAGAATTGTTCCCCATAATATATTTTCTTTTATTGTTGCGAAATAGTCTTCAACTCTGGCCAATCTGTCTCTTCAAACTCCCCTTAGTCTTCACGATGGCTGTGTCGAGTTCTAGCTCCTTACAATTCAAGGTCCTGCCTGCAACAGAGGAAGATTGTGCCGCGATGGCGATGGTCGAAACTGTTTCGAATTGTGCGGCGAGCAAAGTCAAGCCGGAGCACAATCTTGCCTGTGTGTTGTTCGGACCCCCTGGCGATACGTCGGTTCGTACAAAGGACTTTATCGACAAACTGCAAAATGACAAAACGGCGCGAATGTGGAAGGCAGTAACTACTGATCCTGAGGGCCAGGAGAAAGTTGTTGCTCTCTCACTCTGGCATTTTTACCTTGAGGCAGTGCCTATTGAAGACTGGAAGGATATTGAGTGGCCGGCTTCCGCAAACTCGGACGGCTGCAACAAGTTTTTCCGCGACGTCGTAGCCATGAGAAAGAAGCATATGACGGAAAGACGGTTTGGGTGTAAGTATATATGTGATTCCCCTTGTTGTGATCGGTAAATTTAACGAGAATTATAGTCCTACAAGTCCTGGCGACGCTGCCAGAATATCGCGGCTATGGAATCGGGTCAGCCCTTCTCAAGGAAGGCCTTGACGAAGGAATGAATAGCGGGCTTACTGATTTCTGGCTCGAGGCATCGAATGACGGTCATGATCTGTACGAGAAATTTGGATTTCAAGATGTCGAACCGATTCCAGTTGATTTAGCGAAGTATGGTGGGGAGGGGATGGCTCGCCTAAGGGCCATGAGGAGATTGCCTAATTGAGCACGTTTGATTGTATTTAGAGGTGCGCAGGGTTCACTTGGTAAATTCCGGTTGGAACAGGATTTCTTTTGTAGCCGCCGCATTGCGATGGACTTTACATTGTTAAAGATATTCTCTCTTCAACAGGTCTTCTCTATGAATACAGAGATTCATTCGGTGTTTCTTTTCGACTACTTACCAGTAGTCTTATTATGAGATTTCTGCCCTTTGATAGTATTCTGATCTGTATATTGCGCTTTTCTTGCGGCATGACGTGACTTCAAAAAAATGTTGGTTTTTGCATGCGACAAATTTTGATGCAATTCCTTCAAAGCTTTCATTTTAACGTACATGGTTAGAGCCATGTTTTGCTCATGGGAAGTCCAGTTCACTAGATTGCTTTTCGGGCAACGAGCCTACATGAATAATCACCATGAACGCTATTTCAATATTTAGGCTAAAGAGTACACATTGACATAAATAATACGCCGGATGGTTAGGGAAGGGAACCGAGAGGCACCAAAAAAGCATTCTTCTGGGCCACCTTTCAATCCAGGATCGATGGGCGCTGCGAACCACCAATTCCTCGCAGAAAACGCCGTGTCAATTTACGAGTGTCCGTTCTCATCTGCGGCGTCCTCGACATATGCAGTGCGGTCGGCAGCATCAGACTTGGATTTGGCTGTTGACTCAGTCTCGGTGGCTGCGCCGTCGTCATCATCCCCATTTCCATGCGACTCGTTGTTTTCTCGGGTTTCCTGGACTGATTTACCGTTGGTTTGCTGCCTGATGGGCAATGAGGCCTCCGCCTCGCTCTTCAACTCAGCAGCAGACTCATCTCCTGCCTGCGACGCCTGGGAACTCTTGTTCTTCCGGGCCCGGGCATTCGCACGACGGATCAAGCGATTGTGGTAGTCCTCCTGCTCGACCTCTGGGTCTTCGTGAAGAACGCGACGAGCAGCCTCGCGACCGACAACGGGTAAGCGGTCCACTCCTTGCGCCGACTGAGGGACCATTTTGGGGTCTAGGAGGCCGACTTGAACGAGCACACTGGCCTGATCCCAGTATGTGTGCTCCGAGTACAGACGGCCCGCTCGCAGGCTCACAATACTGACAAGGACAATTTCTACACGCTTCCCAGTTGGGGGCACCCCGGGAAGCATCCACGGAACTTCCTGGGAATGTTCAAAAGACACATACAGCTCATCAACGACACGGTCGGACCCAATGGTTCGTGACAGAAGACGAATCCGCATCGAGGGAGGAAGCTTGCCGAGGAAGTGGTGCTCGTAGAAACGACGGAGAGCTTGTGTACCAATCCCACCGCTCAATGTTGAGACATATGTGACTGATGGAGACTTGTGGGAAACATACGCGTCCATAGTCTTGGATATGTTGGATGCAAAGTACTTTCCTGTTGCCCATTAGTCTCTATTCCGTGGAACTTGCGGTTTGAACCTACCCTCCTGATGCTCCTCCCATTTTCTCTCCAAATCAGCTTCCCGCGAGAAACCTTTTCGCACGACCTTTATCGTTCGTGACCATGCTAGGTCGGCTGCTAGATGATCGTATTCCTCCATGTCATGTTCTGCGAAGCCCGGCTGGGCGTTGTTGTACGTGAAGGCCGGATAACCTAATTGGAGACGCTCACCGGTTCCAATGCCAGGATTAATCGGGCGGGTCTTTCGTGACTTCTTGCCTTGTAGGCCCAGTGCGGTCGGGATGGTAGTCACGTCGACACTGTCACCAGCTAGATGTACCAGGACAGGAAGCGAGAGCGGAAAGCGCGATCGCGTGTCGGGGATGTTGCTTGGGTAGTAGGCAACAAGTGTGCAGAGCCGGCTAGCATTCATGGGTTTCAGATAGTAATCCAGGCAGTAGTTTGCTGCTTCACCAAAAGCTGCTCGCCGTTAGCCATCGGGATTCTCTCCCCGCTGTCTGCTGCTAAAGCATTCTTACCGACCACGCCGTAGTTCTCGCCAACACCCAGTCCCTCTTTTACACTTTTAAGGCGACTCTCATAGTCCTTCCCACCTCCATCCAGTGGGAGATAGACAACATCGAACCCTTCATCCTGCCAGTTTTTGATCGTCTCCGCGTCAAACTCGCTAGTTTCGGCGGTGACGCACAGTCGCGCATTATTCGAGCCATTATTGTAGAGGAGGCCGCTGCTCAAACCGGGAGCATTAATTGAAATAGCTGCCATCGCGAGTTGCTTTTCTGGTTGTTCACAGCTGGAATAGTTGCTTCGATGTTTGTACACTACTGAGCGACTCAACACGCCAGTTCAGTAGTTCAGTAGTTCAGTAGTTCAGTATGGACTTGACCGCGAGACACTTTCTCGGACGAAACTAAATAGATATCTGAATTGGTATTTAGCTCCGGCAACTTCACAGCTAAATTGAAAAGAAGAAAGAGAAGCTGGTGGTGATGCGATGGCTGATGAACGCCCACGGGCGCTACGTCATTGGCACTGTCATGCTACCGCTACGTCATTGCAGTCGAAATTCCATGGAACAGGCCAGGTCCAACATAGTAATTGGCCAAACGTATAGCCAGCTCTGTGGAACAGGGGCTAATTTAAAAGATATGTTTAGAATGAGAAAAATAAACAGTGTGCTTTGAAGAGAGAACAGAGGCTTGTAGCTACACTGGCATGCTATTCCTGTAGATCACACATTAGGCTTTCGGTACTTATTAGTGACAGCGATGTTAGCTTCTCGGAGGCTTCTAGCTGACTTCCCCACAATTGTTTTCCGACATCACTATGATTGCCCACGGCACTAGTCATCTCATAGATAGGTGGTTCCAGTGCCAATTTTGAAACTGAGAAACACTGACAGGCGAAAGGCTTTGAAACATCTTGTCAGCGCATGGAGGGGTAACTTAACGCCAGCAACTGATTGGTCACATAGGAGACCGCATTTCTTTGGTTGATGTATGTATTGTGACGGCCCAAAAGTATTTGCACCCAAATACATCTGCATCCTGGCGGCGCTATATAGACTACACTGTGTACCTCTACACACAAAAGCGCAATACTCTAATCTAACGGGCAACAACACCTATTATTATGAACGAAGCGTGCTATACAAAATATTAGGTAGAGTTGAATAGGGATAAGAGGTTTCCGCATTGCAGAATATACGGCACAAATCGAGTACGTACTAGCGCAAAAGTACTAGGGTGCAGATAATTTTGGGTCTGTCACTAATACTGGATCAATCTGGAGCTTTGGTTTTGTAAGACTGGAGCTGAAAGGTGAGCTAGACTTGCAAAGAATCATGGACACACTCCTTGGGAATGTTCGTGTCTGCACCTCGGTCCATTTCTCCATCAGTTGAGAAAGATCCTCGGCAGTAGGCAAGAGAGGAAGGAGAGAGCCAAGCGCGAGGAACCCCGAAAACACTGGGCCTCATCGTCTCTTGCGCTTACCGAGCGCCCAGTCAAAGGAGACCTAACACCCATCAACGCGGCCTTGGCAGTCGCTGAGTTTCCCCTTGGGTGGGTCCTGGTCGGCATTGTGACGGCTGCCGATAGACGTCTCAACTCAGAGGAGGCTGAGGAGTCCAGCGAGCGGGGAAAGAAGCGCCCACTTCTGGCGCTGCCAGTGAAGGACAGGTGATATGAGATCCCCACCATCATCGGATGGAAAATGATGTACTTTGTATTGTCTCCGACGGGCCCACGATAGGGGAGGCAAAGCACATAGCATAGTACAGGATAAGGTACACTGTTCTTTTCACAGATCTCCAGCCCTATATTACCGTCCCCCTTCTCATCAGCATCCGATTACATTCCCATTGATTGGCTGCAATTTACCGGCTTGGATGATATCTCCACGTGAGACCGACGCAGTTGGCCCAGGCTTGTTTTATCTGCACCCCTGTGCTAGAAGCCGATCAACGCATTTCGATTTGCAGACCTAGATCAATGTCGGCTGTAATGCACGCTATCCCAAATGATGAGATCATACATGGTGTCCGGCAAGACCAGGCACAGCTAAGATGGGGTTCATGCATCATGCGACCATGACCGGCTCCGAATGGCCGTGCGAACAAATAGATACATCTATGATATGCCGTGGTCTTTGTTCCAGGGTCCAAACCCTGGCGTTACTGTCGTGCAATCAAGGTCCAGAGAGACGAGCCAGTCTCGTATAAATCCCTCGGCTTAAACCTACCAGCTGTCAGAGGAGCATACTTCGCCGGCTCTGAACCTTAACCTTCTCGGCGGCACTAATCCTGGGAGGAACTCCGAGATTTCGCAGGAGAAGAGGACGGTACAAAGTTAGCGGTGGCGACATGTCCAATGATTTATGTTGTGTAGTGTGTCACCGTGCCTTATCTCGAGGGCGAGGTGCAAGCCACCGACGGGGGGAGGTCCCCTACACTTCCACACATCCGGGGTAGACAAAGACCTGAAGGTCCAACCAGCATGGTTCCACGTGGACGCACGATGATCCAACAACTCCCGTGCCCCCACAACCACGCGTCGTCTCTCACCCGCCAAGCTGCCAAGCTCTTGTCTTCCCCGCATTCCCCCGAAGCGCATCCCCAGATCGTCGTCTTGTCCGCGCCACTAGCAGTCCAAGCCCCGCCACAGTTGATCCAGAGCACAATAACCGACAGGATCCTGGCAGATACCTCGGCGCGTTGCGAAATGCAGGGCTTAATCTGGGCTGCGCTGCCCAATACGAATTCCCGGGGATGCGTGGGAGAGGGGTTGACTCCACCAAAGGGCTGGGCAGTCTGATGTGCGAGTCAACGCTGGTGACGGTGTCTGGAGCGAGGAGCTAGACTGGCTGGGCGAGAATAAGGTGGATTCAATCGAGGCGCGTGCACGGTATGCTGCTGGGGTTTGTGTACCCCCCGGGCGAATGTCCCCTCTGGAGCCCACCCAGGATGAAGGATAAATGGACTTTGTACCCCATCTCCATCTCTGAAGCATATTTTGATCCGGCCTATTTCTGCTTCTGAACTTCCTTGCTCCCTAACTTGAATTTCCTTCTTCCCCTTGTCTTCGGCACTATGTCGGCGATGGACGAGAAACCCGGGAGCGTGGATCGCATCGAGGATCTTGCGCAGAAGACGCCTAGTCAGGAGACGCCAAAGGACTATGAAGATGAGGAGTTTACGCCCGAGGAGCAGAGGAGGATTATCAAGAGGATTGATCTCCGCTTGGTGACGATGACGGGACTGGCTTATTGTATCTCGCTCATGGATCGGACGAACCTCAGCATGGCTGCGGTGGCAGGGTATGTGTTTCTATATCTTAGGGGGAACTCTGAGTTATTCCCTGCCGTTGCTGACGCACACCTGTGCAGTTTGAAGAAGGAGCTGGCCTTGACTGTCGGCAATCGCTATGTTTGTTTCCCCCGACCGTCGTCTTCGGTGCAGCTGAACTAACAAGCCCAGTCCATCGTTGTCCTGATGTTCTTCGTCCCGTACGTCCTCTTCCAGCCGCCAATGACTGTCCTGATCCGCAAAATCGGGCCCACCATCTTCCTGAGCACGATTATCATGACCTGGGCCGTAATTATGATTGTACGAGGTTAGCGATTTACCCCGGCAGGGGACCTTGCGCTAACATTCTCGCAGGGGATGGGATTCGCCAAAAATTGGGGCCAATTGGTCGGCCTCCGTGTCTTGCTGGGTGTCCTGGAGGCTGGATATTTCCCCGGATGTGTCTATCTGCTTTCCTGTTGGTATACTCGATGTAAGTGGCCCAGTCAGGAGCCTTCTTTCAAGTGCCTAATGTTGAATATGGTTGTAGATGATGTCCAGAAACGATTTTCTGTATTTTACCTGATCGGCTGTGTTGCCTCTGCCCTGGCTGGTATTCTTGCCTTCGGCTTGATGCAGTTGAATGGCACACATGGTCTGACCGGATGGCGATGGATCTTCATCCTGGAGGGCGTGGTATGTCTCAACCGACCACCAACTTTTGACAGGAGATTTAACTGTTTATCAGATCACTGGGTTTATCGGGATACTCTGCTACTTCTTCCTAGTGGACTTCCCCGATCGCGCGGCCAAATCCTGGAAATTCTTGAATCAGAGGGAGTGCGATTTCATCGTGCGACGCATCAACAACGACCGCAATGATGGCCATCCGGAGGCATTCAACCTGAAGAAGTTCCTGCGCCCGGGGCTCGACCCCAAGATCTGGGCTTTCGCAATGATCTTCTTGTACGTGTCTACCCAACAAATCACCCCGATCAGACCGGCTAACAGGTCCACAGCTGCCTGACGACTGTAACTTACGCCATTGCCTACTTCCTCCCGATCATTCTGATGTCGGGCATGGGCTTCAGCGTCGGCCAGTCCCAATGCCTCGTGGCACCGCCCTACGTCCTCGCCGGCATCGTCATGTACTCGACCGCCTGGGTCGGCGATCGATACCACGTCCGCGCACCCATCCTGGTCTTCAACGCCTTGCTGTGCATCATCGGCCTCCCGATGATGGGTTTTGCCAAGGGAGACGCCACCCGCTACGCGGGTGTGTTCTTCACGGTGGCGGGCGCCAACTCTAACATCCCGGCATGCATGGCGTACCAGGCCAACAACGTGCGCGGGCAGTGGACGCGTGCATTTTCAAGCGCGACGCTTGTAGGCTTTGGCGGGTTGGGCGGGATTGCAAGTAGCTTGGTGTTCCGCGAGCAAGACGCGCCGGGATATCGGCCGGGAATGTACGCCGCACTCGCGTAAGTGTTGATCAGTTCCCTTTTCTCATCCTTTGTTTTTTTCGGCGCTGCTTATCGCGGGGGGCTGGCTCCCTTGCATGGCGGTCTGGACCCTGATCTGACTGGGCTATGGGTTGTGCTAACGATACTTGTGCAGGTGTAATGTTCTGATTATTTTGATTGTGTCCACGCTGAGTGTCTGGTTCCGGTTCTGCAATCGGCAGGCTGACCGGGGGGAACGGGTGATTGAGGGGGAGGACAGATTCCGGTATACCATTTGATGATCGGGTTTGATTGGGATGGGCGCGCAAGTCCGCGGGGAGAAGAGAGAATCTCTGGTGGATCACATGTTCCTGTACTGCGGGCAGTTCCGTAACGATTCAACGTTGATGAGCCAGTTCCCATTGCAAGGTTGTCGGAGGTGTAGAAGCGTAAATAAAACCAATTAGCCATTCTAAAGGGCAAGCTAGACAGCTCCGAACCTTCCAGCTTCTAGCTTCCCCCGGCAATAAACCTTTGTGAGGTCGGCAAGCATTCCCCTCCACAGAGTGGAGCCGCCAACTTTATCGGTGGACTTTCCCGACGGGAAACGTGCAGGTTCTCGTCCGGTCGCAGCCAGCTAGGGTATGGTTTGTCCTGTTTGCATTGACGATAAGCCCGCGGGCCTGTACGATTGGGCCGATAAGCCTGCGTTATCATCCGCGCCGACCGTTTCCCGCCAGCCCGTTGCCCGCCCCTCGGTCAAACTGTATGGAACCCGAAAAAGAGGATGGCAAATCATAAAATAAATGTAGCATTTCGCGGGCCCTGAATTTTCGTTCCTCTTCTCTCATCCTCTCCATTGTATCCCCGTTTTATGCGTTGAGGCCCCTCCTGCTTCTCCCTGGCTACCGCCCCTTCCCGACGTCACCCTCCGGTAGCTTCTCCAGCATGGCGGCCTCTTGGTTTGCCCTGCGCGGCGGCCGACAGCTGGCCCTGCGGTCGCGTGTTCGTGTCGGTCCCTCGCCGGTCTCACTGCGCACTGCCTCGGTTGCGCCATTAGCTATTTCTCGACGCTGCCTGAACACCTCCCAGCAGGCGACGCCCTCAACGGCAGCTCGCCGCGGTGTTTACACCAGCTCCGTCAACGCCCATGGCGACCCTCACCCCGAGGACATGTTCCAGCCCCTCGATACTTTCCCTCGCCGCCACATTGGCCCCTCTCCCGATGCCGCGTCCGAGATGTTGGCCGTGCTCGACCCTCCAGCGGCCTCGCTTGACGAGTTCGTCAAGCAGGTCCTCCCCGCGGACATCCTCTCTAAGAAGAACCTGAAGGTCGCCGAGCCCCATGCCGACATCAGCCTGTACCGCTCCCCCGTGCAGGGCGGTCTGGGCGAGACCGACATGCTCAAATTGCTTGACACCTACCGCAAGCAGATTGACATCTCCGGCAAAGCGTACATCGGTACCGGCTACTACCCGACCATTGTTCCACCCGTCATCCTGCGCAATGTGCTGGAGAACCCGGCGTGGTACACCAGCTATACTCCCTACCAGCCTGAGATCTCCCAGGGCCGCCTGGAGTCTCTGCTGAATTTCCAGACTCTGACCGCAGATCTGACCGGCCTGCCCTTCGCCAATGCTTCCATCCTGGACGAGGGCACCGCTGCCGCCGAGGCCATGACCATGTCCTTCGCCACCATGCCCGCTTCCAAGCAGAAGAAGGCCGAGAAGTCATATGTCGTGTCGCACCTCTGCCACCCGCAGACCATTGCCGTGATGCGCTCGCGTGCCGAGGGCTTCGGCATCAAACTTGTGGTTGGTGATATCATGGCGAATGACTTCCAGCTGGTCAAGGACCAGGGCGACCACCTGATTGGTGTCTTGGGCCAGTATCCCGACACCGAGGGCGGCATCTACGACTTCCAGTCCCTCAGTGACTCCACCCACGCCCAGGGCGGTACCTTCAGCGTCGCCACCGACCTGCTGGCTCTGACTGTCCTGAAGGCCCCCGGCGAGTTCGGTGCCGACATTGCCTTCGGTACCGCCCAGCGCCTGGGCGTGCCTATGGGCTTCGGTGGCCCCCACGCCGCTTTCTTCGCCTGTGCTGACAAGTACAAGCGCAAGGTACCTGGCCGTGTTGTGGGTGTGTCCAAGGACCGCCTCGGCAACCGTGCCCTGCGTCTGGCTCTGCAGACCCGTGAGCAGCACATTCGCCGTGAAAAGGCCACGAGCAACATTTGCACCTCGCAGGCTCTCCTTGCCAACATGACTGCTATGTACGCCATCTACCACGGTCCCGTTGGTCTGAAGTCCATTGCTCAGCGCATCATGGCCATGACCTCTCTGCTCCGCGAGAAGCTCGTTGCTCTTGGGTACAACGTGCCTGTTCGCTCCAACACCGAGGGCGGTGTGGTCTTCGACACTCTGGCCATTGAACTTGCAGACGCTTCCGAGGCCGATGCCGTCTATGCTGCTGCCCGCGATGCGAACATCTTCCTGCGCCGCCTTGACGGCAACAAGGTCGGTATCTCTTTGGATGAGACTGCCGGCCGCGATGAGGTCAAGGGCCTTCTGGATGTATTTGCCGCCTACAAGGGTGCTTCTCCTGTGGAGATGGATGGCCCTCTTGGTCTTGCTTCAATTCCCGCCAGCCTGGAGCGTACCTCGCCCTACCTGACCCACCCCGTTTTCAACACTCACCACTCCGAGACTGAGATGCTGCGCTACATCCACCATCTCGAGTCCAAGGACCTTTCTCTGGCCCACTCCATGATTCCTCTCGGGTCCTGCACCATGAAGCTCAACGCTACCACGGAAATGATCCCCATCTCTTGGCCCGAGTTCTCCCAGATCCACCCCTTCATGCCCGCCGACAAGGCCAAGGGCTACAACCAGATGATCGACGACGTCGAGCAGCAGCTTGCCGATATCACTGGCATGGCCGAGGTCACCGTGCAGCCCAACTCCGGTGCTCAGGGTGAGTTCGCCGGTCTTCGTGTCATCAAGAAGTACCAGGAGGCCCAGGGTGACGCCAAGCGCGACGTCTGCCTAATCCCCGTCTCCGCTCACGGCACCAACCCTGCGTCTGCTGCCATGGCCGGCATGCGTGTTGTCACCATCAAATGCGACACCAAGACCGGTAACCTGGATCTTGCCGATCTCAAGGCCAAGTGCGAGAAGCACAAGGACGAGCTTGCCGCCTTCATGATCACCTACCCCAGCACCTTCGGTGTCTTCGAGCCTGGTGCCAAGGAGGCCTGCCGCCTGGTCCACGAGTACGGCGGCCAGGTGTATATGGACGGTGCCAACATGAACGCCCAGATCGGCCTGTGCTCGCCCGGCGAGATCGGCGCCGACGTGTGCCATCTGAACCTGCACAAGACTTTCTGCATTCCCCACGGTGGCGGCGGTCCTGGCGTCGGCCCTATCGGTGTCGCCAAGCACCTGGCACCCTTCCTGCCCTCGCACCCCGTCAGCGAGTACCTGCAGTCAAAGCGCGGCAGCACCTCATCCCCGCCCATCAGCGCTGCCCCCTGGGGTAGTGCCAGCATCCTGCCCATCACCTTCAACTACATCAACATGATGGGCGACCGCGGCCTCACGCACGCTACCAAGATCACCCTGCTGAACGCGAACTACATCCTCTCCCGGCTGAAGCCGCACTACCCGATCCTGTACACCAATGACCACGGCCGCTGCGCACACGAGTTCATCCTCGACGTGCGTGTCTTCAAGGAGACCTGCGGCGTCGAGGCAATTGACATCGCCAAGCGTCTCCAAGATTACGGCTTCCACGCGCCGACTATGTCTTGGCCCGTCGCCAACACGCTGATGATTGAGCCCACCGAGTCCGAGAACAAGGCTGAGCTGGACCGTTTCTGTGACGCACTCATCTCCATCCGCCACGAGATCGCTGACGTCGAGGCTGGCAAGCAGCCGCGCGAGGGCAATGTCCTGAAGAACTCGCCCCACACTCAGCGCGACCTGCTGACGACTGAGTGGAGCCGCCCCTACACCCGTGAGACGGCCGCGTACCCGCTGCCCTACCTGTTGGAGAAGAAGTTCTGGCCGACGGTGACTCGTGTTGATGATGGTAAGCAATCACCCACGTACCCTTTTCCCCCATTCTTCTCTCTGCCTCCTGCATGTCTTATCACCCGATCCACCTGCTAACTATCCTCCCAGCCTTCGGCGATCAGAATCTCTTCTGCACCTGCGGCCCCGTTGAGGACTCGGAATAGATGTATGATACCCACGTTGCGTTGTGATTAAAACTCTTGGCTAGTCTTGACCAGATTGGCTTTGCTTGCATTTGCGGTGCGCAGGATCCCTTAACTGGTCCGCGCGGTGTTTCTTCTCTGTGTATACATTCAACATTTCTTATTACTTTTATCTTGTACCGGATCATGATGACGACGTCTTATTTCTGATTTTCTTTCATTTTGTACTAACTAGCTCCTCGAAAGCGGGTAGAGCTGAAGTGATTCAACATATCTATTACATCATCAAGTGCTCTCCTATGGTTGGGTAGTGGATATTCATCGAACAGAAGTGTATTGATTCCGTAGACAGTCCCTTCGCGAATTCCTCCGTAGCACCCCCAACAGTTTGACAGCAGTGACCTGGCAAAAGTCCAGAATATCATGGTTGAGCTTCACCTCTTTGATAAGACCCTTCCGGATGTCTTCTAACCCATCCATGTAGATATTTTCCGACTGAAACTTGTAGCGCAATTCCGAGCGCATTAACCAAAACATCCACTTGAATGATATTCGGGGGTTTTCAAACAGCCCAATAGTATCATGGAAGGGACTACCGGAACAGCTCGACGCAGTCAAAGATCTGGATATTTTCGTTCCATGTCAGCACAACATTACCATACTCCTGAGCTCTGGACCAGAAAAACACTACGCTAGGGGAGAGGAAAATCTCACAAAGTTAGGACTGAGGAATTCGTCACCCGAACTTCCCGAAATCACAGAGATAGTAATCTACCAAACATCAGCAACCAAGCCAGCACTCCCAAAGCCGCGACCTCCGACCTCGACACCAGCGTGAAACATACCGTGTTCGTCCCCGCAACAATCGTTCCACTCGGAATAGCAACGTCGTAAACATTCCCCAGCCCGCGATAGGCACCACGCGTCACACCCCGCGAGTTAAGATTCGTCGGCGCAGACGGTGCAGAGCCCGTGTAGCTATTCACTGTTACCTGGGGCCGGCCGCCTGCGAAGGAGAGCGTCGTGCCAATCCTCAGCGTCGCAGCGCCGGTCTGCGAGGACGTGGCTGTGAATTTGATTGTGATGGGGGAGTTGACGGCTTTGAAGATTGCCATTGGGAAGGAACCTTCTGATGAGCTGCCGACTGTGTAGGTTCCGGGGCTCCAGGAGGACATGCGGGCGTCGGAGGGGTGCATGCGGAGTTGGAGGTCGGCGTTGAGGAAGTTTGTTGGTCTGGGCTTGTGAGTATTGGACTTTCATTGGGGAGGGAGTGTAGGGGTAGTGGAGGGCGGACTTACTGTCCGTCCCATTCTCCGATCTTGAAGAGGGTGGTTCCGGTTGTCACGGAGCCGGAGATGCTCTTGCTGGTTGTTGAGCCTGCGGTGACTGTCACCGATGATGTGGCTACGGGGTATTCGCCCTGGTAGTAGATCATGGTGTACGTGCCGGGCTTCATGGCTGGGGAGGTAAAGCTCCCGCTTGAGGAAGTATAGGTCCAATACTGAGCGGCAGTGTTGTACCTATTTTGGTTAGCCGTGGCCGCTCTGCAGCGATCAAAAAAGTGCTTACCAGTGAATAACCCAGTCAAAGGAGGAATCAGCCCCCGAGGCTGTACCGGAGACATATCCTCGTCCAGAAGTGGGAACGTAACCCGTGATACTGAGGTCGGCAAAGAATGAGGTGTCGATGTCTGTGCTGGGTGTACCGCTGCGACTGAAGTACATCAGGTACGGACCGTGCAGGCCCTGGCGGTATGACTCCGTCTGGACATGGCCCGAGTTCATGTACCAGTACAGACCGGTGTAGCTGCCGACGTTGTTTGTGTTGATGTCCCTTGATTGTGTTAGCATCAACGATTGAGCGAGAGGCGAGGGGCGAGTAGCGCAGCTTACCGGTGGAATGGGCCTCCAGCGGATGTTTCATATTGGTTGAGAATCATGCACACCCGATGAGCAGATCCAGAAACACCTGCCATCGCGTTAGCCAATCCATAGTTGTCCATAGTTGTCGAGCCCTGCTTCGGAGTCCTCACAGTGTCTCTGGTCGTCGATAAATCGCTGGCTCGAATAGAACTTGCTGCGGGTTTCGTCGCCAACCAAGAACACGTCCGATCCTTCAATAGCGGTACCACCATCGATGTTGGAAACTACTCCGAATGGTTCTTCATTCGGGAGAAGGTCTGCGTTGAGGCGGGCGATGTATCGAAGTTCTCCAACCGAGGGTTCTTGCGGCAAGTCAGTCAGGATCAGGATCTCCTGTGTTTCTAGTGCAACTAACCGGCAGTAGTGTACGTCGCCATATAGATAATAGGATCCCCGCCGTGGGCGACGTAGTAGTGAGTCAAAGTGTCTGTCTCACAGGTGATTTTGATATAATCGCCTAGCCCGTATAATCAGCCATTCGTCCTCAGTCGGCGAGGATGATCAGTTACTAACCGCTCTGCGTCGCAGTGACAGTGGCACTCCCCAATCCTGAACCAATGTGCGAGCCTGTTGATTGATACTGCAGTTCAGATCCATAATAGTTGATCGAGGTGATATCGCAGTTGGCCCGGTTGACCGTGAACTTGAGCGGGTTAGTAGATCCAGCGTCAACCACGTAGGAAGCAGTATTAGTAGTGAGTCCAAAAGCAGCATCAACAGCCTTGCCCCACAGGGCCAAGGAAGCGAGCACTACACCCGAGAAGAACATGCTGTACAACAAGAGCTTGAGCTTGGAAAGTGCTTCTCCAAATCCTCACGTCAAAACTCTGCGCAGGAGGCGCTCTAATATACCGCACCTCACCCTGATTCTTCTGTCTGAAACCCTGCACCCTGAACGGTGGAGATTCACGCTAACTACGCTCCGTCTCTCGCATGGACTCAGATGATCATATTACTGTTGACATTTAGTTCCACCAATCTAAATACATCGCTCTCGCGAAATAGCCTCAGGATGATACTCCTTTTGGCACGGCAATTCTCTCGCGCCCAATTTAAATCCCCTGACCATCCGAAAGGCCCGATATTTCCCCCACGGACAAAATTAAAGCATCTTCGCGCTGGCGTGTTAAGCCTCTTCACTGGTGCTAGCTTGCCAAGAACCCCTGCAATTCCATGTGCGGGAGACGGCGGTTTCAACGCGCCGCGCGAAGAGCAGCAGTCGCACACACTGTAATCACTTTTAGTCTTGGCTCCGCCTAGAAGCTGAGTCCGAGAAATTATCCGGTGAATCACTCGATCGAGGATCAAAATACAAGGAGGATTTCCAGTGAAGGGCTTGTCGGTCTGCTTTGTAGCGAAACGCCGAACTGGCCGTGATGCATTTCGCCTCATCGCCAAGCGCTTTGCGGGGTATATGCGCGCACTGCGAGCACCACTGGTGGAGGATTATGGCGGTGGCAAGTCAGATTTCCGAAACTAGTGCCATTGAGATGTTCAGGATCTAATGATTCAAAACTGGATTCCTTCTGAATGAGCTCCTGGTACAGTTTCAGAGTCATTATCCCATATGCTCAATTAAAAATCTTCAGGGTTGTCACCATTTCAACGTCCTTTTACCTCGCGTCAGGTGAATAGGCGGCGGGGATTATATTTGGTCTATGTTTTTCCTGGGTCGCTGCCAGGATCATCAAGTTGAGGGTGGCTTGGCTCTAAGCCTTACGTAGGTCCACTATGTCCTGGCCTATAAGCAGTCCTTAACGAGCAGTGTATCCGCCGTCCACAGGTAAGCAGACCCCAGTCACCCAACTCGCATCCTCACTTGCCAGCACAACAGCCATCCGGGCGATGTCATCTGGAACACCCGGTCCTTTCAGGGGATGCCGGCGGTGGAGATCTTCCCATGGTGTGAGATGAGTGGTCGTCTCTTTGAATATGGCGGTTTGCGTATCTATACAACTATTAGCATCCGTGCAGTAATCACGGCCGGTATCACGGAGAGACCAAACTTACACCCAGGACAGATGGCGTTGGAGTGGATTCTTTGTGGCGCATAGTCCAAGGCTATCTGTCTTGTCAGTTGGCTCACGGCACCCTTGGATGCGCAGTAGGACGCTAGAAAGAACATTGTTAGTTTGACGCCCACTACTGACAGGACAAGACCCACGATTCTCAGGCCCGGCAATCATCCCCATGATCGAGGAGATATTGACGATCCACCCCCGGTCTCCCGACGGATGCGGTTCCTGGGCCAACATCTGCGTCAGGGCGTACTTGCAGCCCAAGAAGACCGATTTGACGTTCACGCGCATCGTCGTGTCCCAGGTCGCTTCATCGGTTAGGTGTAGCACGGCCGGGGTACGAGCTTCGATACTGATACCCGCATTATTGACGAGACTGTCCATATGTAAGTACTTGTCCGCTTCCAGATTTTCGGCAAATGCTATACATGTCAAGTCGGCCATATGTCGTCACTGTGGCCTTGACCAGGTCCTCCATCTGGGTTGCATACCCGACGTCGGTTTGGACAAATATGGCTCGTCCTCCGTTTGCGATGATCAAATCGTGTGTGGTTATATCAAGTTCCTCTTGTGACCGTGCCGTTGGCGTCAAGTCGGCACAGACTACTCGGGCGCCCTCTTGGGCGTAGCGGACAGCGATGGCTCGACCAAGGCCTGATGAAGAGCCAGTCACAATGGCCACCTTGTTGTGCAAACGAAGGAATTGCGACATTTTAGGTAGTTTAAGCGTTGACTTGCGCGAACTCTGAAGCTACAGGTTTGTGGAAATGAGGGGTAAAAGTATTTCTTGCTTACTTGCAGAATACGTTGCGATATATATAGTAAGCAAAAAAAGTATCGGCAACTGAGCGGGGTCCTAGGTATTCTATCATCTAGGGAAACTGCTATCCGGCCACCTGCTAACTTCGTGTTCTTCTGAGAATTGACACGCTTCTCGGGGGAAGTTGACGTGTAAATGCGACAGAATCGCCGGTGAAGAGGGATAGGAGGGTTAGGAAAGAGTGCCGAGCGCGGGGTGCGCCCTCCGCGTCAACTTCCTATTCGGGTGGTCGCGTTGGGTCGATGGTCCGCTGTTGGCATTATTCGGCTTTCTTTCCAGAGCTTTCCACAGTTTGGCGTGGCGATATATCTTGGATTTCGTACATCGTTGAGGCCTTGCATGATGCTAGAACTGCTTACACATAGCTATCATCTCACGTCTATCCTGGTCAGAAATTCGCAATCCGCATGGCCGGGAGTTTGGTTGAAGTAGCGATCAACATTCTTCCCGATTGATCAGCATTCCAGTGGCCGTCTCGTCTCTGCCTGTTTCCAGCTCGGGATTCTGCCCACATTTCAAGGAGTGGGGACCGAGCTTCCCCAAACATCACTGAACTTTTAGATGAGTGTGTTCGAGCGTGCATTGTCGTTTTGCGGAGGTGGTTAGTTGCGTCCACGGCTGGACGGGACGCAGAACAATATTAGGCTCCACCGATTGTGCTGGAGTGTATACACTCACCACGAGTAGGGCGCCACAAGTAGCCTCAATTTCGGATGAAATGCCGTGGAATCTTCAATCGCCCAGACGGCATGGGCAACACGATCGCTGGTTTCAGTCCGCGATCCACCGGTTCAACGGCATGCCACGATCGAGATCGCGTGGTACCTTTTTTCGGCACCGAGTTGATGAACCCAAATCGGAAATGACCGATAAACACCGGCCCATGCCGTAAACCGCGATTGCTTATGGGCACGATGTCTGAGCTCGGACACGATCTCATTCTCCTTCCGCGACCGATCCGATCCCCCGCCCTACTAACGAGGCGGGAGTACCCCTGAGGAGAGCCACCGACGGAGTCCGCCCCTGCAGTGGTGGAGTCCGGCGCAGAAGTTTCAGTCCATCGGAGAGCGATGTAACAGCTTCATTTTCATGTTGGAAGGAGGAAGGTGTAGGTTTTAGTGCGAGGCTGTTTGTTTGGACTGAGCCTCCTCTGAGGACGGCCGTTGTTCCACCGGGGCCTGGAAGGTGATTGTGGGCGTTTGGGCTGCATGGGGAAAGACCACGCTAGCCCACACACGATGATCTTGTCTCGGGTGCCTCTGCCAAGTGCCGTCTGACCACTCATATCTCGCGACTGCTGGACGACTGCAGTAGCCTCCGCAAACAATAGTTGGCATAGTATTGTTCTCGGCTTGACGAGAATCTCAAGCAATCGAGCCTAGCCTAGTTCGTTTCCACTGCATATATACAGGGGCCATCTCGATCATCATCATGTTGACAGTGACGTTCTCTGAGCTTGCATTTCGAAATTGTTTGGGGGAGTTTTCAAAAATTCCTTTGCCGCGACACTATGCATAGTTCCGTGCTGAGGCAGTTGGCTGTCGCCCTGGCAGGGCTGTCAAGCACAGCTGCTGGGATGGGGATGACGGCGCTTCGCCAGGAGCTCAAGCTCGCCGCTGAGATGGGAATTAATCCAGACTCTATGCTGAAGCAGCAAAAATCCGTGCATACACTGGCAAATCCGGGGGATTCGAACAAGGTTGTTGCAAAGACCGCCTCGGTGAGACATGCAGAAGAACCTGGGAAATTGATCAGCCTATTTCTCACCAACTGTATTAGATTCCAATCGACCATAACGACGTTTCGGTGGGGACATATGCGAACCGCTACTGGGTCAATGACCAATATTATCAAAAAGGAGGACCCGTTTTTGTATATGATGTTGGCGAGGCGGGGGCAGAGAGTACGGCGAAGCAGTTTCTGGGAAATTCCACGTCGTTCCTCAGCGAGATGCTGAAGGAATTTGGAGGAATCGGCATCGCGTGGGAACACCGGTCGGTTTGATCTGATTCAATGGCTCGTTGCACCACGTGCCGGCATCTCCCGTGCGATTCCGTACTAACTCGATGTCTCACTCTAGATACTATGGACAATCGCTACCCTTCAACGTCAGCGTCGATACTCCACCGGAGGAGTTCCAGTACCTGACGAACAAGCAGGCACTAGCTGACATCCCCTTCTTCGCTCAGAACTTCACACTCGACGGCCACGATGAGAACCTGACACCTGATACCAAGCCTTGGATCATGATTGGAGGCTCATACGCCGGCATGCGCGCCGCCTTCACTCGCGATGCGTATCCCGACACCATCTTTGCCTCGTATGCCTCCTCGGCGCCGGTCGAGGCTCGTGTGAATATGAGCATGTACTTTGACCAGGTCTACGATGGAATGGTGGCCAATGGCTACTCGAATTGTACCAAGGACATCAAGGCGGCTCTCGAGTATATTGATGAGGAACTCTCGGCGAACGCGTCTTCCGCCGCGGCGATCAAGAAGGGCTTCTTCGGCGACGGCGCCGAGACGAACAGCAACGGCGATTTCACCGCGGCGCTGGGAGGCATCTTTGGTTACTTCCAGTCGTACGGTCTGGGTGGTGGGGAGGGCGGCCTGGGCTCCTTCTGCCAGCACCTTGAGACCGACCCTGACACTCTGCAATCGGCTGGACCTGGCGGCTTCGCTCCCGTCCGGGGGAACAAGTACGTCGCGGAGCGATTTGCGGCGTGGCCCGTATTTGTCGACCTGATCAACTTCAATTACCACACCAACTGCCAGCAGCGGGACAGCACCGAGCCATTGGAGTGCGCGCTCAACCCCCTGGCCACCGACCCGGACACCATCAGCTGGACCTGGCAGTATTGCACCGAATGGGGATACTACCAGAGCAACAATGTCGGACCCCATTCATTGCTGTCGCAATTCCAGACTCTCGAGTACATGCAGTATATCTGCAACCGACAGTTCCCCGAGGCCGTGCAGAGAGGTCTCCTGCCCAAGGAGCCGCAGGTCCACGCGACGAACTCGCAGACCGGCGGCTGGACCATCCGCCCATCAAACGTCTACTGGAGCGGCGGCCAATTCGACCCCTGGCGGACCCTGTCTCCCCTCGCCACCGAGGACGGTGCCCCCCAGGGCGTCACCTTCACCACGGATGTCCCCGAGTGCGGAGTGGAGACGGAGGAGAACACGCTGTTCGGGTATATCCTGGAGAATGCGGAGCACTGCTTCGACTTTGTCAGCGGCTCCAGCGCCGGCGAGATCTCCCGCGGGTACTTTCACAAGGCGCTGAAAGCCTGGCTGCCCTGCTTCAAAGCGCAGACTACCATCAACTACCGGGATCGATCCGGCGACCATAGGAACGACCAAGGGCGTCCGGGGAAAGGGAGGGCGACAGGGAACCGTTGGGATCGGCGGAGCCACTAAGGCGCGCTTCGGCTAAGGATCGGCGCGGAGAAAAGAGTCTGGTGCATAGGATAATTTCGTGATTGGCCCGGTGCCTCAAAATATGATGTGTAACTTCGGCCCCTCGCTCGCCCTAACCCGTTTCTGACCTGCTTGCGATGTCGCCGGCTGTGACGATTTTCGCACATGCAGCGCTGCCGAGGAATGAGTGTATTCCCCGCGGTGCGCAGAGATGCGTCAGAGGAGACCCGCTGGACTTCATTTAACTCGTCATTTCGTTCTTTTTTTTTTTCGACAAACAAGTCGTAGTATACTGTACTACTGGCTATCGCCAATTGTTATACGATCTAGATCGGAGATCTGCTGCGGCCCCAGGATCATGCTGCTCAGCCCGGCTCTCGTTTTGGTTGGTGCGCTGTACGCGACCTTCCTGGCTCTGCGTTACCTCGCCCAGTTACACCACCACCGGAAACACGCCAAACAGTTACACTGCCAACCCCCTGCAACAGGTAATTCGTCCTTCTTGGGTATCCCGGCCTTTCTGCGCCTTCATCAGGCGGTGCGCGAGAAGAGATGGATCGACTATCTTTGCGACCAGTTCGATCTCCACGGCACCACGTTTACTCAGCGGTTCCTGTCGCGCAAATTGCTTACAACGATTGAACCGGAGAATGTGAAAGCAATTCTGGCGACCCAGTTCCAGGACTTTTGCCTGGGGACTCGACATGAGCAGTTTTATCCGCTGTTGGGCGATGGGATCTTTACTCTTGATGGTGCGGGCTGGTCGCATGCCCGTGGCTTGTTGCGACCGCAATTCACCAGAGATCAGGTAATGCGACGCCATCAAATGAAGGCTGTGTCGCCTCGAGATTAACCATGTCCTCCAGGTTGCGGATCTCTCCATGCTTGATGACCATATTTCCCACCTGATCAACCTCATCCCCAAAGACCGCAGCAGCTTCGACATCCAGCGGCTCTTCTTCCTCCTGACCCTGGACTCGGCCACGCATTTCCTGTTTGGCGAATCCGTCGGCTGCATGTCGCCCCAGACCACGGGCGTTCTCGAGAAATCCGCCGTGCGCAACGCGCAGGGGTTCGCCGACGCATTCACCACCGCCCAGGACTACCTCGCCGCCCGGTCACGCGCACAGGGTCTGTATTGGGTGATCAATCCCAAAGAGTTCCGTGAAGCCAACCGCCGGGTGCATGAAGTCGTTGACCACTACGTCAATGTTGCACTGGAGGCGAAGCGCAATCCCGATCGCAAACCGGGTGACGGTCGATATATCTTCCTGGAAGCTCTGGCAGAGGACACGGATGATCCGAAGATGCTGCGCGACAACATGCTGAACATTTTACTTGCTGGTCGTGACACTACGGCGAGTCTGTTGTCATCGGCGTTCTTCTACCTTGCCCGTAACCAGGACGTGTTCCACCGGTTGCGCCGCGAGATTGTTGAAGAGTTCGGTGACAGCAAGAATCCTCGCGTTGAAATTACCCAGTCCAAGCTTAAGGATATTACATATTTGCGATATGTGCTGAATGAAGGCAAGTAGTAGCCGTGGAAAGATAACACTCGGAGCTTTCGCTAACACTCGACCGTAGTCCTCCGTCTCCAACCCCCTGTTCCGGTCAACTTCCGGGTCGCGACCAAGGACACATCTCTCCCAGTCGGAGGCGGCGCTGACCGCCGATCGCCCGTCTATGTGAAAAAGGGTACCTTGGTCGCCTATAATGTCTTCTCTATGCACCGCCGCACCGACCTCTGGGGCCAAGATGCTCGCACATTCCGACCTGAGCGCTGGGAGGAGAACGCGAAACACGGATGGGAATACCTGCCCTTCAACGGTGGTCCGCGCATTTGTCTTGGCCGTAAGTGACTCAATCCGGATACACAAAGCCCGAGAACCGTGCATTAACTAGAATTCAGAGCAATATGCCCTTACAGAGGCCAGCTATACGGTCGTCCGGTTGATGCAGCACTTCGACACCCTCGAAAACGCTGATCCGGATCCTCGGCAAGAGCCCATTAAACAGTCGAACCTGACTATGATGCACGATCACGGCGTGCCAGTGAAGTTGTACTCTTTGCAGCCTCTCTAGGCTGAGGCATGAATTACGTTTTTTTTATGCCCATGTATATAAATCGATTGCAATCAAGATCTTTTGGTTCTCCGTTTGGCCCTGCCTGGATTCAGCTAGTCTAAGGAAGCTCAAGCTTAGAGACTTGTGTCTTGAATAATACTAGTCGGAGATTGTGGTCGGGTTTAAGTTAGGAGACTACACGAGGCTGAGGCCGCCCGACGTGGTAGGCCACGGCAATGGTTAAACCGGGAAGGGTTCTGCACGGCATAAGTCGGAGATCGAGCCCGTCAACGGGCCTTAGCGCGACGGGAAGAGCGGCTTTACCTGTGCGGTCTCCGGACCCTGCGCTGCGCTAAACTTGATCGGGGAACGAGCGGCATCCTATTGGTTCACACCACCCAACTGTCTCCTCTCGCAAGCCCACCGAGGCCGGATGTTATTGACTCGCACATTTACTGTGAGAGCCATATTAGAAGAACGGGGAAGAACGGGGAATGGTCTTCGGCTTTGTGCTTCATGTCCATTGAGTGTAATAGAAATTTGCAATCGCTTAAGGCTAGCTTGACTATCATATAAATGCCGCATTTTCCCAACCTGCCCATCTAGAAAAACAGCAAATCAATTCAGCTGCCATTTCAACTCTCATAATCACCACCAGCACCGCCGATACAATGGCATTTCCCTACAAGCACGTCCTCCTCATCGGAGCTACTGCAGGAATCGGCCGCGCCATGGCAGACCGCTTCCTCGCGACAGGCGTCAAAGTCACCGCAGTCGGCCGTCGCCAGGACCGCCTCGACGACTTTGTGAACAAAGATGAAACGGGAAACGCCAGTGCCATGGCTTTTGACATTTCTGAGATCTCAAAAACCCAGGATTTTGCTGATAGGTGAGACCACACCCCTGTCTTCCGTGTGGCCTAGTAGCATCGCTAATCTCAGGGCATAGCGTGATGAAGAGCCACCCCGACATCGACTGCCTCTTCCTCAACGCAGGTGTTCAGAGCTCATATGACCTAAGCGACCCAGCCTGCTTTGATATGGGAAAATTTCAGAATGAGCTTCACGTCAACTATATTAGCCTTGTCGCGCTGGCGCATGCATTTGTCCCTATTTTCACCAAGAAGGACACGCTAACCAGCTTCATCTTGTAAGTCAATGCCGCCCAATGCCCCAGATATGTTTGTGTGGATACATTGATACTGAACGAGATTAGCACTGGCTCCAATATCGCCATCGTTCCCGCCACCACGCTGCCCGCCTACTGCGCATCCAAAGCGGCACTGAACGTCTTCACGCTCTGTCTGCGGGAGCACCTACAACACACCAACGTCAAAGTGATCGAATTATCTCCCCCCGCTGTTCAAAGTAAATCTCAGCCCTTTGCTAGCGGAGTCTGTGGTGCTAACACCTCCAATAGCCGAACTGCACGACTACATGGGCGAGAGGGGCCGGGCCCTGGGTATGCCTTTGGATCAATTCATCGATCAAGCGCACGAGGGTCTTCTTGCGGGCAAGGATCAGATTATTATTGGTGCTATTGGGCCTGCGGAGACATTTAATGAGATTGTTGATAAGCGGCGAGCGGCGTTTGATGGTCTGGCGAAGATCATGCGGAGCCATTAGATTGATGGAATCTCTTTAGGGAGGTAGTTCATGGGATGTATATATGAAAATCTTCAGCTCTTCTGTAGTATTATATCTTCAATACTTTCTTGATATATATCTTACTTAGTAATCGGAACTTCTAAATGTCCCTTTCCTCTTCAACTCTTACCAACATCAACTTAAGACTGGTCTACTATATTACTTTACCATAAGACGCTTATACAACTCTCACTACAACCTCATATTCCTTGTACCTCACAACGAGATATGGCCTACCTAACTCTCGCTTCTCGTTTTTCAAACTCTCACCTCAGAAAAAAGGTTCGATATTTCGAAGCACCCAATGCTGTGATATGGTCTCCCAGCTATTTATGAACATAATTTCACCTATAGAAACTAATGTTGTTCCTTACTAAGCATGAAGATCAACAAGCAGCATCATAGACACTGGAAAGTAAATATATCGTTCAATAGGCTTTTTAGAATAAAACATACGTTCAAGATAATTCATGGCTTTGGTTGGGATGTGCCTATGGAGAGGGAAATTTGATAACAACCTTTGTCTCCAGACGTTGGCTAGCCCGCTCATAAAATTGTGACACCTCTTCAAGTCCAATGATACTGCTCAGGATAAAGCTGGGCTTTGCTTCTCCCTTCGATATCATTTCCATTAACTTGGGGGCCGCCAAGGTTGCATCAATAGCACCCGATCTCACCGGCGGGCCCTGTTTGAAGAACCCAGACATGACAAATTGGAAGGTTGGCAATAGGTCCTGCCACCGTAGTGTGTAGGACCGATTACCGGGATCTTGATATGTTCCAACTCGACCGATGCCACCACCAACCTTAGTGATCTCCATCATGTTCTGAAGAATCTTGTCCTCTGTCAGTTGAAGCCTATTCGCAGCTTCGATCCCAACACAATCAACACTTCTTGTTGCCCCATCGGGCACTTGGCGAAGAATCTTTGCAACTGGGTCCGAATGAACAAGGTCGATGGGCATGGCTCCAAGTCCCTCTGCAACTGACAAAGTTTGACGATCGCCGTCGATGAGGAATACGCGGGAGGCACCCCGAAGCACGGCCGAGTACACAGCCATGAGGCCAATAGGACCAGCACCGAAAACAGCAACTGAATCACCTGGCTGATAACCAGCCAGATCAAGAGCTTCCCACCCCATAGCGAATATACTCGATGCTAGAAGGTAATCGTAGTCGAGGTTTTGAGGAGGAGGATTGGATGGAGCATCGCTGTTTTGGGGGACGAGGAATAAATTGTCGTTTGCGGACGGAACTCGCACATATTCAGCTAAATAATGCGTCAATATGCTGAAGATACGGCATTAGTGGCTGTGGGTCCAAGTCTTCATCTTACCTTGACATCCCGTTGTCGCATAGTAATTGACCCCCAGTCCCAACCCCATCAATTCCGCTGTAGAAAGGTCGAAAAGCCCACCCGAAACTTGATCGGGGACGACAACTTTATCACCAACGGCGAATGACGTGACTGAATCCCCGACTTCAACAACGATCCCGAGTGCCTCATGTCCCATCACCCATGGCACCTCCTTCTCCTCATAGGCTCCATTGTACGTGCGAATGTCTGCGCTACAAATAGCCGACAGGCTAACTTTAACAATAGCGTCTGTTGGGTCGATAATCTGCGGGACTGGTAGGGTTGATACGTTGACTTGGAGAGGGTTTCCACTCCAGATAACACCCTGCATAGATGTGACGTTGAGTGTCATGATGAATTAGTAGGTTGATCAAGATGAAGGGAAAGAAAATAATCGCGGCATATACGCCAAGTGTTGAGACACAACAGATCGTACGTGAAGGTAGTTCAAATTCAACAGTATGAGCGAAAGCAAGTTTTATATTATAAATGAACATGACGATGTGTATGAAACGCCAAGCATGCATCCAATATCCTAGCAACCAAGCCACACTCAGCGACTAATGGTTTCTTGGCGATCATCAAATTGTGGACCGGCGACTGCCCAAAAAGTTGATTAAGATTAGGCATCAGGTTTCTTGGGGGAACAGGCCAAGACCTTGATTTAAATACTTTCGAATACTGTCAGTAAAGCCGAGCCCAGGGATGCCAAGAACAGCTAGCAATGGTCAGCAACTGGCATTAGTGTCAGCTCAAGTGGCCGATAGGCCAACAGAATGGGACTTAACGGACTTAAGAACAAGTTCAGCCAATAGTATGGTCAGTTAGCATAGCTTCCGGGACCCACTGTCATCATTTAGCCTTCTATATTGAACCACTCGCTAAGCCAGGAACGAGTCGACGCAAGTCTGCCGATTGACTTAAAATGACTATTCTCAAGTGAGGTGGATTCTCCTCGCATTTTTGAAATTGTCCATAGTCACTTGAATACAGAAATATTTGTACAGCGATAGATGCTCGCCTAGAATTCCAATTCCGTGGAACAATCCAAGAGATATTTCAATTGAGTTGAGAATTTCTGCGCGCTGATCCAGAACATGTCGGCCGCTAATATGCATTGGCTTTGAACCTCTACATCATATCCCTCACACCTTATGAGGAAAGTCTGGCCTATCATCCTTTCCTGTCGGCGGAAGCCGATCTACGGCGGGCGCCGCTGCCGAGGATCCTCCGACCGGACCCTGTTTATCGGAAATGGCCCCGGGCCCACTCTTCTTGGTTTTGATGCTTCTCCATTCCATGAATAGCGTAGGAATAATCGCGGTGCAAGTGAGAGCTAGCGAGATATACCATGTATGAGTTATGGCGCGATGGTAGACTTTCACCACGTCCACTACCATAGATGGAGAAACCATGGTTCGGAATTCAGTCGCACCCGCCCTCGCTATGGCGTTGGCGTCGTCCACGCTCAGCCCCTTAAGGCCATATAGACCACTCTTGAGCACATGGCTGAAGACAGTTTCCGCAACTTGAAGAAAAATGGTGCCACCGAGTTGTTGCCCAAAAAACATGATTGCAATCCCGGTGGAGATATCAGGCGGTGGAAGCACTGTTTGAGCTGCAAGAATTGGTTGTTGAATCCCGAGGCCTACGCCAAAGCCACAGAGAACTTGGAGGCCTATCCAGTGTGGACGGTCTGTGCTGGGCTGGAACGAGCTCGTCAATAGTCCAGTTCCAACGCTAGACAGAACACAAGCACAAATCATCGTTGGGACGTAATATCCGATTTTCTGCGTGACAAAGCCACCGATGGTAGCAGCAGTCATGAGGCCAAGGATGAACGGCAAAAATGATAGGCCAGCATCTACTGGTGAGTCACCTTTGATAGCCTGGAACCATGTTGGGATATAGTATACCAGGAGCATCATGGATGAGATGAAGCTAATGGAGAAAAAGAACCCTGCAAGGACGCTACGCTGGAAAAAGACTCTTCCCGGGACCGTTGCAGCTTCTTTCTTCCACACCTGGACACCCAGCCATGCAATCAATGTCACTCCGAAGACAACCCATAATCCGATGATGCGAACATCGTGCCAAGAGTAGGTGGTGCCTCCCCATTGTAGAGCGAGAATCAGGCAGACGACACAAGGAAGAAATAGAACGATTCCGTGAAGGTCAAGACAGGCAATCTTTTGTCGGAAAGACAAATTCTGCTCACGGGGCGGCGGTGTTTTCACCAGAAAGAAAACAGTGACGATCGAGATGGCGGCAAATGGTAGGTTGATATAGAAGCACCACCGCCACGACACCTTCTGGGTAAAAACACCTGACAGGATCGGGCTGACCACAGAAGCAATTCCAGACATGCTGCTGAGGACACCGGTATATACTGGTCGCTTTGCAAGAGGAACAGTGTGAACCAATATCTGCATGACGCCTGCCAACATACCGGCAGATCCAGCTCCCGCGATAGCACGACCAACGATCAACGCAGTAGAGTTTGGAGCAGAGCCGCATACTGCAGAGCCCACTTCAAACAGACCAACTGCAAGGAAGAAAACGTTCCGGGTAGAATAAAATTTGTAAATTCGTCCGTAGAAAAGTTGAAAGGAACAATTCGTCAGCATGTATGCACTTCCGTACCAGCCAATGTCGTCGATTGAATCTGCTGGTCCAAATTGTGTTAGCCAACCAGGCTAGTATCAAAGGGTTACTTGGGGTTTGCTGACGGAACTGGTCAGTGATGTATGGAATGGCTGTTGAGATGATAGTTCGATCCTTCATTAGTTGGCATAACCTGCTGGTAATGGGGAGGGGTTCAACCAAAGGGATGTCCAGCTTACAAGAGAAACCAAAAACATAGCAGTTACACTCGACGCCATAATTATTATGGCAGCAGCAGTCGAAGGGTATTGTGGATCTCTTGAGCTCTCACTTGCCCCAGGTCTGGTTGTGGGTCCAGCCTGGGGCGGCGATTTGGGCTCTGGGCTTGCCGACATATCAAAATGTGCTTAAGGCTATTTGAGAATTATTGGAAATTTCCATTAACATATTTCTGCATCCCACTATTTATATTCGTGAAAAAGTAACAACCCCTTCCCAGTAGTTTCATCCTCCGTTGATGCTCCGTTGCGACCGTCCGCTCCGTGCCTCCGTCCCGCGCCCGCGACCCACAAAAAGATAATCCGCTAGAATTAAGCAAAATCAGAGACAGGGCAGTGGTCAAAGCTTAATGCACATACTGTCCATTTTTAAAAATTTGAATTTTCAGCTGCAGGCCAATGGAAGAGACCCTGAAGTCGATGGATTGTTGTTTGTGTGTGTACAGACTAAACCAGCATGTGGCTGAAGGGTCTAAGTAAACAAGCGAAGCCATCTGACAACTCATACTAACACGAACAACGAACTTACTTAGTATTCTTATTTACACCGAGTTCAACAGTACCAAAAGGTAGGCGGTGTGGGACGGACTTTGGGGATAAAATAGGGGTTGATGGTCTTGAAAATGCCATTATACGTACTCCCTCCCACAGTACGTTTGCATTTGCCATTGTTATCACCGCTGAAGCTTTTTCGCTCCATTATGATTCTCAGTGGAGCCGAAATTGTCACACGACGATTGGTGGGTCACCTGCGACAAGTCACCCAGCAGCAACAGCCTTGCGGTGTCGACCTTACTCTGCGTCAAGTTTCGAAATGGACCTCAGCAGCTACAATTGACTTCGACAATACTATGCGCCAGGCGGCTAAAACTTCTATCCTGCCTTTTGACAACACCAGCAACACAATCACTCTACAACCAGGGGCCTACTTGGTCGATTTCAACGAAACAGTGCAAGTTCCACGGAATTGCATGGCCAGTGTTTTTCCTAGATCGTCGCTGTGGCGGTCCGGGGTGGGAATTGCGGCTGGTGTGGTCGATGCTGGATATGAAGGTGCTATGGGAGCTCTTATGGAAGTGAAGAATCCCAACGGACTTGTTCTTTACAAGAATGCCAAGCTGGCCCAAATTGTATTTGAGGAAATGGGGGAAATGGTCGAAGGCTATAATGGTATCTACCAGTCCTCGATGAGCAGCGTTGGACAGGATGGAAAAGAAGCGTGATGTCTGCTACATGCCCAGCCCACGATTCGGCAGGGTCGCTAGTGCTGTTGGGAGGAATACACGAAATCCTGGAGAACTCACTAGCTACTTCTACATAAAGAATGCTAATATTGTGTAAGTGCTTGTGGTCTAGAACAACATTACTTTCATCCTGTCTGTTACGCACTGACACTTATCGCTAATCCAATGCAATTATGTCGTTCTTGAAACCTATATAATTTGTCTCTGGGATCATTAGAGCACATACGACCATAGGGTGTGGAGAACAGGGCTTCCCGTCCGCTCAGCCGTACTTAAGCCACACGCCGGCCAGTTAGTAGTATGGTGGGTGACCACATGCGAATCCTGGCTGTTGTATGTATTTTTGTCTTTATTTTTTGGTATCCAGGCAGGCAATTTCAAAGGATTCCTGCTTTCAATTCGTACAAACCTTCATAGTTTTGATCTAATGGAACCCAGAGCGGAAGAGCGACACGACTCTACCATGTGACCATCAAATCTGGCCCCGGCCAACTGCTGTCTAGTGTTCTTTTGCCGAACGAACCGTGTCTTTGAAGTTTAAAGTTTCTGGCGAACACATTAGATTAAGTGTGCAACGATAGCATATCAGCTTCTGAAATGACTGCCCCTAGCGTAGGGTCAAGCGCTCTTGGTCGGTTGCCTTTATCGCCTCAAAGAAGACGCTAACTCCATCGACTCGGCAAGCTTTTGAATAGTCGCTTTCGCACTTGGTCCCCGACAGCTGACGCTGGTATTAATAGTCCGTCCTCCTAGCCTTTTGGGTCGAAACATAAACTCCGTATATTCATCCGTTACTGGACTCTGGGAGGCTATCGGCAAATGGACGCAGGAGTCTTCTTTGAGAAAGACATGAGAAACTTTCGAGCAAAGGAAATTGACCTAGCATTCGAAATATCGATTTCCATCCAGGCCACTTAATAGTATAAATTGCATGTTAAGGACACGAATACTATCGCGATAGCGGCACAGCAGATCGCTTAGTCTCTCTCCGTTTATTTCTGCCGCGGATTGTAAAGGGAGTTCTTGCAGCCGCGAAGGGGCATCGATAGATGAGAGGCGCTCGATGATTGCTTCCGCTTCTAACCAGAGATCGAATTGGATTGTCAATTTGCAGAGACTGTTTACGTGCCGCACTAACGAGTCGACCCAGTCGGTGATCATAGTCGAGTTCATTGTGAAATTCAGTTGGAGAGCTTGCAAGTTGGCCCAAGCAGTGATGAACCCTGGCTCCTGAAGATCGGGCGTATTAATGCGTCTCACATCTAGTTCATTGGCACCTGCTGAGTTTGCAGGTTTAAAGTCCACCAAGAATCCCCGTACGGGGATACCAGCCTCTGTGATGGTATTCAGAATCACCGTTATGGCATCGGTAGGTGCGAGGTGGTCTAAACCTTCGTTTTTATCGGACCAGCCGTCGCAAATTAGGTTAAAGGTCGTGCAATTCACTAGGCGGCGCAGAACATCGGTCCACTGTTGAATGCCTTCTCGTGGTAATAGATAACCGAAGGAATGTCGATTCCATAGCAGGCCTTCCCCAAGCAGTGTGCCTGGGCGAACCCTAACCACCAGAGTGTGGACAGGCAGTGCTAGTTCCGGGTCGTTTGAGATGACTCTCAACTTTTCAAGTTTGGTTAAGGAGAGCTCTGTGTGTTGCTCTTGGAAGAAGGCACGGGCACAATGGCGTCGAGTGCTCTCATATATCCTTTTGCAGGACAACCGGAACATGCACAGCTCTCGGGAACCCAACAGACATACAATCGCTTGCAGTAATTCGACAGGAAGGTTATCAAAATACGAAGATGGCATGTTCCGGGTGGTGTGAGAAGCAGGCTCCGAAACTCTTTTCAATCGGTGCAGCAAGGCCTGGCTTTTTCGACTGGACATCTTGCGAGGAGCTGAAGAAACATAAGGCTCGTTACTGGAGCCCGTCAATATCGCGGTCCCCAAAGGAGGACCCTCGTAACAGATATGACGTTTAATAGAGTGACAGGACGCTAGTCCCTACCGTGCAGAAAGTGCCATGTCACCGAGTGGGGGTTGGATTTCTCCCACGAGCTTGTCAGCACCAACAATCAGCATGGGTCACATCACCCCCATTACGAGTCGTCGGCCCCCGGTGGGGCTTCAACTTGCACATGTGGCACAAGTGAGATGGTAGCGGGGGCGAATAGTAGGCGACCGTGCATGACTGGCTCCTTCGTCTCTTCTCACTCGGCCGCCTGAAGCCCGGTTTGAGCCAGAACTGGGCCTGCCCTTCCCGGCTAACATTTGGACTCTGACGTGTTCCCTATGGATAATTCTCGGTCAGCGTCCCTTGTTCGAGGATTTACTTGCCACGCCGGACGACATCACAGCAGAGCAGGTTGACACTGTAGGGGAATCACCTCTACGGTAGCAAAAGAAATGGGAGGCGAGGCACGTGTATGGATTTCCCACTTGACGTTTTAGCAGAAGGCCTTTATTCCGTAGCACCGGAATACTTATGTGCCCTTGGCGCGAGATAGTCCCAAATATTGTCGTATATTCGATGACTATGACCATAGTTCTAGGCGCAGTGTTTGTAACCATGCAGCCTCAGAGACGAATGGCGTCAGAATACTGTCAATCCAGAGGGCCCAGTCGTCATCCCATCGCAAAGCACAAATAGCTAAACAATATTCCCAATACCGTGGATACCACCCAGACTTTTCCCAATCAATTATGACCAAGTTTGCTTCTTCTCTGCTTCGATTGCTTTTCTCGCGGATCATGATATTTTTCCGTTGAAGGTCACCGTGAGTGAACGCCGCTTCGTGGCCCTTGAAAACGAGAGGCAAACATTTCCGGAGATATTCCGCTCTGTAGGGAGTGCCCCCGTTGTAGGTGTACTTTCGTATCATTGCCTCGTTGAGGTCCTCTTCCGAATGAAAGGGGCCATTCACCTGCGGATCAGGTTCTTGGGTCCAAAATATCTCGTCCAGAAGTGGCCTATACCCGAAGCTGCCAAAGTAGCTTTGCGATGGAAGGTGGCGCAACTCGTCAAAATATCTTCGCAGGTCGCTCAGAGTGCGTTGTTTCTCCAGCGTTGTGAGTTACGGCCATGCAGAAAGAAGCGATTGACCGATAATCCGCTCCATGACAATGTAATTTTTTCTAGTTTTTGGGTGCGAATAGAGGGCGTAGACCCGCGGAACGGGAACATTTGTGTTCTCTCGAACAAACAACATGTTTTCTCCCTCGATGAGATTGACGCCGAGCCCAAATTTCACAACAAAATGCTGGCCCACTCCAACGATTCTTCGCCCTCCATATTCCAGAGAGACGCCTGGAGCATTCTCAATCTCGGCGCTAGTGGGAAGAGGACAAGGCAAGTCAGCTGCATAGAACGGAATTTCGAAGGCTGTCTTCATTGTTGTTCAGGTTCGATCGGTGGATAGGCTGACAGGTGCAATGTAGAGTGTGACAGCACCCCTCCTGTTTATAAGCTCTGTGATATCACGTGAAAGGCATCGTTCTTCGGAGTAAGTACCAGTACAGCCAAGGTGCATCCTACCTCCGAATATTCTAGTCAGCAACGCTCCTGGGGCCCATTTTGACCAAGGAGTAGGTCAAATGTACCATGGTTGTAGGCCTTTCTTTCGAAGTTATACCGATTCATTTCCAGATTTGGCGTATCATGCACGGATTTGACGGCAAGGAAGGAGAACCGTGGAAGTGTCAAGTATCGAAGGACTGGCTTCAGTAAACTTCGAGCGAGGCCCATCAAAACAGAGAGAGGAAAGCTGGGAGATTCGAGACTGAAGTAGTGAGCCAATGGTAGGGATTTTGTGGTAGAATGGGTACAGGACTTGCCCAAGGCTCGTCCTCATGAGATCATCCAGGTCAGCACCCAGTATCTGTCGCACCACTGGTCTCATGAAGGTAGGAAGAGCCGAATGAACGTAGAATCAAACGTGTTGGTCATATGTTGTGGTCGGTCGCACAACTTTCTCATCGTGTAAACTGTTCAGTTCTAAGGTGAAATGGGGCTGTTTTTCCACCCTTCTGCTTTGGAAGGAAGCACATCGAATGGGATCCCCATATCTTCATCCAGATTCTTTTGGAAGATACGAAAGTGGATGCATGCTTGACGTTTTGCAGACATCGTCTAGTTCATATATAATCTAGAACTCGGGTTTGCTCGCATTTTTAAAGTACCTTCCTCGGTAATTGGGAATATTGTTTAGAGGAGAGCCGTCCACTTCTGGTTCCCCTTACCTGTGCTAGTGTTAAAAGTGGGGTTTTCCAGGGCTAATAATCCAACATGGTAGAGACTCTGACAGAAAGACACTGTCATGCCCGTTGTACTTCCTCTGTCTCCATGATACATCACTGGAGAAGACTCCAGGCCCTATGCGCGACCGACATCTACCTTCCGCAGAAAGATATCTACCAGTCCTCGACAAGGAGCGTTGGACAGGATGGAAAAGAAAAGGCGTAATGTCTGCGGCGTGCGTAGCCCACGATCTAGAAGGGTGGCTAAGGAGGAATACACGAAATCCGAGAGAACTCAGTTCCGATTTTCAACAATTCTACCAGGCGAGCTACTTCTACAGAAAGAATGTTAATATTGTGTAAAGTGTTTCTGGTCTAGAACAACGTTACCTTCATCCTGTTTATTATGCACGGACACTTATCACTAAGCCAATGCAATTATCTGTCGGTTGTAAATTCGGCGCGCAACGGACCACGTCTGGTCGACATTCGAAAGCATCATTGCTAATCGCTCAACACACAAGGCAAGCCGCATCCAGTACCTCTTGTGTCATCGAGGTATGGAGCCCGCACGGGATGAGTGGCACCCCGAAATCACAGTGCTTGCCAACCGGCCCGATCTCTTGGAAGCATTCACACTTAGCACTCTCACGTCGCGACTCATTATCGTCATCAAAGTGTTCACATGCAACTGCCACATGACTACCACATGTGAAGCGATGAAACACTTGGATTAGAAGAAGCTTTTGAATGCCCTTTCACCTTCCTCTCTCTACCTCACCCTCACCTTCTTCCCTCCTTGTTCCTTTTACCATCACGATACTTCTTACTCTCTGTCAGATGTGCTCATCCTGACACCCTCTGCCCCCATTCTCTTCATCCTCACACCATTTGCTCCGACATCCACACCCTCATACTCTTCACTCCTGAGGGCCACCAGCCAGGGACGATGAGCTCCCAAAACCTGACCCCGGCCAGTACCCCGGCTAGTACCCCGCTAGTGCCAGTCACGAGCCCAGGTACCGCGTCAAACAGACGCTCTGATGATCTTGGTCACAGTGACCACCTGTGAGCTCCCAACAGTTATATCCCACTCTAAACTACTCTACTGACAAGTCAAAAAGAGGGGTCCCGGCCCATAGCAGCCAAGTCATTGGTACACCTGTTGTGCTCCCCACCACCTCAAGTGGTATTGATGAGATGCAGCCTGCCCAGCTAGCTGCATATATTTTCACCCTACCATATGTGGTAGCCAGAAATGGGCGCCTTATCAAGGGAAAGATACTACGTCAGATCATTGACTTTCCAGCCCGGCGCGAGCTTGTTCTGCGACCAGCTAAGCCTATGTCTACTGGGCGGCTGAACGATATGCTTACCAAGAAACTCTACCGTGTGGAGGCAGCGGTCATGCAGATTGTTGGGACAGTGCAACTGGCGACTTGCAGGCATTGCTTGCAAGAGAATGGCCCATTCAACCAATGTGTTATCGTAACTGGGCACATTCCTTGTGCCAACTGCCAATGGACCGGAGATGGACAGCGATGCAGCTTCCTTCCTCAGGCTGGCCCCAGCTCCCGCTCTGCGACAATGCCCTCGCCATCTGGTCATCGTCGCAGCCAGTCCTCTCTCTCATCCAGCGCCTCCCGAGAGAGTGGAGATAATGAAAATTTGACCGGGACCGGTACCGACAACAACTTGAACGTGAATGCTGGGGGGTTGGAGGGAATGCAGACAACATGCGTCGCTGCTTTTCTGCTGTCAATAGGTCTATGAGCAAGGTAGCTGACCTAGTAGACGAGGCCAATCTGTCTACAAACTGCCCAGCTCTCACACAGGCAATTGCGGGCCTACAGTTTGACATTACTACGATGCGTCACTATCTTGAGCTTTGAATTTTTATTTATCCTACTTCACTATAATAGCAACTTACATGAATCAAAGTTACCTTTCATCAATTTATCTTTTCGTAATAATAAGGGAATCTCCCTATAACCCCTATAATATCCTAATATCTCTCTATGGTCAATCTTTATTTTCAGCATGACCAACTACCTAAACATCAGCCAATATACCACATAAAGTATTTATCCCCCTACCCCTATTATATTGCTCTTTACCAATCTATAGGCCATAAGCAGATAAGTAGCAGGCCGTAAGCAGGCCATGAGCAGGCCATGAGCAGGCCATGAGCAGGCCATGAGCAGGCCATGAGCAGGTGGGTAGCAGGTGGGTAGCAGGCCATGAGCAGGTGGGTAGCAGGCCATGGGCAGATATGAATCGGTTTCAGGGTGAAGGGAGTCCTAGTGACTGGATTATGTGTTTGATCTTGATGTTCTTGATCTATTTTTATCTACCTAGCATTAGGAAACACGGAATGATAAATTGTGAGTAATTGATTATGCTTCATTAAGTACATAAAAAGAATAAGACATAGAGCCATTGGATCATTCTGAGTAAAAGGACATCGGGATAGGGAAAGCTATCAGCGGAAAGGCTTTCCAGGCGGTACAGGGACATGCGGTCCTGGTGGGATGTTTTCACCAGTCTTATTGACAGGCTGCAGGGTATCCACGCCGTGGACAAGAGATGGGCCAATAATAATACCCACAAAATCAAAGTCAACGTGATGGGAAAAGGTTGCCCAGACCTCTAAGCTCATTCTAGCTAGGATAAGAGCAGATGCATCCGTCTCATAAGCATCGACAAGAGTTATCTTGAGGCGGCCAGGGAGTTTTTGAATAGCGTCAGTGAACTCTTTTGTCGCGTCTTTATGGCGGCCATCAAGGGTTAGGCTAACCAGGATATGCCTGTCGCGTATATTGCTTCTTGCGGCGATTGGGATGCGGCTAGTAGGTGACATTACCCTACCCTTCTTGAAGGGCAGGGAGATTGGGTATGACCCACCTAAGACAGATAGTTGCGATGTTGGAGTGTTCGGATTTGGCTTCTGTCGTTCAACTTCTGCCCAGATTGCCGCTATGGTGATAATATGCATACCCTGCGCCTTGAGCGAGCGTACCGCTCCCCCAAAACGAGCGGTGAAGGATGCGCCCGAAGTTCGGGATCGGGCTTGTTCAGTAGGACCTGCGGCGGCCAAGATTTGCATAGATCTTGTGGATACCGCTCTCGCCGAACCTGCATAGCAGCAATCCAAAATGGCGAGAGAGTCAACGTGCTGAAGCTTGGCATCCTTAGCGAAAAGTTCAAGGTGAATAGCATCCCAGGGTAGATCCTTTCCACCACTAGAGCAAAAGACAAGCCCATTTGAAATATTGTGTGTAGCATGTCCAACATAGTAGATGATGAACAAGGACTTCGCTTCAGCGGCGGTCGGAGTGTGGTTCTTTTGCAGTAGAGAGTGAATCTCACCGGCCAATGTCCAAGCCGGTGTCCGATCTGATCGACCTAACTTGCAGATGGTAGGCGTAATACCAAACTGGTCTGTGAGTAATGCTGACATTGATGAAACATCGCTCGCTGCATCGGTATCATCGGCCTCCCACATGACGAGTAGTGCTGAGATCGTGGTGTAGGTGCTTCCTCGTGCATCCACCACTTTCTGGATGTCTGCCTTTAGGGTAGGCAGGGGGTATCTTTTCTTTCTTGGTACTGGGATCCTTGATGATCCTGATGGTGGAGGTGAGGAGGGGGTGGACATGGTGACTAGGTCTGAAATTCTGTCAATAAGCGGAGCTTCCATATCAACATTGAATACTCACCTCTTCTCGCTGAAGAGGTTGATGACAGGGTGATGAAAAGGTTGGTGTGGAAGGGAAAGAGATGTCATGGATGAAGGAAGCTCCGACTTCCCAAAGGGGTGAAGCTGTAGTTGCCTTTACTGTAAGAGGACGCGGACCAAAACTGTCCTCGCTTACTACACTAAATATGCTGGTATGAATTCAGAAAAGTGAAAGTAAATATTTCAAGGCATACACACCCTGTGCAAAAGTTTGGGTACGTCCATACAAAAGACGGCTGTCTTATTCCTACGGTGCCATTGCCAAGTTCCTGCCACAATTGGCCCATCGGTATCTTCAATGCGGACGCCTGCGCCGCGGTTCAGAACGAGTGCACCGACACGACGTCATTGTAAGCTGCAGTGCTTGCAATCAGGCATGCTGCTGTGCTGAACTTGCCAGCATCTACTATGCCCCCACCGAGGTGATGAACCCCTACTTTCAGAACCAGATCTGTGACCCCTTCACTTCCGAGTACCGGCCTTGTGTCCTAGACAACTACACCAGCTACTCGATTAAAGGTCGATATCGTCGCGGGGCTGGACTTCGCGCATGAGCACAACGTCCGTCTAGTCATCAAGAATACCGGACATGAGTATTTCTCTCCCCTTGCCTGCCATTCCACATGATTAACAGGGCCCACAGCTTCGCTGGTAAATCCGCCAGCAAAGCGTCCCTCTCCCTCTGGATGCACAACGTCAATACTACCGAGATCATCCTCAAGTACCTCGCGCCCAATACGGCTAGCGCAAGGCGCTGCAGCTGGCCCACATAAGAGCCTCACCTTGACGCTACCACCCAACAAACCCATCTCCAAAGCAGCTCCAATGTCATCCTCATTCTCGACCTGGTTCCTCAAGGGCATCGGCCCTGGAAATGTTATCACTCTTTATAAACCCCGCTCTTCCCAGTGGAAGATCCTCGAGAAGCTGAGCGAGAAGGAGGCCTAGCTCACCAAGGAAGAGCACGATGAGTTTGGCGCTTGTTCTTTCGCCCGGGCCAAATTCAATTCCTATGCTGCGATCCCAAAGAGTCTGCAAACAAAGCCTTCATGAGAGTCTATATTCAAGTTCCCCATCGAAGAACTGTAATGGATGATGCAGATACCAGAGGCCGACAAGCCACAACCTATACCCCGGGAGAACTGGCCGCCTATCGGGACCTCACTCAAAAGTCATGTAACACACCGAAGCTCCTCGGATACAAGACCGGTACTCAGAAACGGTCAGGGCTAGTTCCGGGTGGGTTTATTATCTGGCTTGCGTGGGAAATCGTTCCAGGACTACGCCTCGGAGATAGCTTTGGGGCTAAGCCATTTTGGGCTCTTAAAAGCGACGAAAGAGAGCAAATCCGCGCAGTCTTTGCTAAGGCTCTTCTGTAAGTCGATATCCCTTCTCTATCTATCACTGAGTCTAAGTATTGGCGACGATCTAGCAAGCTACGAGAGAACGGGTGGTACCCCTGGGTGACCCGCGCAAGAAATCTGGTTTGGCACCGGGAGACGCAAACACTGTATGTTATTTCCACGTCATGTCAACGAGCTTGCTTACTTACTGATGTACTATAGTTACTTTATCGGACACTTCAGCAAGGCCGGCAAGCCCAAACGTCCGGTCGAGGTTCGTCCCAAGTTGATAGCGATGTTCGAGCTCGCCAAACCGGACTCTCCAGATTTCATGAGAAAGGACGATCAGGATCAAAACACATCACTCTGGGAATGGTAGCTGCTGAGGAAGAAGCCGAATTGTTCGTTCGACCTCTTAATGATCTTTGCTATGCTATGCTAGGGAATAACAGCACATTATCTATCTCCATATCCTTGATTTCTCTAAGATCACTTATTCATGGCGCATGGAAAGAAAACGAATATATCGCTCGCTGACTCATGTCTATCTTCATCATCATTATCAAAGCCAAACGTTCCAGCCAAGGCGCTCAGTCAATGTACTTGGGGATCGTCTTCATTATGCCGTCCTGGGCAATGTTGTTCAGAACACGATGTTGCAATACTCACCATCATCATCTGTAAAAGAATAACGCTCTCCAATGACCTCAACATCATCATCACCGATATCAGCTTCCGTAATAACGAGGTCCAATTCTTCTTTACCACTCTTTCCAACCGGACTGAAATGCTCCCCAAGAACCGCTCCTTTATTGTATTCCCTTGTTTTCAACATGCCACTCTTGTAAAAAATCTCCCTAATGCGGTAAGCGAAGACAAAATCCCCGGCTGAGCCAAAACTCTGGTTGCAGTGCGCGCCCCTGGAGTAGCTTAACTTCTGACCCACCTCGGCCGGCACATATGCCCCAAAGGCACCAGTGCCTCCTTGGATGTTGAAACCAAAGGCCTGCAACTCCCTGTATGTTCCCTCGCCACCCCGCGCAATTTTGACACCAGTGACCATGTACAGATTTGGTCCGGGCTTGAGAATCTCGGCTGAGACGGATGCAACACTCTTCTCAATGTACGCCGGCGTCGGCTCGATGGAGTATGTGTCCATCGTGGGGATTTTGTAGGCGCCGCCTGCAGTATTGTCCCAGTGGGCGCAGGCGGCTGCCAGGATGGGCAGCTGGGCGACCTTAGTCCAGAGAGCGAATTCTCCGTGGGAGTTGCGGCCCAAATCGATGGTAAAAGAATCCTTGCGGGTATAGTTGATTTTCATGTCACTTGTGATAGGAAGAGGGTCCCCAGTGAATGACCCAGGGTCTCGCGGGTTCCGCCAGACGTGACCGAGCTGGATATTGTTTTCCGGCGCGTAGTCATCGCTGGCTGGCCGTAGGTAGGTCTTTTTGGGCATTTCGATGATTGAATTTCGATTGTTGAGAGTTGGTGCAGCCCGAAGCCATGCTTGTTTACCTAAGAGTCCGTTTCGAAAGCTTCGGTTTGGGCGGGGTCGAGATCATGTGTAGCCTCAATGAGACGTGGTGAGAGGTGATTGGAGCAACCTAATCGAATGCGGGTGAGCTGTTGGTGGACATAACATGCAAATTAGAGCAGCCGGAGAGGAAGCTGAGCTGGACGCAAATGGCTGAATGAATTGGTATATTTATTCCCTTTAAGCCCTACGTGATTTCTGGCAACATATAAGAAATTTGTTCTCTAAACGACGTAATGGGCCCCAGCAATGCCATACGAGGTTAAGTCTTCTTCACTTTACATATACATTTTCTCATATAGAAGCGACCTACTTGCACCTCCGTGGTTCATCTTCACTTGCAAGCAAGCAAATTGATGACCCACTCTTGTAGCCGCTAGCCCGATAGTCAATTAGAGCATCAGTCTAGCTACTCACTCAGACAAAGCTGTAGGTCTATCAAGTCGAGTTCATCAACATCTCAATCTCGTATCTAAACCCCTCATAGGCTCGTTCATGATTGAAGAGTTTCCAAGGCGCAATCATGCGGCAATCAATGTTCACGCTCTGATCGTCTATGGTTGACATATAGAGGAAAATCCTCCGGATTCCGCGGTAGGACCACAGGACCGTCTTATGTTGCGGAGATACGTTAGGCCCATTTCTGCCTCGCTGCGTCGAAAACTCTAGGACAAGAGCCGCAATACCTGCGGCCACCGGCGTTGCAAAGGAGCTCCCCGAAACATAGCGAGTTTCACAGGCCGATTCGTTTAGGTGCGGTGGCCATGCTGCTTTTATTCCTTCACCCAGGATCATGAAGTTATCGTCGCCATCTGAGCGCATGGGTGAAGCAGGAGATCTTGAGCCAAAGCCTGTAGCAGATCGAATACTGAGGACTTGCCCTTGGATGTTGGCAGGATGAGTCACTCGCTTTTCAAGACTCAAGGAGCCCGAATTCGACGCAGCGGCTAACACGATCTTGTCCAGGCTGAAGGCATCCTGGATCGCACAACGAATCGCGTTAACTTGCCGGTCAAACCCGAGCGATAGCACAATGATATCAACGTCCCACCCTGTTTTCGAAGCAGCATGTTTAATCGCCTAGTCGAGTTAGCTCTACTGCCATAACAATGAAGGTTGATGTTACCTCGGCGACTCTTGTCGGTGTTCCGTCATCAAAATCTGCTCGATCTGACACCTTCCCGACAAACAGGTCTACTTTCGCAATTTGCAGAAGGATGTCACACACTGCAGTACCATGGCCCACACGATCCTCGATACCATAAGGAGATTCCGTCCAATCTCGGCAATCCCGTATGTTGGAGCAGTTCTTTCTCCGATTTTCTTCGATTCCCGGATGTTCGCGATCAATCCCAGTGTCAAGAATGGCAACTTTTACCGCCGGGTCTCCTTGTCGTCGACGCTCACGTATTCGAGGGCCGACTGTTGTGTTCAATTTGTCGAGCCATCTTTCCGCTGAAACATTTCTGTGGACAGTCAGGTCTATCTCTTGTGAGCATGACAGTGAGGATCGAAGTTACGCACGATCCAGGAGGTTGAAGGACGGACTGGGAGTCAAAGAGAGATCCCGAGAGGCCTGAATGCTCAAGTGCCATCTCAAGCTCAGTCGTAAGCGCCGCCGTCTGATTACCATGGCTTTTCTGTAACGAAACCGGTGTCACAGTCGGCCTGTAACAATTCAGCTCCGTTCCTTCGTTTCCGCGCGGTTGGACAGTCCTCGGCTGAATCGGTCCCTTCGGCCAAAAAGCCCATATTCTATCGAGCCCCTGTAGTCGACCAGAGACATCCGGACTGATAATGAAAAGGTCGTCTCCATCGTGTCTCACCGTCACCCAAAGCTCCCAAGAAAGCGAGAGGTGCGATTCCTGTGAATCCCTGGCCTCCTTGACCATCCATGTTATGCACCTACGTAGGGTGTCGCCTTCCTCCCCACTGGCAGACGTCGAGGCGTTGAATTGCCAAGTATGGCTGTTGTCCCTTCGAGGTCCGTAATCATCAGTCACCACGATACCGTGCTGGGGCTGGTTACCTTGAGCGCTCGACTTGAAACCTACACTCAGCGCAGCGTAGTCAAGCTTGCCAAAGACTTGCTGAATCTCGAGGTCCATGACTAAGCGCCATGCAGGGCATTTATCATGTTTCCCGCAGAGTCCAGTGAGGAAACCCCATTGGGAAGATGGTTTGTAGCAGCACTTGACTTCCACCCCTCCTAAGCTCATCACGGCAAGAAAGTCATTTTCTCCTACCTCTAATGCACGAGGATCCAGTTTATATCTCCCAAACACAATCTCACCCACCGTTGAAACGAGACGTGGTGTCATTGTTTCACAATTGGGTTATCATGTGATGCGTGGACATGCTTGAGTTCAACTTGGTGTGATTCCAACTCATCGAGCTTCGTCTCAACCGATTTTGCGAAAACAAGGCAAGTACTATAGTACCACCTTGGTCCAAATGTAGGCTCAAGCGAGCTCGGGTGCGGGATGGAAGAGGGTTCTGAAAATCAACTACAATACAATCTTTGTGATGTGCACATTGAGTATGCTTTATCTGCATTCAGATTTATGGGGTCGAGCCAGCCAAACAGTGCCCCCTCACATGATAAGCCGATGTGATCACCTGCACATGTATCACAACGCCAAGGCAGACGCCCTAGTTTTGGTGGAGAGCCACCACCGAGAACAAGTGGGGCAGACAAGCAAAACGCAAAGACCTATTGGAGAACTGCTCGGCTCATACGCTCACCTTTGCAACGCACGGAGTACATCTTACGCTGAGGTCCCACCCGTTTACATGGCTACTAATGATTCCTTTGACCCTAGAAGAATAGGTACTTTGTTATACCGAACTCCTCCGCTTCTGCTCTTCACTTCCACTAGTTCAATCTTCTAGGCACTGGGCCTTACCTAAAATCACAACCCGCTAAAACTTTCCATACATTCTATCAGTCCGCTAGTGGAATCGCCCGTCGGCCCTCTAAGTCAACCAAGCAGTGGATACAGAAGATGGTTCCCAGGGAAACAGAATCCACATCAAAGAAAGTGACTGAGACCCCCCGGTTCTAAAGCCTGGCGAGACCATTTTGCTCGAGATGGAGGTACAAGAGGATGTCCCTGCAGAACTTGAAGCATTTGTACAGTTATCCCGTCTTGGCCTCTTTCAAGAAGCTGAGGATTGGTTTGAGAAGTGCCTCTCGCGCTATCGTCATATGTTTCCTGTTTTTGCAGAATATACGGAAATGCTTTTGCAAAAGGGCGCGTACTCCAAACTCATGGAAACTCTCGATGACATCGATCCTAACTCATTGACCGCACTGGGCGACACAAACATAACCGATGTGTCAAATCTGTTTACATTCATGAGAACCCTGGCCACTATACATTTGAAAGGAATGTCAATGGAGGGACTATCAAGTGCAATAAAGTGTTGGGATTGTCTGAATGAGAGATGTGCCAACCAACATAATCATCTGAACACGGTCCAGATTCATATGGTTGAAATATATCTGGGCATTGCCGTGATCGCATATGAAGCAAAACTAATTGAAGGAAAAGACAAATACACAAATCCACCATGGACAGCTCTCAAATCCCCGCGATGGTCTGGATTCTGTGCCTTCTACACGACCTTGAGGAACGACGGCTTACGTTGGGAAGCACAAAAGATTCAAAGCATGCTTCTCCCCGTTGTCGCATTCGAGGATACGATGAGCACGTTCATTCAGAAGGGCCAGTTTACGTCTGTGGCAAGGGACATTGAGGCATGCCAGGTCGACGAATCTGTGGTGCTTACGGAGCTGATCATCTCCAACCAAATATGCAAATATCTGCTGGCGCGGCAGCCACTTTTGATCATTCTCGCGGAAGCTTATTTCAACGCTTCCCGCTCCTTGAAGGCGGTGCTATATGCGAACAGCAAGCTAGACACTATTGAAAAGGGATGGCCACTTTTGCAAGTTGACGAACTAGAGGGACTCCTCGATCGAGTGAAACGGGCGCCGATGTCATATGCGGCAGAGGAGGGACACGAGGGCGTTGTACGACTGCTCGTCGAGAAGGGCGCAGATATCGAGGCGAGAGATACGTCTGGCCGAACGGCGCTATCGTGGGCCGCCGAGAAAGGGCACGAGAACATCGTCAGATTACTACTCGAGAAGGGCGTAGATATCGAGGCGAGAGATATTCTTGATCGAACGCCACTATTGTGGGCCATCAAGGAGCGGCACGAGAATATCGTCAAATTGCTACTCGAGAAGGGCGCGGAGTTAGAGGCGAGAAATTTCCCAGGCCGAAATCCGCTCTCATTGGCCGCCGAGAAGGGGTACGAGAATATCGTCAAATTGCTGCTCGAGAAGGGCGCAGATATCGAGGCGAGAGATATTCTTGATCGAACGCTGCTATTGTGGGCCGTCGAGGAGCAGCACGAGAATATCGTCAAATTGCTACTCGAGAAAGGCGCAGATATCGAGGCGAGAGATATTTCTGATCGAACGCCGCTATCGTGGGCCGCCGAGAAGGGGCACGAGGGCATTTTTAAGCTGCTACTCGAGAAGGACGCGGATAATAAGGCAAAAGACAATGAAGAAGTCCGGACGTCGCGTGGAAATGTCAAAGATTCCTTGTTGTCACCGTTGTATATTACCTCGCCAACGCAATCCTCTACGTCCCTAGAAGATCGCAGCGCTGCAGGGTCCGGGGACAGAATTATTCCTTTCGGCAGCAAGTATCGCAGGTCCACCACCCGAAATGTTTCCAGGCGGCCGACTACTTCTAGTGAGAAGTCGCCCGCCAGTGCGTTCCTGTCTATGTGGTCAAGCAACGAGCCGGTTGCGTCTCCGGACGACGAAGGCCAAATGGTGGGCAAAGACTACGTGCTTGGGCCGCAAATTGCCTGCGGAGGATTGAGTGTGGTCAAGAAAGCCAATAAAGTCGAAGAAGACGGTACGACGAAGCGACTTGCCGTCAAGATTTTCAGGAAGAATATCACTGGTCGCAGCGAGAGGGAGAACGAAGAAGTCCAGGCAGAGCTTGACCATGAGATTCAAGTTTGGCGATACCTTGATCATCCTCACGTCCTGACCCTTGACGCCGTGTATGAGACAGACTTTGCAACCTTCTGTTTCATGAAGCTCGCTAACAGTGGCACACTATTCGACCTGGTTCTCCGGAATCGCCAGGGTCTTGATATTACGCTCGCGAAGCAATATTCTTACCAACTTGCCTGCGCAATCCGCTACCTACATGAATATGCGCGGGTTGTTCACCGCGACATTAAGTTAGAAAACTGTCTCCTTGACCTTACTGATACTAATAGCACAACATCGTCAACCCTTGTACTCTGCGACTTTGGAATGGCGGAATGGCTAGCTAGTAACGACGGCGGCGAATCTTCGGACCCTTATAACGAGGTTGTTGGCCGCTCTCCGCCTAAGCAAATAGGTCTTACCAACACCAGCACTGCCAGCGTGGCGGGTAGCTTGGAGTATGCCTCTCCAGAGCTACTTGAGTCACTCAACGGAGTCATTCATCCTTCGGTCGATATCTGGGCCTTTGGCGTGGTTGTCTACACTATGATTGTTGGATCACGGCCATTCCAAAACTCCTTCGCCCCTCGCATCAGGTCCAACATTCTAAGTGGCAGATGGAATCGCGAGGCTATGCTCAGCGGGATCAAAGACGAAATGCTACGCAAAGACCGACAGGACGCCCTTGACTTGGTCATTGGTTGTCTTGAAATAGAAGTCAACAAGCGATGGACCATTCGCGACATTCTAGCGAGCCCTTGGCTGCGAGAGGCCGCTAAGTCTGCCGGAGGAAGCTCGCCAGAATCACCCCGGAAATCCACGCACAGTCGCGAGTTGTAATCCTTGTCACCTTTCGGAATGAACCAGATGGGTGCTCCAGCGGGGTTTTGGGAAGACCTCATTCGGCCTGCTACTTCGTTTTCTTCGAGATTGTCCGTCGGGACCTTTAATTCTCGCTCTGGGATAGGGTAAATGGGTCCAAAAGGCGGTTCCTTGCCTGGGGAAAAGTCGCTAGGAAATCTGGCTTGTGGATGTGGTTATGTCCCACCCGGCCAAGATTGCTAATAGCGGCTGTACCCGCGTTTAAGCACAGCAAAACATACAATATCAAGCGATTGTAGAAGATGCGAGGAGTGCGCTGGTACATATAAGGGGATAATTATGTTTTCGGCACAGATTTAGTCGAATTGAGCTGTAAGGTGGCTACCATGTCCGTCGATAATCAGCAGCCGATATTTTGGACGTATACGCGTGTCGTTGCTGGAATTAATCGCTCTGTAGCCACCGAAGCCCAATTTCATCAGTGGTCCAACCTGTTACAAGCCAGTCAATGGAAGGAGATTCATTGGCGCATTCAACGAAGGGAGCGAAACGGAAGAGAAGTGAGAGAGGAAAAGAGAATGTCCCAGGATCGTGGGCGTCCTGATAACAACCGCCCACGATTTGTTATGTTTGCTTTCCACCCCAGAACTCTCCACAAGTCCGTTCTACGTCGCACTCGCTTCAGATCGCCACACCACCCGTTCGGTGAGATAATTCAACCAGTCAGGCTAGGGACTTCTACTAACCGATGTTAGGAAGCGCTGTGAAGAATGAAGAAATTTTTTCTATCATCTATCTATCTCTATATCACTGATTTCTCTGAAATCACTTATATATCGCGCATGGAAAGGAAACAAAGATATCGCTCGGTGAAATCTATCTTCATCATCATTATCAAAACCAAATTTGCCAGCCAAGGCGCTCAATCAATGTACTTGGGGATCGTCTTCATAATGCCGTCTCGGGCAATGTCCTCCATTGCCGTGGTCATCTCCTGGAGGAACCTCTTGTCGGTGCGCAAGTCGTCACCAAACAGAGTCTTGATGCTGAGCAGCTCACTTGGATTGGTGCCTCCGGCGCGGGCCTTCGCCTGAAGCTCTTCACGCATGGGGTCGTCGATCTTGAAAGTATTGCCGTTGTCATCTACGCCGTTGATATAGTGGAACCAAGCAGCGGCGATGAAGCACAGACGACGGAATGGCCCATTATCCCAGATGTGCTCGGCGATTGAGGGCATGATGAACTGGGGGATCTTGCCAGAGGCATTGAGGGCGACGCGGGGCAACTGGTCCATGATTGTTGGGTTGGAGAAGCGCTCCATGAGTGTGGTGCAGTACTCGTCAATGTTGACACCCGGAATCTCAGGCAGCAGGGGCTTGACCTCCTCTTGCATATACTGCCAGACGAATTTGCGGAAGAGGGGGTTCTCCATCACCTCGTGTACGTACTTGAAGCCTGCCAGTTGGCCGGGGTATCCAATGGCTGAGTGGCTGCCGTTGAGCAGGCGCAGCTTGTGCTTCTCGAACTGCTCAACGTCGTGCACATCCTTGACAACCTGGGCACCGGCCTTCTCAAATGGAGGGCGGCCGTCGGCAAACTTGTCTTCGATGACCCACTGCATGAAGGGCTCTGTGACGACAGGCCATGAGTCTTCGATGCCAAAGTTGTCTGCGAGTGCCGTTTTGTCGGCCGGGGCGGTCTGTGGTGTAATGCGGTCGACCATGGCGTTCGGGAAGGCACCTTCCTCGGAAATCCACTTCGCCATGTCGGGGTCCCGCAAGCGTGCGAAGGACTCGAGCATGTGGCGTGTGATGGAGCCGTTCTTCAGCATGTTGTCGCACGACATAACGGTGAAGGGTTTGAGTCCTTGCTGGCGGCGGCGTGCGAGAGCAGCATAGAGGAATCCGAAAGTGGTGCGGGGTGCCTTTTCGTTGGCCGGGTCGAGGTCGTACTGAATATCGGGGTTCTCGCTTTGCAGCTCGTGGGTGTTCTCGTTGTAGTAGTAGCCGCTCTCGGTGATGGTGAGCGACACAATGTGGGTATCCGGATGGGCCATCTTGGCGACGACGGCCTCGCGGTTATCGGGGGCAAAGAGGTAGGAGTTGATGCTGCCAACGACGTGGGCGAAGCTGCCCTTGGCCGAGCGCTCAATGACAGTGTAGAGGTGGTCCTGGGATCCCAGAGCATCGCGCATGGCGGCGTCAAAAGGCGTCAGGCCAACACCGCAGATCGCATAGTCGGTCACACCATGTTTCTGCATCAATTGGTCAACATAAACGGCCAGATGAGCTCTGTGGAAGCCGCCGACGCCGACGTGGACGATTCCCTCCTTGACAGCGCCACCGCGTGGGTAGGTCGGAACCTTGACCTGCGTCTCACCCGCAGCCGCGATTTGCGACAGGTGCTTGTTGTTCAGCTTGAGGGGTGCCATTGTGATAGGGGAGGGGAGGGAGGCTGGAGGAATAACAATGGCAAAAAGGGAGAGAGGTAGAGTTTGTAGGAGCTGAGTGGAAAAGTGTAGCTGGTCTGGGTCACCGCCGCTTTTGAACGCGGATCGCCGAAAAATGTTCCGGGAACAGCATTACATCATGTGGTGGGCGGTGGGGCCCAGATCCTTGGGTAATCTTGAGGGGTGGAGATAAGACGAGGTGGAGATAAACTCAGCCTTCCCGGAGGCAAGTTTCCCTGCAAGGATGACTTCATGGCACCAGTCTCCCACGGTAAGTCAGGGACGATATGCACTTCGATCGTTTGGACGACGAACATTGAAGATAAAATTAGGGTCATCCAGTCACCCGTCAGTGAAGAATTTTCACCACCCCCAACTCCACGCGTTGCCCCTCGACCCACACCGCCCTTCGGGCGTACTTGCCGCCCGCTTACCCCGGCCATTAGTCAGTCTCCTTTTGGAGCACAACATCCAGTTCAGAGGATGGTTCGAAAGTTCGCCTAACGGCTAAGCGTTGCGCCATTTTGTCTAATGAATAATAGTAATACTGATAGCAGGGGTAGTATGAATAATAATAACTCTAACAACTAATAATAAGACAACAAAATCTTTTACTCAACCGAGATTTCCGCCAAGGTTATCCTCACATTGCCATTCGTCCACAACATTGCTTTTTCCCCCCACGTCGACGTTCAAAGCGGCTTCGGAATAGACCAGCAAGCTTTTGGTGGATGCCCAGTGAAAGGAGCATTCGCATATTCTGGTACAGGGAAAGATTTCGCGAGCGCCCGATATAGAGAGCGACAAGAAATGGAGTAAAGAGAGGCGCTGGTAACGTGCAGTGGTGGTCACTAAGCTTTCAGCCTCTCTATCCGTCTTCTTCATCCCGCCCACTAAACAATCAACATGCCCCTCAAAATGGCTAAAAGCAAGGATTAAACCGCTAATTCTAACTCTGTCGTGAATTTCAATGGGCATCATAACTCAGAAATCCTGCGTGCCGGTCTCCCGAGGACCACTGGAGACTACCAGCGTACACTCTATATCTTGGGCTAGTTCAGCACCTCCTGGTTTATACCCGGTCTTTGGGCGTCCAGCTTAATAGGACTCTAATTGCTTCTGGCCGGTTCGCCTTACTACTCCCGAAAGCAGTGAACCCGCCCGATATTTAAATCTGTAAGGCCTTAACGGAATTTGTCGCACGTGGAATAAAAGGTGGTATCACCTCAAAGTCCACTGTTGTAACTGTCGGTGTAATTCGGGGTATCTTTGAGGTAGGTATAGCTTTTATCGTGGGTATAGATTCCCAAGAGGTATCTACAACGATTAGAGAGGTACAGGGGCAATAACATTTTCCTAGAAGGAAACCTGACTAACTCTCTACTGGATTATACAGGACCTAAAGGGCAAGCTTAAACTGCTATCTGCTGAGATGGACATGGACGAAATTATTGGTAAATAATACTCATGACCTAGCTCTGACATAGGGACTTCCACGGATATCGAGATCAGCCTGTAGATTAAACGCGAGTATAGCTTAGCGTAGCAATACTACTACACTGCTTTATTTCTACAAGAAGAGTGGAAGTTTATAAATTAACTACGCGATGAGCTATAGCTAGAGGGAGCCCGGGAAATGAGTCCGACGAGGCACTCGTGGCATTGTGATGGTAGCCTATTACAAGGTGTATATAAGAACTCTGTATATAGAGCGACTAATATACTGATATTGACTTTAATAAATTTCACTATTAAAGAAAGATGTAGAAGGGTTACCTATACTTGTATTTACCTACTAGCGGGAGTTCACAAAGGGTTACTAGAGAAAAAAGTATGGCAATTTCCGATCCATAATTTTTACGAGATCTACGAGGATAATGTGCCCCTGATTTTTGATCCGCTCACGTTCTTCCTACCATTGGTGTTTGCAGATCATGCCTCTCGGAACTACACCTCTAGTCAAATATACCAGAGGCCTATGAGATAAGTCTTCGGAGAATAAAATCTAGAGATCATTCATTGCGCGTATTGTCTTAGAGAGGTCCCTTTCATCCGCCTATTCAGTGAAATTCAGATGGAAAAATACTAGAATGCCCAAGGCACAGAAGCATTCGGCAAAGAGTTTACTAGGCTTGGCCAGCTCGATTATTCAGAAGCACTCGGGCGGTTGGGACAAAAGTCGACAAAGGCACAGGTCATTGGAATCGTAGCCCAGTCCCGACCAGACAGTGGTAGCCAATGCAATGTGTATTCTTTCAGTGACAGCTCTGACTGGGTCAATTCGGTCTCCAAAATAAGGCGCCGGGCAGCAGTGGAAGAAGTGCGCGACGGAGGCGGAGGGAGGTTTAACTGAGGGGTCTGAAGAGGCCGAAAAGTAAAGTGGCGAGAGCACTCGTCCTTACGAATCAGAAAAACCAAAAGGTAGAGATAAATAAAAACATACAACAGCCAGGATTCGCATGTGGTCACCCACCATACTACTAACTGGCCGGCGTGTGGCTTAAGTACGGCTGAGCGGACGGGAAGCCCTGTTTTCCACACCCTATGGTCGTATGTGCTAAGTACTTGACTAAAGAGAATTATATAGTACATTTGACAAGCATTAGACAGATAAGCTCAACATTCATCCTATATATAGCTTTCAATAGCAGTGTTTGTACTAAGGCATTTAGAGAACAGCAAGACAAATTATTCAAAGGAACCAAACTAGAAACATATAGACAAGGCGACTGTAACTAAATCGATTTAGGGGTCTATATATTCGATACGTATCTGCTCTCTCCTTCTTTATACCTATCATAAGAGCCCGGAGGGGTTGGCGGTATATAGCTGCTTATTTACATAAACGCTTACTAAGTTCTCGAGGCTCTCGATAGGGGGTCTATTTTATAAAAACTAAGTTTCAACGTGCGCTCTGTTCGCCACTTATTAACCCGGATTGGGGTATTTCCATAATGGGAAACTCCCCCCTACGGTCGGCCTAAATAGGTAATATGACGGACGAGGAATATGAAGAATCCGAATCCTTGGCTGTTTAAACTGATGTGAAATTGAGTGATTCTGGAATCATATGGTACTGAGAATATCAAACAAATCAGCAAATTGATGTGGGCCTAGGGCAACTTTCAGCCAAAGTATTCGCGGCGTCGTCTCGTCCCTGAGGCTCTCATTCCGAAGCCAAAGGAGTGCCCAGCAACTGGATGATGCAGACTCAAAATAGTATTCAGCTGCTCTCACCTTAATCAATCAATTGACCCTACGAGTCGCGTTGGCGGCGGCCTTCCGCTGTTAGGGGGCGCGGTAAGTCAGATAGTATGGAGTTTTATTCTGGAAACGCAGATGCTGTGTGAGGAAAAGCTCCCCCTCCTAGGATCTATATACGTGAATCTCCAACGTTGGCATGGCGGCTGCACAGAGTCGACTCTCGCTCCGTTATTCGTAGTCAGAGAGGCAGTAACAGTTCGTGATAAACGACGTTAGGAGTCTCTTGAACTATCTCATTTGGGTCTCGGAGAATACGCATGCCTACGGCAGAACGGACGCGCGATAAGCTAGTATAAAGTTGCCCATGGGTGAACACTGGCAGGGTGAGATCTAAAACAACGCGGTCCAGCGTGAGTCCCTGGCAGCTATTGAAGGTGGTGGCGTAAGCTAGACGCAGGGGAAATTGTCAACGCTGCACCGCCCAATTCACACGGTGAGGCCGGAACTCGAATGTGATCCGTGGCAGGTAGAACGTCGGCGACAGAGTGTTCGGCGTGCATGTCCGTGCAGTAACCGCACCTGCACCACATCTGGCAGCAAGTTAACGACCTAGACCCTCACGTATTTGACTAAAGTCTTCTCAATAGTGAGATTCCGCATCACGCTAGCAACGCGCCAATCTTGAGCGACAGCTCATGTGAAGGACCCCGGGCTCGTTCAATACAGAGAGAAGATCCGCCTCTGCACCTATGGGGACATTGAAGGTGGGATCGTGCTGCCGAAAATGATAGACCGGATCGCAAGGCGAAGAGCTATAGGGAATTCAGAAATGGTGTCGCATGACTTTTGCAGGGAGACGAAAACAGTGTTGCAGTGCCGCAGTCAAATAAAGTAGTGTACCAGGGCGCTCAAAGTATAACCAGCTGCATGACAAGGTTCAATTCAGGGGTTAAGAGGTCGCAGCGTACCCATCTCACATAGCTTGGCTATAAAGAGCTGCGTAGCCCCCGTCTCCAATGTCTTAGCACTCTCTAAATCAACCCATCATACACCTTCCGTTACTAGCAGTTCTACTTGGATTCTACATTCGCGGCTCCTTGGGGGCCTTCCTCGGAGTCATCGACCAGGATCGCGAATATCTGATATGGTTCAACGATAATCATGGATGCACCGGCTACTCTGAATCTTTTGCGGAGCTTAATGGAACAGACTGTTTAGGTATAAATCAAACCAACGTGAACTACCGGAACACTTTATATTGACCTTTTCGCAGAATTGAGCGAGATGGTGAACGGCACACGCAAGGACTTCACTATTCTTAGTGTAGGAGTGTGTGGGACTAAAGACGGCAAAAATGTTGCCTAGATAATGGTCAATCAGACCGGTGAAGCCACCTTTTTCAATCAAAATGGTGATAAGTCAGGATGCATTTCGAATAACGGACTTCGGGCTGGCAGTTGGTGCAGTGAGTCTGATTATAAGTTAACGACCACTATCAGTTCATCTTCCACGCCGATGGCCTCAACTACGGTAACGCTCTCTTCTTCGAGTACTGTCTCTTCCTCGAGCACTGTCACTTCCTCGAGCACTGTCACTTCCTCGATCACAGTCTTAGGCAGTAAGCCGGATACTGCAGCTTCCACATCGGCGTGCGTCTGTCTATGAGGAGTGAAGAGAAGTCTATCTGACGCCGGTTTGGACATGCCTTTGTTAGTCTAGACTTATTGTTGCTTCGCGTTTTTGATTTCACTCCTGTTCTGTCGATTACAGTCCAATCTATGTTAAAGTCAAAGGCTTTGATCCTTTGTGAAGTGTCTAGGGGCCCTCGCTCCCCTTTCTCCGTAAAGAACCATGTTGTCTGTAAAATAGCAAATCGCCTTGCCGATTCCGTCAACCTTCTTAGACAAATGACAATGGCACCCTCAGGTAATGCTTGAATTGATTTAAGATTGCGCTAAATTATTTGAAGGGATTGCAAAATACGATTCTTTCTTCAGCCGTTGATCTTTTGATCTTCGTGGCTCGACCAACACCCCGATGGCTGAAGATGGAGGAGTGCTTCTGGGGAGCACCTCAATGCATGCGATCCCGGTAGTATATCACATCCATCCATACATACTGATGTCGGTCTTGAGCTGGGCATCATCTCTAGCTGGAAAGTACTGCCTGGAATGCCTTCCCCCTCTTGTACCTCTGGGCATAACCCGCCTTATCAAGAGTATATTGATCACGAGCGCGGTTCGCCAGCTCAACGAGCGAACCGATCGCATCGCAAGTGCCGCGCCCAGTTGCGGGCGAGAACTTGACAAAGCGACAGCCCCGCTGGGAGGCAAATGCCTCTGCTTCCGCGTGCGACACGGCGGCTTCACCTTCACCTTCATCCATAGCGGCGATTATTGTCGCATGAAAGGGGAGGGCCCCGTCTTCGCAGCGGCTGCGCATCCTGTCGCAGACGGCCGCGATTTCGTCCCACGATTCGCTCGATGAAGCGTCGTACGTTAAGACGAGATAGACATGCTGCATAAGGCAGAGGTAGCCTAGGCTAGATCCCGGGTCGCTAGGCGGCGCAATAAAGCTGACAGTGTAGATATAGCCGTCGCAAAGGTAGTCTGTCTCGTAGTCGCCTGTAGGGTCGAACTCGCCGACATCCTTCTCTCTCTGGAGTAGCTAATAAAACCGCGCGGGGTATGCTCGGCCAAGGGGTATTCGGAGAGGGGGACTTGTAGTATAGCACGTTGCGCTAGGTAGATACGTACCCTGTAAAGATCCACGGAGTTAGTGGCGCCTTTGGCATTCTTGACCATAATAGACACGGACTGTGCCTTGATACCGGGCTTGCGGGGTAGCTTAGTAGGTGACCGCCTCACGTCGCTGATATAGATAGCACGAGGGTTAAAAATTTCGCTCTCTGCTGTCGTGGCCGGTGCTGATGGCGCGGGCTCGCTGCTACGGCTACCGCGGCTGCCAATACCACGAAGCTTGCGGAACATGATCCTGGGTGGCGGATGGCTGAGGTGAGCGGGGCATTGCTTGGAAGATACCTGGAACCGAGGCACTGCTGGCCCTGGCTTGTGTCGGAATAGTCTTGACCGTGTTTGTGGGAAAAAAAGTATCAGAATTAACTGACCAAGATGCTCCGTGATAGTTTGTGGCTAAAGGAGTCGAACAACACCTTGGAGGTTACAGGGGAATGGCGGCCTCTTCTGGCCAGTCCGCTCTAGGTGAGAGAGTCACAGCAACAGAGAGAAGAAACCAACTTGGTGGGAAAAGATAGATTCGAGGAAGTGGAAGAAGGTTAGATGTAATGGAGGTGGGGAGAGCTTCGATGTGGAGGGTCATGTGACCAAGGGGACAGGACCAAAACAACCAAAGGTCCACAACATTCATTTACTCTGTTAAGATAATATCAGTGCAAGCTGATACTGTATAGCCTAGTATGCAAAGACGACGAATGATATCAAGCGGAACCAATATAGACGAATAACATTGATTGATTTAGTAGAAAGATGGAAGGAGAAGCGCTGTTAAAAGCACACACTCAGATACACCGCTATTCGATATGTCTGATGTCTCCGGTACTCAGCTGTGACAACGGCTGCATTGCAGCTCGGCTCCCTGATTACATAGGAAATACTAAACGAATGTGGGCCCATTAGCAACCAATCAGTGGCTAGCGGTAAGTTATCCCTTCTTGTTCTGACATATTCAGAGGAATCGAACTAGAAAAATATAGATAAGGCGACTGCGACAAAATCGATTGAGGGGTCTATATATTCGGCACGTACCTGCTCTCTTCTTCCCTTATACCTACTATAAAAGCCCGGAGGGCTGGCGGTATATCGCCCCTTGTTTACTACGAACGCTTACTAAGTTCTCGAGGGCTCTCGATAGGTCTATATTGTGAAACTCACTAAGTTTAACATGCGCTCTGTTCGCCACTTAATACCCAGATTGGGATATTTCCACAACAACGGTCGGCCCAAATAGGTAATATGACGGACCAGGAACATGAAGGATCCTTGTTTAAACTATTGTGAAATCGATTCTGGAATCATATGTACTGAAAATATCAACCAAATCAACGAATGGATGTGGGCCTAAGGCGACTTTCAACCAAAGTATTCGCAGTCGTCTCGTCCCCGAGACTCTCCTTCCGAAGCCAAAGAAGTGCGCAGCACGAGATTTTCTGATCGTGCTGATCCTGATCAAACCGATTTGAAAGCCGTGCCCACTAGCCCGGAAGCTTATCTCGGAGGGAATGCCCAACCTTCTGAAGAAGCTCAAGGTTAATTCTTTTTATCTATTATTATTTTGATAGAGTATAAGTTGGTATTGGTGCTGAAGAGAACACTATGAATTTAGGTGAAATGGCCGGGGTATTTTTTCAAGAGAATTCCATACCACTACCATTCTCACATGCCGTCATCGATGGGGTCAAGAAACGGCATCACCTGGTTCTGAGCATTAAGCCTAGAGAGATCCGGCCAGATATCGTTGGCTTCCCAGCTCAGATACTCCCACATGGACTGAGACCAGCCATTTCCCGGGGCTGCGGCTGTCCGATCTGAGGCCTGGTCAGAACTAATCGCTTGATAATTATGTAAAATGTTCATCGTGGTGAAGTCCTGGCTGCCAAACTGGCTACCACTTGCATCTTGTGTTTCCACATTCGGACTTTGTAGATTAGCTTCAAGAATACGCGAAATGACCTCGCGGGACCGTTCTGCAGTGTGTCCATAAGGCTGCAAATAGCCAAGAGCCATGATAGCTGTCTCAACTTGCGCCTTGCAATCTTCAAAGGGTGCACAAGAATCATTGTCCGTTAGTCCCACGGATAGTCAAACTAGGGGGACCATAGTAGCTTGGAACAACAACCAAACAGCATTCCAGCCGATTATGTGATTCAAGGGCCTCCTGATAGAGATGTCCTGGATCGATGACTTGGCGACTTCGCAACATCTCTCAATCGCAGTACGTTCTTCGACTCGGATAGCCATAAAGGGAACTCTTCGGATGGCGTAGCTGAGTAGCATAGGGCGATAGAGTAGCATGCGCTGATTATAGAATCTCCAGCGCATAACAGTACGCACCATGTTGAGTGATTCAGGACATGGCTCATAATCCTTGAGAAGTGGTGGTACATTATTCCACCAGCGAAGAAGCTTCGAATCTAGATCGAAGAATTCCGTATATTCCATGGTTGGAAGCGACGCAAGTAGATCGTGGATTCTTGCGGCAATTTCCACGAATTGAATATTTTCCGTCAAGGAAAGAACTTCAATATGGTTGTCCTTTGAACACTTTAGTCGGAAATTCTATGGATCCTGTCCACTGGGGCAAGTAAATACAATGGAGCATACCTTGTCAAGCAAACTGGGAAGGTTGGTAGTAATTCCAGGGCCAAAGCAATCCATACTTGGCCGACCAAGCGTCTCAAGACCCCAAACCTCTAGACAGCAGAGTGACCACCAAACACGACGCTTATTCTCTTGGCCTATAGATCTCATGGGACTCAGTGACACGTGACAGTCATATGGCTCCCGTTGCAGGCCTAAGGTCGCCGCCATGCGCAGGGCAGCGCCCATTAAAGAATATCCCAGGTTTGGCTGGCTGATATAGTGAGAATACCAGCCACCCATGAGCCCCAGTGCCTGGATAAGTTCCAGGCTGGGGTTCCTGAGCGAGCTCAGGTTAAGATGGCTCATTGCACGCTCAAATTACATTGAGTGAGTATGGTTATCCGGGCCTGAGGCTGCAATACCTCCCAACGCGAGAACGATATTGAGCAATGAGAGCCATTGTTTATCCTTTCGTTGGCAAGCCAAGAAGGTCCGGCGAAAGTTTTCTTCGTCTAACATTGGGGCGAAAGGTTGAAACTTGGAAAAGTACGCATCAACCATTTGCATTTCCGTGGGCGGAGGACTGGACGACTGTGGGCCTGATGATTGAGGTAAAGCATTGCTAACCGAGCCGCTTTGTTCCTCAGACAAAGTGAGAGAGAAGTAGGTCTCAAACTCCGGGTGAAGCCATGCAATAACCTTTAATGCGGCGTGAATAGAAGAAACTCCCAGGTATGATGTGGGATGACGGCTAGTCAGTGATAGCCCATTGACGTCGTCTGAGATGTGCCCGATCGACTCTGAGGCGCTAGCACCACCATTATCATCTTGCTGTTCTTCCGGCATCGAGTGCAGGGACTCAAGACCAGGTCTTTCCATTGACGACGTGGAAGTGTTGGTCCTTATAGACGGGACAACTGCCGGCGAGTCATGGTACTGCGCATATTTCGATTCTTCTGCGGACATCAAAACTAAGAGTTCCTCCCTTGATAAATGAGCGATACTTTCGGGATCAGTGTCCGGAAAGAGTTTTTTCAATATGGCACGATAATTCGGTAGAGGTACGGCTACTTTCTCCAAGTGACTACTTGATTCAATTAGTGTCTCAAGAACGGTGCCAGGGGAATTCTTCTGTGCGCTTTTTGGTTTGATTATTTACCTTGGTGAAGGTTGACGTACTTGAGCATCCGAATAGCAACACGTCTCAGGCTTTCTATACCACCGACAAGCTTCGCAAGGTTTCTCGCCGTTGCATTTGATCTTACGGTGACGGCATGAGGTGCAAGCTCGCGGCGTAGACCCTCGTCGGCTTGATCGCGCACCTCGCTTTGCAGGCTTTGGATTCCGCGGGCCCGACTTGCTAGCCTGAGATGAGTCGAAAGTGAGGAACATGACTGTTGTATAGAAGAACCCCTACCGATTGCTTCTATTTTTTCAAAGTATTATATGGCGTGAGACGGTCCACAGCGGGGCAGACGCTAAGGTTGAACATAATCTGCCCAAAATGTGAAAAACCGACGGGTTTAAATGAAGATTGTTTGAAACGTACTACTACACCGCCTGAGCACCAATGAGCCTTGGTTAAGGGGGACTTGGATATTATATGCATCGTACTTATTAAGACTGTCCCTATAGAGGGTCGAGGACCACTAAATGCGGGGAAGTGAGGGAACGGAAGACGGGGAAGCTGCACGTCGGGCCAAGATTTTATTCCGGGTGAATCATGCCAACAAGTTAATGGTAAGTGTCGAGGACCAGCCTCCGGTTCGTTTAGACTCACTCTCCGTGCCGAATTGGGACAGAGGAGTTCCCCGCAGACGCTAAACCTAATTTTGAGGAGATGAAGCGGACCTCCGCCTGCAAATCCGGAGGTGAATAACCTAAACGATCGCCCAAAGCTGTCGGCTCTGCACCAACCGAGCAGCAAGCAGCAAAATCGTGCCAAGCAACAGCGACGCCCCAGAAAATAGCGATAGTGACAGATAACCGTAATTCTCGACTAATGCGCCACTTATTGGGACATTAGCCATGGCACTGTCAAATCTACGTTAGCTTGGATTCTCCATGATAAGACAAATTATGACCTACGACAATGCAGTGGAACCAGATACACTGCCAATAGCGAGACCCAGCGTAGACGTAGTGGCCACTTGAGCTGCACAGGCTTGTTGCAGTGACAGAATACCCTTAAAATTATGTGAGTACTTATGAAATCATCTTGTTTTTCAAGCAAAATCTTACCCCAGACGCGAAGCCATAGGCTGCCGACCAAACCCCCAGCGCAGCGACTGATTCCACCCTTGTCCAGCAAAGTGCAATTATTCCGGCCAACAAGGTGGACAGAATGCAGCAATTGAATTTGCCATACTTGTCGGCGATAATCCCCGGAAGAATGCGACCGAAGAAAGATGCACCGTTCACAATTGAAACAGTGTAAAAGCCAAAGCTTGACGGAAACCCCTTTTCGGCAGCGTATGAAGTCGTATAGAAAAATGGTGAAAACATGCCGAAATATGTAATAAACATTGCCAGGCATAACAGCCGCAACGCAGGTTTGCGGAAAAGGGCGATGGCTTCGGCCTTTCTGGCTGCGTTCTTGCTTTGGAGGGCGGCATTGTCACTAATTGTTTTCCGATTCGAAACGCCACTCTCGACGTGCGCAGCGAGCGCCTTTGGTGATTTAGCGGCGAAACAAGTAAACGCAAAGCACGGAGTCATAATAAAACCGACAATACGCATTGTCCACTGAAAACCGATGTCGGGGTTCTTCAATAATTTGTCAATGATAATGGGCCAGATCACTCCGCCAAGAGATGAACCAGCAAGCACGATTCCCATGGCCACGGCACGCTTGCGCTGGATGTGCTGTCCCACGAGAGCCAGCATTGGCCAGGTCACTAATGACATGGATATTCCGAGTAGTACTCCCTGTGCAAGCAGGAACTGGTAGAGCTCTTTGCAGAGGGAGGTCATCATAACTGCGAAAATTGTTCCAAGCGATCCCAGATACGACAGGAGCTATCAAGATAATAAAAGTCAGACACCAAAGAATTCTTCGCACATCTTTTCACACCGCTGGCTGACCTTGGGACCAAACATATCGAGCATTGCACCTGAAATAACGGATATGGAGAAAAGGAACAATAGAGATGTAGCTCCTAACCACGCAATGGTGGACTGAGAGCTTTGCGCTAGCTGGTTTGTCGCGTAGTACTCTTGGAAGATCCCAAAGGAGTTCAGAAAGCCAACGGTGCAGAAGAGACACGTAGAGGCGCCGGAAATGACCAGCCATGCTCGGGGGCTGCATTTCAAAGGGACTTAGCTTTAAGTCGATGTAAACCAGAAGTATCTGAAGCACGTACGTGTATTCACCCGGCGTACTCTCACTATATGCCATAGTAAGACTCAACACTTCATAAACTGTGGAAGTGAGACAGGAAAGAGAGGCTCAGGACTCGGTGATGCTCGCCAGCAATGGTCGTTCTCTGCAGAAGTGAGAATCAATTGCTTCCCCTGTATCAGGGAGCAAGACCCCGACATTTTAAATTCAATCGCACCCCGACATTCGCAGCAGGAAACTATAAGCTTCCTCGGAGCCTCCAGTCCTTCCTATTGAGAATGTAAAGCAAGGAGAGCCGTTGAATTGCCCGTAAATTGGGTGAGTGACGGCCGGAGGCTGCCAAGACCGGAGTGTCCGCGGAGCGTCCGGGGCACTTTCAGCGTCTCACCCCTTCGATCTTTCTTTGACGCGATCATCTCCGACCTCGCATACCATCGCTTTGCTATCTTATCCACTGCAAAGTACATGGGTAATATATCTTGATGCCCAACTGATCAGCCACCATGAAGCGCAAAACAAGAGCAGAAACGTCCGCCACACCAAGAAAGCAGCCTAGGCAAGATCCCGTATCTTGCGAGTCATGCCGGAGGAAAAAGCTGAAATGCGATCGGTGCCTTCCATGTAGTAACTGCGCATCCCGTCGGACAGATTGCAGTTATGGTGGCTATGGCCCAGGAACTGCGAGCCTTGCGAAGAAAGCTGGTATCCAAACAGCAGAGAGACCTTCCTTGGACAATACGGTGACTCCACCTCGAGTGACACAATCGACAAAGACCCCTCACGATAGAACTCAAAGCCGCAGCGCTGAGGATCCACTCATGACAGCAGACCGGCTCGAAAACATCCTCATGGGTCACCGAGTCCCGAGTGCTGTTCCAGCGCCACTTCGGAAAGAGCTGTCGAGACACGGACGAATGCATGCATCTCGACCGCATCGAAACACTGCATCGGGCACAATTCTGGGGGTCGTCCGTGGCGGACGTGTCGCCTCTCATGAAAACCCGGCCACGGTCCACCTGCCGTCATTTCTGCCTTCAGAGGCTGAAGCAATGCGTCTGTTCGATTATTATCACAATCACCTCGACTACCAGTATCATTTAATCATTCCCACCAGAACAAAGTGCGACATATACGCCTTATACGAAAGTATTGCTCGGGATAAACCAGGGAATTTGAATCATATTGCTCTTTTGTTCAGCATTCTCGCCACTTCGTTGTTCTTTCAGCTTCTGTCGACTGAGCCTGCGGAAGTTGCCGAAATGTGCAGTCGCGAAGCAGCATTTCTCACCGGAGCTGCCTTAATCCAAAGCAATTACCTCGCCTATCCTAACACTGAAGGTTTGCAGGCAGCCATGATTATCGCGCATCATTTGTCTACTCTGACCTTGAATCCGTCTGTGAGCTCTCTATTTTTGCATGGGGGACTTGTAAGTCAAGCCAAAAGTCTTGGTCTCCATTTATTAGATTCACCACGGACGGTGGATGAACGGAGACAAGATGAACATGACAAGGCGGAGACTGAGCTGAAGCGCCGACTGTGGTGGGATCTGGCATCTTACGACTGGTAAGATCCCTTCCCCTTCTATCAAAGAAGTTCCAGCTTATAGCTCCTAGGTTGATTGGTTTCTTGAGTGGACCCCAGGAGTGGACATACACCATTCAACCTCAACATATGAATGTCCACCGGCCATTGAATATTGAAGACGACCACATGGAGTACGAGACCAACCTTCCGCTCTCTACACCGACGTGCATGTCATATACTCTATGCCGTCTGAGACTGGCCGAAGTATGTCGGGAGATTGTTGATGCAGCAGCACCTGAATATCTGCAAGGTCAGGGGATTGGCTATGAGACGGTGCTCGACTTAGATCGTAAACTCCAACAGGCATACTCGGAAATACCAGCGTTCTTTCGTTTCGATCAATCATCACGCCGCGAATTCGCCTGCCTCTACCGTGAGCGGCCGGAAATAGCGTGGCAACGAGCTTTCATACAGCAAGGATACCACTCGCGGTTTTGTCGTCTACATCGGCAATATTTTGTTCGCGGCGCAAAAGACCCCCGGTACTCCTACTCCCACGTTGTGTCGCTCCAGTCTGCCCGGAGGGTCCTGGAAGTTAAGCGCATCATGGATGAGGAAGAACCTCTGTTCACGCCGAACAGCTCCTGTTTCTGGGCGGTTATGCATCATGTATTCATGGCAGCGGTCACTCTACTGATTGACGTCTGTTTCAACTGGGACGATATTCTCGCAGATAGACGAAAGGAGGAGGTGCTCAATGCCTGTCGACTGCTAAGCCGCGCTCAGCAATCTTCCTCGGTTGCCCGAGAGGGAATCAACGCCATGATGGGCATCCTTCGCAAGCACTGGAAACAGGAGAAGAGGCCAGACTCTCGTGGGCAGCAAGCTCAGGTACCTTCATCACCCCTCTTAGATGCTTCCGCTCTGCATTATCAGGAACCTATACTGCCGGTCAACGCCATCCAAGAGCCCAAAGATGTTTATTTCACCCATTCTGCACCAACACGGGATTCCCTCGCACAAGTTCAGTCTACCGATTCGGCCAGCGCGGAACTTGGTGCTGCCTCTTTGGAGGATCTGTGGAATGAGATGCTGGACAAAAGCGCTCACGTTGGGCTGGGTACACCAGATTGGATGGACCTGTTGACAGAGCTGACCAATACCACTGTTCCATGCGAGTGATGCTTGGATTCGGGTTGCGTTTAGTGCTTACTTGATGATGCTCATGCAGGACAGTAAACCAACGCACGTCACATGATGTTTTGATTCGTCTCGTGCCTGATTTCCGTTCCTCGCGCCCTCAATTTGTCCAGTCAAAGTACCCCTCGATCGGGGATATTGCCAAACAAGTGGACCGAGCGGGAAACTAATCATAATGGCATCCAGCACCAAGTCTCAAAACACTACTAGTGTGGGCGAGAAGCTGGACATGCGAACGATCGCAAGCCGCATCAAGGATGGGCAAATCACTCGGATCGTGGTCCTGCTGGGCGCTGGCATTAGTACTGCCGCTGGGATACCCGACTTCCGATCGCCCAACACCGGTCTCTACGACAAACTTGCGCCTTTACATCTTCCCTATCCCGAAGCCGTCTTTCATATCAGCTACTTCGCTCATACCCCCGAACCATTCTACGCGATCGCACGAGCCCGCCATCCCGGCAATCTTCAGCCAACTGCTTCTCATGCTTTTTTGGCACTTCTCGCGCAAAAGAAGGTGCTTCATTTCATTTTTACCCAGAACATCGACGGGCTTGAGCAGGACGCAGGCGTTCCTGCAGACAAGATCCTCTGGGCACATGGGAACTGGAAGAGTCAGCATTGTTGGAAATGCAAGACCGAGTACCCCGATGACCTGATGCAAAAAGCGATTCGCGACGGCGCGGTGCCCTACTGCCAAATGCCCGAATGCGGTGGTGCGGTCAAGCCGGATGTTGTGTTCTTTGGACAATCTCTGCCCCTCGAGTTCGATGAAAAGGAGAAACTCGTGCCAGAAGCGGACCTGATGCTTGTCATGGGGACCAGTTTGAAGGTGGCCCCATGCTCCAGACTCCCACGTCTGGTCCAAGAAGGAATCCCAAGAGTCTTGATCAACATGGAGAAATCCGGAGATTTCGGGAGCCGAAACGAGGATGTGTGCATTCTTGGCTCGTGTGATGAGGGTGTGCGCAAACTTGCGCACGAACTGGGATGGAGTGAGGACCTGGACGCTCTTTGGCGGAGTGCGTTGAATGCCAAGCACGATGATCTTGGATTCGACGGAGGCCCCACTCTCGATGAGTGCATCGCGAAAGTGGCGAGTCAGATGGACAGTCGGATGAAGATCTCCAAGGGGCATAAACGTATGCTGGAGACCCATTTGGCCAGCAAGTTTGCGCATATGGGGCTAAGCTCACCATCGCCGCCTTCACTTCCTCCAATGCCTCCGAATCATGATGGAAAATCACCCCCACGGTCATGAACGGTGCGTGGCTGTTGATCCGAGCGACTGTGCTTGTCTTGCCACCCGATCACATTGGACCTTCACGTTGGTTCCGTAAGCTTCAATATTCTAAAATGATGCCACCATGATGTACGTTCGCCTTCCCTTCCACTGTACCTCTTAAACTTAAGGTTCACCGGTCGCGTGTCATCCCACGTTTACCTTGAGTCTATTTGCAACCTCGGCCACAGATGCGATCTCCCTTAGCCAAGAATGCCTGATCCCAAGAAAAACGACCTGCCATACATCCACCGCTACATTACCACCCATAGCACCGACGGCGAAGCAGTGTTTGTCTCCCACGCCCAAGTCCCCGACTACATGCCGTCACGGCCGGCCGGCAACGACGGCGAGATCGCTCTTTTATACGCCACGACCAGCGCCCCGGCCAACCTAGACGACGAAGCCGACCTCGCCATGTACGACGAGTTCCTTCACCAGCCACCGGGCCTCACCACCGACGCAGGAACGGCCTTCCGGATGATCGACATTCGCCCGGGCAAAGTCACGCCGATGCATCGGACGGTGAGTATTGACTACGGAGTGGTGGTGGAGGGCGAGGTGGATTTGATCCTGGATTCGGGGGCCAGCCGACATCTGCGACGCGGCGATGTCAGTATACAGCGGGGAACAGCACATTCCTATCGGAATCGCAGCACGTCGGAATGGTGCCGAATGCTGTTTGTGTTTCTGCCCATAGACAAAATCACCATCAACGGAAAGGAAATGGGAGAAGAGGTATATGACGAGCCGTATGAGAAGCCCGAGGGAGGATGACATTCTCTCGTAATGACAGGTTACTTGCCCAAGCAGAAGGATGTCCGAATCAGTTGAATATCCCAGTTTCTTGCACGGCTCTCTGGCGTTTTTCGGTGCCCTTTGGTCCGTAGAAAGCCCCTTGTTCGCCCAGTTCCTCAGTCGTCCCAGTTCGGGCTAGAGCTCCCCATGTTGCGGGCCAGAAACCCCTGGCCCGGTGGTAGCTCCTGCAACAATGGTCGCACTGTCCGAACAAACGGTTCGTCGCATGCGTGAACTCGGGTAACCTCTTCGCGGAGCCGATTCGCCCGAGGGTCTGGGTTCACCGGTTCACCTTGTCCGCCATCATTCGGGTACTCCCCGCTCTCTCGGTCAAGGGGGATTATGAGATAAGCAGGATCTCGCATTCCTCATCCGGCTCGAGACAATCGCCATTGGCTGACGGAAGCCTCGGTTCCAACCGAAGAATGTAACCCAAACCACTTCGGGAAGCGGAATGCGACCTTGAAACGAGCTCACGATCTCGCAGGGGCCTCTTGAATTCTGTCGATCCCTCGCATCAGTCGGAAAGCCGAAGGGATTGTCGGCAAGCCGTGTATTTCACGCGATCTCTGGGTGGCTCAATCATGACAGCGGGAAGCGTTGGGTTCTTGCCCTCTCAAACAGCGCTCGTTTGGCATATCCTTCTGCTTTCGGATCTAGGGGCAGGGTTTCCTCGGTTTAACCATGGATAGCCAACCTGTTGACCATCCCTGGCACCTGCAGCCCATTGACACCGATTATTATGGGCCCTGGAGTCTCGTTCCATGGAGGACCTCGCCGGCTCCACTTCTGTTGAGATGCTGCCAGGAACAGACCCAGCCAACGGCGGCGGGCACTGGAGGGTTCCATAGACTTCGTCACCACTTCAATGTAACCGAAGTCCAGCTTTGTACTCATACATATATATCTTTGCTGCCAATAATGGAGGAAAATCTGGAAATCCGGTTGCCTTGTCAGATTGTCAATCGGCCGCCGTTGTAGTGCATACCTTCGAAGTATTACCCAGTGAATTGCTCTTGACTCGTCTCTTGACCGTCCCAAAATGCGCTATCGTGCCACTCAGCTGCTTCTACTCGCTGCAACAGCTTTACTCGCCTCCGCGCAAGATGCAAACCCACAATTGCAGAGCGCCCCCCTTCAACTTCAAGCGACAGCACACAGTGCGCTTCTCAACTGTAAGAACCGGGATGTGTGACGGTGTATGAAGGGACCACTCTGACGAAAAGCAGGATTGTCGACGATTGCGTCAAAATCATGAAGGAATCCCTTCAAAAATGCTCCGAGGAAAATTGGGACTGCAAGTGCTCCGGCGCTGCAAATATCGCCAAGTGAGTACTCGTGGATATATTCACTCAGGTCCATCCAAAGCCTGTCCTCCGTGCTCTGCACCTCTCGCAGAATTCTACTTCTAACCTATGTGCTCCACCCACAGTTGCTACGTGAATTGTCCCGATAGCCCAGATTATCTCGCTGCCCAGTCGTCGAGCGCATCGGATTGTGCCACTGCCAACGCCTACGATAAAGGAAATACATTGGTCCCGGATACGTGGAAGACGATGAACTTCAAGAATGACGCTCATGCACCCACCGCACCCAGCCCCGACACGCCGGCCCGCGCAACCTCGACTGGGGGCCCCACCAAGTCCCTGAATAGTCTCAAGGAATCGGCCAAGCCGTCGAAGGGGTCTGCGGCTGTGAAGACTACGGGGAGTTGGCTCGCTTTGGTGGCATTGGGTCTCGGTGCGATCTTTTGAGGGTCCATGAGTTCCTTCGACCATTGCAATGAAATACTTCGTCCGGCTCTCCAGGATCGCAAACAGGCAAACAGTGTGTTCAAGTCATATTCTCGAGAGTATACGTATGTAGTACATGTCCCCGAACGTGTCCTATCATCCCACCGTGACCTGGACCTTCGAGCGGTCTGGGTGATCGAACATTAGTGCAGCCCTCCCGATAATGTATAATGTCACCTACAGAAGGCAATATGATCTTTGATATTCATCGCTTTTTCATACGGACTGGCATAATACCAGGCGGCGTCGGGAATGGTCGTATCTAAGGACATGACTTAGCATTCGTCTATTTTCACCTGAACTTTCCATCTTCTTTACCACCCGCCTTGATCGAATAGTATTCCGCCTCACCCTTCCACGGGCAGAATGTCGTTGTATCAGAGCTGACCAAGGCGCTCTGGTCTTTGATCGCAGACCGGGGGAACTGCCCCTCGGCATGTCAGCGCCTCCACATTCCAATGTAGTTAAGTTCCATCGACGTACGTATACATTTCCCTCAACGGTCTCCCAGTGGTCTGCCTCGGCCAACACCAGGTCTCCTAGTCGGGCTGTGGCGGTCGGCATATTGATTGATTTTGTAAAATGACGATGATGGATGGGATGGTTGATGGTCGGAGATTGATGGGGTCAGCAAGACCGGAGTTAGCGGACGTCACGGGCGTGCGGGGGAAGACCGGGCTGTGGCCTCCGCACTGCTCACGCTACGCTGTACTCTGGTAAGTGGTATGAGTTGATCCCCTTCAAAATGGGGATTTCTTTGTTCAGGAGACTCTAGCGCCTTGATCGAGAGTACTGTCTTGTCGGTCGCTATCGCTGAGCCCAGTTCGGAGTCGGCCATTCACCTTCTCTTACCGCGTGTCTCCAGTATGGTTTGTATATAACTGACTCAGCGGATCAACATTCACGTCTACCTTACCGTCACTCTTCTCTTCTTTCTGTCTGGAGTGGAACGTGGAGTTCGGTTGATCGTGTTCAGAAAAGTCCGCGTTCTCGGCCTCCAAACACCGCGCGAACCGTGTACTCCGAATTTCATTCCTGCTTCGTAAGCCAGGGCAGCCTTGCTGATGCAGATTTTCACGATCATCCCACGATTCAGGCTAGCCCAAGCGTCAATTCTGATCTCGGGGAATGGTTTCATTGATCTTGCCCAATGAAAATCACATCACAGTGGGGTGACAATTTTGGCCCCAGGCTTATAAATGGACTGATTATCAAGCACATTGACTCCAGTTTGATCCGTCACAACAAGCTGTGCGAACATGCTGCCAGATAGTGAAATACATAAGTAGGAGAGTCTCCAAAATCTGAGTAGTTCACAGCAAAGTCTCCTGCGGACTCATCCCTCGACCGGTCAACCATACCAATCTCTCTCACCATGGACCGTCCCATCCGTCGCGTGATCACCGCCCACGATGCCACAGGCAAAGCCTACTTCGCCTCCGACGAAAAGCTCACCCCCTACGATCCGACGACTGCGCCTGAATTCACGACCCCTGGTCCACAATCCGGCTTCGGAGTGGTACAGATTCATCGATCGCGCGGGTTCCCCGCCGATAACATGCGCGAGCTCCCCGACCCAAACCGAACTCTCGTCCCTCTGGCCGATACCAAGGGCCCGTCCTGTCGCATCCTGGACCTCCCGCCTGCCGAACAAGGCTGGATGCACCGAACCTTGAGCTTAGACTATTTTGTCGTCCTGTCCGGGACAGTGGGTTTGATTACCGACGGTGGCGCCGAGAAGATTCTCAAGCCGCATGATGTCGTGGTATGCCGGGGAACCAACCACGAGTGGGTCAATCGCGGAAACGATGCTGCTAGACTCTTTGCGGTGGTTGTGCCTGCCAAGGAGATTGTGACTGAGGATGGCCAGAGACTGGAGAAGACACCCGCTGGGCCCATCTTTGACCCGCCCGAGGAGGATTAAGCGGAACTCCCAAAAGACGCTTTTGCAATGTGGGATACTATAATTGCTCTTAATCTATAGAAAAAAACTAGATGAATGTCCAGTGTTCTCCCGTTCCGTTGAGATGCAGAGTATGAAGAAGCATGCGGCTGAGCAATCACTTATGATTGAACTCAATCTTCCCCCACACTAACGCACTTGGGGCCCTGGGCCGATGCTCGGGCTCGGATCGAACGGTGATCACCCCGTGCCTTACCCCCACGCGGGGTCATTCCAAGTTTCCATCATTCCATTTCCTAGGTTCCTCTCTCATACTCACCACAATGTCACCACAAAACCCCTCGTACGCTCAACTCTTGGACATGCTTATCGCAGAACTAATCATCGCAGGCATATTCTTGTCACCGGTTCCACGGGCTTCATCGGTGCCCATGTGGTAGACAATCTCCTGGCCCGTGGCTTCTCAGTTCGGGGAGCAACGAGGTCCGCCACAAAAGGTGCACAGATGAAGGCAGCACGCCCGCAGTACACCTCAAAGCTGGACTTCGTGGTGGTGGAAGACTTCACCAAGACTGGTGTTTTTGATGCCTCGATAGAGAGCATTGACGCCGTGATCCATGTTGCGAGTGTATGTTCGATCATGGCGATGACACTACTCGCAGCGCGGTTGACCACTTCTCGCAGCCATTTTTCTACGATACCACCGACAACGAGCAAGAACTCATCTTACCCGCTATCAACGGAGTCCAGTCGATCCTCTCCGCCTCAGCCAAGCCAGGAAGCAACGTCCAACGGATCGTGCTGACATCCTCCTTCGCTTCGGTCGTTGACGTCGACAGCAACCCTCCTCCCTCATTCACCTATACCGCATCGGACTGGAACCCCCTCACATATGAAACGGCCATTGACCCCAAGTCTACTTCAGTGGTCGCTTACCGAGGATCCAAGAAATTCGCCGAGCTAGCCGCGTGGGATTTTGTGGAAAACGAAAAGCCACAATTCGACCTGGTTGCCCTCTGTCCCCCAATGGTGTTCGGTCCTGTTGTGCACCCAGTGCCCAGCATTGAACACCTGAACGAGTCAAATGCGGTTCTTTGGAGCGTGGCTGCGGGGGTGGATCCTCTTCCCGTGGCGCGTGTTCCGGCCTGGATCGATGTCCGAGACCTCGCCGAAGCCCATGTTCAAGCCCTCCTGACTCCCGAGGCGGGTGGAAAGCGGTTTATCCCTGCTTCTCCGGAGCCGTTCTCGTATGGGTATGCGGCTGATATCATGAAGGATGCATTTGACTGGGCCAAGACCTCGGTGACCAGTAGCTACAAGGCGGGCGAGAAGCCGCACATGTCTTATGGAGTGGACGGTGAGACGGTCGCTCGAGAGCTTAAGGTGAAGTATCACAGCTTCCAGGATACCGTGGTAGACTTTGTCAAGCAAGTGAAGGATACCACGCTTTCTTAGTTCAGTCATACTATTGCGTTGCATGTTTGTGAAAACTATAGACGAACTTCTATGACTTGTTCTGGCGCGTGCGATGCCATGATCGCTCACGAAGAATCGGACCAGTCAGCTTGGATCATAGCAGCTCCTTTCTCTGCAATCGCGTACACAGTGGCCTGGATATGCGCACCAACCTGCAAAGGCATGATGCTAGCGTCGATCACACGTAACCCGCGGACCCCGTATACCCGTAGACGCTCGTCAACAACGCCGGCCTTTGCACCGTCTCGCCCGCCCATCGCACAGGTGCCAACCGCTATGTTGAGTGAGTCCAGAACCAGTAGTAATGTGAATAGCAGAATGAACATACGATGCCAGTCCGTCACGGTGTAGTTCGACACAAAATGATCATAAATATCCATCTCCGCGCGCGAATCCTCACACGGGGGCGGGAAGACCTGTTCTCGTATGATCTCTGCAAGAGGCTCTGTGCGGCATATTTCCTTGGTCATTCGTTGGGCTACAGCCATGACCTGCTTGTCTATCTCCCCCGAACCCAGATAATAGCGCGGGTCGATTATGGGCTTGTCATCGACAGTAATCGTGCCAAGCTTGTCGGTCTGTGGTGGTATGTGAATGGACCCTCGCGAAAATGGATACTGGAGCATCTGCAACATAGTCGCATATTTTTTACCTGGCTCAGATTGGAAATATGGGCTCCAATTACCCAGGTCGAATAGATACTCCACCTGTCCACGCAGGGAGCCGTCCGTCTCGGGGTCAAACTGTGCAGCAAGAAGCTTGTCGTGCAAGCGACCCGTCTCTTGGGCGACCTGCTGAGCTTTGTTGTGCAATTCGATAGATTCTCGTGGCAACGCGACTTGAGATAAGGAGCAATATGCAACAGAACAAGGCATCACGGTCCACGGTCCAATTCGTGAAGAATAGTAGGCTCGGTCGGCGGCCTCGCGCAGAATGGCATCATTGACAATATCGTCGCGAGATGAGAGCGTAGGCAGGACTTCAAAGATAGTCGCAGTCACTTTCGGGATTTTTAGTGTCACGAATCCAGCTCTAGGGTCGGAATTTAACAAAGGGAGTCATACTCATGTGGTCCTGTAGGTTCTCTCCAACGTTCGCGTTATGAATCTTCACATTGATTCCTGCTGCTTCAAGTACATCTTGTCGCCCAATGCCAGAAAGCTCCAGGATCTGCGGCGACTGCACACTGCCTGCGCTGAGAATAATCTCGCGCGTGGCTTTGATGTCTTGCTCCTCGTTACCATATCGTACTCTGACACCGGTCGCGGTCCACTCGCCATCAACCATTTCGATTAGCAGTTTCAGTACAGTCGCATCCGTCAGCACATACAAATTCGCCCGCGAAGCGACTGGTGCGTAGTAGGCTGATGCTGAGTAGCTCCGCTCCTGGCGATCGGGATCTATCGTGCACACCATGTTCCACACCCCGCAATTGGAGCCCGCGAGGCTATCGTGACTGGAGACCAGGCCTAATTGGTTCAGAGTCGCGTGCCAGTACTGGTGTGCGGCTCCATACTGCTTGATGTGTGTAGTTTGAAGAGGTCCGTCAGTACCATGGACTTCGGCCTCAAAGGAAGAGTGATACTCTTCTTGATGTGCAGCGACGGGCTTGTGAAATGTCTCGCTGCGTCGAAAATAGGGACTGTAACCGTCAGCCAACCAGGGCTTCCAAAGAGAATATCGACGCAAATCGAGATAGGGATAGAGATTTCGTCAAATTACAGTAGGTCTTCCCATCCCCAGCCTTCATTTCCCAGCTTGACCCACGCATCGTAGTCTTCCCGGTGACCGCGGTTCCACGCCATGAAGTTCAACGCACTGGTGCCACCCAGAACTCGCCCTCTAGGCCATGGCAGCGATCGCCCTCCAAGACCTGGCTGGGGGGTTGTTGCGAATTGCCAGTCATAGACAGTTCCTATCGCCTCGCCATACCGACCTGGCACGGTGATGGCCCCGCCATCCTCCCCGTCCAGGGCCGAGGGCCCGGCCTCGATCACCCCCACGTTCACTTCCGGGTCTTCACTCAGGCGCGCAGCTACTGCTAAGCCTGCAGTGCCGCCTCCCACAATCACATAGTGCAAGGGGAGCTGGCAGAAGGTTCGAAAGTCTGGAAGCATGGTGATTTTCTGGCGGGGTGAATGACTCCACAGAAAAGGGGGGAAGAGGTCAAGTCAACCCCAAGGCTACAAACAAACACGCTTCCTCCAAGGGTCAACACAATGAAACTCGGGCATACTCCTCGACTACACTATTTCGACTAGACTTTTTGTAGGCTGCCAGTGTAAAGAATTGGATGTCGTTTACTAACGCAAGGCTTTCGTATGGCCCGTAAGTTCAATTGACTGTTAGGCTGCTTGACATCTATCAAGTTCAAAATAATTAGGTGTCATTGTGCCGCATAATTTTGGAAAGCCCTTCCTCGCGTTTTCCACCGCTAGCCCTTTCTTACAATTCGGGATGGTGACGCTGGGCGCTGTCCTGTTGGTCAGCTTCATTATTCTCCAGGGCAAGACAAACTATCTGGAGGGTGCCTCTGCGCTTGCTTTGCAGCTATTTCGTATGGTTCTGGTCCATTGCGCAGCTTCATGGCTATTTCTCACCATTGCATTCCAGTGTCGGGGCATTTTTGCTACCCATTTCTTGACTGGGGAAGCTACCCCACTGGAAGATGGGCGGCTAAGCCAGTGCCCATGTCTGCTTTCATGAACCTAATGTTAGTTGACTAGTTCACTAGTGAAGTTAGGTTAAGTTTAATCAGTTTGAGTGGATGCTTTTTTACATCATCTTGTTCTCAGCTGCAGTCTGCGTCTTTCGCATTTTCTCCGAGCTGACTGGTCCAATTCTGGGAGGGGCGTGAGATTAGCACCCTTTTCACTAGTTCGGTCGGAGGTGCCCTAAGCCGTTTGGGTCTCGTGCGATGTCGCGACTGTCATCATCGCATTGCCCTCAGTCTAGCCACACCGACTATTGCCACATTTCATTCACGACTGCCGGGACAGACAGCCGGGAAAGACAGCCGGGAACCGTTGTTGCGAAACATTCTCCAGCGTCCGCACCTCGATCGGATAGCAAGATGGCTACGGCAAATGCGCTGCAGCTCGAACCGGTGACGCTGGAGGATATCCCCGCGGTGGTGGATGTGTGGTTTGCGGCCTTCGCAGAGTCTGGCGTGCGGCACTTGTTTCCCAACACGCCCGGGGTGCGTCAATGGTGGGCCGATGCCAATCGAGACGACTTAATGCATAAGTCGTTTCAAAAATATGTCAAGGTCGTCGATACCGAATCGATAGACGAGCATGGCCGACCGCGACTGATCGCGTATGCGAAATGGGACCTGTCCATGATTCCCGATCGCGGACGTCGCTTTCCGCCCTGGCACGAAGAGCAACCCGCCGGCGAATGTGAGGCCTTTTTCGGAGGGATGGACCAAGTCCGGCTTCGCGTCATGGGCGAGCAGAAGCATTACTGTAGGAAACCTACCCCGCGCCTGAGGCTGTCTAGACGGGATACTGACATTGACCGCCATCGCATAACAGATCTGGATATGCTCGGCACGCACCCCGACTTCCGAAAGCGAGGCGCCGCCTCCATGCTGGTCCGCTGGGGTTGTGAGCTGGCTGATCGTGAGGGAGTAGGGGCGTATGTGGATGCCAGCAAGGCTGGCGCGCCCTTGTATATGAAATTCGGGTTCGTGGATCACAGCAGCCCCGACTCAACCACTGGTATTGCGGCGATGGCTCGAAAGTAATGCACTTTTTCAGAAACTCTGTTCGAAGGTCTTCTTGAAGCTCTCTCTATTGACAAGCCCTACTTCAAGGAATATGTCCTAGCTGGCGGAATTCCCGCCTCCACCTTTCTTGGCATGGCTGGGGCTGGTCTCGGCCAGCAGCTAAGCCAAGTCACCAATTCCCCTCGTTGCGTATGGATGATTCCTTTTCCCTCGCCAAGAAGCTCCGGTGCTCAGCGTGTCCTCCGCACTCCGCAATGGCAGGTCGGAAACGCAGAGGCCCAGCCCGCTGCAGGATAAGATTTGGACAGGCACAGGCTGAGATAAACAATACTATCATTATAATATTATGGGAATGTTTTATTTAAATTTGTCTTAACGTGTCCTCCCGCCCTCCCAGACTGACCTGGTCAGCAAGACAGAGAGCAAGACATCGGGCTGGGAAAGGCGAAGATTGGCGTGGAAGGGGCTGCAGAAGTTCAGATGCAAGCTGCATCTCGGCATTTTCGTGCCCCTGTCACCCGTTCCTTGCGCTCAAACTCAATGCATCCAACACCCGCACTTGCGGCCAGCGGCCAGCGGCCAGTTGCCTGCCAGTCGTGGGTCCATGAACCACGTCCCCAGAAGGCAATTCGTGATGTTTCGGCATCGACGATCAGCAATGGGAAGGATATGCGGACACGACGCCTCAAGGTGCGACCATACCAGCACCCCTGGCTCCACCACGGAGCCCAACCAGCCCCCATACGTCATGTCGACCGTCCGGTTCTTCAGACGCGACCACCTATCCATATATCCGAAGTCTAGCGACTCCGGGGGATGGGACAAAGTCCAAGGCGGCTGTGCTGGCTTACAAACCCGCAGCGCTGAATGGAGCATCGCCTGCACATCAGCCGATCCAGACCGGCCCCATTATTGGGCTGGACCACTGGCCTCACAGTCGACCATCGGCCGACCGCTGTGAATGCCAAGCAGCAACATCCCCTCGTCTTATTTTGCGCTCCGATCGGTGCTTGGTGCTCCTTTCTAGGCTTTTCCTCCGATTGAATCCTGCCCCGCCAAGAAGTGTGTCGTCGGGGGCTTTCGGCCGGACGATCGCTTCCTTGCCGTGCTTGTCTATTGCAACTACGGTTGCCAGGTTTTGTGCAGCTGCTAGTCTCACATGGGCTCGCAAGGTATCTGATGTTTTGGTGGATACCCAATCATCCGTCCTTCATTTCGAGATGAGCCCACGCGCAAACGGTCCGGGCAAGAGGGCATTTGCACCGCGTACCACGCTGGTGCTCTGGCTGATAATTGAGGGTTGACGGTTGACGATGAAGAGTGTTCCGAGCCCTGTTTCCACCGGTTCTCGACCCCGGTGAATAGCTCTGTCGGATCATAACGCTGTGGTTCTAGGCCGCTGTGATAGAGTAATCATGTCCCCGCTGGTTGGCAGGCGTGCCGGCCGCGCCTGCGTGATGCCCATGCGATGCCTTAAACCTGCATCAATGCAATCCGGCTAGCTTCTTCATTGGCTGCCTGGGAGGAGAAGACCCCAACAACAAGGTCCATACCTCCATCACCCCGACTCAGTTTCCTGCCTATAAAGGGAGCTTCAGGCCGCCCAAGCTGCGCAGCGACGATTTTGCGGCTCGCCCTGAGGCTGGATACCCTTTCGGATCGAGTTTCCATACACGGTCGACATCATGCATGCACTTGTCCTCTTTACGGGCCTTACGGGTCTTCTTGGCATTGCCAATGCCGCCTGTCCCTACATGACGGGCGACGCGCCTGGGCTGAGTCGTCGTGACGATGGAGATGCTGCTACAAACACCGAGGAGTTCCTGTCGCAGTTCTACCTGAATGACGAGGACGCTTTCATGACCTCGGATGTCGGGGGTCCTATCGAGGATCAAAACAGCTTGAGCGCTGGCGAGCGCGGTCCCACTCTCCTGGAGGATTTTATCTTCCGCCAGAAGATCCAACGCTTTGATCACGAGCGAGTATGTATGACTGTTCACACAGAAGGGAATCGTAGCTGATACCGCTTTTCTCTCTAGGTTCCCGAGCGCGCGGTCCATGCCCGCGGCGCCGGTGCCCATGGAGTATTCACATCCTACGGTGACTGGTCGAATATCACCGCCGCTTCCTTTCTCTCCGCAAAGGACAAAGAGACCCCTGTCTTCGTTCGCTTCTCCACGGTCGCGGGAAGCCGTGGAAGTGCCGATACAGCTCGCGATGTGCATGGATTTGCGACTCGATTCTATACCGATGAAGGAAACTTCGGTACATAGCCCGACCCAGACACTGAAGACCCTAAACACCTTTTGTCTCTGACATCATTGCAGATATTGTTGGAAACAACATCCCTGTCTTCTTTATCCAGGATGCTATCCTATTCCCCGACTTGATCCACTCAGTCAAGCCGCGAGGCGACAATGAAATTCCTCAGGCCGCTACTGCACACGACTCGGCCTGGGACTTCTTTAGCCAACAGCCTAGTGCGCTGCATACTTTGCTCTGGGCAATGGCTGGCCATGGTATTCCTCGGTCCTTCCGCCATGTTGACGGCTTTGGTGTGCACACTTTCCGGCTAGTTACCGATAGTGGCAAGTCAAAGCTTGTCAAGTTCCACTGGAAGGGCCTCCAGGGTAAGGCCAGCTTCGTCTGGGAGGAGGCACAGCAGGTGTCGGGTAAGAACGCGGACTTTATGCGGCAGGATCTCTTCGACTCCATCGAAGCTGGCCGATATCCCGAGTGGGAGGTATGTGCCTATCATGCCGCATCTATCATCACCTCGCTAACCCGCTTTGCAGCTGGGAGTTCAAATCATGGACGAAGAAGATCAATTGCGATTTGGATTCGACCTGCTTGACCCGACCAAGATCGTTCCCGAGGAATATGTGCCCGTCACCCGGCTGGGCAAGATGCAACTGAATCGAAACCCAAAGAATTACTTCGCAGAGACAGAGCAGGTCATGGTCAGTCCAATTTTTGCATCGCCGTGCAAGACCGCCACTAAACCTTCCTAGTTCCAACCCGGCCACATCGTCCGCGGTGTCGACTTCACAGAGGACCCTCTCCTCCAAGGCCGCCTCTTCTCCTACCTCGACACCCAACTCAACCGTCACGGCGGCCCCAACTTCGAGCAGCTACCCATCAACCGTCCCCGCGTCCCGATTCACAACAACAACCGCGACGGCGCAGGCCAGATGTTCATCCCCCTCAACAAGGACGCATACACCCCCAACACAGCCAACAACGGCTCTCCCAAACAAGCCAACCAAACCGTGGGCAACGGCTTCTTCACCACGCCCGGCCGCACAACAAGCGGCAAGCTGCTTCGCACCGTCAGCTCTACCTTCGAGGACGTCTGGTCGCAGCCGCGCCTGTTCTGGAACTCGCTCGTGCCGGCAGAGCAGCAATTCGTCGTGGACGCGATGCGCTTCGAGAACGCGAATGTGGTCAGCTCTGTCGTCCGCAACAACGTTATCATCCAGCTCAACCGCATTAGCAATGACCTCGCGAAGCGCGTTGCGGAGGCAATTGGCGTTGATGCGCCGGAGCCCGACGACAGATTTTACCACGACAATACTACGGCGCACATCGGTGCGTTCGGGCAGAAGCTGCTCAAGCTGGAGGGGTTGAAGGTGGGCGTGCTCGCATCCGTGGTGAATGAGTCCTCTATTATGCAGGGCGCAAAGCTCCAGAGTCAGCTTACGTCTGTTGGAGTTGACGTGGTCGTCGTTGGTGAGCGGATGGCGGACGGCGTGAACCAGACGTACTCGGCGTCCGATGCGGTGAACTTCGATGCGGTAGTGATTGCGGATGGTGCCGAGGGTCTATTCGGTTCCAAATCGCTTACTGCGTCGCCGACGGCCAAGGCATCCGGTGCGACCTCGTTATTCCCGGCGGGTCGGCCGTTGGACATTCTTATTGATGCCTTCCGATTTGGCAAGACCGTTGGAGCGATCGGCAAGGGCTCTGCCGCGCTGGAGGCTGCGCAGATTTCTAGTGAGCGGGAGGGCGTTTACGTCGCGGATTCCGTTGTTGAGGATTTTGCCAATGACCTGAAGGATGGACTGCGCACGTTCAAGTTCTTGGATCGATTTGCGCTGGATGCGTGATAGCCCGCCCTGGACAGTGGGGGTTTGCTGGGGAGGAAACCTATGTCTGTTGGTATTCTTATGTAAATTGAATTGAAACAATGTGCTATTATTCAGGTCTGTCTTGCAGAAACGGCCTATGGCGCCAAAAGGTTTTGAATTATTTTGCTCGAGTGCGAAAGCTAGCAAGGCGCATCTCTATATATACAAGTAAAGTCCCTTGGTTGGCCGCTGGCCACTCTCGACCGCCGAATCACAACCCACTTTTTGCAGTTAGTTAGTTGCAGCGGATTCATAGTCGGGACGACCTCGATCCGGCTATCGCAGCTGCAGCGCGGACGTTCATGTTCCGCTTGGAGGTCTTGCCCGTAGAGCTATTTCGGCTCTCGCCGATTATTGCCCACTCAGCGACAGTTGCTCCAGTGCCGTTCTGGGCCTGGATGTCAACCTGGTCGAGGGCTTGGTTGCCCACGATCAGGAGGGAGGCATACTGCGCAGCAGGAATGGGGGTAGGGAGCGTTACGTTGGTTGTGTTGCCGATGGGGATGGTGATGACGTCCAGATTAGAGGCTTCCTCGTCGTACGGATTCGAGAGGTCGACGTTGCTCATCGTGCTCACGATCTGGAAGTTCGTGCTCTGGCCGGATGCGAAAGCCTGGGCCGGGTTTACCAGCTTCTCGTTGTGGAAGATGATAGTCGCGTTGACGGGAGGCGCTTGGGCCCAGTCGAATTGGAAGCCTGTGACCATTTGACCCGCCTCATCGCCGAAGGAAACCGTCACTGCGCTGACGTTGTCTGCGAAGGTAGGCTGCCATTTGGTGGATGTTGCGCCGTCCACCGCTGAAATGGGGAATTGGCCTGGCTCGTAGGGGTCCATGGACTGGATGGGCCGGCACTGCACAAGATTGCCAGCAAAAGTGCTCACAAAGCCGATCCGACGGTTGGGAATGACGAGGGATCCATTGCCTGGAGGCAGCTGGTAGCTAGTAAAGTTTGACTCGGGGCCGACGTGCACGGTGATCGGCTGATTTCCGAACCGGCTCTCCGCAGTGTCCAAAGGCTGCTTAGAGGCTCGACTGATGGTGGTATGGGTGCTGTTGGACCACGCGGATATAGGCCATCCACGCCAGTAGAACGTCCTGTATTTCAGGTAGGGGATCTGCGGCGGCAGGTTGGGATCGACGTGCAAAACATCGTCAGGGAGCAGACGCAGGCCCAGGTAGCCAAACAGGACCACCTGGTGGGCACCACCGTGGCCAGTCAGGAAGGGGAATGCCGGGTGAGTCCCACCATTGAGAGTGGCATTGTCGATGAGCTGCTCCGACATCTGGAAGAACGGAGCCCGAACGTAAGGCTTATAGGCATACTGGGCATACGTGTAAGCCGAGCAACCGGAAGGAGACATTTCGTTCGCGACAGCCGAGAAAATTGCCCAGGTCATAGCAGGGCCGTCAGGCGACTGCTTATTCGCATACTGGTTTGATTGTCAGTGATTTTTCCCTGTCATTGACATTATCGGCGAGTACTCACGTAGTCAAGGTCATTCAGCGAGTCTTGCGGGGTGTAATTAGCATTATAGTCCAGAGGATAAGTGTTCAAAACAACATCAGCCTGTTTCACAACAGCACTTCCATTCATAGTCGTGAACTCGAGAGTTACGCCGTTATCACGGAGAACCAGAACATCCTCGGCCATCTTGTTCCAGGTTTCGTTCTCTGCGAGACCAAGCTGCTGACGGAAGCCGTTGGCATACGACAGAGTCTGGGCAATGAGCGGCATAGTGAAGCCACCAGCATCGATTTGGTTTGCATACTCGTCCTAAAAGAATTTAGTATCTTTCTGAAACAAGAGGTCCTCGTGCACTTACAGGATCGGTCATATTCTTGAGTGTCCAAGACGATCCATTCTGAACCAGCAAGTTGGAATAAAGCGTGGCAATCGAGTCATAGATTGGGAAGAAGCTCTCAATGAAAGTGTTGTTGTCACCACTAGCAACCCACTGATTGATCATTGACAGGCCGATGTCACCGTTTAGGTGGTACTGGTAATCCCAGCAAGGGCCAGTAGCGGTACAATTTCCAAATCTTCCACTGGTCCAAGGAAAGATAGCAGCCTCAGGAGAAAAGGCGGTCTGGTTTTGGGAGCCAGCAAAAGAAGTTTGGATATTCGTCTGTGCCTGGCGAAACTTATCCACGCGGTAGTTCGTTATCCGCTGAGCAGCTTCCGGATGCGCAGTAGTCAGGCCGGGTTGCATCCAGACATCGGCATCCCAAAAGACTTGGCCAGCGTAAGAGTCGGATGTCAGTCCACCAACAGAGATGCTGTCTCGGTTCAGTCTAGTGCTGTTAGACATCTGAATGGCGTTCTTGCCAACAGTATTCTGCAGCAGGTAGTATGTGTTGGCCACTGCTATCACAGCAGAATCGATGATGTGGCTATCATCAGGCAGGGTACCATTAGGAAAGGCAAAATGATCGACTGAATCCACAGGCATGACACTTGCCCACTCGGTAACGTGGGAACGAAGGGATCTGTAGTAGCCATTCTGGACCGCAGCGGACACAGCCGCCTTAGCAACATTCTGGGGGTTGGCAAAGGCATCCGTTGAAGCAGCACCGACGAATTTGGTGACGCGCACTTTCTGACCGTTCTTGAAGATCACGGGTACAGTCTGGACAATTGATGAGTGATTGTTACTGACGTACGGCTTGCTGCCCGCGAGCTTTCGCGAAGACAGATCCACATTCGAAGTGGCTGTCAAGTTGGCATAGACGTAGGCCGTGACATCCGCGATACCGTTTGGTCGCACTGCGGAGAAGATGGCACCATCGTCCTCGGCGGAATCAACAAAATCCGTTCGCACAGCAGAGTATCCCTCCAAGACATTGGCGATGGTTCCATTGGAGTCCTGGGACGGAACAATCTCCATGTCCACGACGGCCTGGTTGACAAAGAGCTTGTTGGCGAAAAGGCGGTACTTAATCTGAAACGATCCAAAGTCCCCCTTCGGCGTCCATTGATAAGACCAGGACAGGAGGCCTCCTTGGAAGTCGTAGGTTGAGGTGAAGTTGGAGATGGTAGAGTTATCAACCATCGCATCCAAATAGGTAGTGTTGTCAAGCTCCAGAATCAGACCGCTCCAATGCGGAACGCCGCTAATAACGCTGTCGCTGCCGTACTGGGAGAGCCAAGGGAAATTAGACTTGTTCGTGTTGGGCTGTGAGTTGAAAAAGCCGCTGATCGTCGCAAACGACTGGCGCCGAGAGAATAACGGCCACCCGTTGATTACATCACCGCCATCGTCCTCCTGGTCCATTTCAAAGAAAGGGCCAACACTGGCAACATTGATACCGAGATAGCCGTTGGCGATGGAACCTCGTGATTGAAAGCGACCCTGCTCCAAGGTGGTGGTGGTGAGGAGCCAGTTATTCTCATCCCAGGTAACACCGTCAAAGTCGGTCTGGTAGACATTTCCGCTAGAGAGAGATGGACCATTTCCTGAGTAGGATTTCATGCATCTAATCACCCGGTTTGTTGGAGATGCCGCATTCACCAGTGAGCCCAGCTGGAGGAGCACCGGGAGGGCTGCCCAAGTGAAAGGCTTCGAAGCTGTTAATACTGGTTCGCAGAAGTGGCAGAGATAGGGAATGCTACTCACTTTAAACTGCATTTTGCAGCCTCTCCTCTCGTTGGGGACACTCAAAAGTGAGTATATAGGCTTGTAAAAAAGACCTAGGTAGTTGGCCTAGCTTCTACTATTGTTAGAGGAAGGAGATGGTGGGAGGAAGGAGAGAGGGTGGAGAGGCTAAGGTGGCAGTCAAGTAAATCAGGTAAATCAAGGATGTCACGAGGGCGGCGAGATTTATTTAAATCCAATCCCTCAATCTGGATTCAGTGAAATGAACGCCGATCCAAATGTCATGGCCTTGAACAATCGCGTGCATGCAAAGTGCTCGGGCCCCATTCGCCCGCGAGCTCAGTGTGGGGAAGTGATCAAATCAATCGTACGTACTTAAGGTTTGCAGCTGGGGTCACAGCAAACCCCGAGGACTGGTTTTTTCGACGGGCAAGTGATACGAGCTGCCGGCTCCTCCAGTGGAGCCTATGCAATCACGCTGCCAACCGAGTCGGGAGAATGTCGTATGAGGCTGGTGACCGGACTGCCAGGTGCCCGATCTTTCTTTTATTGTGGTGGCGCCGGAAGATCCGGCTGGGGGGGACCACGCGCCAGGAGCCATGACGATACTGGCAGAGTCCGGTGGTTAGTCAGGTTCTTGGGTTGCTCGGCCACTCGATGCCGGTAGGTACCAGGGTTTCCGATACTTCCTGGGCCGACAGCGGAGATGCAAGGCAGCCACCCGTTGGGGGTGAGCGGCATCTCGTCATCGAGCCCGCTTGGATCCTTTGGAAAGTTTGGTGCAGAGTTTATGTGGGGTGGTTGTTGGGGGAGCCCCGGACGGGTCACTGGCGGGTCCATCAATTGCCCGACAAAAGTCCGTCATGGCTTGCCGAGAAGGGCAGGTCTTCGGTGGACGACAAAGTCTATATATCACGACTGGCCAGTCAGGTGTAGGCCGTATGGGTGGCTTGTCCCAGAATGACTTCCGGTCGATGTGTCAGGGGAAGTGGTTCTCGTCCGGTTAAGGTTGAGCGACCGTCGCGTGCGAACTGCCTAAAGAGGCACTCGTTTCACGCCTGAGGCATACATCGCTAGAACTACCCCAGCGCTTAAGCTATCCCTCATTGAAATTTAGATTTCTATTCAGAGGCCCTATCGATTGGGACTTTTTTGAATAGATTATAGGATCTTATACAGTTCAAAAAGATAGTCAGGTTTACCAGGAGACAGGATTCTCCCAAAGCCCAACAGCCGTATCCGTTTCATGAGCCACACCTAGAATGCAAACCCTCCCGTGGCTGCTGCTCTAGGTACAGATATGTATATCAACCACCCCATGTGCCTAATCTATCAGATCTTCCGTCAGAAAATCCACGGTATCTCACTGTGTCCATCGCTTTACGAGAGCCGCGCGAGAGCCGACCCGAGATCCGCCGCCTTATCAACCAACAGCTATGTGAGGCAATAAACCAGTACAGGTAGGCACAATCCAGATCAATTGCGAGGAGCATTGTTCTCCTTCTTGACAGGATGTACAAAGATTCCAATATGGTATCAAACACAATGAAGCGACCCAACTGCCTTATCATTATTGTTCTACCGCACCTCACCGGCCTTGAGCAGCTGCCGGAGATCATCCGCAACTCACCTGTTGACCGGCATGCAAATTCAGCATTGTGAGGGAGCTGCCTTTACGGAACGCTTCGAGCGAGTCGATTATATTGGCTCTGCATAATCTCTATATGCTAAGTGCGACACGTACCACACCGAACTCTTATACTTTGTCCGTCAAAAGCGCAGATATCTGCACGCTAGAACCAAATGATAGACTTTTATCACTTTAATAATTTTATCGTGGGGTACAGTTAGAGCACTTTGGTATTATCTGGCCAATACGGTAAAATCGATATTATCTGATATTTAATCAAGACTTAGTCCGGACATATGCCAAGGTTCGCGCTGGTGATACCTTTTTCCTCCTTGACTGGGCAGAAGGTTTCTTGAGCTTAGTCTACCTCCCAGTCGTTCCGATTCTGCGTGTTTGACTGGGGTAAGAATGTCCTCCGCGCCTCCTCGTGGAAACCGTTCTCCTCGTGGACACCATTCTCCTCGTCATCCTCGTCCTGTACTCCCGGGTGTGAAATTCGACGGTAATCAGGATTCCCGTTGCCAGATTGCGCGCTCATCCAACTTGTTCGTCGGCCGGAAAGCTGAACGAAAGCGATCTGTACGGAGTGGCAGAATGTCAGCCACTACACCACAAGCCTCAGCGTGGCAGTAAACTCACCTTGGCCGCGAAGACAAAAATGACTGCAGCAAACACCATCCAAGACGTATTCTGCTGGTACTCTCTCCAAGGAGCGAAGCAACTCCTCTGATATCCCAGTTGCAACTCACACGCATTGTCCCCGTGACTCCGGTCTTTGAAGGGCCATGCCCTGTCATGAAGACTCCTAAGACCACAGCATCGGAACTCATCCTGGATGGAGCGGATAGCGTGGGAATTCTTCGATTGAAAGAAAGCCTGCCATTGTTGCTCTAGGTTACATGAGAGTATCCTGTCAGGGAAGAGGTATGCAAGTGCTATTGTGGCCACGATGGTCGATATGATGGTCTGAATATGATTGAGTATACTGGATATTGTGCTCCATCGAGAATTGCGAGGTGTCTCATTGTTCGACCGTAGGGCAAAAACTCGCGAGGCTATCAGTGCGAGTGCTGTGATCGGGGATATGAGGGTTGCGATAGCTGCAACCCATGTTGGTAAAGGAAGAAGCAGTGCGGCCGTACGAGACCACGACAACCTGTTTTGTGCAAGGGCTGTTAATCACCATACTCATTCAATAAACTCTAGCTAGAGATGTGATGAAGAACGCAGTAACTCACGCTCCAAGGATCAAAGATATGACTCCACACTAATAGCGAGATTCGTTAGCAGAAGTCATCGCCAGGCTGGATCTCCAACATCTTACCACAACAAACACGATATCGAGGAGGGTAGTTGCATCGATCTTGAAGGGCATGATGTTTAGATGGTCAGTTCTTTTCGGGCAATGATTTATTGAAGAAGCACGATGAAGTACGATGAAGAAGTATGAAGGAGAATGAGTGCGTGAAGGGGGTAGATGAGGTGGACAATATTGGCGGGGTTTGCATTCGTTTGACTCTCCCAACGAATCAGCACCATTGCTTTCGAGAAGGCTGTACAAGCCCAGTCCCGCACCATATTCCATCTCCGGGCAAAATTCCCACAGCTAGCACATACTTTGCGAGCTTTGCAGAGTAAACACCCGATAATATAATAATATAATATTAGGCATCTCATATAGCCAACCTATAAGCGTGGACATACCTGGGCTACCCCTTAGCGCGCCAAGCATCTCGGGCTAGGCCTGGTGAAGCTGGAGCTTGTGGAGAAAACCTGGGGAAGTCCGAGAAATGGGAGGCCCAAGCGATATCGGTAGGCCGCGCTACTACCAAGAATGCCTCCATCGCAACATCCGACACATTGGATTTTCGCCGCTCATGCTTTCCGATAGCAAGGACAACTTTATATATCTATGAATATGATCATGGTCTCCTACCTTCTCAAATAACAAGTGCAGATCTGATGGGAGTTACACGACGCGTGTAGAGCCATTTACCAGTGGTAAGCGAACCTCCTGGAATTGAGATTTATTCAGAATCCAGCCTCTTTAGAAAAACCAGGTGAAGCTATGGTATGAACAATGAGTATCTCTAGTACCCAAGGACGGTAATGGCCACGAGCGGGTAACCATCAGAGCCCATCAGCCAACCATGGGACGTTCAGACCGCATGCTTCAGTTGGTGGTCCCATCATGGATATTGTGACCGTTTAAGTGTCGCTATCCTTGATAACAGGGTGCTGCTTGAGTATTGCGCTTCCCTTCTCCTGGTGTGGAGGTGAGAGGGCTTGGTAGTAGTACTGAAGGCAATTGTCAATCAAAGCGTATCTGACGATGCTGGGCTCCCAAATTGTAGTGTCGATTTCATCGTGTCGTGGTTTCATCGTGTCGTCGTCATTCACCCCTCTTCTTCCGCGCTACCATCCTCGTCAGAGGCGCCTGCATGGCTATTTGGTAGGTCTGAGTGGGACTCAATCGCCTGTCGCGCGTTCCTGCTCTGCCTTGGACGATTTGCCTCAACTGCAGCTCTTTCACCGACAAACTTATCCCCAGACCAGTCCGCCTTACAGATGGGGCATTTCTCCGCCTTTTGCATGCGGAAGAAGTTGCGCACACAGTGGTCATGGATTCGACCCTTGCAATCAAGGTCGTCGCACCGTTGGCCCTAAAGCCCATTGTCAGTTGACTGAAACTCTCAGCGTCAATAAGATTGGACAGTCACACCCACCGAGGTTATGATATCTTTGCAAGCAGCGCAAAACTTGATACGATTAGCTCTCCGGCCGTCAAGTTCATCATCGTTATACGTCGAGACCAGCCAGCCGCGCAGCTCCATCAGTGCTCGCGGAGTCAAACTAAAGTACCCCCTCCTGCTCTTCTCCAGCCACCCTTCTTCAGTCAAAGATTTCATCATATTTTCCGCCTGCGACAGGGTCAAGTTCTGCGCCGCGCCGCCTTCAGGCTGCTGTGTTCCTACATTGGTTGATCTTCGTCGCTCTCCGCCGGCTTTGGCCATCTGGATGGCTTGCATTGACGAGATGACCATCCCTTCACATCGGCGTTTGTTATTGGTATCGAACATGAAGTCGAGAACGCGCTTTACAAACGCAATTTCATCGGCGGAGTAGGTTGTCGCGAGCTGGGTCAAGGCATCGCTGGTGGTATTGACGAGAGCGTAAACAAGCACGGGGGGTGTAACTGGCGTATCTTGGTGGGTTTCCTCCGGGTCTTGCCGCCGGGAAGTTCTGATTTCCAAATCAAAGGGAGAGATAGCGGTGTTCGCGGCGGAGACGAGGGAGGAGAGGTGTTCTTGAGTGATATCTTCTGAATCAACACTGCGGCTCTCTGCGCGTAAGTTCGTGGTCAGTGGGATCATCGGGCGAGAGAGAGCTCAGAGGCAAGTGAGATATGCGCACCATGAGCCGAGAATAACGCTGCTAACACTGGCTGGGCCTCTTCGAAGGTCATGGCCGAGCGCGCCATGAAGGCCTGAAGAAAGGCACGATTGAGATCATTGTATTCGTCAACATCCATGCTGCTGGGGTCACTGAGGCAGCTGAGGCAGTATGCGATCCAATATGCAAAGCGTACGCTTTTCTTTCTTGGCTGCTCGTGCCTGGGACAGTAAAGTAAGTGGTGGAACGCGATTCAACGCGCCGCGTGTGGGGTGCCAAGACTTGCCGCAGGCAAAGAAAGCCCGGCCTAGGTGAGGAGCTGGTACTTGACACACCCACACCTGTATCTCCGGGTCTATGTTTCAGAAGAAGACAGCGTGAGCGCACCTATATAGAGCAAACTACCTGAGTGCATGTCATTGCAATGTCGACTGGCAGATATCAATCTTGTCAGATCGATGCTGATCAATCCACTTTCAGTCCAAGCCCGTGTATGGCCATGATTCTAGGTACGTACCAACTGATTGTTCTTTCACGGCGTTGTTTGCCGTTGCAGGTTCCGGGGTATTTAGCTTTGAACAACGTGTAGTTACAAAATTCAGACACTATTAATCACCCAGCATTGAAAGAAAAGAGTTAAGTACTCTACTACTGCCGAAATCCCCCAAGCAGTCTTTCACGGCTTACAGTGTCCTTACGGCTACGGCGTATCTACGTCAATTATATGAAAAGAATGGGGAGACCAGTCAAGGAAAGGGAATGAAGGTCGGCTGCACTCGTACGCAACGCACACAGCCACCTAGAAGACCACCGTGAGAAAAGCCAATCATGTCCACTGGCCCATGCAGCTTTTGGCTGGGCAGCGGTTGATACAAAGGGAGAAAGAGGGGAGAAAAGAGGATAAGATCGTGTCAAAATTGATAAACTGCAGGTCTGATATCATGACATAAAATACAAAATGCCAATCAGCAAAAGATGATGCCGAAACCCCAGCTCCAACGCTCCTTGCGCACAGGAACCTTGAAAAGCGGAATCGAATCACCAACTGATATCACCAACGCCAGGAAAATGAAGACAAAAATGAGAGAAAACACAGTTGTGAGAAGAAAAGAGAAAAGAAAGGCGACAACCAGACAACAACCGCGACACAGCGCCTAAACCCTCCGCCGAGTCGGCTCTGGGCTCGGGCTGCGGCTGACGCTGCGCGCGTCGCGACCCCTGTCCTTAAGCCACTTCTTTGTGCTCAGTCGCAACTCCCGGTCCAGCTCGGGGCCAGGATCTTTGCGATGAATGAAGTTGCAGAATCCCCCCCGCACGCATCCCTCGCCACTATTGAGCCGACAGCACGCTTCTCGGAAATCTGTGACGGGCGATAATTCGCAGTATATCGGTCGCGCAGCATACCAGCGTGAGTTCAATGCATCGCATGCTGCTTGCGCGTCTTCTTCGTACTTGAATCGAGCGTAGACGTTGCCGATCAGATCTGTGGTAAAGAGAAGTGTTAGTCACTTGCGCGAAAACCTCAATGGGATCAAAACGTCCAGAGTCCAACTTACGGTCATTGTTGTTGTCGCAGACGACCAACTCCTCGAGCTCGCCGTACTTGCACATCTCGCACCATACGTCCTCGTAGAAAGCGTCAAAGTGGTTCTGCAGCTGGCTCGGGTTCATCTTGTTCTTCGGATCGTAGGCCGGGTTCTGGTACATGTTCGGCATGAGAACAGTCTGCGAGTACGACGGCTTCACGTGTTTGCGGGAGCAGCGGTCGCCGTGACGGCATGCGCCGATCTTGTAGTAGAAGGAACAATTGACCTTGTCCTGCTCGGTACCGAAGATGGAGGCGAGGTAGTTGGCCATGATGGGCTGTTGAGGTTCTTTTCGGCCAACAGAAGAAGGGTGTAAGGAGATGGAGGGAGGGAGATGATCCGCGCAGGTGAGGTGGCGACAGAGGAAGAAATCGCGAGAGAGTGGTTGACTGCTTTGTGATACCGGATGCCTGAAGTTTCTGGAGAGCTCCAGTGGCGTGGCTGACTAAAGCCGGGGAGCTTTAGGCGGAACAACTATCATCCGACTGAGGCTGGGGATATGTCAGGAATCATGGAGGATTGTGATTCGATGGCTGCTTGTTACTGAGTTTAGAATTGTTATCGCTCGTCATATGAGTATTCCATGGTTATATATTATGCCGCATTTGCATCCCAACCATCAAAGCAATCAGTGTAGCGCATCAGCTGTGAATCAACACTCAGCTCATAATCACAAACGAACCCGAATGCCAGCTCATGACAGCTTCAGAGCACCCTTCGCCTGGACAGTCAGTCCACCGATGTCAGCCGAAGGCCTCTTTCCTTTGGTCATTCAGAAATAACCTTCCCAGTATCCAGGGCAAGAAAATACGCCAGGGACCATAGCCAGCTGCAGGATATATACGCCCTTGGCATTCGCTTGCACACCACGCCCAATCGAGGCCCACGATATAAACCTCACCACCATCTCTTGTGAAGATTTCATGGCTTGATCTGCACGACTTAGGGTAAGTGGTGAAAACTGCATAGCTCCGTCCTTGATACACAGTTCTCTCGTAGCCCAAGCTGTGTCGTGGTGAGCGTACCACAAGGTAGTACCCAGCTAGAGGGCGATTGGTAGGGCCAAAGGCTGAGAGCAGCAAGTAGCTAGCCATTGGAGGGGATTAGAAATTAACCCAGTTACGGTATCATCGCAAATTTATGGATTCGCAAAGCCAGCACAACGCCTTTACTTCCCGAGTCCCTTTACCCGAATGATCTCGGTCCGAAGGGCATCAGTTCTGGGCTGTATTCCATCTCAGCAAGAGGGTTCTTTCATTGACTCAGCCTTTAGTATATAGTATATCAACGTATTTCATACGAATATTCTTTGGCCATTCCAGACCCAATTGGCCTTATAAAGTTGCACCGCATGACGTCCGCCGGCCGGAGGCCACACCCCGCGGGATTATTAAGCCCCGCGCCAAACAGCCTTCCGTCAACCCAGTCATTCTTGAACATCTCAAGGAGGAGCTTGTTTTTATGCACAACCTAAATTGTGAGTTCATTCATGTCTTCATGATCAGTTTCGTCTCAGACTTGGCGTAATGGGTCCATGTCATTGAGCCTCGAGTGTGTTTTATATCGAGCGCCTTGGGCGAAAGAATAGGATCCTTGTCAATAAACCCCGACGACTGAGGTTACCCTCAAGCCCCCAAGCCCATCGCTGACAGACCTATAGTAGCCAATATGCCAGCCAAGACCATCATCGTCACAGGTGCCTCGCGAGGTAACAGTCCAACCTCCATCTTCCCCGTCCCAGAGCTGACAATTCTTCAGGTATCGGTCTTGCTATTGCAAAGTACCTTCTCACAGCACCCCAGTCACACAATGTCGTCGTGGTAGCCCGCAGTCTCGAGCCCCTCCAGAAGCTGAAGGAGCAGTACAGCAAGCAGGTCGAGGTGGTCAACGGTGACCTGGCTGATTTCTCCATTGCCCAAAAGGCGGTTGAGGCCGCCATCAAGTCATTTGGACAGCTTGACGGGGTGGTCCTTAATCACGGCATCCTGGGCCAAGTCGGCAAGATTGCTGCTGCTGATATTGACCAGTGGAAAAAGGGCTTCGACGTCAACTTTTTCAGCTTGGTCGCTTTCGTATGCCACTGGTCTCTTATCCAAAATGCTACTAGATTATTCTACTAATGGAACTACAGGCAAAAGCAGCTCTGCCAGCTCTCCGCCAGTCGAAAGGCAAAATTATCTTCACCTCCTCCGGTGCCGCGGTGTCCGGCTACCCGGGCTGGGGTTTGTACGGAGCAACTAAGGCCGCGATGAACCACTTCACCATGAGTCTGGGCAACGAAGAGCCCGATGTCACTTCCGTGTCTATCCGGCCTGGCATGGTCGACACCGAAATGCAGCGGGAGCTGCGCGAGGACCACGCGACCAATCTGGATGCCGAGATGCACGCCAAATTTTCGGGTGCCCACAAGGATGGCAAGCTCGTCAAGCCGGAGCAGCCGGGTCATGTTATGGCCAAGCTGGTGCTGGACGCGCCCAAGGACCTCAGCGGCCGGTTCTTCTCGTATGTCCTACAGCTTTACGAGAACTTGAATGGAGCTAACAGTACGCAGATGGAACGACAAGGAGCTGGATGCTTTCCAGGAATAGATTTAGATTTTCATTATTCATCAATATTTAGTTCATACGGTTCAAATCTGTACAGCAATCAGTATCAAATGCCATAAATGCCATGGGTGCAAAGTCAAGGTCAGATTAAATGTAATCAGCCGAAAGATGAAAAGCAGGTACATTTTATAAGCATTAGGTGCAAAACACCTTCATACTTAGCATGGAATGTAGGATGATCATCATACAAAGAGGGTGTGTATATTGAAAAAAGATTTGTATTCGTACCTATCGTGTATTTGCTGTGGAGAGGTGTGCTCAGCTACGCGGAAAAAAAAATCACGGTGACAACCAGGGATTCCTGTCCGCTATCACAAGATCACACAGCAGATCCTAGGAGTCTTGAAGAAGTTAGTGAGAAATTCTTCACAATGCATTCATGTGCAAAAGTAGCAGTAAGAGCAAATATCAGTTCGTCCGTTTGGCTAGGACAGTGTAAATCACCACGGTTTTGTATGATAGGGGCGACAACAAGGTTCATCATAGTAAAAGGCAAGAAAATAATGACAGGAATAGAGCTTACCATGCGTGAACGACCTCGGGGTGTCACAATTCACCCCGAGGAAAGGAAAGTCGAGAGCAGATGGATGATGAAGAAAGAAGAAAAATTACAAATTGCGAGAAAAATCTTGAGAATAAAAGTGTTTGTGAGCGGTGAGAATCTGCCGGCAGGAAAATATATGGACCCGGGTCGCGCCTGGTGGGGGTGCATTTAAATGCTCCAGGCTCGCTCACCCCACGCAGAACTCTGAGAAAAAAGCGCCACTCCCAGCATTGTTGCTTGCTTTCTTTCTTGTGGCTTGTACTCACAGCTGCTAACGCGCCCTTTCCTCCCTCTTTCATCACATATATCCAGTATGTCCGACCGCGAGTTCAGTTGTAAGTCTTCTGCTTCCGATCTTGACGACCCGCGCGCAAGTTGACGTTTGAACCCCCTCAGCGAATGATGACCTGTCGCTTCCTAAAGGTACGGCCCATCTTCCCCTCGAATTGTGCTTCGGATACTGGTTCATGCACGATTTGGATTCATCTCTCCGGGGAACCCTTCGTTTGCCGCGTCCCCGCCGAGTCTCCCGCGCTTGACCGGCCCTCGCTAACACTGAATGAATACAGCGACGGTTCAAAAGATCATCACCGAAATCCTGCCTCCCAGCTTGGGTCAAACCTTTTCCAAAGACGCGCGAGATCTGCTTATGGAATGCTGTGTCGAATTCATTACCTTGATCTCCTCTGAGGCGAACGACATTAGCGAGAAGGAAGCCAAGAAGACCATTGCATGCGAGCATGTAGAGAAGGCACTACGGGATCTCGGCTTTGCCGACTATATACCCGATGTCCTTGCCGTGGCAGAGGAGCACAAGGAGCAATTGAAGGTGCGCATATACAAGCTCAACCCTTCCCAGGTTTTTCTGAGCCGGGTCAGCTGACATTGTCTTTGAACAGTCGCGAGAGAAGAAGCAGAGTAAGATGGAGCAGAGCGGCCTCTCAGAGGAGGAGCTCCTTCGGCAACAGCAGGAGCTTTTCCGGTCCGCGACGGAGAAGTATAACGCAGGCCCGGAATAAGACGGCCTTTATTTTGGGAGAAACTCATGCTGGTCATAGAGGAAAAGGGACGCCGGGCGTTATCTGGGTTTTTCCAATGTTTCCAAGGGATTGTTCGGTTGGGAGTCATTTGACGGTTTTTTTTTCTGCTTCTCGATCATTTCTGGCTTCAGCGCATACATGTGAGGCGCGGTATAATTAATAACATGCCTTGACATCCGATGCATTATGAAAATTTCTCAGACAGTTCATGAAGCCTTGAAACAGGGCGCCTCAAGATGCCTTTCAGGTAATGGTGCCTTGAATAATGCCTGGGAAGTAGGTTGTTTGAAGGCAGATATCAGACTTTGCAAGAGATAACACACAAATGGAATATGTGTAATGTACTTGCTCCTGGTTCGAGGTTCGAGGGAATCTGGTAGTACAAAACAAGAAAGTTTAACATTTGAAAACTCACACTCGCCCTGGGATCAAACGTCCAGCTGTACTTGATGTTCTGCATCTCCCAGCTCTCACTTGCCGCCTCACGTCTCAGGCCTCACAACCCCGACCACCGCAGTCTCACGTGACAGTTTTTGCCAAGAATAATGCACACTAGGCCACAATGGGAATGACCAAGGCCGCTCCAAAGCGCAAATCGAACCGCGACAGTTCCCCCGTGTATCCTGACCGCAAGCCCTCCAACATGCCACCTTTCAAGGATGAGCATATTCTGGTACGTGAAACTTCCTCCTCCACAAATAACATATTATGTTCCAGAATTGGAACAACCCAGCTAACCATCCGCTCAGTTAATTGCGCCAGGTTCGCAAATGACCCTGGCGCAGCTGGGTCTGCCCGAAACATTCACGCCCGCGCGATTTCGCTTCCCCACGCGCATGTTCCCCGCCGAGAAAAAGGGAGAGTACGAGCCTTACCGAATTCGCGAAAAGCGCCAGGAACTCAAAGTTAGCAATGGCAACAGCGCGTCCAAGGACATGCCTCCGATGGAAGATGTGGAGATGAAAGATGCGCAGTCCTCTGCCCAGGATGGCACCGGAAACGTCGAGTCTACGGAGAAAGCAGGGAGGCCCGAAGGCGAGAATGCCGAGGGGGCTGACAAGACCGAAGAATCAACTCGGACGGTCGAGGAAATTTTCTACGAGGAAGACGTGACATCCGACGAAGGCGCGGTCTACCCGATCCAGAACGGGCGCATCGTCGACTGGCCCTGCTTCTTTGCCCTCCTGACTCACATCTATAACGCGCTGAGCCCTCCCTTCCATACTCCGATCATGTTGATTGCCCAGCCGGTCTGGTCTGCGCGCGATCGCGAAGCAATCACCCAATTCGTCTTTGAGAAGTTCAAGGTTCCCGCGTTTAGCTTGTTGGACTCCGCACTTGCCGCATGCTACGGCTATGGTGCACAAACCGCTACAATTGTTGATGTTGGCAAGGGCAAGGTGGATGTGACTGCGGTGACGGACTTCCAGGTCAATGAGCACGGTCGAGGTATTGCACTAGAAGGATGCGGCGGCGATGCGATGACAGATCGACTCGTCGAGCTTCTCGGCTCCAGGGGCTTCAGTCGAGAGATGTGTGAACAGCTTAAACGGAGCAATATCGCGGAGGTTCTGGCTCCCGGTACTCCCCTCCCTGGTGCTGCAGCCACCGCGCGCCAAGGGACCAACCCAGCCGCTGCTGCATCGACAGGAGGAGCCGATGGGAACGAGTCAGTTCCTCGTGGTCCGGGCGAGGGTACCCAGACTGGTATTGAAACTAATGGAGAGGAGGAGGAGGGGCTCTTGGATGTTGCGGCCATTGTTAGCGGCAACACTAACGAGTACCTTGCCAAAATGGAGGAGAAGACAACCAAGAAAGGTGGCGTGGATCCTAAGCAGAAGAATGCCCCCAATCACCAGAAAGAGAAGGCATCCTTCCAGTTCGAAGAGTTTGTACCATTGGATGGTGATAATGCACCGGCCAGCGGTTCCCGGCGGTATATTCGTCATACCCGGGAAATCGAGGTTGGCGCGGAGCGCTTCCTTCTCGCGACGCCTGTGCAGAAGACCGGAAACCGTCTGACCAGCGGTATTCTTGAGGATATCGCAACTCAGATCCATCACACCATTCTCGCCGTTCCCGATGCAACCAAGCGGAGCGAGCTTTGGGACTCGCTTATTATCGTTGGATGTGGCAGCAGAGTTCGAGGTATGTGGTGATAGTTCTTCTTTTTCTTTGTTGGGCTCCAACTAATAGCTTGGATGTGCACAGGCTTTTCTCAGGCCCTGCTTGGCGTCATTACTCAAAAATTCATCCTCTCCCCCTCCGCCACCATCTTCACATCTGAAATCCCCTCAGCTTTCAGCACGCCCCTTCCTACTGGCGGCACCAACACCCCGGCACCTATGGGTCAGCTACCTGGCCCGATGTATCACCCCGCCGCCCATGGTGTGAACCCTCTCCTGGTGGCTGCTACCCACAACAACCCCGTCATGACCGGTGTCACCCCTGGCACGCCTGGCATGGATCCTAGTATGCCCGTCCACCACCGCTCATCCGGCCACTCGCAGACCCCAACCTCTGTCAAGAGTCTGAGGCTGCCGGACTATTTCCCAGAGTTCAAGCACGAGGGCAACCGCAACGCCCCCGGCGCCAGCCATGGCCCCAGCGCCACACAGGGTGGCCACGGCATCGAAGAAGCCGTCTTCCTCGGCGCCCAGATGGCCGCCAAGGTCTTCTTCGTGCTCGACCAGGGCCTCACCAAGGGCTATATGAGCCGCGTCGAATACAACGAGAGTGGACCGTCAGCCATCCACGAGTATGTCCTGTAAGAAGACTTGACAGGCATGGCCATGACGGTTTCTACGAACTCAGCGCGGTTTTTGAATTTTTATAATGGTTCCCTTTTATGTGGATCTCGGGGCATCCTGGCGAAGCGGGCTGATCTTCTGTTTCGAAGACTTGCTTTTTTTCTCTTTCTACTGTCTGTACTCTTATGCTTTGATGCCTCCTAGAAAAAGCTGTCTCAGGATGCAGGTGCAAGGTGAGGACGGAGGAGTTGGTTTTGTCTTCCATGACTATTGCAATAAATTTATGAGATTTGAATCAACTATATTTGTAGTAGACAGTAGGAGCTGGGTACTAAGGACGTAGATGTGCTGGATGCCATGAACCATTTTCCTGACTGCTAAGGATAAGTTATTATCATCTGGTGGCCTTGATTGGTCAGCTAACGGTTCCCCCTCTGGTATCAGCACGTGATGTTGCTTATCGGGGGCTCCGCGGCGGCGTCGCATCTTTCTCTCTTCAACCCTCTTGCCATTTTGGTCACTACACCACCTCTTTCACGGACACAAGGCTACATTCTCCTTTTTAAGCTCAAGGCAAGCTCGGTATATCTTCAAGGACCCCTTCATTATGCCGCGCGCAGAGGCAGGTAAGTTATCGTCTCAAACAAGCGCCCTGGTGGTGGCGCATCACTCACCCTCCTTGGATAGGATCGGTCAAAGCTATCGGAAACAGAATTAAATCGAAAGGGCTCGGTCGGCTCAGGTGGTACTGCCAGGCATGGTAGGTAGTTTTCGAGTCTGTCTCAGGATCTGTGTACTAGAAGCTAACATGTGATACAGTGAACGGCAAATGTATGTTATTCTTCTTATTCAAGAGGGTAAGGGATGCTAACAAGAGCTCCAGGAGAGATGAGAATGGCTTCAAGGTGAGAGGATATTCTATATTTAAAATAACAAGCGACTAATGAGTATTGGATCTAGTGCCATGTCCAGAGCGAAGCGCATGTTCGGCAAATGCTACTCATCGGCGAAGATCCAAAGAAACACATAAAGCAGTTCACCAACGAGTTCCAGAAAAACTTCGTTGATCTACTGAAAACAAGTGAGAAGTCTCTCTCTCCTCCTTGTTGGGTATGAGGGCTAATTACTTGCCAGCGCACGGAGAGAAGCAGGTTAACGCGAATCATTTTTACCAACAAGTCATCGCGGATAAGACTCATATCCATCTTAACGCCACAGAATTCAAATCATTGTCGCAATTTGTAAGTTTTCCCCCACACTCATAAAGTTCTCAAGCTCACATACCCATAGGTCGCCCACCTAGGGAAGAGTGGGATATGCCGGGTGGAGGACACAGAGAAGGGACTGTTCGTCGCGTGGATCGATAACAGCCCGGAGACAATGCGCAGGCGTGAGGCAGTTATGAAGAAGGAACGACAGGACAAGGGTGATGAGGAGCGCGAACAGCGGTTGATTCAGGAGCAGATTGAACGGGCGCAGCGCAATGCGACCAACCAAAAAGCGGAAGAGAAGGTGGAGGAGAAGATGCTACAGCGGGAAGACGGGGAGAAAGTCAAGTTGAACTTTGGATTCGCCGCGAAGCCGAAGCCAGATGCAAAGCCCGTGCCACCTCCTCAAGCGACAAGATCTTTAGATGTCACGGACTCGCCTGCTCCGACAGACTCAGACGCGTCAACGCCGGCTGCCTCCCAGGTACCCGCCAAGGTTTCCATGTCGCTTGGTGCGCAGAAACCGAAGAATGTGTTTACTTCAGGCCCTAAAAAGAACGTACTGGCTGGGAAGAAAGGACCTGTGATGGCACAACCAAAGAAGATGACTGAACAGGAGAGGATTATGAAAGCTGAGATGGAAGCTGTGGAACGCAAGCGGTCAAGACCGGACTCTGTATTCAACTCCAAGCGGCCGAAGCTTGCTTAAGATGTCTTGCGTCGCTTTCTGGTGGTCAAAATTGTGTTTCCATTTGTTCTAGTCTCATTCTTACTATACCCTTTATCACGATCTATATAGAAATATTGAAAATACTAGCAAGATAAAGGTGAAGGACATTGTGCCTTTCTGTTTGCTTTTTTAGGCATGGGTTCTCGACATGCGCGGCAGTCGGCATGTGCAAAATATATCGTGACGGACATTGCTTGTACGTTACTCAACATCCACATTTGTCCACCTTTTCAAGCATGAATAACTTCTATGCAGCACTTTAACAGTGCCTAGGCATCAATTGATGAATATCTTAATAAATCAAGCCGGACATTGGCCTGTCTTTGGCCAATTTACCTAAATCACCATTGGCCTGTTCTTCCCTGTAATTGGATAATTCCGCACTAATGCCTTTCCGCTCCACCGCACAAAATTAGCTATAGTTTTACATATCCGGTCATCTTACATGAACAGCCCGGGTGGTCTAGTGGTATGATTCGCGCTTAGGGTTAAACCCAAGCACTCCTGCGCGAGGTCCCGCGTTCGATCCGCGGCTCGGGCCTGTGATTTCTTTTTTGATGTATATGAATGCGTCTGTATAGTCAATTACAGACCGTGCGCGTAACCGGTTCTTTTGGCTTTTTCATTTCTCATCTTTGTCTTTCCTTTCTGGCGAGGCTGCTACAGATAGAGACTTTTGCAACCTATAGCAGTAATACGGAGCTTAGAACCCGATTCACAACAGTTTGTTCAAAATATCACATACCTTCTGGTCCTGCTAATTAATCTATTTCCCCGTATGCTTAATTGTCTAGCGGAGTGCGCTCAATAGATAGAAAACGTCATATTGTCCATCTGGAATATACCAAAGTCGCTGCATGGTGAACTGATCCCAGCCAAGCTAGGAAGTCCTTTGAAGAAGGCAGGACCTGGGCTTATGGTTGGGCGGCTAGATATTTCCTAAATATAAGCTGCTGCGGGATACTTGCAGATAGATCGACTTGATCGAGCACACGACAAGAGCTTAATTCCGCGTCAGGTCGTTACTCAAAATAGCCCCACCTGCCTTTGTCCTGTGCTCCAAGGGTATGGAAGGGACCCAGTATTGTTCCCTCGGTCGGAGGAGGCTGTCCCACATGGTTTATTGAATCTACCAGCATGCTCACGCCTAGTGAATCAGAAAATAAACTCATCTCATTTCGCAATTATCACTGATCCACCCCAGTATCTGTCAAGAAATGAGTCCCAGCTTGCTGGTCTTCCGTAGAACGATGAGTCTTGCGACGAAATGTGCGAAGATGGGTGACGATATACGGTACATCCGAAGAGGCATCGCAGTCGAGGATCGCGACATTATGAGTTGATGAGTTGATAATATGTACATTCTCGGGAATGTTTTTATCAAAATAATGAGATATGCTGGCCGGATATGGGAATACATGCGATTTATTAAGTGACCGCACTGGCCCAGCCCGATGTCGATATTGGATCGCCCCATGTGGGATGGGGCAGCTCGTAAACCCCGCATAAGAGAACCGGGGTAATCTGTGGAGATCAATACGAAGCGGAATACGAATTCCCAGCATTTTGTTTTCAGAATATATAACCTGGGCAACTGAATGAACCAAGGGCTCTATTAACTGCTCAACGAAGAAGCTGTTTCGGATGAAAATGACGGTGTGAACGAGATGCATCACGTTATTGGAGGGGCCTGAAAAATTTGCAATTACAGAATGACATGTTTTTTTGACCACCTCGACAAGCAAGGCAAGAGATCTAGATGTAAAAACTATAGCCTGTGTCATCAAGGCTTGTTTTCCTGTGTACTCAGGAACTCGGGATATAGCCTTTATCACAGGCTTTTATTAAATAATTAGGAATCTGTAACGTCATATATTGCAAGTTTAGTCACGATACTACAAAGGCCGACAGGGTATGGGAGGACAATTCACAGAAAACTGTCTTGCAATGGCTTGTTCTGGCCATCGCGTTGTCTGCAACTACCCGAACAGAGCGGCCTGGCCAAAGATCCAGCTGCACAAGATCCAGTCTAAACCAAAATTGCACGATCTACATGCGGGCCAGATAGTAGCCACAGTGGTTGCTCCTCAGGGTTTAGCGTCCTACAACACCTTCCGAGTCCTTTCCGCTTCGCTTACGCCAATGCATTTATTTTCCAACCAACGCAACCAGACTCTGCACCATAAATCATATTCAACCATGGAGCCGCTCTCAACCTGGGAGCGAGGTAAAGTCTCTGGCATGGTCTCTTTGCCCTCTGGTCAACACATCTTCGTATCGGTCTGCGGGCCCGACCGTGTCGCAGGCCAGCCGCTCATCATTATTGTCCCCGGCGTGGCGTGTAGCGTCAAGGAATGGGCCGCCGTCCGGCGCCTTCTTCAGCCAACGAAACGCGTCCTGGCCTACGAGCGACCAGGCATGGGAGCATCTGAGGAATCGTGTGTCCCCGCCACGGCAGCAAACATGGCTAGAGACCTTGACGCTCTCCTCAAAGTCCTTCGTTTCACGCCACCGTTCGTGCTTGTCTGTCACTCATACGGCGGAATCATTGCCAGAGAGTTTCTAGAGCATCGCTTGAAGGAGAAATCGGATAATAATGATGTTGTTGGGATGGTATTCGTGGATGCCAACCAAGAGAAGAGTATTGTGCTCTGGCCAGACCCCAACTTCGAAGCCCTCGGAAAGGGGCTGGATTGGTATACTGTGACAGGCCTTGCCTTGCGCTGGGCCTTGACGGATAACGAGTGGAAAGCCGTCGTTGACGAGAAAAGCTCCACTAAGCACCAGCGGACGACTGAGCGTGAAATGGAACACTACATCGAGAGCTGCGAAGCACTGGGAACCAAGAAGCAGCTCAACCGCCGACCACCCTTGCTGCACGAGCATCCTATCAGCATTATTAGAGGCCATCCTGAGATCGAACTACGAAAGGTATTGACTGCTGGGGTGGAAATGGGAAACGGCTCAGCACAGCAGAGACGGCAATTTGAGGAGAAATTGGATATGTACCCGAAGTGGAACGAGAGGCTTCAGCGAGAGAACCTTGCCATGTCGGCCAAAAGTAGATACAGGGATTTGAAGGAATGTGGCCATTTCATACACATGGAGAAGCCAGAGGCAATTGTTGAGGAGATTGAATGGGTCTTGGAGAATATTTGAGTCCCGTGACTGTTGATATTCAGCGTCAGCCATCGGAAATCGTCAATACACTGCGCTAAATAATTCATTCGAGTCAACTCTATTTGGCAAGCCTTCTCAGAAGCATACTCGCGGTGATAACTCTCTACTTCTTTGCCAAGAAAGCTCCTCGAAGCAACACATGTCACGTTGGAGCCGGTCAATCAAGCTAAATTGTCAATATAGTAAAATAAATCGCTATCGCAAATCAATTCTCCGATCACCAGCACTTGCCTTCCTTCAGAAGCCTCAGAAATACCACTGCACACTGCCGCATGTTAGTGACAATCACCGTCGATCTTTTGTCTCGGTGTTTCACCAAAGACCGACCGATTTCCTGCCCCCGTCCGCGTCACACTCCAGTCGGATTCTCGGCGCGGGCGCCACCGAAGCTCGCATTGCACAAAGAATTACTATGATTTGTGCGAATGAATATAAATACCTCTGATTCCCGGCTTCAATCGCCGTAAAAAACAAAGCAAAAATCGTGCAGCAAATCAAAGCTATGGAGTTTTCCAGCAATATTCCGACAACTTTGGGTTTAGTTTTTGGGCTTTTATGCCTAGTGCGTTCCCAAAAATCCTGATTTCTGTCTTCCTTGAGTCCCAACCCTGGATGTTAATTCCAACCACAGCATACTTTATACAGACGGGTTACCAGTCCAGTATCGCGGATACCGGGGCCCGAGATTTCTAAGTGGACGGAGTTAGTCTACATCTATTACGTTCTCAAGGGCCAAATCCCGTTCTATATTCATTGTCTGCATGAAAAATATGGTAAGGAGCTTGCTGGACAAAATCTTTGGAGATAAAAGACCCACTGGCTTGAAATGAAGGGCTGACATAAAGCTTGTTCCGAAAGGACCGATTGTTCGCACTAGCCCTAGCCGTGTCGACATCTGCGACGTCACCGCGGTGAAAGAGATTCACAAAACAAATAGCCGCTTCCTGAAGTCTGATTGGTATCGGAAGCTCGTCGCAAATGGGTTCGAGACCATGTTCACCACCACAGACCATCGCTTCCATGCTTCCCGCCGACGTTTGCTAGCACCAGCCATTTCTGATTCATCGCTTACGCGAATGGAACCTATAATCTCGTCTCGGATTCATATGGCAGTCGACAAGATGGCAGAGGAGATGGGGAAGCGTGGTGCAGCTGATGTGTTCAAGTGGTGGCTGTTCTTGGCGACGGACATCATCGGCGAACTTAGCTTTGGGGAATCATTTCGGATGCTCGAAGCTGGCGAGGTAATAGCCTACGCTATCAAGAAGGCTGAAATAAGGATAGCTAATAAAAAAATTGCAACAGAAAACCCAATACAGCATTGACCTGGAGCAGATCTCCAGCTTGCAGCCTCTCCGAACAACTTTTCCAATGCTGGTCAAAGCTGGCAAGTATTTGCCATTGCCAATTTTCAAACAGACAGCGGACGCAGGTAAGAGACTGAGCAGCTACTCATTACAATCCATCGAGCGATATGAGCAGATGATTGAGGAAATCCCCACCCATCCAAAACCAACCCTTTTCACCAGAATTTTCGATTCGGAAAGAAGTGGTCTTAGCCACGACCAAATCCGACAGGAGGCACAGGGATACATCGTTGCTGGTAGCGACACTACTGCCGTCACTTTGACCTATCTCATCTACGCTGTCTCTCGTGATCCCCGCATCCGAGAACAGCTTGTGGCTGAATTGGCGACTATACCTGAGCCGGTAGTTCATAGCAGCCTCCGCGATCTGCCTTACCTAAACAAGGTTATTAACGAGGCCCTGAGATTATACACTGCTGTCCCATTTGGCCTACCCCGAGCAGTTCCACCTGAGGGAGCCAACTTCAATGGGTACTTTATTCCCGGTGGGACTACCGTTTCCACCCAGTCTTATAGCCTGCACCGGGATCCCATGATCTTCCCTGATCCTGAAAGTTTCAGGCCTGAACGATGGGATGAAATGACAAAAGACATGAATCATGCATCGTTGCCTTTTGGGGGAGGGTCGCGAAGTAAGTTGTCTGGTATTCATTGTTTCTTCTCCCTTCTAATATTGTCTATAGTTTGCATTGGAATGCACCTCGCACGTATTGAGCTGCGTCTAGCGACGGCGCTATTTTTCCGCAAATTTCCCAATGCCCATCCCTCAACTAGAGAAGGAATGGGAGAAAAGGATATGGCCATGAAGTCATTCTTTTTGATGGCGCCTCAAGGACACCGGTGTCTCATTGAGGCATGATGTTTAATCTGTAATCCCAGGTCTTCGTATACTTGGTTTAGGATATTGTCCTCAGCATACATGCCTGAGTCATTAATATGTGTTCTACTGAGAGCCTGTTTTACTTCAGCGTGACCGAATGCTAATATTATTGCTTGATGAGTCGACTAGTTATGATTTAGAACCTGAGAGTTTAGGATATGAACGCTGCCTGTGGTTTGTTATCAGTAACTCTACACCAGGCAGTAGTGATTACCCAATGCAGTCTTAGAAATCCTTCTGTATAGACTGTTATCGCGGCACAACAGGATTTGTATCCAATTCCCTTTCTCTTTTAGGCCTAACCAGGTAAGGCTTTGAAGCAGTACGTCACGCCCTGTGCCGATCCGTGGGGGCCAATACTCAAATGCTGAAGCAAGAAAAGACTACGCCATTTCTAGGTTCTCCTTCAGAACCCAGCATCCGACGAAAAGAATAGCATCACCTGTATTACAATTATTTCAGCTTTATGGGCGTCACAAATAAGTGGTCTTCTTGCACAAGATCGCGTTTGAAGATCACTCATGTGTGATATCTCTTGAGCCTCACCCCAAGTGGACAGCACGTCGGAACAGAGAACCAAAGCGGCTCCGAGGGCAAATACGCTCGCTTGTCCTGCCGTAGCTGTAGAGCAAGGAAAATCAAACGTAATCTACCGAATCCGAACGAGATGGGACCCCTGGGTACTCAACCCCAAGAGAAGTCCTGTGAGCGGCGTCTCCATTGATAATGAGATCGTGGCTGCGATATCCAATTTGCATATCAAGGGCCACATACTGGCTGAGATTACAGACTCAGGCGGGAACTTAGTGCAGAAAGAGTCTACAACTTCCAGGGTGATCAAATCATATCTCCAATCCGCGGTAACGAATGGACATTATGGTCCTCGATATGCGGAATTCCGACCGGGAAAAAGTGAACAGGGATTAGGTACTAGTGAGTGAGTAATATCAACTGAATCGTGACACTCGATTCTTGCAGCTTTGCTGGAGTGATTCTGGGAAAGGCCGCTCAGTCAGACCCGCTTCATGTACTCGAAATCCTCGTCTTCAGTATCTCCTACGTTCTCGCCCGGAGCGATTTCAACCTTCTGCTCAGTGTAGACTTGTTTGTTAGCGCTGATAAACACACTTTCCGGTAATATGATCGACCGACCAGTGGGTATTGAGTGGGACAGCGAGGAGGGTTAGAAGACGGGAAGCGATTCCCGAAAGTAAAGCATTGACAAAGTCGCCGAAAATCGCCATCATCAGTTTGCGCCCTGGTGCTATGACTCGCCAAATCTGACCCATTAGGAAACCCTCATGCGAAGAGTTGGGCAAGTATGGTATTGGCGCTTGTAGACGTCAAAGATAAGTATGGTCCTATGTAGGCTATTTACCCGCTCAATACTGAGATATGGTTCTCATCATTCTTCCCTCATAGCAGAGTGTATAATTCGAGCTCATTTGCTATAGCCGTGATAACAATAGAAGAGTTATAGATCGATTCACCGCGGAATTTTAACCCCGGTCCGCCCACGCATGAAAGCGTCTTTTGGTTAGGATACATGTCACCGGCTAGTCTCGAGCAGCGCGTCTCAGGCGAATTAGCTGACCGAGGTTACCCCGAAATAAGTGCGCTTGTCGCATTGGCCAAGTCGCTGGCAGCACATTTGACTAACCCGACTCGGCAACATCATTGCGCGTTGCGCAAGAATGGGGGCTAAGCCTCTCAGGCCCCCCACCCCACAAAACACAGCCACTGGAGCTCCTTAGGACCCTACGCAGGATCTTGGACCTTGTCGTCCAGCCTCAAATTGGAAAATTACCTACCTGGCATCCCCAGACGAGACGAAAGTGTAGGGTCGGCAAAGATGGGTGGCATTCCGTGGCAGAGCAAAGGTTGCCGTACGTGTCGCAACCGCAAGGTCAAGGTAGGTACCTACCTAGATGCAAATCACTCCGACGGTACTGATGGCCAAAGTAGTGCGATCAAGAAGAGCCCGAGTGTGCACGGTGTCTCAAAGCTGGAGTGAAGTGTCTAGGCTATGATAGGGACCACTTCTTCGTCCATCAAGTCTCTGCGATACCAAAAACCTCCACTCAAAAGGGCTCCACAAAGAAGTTTCAACTCATAAAGCGCCCGCAGCCAAAGTATATGCCCCGGGGCGTTACTTCTGGACCTACGATGCGCAGCCAGGTCTTCTCTTCGTTTGCGGATATCTATTTTCCCCACACTATCGACACCAGTTACAACCTTGATGTTTGGCATTTTCTCATTTCGGGGTTCGCAGCGCTCCCGAATAAGACTCAGATGCTCGAGAAGGCAATCGCTGCATTATCTTGCTTTTACTTGGGCAAACTAAGAAAGGATGATCGCATCTTCCATCACGGTATCCAGTTGTACAATTGTGCAATTCGCCATCTATCAACAATGATCAGCAAGAACGATTACTGCGACGATATTGTGTATACAACTATCATATTTCAAGAGATAGAGGTAGTTACTGCTCGACCCTGTCACCAACTTAGCCACCAATAGCCTCGAGGGCTGTGACCGATTCAAGCTAACATGTCTGCTCTACAGTCGTGTTATTGTCCCCATGGGCTACAAGTTTGGGTTGCCCACATTGCTGGTACCAACGCGATCTTGAAGCATTTTCGTCGAAAGGCGGGGACAAACACTTTAATTGACGCTATATACAATCAGCACCAAAAGTTGCGAATAGTATGTGGTCTATAACACTCCTGGTCTTTGAAAGTCCAGCTAACTACTTCCAGCTATTCTCGACCACAGGCACTGGCATGTCTCCTGAAGAATACGACTATCTCACAAAGGCATGTGATGACCGACTCGCGAACGGACTCTTCAAATTCTATGGAGAGGCATCACCTCTCGTTGACGCCATCAACAAAGTTGACGCGACCGATTACAGCGCCTGTCAAACAGTACTGGATAAATGCATTGCACACAGGGACGCCCTATTGGAATGGTACTCCCAGAAAAAGAAAAGCTTCGGCGGAGGCCCCTCAGAAATCGAGCCAGGTGTAGTCTTAAACCCAAGGGTCCCTGCAACGGATGATTTATTCGGCACCGCATATCGCTTTTCCTCACTGGACAATGCGAAGTTGCATATTGTATTCTGGGTTGCGCTGTCTATCAGTCATCGTATGATCTACGAAGCTCGGGGCCTTGTTTTGTTGCACAACAATAAGAGCGACGTCTCTGTCGATCGGTCTAAAGACTTGGACATGCATTTTTCGATGTTTTATCACGACGAAATCGGTCGGTCAATCCCATACTGTGTTCAAGATTGTATGAAATCATGGGGATTCTCGTCGCTGCTGTGGGGGATGAGCCAAATTATCCTCCCATTTGCAGAAGCAGGAAATTGGGAGAAGTTTATTTGGTGTCAAAATATTTTGATGCTTGGCGTAGAGCGCGGCTACGAATCTGCTGCTCGCATCCGCGAAATCTTTTGGACCATGTGGTATCGAGCGAATCCTCGACAAACACGGTTCATTGAACTATCTTTCCGTGATCTGGATCCAAAGTACACCAAGTTCCCTAAGGAGCACTACGGGAAGCTTGCTGAGAGGACAGTGGAGCCAAAGATGCTGGATGTGCCACCAGAGGAGAGTTTATGAGTCCGCTATTTTCAAAGCATTTGTCTGGCGTTCGAGGAAAAGTTCTCATTTTTGATTCACAAAGACTATCCCCTACCAGCTAGGCGTTTGAAAATAGACTCTCCGCTTGACTAATTATCGATCAGCTACACAAATACGCAACTTTACTATCTCTGTACACAAAGATATACAATGGTGAGTACTAGACCTCGTGATATCTAGCACTTGCTGCCGTCGCTGCACGATTGGTCGCACTTGTAGGTACCGATCCAGTTATCATTGCCGTAAACATCCAGTCCCAACAACCAGCCATTCAACACCTGATGCAGGTAATCCAGATTCTGCGGCACTCCGTTCGACTTACCCTCCGATGAGCAGGGGTAATCTTCAGTCAGACCCTTGTTACCGTTCAGCCCGCTGTCGGCCGTGAACCACCCGTTGTACGAACCGAACGCCTGCACAGCATTGCCACCCGAGGAGTCCAGTTGGGACTTGAGGTAGTTCGTGCCGGCATCGACGTTGTCCTGAATCGAATCGGTGCATTTGCCGTTCGGGTAATTGTCGCAGGAGACCTGCATCAGGCCGGGTGTGGGCCCACCAGCGTCGGCATTGCACGAGGACTCCTGCATAGCCAGGACAGCCAGGATGACCGGGTCGACACCGTATTTAGACCCAGCCCTTTGGAAGTAGTTGTCGTACTGGGAGCAGGAGGAACCGATGCCACGGTAGAAGTCATCGAGGGAGATGTGGTAGACGTCCTCGAGAGCCAGGTATGGAGGGGTCCATCCGTTGCCGGTGATGCCGGTATTCAACCAGTCCTCCGATCTGCGATAATAGTCAGACGTTTCCAAACGGCCATTTACGCGGGCAGGGAATGCTCATACCCGTTGGGCCCCGTGCTGGGCGTCACATTGTCAGTCGCGCCCTGGGCCTTGGGGTTGCTACCCACTCCCGGGTTTGCAGACTGGGCGTATGTGCTGGCAGCAGCCGCCAGTGCGGTGAGGAGAGCGGGCTTGATGATAGCCATTCTGGGTCTACTTAGGGTGAATTGGTGCTTGAAGGACCCTGCTCGGGACTGAAATGGAGCAGTATTTATATCAGACAACTAGCTCACGGCTTGTTACGTTTTCCGCCTGGCAATATAAGCTGCCAGGGGCGATTGAATAATATGATCCCATTGCTTATATTCTCTAGAACGAGTTTCTCGAAGAGGAAAGCTGGGAGCGACCGGTGTACCTGCAAAAGCTCAACTTGTCAGCCACCAATTTCTTAATCAGGAAATGGAGCAATTCGAAGAGTGATCAGCGGCACTCATCATCAGTGTCCTCCATGCAGGGTCCAAATTTTCAGAGTGCGTTATTGGTGCGGGGACTGGCCATGTTTGAGAAGTCGGGGCGGCAGAAGGTGTTGTTACTGGAGGAGCGGAGTCGAGAACGCGCTGATTGGCGACGGAGGTAGGTGGAGGAGTCCTGCCAGTTTCAGACCACAAGCACGTTACATAGCGTCGGAAATGGAAAATGACTGTATAGACTTAGAGACTGTTTACAGTGCGTTTTTGATCTAGCAGTCATATTCCCTAAAGTTGTGTGACAAATAGTTATTATGACACTAAGAATGAAGGGTTGCTTCAGGCGCCAGGAGCTGCCATTCTCGTCGTCAATTCTATAGGTTCCCGTCTCAGATTCCAACCGTTACACTAAAATTATTGAGATTGCTGGATCCCCGCATATGTGGGCATTTCTGGCAATAAAAGCGCCAACGTCAAAAGCAACGTGGACGGCGACCGGAGGTATAGGGAGCGGAGCAGATCAACCTACCCCCCCCCCCCCCCCCCCCCGGGAAAACTACTGCTCTATACTACAGTTTTAGTATTCATGTACGCTCTACCTGCACATTTAAGCAAGTCATCTAGTCCGAATTGTGCCCATCACTCAAAGGTCGCTGCGAAGCCATGGCCGGGGAGGTCCAAGTGTCGTCTCGGCCCCGGGGGCTGGGATTTGGGAGTGGGTTGGGGGCTGGGGGCCATGTCCTCCATTTCGCTCCCAACCAAGACAAAATAAGAAGAGAAACGTCACTCTTCCCCTCTCTCCTTCTCCTTAGCCACAGCCAATTTCAACAGTCATGAAACGAGTGATCCAACTTCTATTTTCTCGCCGAAAAGACCAAAAGGAAAGTCCACGCCGGCCCAAGCGGACAGGCGATCGCCCTGATCCGTTACCCCGGCGGAAGCGGGCCCTGACTGCGCCATCATCATCATATTTATCTCAAGATCAATCGGAATTCTTTACCAAGCTTCCTCTAGAGATACGGCTTCGGATTTATCGGGAGGTCCTTGCCCCAGAAGATCGCCCGGAACTTCACATAGCTAGCTGTGACGGGCGATTACTCAGTCAACGCTGCCGCTTTGATTATGAATCACCATTGCCAAGTTGGAATCACTTGGATTGCTGGGGCTCGTTCGCGAACAAAGATGGAACGACGCCGCGGATACCAGATAGATCGACGCCGCCTGAGAAAGGTAAACCGTATCCAAGACGTTATTATATCCCCCAATTTGAAAGTTGCTACCCACGGCCGATTCGTATCCCAATATTACATCATGCCGTCGGATGTACGTTCTAATTCTATCCTTCCTACACTTACATCGCTTACTAATAGCGCTAGGTACTCGGAATCCATTGATATTCTTTATTCTGGAAATACCTTGAGTGTCCGCCAGACCCGAACTATTGTGGACCTTCAGCGCACTATTCTTCCACAGCGCCTACACAAAATTCGCTCTCTTCGTTTATCTTTCCCTCTGAAGCTATATTGCATTGATGCCGAGGGTCAAAAGTTAGCTATGTGCCCTCATATATATCCCCTAGACATACCTTACTTCTGGGGCGCCGCATGGGAAACAATCGCTGCAATGAAGGCATTGCAAAGTCTCCAGGTCGACTTCACTCGTTGGATTGTGGATGACACACAGGATCCAGATTTAGCTGCCCTATTACATCTTTTGAGGCCGATGAGAGCAGTACGCGTGCAAAGATATGTGGTTGATGTTTACTTCAATCTTGATATAGCTGCACTTCTACGGGCCTTAGATAACCTCCCCTTTGAGATCCATATCCGAGAGCGCATTGCGTCATTCAGAAGGCCTTGATATGTATCACAAGTCCGTCAAATCTCCAGTCAAAAAGAGAATCGAGCTATGCGTACTAGTAGAGATCGTCGCCTTTATATATATGTGGTTCGCTCTCTTAATGAGCTCTGCCGGTATTAGACGACGAAATACGCTTACTTAGGAGCGATCGTCTAGACAGACTACATACTAACTTGCGGTCACATATAACCTCTGCTACCTGAACAGAAGAGCTAGAGGAGCGATAGGAGGAGAGGTAGTGCGCTAGGGCCGGCGCTCTGGTTATTACTTTAGCAAATAACATGACTGCATGTCTTGCTAGCGGCGCTGCGGCGGCCTTCACAACAGTAGGACGATCAAAAAATGGGATAACGAGTGGTGTGATCGTTCAAAGCGAGTGTATCTTGCATGATGATACCCTATACTTTATATGCTAGTGCCCGAAGCCAATGTATTGACCTCCAACGATATGGTCGCTAACTCCCCCTCCCTCCCAGTCTCACTAGACTCATCCCCAGGGTGATTTGCCCCGAGAAACCCCTGGGAAAAACCATCATTAAGCCTTAAGTGGCCCTCTCGTTTCTGTGTATGGAATCACAGCATGAGTTTCGCATCCCGCACTCGGTCGAAGGCCGTATACCAGGAACTCTCCGTACTCAGTTCGGTGTTGAAACCTAGAGACCTTGCCTTGCTCAAATCTAAGTTGCGATCAAAATCCATGAGTTTCATCACACTGCCCCTCGACCCGGTATTCCGTATGCTGGTGTACATAATATCTTCTTTGAGGCCACGCGCCCGACACAGCGCCTGGAACTCCGGCTCGTGGCGACTGATATACTCGGGTCCCGATACGCTATCGCTACTTGGCCCGGTTCCCTCCAGCCCAAAGTATGATGCGAGAATCGGCCAGCGCTTAGACCACGACAGCGGGACTGCATCGTCGCCAATGTTAAAGGTCTGGGCGTGGACTTTCTCGCGGGGCTGGAGAGACGCATAGATGCAGAATTGTGCAATAATGTCCTGGTTTGAATCAGTTGACAAGAGGTTCCAGCCAGCCTCGGTGCCAGGGAATGGGACGCGAGCTCCGGGCCCTTCGATGGCTCGGTAGAGCCCGAGGAAAATCCCGGTGGTTTGGGCGATACAGTTCGCATTGCCAAACGGTGCGACACCGATCTGGTAGAAAGTTAGTATGCGGTAGGGTGCATGCGAGTGTGTTTGGGTGGTCGCTTGTCTCTAGTCGAACGTACAATTATATCCGGCCGGACCTCGCACCATGACCAAGCTTTATTGGCAGATAGTTCACGAAGCAGGTCTACCTGATGATAATAAAAAAGGTTCTTGGCATACTCATCGGGAATACGTGGATAACTCTCTTTCAAAGGCGTCTGTCCACGAAAAGGAAATTTATCAAACATCATGACTCCGTAAGCCTGGAAACAAGTGTCAATAACACATGGCTCGGGGTCCGGGGTGGGGGGAGGGCGGGGCCGGAAGGTTCAAGAAGGACGGGGGGATTAATAGTACCTTGGTGCCAGTGATCAGTGTCACAAACTGCAGCTCAGGAGAAAGGATCTCAATGGTCTGCACCGCAGCGCGGAGCATCTCCTTGTTCAGACGAGATTCTTCGGCGCCATCGCGGCTTTCACGATATGCTGGTGATGCAAAAGTCAGTGACCAGAATTCACGTGATACATGTATATCCATTTATTTACCAGCGTAATAGACATGGCTCACGGTCTCCACAGATGGAATCTTCTCTGCAAGTGTTTCCTGTAGTGATTGATCATCCCCAGCCAGAAGATCAATACCTGAGATGATTTGCAGTCGATCGCCAACATTGCGGGGCCATCCGGCGTCTTCAGGCTTGAAAGGACGGTTTGCAATGGCAGTGACCTTGGCGAAGGTACCAGCGGCCGGGTATCCCGAAAGCAATTGATTCACCAGAGCCCAGCCATTGATTCCCGAGCATCCGAACACGACGGCATGATTATTCTGATTAGAGGGCATTGCAACGGGTCCTCAACACGTATTCTTTTAGGTTCAGGGATATGAACAAGGATGCTATCGGGTGGGAAGAGAATAAGAGGAGTCTTAGCGTGCGCACGTGTGTTTAACATGGATAGTATTCTGATTAAGGTACCATAATTTGCAAGTTGCATTTGGCCGACGCACTCCGCAGGAAATTCATAAAGAAATACTCTAATTGACAAGCAATAAGCCACTGCTCGAAGCGGGGGAACGGTTCACCCCGTAGATAGAATACAGTTTATGGAGGCGTTTCATAAAATACACACCAACGTACCTCCCGGTTACGTCGCGCACCTCAGAACACATGGTAAATTCGAAAATTACAATTCCATATCTCAAGAACTACTCCCTACGTATCTTTAAATGAAATATGGGAGTATAATACATAAGAAAGGTCCCCTAGCGACTTATTATATCCTAGGAAAATTGGGTTTAGTATTGATAGAGATATATACGGTTACTGATCGAATGTCTCAATTCCATCAATATAGTAAAACTTGTTTCTGAATAGACTCAACTTTAAATATATTGTTCTTGATACTTATCAGAGTATATAAATTAATATTTATCTAATATATAGCCTGGCTGTCGAGACATGAAATTGCAAGCTTTCGCCTTTACTCTGTGTTCTAGGGTGCGCGACGTAAGCGGGAAGTACGTTACAATAGATCACCCACTTTGGACTCGGCGATCAATTCTGCTCTGGTGGCAATGTAGGAGTCAGTGGCTTGGTGGCTTTGCGCCCAGCTTTGTTATTGGCAGCTGCGGAGTTGTACTAGCGGGCTAAAACGGATGGCAATCAATCCTTCGGATCCACTCTCCATCCGAGCTAATTCCTGCGCGCTACCTATGATGGCGCAAGCTGCCACATTACTGCCGATCACACCGCATACTGATTCTTAGTTCTTGCGCCCTAGGGGGCCGCCCGACAACGAGAACTGTTTGAATACCTCAATCGATGACCCTGCCAACATATTAGTCTTTCTATATGGGTTTCCAATTTGTTGTGCCAGTCACAATCTGTGTATATACATAGTTATACATGGCTGTATAGGGAATATTTGTGGCTAAATGCAAGACGGCCCGCACGAGGCTTCGTTCACCCCGCTTTGTGTTTCGAAGATACCATTCCCTGTTTAAAGCCCGATCCTTCGGCACCACGAGGCTACCGGTTTATTTACTAGCAGAATATCATTTTTTCCATCCCTCCCTAGGTTCTTGTATACTGCCCTTCGTTCCTAATGGTCTCCTCGACTTTATCCGGCATAGTAACTGAAGATCAACGAGCTCCGGCCATGTAACATATATTATTAGTGGGCGGTGTAGCTAATATGGTTAGCATAGGGGCACTAGGGGTTGGATACTTGGGTCGGTCAGGTACGTAGTAGCTCGGGCCCAAAGAGGATCACGTATCGGATCGCGTATCGCGTTCTCCCGGTGGCGCATGTCGGCGTATCTCTCGTCTAGGCATGAAAAAGATATTGGTTGGTTTATGGAACATGTTAATTGGCCCGGCCACGAAGGATTCGCGCCATCGTGGTTTAGGACTCCCGACAGTTCGAACTCAAAGTCGAACTCAGATTATCATATCTATTGGCCCCATTCCCCTGTGGCCGATAAACTTTGGGGTTGACCGGGGTGCTGCACCGGATCCGAAATTCAAATCCCATGCATGCGTGGCCAATACTACGGTTCGATGCAATTTTTGAATTTAGAGTCATGGACCCCCCGCGGTGGTCGACATCTCTCGACACTCCTTTGGTCTTTTCGTGAAGCGCTTGAAGTTGTCACCTGAAGATCTTCCTCAACGGTAGCCCGTAGGAGGAATATTGGACGGCTTCTCCGTTTTCTCGAATTGCGGATGGCCTGATTTCCCCATTATGGCCATGATTTTCGCAAGAGACCAAACGAGTGGCACTTTGGCCAATTCGCAGGCATCCAAGGTGCCTCTGATCATTATATGCAATGCAATGCTCATTGCGTCGTCGACTTTGTGTATATTTGTGCGCGTGTTCGTGCGAGTTCGGTACATTAGCTTTGGATTAGACGATTGTTTTTGCGTGATCGGATGGGTATGCTTTTGCTCCTCACATGGTCGTCGTTGACTAGACATTTTTCTCCCACTGACATCGCACCCTGTGGCTTACTAGGTCTTGACCGTCCTGGAATGTCTTGTGTGCATAATAAGTAAGTTTGACGCGCCCGGGAGGAGGTTGAATCCAAATCATACGTTCCTACGACTCACTTTTAACACTACAATAGTGACCAATTATGGATATGGCAAGCACATCGATACGATTCACGACGCGAATACGATACAGATGTTCCTCAAGGTGAAAAGTCTCTTCTATATTTTGAAACAGACGCTAACCATTGACCCGAGTATTTACAGCTTGACTTTGTCACGGAATTATCCTATGTTCTTGCCCTTGGGTGTATCAAAATCTCTTTCTGCCTCTTCTACCTCAAGATCTTTCCCGGGAAAGTGTTCAGGATATTGTGTTGGTGCGTGCTGGTGGTCTTAGCAGGCGAAACCCTTGCAGACTTCTTCGTCGTCGTTTTCCAATGTTCCCCGGTCTATAAGGCATGGGACGCCGCCGGCGTTGTGGATGGGAAATGTTTACAACTCCTGTCCTTCTTCTATATTGCGTTCGGGATTCGATTAGGGACGGATTTTGCCCTTCTTGCGCTTCCTATCCCGCAGCTCCTCAAGTTGAAGATCGCGAAGGGAAAGCGTGTAGGGCTTATCGTGATGTTTGGGCTCGGCGGACTGTGAGTACTTGATTTCTATCCGGTCATCCTGTGACTAACGATATAACTAGCGTCATGGTGACAAGTATCATTCGAGTGACATATCTGAGTAACTTCTCGATTGACCATACTTGTAAGTGATCGCCATTCTCCCTTTTAAGTGACAGAGCGACTGACCGGACGCCGCTAGGGTCGCTCGTTGATCCTCTCAATTGGTCGTCCACGGAGCTCGGAGTTGGAGTTATCAACGCCTGTGTCCCTTCATTCAAAGCTCTGGTGACATTCAGATACCCCAAGCTGCGCTCAATGCTCGGACTCTCTAGCGATCGCAGTCACGGAGCACGCTATGAGATGTACGGATCGGCCAGTCGGCGGGCGACCCACCCAGATGATCCAGGATCTTGGAGACGGTCCCACGGCGGTACCGCCCATGCAAAATCGGGCACCACACGGACGCGGACAGACGTGGAGACAAGTTGGAGCGGTTCCGAAGAGCGCATCATTCCACAATCCCGTGACGGGATTCACGTCACGACGGATGTAAGGGTTGATAGCACTGAGCATCAAGAGCTGGCCAAGCCGCATTGGCCCCTAGGAAGATAAAGAGGCAAGGATCTACCGATCAAGTGGAGCAAAGAATTAATCAAGTGGGGTCATCCTTCGCCCCGACGCCTTTTCATGCACCCCCCCCCACTTCTTATTCTTACATCTCTTAATGATCTGAATCCACGTGTAGATTCATAAATAAGCATTGTAAAACATTATGTAACTTCTTTGATACTCCCTTCTCTCCGGCCCCCTGTGATATTGAGAACTCTTTGACATTAGAAGATCTAACTGAGCAGTGTTAAATCTGGTTTAACCATAATGCTCTAGCAAGACTCTCCTTCGACAGCACCCTGAATAGTCTCTGTGTAGCTCTACAGGCGAAGCTTCTATACTGTAGTAGGAGCCAAGGTTATGCGATAATCGCAGACGGGAAGCATATGGGTTAGAGGGGGTGAAACGAAAGGGAGCGGACAGACCTCCACGAGGGTGTTATTGTTACAGCAGCGAATACGCATACATACTGTAACTAGTGAATAATACAGATGATTGCGTAGACAGGAATGCGCGGGACACGGACAATGGCGCACTAGAAAGACACTAGACAGGGATATGTGCATAGAGGTTTTCTACACTGGCGCTAGACGAGGGGTCTCATTCCTATTTCCTCATAGTGGGTCCACCCGAAGCTAAACAGAAAGATAACCGGCGCTACCGATCGGGCAGGAACCACTCCTTCCTGCGAGGGCTATTAGATTAATCCAAGTCACAGCCACTCAGCGAATTGATGTAGCTTATTCCTTCGCACCATAAAGTTTCTGAGATCCTGGCACTGGTGGCAACTAGAGTGTGGCCGGACAATACATCGGCCAGTTTTGTCCGCCCGCCTCGTCCTTTATTCCCCCCTCCCGAGCATGAAACGGTTTCCTTGACGGCTAAGGCCAAGCCACTGAGGTAGTGCAACAGGTGTCGGCGATTCAGCCTAATCTGGCTTCTCGTATGGTGTACATTCGTCGACCACAGCGGAGTCTCCGAGGTTTCTCCTAAGACAATCATTCGAAACGCTAGTTAGTAGTGTCGCAGAGTAGTCGGGTCTTTGTTGTTCCCAGCACCGGACTACTACTATCTCTGCCCCACGGTGTTTGCCCCGATCTATTATTCCCCCCGGCATTGATTATCTTTCCCTTGTTACATCTTGCTTCTCGGCCTCAACGCTCTCGTTCATTTCCTCTCTTCCCTTTCTCAATTTCCCCCTCTTAATCGGTCGCGGTGACGAGATGCAGATAAACGAAGATTCGAAGGCCATTGCAGACGCTGAGGCTGCGCCTGTTCCAGCTTATCCAGCGATGCCCACTGGCGCGCATGCAGTGGATCTTGATAACCTTCCTCATGGCTACTATCGAAGCAAAAATTTCATCGGCTCGCTGATTGCCGTCTGTCTAATGGCAGACAGTCTGTATCTCGGCTATGTTTTACCGGTCAACAGCCTGGCCAGGATCAATGCCGATTTAGGGCCGAACACAAACTACAGCATGATCTCGACCGTCTCTACTCTCCTTGCCGGTGTATGATATGCAAAATTCTTCCCGATTGAAGCAGTATCGTCTATATACTAATATTCGATGTTAGGTTGGTATCCTTCCAGTTGGACGTCTCGGCGATATCTTCGGTCGCCGATATTTCTTGATTGGTGGTCAGCTATTGGCTCTTATTGGGTCTATCATCTGCTGCACTGCTAAAAATATTCCCACTGTGATCGGTGGTAGTGTTTTCGTTGGTCTATCGGCCTCTGTTCAGCTCACCTTCACCTTCGTGATTGCGGAATTGGTTCCCAACAAATTGCGCCCACTCGTCAATGCTGGAATCTTTGTCATAACCCTTCCTTTCGGTGCATTCGGGGGTCTCATTGCCCAGCTCTTGATCAAAAACACAGCTCAGGAGTGGCGATGGGATTATTACTTGAATATCATTACCTGCGGACTGTCCCTGATTCTCTTCGTTTTCTGCTACTTCCCTCCCGGCTGGGAGGCGAAGCATAAGGGACAGACCTCCCGCCTGGATGAATTGAAGTCTTTTGACTATCTTGGATTTGTTCTTTATGCCGGTGGCCTGATTCTGATCTTGTTGGGGCTTTGTGAGTAGCTTGTTCTCTATGCCTGCACTCCCTTTTGTCTCTTTCTTTCCACTCGCGAGTCAACGCTAACAACTGTTGCGTCAAAGCCTGGGGAGGTAATTCATACGCCTGGAGCTCAGCACATGTAGTCGGTGTCCTTGTTGTGGGTTTCATCGCGCTGGCCGTTTTTGTGATTTACGGTAAGTGCACCTTGCTTCGCAGTTCAGTATGGTTTCGCGTGGCTTTTCCCTTATACATTTTTAGAAATATTCGTTCCCCTCTCGCAGCCCCTACTCCCAATGTCGCTGCTCAAGAACCGTGGGTACAGTGCGACCGTTTGCTCTGCGCTTGTTGGTAATATGGTCTATTTCTCCATGAGGTAAGTGGATTTCCTTGCATTCAGTAAAGTGCAAGTGTATAACAAATTTATAGTCTCCTATGGCCAGAAGCTATTGCTCTTTTGTTCACGACAGAGACAATTGAGGCCGGCTGGTTGTCGGTATGTGGATTATCCTGGTTTCTTTGGGAGTGAATCTAACAATCACTAGATTTCCACTGGTACTGGAGTTATTCTGGGCGAGATTGCTGGGGGAGCTCTTATGAAAACCATTGGGCACACCAAGCTCCAGCTCATTGTGACGACAATCCTCATTACGGCATTTTCTGGAGCCTTAGCTGCTATCAACCAGCACAGACAAGCCTACGGCATTGCTGTACGAAGCCAAATATTCTTTCTTGAGAGCATGAGCTGACTGTTTGCGTAATAGTTTACTGCGATTGGTGGTTTCGCTGTCGGATACCTGGAACTCATCACGCTTATCATGTGTCCGTTGTATTGCAAGCCCGAAGATATCGGTTTGGCTAGCGGCTTCCTCGGCTCCGCTAAGCAGGTCATGGGAACAATCGCTAGTAAGTTTCTAGTGGAGCTATTGCTCAACGGTCCTTTCCCCCGGCAAGCCAGTCTGATTATTTTGTAGCTGTTATCTACATTGCAATTCTCAACAACCGCGTCGCTGCCACTCTGCCCTCCGAGGTCTCCAAGGCCGCGCTGAATGCTGGCCTTCCAAAATCCTCTCTGGCGAGTCTCTTCGAGGCGCTTTCCGAAGGGACTAGCATGGAGAAGATTACCGGGATTACGGAAAAGATCATGCTCGCTGTGGCCGACGCCGCCAAAACTGCATACTCGGAGTCTTTCCGCACTGTCTTCCTTGTCAGCATTACCTTCGGTGCCCTTTCCCTCATCGCTGCACTGGGATCAGTTTCAGTTGACGACAAGCTTGACAACGTCGTCGCTGCTAAGCTCTCGGGCGCTGGTGCGAGCCAGGAAGAAATCCATGAAGAGAAGATCTGATGCTGATAGTCTGCCCATGTTTTGCGGGTCAAAATCTGAATGTAGTATTTTAGAATATGGGGGAACAATTGATTTCGTGGAACTTGTCATTAATGTCGCGGAATATAAATTTACATGTTTGGATATCTGGTATAGAAAGTTGACGCCCTGACGAGGGAAGCCCCTAATTTGCACCGAGCGCCTGCGAAGGAAGGAGATTGAGCCCTTCGCGTCGGCGCACCCTCGGTTCTTTTTCACTGGGCATATTGAACAGGGGTTGAGCTTTCACTGAGAGCCATGGCTGACTAGAGCTGGGTTGTAGCCTAAGGAGTATGCCACCAATCGCCAAAAACGTAATAATGGATCTAATCGATTCCTACCCGCGTCGAAGTCCATTTCCAGCGTTACTGATCCAAGGTACCATTAGTCTGGAGAGGTTGAAGTAACATTGGCGCCAGAGTGCATTGAGACTGTGTAACCTGTGCGTTGTCGGCGGCCATGCCGTAGGCGCCGCCGAGCAGCGAGTGGCCGCCACCCTGAGAGTATCCGCCGACAAGGCCAGTGCTGGGGCACTCACCCGTGATGACGCAATAGCCAGCTGCGCCTATGAACTCGTCAGCCTCGCCGCCTATCACGCCCGCACCAAGTTTGGCGGCGGGCCCAATGTAGGTCGAGTTGGGGTTGGAGTACGAGTGGATGATGGCCTTGTCTTCGAGCTGATGATGATGATGATGATAACTCTATTAACCTAATGCAGCCCAGCTAGTGCGCAGTGGTGTTGTCTTCGAGCACAGAGAGGGCGCCCTTGCCGGTGGACTTGCCCATGAAGTCATGAGCGGTCGTCTTGACCACCAGGCGGATATTGTTTTGGCGCGCAAAGTCGAAGCCAGCAATGCGCAGTCGTCACGTTGATGGAGTAGGCGGCGTAGTTTCCCAGTTCGCAGGTCCTGCTGATTGGGGTGAAGGGGTCGCAGGACTGGTTTTAGAAGTAGGCGTTCAGGATCTCGGCAGGCCTCGCAACATAGGCTTCGGCCTGGGTTCAGGTCGACTGCAGCTTGGCACATGCAGTAGGGCCGTAGTTGTTGGAGGGTGCTGTATGATACACATGTGCTTGAGAGACGGTGGCGATTAGCTGCCCTTTGAGCGTCGCATTTAGCTTGGAGCAGGCCGCCAGGTTGGGCCACCCAGCGTGGATAAGTTCCTACAGTCTTGCATGTAAGCGTCATCCGAACCGATTGAGACGGCGAGAGATAGAGCAGCGAGAGCTCGTGCTAAGGAGGCCATCTTTGCGGTCAAGTTGGAATTTCCCCTGCTTTACTTAAAGCCATTGCAACAAGGCAACAGTCTGGGTAATAATATACAAATGCGATGCATTACTTAGTGGCTTGTTTAGGCCGACATCAAGGGTGGAGTTTACATGTATTACCTAGTGGCTACATGTTAATATCCCCTTATCTGTATTAGCATATTTTGATACGCGGCCAGATTTTCTGCTAGTAGGAAACACGTAAGCCTCTGATCATATAGTTATATTGTGAGGGTCTTTAGTGGCGAAAGGATCTTTGGGCGCGAAAGGAATAACTGAGCGGAACATTAAACAGAAACGGGATAGTAGTGAGCTAGAATAGTTAGTCTCGTAGTGCTAGATATAACACTTATACTGACCTAGAACCCTTGAACCTGGTTGGTTGCTTACGCGGCACGCCCATTTGCTGCATTTGTTTCACATTGCTTATCTTCTGCACGCCGGCCAGAATATTGGCAAGCGGCTTGCAAAAAAAGAGGGACTCCGGAAACGATCAACATACGGAGATCAGTGATACACACACAAATGCTCTAGGAGTCTCTATACAACGCCGTGCTTATTGATCCGATGTATACGTGTATTCGTATTGCGGTCCCGTTTTTTTTTTTTTTGGCAACCCCCTTGATTGGCTGTTCCAACCTGACCTACCGTGATTAAGCGGCCACTTAGGCCTACCCCTAGTACTAGTTGTAGTACTATGATAGAGACGGGAGCCTCGTCGGCCCGTGCCTTCTTACTAGTCAGCTTCGCTGGGTAATCGGCCATAACTTTCCAGGTTTCTAGCTAAAACAGCTTCCTGCCACTAAGAATCCGACATCTACCGGTAGTAATCTAATTGAAATCACTTATTCTTCAGGATCCGTGCTGCACATCTATCAGGCACCGATCCTGACGATTCTTGAGAGCCTGGGGTGAGACGGACTAACCTTGCAAAAATGCCGCCGCTGTCGCACTTCTGGGGGCACTTTTTCCCGCCCAAGCCGACCTTCACCGAGGCGAACCTGTCCGTAGACCTCTACGGTAAGGTTTATGTCATCACTGGCGCCAACAGTGGCATCGGAAAGGACATCGCCCGCCTTCTGTACGCCAAGAACGCAAAGGTCTACGTCCTATGCCGCTCTGAGAACAAGGCGCTTAAGGCCATCCAAGACATGGAGAAGGCCTTTCCAGACTCAAACGGCGCCCTGATATTCATCGCCTGCGACCTCGCCGACCTGAAAAATGTCAAGACCGCCGCCGACGCCTTCCTCACCTCACCCGCGAGCAGCGCCTAGACGTGCTCTTCAACAATGCCGGCGTCGTACGTCTACCACCTCTACGCATTTGGGGGGTACTGCAGCCTCAGGCCCAGATAATTCATTATACTCACTCCATGTATTTGGAGCGTGCAATGAGCCACCTTAAACGTCCCAAAACTAGACCAATGTTGGGGTACGCACATGCAAAGCATGCCCTGTAATCCTTCGTGGTCCATCGATTTATCAAGGTGACAAGAACTACAGAAGAACCGCCTCATGAGCCATGTCAGTGATCAAGGTGCCACAGCCCATTACGCCGTTAGCACTGAACTATTGACTCCATGATTCGGGATGTTGGGGCCATCTGGCAGTTGAGGGCTCGCGAAGATCAGAATCCTAGTAAGGAGGATGGGGCCTAGTTCATCACAGAAAAGCCAATAGGAAATGTGCACGGAGGGTGATTCCGAGAATCTCTCCCCAACGTCATCACTTCATTTTCTTTTATGGACTGGTTGTTGAGGTCGTGGACATGTCTCAAGTCGGCGTTTACGCGTGCGGTCGAAGTCCTGGAACTACGTTCGTTACCGAGGCTCGCCAAAATGACTATTGGTCCACCTCATGCTACCTAGATAAGTTTGCCTTCAATCAGTGCTCACCGCTGAATCTATGTGACGAGTGCGCAGTTGATGGCGGCCGGATACGTCTCAGCCTCGGTGGAACCCCTTCTGCCACCGCTTGTGAGTGGGTGGCCCTTCAACTAACCAAGAGTAAATCTCAGCACGCACTCAGGCGGCGCTTATGAACAATGCATTGGAGTGTCTAACATGAGTGACTCGTTTACATATAAAGATAATTTTGTGGCAGAAGTAACTGACAGATGACCCAGCACCTGGCATTGACAGGCTCTAGCAATGACACCATTACTCGTCATTACTGTGTACGCTTTTGGGGTCTCACCGCGGGTCCGTCACTTTCAGACGGGCTCCCCTGTTGCCCTTTTCACCCATAGATCCCCGGTTCAGGCCACGCTGGTGGACGAAAGCGGACAATGTAGTAGAGTTGAATGCATAGACCGCGATTGTTACTTTTGCATCTCATGCACGATACCTCGTAAACCTTATCCGACATGATTTCCGCTGTAGGGAGTGGGAACCCTTCTGAGCGGTAATCCCTGTTTGACAGGAGTGCGAGTAAACAAGGTGGTCATGGTGGCATGGCTAAGGATATGGCCGTTTATTATACTCGCTAGATTCATGGCAAAAGTATGCCCCGACTCGTTTCTGAATTCGCACATGACCGTGAATGAGCCATGACGGACTAAGACCCAGGAATGACAACGCTTACTATGCGTTGGAACATCTGCATTGAATCTCTGCTGGCATGATACAGGGAATAACCTGAATCATGCCTCTAATTTCATCTCCATGCGTAACTGGAAGCCAGTTATTTTCTTCGGGAACGTGAATCTAAAAGCTTAACCCAAAGGTCATTGTTGCAAAGGTGTATTACTAGACGAGCCAAGAATAGCAGTCCAAATGCACAACTGAAATGGAGGATGAATCTTGCGTCCTCTGGAACTAGAAAACCATCCATATTGTTCATCGAATGGCAATTGAAGGAATCAAAAATTAAGGTAACTAGTTATGCCCGGCTCTTGATTTGCTTACATAACAACATTGATTGGCCTAGCGCCGATCCCGCGCCAGGGTTGTGCTGAGATATACAATAGCGGCCTAGGCGGTGAACAAGCAGCAACTAGTGGCTGGCCCCAAAAGGTAAAGGTCAAGCCACTAAAAACGTGGCGGCGTACGTATGCGATGATGCAGCCATGGACGCCACATTACACACGGGAGCGCCATCTTGGGCGAACTAGCAGACTTGAAACCAAGTGGCTACTATTGATGCATTTGCTGTGACCACAGTGGACGAATTGAAGAGATGAAAGATAATTTCATTTTGGAGGCCAGTGGTATATCCGATGGTATAGGACGAAAGATGGACATTTCCCAAAGTAGTAATCCACAGGATCAAGGACCAGCCTGATACTCTATATCCACAAAGAAAGTAAAGGATAAAAGACGATACCAACTGGGTATACAACCCATCACATACCACACCCGGACCTGAAACACCGATGCCAAATCCAAAAAAAGCAAACGGATTTCTAAATTTGGGGTTCTACACTTGCGCGGCATGCCACACAAGCACAGACTTGCTCCGCTCCATTCCGCTTAAGAGAAGTCAATGATGACAGCCAGACGGACAGGGCCCGCAGCGAGGTTACCACCGATACCGCCGACATCAGTCTCGGCCGTGGTGTAGGCGTTGCTGACAGTAGCAGCATTAGGGGTGATGGACGAGCAGGTGCCGCCGATGGCGTCGCAGATCTGCATGCCCTGGACAGTGAGGCCAGCGTTCTGAGCCGCGATGGCGGAGACATCAAAGCCAGACCATTCGCTGTTGGTGGTCGAGCCGAAGTCAAACTCGCCCCAGGTGGCGGCATAGCCACCGTTGGAGTCGGTGGGGATAGTGCTGCCAGGGCTGGCGGCCCAGCCACCTTGGGAGTCCTCGTCAAAGGCGATGTACGTGGTGGCGCCGGCGGCGAGGGTGAAGGTGCGGCAGGCGTTACCATACCAGCCGTCCATGGTGCCGTCGGAACCATACTTGTTCCAGATGGCGACGGTCCAGTCCTCGGTGTTCGAGCCCTGGAACTGCACGACGTACTTGTACTGGCTCGCGTCTGCGGAGGAAACCTCAATGATGTTGCTGCCGTAGGGGTTGCCCACGTTGCCGGCGTAGGTGACGCCACTACCGGTGTTGCTGGTCACGCCGCCGAAGCCGGAGGTCGAATAGCTGGAAGGAATGTCGGTCCAGGCACCACCGGACGAGGTGGCGCTGGTGGTGGTGGGAGTAGTGTACTGACGGCGCTGGTGGCCCTCGGGGCGAGCGATGGAGCCGGTGGTGAGGGCTGCCAGCAGCAGGATAGACTTGGCGAACTGCATTTTTGCGGGTTGGTTGAAAGAAGGACGGGCACGTCAAATGATCAGAAGAAAAGAATGTTCTGGACAAGTCAAATGAGCGACTTGTAGAAAGGAATGACTGAAGTTATCAAAACTTCGTAGAATTGAAAGAATGGAATATAAATTGAAGAGAACGAGGGTTGAGGAGAAGAAAGATTGAAGCGGAAGGCGCATGCCCTCATATAAATACCCATCGGTTCACTTGGGTCTGGATTTTGACAAAACATGGTGGCTGCTCCCCGCCACGTTTGTCCTCGTCTCTATCAACCTCGGGGGCAGTGGCAGGCCACGGTGCCTGGTTCCTGAATGGAGACATCCATGGACGGACGCCCAGAACCGCATGTACGTCAAGGGCCTGAGTGGACTGCGAATGAGAAGGACAGGAGGTGCGTAGGCGTTTGCGGTCCAGAAGGGCCGACGCCGTGGGTTGACGTGTGGCCAGTCGGGGCTGATGGGTTGCGGTGGATTAGGGCTTGGCCTTGATTGGCGCTAGGATCGAGGGGGAAACCCAGCCCTGGGTTTTTGAGGAGTTTGTTCAAGCAGCGCAGCGAATCTTGGTAAGTCTGATTGGCCGCGGTAATTTGTGAAAGGCGTTGTAGGCGAGGAGTCGATGGGCATGGTTCGTGGAACCCTAATTTTAGTGCCGGTGGACGTTTCACCAGGGAACCTCCGGGAAGGTTGCGAGAGACCCGCTGCCTGATGAACCCCCAGTACATTCTGTCCGGGTGAATCCACGAGACAAATACAAAGCCTAACTCTCTCCGCAATTCCATGATTTTTAGTTGAGACCCTCAAGGGTAGATACTGAAAGGTCTTTGTCAAACTCTTCTCAGGGCCCAGCATTTGACAACCAGACACAAGATTGTCGGACTGATGGTCACTCGGCATGTACCGGACTGACTGTGTCAACCGGTAATTCAGACTCGGTCAAGCCCCGTGCGACGATACCGCACAGTGGACCTGTCGTTAAACTTTGCCCTGGAGTTGTGGCTTACTGGATGTCTCCAGCGCTGCGACTTCGCATCAGGTAGTGGGCCCCCGTTTGCGCGGCACTGGAGTTCGGTGGGCGATCCGACACTCTTGGCTGGACACTAGCGGGCTCTTGTGAACCGGACTGGATTCTAGGCCCTGGCGAAAGGTTTCAGAGGCAATTGACTCTGCAGACTCACGTTTGACCATGCATTTGCAACATCTCCGACTGTTCTACGATTTGTGCGACTCCAAAGCATTTCTCGATCACACAAAATGCGAGCCCTCAGCACGGATCAGGTGTAGAACATTCGTGTGGTTTACGTGTTTTTTTCCGGTTGAGTTTTGCAGCGCCGTGGACACTCTGCAAGTGGTCCAGGGCAAGCGACAAAGCAGCACAATTGGTCAATACTGGCGAGAAGTGGATATAGTTGAGGGTATCGTCCAATGAACATGCTTTGCAATATCTTGGCAGGGCAAGGCACAGCTCTCAGCCAATAAGCACACTCCCGTCGGCTTCCCGTTTTAATGAGCTTGCGGAGATTTCCATGGAACGCGCTCAGCACTGCCCGACTTTGTGTGCTTCCATTGATAGAGAGGCGAGGCAGTGATTTAAGTGGCGCAGACAGGAACAACACATGGAAAATTGACGTCAGGAAGTACTTTTAGTCGCAGAATGATTGATGATGTTTTTGCCATCTGGCAAATGACTACCAGAGAACACAAATGATAGCGCATCTTGGCTGTAGTAGGCGGTACTGACTACTATGCCGAGAAATTCTTCGCTGAGTGTCTGATCCAACACCATTCATCGATCCCTTGGCGTCCCCGGCTCGTCCGGACAAAGGCTGGGGATACCCAATCAGGAAACTCGTCCGCACCAAGAAGAATGTCGCCTTCAAATGCTTCTTGGCCCCTTATAAGCCCTGAACGAGGTATTTTCAGAGTAAAGCGAGAGAAATAACCCACTTTCCTGTTCATTCACAACGGGTTTGATTGCTCAGAGTGGGGCTTCTCCCTAGGCAGTTCAGACTTTTGCGACTCCGCTTCCGTTCCACAAAGGAGCCAGTTAGACGGTCTGGGCTTAGTGGAAATCCGAGCCGGTGAGGGCTAGTAAGTTGAGCGCATGGTCTGGGCTCTTTGGAAAGGGAAAGGACAGGCGATCTGGTCCTGTGAGATTCTTTGGCGAGGATCCGGTTCGTGTCATAGCATGTCTCTCATGAGACACCTCAAGCATGAAACAATTGGATCATATAAAATTTTTCCACATATACTTTGTGCCTATGGATAACCCGGAGGCTCTTTGTGACTTTAAAGTTGTCCTTGGATCACAAATGAAAGACTCTGCAGGCCGTCAGTCCGTTTGTGAATTTCAATACATATCATGAAGCCATTCTTGGGTACGTCAATTGAAAGCGGCAATTAGTATAGAGAGTCTTCGCTCCCACACCATTGCCCCAAAACTAAGCCGACCTCGAAAGCTGCATCCTCATCCATGTCATTTTCGGGAATCTCCTAATCCGATGGCCCTCGCTTCAGCTATAAGCATAGGATTATTCCTCGATCGGACCTCCTATCGGTGCACGGCTGGCCGTCATCTGGCTGCTACAGAAGGTATGCGAGCTTTGCCTCTATCATATGGAGAGGGCGCGTGATTTCCAGCCGGTATATGACTGGTGGAGTAGCTGATATCTAGGGAAGGAAATGCACACTACAAGACTGCAGAAGTATGTTCCTTGTACGAAAGAGTTGTTATGTACTAGGGACAAGTTGAATTAAAATCATGGGCTCTCCACAGCCCTACATGAGACATGATCACATTATTCATAAAATACATCATTCAAACACGTTCCCATTCTGACATATCAAAGTCATAATCCCGCGATGCGCCCGCGATACCGAGACCTTCTGGCCCCCAAAACCGGATATGTGGATATCAGGGGTCAATTTGCTCCTCTGATTTTGAGCGATAGAGGACTAGAATCGGTATTGCTTCTTGATTATATCTGACGCCTTTTCAGCCACGGCGTAGAGAGTGCTTGTCAAATGCCCGCATAGTTGGAATGGCAAAATAGAAGCATCAACTACCCGAACATTCTTGGTACCGTAAACCTTGAGGTCGGAGCTGACGACGCCACCCTTGTTGCGGGGAAGCATGCTGGCAGTCCCCACTGGGTGGAAGTTTGACCGATCTAAAAAGAGCGTCAGCTAGCTTTTCGGGCGGGGATTGTGTGCGGTACATACAGGTTGACTTGACCCAGTCCTGCCATTCAGAGTCGGACGCATCGTTAGGTAGGTTATCCAGCCCTGGTGCAAACTCATCTCCCACAAGATCACTCAGGGGAGTTATGCCAAATGCCTTGCGAATGAACCGAGCCACGTCGACGTTGGCGTTGATATCCTCTGGAAACATGAAGTAGTTCGGATTGATGGCAGCTGGGTATGAGGCTTTCGCGGACTGAATGTGGATACTGCCTCTCGAGAAAGGAAGTAGCGGCCAGTATTCAGAAGAGAACGAATCGGCGATCGGGAGGAGGACAATCTCTGCAAACGGAACCTGTGATTCGAAGATCAAACCATACTGCAGTTTGAAAGCCGCCAGAACGTTGGCTTCCTGCACTGCGCCGTTCGATGAGTTAGAGACCGCCTTTGCATAGTCGGCCAAGCTGGCGTTCACAGCGGAAGCGATCTCGGTGACCTTAGTTCCATAAATCTGATTAGCTGACGGTAGAACGGAGAAGGTTGGTGATCCGAGCCAAAACTCCGTCCCCTCATAAGACAGTCCGTTGTTTGTTTGGTCCTGCAAATTTTCACCAACGCTGGAAATGTTAACTTTGATGGGGATGTTATACTTGTGGAGGATATCCGGGTTACCAATCCCGGACAGCTCCAGGAGGACAGGGGATTTCAACGAGCCAGCTGAGAGAATGACCTCCTTGGAGGCGTATATCGTCTCAACGCCATGGGGACTGGTGACCTCCACTCCAATTGCAACCGCCTCATGGTGAGAGTCATTGGCCCATAGTATCCTGTTTGCGAAAGTATTGGTGATAATCTTGAGATTAGAGCGTTTTTGATAAGGCCAGTAGTAAGCCCTAGCGGCGTCTTCACGGACATTGGCCTTCTGGTCAACTGTATTGGGGTGGGAAGTGAGGCCGACCATGTTGCCACCGTTAACATCGCGATTGTAAGGGACACCTAATTGATTAAAAGTCTCATCCAGGGTGGGAAGTAAGCTGCTGTTGGTCATCGCGTTAGGCCATCCCACTTTCAGTAGACCTTCTTCTCCATGATAGCTGATATAGTAGTCGGCCCCACGAGATATTTGGTTTCGCGTGGGCACCTGAAACCCTTCCGATTTCTTGTAGTATGGAAGAAGGCTCTCCCAGTTCCAGCCCTTGTTCCCGAACATTTCCCAAGCATCGATTTGAATACTCTGCGCTCGAGTATATGTCATTCCTGGGTAAAAGAAGCCACAATCAGCAAATGATGTGTGCCCCGGAAAAAGGAGTGATACTTACCATTGATGGTGCTTGTGCCACCGATGGCCTTTCCAGCACGCATAATCTGTTTTGATCCCCCGGCATATTGTTGTTCCTCAGTTTGATAGGCCCAGTCGATGTGTGATCCAAAGGCCCGGCCGTAGCCCGCGACGTTTGTGACGTTGTGATTGTTGAACACCGAATCTCCAGCCTCGATGACCGCAACAGTCACACCTTTTTTTTCTGACAGTCTGTTGGCAAGGACCAATCCACTCGTTCCTCCACCGACAATGACAAAATCATAATGTGGCCACGATTCATTCTTGTTTTGTGCTTGCACTGTACCTAACAAGAAGGTTGCAGATGCAAGAGCAACAATGTGTGTTTTCATATTGTGTGTGTGCGCTTGTGTGTGTGTGTGTGTGTGAGAGAAAGAGAGAGAGAGAGAGGGGGGGGGAAACTTCAAAGGTGATGGAAATGATGGTCCCTGGAGAAATGAAAGGTATTTGTACACAAGATGTTGTGCTTCTTATCGGGTTCTGCCAATTCCCCGCCAGGAGTCCAGGCCAACGCTGGAATGCTGGCAACCACATTCTCCAAGCCGCTCTCCACGTGATATCTGGGCTTGAGAGATGCTCCCCGGCAACGACAAAATATTCTGGTACCCCCGCAGTCGAACAGATAGATTTGGAGAGTTTATGGCTCCCTCGCAGTAAATCGGAAGGTAAGTGTTCCGGAATTGGTGGTTACACCGACCAGCCGTCCGAGCTCCTTACTCGCAACTTCGGTACGGCCGTATTTACTCCTAGCTCAAAACACGAGCAGGGCCTACTTGACGTACTTCTATTCTGCGGCAGAAGCCAGATTTGCACAGCGGGTACGATTTTCTCAAGAAAAGCCTCGATGTTCCAAGTCGGGCGCATGTTGACATTGTGCTGTGAATTCGCTGGATACTCCGTGAGATAATTTCACGCAGTAGAAGAAAGAGAACGCTAATTACTGAACTACTATTATGGAGTATTTGAGCATCGCAGTAGCATCGGACTGATATTTTCTGTGACTGATGAGCTAATTTTAGATCTCATCTGATAATCTCGATCTATACACCTTTCCATACTGTTTTGGCTCAGCCGTCACGCTTACACCCACTGCGGCGCGCTCACGAGGGGAGCGCCGTGGTACTTCCGAGCTTTTTGTACCTGAAGGACATTGCACCTGCTCCAGTTGTAGAGCTTGGTGGTTGTGAGGGTCGTTCGTGGTGCCTTCCCAACAACGACACCCGTTGCCATGGACCCTTGGCCGCCGTTGTATATCCTCCATCCTTTCCCTTCTTTTTCCTCTTTTCCTCCTCCCACACCATTTGGCTGTTTTGCTGCTAGCTTTGAGCTCTGCTTCACTGCGTTCCGCATACTCCATTGGTGCTCTGCTTGTTCTCTCTCTGAGAGACTGTCCCCCATTCTTGTGCTCCCAGACGACGTCGTTCCGATGGCCTTCCCAGCCCTCTGCTCGCCTCGTTCCGCCCGCCTGCTTCTGTTTGGAAGCACTGCTCTATCGAAGCTGTCGCCCAAGTTGGTTCATAACCAGCCGAGGCCGCCAGCAGAGGTAAGTTCTGTGATTTTCGTTCCTGATGCGAGGCCTCCCCCCGCTCCCGGTCCCATCTCCGTCGCACTTGCAATGACTTGCGGAAGAACCGTCCCGCTTTCGAGACCCAGCAGGCCATGAAGCGTGTCTCTCGCAAGCGTCGACGTGCTCCTCGAGCAAAGAGCAAGGCCCATCCGGCTGATCGCCAAGTTTCCATTGGTGAAATGAAGACCGATGGGGATTCGCGCCCGGCCGTGCCTTTGCCCATCCCCATTCTGAAGCCTCCCGGGGCCACTTCTAAAGTTCATCAGCGTCACGTCTCGTTTGGGGACGTGATTGTGCATGAGCTGGAGGAGTTCTCCGAGCCTGTCTTTCCCCCTCCTCGCTTTGCGGTGTTCCCAGCCCAGCGTGTACCTTTCCCTCCTTGTTGCCTTGCTCCTCTCAGTCCGCCTGTTGTCGAGTTCCAGCATTTGCCGCGTCGCAAGCGCTCTATTGAGTGCACCAGTCGATCTCTCTCGTCGGGGAGTATCATTGGTATCGTCGCATGTAGCATTGCCTTCTCGGTCTTGCTGACCTGGTTGGATATGGGTTGACACTGTGCATTCATTTGTGTGGCTCATCTCATTACCTTTCATTTGGTTCGTTTTTTCTTCTCTGTGCTTTGTTCTTTTCATTTCAGGCCGGCCGCTGCCCATTTCGTTCTGTTCTCTTTTCTTCGCTTGCCCCGGTGATGATTCACGTCAGAAAATTGTAAACTCAGAAAAAAATCTGGCTTCGTTTCCTTCCCCTTTGCCCCATCTCATCCTTTCTTTTCTTTTTGTGATTGCTTTCGTTTTCTCCTTTTTGGTCGGTGGGAATCTTCGGATTCCTGCCTTGTTGGCTGATGCCCACCTCGACTGGGCCTGTAGGGCATCCTGTCGAACGATCCCCGAAACGCCTGCGAAACGACGCACGATCTTTCGATGATCAGGGTGAGTGCACCCGTGGACCATTGATGCCTTGAAATTTCTGCTAACCTCTACAGTCGACTGGAGGACCACGGTCTCGTCGGCAATCACCATGGGAGGCCCCGCGGAGGCTAAGAGTGGAGGATGGTGGCTTCACTTTCGAGTGAAAGAAGTAAGTTGATGTGGATTCCATGTTCCCATCAAATGGTGATGCTAACTCCTTGGATGCAAATGAGCTCATATTCGCTGACGCGAGGAATATTGTGGCTGACTTGCCTCGGAATGATTGCTGGGACGCGAGGCTGCTACAACAATCCTTGATTTGTTATACCACAGTCTCATTTCCTTAAATAATTTGGCAATGAACACAGTCTGGTACCATACCTTTTCCTTACTCGTTGAGGCCGTCCATGTCCGCAACGGATGAAAAAAAGCATAGATATCAGCATTGTCTTCCACATACGCGAGGATATAATGGGCCATGTAGTTGATTCCATAAGTGATCCAGGTGGCATTGAGTCACTGAAAACAAGGAGGCCGAGGGTTGACTTCGATCATGAAATAAGCAGCAGCTGTGGTACTGGCAGGTTCGGCCTTTGGGCGAAGATCCAAGTCTCCATCTTCCTCTGTGAACTCCAAAGCTGACTGTTTTTACGTGGGCTCTTAGGTGGAAGATGCCGGCCAGTTCGAAAGTCGATATCGAGAATCATTTGGAACAGAATTGTCCGGATAAGCTTCAGCACATCTTCCGGTAGCGCCGATGGCAGCACATTTGCCTGTTCATAAGTCGGCTTTCATCCTGCTCTCACTCGAGTCCGCGGCAAATGGGGAGTCGCCGGACGCCTCGAAGAAGAGAGTTCGCCATCGCAGAGGATAAAGTTAGCGTCGGCATCAGGTCTATTTAGGTATGTCTCGACGAGGATCTTGGGATTCGCAGGTCGCGGCTGGATGCCAGAGGCAGCCTATAACAGCTCACTGTCGTTGTTCACTTTGAAGATGCTTCTGAGCTCCAACTCGTTGACGGCTTGACAATGAGCCGGTATTGAGAGATAAATCTGCATGACCTGAGAAGGCTGCGAAGCTCAGTTCTACTGATCGCAGACGAACTGAATCCCGTTGATAGCATCCAAAGCCCGCACTTCGCGTTTGTCGACGCTCACCTCGATCGGATCGGTCGGGTGGGAAGACCTAGAATGCGATGCGTTAGCAACTGCAACCAGGCACGGGTCGGACACTGAGGAGATCCCATCAATAGGGAGGCGATCTTGGGCGGCAGCCACAATTTGTTTTGGGGGGTCATCATCGAAAGTCATTTCCGTGGGGACGAATGATGGGATCAGATGGGTACATGAAGAGTCCAAGCAGCCAGTCGCCCGGGTGATCCCCAGGTCCCTAACGGTCGCCAAAAATCGGTTCGCAGCATCTGCAGTTATTCTCCCGTTGAACATCACCACTCTCCTTTTGGATGGAGCTTGTTTGAGGAGCCAAGGGGACTACATTTCCCAGCTGAATTCCAAAATGAAGGTCAGTAGTGTGTGATATTGACCACTGCTGACAGAGTTTGGGGACATGAGAAGCATGTAGACAAAATATCCAGTAGCGTTGCAAGACATGCTCTGCCTCTGGTCCCTCGTGACGCATAGCGAATTCTGTACCATCCATAAATCCCAAGTCGGTATATAAATTTGCAATCGATCACGAGAAGCTTCCTCAATCTTTGTGAAGAGTCTGAAAAGGGTGAGTAATTATTCCATTCCATAGATAAACGTTTCTTTGTAATAGCATTACCGTGCTTTGCATCTTTTAAGATCTCTGTAGCTGCAAGTTCGGGGACCTTGTTGCGAACGTCATCGTCCAGTAACAGAGTCCCGCGTGCCACAAGTTGAATGACAGCGACTGCAGTTGCAAGCTGTGTAACCGAAGCAATCCAGTACAATTAATCTATTTCGGGGGCGTTGCATCCTGAATATCAAAGTAGGAGATCATGATGAACTAAATACCTGAATCTTCAACTGCAATAAGTACTGCACCACGCAGTGATCCTGTTGAGAGACCTGTGAATCGGACCATTATGCGGTCAAGAGTGCCCATGCTTAAGAATGAGTGTGATAGTAGGTTCAAGGATAGTCTTTGGTGGGAAATCTGTAGCAATTTATCCCAAGGATTGACTCTAGCCTCTTAGGTAAGTGTAGGTCAGTCACAATGCCGTTCAGTAGCTTAAAGGTGGCCGAGATAAACACACCGATCCTGAAGTTCAGGGCAGTTTGACGGAGGTTAGAATCGCCATAAGTCTCAAGGCTGGCTCAAAGAGTTGGATATAATTCTATTGGTCTTCTGGCCAACACAATTCATCCGACTAGAATGCAGATGCTGATAACTTAGGTTTTCGGCTTCCGTTATTGACTTTTAGCGCGACTGCCCGTGTGGGTGAGTTTATGTTAGGGTTTAACCACCTCGTGGAGAGACACCCTTAGTTTGAAGCCGTTTCCACATCAATCTTCAAACCTTGTCAGAACTACCACACCGTAAAGTACCACGGTCCGAATTTTAATGTTTAAGAATGGTAGAGCATGCGGTTTTACTGTACCCCACAACTATCTGAAGCCCCGCTTCCACAGGATCGGCCGTTTCTAGGGTTATTTTGTTTCATAGTTGAGGGTGACATAGTGTTTCTCAGAGAGCGAAGGATTTGATAGACAAATATGATCCAAAAAGGCGAGGGCATGAGGTATTTTGAATCTGACAAACTAGCCCAACTCGGCCCTCAATTTGTCTTCCTCTATCACACAAAACTTCCGTAGCATTGCCTGCCAACAAATGATTGTTCCTATTAAAGCCTAGCGTGAGGGCTTATTAGGGGCTCTTGTTAACGCGATATCGAGTATGGTTACTCATTATTTCACCCCTAATAGGCTGTTATCCTCGTAGCAAATACGTCTTCTTTCAACACAATATTCCAGACGCAGCAACCAGGCCCACAACAGCTTTTAACAGAATTTTCTTTGCTGACGACGCGCTGTTAGCCGTAGGAGTTGGTGTTGAAGTGCCTGAACTAGATTGGCTCTCTACAGATGAAGCTGCGGAGGTGACCGTAGAGGAAGCCGCTGTATCTGTAGAAGACACGGCAGAGGTGGTTGCAGACACTGCCGAGGATGCCGTTTCAACGGAGCTATTAGAGGTTGCGCTTGTTGAGACAGTGGTAGAGGTAGTCAATTCGATGCCGCAAACTGCTTCTGCGTCGAACGTGAATGGCATATTTCTGGCTTCGCAGTCCGAGTTCTGCCGCACAATGGAGTCTAGATAGCGTGGGATGGGTTGTCAGCGGTAATATGTGGTCGCAAGTGTCCGCAAGGATAGTTTACCAGGCAAGACACTGCTGGCGCATTTCTTGCCCAAGCAGCAAAAATATGCCTCACGGTACGTTTGCTTGTCGCACATGCACGCAGCATCGGTCGTGCAGGATCCGCCCGGGAAGCTGCTAAAGAAGCAGCCATTCTTAGCGACCAAAAATATATCAGCCAATAGGATCTTATCATGAGATACTTGGAAGTTCAAGAGTATGTAAGCAAGCATGAAAGCTACTTACATCGCAGGTAGCATTTTCGTTTTGCTCCGTTTGATTGTAGGTTGCGGTAACTAGAGAAGTGCTGAGTAGGCCCAAGAACACCAACAAAGAAGAAAATCGCGTCATGGTGATGAATGCGACGTGGAAGCAAATGATGAGTGAGCTAGGCAGGGGGTTGAGTCTTCCTTTAAAATCAAATTGAGGAATATGAATTGCAATGGCCCCTATTATTTCGTAGAAAAAAGGGAGAGTCTTTGGAAGAGCGCTAGCCTTTTTGGGATGATCTCCGGGATCGTACTGAACGCCTAGTGCTCTCTTGTGACTCAGTTTTTACGGTGCCTTTGGGGGCCACCTGTCAGGTCCGAGCGCCCGCGGCACAAACCGGAGAGCCGCATAGAAGGGTCCTTGCGGCCTCTGGTTGGAGTGTGCGCTCAAGGTCCGGGCATAGTATGGGACGGGTCACTAAAACCGGCGAGGTAGTGGAAGGCTTAGCCTACAAGGCACACCAATCAGCACGCCTAATGGGATCGGCTAAGGTAACCCGTGCTTACTTTCTGCTTAATTCATAGCACAGGCAAATTGCCCCTAGCCGAGTATGTATTCGGCAGAGCAAGAATTAACCCGTGCTGTGAAGTACACAGCGACCAGGAGCTTGAATGCCCGTGTCTCCACCCGATCGGAAAAGTTGCATCTTGCAGCTTGTTCATTGCATGCCCCTCAAATACAAGCTAGTAGCTATTTTATAGTATATATAGGAAGTAGGAGATGATGAACCTTCAAATGGACAGACATCTGCTCCCTTCCCAAAAAGAAAATGCCGCTTGAAGCACTCGATGATCAATGCTAGGATGGTAACAAGAACGGCACAGTGAGACTCGATGGCTTTCTAGGCATCAGTTCCAAGGTGGGCGTTCAGAATGGAATGCTTGAAAGCGTTCGCTGTTGGCATTGGGGGAAGCAAATAATTCTTCGGCCGTCAACGCGGAGTGGGGGGTCCCCGCCGGCTGAAAACCTGCACCAATAGAAAGTTGGAAGACATAACGGCCCGCGAGTAGAAGTTCAATTCATGGGAGAAAATGCGGGGCTGTTGACGAAGGGACGAGTCGAGGCGGGGTGGTATTTATAAAGGTCGCGGTCTCTGATGCTGGAGCGGATGAGATACGAGTTTGAGCAGCAGGGCGAGAAGACTGGGTTTGCCGCTGCCCGTGGGGCCCGCATGAGGCTACTCTTTCATTGAGGTAGGTAGATGGGTGGATTTTCCGAATAGAACTGGGGGTCCAACACCGCCTCTGGTAGCTCTGTGTCTGTCAGAATTATTTCTTGTGAAAACCGGTTGGTGACGACACCAGCATCCGTCTTGGTGAAGACTGATGACGGTGACGGAATTAGGGTTTCGCAGGGCGATATTGACGATCCCATATCCGACATATGTATTTATAATACTAAGACAATGACCTTTTGGCTTATTTATTCTAGCAGTATCATTCCATGGTCATCAACTGGTGACATACCTCAGCTCTAGAAACCGATTGTTTAGGTACACAATCAACTTTTTTGGACGTTACTGCGACGGGTGCTAGTCTCGTAAGCAACATCAATATGTGACTCTTTTTTCGGCCATAGCTAATGGTAGCGAAGAATAATTAAACAATTATTGATACTCAGTGAGCCGATACTCTCTTTGAATTTGCCACTTGGTCAATCGGTATGGATCCGTGATCTGAGAGAGGAACAATCTTGAAGAAATCATGTGTAGAATTTGGGGCTGATATTGGGCGGAGCAACAAGGTGTGGGAACAGCCGCAAAAAGCGGCCCGAGACAATTTGTCGACACCCGTCAGAGGCCAGAGAGTGCTGCATCAGTACGGAGTATGTATTGTCCAACCCTCGCTTAGCATTCTTGGCAGATGGCCGGAAGTTGGATCGCAGTTGTCCTTCCGAACATGGCTTGGCTAGGTGGACCTTCTGTGGATCTCAGGGCGGGAGCCATACATCAGTGGCTGTAGCTAGACCCATAGGCCACATGGAGCGTGCCTGGTTGGCGGACATCTGCAAGAGCCACACAGCATGGTTTTTATTATCTAAGTAGGATTCGGCTTCATGAAAGATTTTCATGAATAATTACAATTGGCCTTCTCCCTTTCCTTCTTACCGTGCCTCCGCTCATCCAGACTCGACTGTCGACTGACATTACACGCCGTCTGCCTTGCCTCCTGCGGAAACGGCTACTCACTCACTTTTCCTTCTACCAGATCGACCTCAACGAACGTGTGCGCTTTTCTTCACATCTATCCAGCTCAACACGTTGGATCGGATCCCGAGAACATTGTTGCTGGTGGCCACCCTCCGCTATATAGTTTCAAAGTCCAAAGAAACTTGATCCATACTCAAGGTCTAGCAAAAACTCGAGGTTCCGAAAGTAGCAGCAAATAGTTGCATCCTCACTCCCGTTGCGACACCTTCAATCTGCCCGTTGTCCCATACCGCATTTCTTCGGAGTCACCTTACGAATCGGATTATACCAGCCCTTGCGTCTGCAACCTCTTATCCACCATCGCGCCACAATTCCAGGACCGATTTGATGACAGTTTCCAGTAAGGGCACATCGAAAGCAACACGCTAAGCGTAGCCCTTAGCGCAAGTAACATCATTCCGTCGCACCAACCGGTCACTTTGCCACGCACCTCTACCCACCGTTGCCCGCTGCACTCATTAAGATCATTAAGACCTGCGCACCATGTTTGACCTGAGCTGGAAAGCCCTTTTTACGAACCGCGACCGCCGAGGATTTCCCGAGGTCGTGGTGCCTCTCGCTGGTGGCTCTGCGCCAAAACCTAAAGAGGCCGCAGATAATGGATCCAACTCCAGTCTTGACAGGGCCTCGCTCCAAGAGAATGGCGCCAGCGGTGTTGAAGCTGGTACAACGCTTACTTTGGAAGGACTCCGAGCTGAGGTTGAAGCAGATATCGCCGCTTCGAGCCACGACTCTGTTTATGACCGTAAGTCCACGACATCCAACTAGGTTGCTTCTGCGGAATGTGGATTGGCCTTGACCCCATTTTCTTATTCAGACGTACAAATCCGGGTAACGTAAATTTGCAGGAAAAGCAAAGATTATCAATAGGGCAGTTCAGGATATCGGTATGGGCCGGTACCAGTGGGGCCTGTTTATCCTCTGCGGTATGGGTTGGGTTGCCGACAAGTAAGTGAATTTACCCATCGAATCGGACAGAAATCATTATTAACAAGCTTGCTTTACTTTAGCCTCTGGCTGCAGGTACGACTTATCCTGCTTGACCGGGTCTGAGGCTATCAGCTAACCGCATACAGGGTGTTGCCCTCACACTGACTCCACTTGCTATGGAATTCGGTGTCTCTGAGACCGATTCCCGTTTTGCGACGTGCTCTCTTTTTGTTGGTCTGATTGTTGGTGCTTCATTCTGGGGCATTGCTTCCGACGCTATCGGAAGACGTCCCGCGTTCAACATGACCCTTGGCATCTGTGGTACATTTGGTCTTGCCGCTGGGGGTGGACCGAACTGGGTTGGGTAAGATTGCTGCCTAGCCATCAAGGAGTTCACCTCAGCTGATACTGAAACAAGTATATGTGCCCTCTATGCCTGCTTGGGTCTTGGAGTTGGCGGAAATCTTCCCGTTGATGCCGCTGTCTTCTTAGAATGTCTGCCTCCCAATTCGGGAAGTATCTTGAGTGGACTGGCTACATGGTGGTCTGTCGGTACTCTCATTGCTAGGTCAGTCACAGTCCAGTCTTGCTCTGGTCCAGTTCTAAGCCAAGAATAGTATGCTTGCTTGGGCGTTTATTCCGAACTTTTCGTGCGAAAGCTATGCGACATGCACAAAGGCAAACAACTGGGGTTGGAGATATCTTGTTTTATCCCTTGGTGCGATCACCTTCTTCGGGTTCCTCTGCCGTTTCTTCCTCTTCACTCTGTATGAGTCGCCAAAGTTCCTCGTATCCCGCGGTCGTCAGGAAGAAGCTGTGGCTGCCGTTCAAGGAATTGCCCACAAGAATAAAACCACCACATGGCTCACAGAAGAGATCCTGAACGATATCGGGGGATATCCAGAAGAGGACAAGAAGCAGGGCCTGTCTCATAGAGAGATCATCAAGAGATCGCTAGAGATATTTTCATATCAGCAGGTTGCGCCGGTTTTCAAAACGAAGCGGCTTGCTGTTTCAAGTATGTTATCGGACACATGTTTCTTCTCGTTATGTGACTAACATTTTCAACCAGCTATCCTGATCTGGATCTGTTGGACATGTATTGGAATGGGCTACACCCTCTTTAATGCTTTCCTTCCTCAGTACCTGAGCGCCAACTCTACAACATACGAGACCTACCGCAATTACGCGATCACTGCAGTCTGTGGAATCCCCGGGCCGCTTCTTGCATGGGCTACCGTCGATATCAAATATATTGGTCGGAAGGGAACGATGGCTGGCTCGACTTTAATCACAGGCGTTTTGTTGTTCTGCTTCACAGCTTCAAAGGATCCAAACATACAGCTGGTCTGCTCCTCGCTGGAGTCTTTCTTCCAGATGATCATGTATGGAGTTTTATATGCCTACACGCCCGAGGTCTTTCCTGCTCCCAATCGAGGCACGGGATCTGGTATTGCTAGCTGTTTGAACCGTATTGCTGGTCTCATGGCACCTATCATCGGTATCTATGCCAGCACTGATCCTGTTGCGCCTATCTATGCTGCGGGTGCTCTGCTCTTGGCTGCTTTTGTGGCGATGTGCTTCTTGCCAATTGAAACGCGGGGCAAACAGTCACTTTAGATCATCCTATATCGAACTGACTTCGAAGTCCAATGTTTGCGTCTAGACATCTCTTGACGATTATACATATACGGGCCTGGAAATATTGTTTGAATCTCCATCCGAGGGTTAATGCCCCCTTCGGAGTATATTCCATCCAACTTTAAATATTTCCATGGGTTCACTCTGCGGGTTCGATGAGAAGCACACATGAATAGGTACGAAAGAAACAAATTCTAAGAAAACAGAATGGTTCACTCTTATACATAACATGAAACAATAGTCAGTATGTCAAGTATAGCCCTAGAAAGGAAAGCACCGACGAGCCTAAGAATCACAGAGCAAATATTATAACGCATGACTAAGGCAAACGACTCAACTTCTGTTACTTACTCTGCACATATTATATCCTTTGAGGTCCAGCTTGAACTGAACTTCGATAGGGTGAGAATTTTTGTCATGTGTGAGCTTAACCACTTGCAACGGCGAATGTACTGATGTCTTTGTGCTTGTATGTTAGCGTGAGAGAATATATGACCCCGAGGTGTCATGTTTGAGGTTCTTCTGCCTGTTAAACAAGGAAGGGATATTTGTGAAATCTCTGCATTTTCATGAACTTGATTGACCTAAAAAGTCCAGCCGCTGCTAGTACTAAATACAGATCCGCCGAAATACCAAATGGTGAATATGAAACAAATAGCAAGAAGGAATCAGAGTGCGTACAATGAACAGGATGAAAAGTTGATTGAAATATCCGGTTCACAATATGCATGAGCCAATTTCCAATTTCCGTCCTACTATTCCAATCCCGTGAGTAGCTGCGGCTGTACACTTAACATGAACTGCCGCATGCCCGCAAACTCCGTATTTTCAGAAAGTGATAGGACAAATTCACGCTCAGGTTTCAATATGGGTGGCCGCGTCGACTTCAAATGTCGAATTGCTGTCATGGCAGGGAAAGGCATGAGGTGCTGACGAAAGATGCCAGTGGATTGGTGAAGAAATAATGGAATGCAGCGGATTATGTTGCGGCAGCAATCATTTAGATCGATACCAACTACATCTGATTCCTCGTCAAAGACAATGTGATAGACGTTTTGCGCAATCATAAGGGATGCCCAGTAAAGGGTCATGAGATGCGCGCTAGCGATATTGTCTGTCGTCAAGTTGGACGGAACTTGCCAGTCAGACCTGGGAGACACCACTGCAGTTGCAAATTCTGATCCCCACTGTAATAGACGGCCTGTGGTTTTGGACGCCAACTGCTGTAGCTCTTCACGCAAACCGGTAATAGAACGATCTCTGTCTTTCATTTCGTCAATGCCCTGGTATAATGATGGAAGATCTAGCATAATATCCACTAGCAGATCTTTGGGTGTCTTCGCATGGTGCTCCCACGGATCATTCATCCACTTGGAATGTGTCAAAATGGATTTCTTCCGGGATATAAGTGCACAAAGCGCCTGTTGGAAATTCAGTGTTTCTCCAGGGTGTAAAGGGAAAGTGAAATACCTGATTCAGCCGACCATCGACAAAAAGTCGATGGGCAGCGCCCGCAGAATAATGTTTAGGAGGTTTTGAGATCATGAGCGCGAGGTCACCAGAGTGATGGACCTTCCAGCTTCGATAATGGGCTTTTCGGTCAGCCCAATCACTCCCATACAATGCCTAGTGGTGTTGACAAGGCAATTAGTCATCACTGTGATAACCTGAGGATCATGGTGTAGGTTCAGCGGAGGCAAGATATAGAATAGAAAATACCTCATAAAAGCTGAATAATCGTGTCGCGCTGAGAAGTTCAAGATCTTGCTTCCTGTGAGTGTTCAATAGCCTCCTCATCTGCTGCAAAGCAGTAGCATGGAGCTTTATAGCCTGTTCTTTCATCCAATATGAGCTGGTATTCGTATTCGCTGCAGCTCTAAGCGCCAGAGCCCCCAGGGCAGTACGAAGCAGGCCACTATGTGGCAAAAGTTCCCGCACTATACTGATCGAACCTCCAAGAGCACGCTGGTTGTTATCAAAAGGGAACGAGCAACGACCATTGGGCAGGTAAGAGTCCCAGAACATTCCTTCGACCCCAAACTCCAAAGCACCACGGGGGAAAGTGACACGATCAAATATGCCGTTTAGAGAAGGCGATTGTGCCTGGCTTTCAAAGGGTCCACTCGTTGACTTTAACACTATTGCGCTCCGCCTGTCGTTGTTTTCGTCCATGGTGGAGAGTTCTAGACCTTCGTTGCTTGTATAGTAGCGGTGAATGGTCAACCCTCCGGAATATCCTTCGCATGGGATGCATGCCTTCCTACATTGGCCACAAGAAGGTTGCTGTACGTCACACTGAATATCCTAGTCAATACGGAGCCTTGGAGCGGGGAAAGTTGTTCCAGATTAATCGCCTAGCATATCAACTTACACCTTTCTTACGCCTTTTGCATGTACGACATGCTTGAGAGCGCCCCGGAACACCCACCATTGGCAGCTAAGTCTCAAGGCTGTGGAAATCGACTTTCGCTTTCGGTAGTCGAATGTTAGCGCTCTCTCGGGAGAAACAACGCCTATTCTGGTGTTTTCCGCGTCAAAGCCGCTGCATTTACTCTGGTAATAGACGGATATCCACTTTACCGTATTTAGTTCCTTGTTCAATGAATGCTATCACTTGAGGTTGGGGGTGTCAGAGTCTCGGGAGGTTTTCCATAAGCACGGGAGATTACATGGTTCCAGGCTAAACCCAAAAAGAGCATTCTGCGAGGGCTACTTTTAGGCCTCAAAGGGCGTGACTGTTGGGGGCCAAAACTCCCATACATTCCAATAGCGGACTCACCAAACCGCTGCGTAGGTGCGTGCCACTTTCGCTATCCGCAATATCAGACAAAGGAATTCTGGTACAAATAATTACTGGATCCAGAAGATAATGGGAAGATCGGCTCACATTCCAAGCATACTTGCTAAATCGGTCCTCCAATGGAGCCCATTAGCTTGGTGCAAGAGATCTTAAGAGCGTTTTCTGGTCAAATTTCAGCCAAGTGATTGCATGCCGTAAATTCCATATTTCATTTTGCATGTCGGTTAGGAGCCTGAGGGATTGCCATCTTGCAGCTTTTCACCCTTTTCAATTAAATTTCCTTGCTCTGACGCAATGATTACGCCGTGTATTGCTAGAAGTTGGTTCAAGTGCCCGAGGGCGCTTCAACCATTCCACGTCCTCCAAGTCAACGACGACGGAACGGCCACCCAGGTCATCCCACAATATATTGCGCCACTCACTGTCGCTGTGGTGCCATTGGTATTATTATGGAACGCTCGTGACCTTATGATTGGTGGGAGGAGTATTATCACCGAAATTCTCAAAGACGACGGTGTTTAACCAGCTGCGTTTTCAACAATTTTCATGCCCCTAAGCATATTACCTACCGAGAATTCATTTAGTGTAGTTGTGTAGCATGAGTTTGTACAATAATTCCCTATACATTTTGGGTTCTTTTTTGGAGCATATTAACTCCGCCCATGAGCGGCCAGGTGTATTCAGCCGTTGGTACTTGTTAGCTCTCAAGAGTTGAACATGCAATAATTCTCAATCCTTGCAGAATCCAGGGCCACGTGCCATACTCGGGCTAAGATGAACCTGCATACTTCTGCATATTTCGAGACAATCGAGGCGTGGCCATATACTTCGTTACAGGGGGAGAGCGCCGCGGCATCCCGGCATCCACGGATCCCTGGATATTCCGGTACAGCGTTAACTAACCTTTTAGAGGTACCGTTGGTCTCCACAGGAGTATACTTGTAAAGTTGAAATCATAGCCATTCTGAACAGGTCGAAGTCAAGTATGAGATGCTTCTTACGTCGTAGACAAATTGGCCCTCTCAAGTAGATATACCGTTGTGTCCCCGCTTTGCCAACAAAACCCCCAATCCAAACTACAAATCAAGACCCCGACCAGCCCACACTCGGATACTCAACTTCCAAAAATGCAGCAATGCCGAGCATGGTTCAGTGGGCTGACCCGTTCTTCCAGCCGTTCCCCTGATGACGAAAAGAAAAATTATACGTCAGTGACAAACCTGAAAATCGGCCAGGAACGTAATGGCGCGAGTCCCAAAACCCAAATGAAGAGACATGTTTGGAGCGAACAGCGCAGTCTCCAGAGAATCTGCAGCAACATAGCCTTTATTGGCCCTGTCCTTCGTCGCATTATTGGGAGTGAGCTTATAACAATCCACTCCTTGGACGATAGCCTCTTGACCGAGATCTATCAGTATCTTCCCTTGGTCGATCAAGTCTGTATGGCTCTCAGCTGCAAAAGGCTCTTTTACCGATATAAGGTGTTTGCCAAAGACAGCTCAATACTCCCCCCACAATCCACGGACCATCACCTTCCTCTTTCAAACGTAAACAGCGAAGACAAGCTACGAATTCAACTCCTTGTTCGTCTTGAGAATTCCCGGTGGGCATATTGCGCGGAATGTTTATTGCTCAAACCACGAAAGAGGTTTACGCCAGACGCACTCAAAGCACCGAACCTGGAGAAGCATTGCACGCACTTCGATGGTGTAATAGAATTATGTCCATGTCTTCATTTGACCCGTCGAGATCGAGAAAATGCGCGGGGTCTTCTCCGGTCCCCAGTCACGCCTCTCGGTGTCCGATATGGCTGTTTTGGCTTTGAACGGGATGGGTGGCGTTTTGTTGGCCATTCCTGTCCATTCTACTCAAACTCAGATCGAAAAGTGCGAGTTTACGCAGCATTTTCCATCTCTAATACGGGCTTTTTTTTGGATGCTTGGTATTCTCTGCGGGTATCCCCTGGTGATTCTTTGGTCGCAGCTGGGCCTGTGTTCGCATGTCCTCACCTGGATCTGATACCTCTGCTTCACACGACTGGAGACTTTACACGATGCCGCAGATGTTCTACTTCTGTTTGGAGAAACCCAGAATTGCGAGAGGACGCTGGTTTAGTGACTTTCAGTGTGGATCGGCCTCTTGGTCGGGCCGATAAGTTAGACAATGTTTCTTTTTGGTATGCTTACTGTTATAATCCTAAGGATAAGAAGGGGAACAGTGAACGAAAGCAGTATGATCCAACCAGTCTTGATTGGCAATTAAGCTCATCTACTAAATTCTTTTTAGGTCTTCGTCACAAGATTTGAGAAACGGGTCGAAAATTTGGCACGGCCGGCGGGAGAATTACCCGCACCTGGTTTATCCAGCAGGAACGACCCGCTTTAAGTCTGTCGCCCTACTAGGAAACTTGGGTGATTTGTAGTATGCCATACAATCTATTGATTTTGCTTCCTCTTCGTGATTGTTCATTTTTGGCCTCGTTCTATCGAGGGTTGCTTGTGTATGTTCCAGTCCCTGCGCATAGCGTAGTCACTTCTGCGGGCCTAATTGAATACTCGCGCCATGATCACCAAGCCTTCGATCAATACATCGTGACCTGTTCAATTTTCTGTTCGCATCAATCACGAGTCTGGGAGGATTCCACTGAACGATCAGGCCAACTTCTTCACTGCACAACCCAAACGCTTTTCTCCAAAGGCGAGTCAGCGACAGCGCCCATCTTGAAGTATTCCTTGACCTTCAATGCGGTCGTCTTCAGGATCATCAATTTGTTCTTGGCCAGCCAGCTCGTCTCTTTGTGCGCGATAGGTTCCTGCGCTGTCTTCACATCCACAAAGCCGTGAGTCGCAACTGCAATGCCGTGTGATCCATCTGCAAATTCCAGCTTCAAGCCCAATAACGTGACAGAATTGCTCTGCTCAGATGAACGGGCGACCGCGTTCCCACTGTCGGCGACAGCTCTGGCCGGATCATTGGGCCACGACATCACATCCCAGTCGCAGTAGGCCAAAAGACCGGACACAACCTCCAGCGATGTCGCCTCAGGATTCTGGCAGCTGTGCAACAAGCAGCAATTAAATTCGAGACGAGCACGCGCACCCTAACGGCGCCGGTAAGCCCGATGCTGTGAAAAACCGCAGCGTGTTGACTCGTTGGCGCAGGGGATCCTGGCGACTCGCACTGTACACCTACGACGGCTGAGGCAGCAAATCTCGCGCCCTCCGGCATGAGTGTCGTACACTGACAAGCTGGGTTTATTGCTCACAACCTAGATGTTCTTGCCATCGGCATCGACGATCTCGTACACGAAGGGACAGGACTGCCCTCCAATTCCGAAGGTCACGGTAAACTGTGGCAGCATTCGAGCGAGGGCCGCTTCGCACGAGCCCCACTAACCTGAGTGGGTTCCTGGATAGAACCCGCACAAGCAGCTGTCAACGCGATGGGCACTACCAAGTATATGCTTTCAAAAAGCTACCAGTACTACACGAACACGGGATGAGGGGCCGTGACTGGATCCCGGGGCCAATACCCTGGGCAAGTGGATGGGTCCTGCACCCCGTGGCTGGAGAGAACTCAGCTACACAATCCACCGTGCTCCCTTGGAGAAAGCTGCAGCAGGAAGGGGGCCCCAGCCTCCTTCAGTGGACCACCAACATGATGTCAACAAGCATCCTAGCGCCGAACCATGGACTGCGGACCCACTCGCCGCGGGAGCTCACTGACAGCCACTCAGACCTTTTGTGATTCGGCACAAATGTGTGTAATGCACTGTGCCAATCATCATCCGTACGGTCATCAGCAGAGCGCCAAGCCAACAAGATCCCCGCTAATTCAGGGAAGGGGGAGGACGGGAGCGGTCAGAAATGCGTGGAGACGGATAGAGCAGCAAGACCCGGCAGCGACAGGACACAAAAGGACGCCAAGGCAACACAAAACTCTGCAGAAAGCGAGCCCGCTGACAATTGCGATGAACCCGATTGCCCCCTCAGTGGTCGCACTACAGCCCGTAGCGCGCTGGATCTCTCCAGATGTGGCCGCCGACGGCTGCAGATGGGCGCCAGAGAGCCCTGAGGGGCTGCCTAACAAGGCTCGATCGGCGCCCGCCAATCTGCGCTATTACATCGCGATCGTGCCGATCTCACCAGCTAGGCCGAACCTGTCGTGAACGATGGAGCCATGACAAGCGCGACCCCCCTTTGGGCCCAATGAACAGGGGCGATGAGATCTGTCCATCAGGAAATCCTGCAAGCTGAAGACTGGTGAAAGCTGACGAGGAGACCCTCTGGTCGCTGCTCTATTTATGTCCTTGCTTTCTCCCCCGCTCCCGTGCGGCTCCACCTTTTCTACTTCCCTGGTTCTCTCTTGTATTATTGTCTGCTGTGTGTTGCTACTTGTTTGTGTATAGTATAGCAATACTCGCCCGACCCTGCTATCATGCCTACTGAGATCCCTGGGCCGCCCGGCGTGCCGCTGCTGGGTAACATCTTTGATGTCAACCCCAACGAGACGTGGAATTCGCTCAACAAGCTGGCCAAGCAATATGGTATGTACCGAGGAGGGGGCGCATAGCTGTCGCATCCAGCTTGAACTAATCGTGCAAATAGGCCCCATCTTCAAGATCAACGCCCTGGGCCACCAGATCGTCTTCATTGGCAGCGTCGCCCTTGTCGAAGAAATTTGCGACGAGACGCGATTCCGGAAATGTGTGACTGGCCCTGTGCTGGAGATTCGGTACTCTGTGCACGACGGTCTCTTTTCTGCCAAACACAGCGAGATGAAGCCTTGGGGCATTGCTCACCGCATCATGTACCCCCACGTCACCCAAGAGGCGACCGACGCTGGCTTCGCCGATATGGCAGAGGTCATTCCCGACCTGACCAAGAAGTGGACCTCCGGAACCAAGCAACGTACTCTGGCCACGGATGATCTGGATCGGATTCTACTGGCCTCCTGCATGAAGTGCTTCTTTAACCAGCGGGTGCATGTGCTCGGCAACGACGCGCAGTCCGTCAAGGCCAAGAAGATGGTTGATGCGTGGGAGGGTGCTACAATGGAAGCGATGAAGCGGCCGACTCGCCCGAAGCTCCTCAACTTGCTGTACCAGAGTCGCTTTTCCTCCTTGACCAAAACCATGCGCTCCTACGCCACCGATATTGTGAACAGCCGCCTGAACAATCCCGACCAAGCCCGCAAGGATATGCTTGATGCCATCCTCAACGGTGTCGACCCCGAGACCGGCGAGAAGCTCACGGACTCGCAGCACCTCGATGAGATCGTCACCATCTTTATCGGTGCCGCCACCGCCGCCAATCTCGTTTCTTACGCCCTGTACTACCTGATGGAGAACCCCGAGCCTCTCAAGAAAGCCCAGGAGGAGCTCGACTCGGTGGTCGGCGACGGCCCGATCGATCTCGCCCACCTCACGCAGTTGAACTATGTCGAGGCCTGTCTCCGCGAAGCAATCCGCCTGTCCGCCACCGCCCCCGGCTTCAACATCGAGCCTATCCCTCCCAAAGAAAAGAGCGACAAGAGCCCCGTCCTCCTGGCCGGCGGCGAGTACCAGATCCCGAACAACCAGCCCATGATCGCGATCTTGAACGCCGTGAACCGTGACCCGGCCGTCTTCGAGTTCCCTGAGGAGTTCAAGCCCGAGCAGGTCCTCGGCGAGAAGTGGGACAAGTTGCCCGCAGCCGCGAAGAAGGGCTTCGGCAACGGCAAGCGCGAGTGCATTGGCAAGAAGTGGGCATGGCAGTGGGCGTTCTTCACCCTGGCTAGCATCGTCAAGGATGTCTCTTTTGAGCTGGAGGATAAGAACTACAAGCTGCATGCCAACGGTGCGTTCAGCATCAAGCCGCTAGATATGTGGACTCTCATGAGCCCGCGTAAGAAATAAACATGTATCCGACCAAGTGTATTTGGATGTTTGATTTGAGGACATGCATTCCTCGGAAATTGGTTATGAGCGGACACGACCCTGTCAGTAATGAAATCTGTGAATCGCTTAGCTATGATGAAAATTTTGGAATGAAACGAGTTTGGTTTGCTGTTCTCTTTGGCGCGCTCTTGCATAAGCTGGCACCTCTTGTGGTTAATTTTGGGAGGACATATTTGTGACTGTAATCTGAGGGGGGTGAGATCGTGTCGCAGGTTTCAACCACGGATGTAGGTCCATGCGTCCATTATTTTTCACAGTTGACTGACTGATGGTGGCAGGTAATGGAGGGAACCTGTCAGATAGTTCGTTCGCTGAGTACATCGCCGCAAAGGAACACATCAACATCAAGCTGCCCGACTGGGTGTCTTTCCCGGACGGAGCCACGCTGGCCGTGGGTATCACGACCGTGGCCCAGGGAATGTACCAGCAGCTACAATTGCCATTGCCCGAGCCATCACCGCCATTGTCCGTGCAACCCGGGGCAGCCAAGGAGCTTATTCTGATCTACGGCGGGAGTTTTGCCACGGGCACGCTGGCCATTCAATTTGCCAAACGGTATTGCGAATCCTGTCTTGTCTTTCTCCCATTTCTTGGGCGTCCTTGCTAACTATTTTACGATCAGATCCGCATACACAGTCATCACTACCTGTTCGCCGCACAAGTTCGCGCTCGTGCGAGCACGCGGCGTGGACCATGTCCTCGATCACCACTCGCCGGCTCTGGCACAGTGGGCAAGGATAGATTAGACGGCGTTTTGAAGGGACTGGATCGTTTACGAAGAGGGGATGTCAGTGGCATCAATCTCGTATATACGCCATAGTTGGTTTCAATTCGTTGCTTTATACTGTCTTCTTTTTTTTGCCGTTCGTCCACGGTCGTGGCGAGTGATCATCGCAAGCCACTCATCTATTTTGGTGGCGTTTAGAAGCCTATTTAGAACCGCAGGTCCCACCCAATCTGAGGGCCGAGCTTGGGCAGCTCATCGGCGACGCTCTGTACGTCTTTGTCACCGCGGCCACTCAAGCACAGGACGAGATCCTTGCCGGGTCCCAGCCTCTTGGCGGTCTGGACCGCACCCCAGACCGCGTGGGAGGTCTCGAGTGCGGGAATGATGCCTTCCAGCTGGCTCAGCAATCGGAAGCCTTCTAGGGCCTGGGCATCGGTGGCCGACACGTAGCTTGCGCGATTGCTCTCCTTCCAGCCTGCGAGTTCGGGACCCACGCCGGGGTAGTCGAGGCCAGCCGAGACCGAGTGAGTTTCGGAAATCTGGCCATGCTGGTCCTGCAGGACATAGGTCCGCACACCATGCAGCACGCCGACGGAGCCGCGACTTAGGGTCGCCGAATGCCGGGCGGTATCCAAGCCGTCGCCGGCGGCTTCCACACCAATAAGCTCCACCGAAGGATCCTTAGAGAACGGGTAGAACATGCCGACGGCGTTAGAGCCACCCCCGACACAGGCAACAACGGCATCCGGGCTCTTGCCTAGCTCGCCCAGCTGGGCCTTTGTTTCATCTCCAATCACGCTCTGGAAGGTACGCACCATGGTCGGGAAAGGATGGGGGCCAATCGCGGATCCAATGATATAATGCGTGGTGTCCAAGCGCGTGATCCATGCCCGGAAGGCTTCGTTGACGGCGTCCCGGAGCGTGCGAGACCCGGCTTCGACGGGGACCACCGTGGCTCCCAAGAGCCGGATCCGAAAGACGTTCAAGGCTTGACGGCGGACATCCTCTGCTCCCATATAGATCGTGCACTTCATGCCGAATTTAGCACAGACCGTCGCTGTAGCCACTCCATGCTGGCCGGCGCCCGTCTCCGCGATGATCTCCGTCTTCCCTAGGCGACGTGCGACCAGGATCTGCCCCAGGGCGTTGTTAATCTTGTGGGACCCCGTGTGGTTGAGGTCCTCGCGTTTCAGCCAGATGTTCGCGCCACCGGCGTACTCGGAGAGTCGCTGAGCCTGGTGCAGGCTAGAGGGCCGGCCCATGTACGGATAGTACGACTTGTATTCCTCCCAGAAAGCAGGATCCTTTCTCGCGGTCTCAAACGCAGCATCTAGTTCGGCCAAACAGGTTGTGAGTGCCTCTGGGGCATACTGTCCGCCGAACACACCGAACTTTCCGGATCCCTCCGTCGTCGCGGTCGTCTCGCTCTCGGGAGTAGGCTGGGGGGCCGCATTTTGCTTCTGGCTCGGCGCTGGAGCCAGGGGCGCACCGGTCTGACCCCGTCTCTGGGTGATCTTAAAGCAATAATCCTCCACGGCCCGGGCGGCCTGTCCGGCGGGAGCGTCTTGAAGGACCGTAATGACCTGACTGCCGATGACGGCGCCATCGGCAATAGAGGTGACACTCAGGAAATGCTCGCGCGTGCTGATACCAAATCCGACGGCTACCGGGACGTTGCCAGAAAGCTCCTTGACTCGCTGGATGAGGGCCGGCAGGTTGGAATTGAGAGTGCCTGTGGCGCCCGTGACACCCATTCGCGAGACGAGATAAATGAAGGAGTCAGCAATTCGGCAGAGGGACTTCATACGGTCGTCGGTGGTAGAGGGAGCAATCAAGGGAACGTAGGAGAGCCTGGTTTTTCACTGGCATTAGTTTAGATCCCTTGTGTGGGGTGTGTGAGGGGAGATTTTGGTGGGCGTGCCTACCCTGTCTTCGTGCAGCCATTGCGGAAGCGCACAGCTTCCTCGGGCGGCAGGTCGACGATAATGAAGCCATTGACCCCTGCCTCGAGACAGTCTGCCAGCAGCTGTGACTGTCCGTACCGGAGGATGGGGTTATAGTAGCCCATGAACAAGACCGGAGTCGTCAGCCCGTTCCTTCGCGCTACACGCACCATCTCCAACATGGAGGTGATGGTGACTCCATTCTGCAGGGCCTTCAGATTCGATTTTTGGATGGTTGGACCGTCGGCTATGGGATCGGTGAAGGGGAGGCCGAGTTCAATAACATCTTGCGCAATCGATTAGAATCCATGCTGTCGCGGGGAATTGACCTTCAGTGACTCACCTGCGCCGCCCGCCTGCATGCCCAGCATGATGTCTGGGGTTTCCGCCGCGGTGGGGAATCCGGCGGTCACATATGTCACCAGCGCCGGACGGCCCTCCTGCTGGCATTGAGCGAAGACATTCTTGAGGTGATCCATGGTGGGATCACTGGTTGTGAGAATTGGGGAAGCGGGGGGAGAGAGTGAGAGAGACTCCAAGATTCAGAATGAGCAAACGCCGAACGGGCCGAGCCGCAAAATCGACCGATTGCCCGCATCGACGACTCAGCGATGGGCGATATCGGCCGCTCCAAAATTCGGCATCGCCGCAACTAGTGGTTAGTTGCAGGCGGTCCGTATCGCGGTCTCATCTGAATTAGCCTGATAATTGGACGGACTCGTCGATTGCTGAGCGCCCTCATAAAAGCGGCGGCAGCCGAGACAGGAAAACCCCACCCACCAGACATTGTCTTGTCTATACAGGCGCATAGTTCAGCAAGTGCAGTTAACACCCGGCATTATGATAAGCATGAATGTGAAATTGCCATTCAAAGAATGAGGACGAAGCATGATAATGGAATGAATTTACTAAGACCGATAAAAAACTTCGAAAAGCAAAAAAGAAAGGATCTCAGGTTTTTTTTAGGAATAGCCGAACGCGGGGGTCGAACCCGCAACCTTGAGATTAAGAGTCTCACGCTCTACCGATTGAGCTAGCCCGGCAGGGCTGGTTGAAGAGAGCTGCAAACTTTGGTCTCATAAGCAAAAACAAGCCCGAGCAAGAATCTGGCTTGGCTTCTTCTTGGTCAACTCCCTCGACCTAGCCGACCCCCAACTGCGAAAATCCGGGGAAGGGGGGTGAGCGATGGACCAACTCGGCCTCAACCTATGATATCCCCAACCTTGTAGCACCACCCATGGAGGCCCGGTCGGCGAGCAGATCTTCTGCCCACCAGGCCCAAGCCAAACAGCCTGCTTGCCTGAACTGCCGGCGGAGCAAGATCCGGTGCAACCGTCCGGCCGGCGGCGCACGCTGCGAGAAGTGCCGGCAAGGAAATGTCGACTGCATCGTACCCAGCCATCATCTGGGGCGGCAGAAAGGGGTGAAGAAGTGAGAGACTTACATTTTTACTTGGTTGGCTCCAGCGTTGTGCTCGTCTGCTAACCAATCGCAGTAAGCGCAAGGGCCTGGAGAAGGCTATACACCAGATCGAGCAGGCCATCCAGAGGCCCAAGGTTGACTCGTCTAGTCCGGATGACGCTCAAAAGGCCATATCAGGGCTCCAGGGGTTGTTGACTCGGTTTCAGCGCCAGCTGCAAGGTGAAGCGGATGCTTTCGCAGAGGGCTCTGACCGCGTGCGGGATACGCCGTCTCCGCGCGAAACGACTGCAGATGAGAGCCTTGCTTTAGATGATGCGGAGAATCCTCTGCAGCTTCTTGCACGAGCTTCGGATTTGCAATTACCTCCGACGGGGGCCCGGCATGTTCAGAAGGCGCCGATGCTCCCGTCTGCCGCACCGTCTGCGCTGATACAGGATAGCAGTGACTCAGGCGAGTTGAGCGCGAAGTCATTCTTCGTACCTGCACACGCGAACTTGGATGTTGGGCCGGACTTGGATCCGGTAGAGTTGGGACTTGTTACGTTCAATGAGTCCGAGTCGTTGTTTTCTTTGTAGGTTATGCCTGAATAGGGTTGGAGCAAGACTGCTAACATTGGCATGCGCAGCTTCTACCAGAATCTTGCACATACACGATGGGGACTGGATCCCCTGGTACATACCGCATCTTTTGTGCGCTCCCAGTCAGCGTTTTTGTTCACCTCGATCATGTCCGGAGCAGCTCTCTTCTTACCGTCCGCTGCTGCGCTGTCCAAGAGATTATCAAGACACTGCAAGTGGCTTGCGAAGCGCGTTATGACGCATCGCTATCGGTCGGTTGAAATTGTCTTGGCGTTTATGGTGAATATCCCCTGGATGGCGCCGGGAGAGCGACTCGGCGATGATGATACGTGTTCGTACATTGCCATGGCGCTTACGGTGGCATTGGATTTATCTTTGAACAAAATTGTCACGCCATCGTCGAGCTTGCCGAAAGATATTCTGAACCGACTGGCTCGAGCTGACTGCATAGATGCCAAGAGAGCATTGCACATGGATGGATTTGATGATGTCGATCCTAACTTCGAGTGGGGGCGTCGGTTATTACGCAGACGGGAGCGAACTTGGATTGCGCTGTTTGTAGTCGAGAGAGGCGTTTGTCTTGCTCGCGGAAGAAGCTATACTGTGCCTCTGACGGCACTTATCGAGAACTGCGACGCTTGGCATAGATCCGACATTGCAGATCGACGTGATGGGCCGATGAATTCTATGGCAGTTCTGCGCAGAGACCTCGATGAACTTTTGAGAACGGTCAAGTCAAGCTGCGACAGCTATCGCATCGTTGATACTGGATCCGAAGCCGCCCAGGCCATCAAGACAACCATCGAGAGCTTCTACGAGCGCTGGTTTGCAACATGGGCATTCGCAATCAGCGAGGGAGGTGCAAGGTCTCTTCCACCGTATGTTGAGATTCTCGTGACGCACACTCAACTATCCACCTACGGTGGCGTTATCAACCACCCCACCGCACCTGTGGAAGTGAAGCGCTTCTTCCGAGCAGCCGGACTGTCATCCGCCCTCAACGTTCTGCGAGCTGCTATTCAAGGCGAATCACGACTGAAATCGATGCCCAACAACACTGTTATCATGATATCCTTTGCCGCATGCTCTGCACTCAGCCTTAGCGTGACACCAGGCGACAGCCACTCAAGCCTGGCACCTAGCGTGCGAAATTTGATCGAGGAAACCGCTGGAGTCCTCGAACGAATTGGCGCGACCCCATATCACCGCAACGGCGCATCCGTATTATACGGGCGGTTCCTACGCGAACTCATCCGTCGTGCACCAGACATACCCATACATATGCCCAATTCCCACCCACACGGCGACGCCCGACAACTTGATCTGCATGACCCTGTGATCCCGGCTACATGCCTAAGTGACCAGGCCCCCTCGCTGACGGCGACACAGCCTGCCCTCCCACCGGGGGATCTGTGGTCAGAGCCGATGCAGTTCTCAGCAATGTCAGATGACCAAATTATTGACGCGGTTAATCGGGCTGGCAGCGCGTTTGGAGCGTCTATACCAGATGTGCCGCTTGACGATATGCTCAGCTGGGACTGGTTTGAGTTTGCGAACCCCGATTTCAGTTCGTAGTTGCTTGGCGATGGATTCACCTTTACTGCGTTTTTGTATATAATTTCATGCAAGTTATGAACCTCGATATTCTAAGATTGTGAGGAATGTCGTCAATATTTATATTGCCTATTGGCATGACGCTCCTAAAAAGTTGCTATGTGACTGTGAACGAGATCATACTAGAGTTCCAGGATGAAGGTCTGAGTGATGGGGCAAACAGTATCCCAGGAGCCCGCGACTCAAACGCTGCGGTGGATTCGCGCTTGTATTTTTCTGGTTCATACAGAAGCAAGGCGAGTATTCAATGGCAATGGAAATGTAAGCCACTTTCTTTTCAAACTTCATTCCTGACTCGTGGCAGTGGTTTTTCCACCGCCTATCGCTCAAGATCCATACCAGAAGGCGCACATTCGACACATACCCTAAGATCACCCGGAGAAGACGGGTCTGAAAACGCATATAACGAATTAGTAGAGTGCTTCTATCGGTAAACCCCTACACTAGATATACCCCACTGCTATATATATATATCGGCTAGACGCCGAGCTGTGGGGAGCAGACTCGCCCACTCAGCCTTGTGGACTTTGACGTCATTGCCAAGAATATGCGATCGGAGGATGAAGTTACACGGAGTGCACATGGTCGGGAGAAGCCATGGGATGTATCAAGCTCATTTCGACCGGAGTTTTATCCATCTATCGTACACCAATCATTTACACCCTGTGGACTACGCTATACGAACATAGCTTTGTCTATTCTAGTTCATACACCACTACATTCACCACGTTCGATCATACTATGCTTCCCCATGGCTCAGCCAGGACAAAATGATAGGTGAAAGGAAGACTGAAGCCGCCGCCCGTCCGGGTTTAGAGAAGCGGTGCCGTCGCGAGGAAGCGCTCAAGCTGGCCAGCAACGCCGAAGGCCGATGAGGACGCCTAGCCTGAAGAGACCACACTGGTTCCCTAGTAGGTGGATGCGAAAAATATAGCGAGGCAAAAATTAAGTAGCACTAGATGCGCAGATATTCACTCTGGCTGATGATGTCAATCGCAAGAGCGCGAGCCATAATTGCACCTCAAGGACTCTGGCGGGAAGAGCAGAGGCAGGATCTGGCCGGCATGGGAAAGGGTGACGAGGCGAGTGCAGGGATGAACAAAGTATTGCCGCCATAGGGTTCTGTATGAATAGGACCCTATAATTAATAGGCGCGAGGAAGTCAATCCCTGAAACAAAAAGTGTACCTCGCTTGTAAACAAACTTCCGAGCAAAGCCGACCTGAACCGCCTGCTTTCAACTAGCGCCACTCGGCACCCAAAAGTAGCCCCGAGCCCCCGAGCACCGGTGTCAAACGCGTATAAATGCCCAGCAAGCTCTTTCGCCAATTCTCTCGGACCGAGAAGCTAGGATCGGAAATTGAGAACGCAATGGCATCTTTGCGAGTATCATCTGCGACCCTATCGCGCAAGGCGCTCACAACCTGCCGGCCACGGCTGTACCTCGGCGCCCGGTGCGCGGCCGCCAGCGCGCCCCCGCTGGCGCTGAGGACTGCTCGGCCGAGCAGCGCGCACATCCGGTACTCGTCTACAGCGCAGTCGCTGGCGCCGAAGATTGACCGCAGCAAGTCCAAGCTGTTTAAGGATGCGGATGCCGCGGTTGCGGATATCAAGAGCGGGTCGACGATCCTGAGTTCTGGGTTTGGGCTATGCGGGGTTGCTGGTAGGTTTGGCGACGCAGTGGAATGGAATGGAATACTGTGCTGATGTGGTGTTGTTCGACAGAAACACTTATTAATGCTATGCACCGTCGCGGCGCGGATCAATTGCACTCGCTGACGGCTGTCTCGAATAACGCGGGTGCTCCGGGGAAAGGTGGCTTGTCGACGCTGTCGCAGGGCGGGCAGCTGAATCGGCTGATCTTGTCCTATCTGGGTAACAACAAGGTGTTGGAGAAGAAGTACTTGTCCGGGAATATTGCGATTGAGTTGTGTCCGCAGGGTACGCTGGCGGAGCGGCTGCGTGCCGGTGGGGCGGGGATCCCGGCTTTCTTCACGCCGACTGGTGTTCGTAAGTATATTTGGCAAGAATGACGGACAGAGCAGTGCACTGAGACTGAATACGGCAGATACTTTTATTCAGGAGGGCAAGATCCCCGTGCGCGTGGATGAGTCGGGCAAGGTCCTCGAGTCGGGCAAGCCGCGCGAGACCCGCGAGTTCAACGGCAAGACGTATCTGATGGAAACTGCTTTGACGGGCGACGTTGCGATTCTGCGGGCGTGGAAGGCGGATGAGGCTGGTAACTGTGTGTTCCGGTGAGCGCGGCAGAGACCTTTGGAACTGAAGAAGTATACTCATTGCAGTAGTTACACCACCAAAGCATTTGGCCCGATCATGGCCAAGGCCGCGACCTTGACTATTGTCGAAGCCGAGAACATTGTCCCCGTGGGCTCGATTGACCCCAATGACGTGGATCTGCCTGGTATTTTCGTGGACCGTATCGTGCCCGCCACCGACGAGAAGCACATTGAGAACAAGAAGCTGCGCGAGAGCGAGAAGGGTGATCTCAACGGGTCTGCTAAGAACGCGGCGCAGATTGAAAGGGAGCGGATTGCTCGCCGGGCTGCGAAGGAGCTGAAGCAGGGCTACTATGTGAACCTGGGCGTCGGTAAGTATCGTCTTGAGTCTTGGGCCAGTGTCGACGGCTAACCGAGGACAGGCATCCCGACCCTCGCGCCGTCCTTTTTGCCCGAGGACGTCAAGGTGTGGATTCAGTCGGAGAATGGGATTCTGGGAATGGTACGTGCGGCAGCAAAGCGTTGAGTTGTTTGATAACTGACTGGAACAGGGCGCGTATCCCACTGAGGACGAGGTTGATCCGTCAGTAACCATGGTCTCTGCCGTTCAGAAAGATTAGTCCACTGACAATGCAACAGGGACATCGTTAATGCCGGCAAGGAAACCGTGACACTAGTCCCAGGCGCCGCAACTTTCGACAGCGCCGAATCTTTTGGCATGATCCGAGGCGGCCATGTCGATGTATCCGTTCTCGGCGTAAGTCAGAATGCTGCCAGCACAGGATCTTTGCGATATCTAACTTGTCTCTCCAGGCCCTACAGGTCAGCGCCAACGGCGACCTCGCCAACTACATGATCCCCGGCAAGGTATTCAAGGGCATGGGCGGCGCGATGGATCTGATCTCGAACCCGGATAACACCAAGATCGTGGTGGCCACAAGCCATGTAGCCAAGGACGGATCACCGAAGATCGTGCAGAACTGCAGTCTGCCGCTGACGGGAGCGAATGTGGTCAGCACAATCATCACCGAGTTGGTGAGTGGACCTTTCGACCTGGAATCAATACATTAGCGCTGATTGACTGACTCTGCGGCAGTGTGTCTTCCAGGTGAACCGGGCGACAGGCGAGCTTACGCTGACGGAGCTGGCTCCAGGCGTCGAAGTGGAGGAGGTGCGCAGCAAGACGGATGCAAAGTTCACCGTGGCGGAGACGCTGGAGGTTATGGAATAGGCCTCTCCTGCTGGAACTTCGATAGAAGGATGGGTTGTAGATACAGTAGACCGAACATTGTTATTCGAACATCGATCATCGATCATGGGAGAACTTTTTTGGTTTGTATTATAGTTTCCAATGGGTATAGTACAGTATATCTCACGAAAATATGCTCCGCACTAGTAACAATACCATAATACATATACAACATCTACTGTAGACAGCTTCAGCAGGAAGACTCAAGGACTTCACCTCACGCAGCTCCCCAAAAAGGTGAGGCCCATCACTTTGGATACAGGGCCATTCAAGCTGCACCCCAGCCTTAACAAAACGCGCATTCTCACAGCAACCAGCCCTAAACATCGTTCTCCATGCGCAGACAGGCCTCAGCAAGAATATAAAATCAAAGTCAAATCAAACACAACAAATCTTAAATGATATAACTATTCACTATTTCCTCCACCCAGAATTGAGCCTGGCCCCCGACCTCGCCGGCGCTTCTTTTCCATGCAAACGGCAGCACGCACATCGCCTCCCTAAGTCGTCGATATAACCATCCAACATCAAAGCCTCATATTGTGATTTAATTATATTCAAAAAAAAACACCCAGACTGCCAGATGGCAGCCCCAAGTACCTTTTCGTCTGGCCCCACGTAAGGTGTAACCTCACGTATGTCAAGCAGGCTCCGCCGAAGTTCGGCCCCAAGACACCAGTAGCTCGCGAGAGACCCTTTGGCTTGATCCGCTAGGCCACAGTGAGCGGGCAGGTTGAGATTGGGCAGTATTAGGGGGTTGCAAAGGATGGTGGGAAGGTCGACCATCCCTAGGGTTCGTTTACATCGCTGCCTATTATTTGGGCCATACCCACGGTCTGGACGGATGGCGATGGGTCTTTCCTTGTATACTGGACAACCGAGCCTGCTCATTCTCGTTCTCGTCTTCTTTCTATATTTCGCTTTCGTCTTGAACGCATCTTTCATTCGATTGGGGACACACACGATGCTATATACACCTATACACCTATACACAATACAACCAGCAACAAAGCCACCCCCTCATTTACAGCTTGGCCCTCCCAGGCGCAAAGTTCGACCCGGTCCCACCACTGATCGCCTCAACGATCTGATCGACACTCGTCAATATCCACACATTCCCCTCATCACTCGCCAGCCACCTCGCTCCCTCCTCACTCTCCACATCCGTCGCCCAACTCCCATCCTCAAGTGCCTTCCGAAGCCCAAAAACATGTGACAGAACCTGCGGGCCAACACCCGTCTGCGCCCGCAGACACGCCACCGCTACGATCGAGGTCACCACCCGGCCAACCGAGGCGCCGGTCTCGCGCACCGGATCGGACAGCAGCGCGCCGTAGTTCGCGTGCAGGATGTGCACGGGCAGATCGGGGTGTGACGCCCCCAGCTTGGCGTACAGCTTATTCTCGAAGGGGCGGTAGATCGAGTCCCAGAGGGCGCGGCCGCGCGCGCTGATAGAGGCGATGTTGGCGGGGGTGGGCGTGCGAGTTGGGCTTGTGGAGAGAGCGGCTGTGACGTCGGAGGGGAGACTGGCGTGGAAGGCGTTTAAACAGTTTATTGTGCGGGGAATGCCGTTGAAGCTGATGCATTTCAGCCCGACTTCGCGCATGAGCTCGGCGGATGCGACGGGCGGAGAGGTCTTGGATGCGAGCTGGTGTAGGGCTGTGAGGGACTCGGGCGAGTTCATGGTCATTGTTGCGGCGGTCTGTCGGGGAGAGGTTAGCAATTGGATTCTTGTTCTTGTCCTTGGTGGAGGGGTGACGCACGGAAAGCGCGAGCCAAGCCGGCTGTGAGACGCTGTTGGCCAGCGCGGTCTGCTGGATGGTATGGTAGACGTGGGCGATATTCGCCGGCGCCGGCACGGTATGCGGCCGGGCGGCCGGGGCGTTAATCAATGCCTTCAAGCTGGGCGAGAGCTTCGACATGGTCTATGGCGGGATGCGGTGGTGTTGCGAAGGGCAATTTCCAGGACAAGCCCGCCAATTTGAATCGCCGCGAAGGCCCGAGGCCTCGGCCCGCACTTCTGGACACCGATACCGGCCCCCACCCTGGTAACAGAGGCGATACCCGTTACGAACCACGGGCTAAGCGTTCCAAGTGCCGAGCAGAGATGCGACCGAGAAGACAAAGTCCCCAGAATGGAGAATCTGGGGAACTGCGGGGAAATCCAAAAGGGAAAACCACTCGCTGGACGGCCGCAGAAGTGGCCGCCGAGCGCTGTCATATGTACCTTAATCTGCACCCTGCAGCGCGACATTCTTTCCTTTCCTCCCTTGCATTCCCCCCTCGGCTGACAAGCTCTCTTCACGGGTCACCAAACTCCATCGTGCATCAATTATCATGGAGCCCAAGCCCGACGTCATGGAGATGGAGGATGCTAAGCAGAACGAGCTCAATCGCTTCGGCGACCATGTCCAACAGCAGCAATTAACGCGGCGGATTTTGCTGAAGCTCGATACACGGTGAGTGTGCCCTATTGCCTCCCCAGAGATGCAGACGTAGATGAGAGAGACAGCTCCTGATGGAAGCACAGGATCCTGCCCATGCTGGCCCTGCTATTCCTCTGCTCATTTCTCGACCGCACCAATGTCGGAAATGCCAAGATCATCGGGCTGGAGAAGGATCTCCATATCACCGACCATCAGTACGACGTGGGCCTGTCGGTGTTCTATCTCACCTATATTTGCAGGTGAGCGTTGCCACATTCGCCCCGCTCGTCGCACCAAATTGACCCTTCTGTAGTGAACTGCCGAGTAACCTCGTGCTTAAGAAGGCTTCCCCCAAGCTGTGGCTGCCGTTTTTGACGGTCCTCTGGGGTGTTATCACCATGTGCCTGGGGTTCGTGAAGAATTATGCGGGGTTTGTCGCTGTACGGGCACTATTGGGAATCGCGGAGGGTGGATTGCTTCCAGGCATGGTATGAAAACGCACCCAGCTTACAATCGAACTTGGTCTGAAGATTCTAGGTGCTATATTTGTCTTCATTCTATCGGCGTGGAGACCTGGCCTTGCGAATTGGTCTGTTCTACACAGCTGCCTCTCTGTCAGGGGCCTTTGGCGGTAAGTGGCGAATCCTGCTACTGGGACAGAATCCGACTAACCTCATTCAGGTCTTCTTGCTCGTGGATTGGCCGAAATTGGTCCGCGCGGAGGACTGGAGGGCTGGCGGTGGATTCTTGTGATTGAAGGGCTGCTGGTAAGCTCGACCGCCGATGAAGGGCGAATGATGGCTTGTGACTGACGAGATAGACCTGTGTGTGCGGTGCTGCGAGCTTCCTAGTTCTCCCCAATTCCGTGGAGTCAGCAACCTTCTTGACCCCCGAAGAGAAGGAGTTCGGGCGCGAGAGGCTGTTGCTGGATAACCCCACGTCTCCAGAGGGGTACGATCCCCATGATTGGATGCTTGCACCCAACAGGATTACTGACGTATATTAGAACGCTGGCTGCTGAAGAGGACGCGTTCAAATGGTCTGAAGTCCGGCGAGGCATCCTAGAGCCGCAGATGTGGTTCTCCGCCACGGCGTATTTCGCCATTCTGTCCGGCCTGTACTCGTTCGGTCTATTCGTATGTCACTATCCATCTTCCATTCCCATTCCAAACAGCAAAGCCAAAAACTAACATCCGAGTAGCTCCCAACTATCATCCAAAACCTCAACTTCGCCAAAGACGCCAACCAGGTCCAGCTCTGGTCCGTCATTCCCTATGCCGTCGCCGCCGTCATCACAGGTAAGTACCCACACCATCCACCCCAGCCCTTCCTCTCCCATCAACATCCATCCAACTCCCGAATCCCCAAACAGTCATCGTGGCCTTCATCTCCGACCGCCTCCGCCTCCGCGGCACCGTTATGCTCTTTACCCTCCCCATCGCAATCGTCGGCTACGCCGTCATCGCCAACATCGACAATCCCCGCGTCCAGTATGGCATGACCTTCCTCATGGCGACTGGACAGTACGCTAGCGTGCCGTGCATCCTGGTCTGGATGTCCAACAACTCTGCCGGTCACTATAAGCGTGCGACTACGTCGGCGCTGCAGTTGGCTATCGCGAATTGTGGCGGGTTTGTTGCTAGTATGTGTCCCTGCTTGATTTGCCCCTCCCCCCCCCCCCCCAACCCCAACTGGGCTGTGGGTGGCTGTGAGTCGATGTGGGTGTTCAAGGCTAATGGCATGTGTTGCAGCGTTTAATTATCCGGCGCGTGATAAGCCGAATTTCCATCGTGGACATACGATTATCCTTGGGCTATTGGTGTTTGCGTGGTTTATGTGAGTTATTGCTTCCTTCTTCTCCTTGTCTTCCGGCTATTCGGTTGTCGGCTTGTGATAGGATACTAATGCTCATTGGCTGGGGCAGGATTTTGTTGAATGTCTTGTACTGTGCCAAGGTTAATCGCGACAAGAAGAACGGCAAGTATGATCGCTTTATCGGGTATAATGATGATCGGAATCCGAACTTTAAAATGGTTCTGTGAGGGTGTCATGTCTAGTAATTGGATTATGTTGGGATTGGGATGATCTTGGGCCCTATTTAAAATGCTTCCTTGTGACTGTTGTAGTTAATCGATGATGATAGCCCATGATTACCCGGTCTATGAATGATGTGTACGAAACAGCCGTAGAGCCCCACCAGTGGCCCGACTACTAAAATTTTACCACATCAGATCTACGTGCCGAGCAGCGCTACCAAAAGAATTTACCAATACACCACCAGAAAGCGAAGCACTGATTCCAAGGAAATCTCTAGAGCTAAAAAAAAATATTCATATTCGTATTCATGTTCATCACTACCCCAACCAGCCCCCCCTTTCCAAGCCGATCGACTCGCAGCCCTCAAATCATCTACATTCAACACATCGGCCCCCTCCGTCACTAGCACCTTCCAAACATGATTCCGCAGCCCAACCGGCCATCCCGGCGTCCCCCAGTACCGCACTTTCAAGCCACGGTCATGCGCGGCCGCAATCTGTGCCCGGACTTTTGCGAGCTGGCCCTGTGATAGCCGGCTGAAGGGGAGGGGGCCGATGCTGGCGTGGAAGTTGACGGAGGCGTAGAAGCTGTTGTATTTTGTGTATTCGGGCATGGGGGAGTAGGAGACAGATGGTGACGTCGAATCAGGATCCGAGGGGCTCGGCGTCAGGGTGAGTTTGTCGAGTGGTGCGTCGTAGAAGATGTCGCGGTAGGTGTAGCTGGATGCGATGCGATGGAAGGGTGCGTTGCCGGTGGCTACGATGGTGATGGGGCGTTGTATCAGGGTCGTACCGTTGAAGTGGGTCAGGTAGCCCTTTTCGCGAAGCGGTTGGAGGTGCTTGATCAGGAGGGGCCACAGGAGGTCTGGATCTGATTTGAAGTCGATGAGGAGGACTAGCGTCTGCGTGGGCTCTGTGACGAAGATGCCGACGGGGGATGTGTCGTCTCTTTCTCGTCCTGAATCTGGTTCCGATTGGGATTGTGCGCCTATTGTGGTGCTGTTGCGGGCCGGGTTATGCCGGTCCAGGACCTCGAGGAGTGGATTCAAGTAGAGGCTCCGTAGTGACTGGTTTGGCAGCACGGTGCGCATCGTGTGTCCGACGCGCAGCTCATCACCCTCCAGCCAGATGTCCGCTTCCACACTGGTGCAGCCCGCTGCTAGGGCTGAGAATAGCGGGACCCGCCGCCAGTAGTCGTTGTGGGAGTGGCAGGCGATTGGGAGCACGCCGTGTGTGAGCCAGTCGGAGAACAGCGAGGGCCGCTGGCCTGGGAAGATGCCTGCATCGCGGCTGTCGGCAAGAACGGCGAGGATGCTATTCCATGCAAAGGAAGCGAGGCTGGCGACGCCGCTGCATAGTGCATTAGCAATGAAAACGTGATTGATGATGGTTACCCCAGATAGAATGGCGCATCGAAGAGAGTTCTAAACATACAGGATAACAACGAGAACCCAGAATGGCCGTCGCACAGCGTGGCAGAACATAGTCCTCTTCGACCACGGCCTCACATCACATTGCAGATGCGCACAACTCCATGGCACCAGCCGTGATGCCAGTGAAGCATTCATCGGTTTCGCTCGCACTTCCTCCCAAACGGTGCCATTCGGGCTGCGGTCCTGGTCCGGCTGGCCCTCCAGATCATAGCTATTAAGCAGATGGATGTCTTCGCCATCCTCAGATATCCTATGCAGTAGCGACTGGTGTGCAGCAACCACGCTGGACTGGCAAAGAGTGGGACCACCGGGAGCCATGACAATAAAGCCAAGCAATAGGCCGAAGCTTGATTGCCATAACCTGCCGAGAATCGGGGTAATCGGTTTTATATGACCGCGCAAGCAAGATGTGAGATCGCACGGCAATTTAGAAGCTGCCTGCACGATCAGGTAAACGAGGCTCTGGGGCAGGCGCTGTGGTTGGTGTGCTGGCGTGATAAGCTTTCGAAAAGCGGTTGCCTAGAGTCGCACTTGCGTTACCTCTGACGTTGTGCTTGTCTGCGGGGGATGTAGTGGATCCTATATCCGAAATACCGAAGTGGAGATGGGACTGAGTTCTTGCAGATTGGAGTAATCATTCAAAAGTGGAATTAATTAATTGAGTTGTCCAGGTGGTGTGATCAAGACGAGGCGGCATTGGGGGGAATAGTGTTGAGTTCCTGTTTTCAGGGTCCTCGGCTGGCTTCACCCCAATTGGAGCCAAGTCGAATAAGATGGCGCAGGGTCAATTCTTGGCAGTGCTTAGTGCTTAGTCTATGCCGTCAGATGGAACTAGTCCATTCATGAACCTGCCCACGCTACGAAGGTTTCAGAATCCTTAACATACTCCCCCGCTCACGCTCACCCGCCCACGCGACCCCAAAACACATGGTGAATGCGAAAAATTACATCGTTTTTCAACAATCATATCTCTTTTAGTAAATATATTAGAATATGGAGTTTAAAATAGGGCTCCTAACATATTTCTAAATCCTAGAGAAACTAGTGTAAGTGATGATAGAGAAATGAATGAAATGTCTAGATAATATTATATTTTTCAGTATTATTTTCAAATCTTATTTTGACTAGACTGAACGTCAAATATATTATTCTTGACGTTTATAAGAGTATATAGACTAACTATCAAATTGGTTTATAGCCTGGCTGTTGAGATATCAAATTGTACTTTTTCGCATATACTATGCGGCGTGAGCGCGAAGTACGTTGTTACCACGATAACAGAAGAATAACAGAAGGCATACATAAGTCTAGTACTCAATGTCAAATGGATATACTAGAATTCATTATTGAACCCGCTTGCTGATCCGCTGCGCACAGGTCCTCATCTTGCAGACTCCGCTGTTTTGTATATACCGGTCCGTCATAGCCCATCTTCTACAATTCCATATTTCTTATAGGGCGAAAACCCCAGATAATCTGGTCAATTCCACATTTACCGACCCTCCTCCTCCTCATCGGTCGTCTCCCTCGCAGCCTGCTTCCTCTTCTCCGCCTCCTTCCCCGCAAAACTCACGAGCATACCCAGGTCATACACCACCTTGAGAATACCTGCGATAATAAACGACACGCCAAACATGTTATTGCGCGCCAGAATACCCGTGAGCAGCGGGCCCATGCTCTGGCTGGTCGTCTTAACTACATTGACAGCGCCCATGATGGCGGTGCGCTTGTCGGACGGCAGGGCCGCGGCCAGGAAAGCCGAGCGCGGGGCGACGTCCATGTTCTGCGAGCAGGCGCGTAGCACGAGGAACGTGAGTGCGAGCGGGAGATTGTTCGGTACTGAGATGAGAGACAGGCAGATTGCCGAGGGGAGGTGCGTGAAGACCATTGTCTTGACATTGCCGATGCGCTTGGCGATCGAGGATGCGACCAGCATGGAAGCTGCCGCGATGGAGCTGGTCACAAAGAAGATAGTACCGAGCTCGCCTTCGGGGAGGCTGAATTTGCGATGGAAGAAGTATGTCATCCATGAGCTAGTAGGTTTGAGGTCGTGTTAGCAGTTGTGAGCGCAAAAGGGACTGCCAATGGCAGGACCGAAGCAACCAGACTTGGTGACTTGGTGGCTGGACTTACAGAGACGCCAATCCAGACGCAAACGAGTCCAGGCCGAACAAGATGAACAGCCGGATCACCAGCGACCACAGGTCCTTCTCAATCGACACGAACCAGTGCTTCTTCTTCGTCTCCGGGGCTTCCTCCTGCGCTGCAGACGCCGCGTCGGCCAGCAAGGGTTGTGTCTCGCCACTCCGCTGCGCCTGCGGCACTTCCTCCTTCGTGGCCTCGACCTTGCGCGTCAGCGCCAGTGCGAGGATGAGCTTGATCAAGCCGACGCCCGCATACACGAAGAAAATCAGTCGGCACGAGGGGATAAACGCCCAGCCGTGCAGCGCCTGCAGCGAGCTAATCACCCATCCGCAGATCAACTGGCCCAGCGCGGTGCCAGCGGTGCCGAGCAGCGAGTACCACGCGAACACATCGGGCAGTTTCTCGTGAGGCGTGAGATGCGCGAGCGTCGACTCCTCCACGGCGCGGAAGGGCCCGATTTCGTTTCCACTGTGGAGCGTCAGCTCGGGTTTCGCACCGACCCCAAACAGCAACAGCAACAGCAACAGCCACAAGTTCCCTTCGAACAGAGCGAACCGTTCAAACTCACCTCGGACTAATCACGCCAAACACCGCCGCCGCCAAAAGAACCCAGTAATTCCCAGCCACCGCAAAAACAAGCCCACTACCCACCATCAGCGCCGACCCCAACGCAAGCACTGCCTTGCGCCCCATCGCATCCGCGAACAGCGTCAGGAAGAAACTGATCACCACATCGCCCACCAGTGTCAGTGTCATGAAGAGCCCGATCCGGTCGTCTGTGATCCCAATCGCCGATAGGTAGGATGCTAGGATGAGCGTTGACCCGCCGTACGCGAAGAGGCGGACGAAGCGCTGGGCGCAGAGGAACTTGACGTCGCGCGAGGCGTGGTACATCGTGACGAGGCCGACTTCGTCGAGGAAGTGCGTGAGGGCGGCCATGGCGCACGGTGTGGTTGGCGTGTGTTGTTTAAATTTTTTTTTTCCGAAGTTCTTTTTTTTTTGCGTGGTTGCTGAAGAAAGGAATGAATGCCCGTGGGGTTGCGACGTGCGTGCAGTACTGCGTAAATAAATCCGAGCTGCTCCGGGATTACGTTGCTTGGGCGGTTTGGGTGGAGTCGCGCAGGAGGCAGCAGTTTAAATTATGGGATTGCTGATTGGATGGGGAGCTGTTGTGGCTCAGCGAATTAAGCAATTAAGGACAAGACTATCTATAACTCCGAACAGTCTCCGTATGTACCGTAGGACAATGCCCTTCTCTTCTCTGTCTCCACCTCCACCTCCATCTCCATCTCCACCTTCTCCTTGACCGCGCCCTTCTCAAGCATCCGTCTTCGGCGGCCACTTCACCCGCCGCTCAGCCCGCACGTACAAATTGTTCGGCCGAATCAGCTGGAACATCGGATCATACTCGATCGGCCCATCGTTCTCGCGCGTAAACTTGTACCGGAACAACAGTTTCGGCAAGAACACCTTCACTTCCTGCAAGGCAAAGTTAAAGCCGATGCACATGCGCGGGCCCGCCGCGAAGGGAATATACGCCGCCTTGTGGCGATTCCGCACGGCGTCGGTGTCCCACCGGTCTGGGTCGAAGCGCGCCGGGTTGTCCCACACAACCGGGTTGTTGTGGAGGTGGTGCAGCGCCGGGATGATGACGGCGTCGGCGGGCAGCTTGTATCCGCCCGGCAGGATCATAGAGACCTTGGCTGTGCGTGCGGGCTGGTAGGATGGGTTGTGGCGGCGCTGGGTCTCTTTGATGAAGTGGTCGAGGAAGGTGAGCTTGTCGGTGAGGTCGGCGGTGATTTGGGTGTTGGCGTCGATGTCGTTGTCGATGAGCTCTTGGAGGAGCCGCTCTTGCATGCCGTCGTAGGTAACGAGGGCGTAGATGAGCCAGGAGAGGAGGGAGCTGGTGGTGGTAAAGCCGGCGCCGGTGGCGACGACGAGGGCTTGCATGATGCTGGTTTTGGGCAGCTTCTCCCCCTTGTTGTCTACGGCGCGGATGGCGTAGTCTGCTGGAGGTTAGCAGGGCCAAACAAAACCGAATGGTTATAGAAGTAGAGATCGATCTGGATCTCGAGATCCATCCAGACCTGGATGGGATTTCCCCACTCACCGATCATATGCGTCGCCTTCAATGCCGCATCCTGCAACGGTAGATCCTCCACCCCTCCGCTGGACGCATTCGCAATTGACTCCTCCACCATTTCACTAATCCGCTGCTGCGCATCGCGCAGCTTCTTCGGATCTCCAAAGGGCAGGTTCGCATACCAATCCCCCCGTGCCGCAACCTTCTTGTTCAGCGTTAGCGACTCCGCAATCCGATGCACTAGCTCATGCAGCGGCGCATCTGGACTGCCGAAGTGCTTGAAGTCGATGCCAAGGACTAACTTGCCGACAGCCTGGGCGCCCAGCTTCAGCATGTACTGGTACACGTTCCAGGCCTCGCCGGCCTCGTCGAGGGCATCGAAGACGTTGAATGCGTCTTCGACGGTGGCTTGCATGGTCGGCGCGTAGTGGCGGACGGCCTTAGGGCCGAGCGCCGGGGGCAGGAACTTGTGGGCGGCGCGCCATTCGGGGGTGTCGGTGTCGCCGAGGAAGACGCCCGCTTCTTTGTTCTTGATTGGGTACAGCGGGTGGGCTTCAATGATTTTCTTGGTGAAGAAGTCGGATTCAGCGAAGACGATTGCGGAGAGCGCGGGGTCGTTGGTCTGGTAGATGGTGCGGCCCATGTTGGTGGTTTGGATGAGGGGGGCCGTATTGCTCGAAGAGTCGCTGGTGGTTGCCCAGGTGGTCCGGGTAGATCTCGAAGAAGCTGCCAACGAACGGGAGACCTTTCGGGCCGGGGATCTCGCGGACGGGCTTGCCATCTATTGAGATGGCGATGGGCTCTTCTGTGGAGAGGATGTCGGAGATGTTGAGGGCATTGTCGGAGGATTGGAAGCCGATGCCTGTGGCGTGTTAGCCATGGAAGCGTATAGTTTCAGGGTAGTGATGGAGTGTTAGCGAGAGTTCAGAACCTACCGTTGGGCTCGACAATGGCAAAGTGGCCCGCAATCCAATGCTGTAGGCCTTCCAGGCCCAGCTGTTCGTCGAACTCGACATTCCGTGCTGATGTGCTGGGTTCTCCCAGCAGGTAAAACTGCTTGGCAACCATGTTGGCTGCGGGTGTAGAAGTCAAGTGTTGGCTACTCGAGAAAAGAAAAAGGCATACCACGACGGCCAAGGAAAACCCTGAATTAATATACACACAGGAAACCGCTTGCCCCCTTATCAACGGGCCACTCCGCCCACGCTATCTCTCATCGCTCGCCAGTTTCCTCCTAACTTCAGCTCCATTATCATCATCGCGCAGCCTGACGGCCTGCCTCGGCAGTTTCACCGTCTGCCAACGCAGGCCCACTGGCCTGCAACGAATCAAGTGGAGATCGGCCGACCAGCCCCACCGGGTCCCTGGCAGGCCAGTGCCTTGCCCGGACGGGCGTTGATTGCGGCGCAACGGGGCGTTTCCGGCATCGCGGGCTTCGGGGTCGGCGTGCCGTCCGGACGGGATAATGCCGTTCGAGTCGGCTGGTGCCGAAGCAGAAGCATACCCGTTGGTGGGGCGAGATAGGAGGGAGCTTTCATATGCATAAATAATGACTGAGATATTATTCTCCATGGCGGTGATTGGAGGGCCAGGGAGCCAGTTGTGTCAGTGGTGGGGAGGGCCGTCAATTGGACTTGCCGAAACTTCCGTCCACGGCATTGTTTTATACTGGCCTTTCGCTGTTGGACTTGGACAATTTGACAAGTGCAATTGATCCGTGATCCTGCTGCTACGCATTTTGACCATGGCGACTCCCGAGACGACGGAGCTGAAGGCTCAATGGAAGACCGAATTGGTGGTGCCCGAGTATACCATGGAAGATGTTGCGGTGCATAACACGAAAGCTGATATGTGGATGGTCATCCACGGACAAGGTAAGGTCCCTTTTGGAATACTTCTTCCAAGACAACTGCTTATGAAGTCCAGTCTTCGATATCACCAAGTATGTGCAAGACCACCCCGGTGGCGCGGACGTCCTCGTCGAAGTTGCCGGCCAAGATGCCACTGCGGCCTACGAGGACGTCGGCCACTCCGAAGACGCGCGCGAGATCATGCAGCCGTACCTGGTCGGCACCCTCGCGGATGCACAGGAGTACGTCCGGCCCAAGGCCGTGCGCGTCGTGTCTTCAACCACGCCCGAAAAGCCCAAGTCCGCCTCAAGAAGCCGTGCCATCGTGGCGGGCACGCTCAGTGCCGTCCTCCCAGCCCTCTACATCTGCACTCGTGGTAGCGCGCACATCTTCCACCCTATGGGCACCGTCACCCGCCTCCTCCCATCGCAACTAACGACCATCCGCCTGGGCCAGGGCGGCTTCCTCAACGGCCTCCTCGCCGCCAGCCTGCTCTGCAGCGCCGCCGGCGTCGCTCTCGCCAAGCAAGCCAGCCGCTTCACCCAGATCGAGTCCGGCTTCACAAAATACCCGCCACACATCCACGCCAAAAAGGTCATCCACGCGGATCCGCACCTCACACACGGCTTCCTCGAGCCGAAGACCTACCAGCACCTCCCCCTCGTCGCCAAGCACCAGCTCTCCCCCAACGTCTACCGCTTTGTCTTCGCCCTCCCCGAGCCAACAGCCATCCTCGGCCTCCCCGTCGGCCAACACGTCGCCATCAAGGCCGAGATTGACGGCAACACGGTCAGCCGCTCCTACACACCCACCTCGAACAACCTGGACCGCGGCCGCCTCGAGCTCGTCATCAAATGCTACCCTGACGGCCTGCTGACCGGCCGGTATCTGGCCAACCTGTCGCTTGGCGACAAAGTCGCCTTCCGCGGACCCAAAGGCGCCATGAAATACACCAAGGGTGTCGCGCGCGCCTTCGGTATGGTCGCCGGCGGCACGGGAATCACCCCCATGTACCAGCTCATCCGCGCCATCTGCGAGAACGACGCCGACACCACGCAGATCAGCCTAGTCTACGCGAGCCACAGCGAGGCAGATATCCTGCTGCGCGAGGAACTGGATGCTTTTGCGCGCCGGTATCCGTCTAACTTCAAGGTGTGGTATGTGCTAAGTGAGGCGCCGGAGGGCTGGGCCTTTGGAAAGGGCTATGTGGATGGCCAGGTCCTGCGTGAACATATGCCCAGTCCTGGGCCTGACACGAAGATCCTCCTGTGTGGGCCGCCTGGCATGATTAGCGCGACGAAGAAGAATCTAGCGCCGTTGGGTTTCAAGGTGCCGGGCCCGGTGTCGAAGATGAGCGATGAGGTGTTTTGCTTCTAGGGGGCGTTTAGCATTTGTGCAATTTGCTGGGTTGCATGGTTGGGGTTTAGGTTGCCTGCCCATTTGGGCAAGTACCGAGGTTGAGCGTAGCGTGTTTGTCTTGTTCTAGGCTTTTTTGGGGATTTGGGAGGGGGCACTTGTAAATTAGACTTGTCGTTTAGTTTTTTGCTGTGGAGCATTGCTTGCTAGCGTGCGAGAGCAAATCAGGGCACTCGGAAAGCGCAGCGGATTCCCGGCCCGCGTGCCTAGAAACGGCACCGTGTCCGATACCCAACAAATTTTGATTTTGGTCCAGTTCGCTATGTGGATTTGCTTTTTTTTTTAACTCAGGATTTGCCTTGGCGTTTTTGGCCTTGGGTTTGGCGCCGGGTCGTGTCTCGGGCGCGCCGAGATGCTCCACAAGTCTGTCCGGAACTCTGTGTGGTCTGCGGTGAGGTCCGTGTCGCAAGTTTTTATGCATGGCTTTGCTACATAGAGGGGCCATGACGACAGATGTGCCGGTGGCTGGACGAGTTGGACCGAGGCTCATTTTCTTGTGGGTTGGCAATGGGAAGGAGATTGTACCCACTCGCACGATATACTACGCAACCGACGGGTCCGGTGGGTCTGGCGTTGTTTATCGGGTTGCCGAGCTTCTCAACGCCTGCCGGGATGAGAAGCCGCCGAGGGGTTGGGTGTTAGATTGATGAGGTGTGAAGAATATTTCCGTATACTAAGAAAAGGCCCTTCCGTAGGTTACTACCTAACTTCATATGGAATGGGCAAATTTGTCGCTTTCGAGATGTCTGTGATCTTAGATAGTGTGCATTATGGTCTGTCTCCGCGATTCAAATCCAAGTCGTTCTTCGTGCTCACCGTGGAAAGGAGTTGCCAGCATTTAAGGTGCTAGCTCATCCAGAATGTCCGGGGACGTCGTTCATGTCTCCTCGGAGAGCAGGTAGTAGCCCTAAGAAGGCACGTAACACTCCCCCACCTCAACCAGGATGAACCCCCATCCCCACTGCAAAGCCCTAAATCTTTAGTTCATGCTTTTGACGTGCGATATTGTAACCTAGGCCGGTTCGCAGACAGCCGTCTGGCTGGATGCCCTGGAAATTTATTAGTTGGACATTCTGGATAATGCTTTCAGAGCTACACACCAAGTCCACCCAGAAAGTATCATGTTGACTGAATGCATGTTACGGTAGCTTTTTATCTGAAGTTACTGGATATTCGGGGTGGATTTCAGGACACTTTGAGTCCATAGGTGAAGTTCTACGTTAGTCTCTACACAGCACAATTCCCTGCAAACGTGGAGATCATTGCGGCGCCGGGGCGGTATTATGCTTGCAGTGCCTATACACTTGTATCCCAGGTTATAGCACATCGATACCAGATCGTCAGAGCTGCTGCTGCGGAACCCCCGACATACTTTCCCGAAATGATGGAGTATGGAATTTTCAGAATGTTGTCATGGGAAAAGAGGCCATGGAGGGTCATCTATTCTGTGAACACTAGCGCGTACTAGCCGCTGCATCCTTGAGGCTTCTGCCGGTCTGCGCCCCCTTTTCCTCCTTCATCCTCCTCGCCTTCTCTTGAGATCAGACGAGCGCGCAGCGAACGATCAACAGGCCGCTTCCTAGGACGTTCGTTGCCGCCGAGAGTTGGTAGGATATCCAAGGCTCTTCAATTTTTAATTCTTTTCTTTTCATTCTTACTTTTCTTTTTTTTCTATTGTTTTCCCCATTGTTATCATTATAGTATTACTTCTACTGGAGAATTATCCCCAGGAGCAAGTTCCTGTGACCATCAGGGAGAAGTAGGCTCGTTATGGAGGCGTCCGAGCGCACTTTTCATCTTTTCCCTCGGCTGCCGGCTGAGTTACGGCTGGCGATCTGGCGCGAATGCCTCCCACGCCGCGTTTCTGAGCTCGAGGCTCCACTATCTGACGACGTCTTTGACTGGATCAGACGGTCACCGTCTACCTGGAACAAACCGTTACCGTGCGACTTGACGCACACGTCGTTCGCGAATCAATGCCGGCCCATGATCGCTCTCGTGTGCCGCGAGTCACGAGCCGTGGTCTTGGAGAATGGTTTCTATATGGGCGAGGCTGATGACTTTCCATACCCCGATGAAGTTGACTGGATAGGTTGGTGCGAGCTTAAGCAATGGATCGATCCTACACGAGATTTGTCCCATCTGAACTATTGCCCTGGTAACGAAGCCCTCTGGTACATCGATGGCAACCCTCTCGTCGACCTTGCCTGGCAGGCCACCTGGGTGCATCGTGGCGGCTCCCTTCGGCTGCCACTACTTGGGTATTGTGACACAAAAGACCTAAAAATTTTACAAAAACAACCTAGCTGGATAGTTGTTATGCGGGTGTTTGTGGTGCACGCGAGCCGGAGATTCGGGGCGGTATCGGGCATGTTCGGGCTCTTGGGTGATGCGCCCGTGCAAGTTGTCGATGTAGCCGACCAGGCGAGAGTGACGGCCCTCTTTGACTTAGCCGAGGAATGCGAGCGTAAAGGCAACGCTAAGGTCCGTCAAAAGTTCCGCAGAGAAACTCCAGAGTCTCTTTCGCAGGAGTTACAAGACGTCGTGAAGCGGCGATTCAGATCCCAACAAGCGCCGAAAATGCATCCAGCTCTTATGTTTCGACTTTGTACGAAGATGTGCAACCACTTAGATCCAGCAGATGATGGATGTCCTTGAATTAGCGAAAATGGGCGATGACAGTGAAAAAGGAAAGGACGAGGCGGAAGACAAATATTGAGGCTTGATTTAGCTAAGGGTATAGGGTGCAAGTTGAAAGCGTGGTCTCATCAATCTTCTTCAGATACTCGATGCTAAGCCACCAGGAAGGTAAGAGAGATACTGAAACAGAAGACCTTCAAACAGTGGATTTGTAGGAGTCTGAGGTGGAGGCTAGGATCTGCCATGAGAGAATTTGAATATTCCTATAGACCTGCATCATACGACCTTTACGATACAAAGTCTTGACCTCAGGAAAGCACTCCAGCCACTAGGCATGCTATAGATTATAATACAGCTCAGACACACAGGGGTATCCCTTCCTAGACACTTGCAAAATGGCTACCCAAATACAGTGTCGAAATATTGTCATAGTAAACTATCGGATTTTAAGACAGTTGTATAAATCTCAATCAGAATGCTTACGTACGTTTTCTTAACCACCAGCCAGTGTAGACCATCTCAAGACAATATTCATTCTCTGCAAACGAAAAGCATAAAATGAGTCGCGAGGACCCAATCATTCTGTTTTGTGAGACCAGTGGCTTCCAAGAATTTGCCGATCCAGGCACGATGCGGAAGATCTGCCGTGTAGAGAATACGAAGTAGTGGTTTTATACGGGGCCTGAGGAATGGTTAAAGAAGTACATTCAGTCAAGTCAATCAGTTGGTCATTGGATAATTATCGAAACTTTCTATTTGACAGCTATTTTTGGGTTGATGCAATGACAATTAAAATTATAGAAGCGCCAGCTGGCAGTAAGCGATATTCAAGGTCGTAAGAGACGTGTCTGGACAGGTTCATGCTGTCCCTGTTATTCACAATATTCTATCCCAATTCCACGGAGTATGTCGAGATCAACCAACATCAACCTCATTGCGCCCGTCCAATCTCCACATCCTGGTTGTGGTTTTCATGTCGAGCCTCAGCCTGAGTCTCGGCCTCGGTCTGATCTGGACCATGGCTGGGCTCATGCTCGTTGTGTAGCGCACCCGACGCTTCAGGAACAGGCTGCGGGTGGACTGCATGGACCTGGCTCATCTGCGGCCCCGCAGCGGCAGCACCAGCCTCCCGGTTCAAGGAGACCACAGGCGATACCGGCGGGTATGCCGCGGTCTGTGGCGGCGTCGAGAAGAGCAAAGGTGGACCCATAGACGAACCAGGGTGCTTGCCAGGCCGCTTACTAGGCATGACGCGCTCAGGCGCCGGGCCCAGGACGGTGGGGTACTTATATCTGAAGCCCCATTTCAAGAAGAGCACAAGCTTGCGCCACGCGCTCATCTTTTTCCACCGGCTCTGCAAAACAGCCGAGTCGTGCGCCGTGCGCGCGCGGTAGCCCTTGCGGAAGCAACAGAGACAGAATAGCGTCAGCGGCATGATTGTTAGCGCCCAGCACACTGGCATTCCGCGCCGCGTCTGCCAGCCCGTCATCAGGCGTCGGAATCGGAACCAGGCTTCCACGATGCCGAGCAGGAACCACAGCCCGATCCAGCCTAGTACAACAATGAGCAGGATGGCGAGGGGGGAAATCCCCATCCCGTAGTCGTAGTAATTATCGTCGTAGGGGTTGCTTGCGTACTCGTACCCATGGCTCTCGTATTCGCAGTCCTTGCCGCTGTACAGCGTCGCCGGGTAGTACTCGTCGCTCAGCCTGTTCAGCGACGAGCTGGGTACTTGGGTTGGCTCGACCCAGATGTACTTGTACATGTAGGTGGATGACTGGAAGGCCTGCCCATTGTACACGCTGTACGAGGTCGAGGCCGCGGTCGTCGGGAGCAGGCGCTGAAAGGTGGCGTCGGCGGGAGGCGTGACGGTCACGGCCGTCGTGGTCGTGAATTGCGTGGAGCAGGCCGTGGGTGCCGAGTAGGTCAGGTTGACCAAGAAGATGATGGAGGTGTAGTACTGGTCGTAAACGCCACCGTAGCCATCGTAGGCGCTGTACGGCACCGGTGTGCCTGCCGCGCCGGAGGGGTAGAGCTTCTCGATGATGGTGGCTTCGCCGGCATAGTAGGGGTCAGTTTCAATGACGGTGTTGGTCTGGATCGCCTCCGGTAGCGAGGTCGCGGTCGGAATGATTTCCTCGTAGGTGGTGGATGTGGTGTATGAATAGGCTCCTTTGGAGTAGTCATAGGCGTATTCCCTCACGGGGGCTGCCTGGAAATACTCAGTGACGATCCAGGGTGCGCCGACAACGAGCGGTGTCAGATAGGTCAAAACGAGTGACGAGAGGTATAGAAACGAGAGTGAAGGCGCCATGACGGATGGCCCTTGAATGAGTACGGCGACTGCAACAACCTGACTGCAAGGAAAACCGCAGTGGTTGAGGCTCCGACCCCGACTCTTAAGGGAATCGTCTCAGCGCCTCTTCCTGCGCTAGCCATTGCAAAATCTCCCCGGCGAGACCATTGGGGGCCATAAACCGCCTCAGGGACTGTACCGAGACAAGTGGAAATTGCCCCCCGGCCTAACTTAGGACGAATGCCGGAGCAGCCGTGATGCGATTGGCTGGAAAAGTCCTGATTTCAGGGTCTAGTGGGGTCTAGTGGTACTTAGCGTGGTTTAACAGTTGTTAGTACTGAGGTCTAGCCCAACTCGGGGGTTGCACTGGTTGGCGCTGGCGAAGACTGGCTCGCTTACCGTGCCTTGCAGGTACAGAAATAGACTGGCGGTAGAACGTGGAGGAGTTGAAACGCGAAGGGAAGAAAACTACTTGAATGCATGTGACCATGAAAAGCCTTTTTGCAGAAGAATAGCGAGAGGGTCATGATCAGTTGCTAATCAGCTGATCTCAGGGTAGTTCTCGGGCGCGGTTTGCCCCCAAAACAAACAGATGAAAGCCGCAACAAAGGCAGCCTCGTCTTGGCACAGGCCAACTCGGTTTATCTCGGGCAAATGCCGCACTTGTGGGTCTCCTTTTTAAGCCTCCACGCCGTGGTACTTCGCTGTTAACAGGCTCATGCATGATGGTAGATTCACGTGTTCACGTGGTCGCGTAAGCGAGAGACATCAAACCCGGACATACTGGTTCCATTCGCAATATCTAGCGACGTACTCTTCGGGTGGGATAAATAGTAACCGAGTTCTATATTAAAACCCAAAACCTTGAGTAAAGGTCGAAATCAAATGTTGATCATACCACAGCCCTACACGGTATCCACCGAGATCCGCATTTCTCGGAATTTGCAGCTTGAATGTACATCATGAAGCCATGCCTATTCTTCAGCCATAGGTGTTGCCATCGTCGAAGAAGAGAAGACCACCCTTCCTCCTTAGGCTTGCGGCGAGCAGCACGCCACCAGGCCATCTTTCTGGACATATCCCCAACTTTCAAGATTGAGTAAAGCCGAGACATTCCGTTCGTTCAATAACAGGAAGCGGTGAAGCGCTGGAGACAGATGAGTGCGTGAGCTGAAAAGGTACCTTGTTCCATCCCAACTAGACTGGGTATTATTTTCAAACGCCCAAGTTCTCCGCAAAGAAGATTTGTGACGGTGGTGGTGAAGAAGCAGGATGACATTTCTGTGGTCAGAATAGTATGCATTCTAAGCTGTCCAGGTCAACTGCATTGCCGTGCTTGGAGAGTCCAGCTGCAGTGTAGGCCCGGTCAGCCCTACCAGAATATAAATATAAGGGTAATGCCAAGTCGATACTGTGTCTGGTATTATCGATCCATAGATGAAAGAAGAGGAAGAAAATGAAATTAGAGAATCACGGCAGTAGACACCTCCGTGCAATGAACGCCCTTGATAAACAGGTAAATATAGTCGATGTAGGACAAGCACAGCCAGAAGGCAAGGAATAAGGAAACCACAGATACAGAACTTCAGAAAAGAAAGAAAAAAAAAATGAAGCCAGAGACACTACTCCCAAGCGCGCAGAGCCGTAACGTCGTAATGGAGCCATGGTCTGTTCTAGGTCGACCACAAACCATGTCAAGAAGGAAAGGAAAAGGAACTTCTGCCCAGATCCCATCCCCAATATCAAGGCACCCCAGTCCTCTTTCGATCGCCCTGCGAAGGCTGTGGTAGCCACAGTAGCAAGGATAGGAGCAGGGACACACAGATCACAGCCACTAATTAGCAGCCCTCAACGCCCTCAGCCTCGCGCCCAGCCCGTCCTCCACCTCGCCCTCCCCCTTCTGCGCCTGTCCCTGCCTCTCCTCAACCCTCCCCTCGGGCACCTTCCCTGCCTCATCCTCAAGCGCCATCCGCCACTCCACCCCCGCATCATCCGCCAGCTGCCCCATAAGCGCATCAACCTCTCCCTCCCCCTCAGCCCCATACTCCGCATTAGTCAAGCCCGCCGAAACATCCTCGATTGCAGCACCAGCAATCTTAAAGTCCTCGCTGTGCGAAACAAAGTTGTTCGCCAGCGTAACCACCCGATCCAGGTTCACGGATTTGCTGGCCGCTTGCAGCCCGCGGCTTGCCATCTCCAGCGTGCGTGCCGTGTCGCGCGTTGATTGGGCGGTTTTGAGGTCGTTAATGATGACTTCTGCACGGGCAGCTTCTTTGCGGAGGGCGACTTGACGCCGTTTTTGGGAGACGGCTGAGCTGGCGTGGATGCGGGCGATTTCAAATTCGCGGTTTTTCATTGCGCGTTCTGCTTTGGCTTTGTCGGTTTTGAAGGTTGTTTCGGCGCGGGCAGCTTCTTTGTTGAGCCGCTTTAAATGCATCTGGGGCTGTTAGTGAGTTGTCGTATGTCTTGAGTGATAGGGTGTGGTGGGATGGGATGCGGGGAGCGAGCGGGCTGGCTGAGACAAGACTCACCTTGACATTTGTGCGGGCCTCGAAGATGGGATCTCTGCGGACCATGGTGAGTGGTTAAGAGGGTGTTGTGCAATGGAGTCGATTAATGAAGAGAGAGAGAGAGAAAGAGAGAGAGCGAGCGTAGGAGGGGAGAGAAAGCGGACTCGTGGTGTTGTGGCTGAGACGAAGTTGCCCGGCAGACTGGAGGGGTGGCAAACGTCACTGACCGCATTCACTGCTTAGCGTCGGCACGGTTCTTCTAGTTTACTTCTGACCACAACTACTCCTCCAAACACTACGGGATATAATCACGTAAAGGCATAGGCATCGGTTGGACGACTTGCTCCGTGCAGTCCTCTGCACTAGAGAGTTTGTGCACTCGGAAGGGCAGAGATGCATGTGAAATCATTGGACATGTAACAATCATCGGCGTAGTTATGATATATTCGATTAAACGCAGAATAGCAATGGGTATGGGAAGTGGTTGGTCAAATAAACCAATCGTGTAACCCAATTAGGAAGAAGTGAAAGCCTCGAGAGACTTCGTGAGTCATCCTATCAATTTTATCAACCTGATGAGTCGCGAACTAGGCTGCCAGATTGCCGGACCATTTGCGGTCTCGGAGCTGGACTGTGTTCCCCGCACCTCCAACTCCGCAGCAGGCCTACAGTTACTACGATGATACGACGGTTCCATTTGGAAAACAGCATGCTTTAAAAAAGAAGCCGAGCCAGTCAATTTCCTTTGAAGCTGGATGATAAAAAAAGGAACAAATACTAGTATACAGCTCAAAGAGGCCCCAAATACCGGGGTCCAAAAAATGCGTCCGGCAACCAGTTCATAGTTGCTTACCCAGAAGCAAAGATGATCTCGTCTCACCCGTGCCCGTCGTAGAACCCCAGGAACTCCGCGTACTCCGTTGATGATGTTGAGGGGAAGACCCCATCTTTCCGTAACTGCGTCGCCGGCCGGAACTGAGCGTCGGGGAGTGGCACTTGCCAATCCCGTTTCCACCCAGCACCGTCGACGGTGATGCCATAGCCCGCGCGCGTCGTCGCGACTGGGCGTCGATCCGATCAATTGCCCACGCCATGGTTAACAACGACTCCCAGGTCGGTCGGCCCTGCGCGGCGTCAACCGACCCAGTCCCACGCGGGCTGACAATCTGCTCACTAACCGCTAGCTGCAATGCTCTGCCCGTCGCATCTCGAAGCGGACGCGCCAAGGCTGGGCTGCATGCTAGTAGTCTGGTGAGCAGGGTCATCCGGAAGACTGGGCCGGTCGCCGCCGTCGAGGGCGACAGACTCGGGGTCGAAATCAACCAGTGAATCAAAGGGAAATGCTGATAGATCTCCGCCGTCGAGAGCGCCAAACGCGAACCCGTCTTCAGGGAATGAAGGATGCGTAGGAGCGGGGATGTCACTGTGGAAAAGACGGCGGAAGTCATCGTCAGAAAGAGGAGCTGCAACGTCGTTGCTAGAGTGAGCTGAAAGCTCGAGGTCGAAGAGCGGGAGGGCGCCGCTTCCGACTCCTTCGAGGCCGCCGACGGACACTGCAGGTCTAGGGGGCACAACATCGCGGCAGGATGTTGTGTCACGTCGGGGGAGGCCTCAGCCAGAGTGGAGGGCTTAAGTGTAGGCGAGTAGTCGAGGGTGATGGTGGAGGGGGTGGGGAACGGAATGCGCTCCATCGCGAGTTCTTCGCCTTCTTGCTTGAACAGGGTGGGGGTGAGAGTGGGGGAGTCGGTGGTGGTAGTCATGTTGGTGGTGGGAGGAGCGTTGGTGTTGTGGACAGGCGAGCCGGCCTTGACGGGGGTGCTGCTGCGAGAGCCGCGCACCTCGGCAGAGAGCTGAGCCACCTGTTGGGACAGGCGGTTGTTCTCGGCTTCCATCTGCGAGAGGCGCTGCAGGAGGAACTGGTTTTGTTGCTCCATGCGGATCTTCTCGGTCTCCAGCTTCTCCATCTCCAGGCGCTTGCGCTCGCGGGATGTTTGGGCAGCGGCGCGATTCCTAAGAACCCGCTCGATGCGACGCTGCTCTTTCTCATCCTCTGTCTTGGCACGTTTCCTGTCAAGGGGAAGACTAGTCAGCTGGAGGAGATCTTGTGATTCATATTGGCTGTGGTTGCCGCAACATACCGTGGAGGAAGATTGGTCTTGGGCACAGGGAGTTCCTGACCCCAGGACTTCCTCTTCTTCGCGGGCTTCTTCTCGTCATCCTGACTATTCTCATCCATCGATTCCGGGGAGTCCAGAGACGTGTCTGCGGGGGAGACGGTCAAAGGCATCTCGGGTTCCGGAGTGGCGGGGAAGGAGTCCAGATCGTGGAGAGATGTTGTGTCTGCCATGATGGAGGGCTTGTGTAGAGGGTAGATGGCCGGTGCCGTCGAGTGATGATGGTGAGAGGCGAATGCGGAGTGGGGGAGGCTTCTCGTGTTGCCGTCTAAGGCCACGCTGTCATCACGTCGGGCACCGGAGATCTCAGCCTCACAGCGAGGATTAAGCAGAATGACTCAGCGAAGAGAGATGGTCGAGTGGTCGGGTGGTCTGGGGGAGGATGCAAGCGGGCGAGTGGCGTGTTTAAGTAGAGGCCAGCGTGGTCAAACGGGGGGCTTATCCCTGGGCCCCTTTGTGCAGCAGGGTACGTCACAGTACTTGAGGGGTACTTCAGACACTACACCAGGTTGTATGGGGAGAGAAGTACCTTTCCACTGGGTGAAGTCCCACGGTTCCCTGTGGGCGGCCTCGTCAGCCGGGCCATACACGGTCATACACAGCCATACATAGATTACCCCCAATACCTCCGTGGTCCAGTCACCATCAGCCGCCACCCCAAGTGCCCGTCAATACCCGTACCCCCTGCGCCCCCCTGGATTCCGTTTCAGCTTGCCCGTGCCTCGTCTTCCACCGCGGAAGTGGTGAGACTTCTATGAATAGCCAGGACTCGGCTCCATCCACAGGCCGGAGACGAGCCCCCAAGGCCCCCAACCCTTAACATACTGGCCCCCTTCGAGTCCAGCTGGTCCGGGCCAACACAATTGACTTCCGCTGTGTACGCCGTGAAACCCTACACTATCGGAGCTCTCCGGTAACAAGACGGATCAATTGCCCTTGTCCCACCAGACACGTCGACTCCTGATACAGTACGGAGTACGGAGTTGATGGCCCGAACATCCTGCGACATCTGTCTGGCACAAAGTGGGCCCACAGCCTGCCTCCTGAAAGTCGGAACTTCTGAAAGTCTACAGCACCAATCCAGTCCAGGCGTGTGCAGGTGGAGGGGAGGATTGGCCCCTGCGCAAGGCCTGGACGCCTCGACCCGGATCATTGCCCCCTAAATCATTGCCCCCTAGGAATATAAAGCACGCTGTCTCGGGCCCACTGCTCACTGTACTCCGTGTACGGAGTACGGTGCATGTGGATTTCCTCGCCACCGCTAATTCTCCGCCCCCTCCCCCCCCACCGGGATGATTCGAGCACCAGGGCCGCTGGAATGCAACTTCCAGGGGCAGGCGCAGGGGTTGCCCGACATTGCATCCGTATTGGTGGATCCCACCCCTGCAATTCCACCGAAGACCGTCGAACCGCGCGGAACAAGCACTATGCGCTGGGGTTTTGTACGGAGTAGGAGAACATACGTGCAGGCGAGCAGGGGGGCTGGAAGGCGGACCCTCAGCAATCCCATCCATCAGTCGTCAGTCGTCAGTCTTTAGGCCGGCGACTGCAGGGCAGTGGGGTCAGTCGGGTTCCAGTTCAGGAGTTCGGAGTGACTCCTCTCATTTGAGGCGGAAATGATACCATTATCCCTGATGGATTTGTGTGCGGAGTACGGAGTGCGCCATATGGAGCGCGTGGTGTGTAGATTATGTAGGGATACGCCGTACCTAGTGAGGACTACTCCTCCTCCATGTACTCTGTACTCCGTACTCCGTACTCGGAGACTATGGCCAATTATTGGCATCTGCTTTCTCTGCCTGAGATAAGGTATCACCTTTGGTTTCACCTTTGCGATATCGTGCTTGACACCCGTCGTACAATCCTCCCTACCAAAGGAGCATGCTATCGATATACCGACTCCACTCATCCAGGCACCGGGGCAAAGAAGATAGGGAAAAGAGGGTCTTTCCAGGATGATTGCCCTGCCAGCTCCTTCTCACCTTGCTGCTTGTATAACCGACGTGTGCATTCGCCCCACGGTCGCATTGGCGGACCTCTGCCCGCCGGACTCCGCGGTCGCACTCGGATAGATGAACCAGACGTTCGAACCCACGTGCCTAGCCTCACCGTCGAGTTTAAAACATCCGTACTAGCTTATATTACTGTCAATGGGCCCGCAATAATCTATGGTGCACAGAGGAGTCAACCACGGGCGAATCTAGAAGACCACCGTACTTGAAGCCCATGTGGGAGTGTGGCTTCGTCGACATGCGAGTTCATGCTGCCAACGGCTGGCGTGATACGCGAGGATGTTTGAGCGCATGAACCATCCCAATCCCATTCCTTTCCTTTCATCTGAGGTCGGGCTGAGTCGGGAAACGGGAGGGTCTCATCTCGTTTCTTCGCGTTCCATCGAGCACGTGCTCGGGCTCGGTTTGGGTCTCATTCTCATTCTCATTCTGGGCTCCACCCAACAATGAGAAGGAGAAGGAGAATGAGGAGGAGAATGAAAAGGAGAAAATGTGATACCCCCTGATACGAAGACGGAGAGCGTCAGAGTATGATTGTGATTACTGCCCCTCCCTCCACCTCCTCGAATATGTTTCGTTCAAATCCAGGGGGGAGCCACGAAAAGACATGACAGGAGTACAGTGCAGTTCACGACCATTGCCCCGATTGAGGGGGTCATGCGATCCCCTTCTTTTCCCCCTGGCGGGGTCTTTATCAGAGAATCTTATTCATGTCGAATCGATGAGCATTCCGCCAAGCAACCATATGAAGGAATACTCAATCCTCGTCGCCTTGGCCCACCCTTCGTAGGCGACGGATGAGACCAAACGGGGAGGACTGTACAAGCAGGATCTTCAATATAATCACCATCGCGTGTCAACGGCACCATACCTTAGAAGCGGCCAGTACTATATACACAGCCCTGGAATCTTATAACTGGTGAAGATTGAGATCGGGGGCCGCAACTTGTACAAAGGAGTCCAGGACAGCCTGCGGTGTGCACTCCTACAGAGTGCAATGGTCAGGTCTTGATCTAAAGCGCATCGTCGTCTTTGCCTCCGAAGCCGCAAACGACGCACCCCGCATCTAATCCAAAGCTGGCAAGTGATCGCCTGAATGGATATGAATACCCCGAGGGGGCTTTCCGGGGCCGAGCGTTGTCGCACGGTTCGCTCTTGGAGCCGCAGGTCCGAACTCGCTGCAACTTATTCTTCCTGTCTGATTAGGATGCCGGTAGAGACGAGACTTCGTCTCATCGTGTGGATCGTGCAAAAAGGGGCAAGGTGGCCGAATGCCCCTGAGAGTTGTGAGGTGACGGCCGCCGAAAAGTTTCATCCGAGAAGGGTAGTTTATTTATCGATCAGAAGAATAAGATTGTGCAGAAATTCCACCAGTATGAGTTCCCCTTGAGAGTAGACTTGAGTCGATATCACAGATTCTTTCAAGATTCCACCACGGTTCTTGGAACATACTATGGCATCGGTATATAAGAGGATAGCATCAGAAGAGTCTTGGGGAAGAAGAGTCTTGGGTAGGCCATAAGCGAAGGTCACTTATAGGAGTGTAACAATGAATGCGGATCCCACCGCCAAATGATCAGATTAAATGCATACAGTCTCGCCAGTAGTGGACGAGTGGCTGGCACACAGTAAGTAGGAAGCGCGTTGATCAGGGGACCTGAATGCCTTCGCAGCGCGGTAGTTCAGGGCTGAGGGTTGCGATCACAGTTGTGTTGGAGTCGCCGGGGCGGAAAACAGGGACGATCGTCGTTGACGCGGTTCGAGTCCCCTAGATAAACATAGATACACATGTCTCGCACATTTCTCGTACCCATCTTTTCTGTAATTTGATTCAGATCGGTGGCCTATCGAACACTGAAGAGAGGTATTACAATCTTTTCGCCCTACAGGTACGCGACTGTAGATATGGCATGGACTGCGGACCGATCCTATCCCAGACATTATGCGTAAATGGTATGCGTCGGCTGCAGCACCGGCTCTGGCTCTGACCCTGTCTTCTCTATTTCCCTGCCAGCCAATTCATGATAGACTGGTTGGATCTGTGTACCGTCCCCATCTAATTCCAAGCCGCGCTCATCGACGCTCTGCTCGGGGTTCCCACCACTGCCACTACTCTGGCCGTTATTACTGTCATCGACACTGCTCAAGATGGCGTCTGGAGACCAAAATCTTGCCTGCGGACCAGACTGGTCGGATGGATCAGGAGGCGGGGCGTTGTGTACCGGGCCGGACAGGACAGATGCGTCTGGCTCCGGCGGGGTCGCTTTGTATGCCGTCTTTTGGCGTTGACGGCGGATGAAAAAGAAGAGGACTGCCGCGAGAATGGCGACTCCGACCAGTGCCGCAATCGCGATACCAGCTACGGCACCGTGACTGAGGGGCGAAGAGTTGTCCGAACTACTACCACCGGACGGGCATGCATTTCCCGAGCAAGCAGAGGAAGTAGAACCTGGGGACGGAATCGTGACGATGTCTTCCTGCGCGCTTTCATCCCACGCGCACGCCGACACGTTGAAGACGCCTCGCTCGTAATCGACCGAGAGATATCTGAAGAGGTCAGCGTATGCCGGGGATCTCGAAGGGGTAAGGCACTCACGCTTCTTGCAAGAAAGCTCGACCCAAAGTATACTGGGTCGAGTTGGCTGCGCGTTTCAACGGGAAATAGTAGCTGGTGTTGTTGACTAGAGGAGCTTGTGCAGTTAGGGCGAACGCATCATACGGAAGGGTGATCGCCACAGCATCTCCGCCCGAAGCCACATCGGACAGTCGAAAGGTGACCTGCGCATTTGAGTTGAGCAGTTCGGTGTTGTGAGTGTCATTCACCAAATAGAGACCACTCTCGCTGTCGAGCGTAAGCCCGAAGGCCTGTTCGAACGCGTCACAGACACTCGCGGGCAGCCAGAGGTTGGGGTCCGTCGAGTCGATGAATATCAAAATTGGGTCGGACAGTAACGTGGCTGTCTTTGATCCGCTGTAGCTGATGGACTGAAGATAGACAACCAGGTCACGGGTGATGTCATCGGCCATGGTGAATGACACCGAGTTTGCAGTGAATCGAGATGTATCATATCCAGAGAAGATCAGTTGGCCATAGACTTGTTTTAAGCCTAGGTGGAGCAGACGTTCGGGTTAGAGACAATGTCCGTGGATCTGCCCTTGGGACCGGTGTACTTACGGTACTTGGCACCGGCCGTGTAGCTCCAGCTGAGACTCGGAATGGTGCCCTCATCTTTGAGGGTCGTGACGAACGAAGGCGAAGAGAAGTTTCCTAAGGAGGTAAAATTGACGGGTTGAGGGTTTAGGCCGAATATTCCACTGTCGGTACTGAGATCAGTGAATCATACGCAGAGAAGAGGGACCCCATGGAGTTCGTCTTTACAGATAAAAAGGCTCAGGAGTTGCAATCCCAGCGACAGTCTGGTTCTTAAGCGTCGGACCTGTGAGGCCTATACTCAGAGTATCTAGAGCGAAGTCTGCTCTTTGGTAATATCCCAGGTTGGCCTCGAGACCAACCCCATTCTGGTTGATACCGAAAAGACCCAATTCATGCCAGCTAGAGGACTGGTTCGGATTGAACAAGGTTCCCCTGGAAACTGCACAGTCCGATGGGGCGTTGGTAAACACTGAACTAGAGCACCCGTAGTCTGACAAGACAACCATTGACTCTGGGGAAGCCGTCGAGACAAGCACGCGAAGGGACTGCTCCGGTGACCCAACCCGGAGATAGAAGCTGCTCCAGGGTCCATCATTACCTTCACTGATTTGAACATTAGCAGAGCGCACACAGCCAATCCAAGTAAGTGCGGTGGAACGTTACAAATATTCGCTGGGCGGGATCACCAACGCGGATGAAGAGCGTTTTGCCAGATGAGTCGCCAAACCTCCTAGCATCCAAGAAGTCATTAAAATCAGCTGGAGAGTAATTCTCGCCGAATGCATCTTGATGAGCTGAGGAATCACATCAGAGAAGAGTAGTTACGTAGGGTACAACAAACAGCAAGAATAGAAAATCAAGTACCATGTGGCTGGTGTGGCGACCGGAACCTGCAGGACATGAGGGTCCAGGCCATGAGGCTTGAACTGCCACATCACTGCCGCGTCCAAGCCCTGCGAACCAGGGTCATTGGCGATCGTCGCTGTCAATGGCAGGCCAGGGGCAACGGGCGACCCTGACACGTTGAACCGCACGGACGCGGCCAGGGTCGCAAAACCGGCTGGGCATGGGCCAAAAACCTGTTCCACCTTCCGATCAGGACTCAGGTCCTCGTTTGTCCACGTTCTCGGACCTGATGTAGAACGCAATGGTCGGTGCGTCTCAAGATCATTGCCCCTCGCGGACTAGTAGATTGCCCGTCCTTGCCCTTATCAGTTAATACGCCTGTTCGTGTTAGGCATCATGACCGCATCGAGAGGCAATGGTTTGTTGACACGACGAGATGCCGAGGGTTGGTCTTGTATGATCATTGTTTACGCCAGTTGTGCATTTAATCTTGTTGTTCTATAACCTTCAGAGGAACCTGTCCCTTACTCTCTTGTCTTCGATCGCTCAACCGCGGCATCTACATTGCGTATCTGCAAAAGTATCATCCTAGTCCGTGTAGTTGTGGTGAATTTCGTCGCCATGCTGTCTACAGTGCAACTATGGGTGGCGCTCGAGCTACTCGTCTCCTGGACAGAGGCCTTCCAGGACTCTGGTAAGTAATTGATCAGAGTATAGTGCTTTTCGGGCGCGGCTGACATGGTGAAGCTATTCACACTCCACACTCCCCAATCCACGATCCATCCGGCAGCAGTTTCACGACCTGTACATCTGAGCCGATTGATCCCAGGCCCACTTGGTCCGTCATTTCTAGTGATACCACCATCGACACCACTACTACGGTCCAGGTGCCCCCGCCGATGAACACCTCCACCGTATCAACAACCTCCACAGCATGCTTCAATAGTACGGTCACCACGACCATCATAGCATCAATAGTCTCAACGGACTGGTCTACTACCACATGTACTACCACCACTACGACCACGGATACAATCACGGACACTACCACGGATACTACTACGGATACTACTACGGAGACAACCACGGATACTACTACGGAGACGACCACAGATACCACTACTGTCACGACTACGGATACCACTACAGATACTATTACTGTGCCGACAACCATCACAGTAGCTCCAAATCCCTGTCCGACCACTTGCAGCATGTACGTTTTGACAGATTACACAAGAACAACATGATGTCCGAAACACTTACTGACTCTAACCTCAAAAAGGTCGGCAGGAACCGTCAACTTGTTCTACTGGCCAACGAACCAGCCACACCACGTGTTCCCGTCCACTTATGTCAATACGCATCTCGATTACACTTTGTGAGGCCTCCTTCTACTACTTCCTTTACTGTTGACTGGGTTAACGTTCGTTGCCATACATAGTTACTCACCGTCGGTGTACATGGTCGTCGATACCCTCTACGGCTACAACACCGCCGGTCGCGCTGGGCCCTCTGGCACTAGCCTAGTGTTCCCCCTCGACCTGGACCAAGTCTCGACCATAGATCTCACCAATTCAGCGACGCGACAGCTTACCCTGAATGACCTTGGTACCGACTGCCCACAGACGGAAGCTCCCTCCGTGATCGCGACTGCGGCACCTAACGGCCGGTGTGATCCTATCCTGCTGGCTCCGGAGCCCGTCAAATCTTGGGCGTCGCCTTGCAATGCATGCGGTCAGTTCGGGTTGTTCGACCCCCCGTATGCCGTCTCTCCGCTCACTGGAGGCCTTGTGCCGGTGACGACCACTGTTGCGATGACCCAGCCAGAGACACAGACTACTCCAAGCGCGGCGTCCGCCACTGATACTTCTGCCACGGCGGTGGTCATTACGGAGTCCCCGTCTCCAAGTACAGAGGCTACTTCGTCGGTCATAGAAACCACTTCCTCTCCGATTGCGGTTACTTCTTCCAGTGTCATGCCGACTCCGGCGTCATCTAGCACTGGCGGGGCTACTGGTTCATCTTCTTCATCATCCCTCAGCTCAACCTCCAGTCCAGCTACTACTTCAACGGCGTTCAATTCCGCGCCCAAAGAAAGTGGGTGTGGTGCATGGCTGGGCTTGAGTTTCTTCGCGCTGGCATGCTTGCTGTAATTCCGAGACCATCAAACTAGAGCAGATAATCCACAATCATTGACATCTACCAACGTGTTAGTTTAGCTTTCACCCACGAAATTGATAGATACTCAGATCCTCGATGGCTTGATCTCGTTGCTAATTTCAAGGTGCCCGATCAACCGGGGGGAAAGATTGGAAACATGGCTGCATACAAGAAATAATCATATCGTCCTACCTTCATCTGCATATGTAGTCACAGATTCCAAACGCAGTTCTATTGCTGGAAGCACAATCTCATTGGACAGGCAGTCAGCCACATCAGATCGAAAGACTTCGCCGATCGCCCACCGGCGGGTGTGCCTCTTCTAGCGATCACTCGCCTTCCTTACCCAGGTCGTCTGCCTCGCCGTGTCGTAGGATCCAGGCCCCGGATATCATGACGGAGCCTTTCTCCGTCGTCAGCTGTATTTGCGGTGTTTGCGATGAGCATAACTACATGCGCCGGTGTGACCGAAGACCGCTCAGCCATCAGCCGCCAGGGAGGCAGATGAGGAGCACAGCCGGATCGCGGACAAAGCAATTATAATGCAAAGCAATTGTAATGCAACGGACAATGAGATTGTTAGCGGATATTCTTTAAGTGAATTAATTCTACTCCTTGATCCAAAAGCGGCAAGGCCTGGGCTCTAAAACGAAAATAGAACGCCAAGGGGAGGAAATCCGCTACGTAGGTATCTGCCATCCAGTCGAGACATCTGTTGGTAAATTTATCCCGCGCAATAAATCCCAAACTCGCAAAGATCGCTGGAATTGGTGGGTTCGCGGCTGACAGTGCATTAGCTATGCGACTAAACAACAGGTGGCGCTGCCGCTACTGCAAGATCTAGCCAATCCTCTCGAGCGACGGTTGACGCGAGATCACCCTTGTCCAATTTGCCGAGGGGTAATAAGTTAGGAGAATTACTTCTCTCCTTTTTTCGATAGCTAGCTTCCTAAGAGTTGCTCCCCTCGAGCTACTGTATAATCAAAATATCATTATGACTACTGGTGACGTATCGTTTGACCACTCCACAAACTCTGCGCTTCAAATAGGATTTAACAATGGCACTGTGTCGACAACAATCAATTTTGTCACTGGTAGGTTCAGGGGATCACTCTTCGTGGGCGGCATAGTGACTTATGGTCGATTCTTCTCTTAGAGCCATCTGAAGCCCTGGATAGGGCGTGTCTGCAGGATTTGCGAGAAACCAATCCCATCCACGACAAAATCCGCATTGAGCAACTCAAGGGAGGGCTCTTCAAAGACTCATACCGCTGGGTACTCGAGAACGAGAGCTTCAAAACATGGCGGGAAGCTCTGAATGGCCAACTACTTTGGGTCACAGGTGACCCTGGTAAAGGCAAAACGATGCTTTTGTGCGGCATCATTGACGAGTTGCGGTCAGCTGCTGACAAGGCCACTCTTTCATACTTTTTCTGCCAAGCTACCGATGCTCGTCTGAGCTACGCAGTGGGTGTCTTGCGCGGCTTGATCTTTTTGCTAGTCACTGAGAATCATTGTCTTCTGTCCCATGTACGGAAACGATATGACAATGAGGGAAAACAGCTTTTTGAGGATACGAATGCGTGGGCGGCTTTATCAGGTATCCTGAAGGATATTCTTGAAGATAAACGCCTGCGCAGCACGTATATAATCATTGATGCGCTCGATGAATGCGGCACTGACTTACTAAAACTCCTGGACTTCATTGCTACGAAGTCATCTGCTTATCACCAAGTTAAGTGGATCGTCTCTAGTCGGAATTGGCCGCTCATTGAGAAGCGCCTGAAGCTGGCCCAGAATTCAAGGCTTTGCCTTGAACTGAATGAGTTGTCTGTCTCGGACGCTGTCAGAGTCTATATTCAGCACAAGGTCAGCTGCTTAGCGCAGCGCAATGAATACGATAGTGATACCAAGGTACGCGTTCAGCGCCATTTGACTTCGCATGCGAACCACACATTTCTCTGGGTAGCATTGGTCTGTGAACAACTTGCAGATGTCTCGAGTTGGGAGGTTGAAGAACAATTGACGACGTTCCCCTCCGACTTGAGGGCTCTGTATGAGCGAATGATGGGGATTATTGATCAATCTCGCAAGGCAAAGCTTTGCAAGGATATACTGGCTCTTATGGTGACTGTTTATCGGCCACTGACTCTCGATGAACTCTCGCCATACGTGGATCTGCCATCCGGAAGCTCCGGTAATTATAGGATGCTAACAGAGATCATTAGACTCTGCGGCTCGATTTTAACGCTTCGCGACGGCACGATCTATTTCGTCCATCAGTCTGCAAAGGACTTCCTTGTGGCATCTCCTCATAGGGTGCTCCCGCTTGGAATAGATAGTCAACATCGCACGATCCTAACACGCTCCCTTCAAACAATGCAGAAGAAACTTCGACACAACGTGTACAATATTCCGCACCCCGGTCACCAAATAGAGCAAATCAAGCAACCCATTCCAGATCCGTTGGCAGCCACACGGTATGGATGTATTTATTGGGTTGAGCACCTTTTGAACGGTGATCCCGATGGAAACCCGGAGCTCCATGATGATGGCGGTGTGCATTTATTCCTACGGCAAAGATACCTTCACTGGCTCGAAGCTCTTAGCCTTCTTCGGGAGTTCTCAGCAGGAATAACTGCCATGGTAAAGCTTGAGAGTCTACTTCAGGTAAGTATTGCACCTTTTGAACGTGAGGGAACGGCTCCACTAAACCCTATTGTAGAAGACCGGCAAGGCAAAGAGACTTTTGAAGTTTGTCAGAGATGCCTCTCGGTTTATCCAATACCAAAGGCCGTCCATTGAGAGCACCCCCCTTCAGGCCTATAGTTCGGCACTCCTCTTCAGTCCGACGCATAGTCTTACCAGGCTTTGTTACCAACACGAAAGATCAAAGTGGATCGTGAATTGGCCAGAAATGGAAGAACATTGGAGTGCATGTCTCCAAAAGATTGAAGGGCATAGTGATTCAGTGACTTCGATTGTTTGGTCCCAGGATGGGACTCAAATTGCGTCTGCGTCATATGACGAGACTGCCAAAATCTGGGACTCAACAACCGGACAATGCGTATCAACCGTGTCTCTGCAAGGGGTTCACCCCACCACCAGTCCAATAGCATGGTCCCCCGACCAAGCCCGATTTGCATCCATGCATAGTGATAGTATCATTAATATCTGGAATTCTACTGGAGAATGTCTTCAGAAACTTCACGCTTCTGGTATAGTGGATGTGATTTCCTGGTCTTCTAATGGGCTCCACCTCGCATCAGGATTGGAAGACGGAACAATTCAAATATGGGATCCTGCTCGAGCCTCTGAATGCATTCAACTCCTCCAAGGGCATACGGATATGGTCTTCGTTATTGACTGGTTTAGCGATGGAATGCGGCTGGCATCGCATTCACCAGACAAAACCGTTCGAATCTGGGACCCAATCACGGGAAAGTGCCTGAGAATACTTGCCGGAAGGCATTTTGAATCTGGCGATTGTCAAATTCGATGGTCATACGATGGAAGCCAGCTTGCAACATTCACAAGTTTCACTTCGACCATTAGGATCTGGGACCCGAGCACGGGCAAGGGTCTTCGAGTACTGAAAGGACATGGCGACGACATTTCTGCACTTGCCTGGTCTGCCGATGGGGAAAAACTCGCCTCGGGGTCGAAGGATCGCACCGTCAGAATCTGGAACCCCGTCACCGGAGACTGCATTCTTACCCTCGAGGGACATGAGAGTTGGGTGGACACGCTTTCCTGGTCACATAATGGAAGCCGACTCGCATCATCATCAGATGGGGTGATTCGGATCTGGGACCCAGCCCTCACCCAGTCGGCTTCGACGCTTGAGAGGCACGAGGGCGTAGTCAAGTCGATCTCCTGGTCGCCTGATAGAAGCCGACTCGCATCGGCTTCTGACCGGACGGTCCGGGTCTGGCATCCGGCCACTGGACGGCATCTCTTCACCCTGGCTCCTCGTCACGAGGGGATAGAACGAATTGCGTGGTCGCCGGACGGAAGATTCGTGGCTACCGCAGACGGTTCTTACCCGATTTCAATCTGGAGTATGGCTACCAGAGAATGTCTTGAAGTGATGGACCGTGGCGTGGGAGTTCATGCAATTTGCTGGTCCGACGATGGATGCCGACTAGCTTCGGCGGCATCCGATAAGACTGCGAGGATTTGGGATCCAGCCACCGGGCGCTGTCTTCAAATCCTTGAACACAGCACGGAGATTCAAGCAATTAGCTGGTCCCACGACGGGTCGCGGCTGGCATCATCATGCTGGTCTGCTCGCTGCCATTCTGCCGTGATGATCTGGGAAGCCGCTACGGGAGTGTGCCTCCAGACCATGGAATGGCATGGCGCTCCGGCCGGATTTCTTGCTTGGTCTTATGATGGGTGTCGGCTCGCATCAGCGCCAGAGCCAGACCCGTCGCGCTCGTCAGACTCTGTTATCATATGGGATGCAACGGCTGGGCGTCGTCTCCATACTCTGGAGGGGAAAGCTTTCGTTGATGTGATTACCTGGTTCCCTGACGGGTCCCGGCTTGCAACAGCCTCCGAAGAAAGCCCCGTGTTTATTTGGAATACAAGCAACGGGCACTGCATCGCAAAATTCAGGTTCGGCTCTACCGTTCTCCAGTTCGACAAGCTCAATCCGAATTACCTGCACACAAGCGTCGGCACATTCGATTTAGCGTCCCTGCCGTCGACCGTGGATGCTGAGATATCTGCCTGGGATTGGTCTCCTTCACCACCACAGATCGGGTATGGTCTGAACAACGAGCAGTCCTGGATCACGTACAAAGGGATCAATCTCCTCCGACTACCCTCGGAGTTTCGACCTACCAGTGTAGAGTCATTCATGATTTCTGGATCGATAGTGTCAATTGGCTGTTTGTCTGGTCGTGTCCTGATCTTTTCGCTCTCGCACAACCCGATCATTAATAACCCGATCTCCTCGGATCTCGAATTGGGCATTCTGATCCATGGATAGTTCGAGAAGCAATTGAAGATTGTAGGTGGTGATATGAGCTCCGAGAAGTTATCTACGGAATGGGAGCATAGAACCAGGCATGCTAGGAGACGTGAGCCATAGACGGGGAACTACAGAAGGGAACCACAGAAATACCGACTACAACGAGCAACTACAAAGAGCAAGATACTACATGGAGCTATACAATAGTTCAAACCACCCGCCGTTAGTCATAACCGAGTTAGACCTGTTGCGGCTGGCTCCCTCTGGCTGGCTACCGGTTGTTCAGTACTGCTGCGCCTGTTGTTAATAGCTGTCCTGTATTGCTACTGGCTCGACGATTCAGCATGAGATCAGGATGGGAACTAACAGCACTACGTGGGACACTACTAGAAGCACACTTGTCAACTAGTCAAGGAACTACCGCATTTGTAATTCATCTCCAGTCACAGCCATGTACACGATGAGCAAAATCGCTGTGGAGAACTTCCACTCGCGATGATACAGACGTGTTGAAGTCACCCTGCAAGCTATTTCAAGAAAAATAAAAGACTCTGTAAATTCACACTCCGGCGAGATCAATCCCATTCCTGCCCCGATTTGAGATTCCGGAATGATCTCCGTGACGTCGAACCATCATGCACCAGCAGGGTGCCGGGGTCAGCTGGACCAGATGGAAAGGACATCAGGCCTTGGCGGTGGCAGAGAGGGCCTCCAGTGAGTCGTCGTCGTCCTCATCGTCCTTGTCGGCCTTGCGCTTGCGGTGGCTCGAGCTTGAAGCGGTCTTGCGAGCCTTCTTGGGGGACTGGCCGTTGTCCCCAGCCTCATTGGTGGTGGAAGGAAGAGGGGTCTCGGCATCCCCATGCAGGCGGATCAGCTTGCGACGAGCGTTGCCATACATCACCTTAGTCGAGCCGGTGGTGAGGTTCAGTTTCTTCCCCAGCTTATCCCAATCAATAGGGTTCTGGTGAGATGTCAGTAATCAGAGAACCACAGGTGAGTAGCAGTTGATATCGCGTGAGGGGTGTGATGATTTCATATGTGGATAGCCTCACCTTGCCGCCATCGCCAGTCTGGCAAATAGTGCTAAACGCGAGGATGCGAGTCTCTGAGGCGCTCAAGCCAAGCGAAGTATCGGGTGGACCACGAGGGGAGCTCATGATGGCGTTGAATCAAGCAGTCTGTTCAGGTCGACGTATTTGGAAAGGGTGTGAAGGGGTGGGCGATGAGTGAAAAGGAGGATGTTGTTGGGGGGTTCATTGGAGACAAAGAAAGTGGGAGAATTTATGTATTTTCATGGAAGACTTAAAGCATCCTCCACAAACCTCAGAAGAGACTTGTCCCAGGCGAACTTCTCTGTTTCGCACTTAGTCACGAATTTGATATTGGAATCGTTCCGTGAACATGCTGAAATCTCCCTGTTTCCATCGGGGTCCATAGAAACATGCATTCAGGAACAAGAGCCCGTGAATTCACAGGTGGAGGAGAGATCTCGCCAGTCTAGATATGCTACGTCCATCTTCACGCCCTCTATCACTGCTAGAGATATCAAGAAGTATATGGGAGGTCGGGTTCGATCAGCTTCGACCCCAATTATTCACAATATGAGCAAGAACTCATTCGAAAATGCGAGATGTTGCTCATGATTGTCGTCTTGAACAGCGGGCCGTCTACGTCAAAGGGACATAAATTCAAGATCTATCAACCTGTTCAGCTCGACAGGGGTGTAATACGCCCGAGCACTGTTGTAGAAAGGCGTCAGCTTGAATCCAGCAAATTGAGAGGGCAGGACTGCGCTTGGCATAGCTTATGTCCAAGGGCTGCCAGATATCATGAGAAAACTTCGAAATTGTGGAGTCAAGCCAAAATAAGCACACCTTGCCAGTGGTGTCCACATTGTACCCTACGGATCGTTCATCAGGTAACCTGCAGGTCTCAACAAAATACTTTTGGGTCCATAGAGACTATTCTGCTCTATCGACTTCACCAGTTCCGACACCAAGGGGAATATATGCAGTCCCACACGAAAAAGAAAATTTAAACAGTAAACGCCGTTCCATCAAGTACGTGCTCATGACCAGGTCGTAGGTGATATATGCAGGGGGCAAGGGTTTGGGTGACAAATGGAAAGAAATCAAGCACTCAAGAGAGCATCTATATAGTCACATCCATCGTGTCGTCGCCGGCATCGAGGGCATCCTGCCGCTCGGGATCCGGGACCACCACTCCCCGGCCACGGCCGGCGAGCAGCTCTCGTCGTACTTCGGGTCCGATGTCTTTGTGGCCGCGGACAAGGAGCAAGTCTAGAAGGGCTTCACGCTGGTCCTCGGTGATATCGTTGCGGTAGCGCTGCGCAAACACCAAGAGAGACTGGTGCCACAAGACGGGCAGCTTATAGGCCTTGGAGCTGCCGGGGCCATCCGTCATGGCATCCTCAGGGTAGTCGGCACGGAAGCGCAGGAAGTGGAACACCAGAGCATCAATCACCTTGTAAGGCATAGCGTACTTCTTCTCCAGGAAGACCCGGATGAAAGTGTTGACCGCACCGGTGCTCTCCAAGGAGCGCATGGACTGCTCGGCAGCCAAGTCGCACATGCGGAGGAGTGCGGCGGCTGAGTGAAGAACCGGGATAGACACACGCGCGATCACCGACGAGATAATATGGGCTTCACGGAGGGAGCAAGTGCCGCTGGACACGAGCGGGAACAGCAGACCCTTGAAAAAGCATGCGGGCTTGTACAGAGCCTTCCGCAGCGCGTTGTAGGTGTGAACGTTCAGCTTCTTCGTCTCGTGGATCTCTTCACGAACACGTTCCAGCAGCACCGTGGAGATGAACTCTTGGGCCACAGCGGGCTGGGAGGAAATGAAAATCCGGGTTGCGGCAAAGACGGCGTTGGCGGTCCATCTCTCGGGTTGGGTGATATCGAGGAGGGTCGACCAGTACGGCACGGTTGGGATAATCTTGAATGGCTTGGGGAGGGGACCAGACTTGTACCGGGAGAGAATCATGCCGACCCTAGATGTCCACCGGTTAGTTCCAGGCACAACATATAGAAATCGTAATTTTGACATACTTCTCATATACTTCCACAGCCTTGGCCGGGATCTGAACAGCATCCTCGGGCGCACCACCACCTTGAATGTACGGCCCACCACCACTCTCGCCGTTCTGCTTGGCTTCGTGCTCGGCAATTTTCTCTAAGATCAGGTCGGCAAGGTTTGTTGTCTGTTGTACCTGCTCTCCAGGCTGTCGCGAGCCGAAAATAGGGTCCTCATCGTGGCCTCCGGGCATGAACTTGTTGAACATATCGAGATCGTTGGGATCAACCTCCTGCAACCATGTCAGAAGAGTTCCCATATATAATATGTATCCTTCAGATGGAAGACCCTTACAACTTCCTCAACCTCCTCCTCCTCGTCGACCCAACCATCATTTTCAAACTTCTCATCGTCCGACAGATCCTGCTCTTCAAATCGAGTGTCAAACTCAAAGGCAGCATTCGATTTCGGCTGGGCACCCCCGATAATCAGCTTCTGTTCGGCGGCGTCTTCGTCTGCCAATTCTTGACCGATCTGCAGAATCTTCCGCGACATCTTCGCATCGATATATCGCTGTCCATTTTCGCCCTCGTCATCGTCACCCTCCGCGCGCTTGCCTTTCTTGCTGCTGCTGTTGGTGCGGAGATGCCCCACGGCAGAGATATCGTCCGCCAGAGGGTTGTGCCTGCGCGCGGCGGCGGCGGCCCGAGAGCTGTTGGCCTTTGGCATAGCTAATGGATCCCTTCACAAGTATTGTCCGAAACAAAGAAAAACGGAAACTGGACGGGCTGCTCAGGGCTGTTGTACGACAATCCGACGATGAGTTGTGTGTAAATTTAAGGATCATGTGATCTAATCAGTATTTTTTTCTGCCGGGCGGAGATCCTTCCACTTTTTCCCACTTCGACCGCCTTCCCAAGGGCTCTGACCGCCCAGTATGCCTCCGATGCTTTTCTGCCGCGACAGGATCGCGCGCTTGTCGGGAACGACGAGCTTACTTGTTTCGTGCTGTGAGCTGGTGATACCAAGATAATCCAGAGACCTATCCGGGAATCTACGCAATTTCTTCAGCTCAGATCAGCAACACCAAATCAAGGCTCTCCATCCTGCGCGTGCGCGACTCCCATCCGCGGCCGGGACTGATTCACTGGACCTGCGTCATCCGTGTGGTAAGGAAGCTATTGATATGGCAGCCTTGTGTGGCCCAAACTTGACCCGGATGATCATTGGAGAGCGCATCATTGGATTTAGATATTCGTCCGCTAATTCATACGGGTAATTCTAGATTCTCGTCCGTCCAGCTTCGACAATCCGTCTTCAAAGCGAACTCATCCAAGCTCCATCTCGTTGAAGCTTGACTTTCAAGTCTACCGGTGCCATACCACCGCGTCGCAATGGCATCCAGCCAAGCGCCCGGTTCCTCTGCGCCCTCCTCTAATATCAATTCCCCCCTCCTCCCGCCAGGCAATGGGCCCCTTCTCAACGGCGCATTATCCGATCTGAACGGTCGATCGTCTCCAGCTCCCGCCAGCAACGCATCTATACAGGGTGGCGATGCAGCTCGCGCAAAACGTAACAAGCGTGACAGCCGCAAAAAGCGCGAGGCCAAAGGTCTTGACACGGAAAGCGTGCCGCCGCCCAAGAAACGTGCAATTGCTGCAAGCATCGCCCGCTCCAGTTCCGAGCTTTCAATTCTCCGTCCATTGCTGCTCGCCGAGCCCAGGACCTCAGATCTATACCCACCGCAAAAGCGTCAACTCAATCTCGTGACGAGCAAGATATCGCAGGTGCTCGGCCAGAGCTGGGATTTCTACGAAGTGGTCGATAAACTCACCAATAAGAATGGCTTTCGCTATAGTTATGCCATCGGCGACCCGGGCTTCCCTCATATTAAGTACCGACAAACCGATGTCCAGCCATACCATGCACGCTTCAGTTTCGAGGATTCGCCCGCTGCCATCTCCTTCTCGGAAGATGCCAGGGCGGTAACTACGAGCGCTGCGTGGCACACAGCACGCGCAAATGTTTGCGCTCGAGAAGGCTCATACTATTATGAAGCGCGAGTTATCAGTGGCCGAGTTAACAATGCCCTGGCTGCCCCGCAAAAAGGTGGCGCTGATGCATCGCCGCGTGGCCATGTCCGACTCGGGTTCGCTCGACGCGAAGCCGATCTCGACGTTAACGTGGGTGTCGATTGCTACGGGTATGGCATCCGCGATGTGAATGGCGAAGTCGTCAATCGCATGCGCTGCGAACCCTTCCCCAAGGACAAGGCCATCGACGTCAAAGAAAATATCAACGAAGGTATCAACGAAGGGGATGTCATCGGCATGCTAATCACCCTTCCGCCTCTATCTCTACACAAGAAAATCGTCGAAGGCAACTACGATCCCGCCGTGGATGGCGATGGCTCAGATCACTCATCACGAGCCCCCACAGCCACCAATATTATCCGAGACCGAATCCCCTTCCACTACAAGTCCGACTTTTGCTGGCAACAATCCAACATCTTTTCTACCAAACACCTCCGCGACTACGCCTTCAACCTGAAAGAAACGCCCACGTTCGGGCCTCCCTCCCCGCTGAACAGTGAAGACGCTTCCCTCCGCACTTTACCCGGCTCTAGCATTACTATTTTCAAGAATGGCGTCAAGATGGGCACGCCTTTCAAAGAGCTCTATGCATTCCTGCCGCCGGCGAGTCGTCTTGCCAACGGTACTAATAATCTTGGCATTGGAGAGCGTGAAAATGCCGACGATGGTATGATTGGTTACTACCCAGCTGTGAGCTGCTACGGCGGCGGTGCTGTCGAGTGCCGCTTCGAGGATCCATGGTGGTTTGGCCCCCCTGAACAAAATGACTCCGGGGAGCCTGTCCGGCCTATGGGCGAGCGCTTCAACGATCAGATCGTGGAGGACGTGATTGCCGATATCGTCGATGAGGTCGAAGCCATGTTCACTTGGGGCGGTGTCGACGGCGACGTCATTGGCAACAATAACACAGAACTCGACGGCACGGCATCTGGTGCGGTCGGAGGCTCCGACGTGCTACAAGGCGGCGTTGGTGCCGCTCTTGACTCGGCCATCTCCGCTACCGCTGGCGCGGCGGGGGCTTCTGATTCTGCTGCGAATAGCAATCAAGCAACGCCTGCTGCCACAGTGGATGCTGCGGCTGCCAACCCGGTTCTGGAAGACGCGATGAGCGTGGACACGGCTGGGACTCCGAATCATGCCGTGGAAGCTCCAGCTGTGGGTTCGGACGAAGATGTCGAGATGTCCTAAGATTGCCGGTACATCTGCAAACGCCCCACGGGAAGTAGGCCCGGTTATATAGTCTCGGGATCTTGGCAAGGCGTTAGAAATTGGATCAAACGTGTTGATACCAACTCTCAATCGATCTTGAAGACCTCGCCTTGGCTCCTATGGTATATTATTATTGCTTGTTTTGTAGATGAGACTTTGTAAGATACAAAGAATGGGAAAGTTTTATAATGTACAGGGGCGGATGGTATCATTGTAATCATACAGGTATATCGATAGTAAAACATGGCCTAAGAAATCATTGACAAGCTGTCGCTAGCCATCCAATCCCTTGCCCTCCAGCAACTCGCCAACCTTCATCACTAACTCGTCGTCTCCGTACTGGCCTATGACTTGGATGCCGGCCACTTCAGCAGCATGAGGATTCTGCTCGGACTCAGCCACTGTCACAGGTACTGAAATGGCAGGCAAACCAGCCAAACTGGCCGGGACCGTGAATACATCATTCACATATGCGTCCAAAGGTGACGAGTCGGCCGATACGTCAGACAGTCGCGGCGGCGGGGATGGCGCGGTAGGACACACGATCACATCGACATCCGCCGTTCCGGAGCGGGCTGTCTCCGGTGCATCAGCAGCGGCAAGTGGATGTGTAGCCGTAAACACAGCATTGAAATCCTGCTGGACGAGGCGGCGCACCCGTTGCGCCTGGATGAAGTAGTTGTCCATGGCGTCCGCACTCAAACTAAACGTGCCCAGGAGGATGCGGCGCTGCACTTCGGCGCCAAATCCATTGCCACGCGTACTAGCGTACAGATAGCCATCGGGCTGCCCATCGCTGTCCGGTCCCTCGGCACGCGTTCCATATCGAACGCCGTCGTATTTGGCCAGGTTCGAGGACGCCTCCGCGGGCGCGAGGACATAGTACGCGGACAGGGCGTGCTTGGTAGTGGGTAGAGAAACTGGGTGTATCGTATGCCCTTGTTCTTGTAAATGCGCAAGAGACAGAAGCCACGCACGGCGGACCGATGGTGTGAGTTCCTTGATGTTGTATTCCAGCGGGACACCAATACGGAGAGGAGATGAGGTCAATCGCGCCGCGAGTTGTGGTGTCTGGAGGTGGGAGAGAATTCGTGAGCGTGAGAAAGAGGAGACATTTGTTGGGTCGCGTGCATCATGCTGGTTGAGAATGGCTATTCGGTCTTATTAGCAAGGTTCGTCATTCGGGTTGTAGCCGGAGACGTACAGAAGACATCCCGCACGCTGGATGTATCCCTTCCCAGGATTCCCACTGTGTCAAGCGAATTGGCATAGGCCACCACGCCCCATCGCGAGAGTAGCCCGTATGATGGCTTAAAGCCCACAGTCCCCGTGTACGCCGCCGGAAGTCTGACAGAGCCTCCAGTGTCTGTTCCAAGAGCCCTGTATACAGATAACACTCGTATCAGTAACCCTCCATAGACAACTAGCGTCTCCCGTACTCACGCATAGCACTGGTTAGCAGCGACAGCCACTGCACTCCCACCGGAGCTTCCGCCAGCGGAAAGATCCTGGCCATCACCATCCCGACGCGAGTTCTTCACGGCACCGAACCGCGAATACACTGAATGAGACCCCATTCCAAACTCGTCCAGGTTGGTCTTGCCGGCGATGACAGCCCCGGCGGCCTCCAATTGGTCGACAACGGTGGCATTGAACGGGCTGGTGAATTTGTCCAAGATGCCCGAGGCGCAGGTCGTCGGCAGGTCGCGCGTGCAGATGTTGTCTTTGATCGAGATCAAGCGGCCGTCAACGGCGGAAATTGGTTTCCCTGTCGCGATTGGTTCCCGGGTCAGCCACAGCATGCAATGGATGGGTATCATGTCCGAGTATTGCGGGCGTACCTTGCTCGCTGCGTCGGTCTGCTTCCCTCACGCGGTCTAACCATTGCCCCGCGCGCGGCAGCGGGGTTATGAAGGCGTTGAGAACATGCGCATTTTGGTTAGCGAGGCACCTCTCCGCTTCGCGTAGCAGGGACATTGAGTGTCTGGTGGGGGAATGTGAGGGCAAAGCTGTCGAACCACGGACTAGAAACTGGGATCCCCGAGGGCGGTGGCCCGTGCTTCCGAGGTGGGTTCTCCCGCATGGTTCAGAGGGTTTGGTCCAGCGATCATAATAGGGTCCGAGGCATAGTAATTATCATTCAAAATACGGCTAATCTCTCTGTTTTAAAGGCGACGGTGACCGAGTTGGTTAAGGTGGTAGATTGTACGCTCATTGGCTACTCTGCATCAATCGACATCACTTGGCATACTAACCTCCTCACTAGTAAGCCCTACTGGCGTAAGCCGCGCGCGTTCGAATCGCGTCCGTCGCAACCCTCTATTTTTTGCCGTTTGGTGGCTGTTGGTAAACGTGTTCAGGCTCAAATGAACTGTAGAGGCTCCATTTAACCCTTTTTCCCCCGGTGCATGCCGATTCCCCGGGCTTTTGTTCTATAAGGGGTCTCCGTGACAGATACCCCACATAACCCCTACTGCTTAAATATGTTTCTACATCTAAAGTTTTTAACAGAACAGTTCAAGAGGTCACAAAAAATCGGGGAGGAAAACGTTGATTATTATATCCCTTTGCAAGATGCATTCAAAGTCAGAAACTAGACGTTAATGAGTTCGTGAGCATTTGGATCCACAATTTAGCGATTTTATTAGCTTGTCTTATTCCTAAAAGTTCTCTCTCTATCACCAATAGGGCAAGATGACCGAGCGGTCTAAGGTGCCAGACTCAAGGGTTCTCCTTACACCAAGCATCACTTGGTGGAGCATTCTGGTCCTCGTATGAGGGCGGGGGTTCGAATCCCCCTCTTGTCATAATTTTTTGATTTGTATTTTCTATCTTATATAATCATTCATCCAGCCAGTCTTTCCACGATTTCTCGAAGCGAGTATCTAGGTTTTTTTTTTATTGAATTTCTTGTTTATCCAGTGAATTAAGCGAAGGTGAAGAAGCAAGGAAGAAGAATATATACAAGCACCCAAACCCAGTTCCACCCCAGGGAAACGGTCGCATTGAAATTCACTGATGAGCTTCTTCATGCGCTTTCGAGGATATATAATTATGATTTCGTGCCTTCTACGAGCCGAGGCCAGGGAAAGTTCATCATGGATGGTTGGCCATTGACAATGCCGTTGATGCAGCCTGCCAATGATCTATACGATGACCTGACGGCCCCCAGTTGAATTGCTGGACATTTTGACAGACAATCTTTATTAATAAAGGTATTGGCACATATCTCCAGAGTCTCAACAACTCAACGATCAAAGAAGGGTCGGTCGGCTGCCTATCATGACCTGTTGAGGGTGTTGAGGGGGTTCGGCGATGATCCCGTATATTCGGTCCTAGTATCGATGGGGCACTTGGGGGTGGGCCAAATATAGCATCATATCGCTTCATCTTGATCCAATGCGAACACGAGTTCGTTCGTGCTCAATATGACTGCTTCATTGTCAGATACAGCTGTAGAATATGGATATTTTCTGGCGATCTGGCACCTACAAAGAGTGATCAAGCCCTAATATATAATTGTCGCGTTTTTGCCATCCCCACAAAGATCTGCACACATTTCGAGGTGCGTAAAGGTGGCATGAAGGGGCCGATTAGGTAGCCAACAGGGCGATCAAGCTCAGGCTGTACTGAAAGCTAAATGAATGACCGGGCGAAGTCTTTTTGCATTCGGGGGTGCTTTGGCTCTCGTGTTTGCCCTATGGATAGGTAGTCCCTCTTGGCATCGGTTCGGTTTACCCACATCGACTGCGCGGTCTTAGCTGACTCGGTATTGAATGAAATAGGCCTTTTGATGAGGTTGCTAGAGATTGGATAGCTAGGGAAGTCTGAACAGAGCAGGTGGATTTATCGATGCAACCTGTGATATAAATTTATCTATAGAATATGAACGCGCCAGATCGATCTTGCTCTGAAGTGCTCGGCAAAAGACGTTACTAGGAAAATCGGAGTTGTTAACTTGGATGTGATAATATTTGATTCAGAAGGTACCTCAAAGGATAGCTGAAAGCCTCCATGATAAATTAGTCGGATAATCTACCACAGAAAAAGGCTCCCGGCAGATTACTCCCACGTCGGCTAAGCCATGTCCGCAGGTTTCGCAGAGGAATTCAGAAGCCTGCAGAGCAACCTGCTTCCAAAAAGAATTTAACAAGGATCAGAATTTATTACAATCAAGATATTCGTATCCCGAAACAGTGCTGTACCTTCCCAAACTGTAATTCAATTTGTCCATCTCTCATAATTCTTACCTCCGTTCCTTCGGCCCGAGCCAAAGCGTCGTCAAGACGTCATCCGACAGTTTTCCCGCCTTGACCGTCGTGGATCCCCCCCCCAACTTTTCCTTCACTTCGCCCATTCCCCCTAACTCCATATACCCACGATGTTGTCGCGCAGTGTACTCCAAGCTGCTGCCCAGGCTTCTCGTCACCCGGGCGCAGCCCGCGCCGCGACCCTCGCCGCGACCGCCGGCAACGTTCAAGCTCAAGCTCCATGCGCCAGCTCCACACTCCCCGTCCAGGGCCGCAGGTACATCTCCATGTACGGCTACACACAGGCCAAGGCCCTGGTGTATTCGAAATATGGTGAGCCGAAGGATGTTCTCAGGTGGGTTGCTGTTTTATTTCTTCTCTGCGTTGTTCGCAAACCTCAATGGCACCCCGTAAACTAACTCATATCTTTCTCTGCCACCTCCAGTCTGCACAAGCACTCTATCTCCGCCCCGCACGGCTCCCAGGTTAACCTGCGCCTCCTCACCGCGCCCATGAACCCGGCCGACGTCAACCAGATCCAGGGCGTGTACCCCAGCAAACCGCCCTTCCAGACCACGCTCGGCACGTCCGAGCCCGCCGCCGTCGCCGGCAACGAGGGCGCCTTCGAAGTCATCTCCACCGGCTCGAACGTCAAGAATCTGGCCAAGGGCGACTGGGTCATCATGAAGCGCACTGGTCTCGGCACCTGGCGTACGCACGCACAGCTCGACGAGTCGCAGCTCATCCGCATCGAGAACAAGGATGGACTGTCGCCGCTGCAGGTCGGTACCGTGAGCGTTAACCCCGTCACGGCGTACCGCATGATCCGTGATTACTGCGATTGGGACTGGATGCGTGCAGGCGAGGAGTGGCTTATTCAGAATGGTGCGAATAGCGGTGTTGGTCGTGCTGCTATTCAGCTTGGGAGGGAGTGGGGTATTAAAACGCTTAATGTTATCCGTGAGCGAAAGACGCCCGAGGAGACGGAGGCGCTGAAGCAGGAGCTGAAGGAGCTTGGTGCGACGGCTGTTGTTACTGAGGAGGAGATGCTGACGGGGAACTTCCGGGATATAGTCCATGAGATCACCCGCCAGGGCCGTGAACCTATTCGTTTGGCGCTGAACTGTGTCGGCGGGAAAAATGCCACGGCTCTGGCAAAGACTCTGGCGCCGGATTCGCATATGGTTACCTATGGTGCTATGTCAAAGCAACCTGTGGCTCTGCCCTCGGGCCTGCTGATCTTCAAGAACCTTTCGTTTGACGGGTTCTGGGTCAGCAGGTGGGGTGATAAGAACCCGGAGCTCAAGGAGAACACGATCAGGGATGTCCTGCAGCTGACTCGTTCCGGTCGGTTCAAGGATATTCCCGTCGACAAGGTCGAGTGGAAGTGGGACGCCGAGGGCCCGCAGCTGGCGGAGAGAGTCCAGGGCACTCTGGGCGGTTACCGCAGTGGAAAGGGCGTGTTTACTTTCACCGGTGGCGACGAGTAAATTCCCCCAGGAAAGGCAATCAACTAGTGTATCATATGTCTCCCGAGTAGAATTCTACACTGCCCGCCGCACCAGTTAAATTTCAACCAGTTAGGTGAGCTTTTAATCAGAAAATCAAGCTATAGACATTATATTATCACTCGCACTTCCAGTGCTTCTTCACCCAGTCAAGGATGAGATCTGTCAGAGTAATGTTCGGCATGTACACATCGCTCTCCTTGGCGAAATCGATATCGAGCCCAGCGAACTTGGCAGCCAGCGCCACGTACGGTTGAACAAACTCGATGTAGATCAGGTCCACTTTCTCCGGGACGCCAGACGAATTGGCCGATATCAATGCCTGGATGCAGTTGGGCACCTTGTAGAAAGATATCGGCGCATGAATGGTATCGTCTCCATCTTCGCCCGCGTCGTCCTTGGTAGTGTACCCGGGGACAACTTTGCCAGCCGGCTTGTTAGATGACAGAGGCATCTGGTGTGGATCACCCATCTCGATGTTAGACCAGTGGACCGGTAATTCCTCGTCATCGACGATGATGTCCTCGGAGTGAGCCAGCTGCTCGGGAGATACCAGTGGGAGGAGCGAGGGTTCTGTCTTGTCTTGCAACGTGGATATGATCTTAGTCTGGCCGTTAAGAACCTCCATAATCAGCTGTACTTTCTCATATGGAACATCCTTCACGTAGCGGAATCCATTGGTGAAAGGCGAGATGCTCCAGGTCGTATCCTGGGTGAAGGCGCCCTGGAAAATGTCGAACCGGATAGCGCCCGAGTTTGCAATAGCCACGGAAGGCCTCTCCCCCCGAGACTCATCTTTCAACGACTCGGCCAATACCTTCGTCTCCAGCCAGGTATAGATGCTGTCGGGGTTTGGGTATGGGACTCGCGACATCCACAGGTCCCGCGGTGCGCAGCCGTGTACCTGATCGAGCTGGAGCGCACTCCGTGACTCGGCGATAAGCTGGGACACATTGCGGCCCTTCTCTGTTGGGAAAGAGTCTACATCAAGGCCCGTGTGGTGGTAGAAGGAGAAAAGGTTGTTGTCAACATAGCGCCGCTTGAAGACAGGCTGCGATGCGTTGCTCGTTCCTTTGCTGGTGGAAAGCCCGTCGATTGACATGAACCCAACTGTCTCCATGAACCGCCCACTGGCAAGCGCAACGGCTTTGGAGTCGTACTTCGCATAGTCACGGATATGTTGGTGCCCGCCAAAGAACTGGATCGGCGTGTCCCACCGGAGCCCGCGGATCTCCTCGTAGATCGCCCTATACTCCGGCGAATGAGCGGGAACATGGCCGGCCACCAGGAAGAGATCGACTTCCTTGTCACGAATCGCTTCTTGGAACCAGTCCTCTTTGATGGTTTCCTCCACCCGCTGCACAACAGTGTTATTATAGTTGCCAGTAAAATCAAATAGAAAGCCAAAGGCTACGATGCGGATCCCCTGCTGCTTGGTGGTAAACTTCTTGTACCGCGGGGCTAGCGGGACAAGCTCCCCAGTCTCCGGGTGATGGATATCGATGTTCGAGGCGAGATAGTTTCCCCGGAAATTAGGTACAGTGTGGAGGAGCTCGGACTCCGATGTGTTCTGCTTGTATAGTTCATGATTTCCCGAGGTGATCACATCAATGTGTTGGTGGCGGAGGATCTCCGAGAGATAGACGCCTTTGGGCTCAGAGGAATCATAGAGGCCATTGCCTTCGACGCGATCGCCGGTATCTATGACGAGCAGGTCTTGTCCCTGTGCTTCTATCTTTTCCCGCATGCGCTCCGCGAACGAGATATAGTCCCCCCAGTCCGCCGAGTAGGATGGTCTGCGACGAGCAAATCAGTAGAGTTTACGGCGGAGAATATCCAGTGGTCCTACTCCTGCAAATGTCCGGCCAGCCAGCCATGGGTATCGGTTGTGTGGAGGAAATTCAGTTGCCCGAACTGGAGGTCTCGAAGGGGGGCGGAGATGGGAGCCGGCGCAGAGGGCTGGGCAGCGAGCGCCGACGGGAAAAGGAAGGGCCACACCAACCACAACATCCTCAACCGGAACCGCTTTGGACAAGCACCCCCTTAGTCAAATCGCGAACCCCCGTGCCTTGCAAGGGTCGAGGAGTCGGTAGTAGGAGAAGAGAGTAAATGCAAGAGTGTCACAATAGCTGTCGCAGGAGCTTAAAAGCTGCTTCAAGCTGTCCTCCGGGCACGGACGGAGCTGCCGGTGAGATTGGTGAGGACTGCTGAGTCAGCGCCCAACATCTTCGGATTTGCATCTCAAAGATTCAAGCGCGGCTTTCCCTCCTCCCCAACCTCCGCTTTCTGGTCTTTTGGTCTTAGTCGCCCGTGCGGTTTTCTCCTCGCGGACCCTGTCAATTGCTTCTTCCTCGTCCTCCTTTCTACCAATCTCCATCCTATTTCCTCGCCATGGCCGCTCCCCGTCTTTTCCGCCCAGCGTCCCGGCTGCTTTCTTCGCGCCTTGCTTCCCCTCTTCGCCCGGCTTTTGGCCTGTCTGCTTGCGCTCAGTCTGCCCTGCGCGCCCGTGGCTATGCTTCTGAGGGTGGTGTCAAGGAGGTCACCGTCCGTGATGCCTTAAATGAGGCGTTGGCGGAGGAGTTGGAGCTCAACCAGAAGACTTTCATTATGGGTGAGGAGGTTGCGCAGTATAACGGAGCGTAAGGAGCCCTTCCCTGTTCCTACAAGTGTGTTGGCAGCGACTGGTAGAAGAGTTGATGTATATTGCAATTGAGGATTGAATTCTGACATGGATTCTTGTTTCCCGCAGCTACAAGGTGACGCGAGGCCTTCTGGACCGCTTCGGCCCCAAGCGGGTTATTGATACTCCCATTACTGAGGCTGGTTTCTGTGGTATCGCTGTCGGTGCTGCACTGGCTGGTCTGCACCCCATTGTGAGTGATTATCCCGGCAACTCTCTGTTATTTCAAACGCTACGGGGCCGGGAACTAATTGTTGAATCGCGATTCTAGTGCGAGTTCATGACCTTCAACTTTGCCATGCAGGCCATCGATCAGATCATCAACTCTGCCGCTAAGACTCACTACATGTCCGGTGGTATCCAGCCTTGCAACATCACTTTCCGTGGTCCCAACGGCTTTGCCGCCGGTGTCGCCGCTCAGCACTCCCAGGACTACTCCGCCTGGTACGGCAGCATTCCCGGCCTGAAGGTTGTCACCCCCTGGAGCTCTGAGGATGCCAAGGGTCTCCTCAAGGCTGCTATCCGCGATCCCAACCCCGTCGTGGTTCTCGAGAACGAGTAAGTTTCCCGAACACCTCTTGGTTTCTTTTTTTTTTCCCGTCCGGAGACGGGAGAGATCGGAGATCGGGATCGGCGACAACGGTTAACTAACAAAACATCTCCACAATTAGGCTTCTGTACGGCCAGGCTTTCCCCATGAGCGAGGCTGCCCAGAAGAACGACTTCGTCCTGCCCATTGGCAAGGCCAAGATCGAGCGTCCCGGCAAGGACCTGACTATCGTCACCCTCTCCCGCTGCGTCGGCCAGTCCCTGACCGCCGCCGCCGAGCTTAAGCAGAAGTACGGAGTCGACGCCGAGGTCATCAACCTGCGCTCCATTAAGCCCCTTGATGTCGAGACCATTATTGCCTCGCTCAAGAAGACCGGCCGTCTGATGGTCGTCGAGTCCGGCTACCCCATGTTCGGTGTCTCCTCCGAGATCCTGGCCCTGTCCATGGAGTACGGCTTCGACTACCTGACTGCCCCTGCCGTCCGTGTCACCGGTGCTGAGGTCCCCACCCCCTACGCCCATGGCCTTGAGAACATGGCCTTCCCCCAGGAGGACACCATTGTTAGCCAGGCCGCCAAGCTGCTGCGGGTGTAAGTTTTGGAGCGCAGAGAGCGTCCAGTAATAAAACCCTGTGTCTAGTACACCCTATTCATCTGTCCCATTTTTCTTTTTCTCAACTCTCCTATTGTTTTGTCCTCTCTCCCCATCATGTCGTGATCTATTCTCGCCTAGGCAGATTCTTGGCAAGCTCTGTACGATTACCTTCCTCGGGTCTGTGCCATCTTCGTTTTGTCCCCCAGCGTAAATGCTTTGCTTAGATTGATAGACATTGGAAAGTTCATGTTCCTCGTTTCATTGTTCTTCATTTCAAAAAGCATAAGAGATGTACCCGACAATCTGGCCCGTAGTTTGGTGAACGCCATGCCTCCAGTTCAACGCCCGCAAACCCCATACCATGCCTGAAACCAGAGACCTTATACCGCGGTTGTCCTCCGAGGGTCTTCTCATGACGTAGCCTGGACCTCTCGAATACCAGCACACCCAGCATAGCAACCCGTCGGCCGACGGGGATCATAATATCCTCCCCCATCCCGATCTCGCGCATACTCCTCATCGGTATCACTCTCCGCATCCTCACGCACCTCCTCGTCGCGCCCAGTATTGCTCCCCACCGCCCCAGCTGGCTCTTTCCCCACAACCTGCGCCCCCTCTTCCGCCTCATCGTCCTCGTCCCCAAGCACATTCTTCTTCACCGGCGCCGCAGGCCCCTTCACCGTCGAGAACGAGCTCTTGAACCCGCCCTTCTTGAACCCGCCGCCGCCTCCACTCTTGACCCCGCTGCTGGAGGTGTTTCCGGCCGGCGCATCGAGGACCTTGAGCCCAGCCTCGGCATCGGCTTTGCGCTCGGCGGCGCGCCGCTTTCTCGGCGGCATTGGGGTCCCTCGAGAGCTGTTTTAGGTCCTGGAGGCGTTTGCGGTGCTGGTGGTCGTAGGACGAGATGTGCGCTTCGTATTCGGGGTGTCGGGAGTAGGACTTGCTGCAGAGCGTGCAGGTGAAGGAGCTCAGCGCGGATCGCGCGGATTCCGTCTGTGGTCGGTGTTAGTGGGTGTCTTCTTCGGGAGGATGGTTGATGTGGTGTGGAAAGGTACCTTCGGAGCCGGGTTGGTGAAGGCTCGCTGGTTGTGGTATTAGCTCGGCGAACAGGGACTTTCCTAGCGGAGTCGCAGGAGGTAAAGGAGGACACGTACCGGTGGCATGATGTGTTGTGTCGGGGAATAGATTGAATATCAGTCGACTGACGTCGGGGCAGATTGGCTGGCGCGCCTATCAGGAGCGGCGCGTTTTGCGGACTCGCCGGAGATCACCCCCCAACGGTTTCTTGTTTCCCTTTTTTTGGCTCTTCTTCGGCTTCGACTTTCTGCCCACGAGCTTCCACGAGTGATGAGTGCCTCTTAATCGACGATTTTCCTTTGCTTCTTTTCTTTTGGTCCACGAAATACATAGAATTTTCAAAATGCAGTCCGCCCTGGACTCCAAATCCCAGGACTTCGACGCCAAGTCTATCCTATCCATGCAGGAGCTGGAGCCGTCGCCCGTCGACGACTCGCTCTCAACGCCCGACCTCGAGACGCTGGAGAGCGGCGAGTACTTCCCTAAGCCGGTGGAAGACAAGCCAGCGCGCACCTGCGGGTTTACTGCGCCGAGTTTAGGGCTCCGCGCGCACCGGTGGGATGCATTGTGTATGTGTAGCGCCGCTAATTGGCCCAATTGAAAAGAAATACCTTGCCATTCTAACACACATTACAGTATCAGGCATCCAGAGATACTCCACATACCCGCCAACTGCTTTCTTCATCCTGCACTTCGCCAATACCTCGCTCATCCCGCTGATCACCCGCTCCGTCCCCGCCAGCGAGCCCTACCTCCTGCTCACGCGACCAGTCTACCAAGCCCCCGGGCTGGAACACCTCGTTCTCACTGTCCCGATCCTCGCGCACATCATCTCCGGCATCGCGCTGCGGAATATCCGCGGCTCGCGCCGCGCCCGCCTCTACGGCGCTGAGACACGAGCCCAGCGCGACCTGCTCTCCTTCTGGCCGAAGGTCTCGCTCCAGGCGAAAACAGGCTATTTTCTGGCACCCTTAATCGGGGTCCACGCGCTGATTAACCGTGTTACGCCGTTGAGGGTCGAGGGCGGTAGTTCCGGTGTGGGATTGGGGTATGTTGCACATGGCATCGCGCGCAGTCCTGTGTTCTGGAATATTTTCTATCTGCTGTTTGTCACGGCCAGCGTGTGGCATTTTGTTGGCGGATGGGCTACTTGGATGGGGTGGAGGGTTACCACTGCCCGCAAGGAGCGCAGTGCTAAGGGCTCGCTTGAGGGCTATTTGGGCCATGCCGAGAACCAGGACCGCGCCAAGCGCCAGCGCAAGATGTGGTGGATGGTGAATGGGATCGCGGCTGTGGGTGCGGCCCTCTGGCTTGCAGGGGCTTTGGGTATTGTTGGCCGTGCTGGGGAGGGTTCGGGCTGGGAAGCTCAGGGGTGGAATGAGATGTATAGCCAAGTACCGGTCATTGGGGATTGGTTATAAGGGCTTGGTGAGGGGTGGTGATGGTGATGGATGAATGCACATATTGTAACTCTGGCTGTAAACTAGGCTTTATACTTAATAGATATGATGATGACATGCAGTGTATCTGATCGTATGTAGAGCACGGATGTATTGTAGCTTGGATTGCCGATGTACTCCAAGGATTCTCTATGGTACTTGGTTAGGCATGGAGGCACGCGCATGATGATTCTTACACTATGTAGGAGCCACGTATTGTGCCGTATATATCTGACTCATGTACCTCTGAGTTTAGTGGTGAGTAGCAAGTATATGCAAGGTTGTCCAATGGTCTTATGCCTTTAGCGCTGGGGGGTCGACAGTTCATCCAAGGCAATTCAGCCGCACCTCCATCGGCCCCCACTGGACTCGGCGTCTAACCCAAGCTTCCTCCCCGCATGTCTGATGCTTCGTATATATGCCAGGCGGTGCTCTCTGCACACGTACGCGCGTTGTTTCTGTGATTTGTGCTGGGTCTATCTCCTTGGACTGGGCGCAATACACCAACTATGGGCAGCCAGGCCCTATCACTATGGTCGGACGCTGCAGCCAAGCTGAGCGAGGCTGACCAGAAACTACTCGCTTTTGACGATGCCAGCAATCACGACAGCAGAAGCCTCGATGTTATTGATAAACTTGGACAGACGACCAACGAAGCCTACGAGACCTGTATTCGCAAACGATGGCAGATCAAACTGCCCGGCAAACAAGATAAGATTATCGTGCGCGACCTGCTCGGCAAGATCACACACTGGATCGAAGTGTTCAAGACTGTTGGAGATCAGGCAATCTCGTTTGATCCGGGACATGCTGCCTTGCCGTGGGCTGGGGCTCGGTTTCTCTTGCAGGTTGGTCTCATGAAGCGGGATGAACGAAATGATACGAGGCTGATGAGATGGTTTACTCTAACCTAGATTGCCATCAATGATTTCAAACAGTTCGATTTCGTGGTACAAGGTGCAACGAATATTGCCAGGATGACAGCCCGTTATAGAATTGTGGAGCGTATTTATCTCCAACGCTCCAGTTCTGCGACGGACGTCCTCCAGCAGGCAGTATTGAGGCTATATACCACGATTCTAAACTACCTCATCCAGGCCAAGCGCTACTTCCAGCAACGAACAGGCACCCGCATATTAAAGAGTGGGGTGCTGGTTCAGACCGACTTCCAGGATCTTCTGGATAGGATGGACGCAGATGAACGCGAAGCTGATCGCTGCGCCGACTTGGTGAAGACGGAGATGACCAACGATGCCGCTGATCAATTTGCAAATATGTCGTTGGAGATAAGTAACATTGCTTTGCTGCGTGATGCGCTGGATCGAATGGAACAGCCTATCTCCCAGACGGTGCGTCGGCTCGATCGAGTGGAAGATTATCTAGATAGTGGGTGTCTCCTTCCTTACTCACGGAGACAAAGCTTTTACTTATAGCCTCCCCCAGATATACAGCGAAGAGAGATTCTGGACTGGCTCTCATCGCAGCCCTACTATGATCACCACACGGATATCAACCCGAAGGTACTAAAAGGGACTTGTCAATGGGTCGTTCAGCACCCTGACTTTGTTCAATGGCAAAACGACAGCAAAAACACTCTTTTATGGCTGCATGGGATGCAGGGATCTGGCAAGAGCTGCCTGACCTCAATGGTCATTGACGAGAGCATGAAAGGCTCTGGTTTGAATGAGATGCACTCCCTGGCGTACTTCTATTGCTCGCGCGACACTGCAGAGCCTCAACGTGCAAACCCCCGCAGCATCCTTGCATGCATTGCGCGGCAGCTTTCTCGTCGATCCTCGAGTCAACCAATTGCTCCTCCTACTCTCGCGCTACATAAAAAGCTTCACTCAATGGACGGTTCGATAAATGCGCCCAGTATAGCGCAGCTGCGTGATTTGATCAAAGAGCTGACAGAGATATACGACCGTTCAATGATAGTAGTGGACGCCCTTGATGAGTGCGAGGCCGAGACACGAGGGGAGCTTATAGATGCCTTGGAGGCCCTCACTGAATCAGTCAGTCTGGTCAAGATCTTTGTTAGCTCACGCGAGGAGGGAGACTTGCGATTGTCCCTTCAGACTCATAGCGGGCTTCATGTCACATCGCTAGAGAATGGGGAAGATATTCGGAGATTCGTCGAGTATGAAACAGATAGCCTGACTAGGAAGAATCAGCTTCTTGCTTATATTCGGAAAAAGCAGGCCAAGGAGGAATTAACAAAATTGATCAAAGAAGACGTCATCTCCAAGGCCAACGGCATGTGAGTATCGAGAGCTTCGTCCGAAGAGTCTTGTAGCTTGAGTACCAGAGCACACTGAAACTAACCGTGTCTGTCTAGGTTTCGCTGGGCGGAGTTGCAGCTACAAAGTCTCCGGGGCATTCGAACAGAGAAGGACATCCGATTGGAATTGTCTCGGATCCCTCGGGATATTAGTGCCTTATATCAAAACATTTACGATAAAGCACTCGAAACCACGCAAGAGACGGATCGGGTCGTGTTCCACAACACCCTCAAGTGGATGCTTAGTGCACAACGCAATCTTACGCACCAACACTTCTTCCACGCTGTTACGGCCTTCTCGGATCTCGAGGCTGATGAGATAGACGAAGACTTTCTTTTGGACCTTCTGAGCAACTTCGTTGTCACGTCTACTACTGAAGATGGAGATCTTTTTTTCGATTCGCCCATCTCTCCGTGCGTGAATTCTTGGAAACAATGCCCGAGTATACTATCGAGTGGACCAACACATTTGCTGCAGAAGTCAGTCTACTCGTCTTGATAGGTGCGAGTGGATCGTCCCGAGCAAGTACCTTCATCTGCGACCTAGGATTGAATCCCCTTGATATCGCGCCGTTCGTGGAAATCGGTTCCTATGAAGAAGGCATTCACGACTATTCTCTGGCATTTTGGGCAATGCATTGTGTTCTCGCCAGCGAACAGAACCGATCGGCGAAAGATCTACATATTCATGCATTATTCCAGTTTTTCTTATTCGACGACTCAGACGAAAATTGTCCGCTGAATTGTTGGGCACACATTCTCTATCGTTCAGAGCAATATACATGGAAGATGATCCTCAAAAAATACCAGAGGTCCATTGACCGAGTGCACTTGCTTGCATGTGCTTTCGGTTTTGACGAAATTCTCCGCACGGAATTGAATCATGACCTTGATGACGGTGTGAAAGAAGAAGGCACCCTGTGGGCCTTTCTGAACGGCCATCATTCGACGGCAAAATTGCTCCTTGGGTCAGAGGGAAATTCACACCTGCGTGAGCATGTGCTGCATCATCTTGGGGAGTCTTACTTTCATGGACAGCCTCTCGATCCCGACCTCGTCCGCTGGCTCCTGAGTCTTGTCGAGCCTGCCGTCATCACGGAAAAGGTCATCACCAATGCAAATCATGTCGACAAACAGATCATCTCAATGCTCTTGGACCACAACAGGGAGCTTCGCGTCACAGAAAAAATGGTTCAAAAGTGTGCGGCTAGCGAAGGTACCATAGCAGCCTTTTTGAGCCGAGAGCCAAATCTCGAGGTTGATTTGGACATGCTTCTTGCCACCTTGGAGGGCCCATCATTTGACAATGAGCTCATTGTGAGTATGATCAACAGGATCGACCCAGCAGTCATTACGTCTGGTGTCATCTCCCAGGCCGTTTTTTGGTTGGGATTCCACGACAATAAACAACTCACGTCTATACTGCATCTTCTTTTAGAGCGTGCGGGCCCAATCCATGTGACTGACAGCGCCATGTGCTCGGCCATCGAGTGCTGCCGCAACAGGGCGGTTGTGGAAACTCTTCTCAACCGGGGCTGGCCAGTGACCCCGTCCGTTGTTAAATGTGCAGCTAGATATTGCACAACGGCCGTTTTCCAACTCATTTGGGATGCTGGTGGTGGTCAAATTACCCCACAGCTGCTCGAATCTGCTGCTGGTAATCTTTATGGAGAAAGAACGGTGACACTTCTGAAATCATTGCTGGGCCACCCAGTCGACGATGAAACATGGCGCAAAATGATGCTTCGCTGCCATACTCCAGACACGATGCGGGTCCTTCTTGACATGAAGCCTAATTTGCGAGTGCCCGAAGCAGCGCTGCTTGCGCTCGCAGAGAAGAATGGCAAAATTCACAGCCGCAAAATGCTCGCGATACTTATGGAAGACAGTCGAGAACTAGATATCACTGACTCTGTTGTTGAAGCAGCGTTGGAAAACCAGGATTACGATGAGCATATACCCAGGCTGTTGGACCGACACGACGCGAGCTTCATCACAGAGCGCATGTTACTTGGGGCTGTTCGCAATGCTCTGTTCGGGGATCAGATGACAAAAGCTTTGATGCACCGGAAGGTCCAAATTGAGGTCCCATCCACCCAGCTCATCAATGCAGTGATACTGAATGTTTATTCGGGGTTGCGAATTCTTCGAATGCTCGAGGCTCACTTTGGACCGTTCGAATTCACCGATGAAAATGTTAAAAATGCATTATCAGGAAGCCTTAACATGATGAAGGTCGTCTTTGAGCGCCAATCGATACAAGAGGCCATTCCATCCATCCTCTTGAGGACAGCTTCTCATGGTTATCCAGACGTGATGAAGTCCGTTCTCCAGCTTGACAAAGCTGTCGTCACCCGTGAGACACTTATTGCGGCGGCGGGAAATCATAAATATGGCCCGGAAATGCTTCGGATTCTCTGGAAAGCTGCCCACAAGGTTGAGCTCTGCATTGAGATGTTTCTCAACGCAAAGAACGACGAAACCCTTCAGTTCTTGATCGACCGCGTGGATGATGTCCGGTTCGGCGAAGACGTGCTGGAGGCCGCGATGACCTCCACAACCATGAACGAAGTTCAGCTCGATTGCTTATTGAGCTGTTTCTTGGATAGCAGTCTCCCGGTCCAGGTGACAAATGAAATGGTTGTGAACAACCTAATTAAGGGTAATGGAACCAGCCTGTGGCGGGTACTGGTGCCTGAATTTGGGTTAAAAGTAACCCAGGAAATGGTCGATATCGCGGTTGCGAACCAAGAACCTCAGGTTTTGAGAGATCTGTTAGCTTTCGGCAACGAGGATGAACTAGATGTTCGACAAGCGCAAGCTGTTCTTAAAGAATGACGCAGGAATCGCACTCAACAGACTGCAGATCTGCAGGGAAGGGAGAGAGGGTGCGCGCAACATAGTAGACCGCGAAAAGCGAATGAGAATACCACTCGCTACTCTAGCTACTCTACAGAGACCTAGGAAGATAGTTGAACGGCTTACAAGCAAGGAATGAGCGCGAACCTTCGAGGAGAAACAGCGCAAGGATGTAGTTGACTCTAAAGTGTCACATGGTCCGTGCGAGGAATCTTTTTTTCGACCGACGCCGCGCAACACTCGACTTCCACCACTCGGTGTCCTGCGCCTTAGGAATAGTCCATGAGCCCGCGGTCCTGCCTCTCCGTCATTGCCTTTGTCCCAAGATGCTCGTTTGATCTGCGATTCGCCGTCCACACACAATATCCGCTCCGAACCGCCTGGACCATCCGCAGGTTCTTCCGCCATACACCCAAAACCATGGAAAACTCGACCAACCCCCCAGCAAGCTGGTGTCATACCAGGGAGCCGAATACAATGTCATCAAGGAGGGCCTGGCGAGCATCTTGAATCCGCCGGCCCAAGAAGCCGCCTCCAAGGGTACCAGGAGGGACCTCACGGCCGAGGACGAAAGCCAATCGGTCTTCTACAACCCAATCCAGCAATTCAACCGAGACCTGAGCGTTCTGGCGATTCGTGCCTTCAGTGAACATGCCATGGATTTGAAGAAGCAGAAAGCGGAGCAGAAGTTGAAGAGGCGCGGTGCAGGGAATGGTGCCAACAAGGGAAAGAAGCGCAAGCGCGAGGATTCGGCTGACGACCAGGCGCCCAAGCCATCTGTGGAGGGAGAAAATGCAGTCCAGTCCGAGACTCTCGAGCAGTCTGCGCCTGCACCAGATGAGAGGCCAGAGGCGCTGGTCGACCCCGGCCTCGCGCCCTCATTCACAGTCCTCGATGCCCTCTCTGCGACCGGTCTGCGCGCCCTGCGATACGCCTCCGAATTGCCCGCGGTTTCCAAAGTGGTGGCCAACGACCTGTCGGCCTCCGCGATCAAGTCGATGAAGACGAACATCGAATACAACAAGCTGCAGGACCGCATCCAGCCGAATCTGGGCGATGCGCGCGCCTACATGTACAGTGCCTGCACCGATGTATCCAATAAATTTGACGTGATCGACCTGGACCCGTACGGTACTGCAGCGCCCTTCCTGGATGCGGCCATTCAGGGCGTTAAGGACGGCGGTCTTCTCTGTGTCACCTGCACCGACGCAGGTGTCTGGGCCTCTACCGGGTACGCCGAGAAGGCGTTTGCCTTGTACGGCGGCATTCCGATGAAGGGTCTTCACTCGCATGAGGGCGGACTGCGTCTGATCTTGCATGGTCTGGCCATGTCCGCTGCCAAGTACGGAATCTCGATTGAGCCGCTGCTTTCGCTGTCGATCGATTTCTATGCCCGCGTGTTCGTGCGTGTGTCTCGTTCCCCGGCGCAGGTCAAGTTTACTGCGAGCAACACGATGACTGTGTATAACTGCGATTCTGGATGTGGTGCGTGGACTACACAGCCCCTGGCCGCGACAAAGGAGAAGCTTGATCGCAAGGGAAACCCCTTGTATCACTACAAACTGGCCCAGGGCCCCACGGCCAACACTTACTGTGAACACTGCGGCTTCAAGACACATCTTGCGGGACCGATGTGGGCAGGCCCGCTTCATAATCCTCACTTCATCCAGCGGATTCTGGATCTTCTTCCCAAGTTGGACCCGGAGACTTACCAGACCATCCCCCGCATTGAGGGCATGCTCACCACCGCTATGGAAGAGGACCTGGACCTCAGCCCCTCCACCATCAAGTCTGTTGGTCAGCAGCAGCAACAATCAAACCCTGAGGTGACGGAGGCCAATCTCCAACAAGAAAATGCATACCCAGCTATTATCCCGCGTATGGACCCGGCGCGCCAGGAGCCATATCCTTTCTATTTCCCCCTAAGCGCTCTCTCAAAGGTTCTCCACTGCGCTACCGTTGGACTGGACGAGTTCCGTGGTGCGCTTCGCTCCGTCGGGTACCGCTCCACCCGCAGCCATGCCAAGCCGAACTCCATCCGCACCGATGCCCCCTGGAGTGTCATTTGGGAGGTCATGCGCGAATGGGTTCGTCAACACTCTCCCATCAAGGAGACTTCCCTGAAGCCCGGTACCCCCGGCGCCGCTATCATGGCTAAGAGCCGCGATAATCTGCGTAGGGTCAGCAGCGAAGACCCCTGGCTGTCCCAGCTGAAGAACGAGCTTCTTGCTGCTGTCGAATCTGGAAAGGACGTCAGCGACCTGGTCACCAAGGTCGAAGCCTCCCTGTACCGATCCGGATCCCGACAGTCTTTCCTGACCCAAGCGCAATCGGCTGATGCTCAGGCCAAGCCTGCTACGGATGGTCCGGCCGGGCAGCCGCACCCCAGTACGCTGGAGGTGAAGTTCGATGCCGCGCTGGGGCGTGAGGCGTCGGCGGCACACTCGAAGAAACGCCTGGTGCGGTATCAGATCAATCCTCGTGCGAACTGGGGCCCGCTGAACCGTGCGGCGATAAAATCAAGCTGATGGTGCCGTTCTATGGATGTATGCTTATGTGTTGTACATATGAAAATTAGCCTTCTGTGCATTTTGTGAATCCAGATGAAAGACTCTGCCTCGCCAGTGAGGTTTCTAGATAGAAACGTCCCAAATGTTCCACATCCTTTCCGTGATTGATTCGACTCCGACGCCGACCTGAGCGGTCTCCGGCCCCAGAGAGCTTCGCGCCGTCGTCCATGACCTCATACAGACCGTAAAGAGCCTGTTCCTCTTCTACCACCCAGAATCTTCGTGCTGCGACTGGTCTTTGGCTCAAATTCTCGTGCATTCACGGCTCAGAGTGGGACACCTTTGATCGACCATTTCCGGACTTTCTCCTTTCGAGGAAATCAAACCTGTTTCTAAGAAGAGCTATTGATGCCAAACACATGGACTGGGTCTCCGTTAAGCTACTGCTACTGATCTCAGGTATTCTGTTCGCCGGAAAACATGACTTGTTTTTCACTTTCCAGTCCTTGCAAAAGCCAACCATCTTGCTCGACCTTCGTGTAGGCTGGTTCTCGAAATATCAGTGCATCTCTCAGTTGATGGGCCTAACTGGTCTAGTGTAGTCATGCCTTGATGGAAATTCAGATGCTTTCTATAACTTCTTTCAGAACTTCCGAGTAAACCGCAACTGGGGGTCGGAATTGGAGTATAAATCCTGCATTACCTTTCTGACCATATTCTTGGGCGACCTACCATGATACTACCTCTGCTTCTGGTGTCTACGACTTCATCTCTGGGAAGATATCTCAGTGCCCAGAGAGCCTAAACAGCAAGACTTTGCTTATCATAAGTCTCATAGGTAAAAACACAGCACAATGAGACAGCCACCGGAATACTTGCGTCGCTCCAAGCAACGCTTCTCACACGATCCAGTTGGAGAACCTTTACCCCGCCATACAAAGATATTCTTACGGGACTCAATGTGGCATCCTGCTGGAATTTCTGCGCCATTGAGCTCGGCATTTGTTCTATCGACTGGCACCAAATCACTGCGACAACTTTGAAGGTCTGTGGAAACCGGGCTTTGTCCCTCAGCACCTAGTCTGTATCTGCGAGATCACGTCCTTTGGTCAATCCACAGATGTATGCCGGGAATATCTCCTCGGTCACTGCACGGGAGAGCGCATGGGATCACTTTGGTTACGCATCCTACCAAGCGGAGCCCTCTGTGCACCCCTCAACCCAAAACTTGGATCATAACGGACTTCGTCAGCTTCAACGTTGAAGCTTACCTCGCAAAGGACAGTGTTTCACGCTCCGCTCATTATTGACACTGCGGCGAAAGCAGCACGTGGAAGCTCGAGATGTCCAACCTAGGGCCGGTTTATTCCTGTCTGGTTCTGACCCGGTGGATGGACCTAGGGCCGGGGTTATAGCTCGGAAGATGCCCGTTGGAGACAGACACAATTAGACGGAACCGCCACGATGTCTGACCCTCGATTACGAGTCGAGATAGAATGCTACTCAAACAACCCGAAAGCTTGTTCTGAGGAAGAACTGAAAAGGATATGGCATCGTTGCTAGGTATGGAGAGGCGGCGGTCTCGAACCTGCTGAAATAGATGGATCTTGGACTGCGCAGGCTCCCAAGCAGGGTCGCCCTTCTCGCTGTACTATTTCTTATGGGATCCCTGGGATCTGCCGTATTAGGATCAGTGCACGGGATTCCACGTCTACTAGAGATGCCTAAATTGAATGATCAGTCCTGTATCAACGTAGTGGAGCCTATCTGGTTGTGATCACAGTCATGTAGGTACTTCATTCAAATCGAATTTAGTCTAAAGTTAAGAGGCTTTTGTCTGCAGTAATCAATCATTCGCCAGCCTATCTAGGAGCTTCGACTATGACTTGAAAGATGTTTTGAAAGGTGGGACAAGGACAAAAAGCCGTTTGTCATTCATTGAGCAGCTTGAGCCATCAGAACCACACTGGACTTTTGAATTTTCCTTTTACAGTATCACCCACTATTAGGTAGTTAAAGTACGTACTCGAAGCTGTACTAATAAGAACGAAATTATGACATGTCATTACTCCCATTATAAACACCACCGAACCAGGAGACGAAACTGGCCCGAATCTAAGAACAAAAAGAAAAGAGAAAAAGAAAAATGAACCACAGAGCATAAATCACAATCGTCACGTCTCCAAGGGGAAAAAAAGGAAAAGGGAAATCAAAAGCCGAGAGACACTCCCCCGAAAGAAACCCAGACAGGACCTCCAATCCAGTCCCGTTTCGTTTCGTTTCCCTTCTTTCTCGCTCTCGAGCTCTGTCTCGCTCTTTGTCTGGCTCTCTCTGACCGGCCATCTAGAAAACTATGCAAAATACCAGACATCACGTCACGTCACATCAACATCATCACATCGGGGATCCGGTCGCAAATGTACAGCGTGTCTGCGTCCAGATTCCGGATTTCCAGATTTCACATCTAGAACTGCGAAACAGCGACCGCGACGGCCTGCGAGTCGCTGTGGCTGATGCTGACAGTGATCTGCTTGACGCCCGCTTGCTTGGCAGCGGTAGCGGCGGCACCGTGAAGCTAAAATGGAGATCTCCCGTTAGCGTTGCTGATCATGAAGTTTGGGTGGGATAGACTAGGGGAGGGGGCTATAGGTAAAGAACTTACGTTCACAACGGGAGCGCCGTTAGCGTCGCTTCCGATCTCAATCTCCTTTAGTGCTGCGCCAGCGCCCTTGCTGCTGACGCCCAGAGACTTGAAGACGGCTTCCTTGGCACTCCACCGGCCGGCGAAAGAGGCCTGCGGGGACGCCGCCTTGCGGCAGTACTCCTGCTCGCTCGCGGTGAAGTTGCGCTCAACGAAGGTCTCGTTGCTGATGTTGACCGCGTCAATGTTCTCCACATCCACGCCGACCTTGGAGTTCTCGCCAGCTGCGTTGGCCTTGGCGAGAGACTCCACCATCTGCCGGGTGCTCTCCCGCTCAGCGGCCTTTGGGGGTGTGTTCGAGTATTTCAGCTCCGAGGTCTTCTTGTCCATGCTCACGCGGTAGTCGGGGTTCAGGAAGATCTGGCTCTGCTGGGCGTCCTCATAGGGGGCCTTGCTCTTCGCCACAAAGATACTGTTGTTGATCAGGCCGTTGTGGAAGTAGCGGTACGCCTTCTTCTGGCGCGATTCGACCTTGGCCTTGTAGGTCTGGTACTGGGCCTGATCAAGCGCTGCGAACAGGTACTTGGGATGGATACCGATGACCTGGGCACCCTTCTGACCGAAACCGAAGGAGGTCACGGAGAACGCCTTGATGCCGTCGGTCTGGATGCTGCGGCTCGGGTAGACGATATAGTCGAATTTCTCCATCACCTTGTCCACATTGTCGGCGTTGCGATTGCCGGGGACGAGACCGGAATCCAGAACTTGCAAGCAGCCGTTGAACATCCAGGCTCCGGCCGCGCCCTTGGGGTGACCGGTGAGGTACTTCTGGAAGATACCCATGACGGCGTTACCCTTCTTACGACCGAGGTGCTTGAGCTGCTGGCAGATGACATCGGACTCGTTCTTGTCGTTGGCAACGGTCGAGGTACCGTGGAACGAGGCGACACCGATGTCGTCGACAGTGAGACCCCAGGTGGCCAGGGCGCCGCGCAGGGGAGCGATACGCGAATCCTGCTTCCAGAAGTTGTTGCCGAGGCTGAACTGGGCATCCTTCTCTTGGCGAATGGCCTCACGCTCAATGTGCTGGGCACGCTCATGCATGTACTCGGAGGCGTTGAAGGACTTGTCGCTCTGGGCCTGCATGGCGTCGACCTCTTCCTGCAGGTAGAGCAGCTCGGACTCCTGCCACTCCTTGATCTGCTTCTTGCGCAGCTCGAGCTGGCGGCGGCGGTACTTGATGTCCAGCAGAGGCGAGGGGAACATGCCGGGGTTCTCACGGGCAGTGGTGAGGACACCCTGGCCAGGAGCGGGGACGGAGCGACCGATCTTGTCGGTGGCGGTGGTGGTCAGAGCAATGATACCGTGAATGGGAACACCCATGTCGAGGGCGAGCTGGGCGCTCATGATGAGCTGCATACCGCAACCCTGTGACTCCATGAAGCCGGCACGGGTGGTGGTGGTCGGACGGGACATCTCCTGCGGGGTGCGACCGTGGGCAAACTCGTCCTCGGCGTTGCTGGTGGCCTTCATGTTGGCGAATTCGTACGAGCCTTCCTCTTGGAAGTCATCGAAACCACCGACGAAGCAGACACGAGCCTTGCCCTCCACGATAGTCTCGTAACCGATATCCACGGACTCGACGGCAGTAGCGCAAGCACCGACGGGAGTCTTGATAGGACCGGTCGAGGACAGGAGCAACATGTTGACCCAGGCGCTCATGGTGTTGATGAAGGACTCCTGCAGGATATCCTTCTGCAGAGGCTTGTCGAGGTAGCGGTCCTTGTACATGCCGCGCAGAGCGTGGGTACCACCGATACCGGAACCGATACAGTTACCAACCTCGGAGAGATGGACGTACTTGTAGAACTCATAGGGGTCGGTAATACCAGCAGAGAGCATGGACTCGGCGGTACAGACCAGGACAAACAGTGTCACAGGGTCAACCTGCTCAACAATGTCATCGGGAATACCATAGCGCTTAGCATCCCAGCCAGTGGGGATCTGGCCAGCCACCAGGCGGTCGAACGAGAGAGCCTTGGGGATGAGCAGGTTCGCGCCCTTGCGCAGACGGACAGTGTACTCGCCAGACTCGGGGATTTCGAAGATCTCGACCTTGTCACCGTGCTCACGCTTGAACTCCTCGGCGGTTTCCTTGGAGGCCTCAAAGGGCTCCAGGTCCTCCTGGATAACGATCTCCTGCAGAAGCTGCTTCTTCTTGGGGTCGTAGCCCTTGAACAGCTCAGGCTCGATCAGACGAATACCAGTGTGCTCCAGGATGAACTTCTCATACTTGGGCTTGACATCCTTGTCGTCAACGGGGTCGCCGGACTTGGCGTCAACCCAACCAGAATAAACCTTGCCCTTGAGGGGACCGTTGTGATGCTTGATCAGACCCATGATCCAGGCCATCTCGACGCAACCCTCAAGCGAGAACTTGCCGTAGGCCTCCATCTCCCAGCGGGTACGCGAGTTACCCCAAGGACCAACCTCAGCGAAACCGGTGACGACAACCACCTTGTCCAGGTTGACCATACCCTTGAGAGACTCGTTGAGAGGCTTGACCTCCTTCTCCCAATCGGGGAGTTTGGGGAACTCGAATTTGATATTGGCACGGGGTTCGGCAACAACCTTCTTGTACAAAATGCCGCTGTCCTCGCCATTGACAACCTTGTTCTCGATGGCAGTCTCCTTGATGACAGCCTGGCGAACATCGCTGGTCTCCATGATGTCGGTGCGGAGCTTGGTCATCAGGCCCTTGAGGTCGGGAATGAACTGCAGGCCACCGTTGAGGTCGGCCCAGACGGGGTCGAGCTGGCAGAGGTTGACGACGGCCGGGGACATTAGACCCAGAAGATTGAAGGCCATCTCCTGCTGGGAGAAGGTGCGGACACCAAGCTTCTCAACGCCCTCAGCGACCATGTTGTTGCCGCTCATTAGACCGGTACCACGGGTCCAACCAATGACAGCACCACAGATGGTGAGGTAGTTGGCCCAGTTTTCGGAATACCAGCGGTTGAAGAGGGTCTCCAGGCCCAGCTTGGACTCGGAATAAAGACCGTCGTTACCAAAGGTACCGTGGTTGGGCGACAGAGGGAGGATGACCTGGGCCGGGCGGGTCTCGAAGCCGTGGGCCTGCTTCTGGGTCTTGATCGAACCCAGCATGCGGAGCAGGTTGGTCAGCATGATACGGTGGGCCAGCTCCGACTTGGAGTCAATCGAGTCGATCTCGCGGCCGTTCTCGGGGATGGCGGCGAAAGGAACGACGAAATCAAGATCCCAGCCAAGACCCTTCTTGGTGTCGTAGATGTAGTCGACCAGGGCCTCCACATCCTGCTTACTACCCTGGTTGAAGGGAACGACAACCAGCTGGGAGCCGCGGGCACCGAAGCGGGCGTACATAGCCTGGTAGTACTCGGTCACCTCACGCGAGAAGCGGCTGGTGGTGACAATGACCTTGGCACCACCGCTGATCAGACCCTGCAGGACCTCAGCACCGATGGAACCGGCACCGGCACCAGTCATGAGGACGTTCTTGCCCTGGAAGCTGAGACCAGACTGAGCAGCCGACTCCAGGACGTTCAGGTAGATACCAGTGAGCTTCTTGTTGTAGTCCCAGCCGTGCTCAGACTTCTTCTTAAGGTGCAGGAAGGGAATGGTCTCGACCTTGCCGGGGCGAATAGCTGCACGCTTCACACCGTTGGGGCCAGTTTTCTTGGCATGACCATTCTCCTGGGGCATGATCTGGCCCTCGTTCATGCTGAGAGCGTGGAGGACATCCTTGTACAGAGCATCAAACTGAAGCTGGGAGGCCTTGGAGAGGCGGTGTTGCTTACGGATAAGCTTGTACACATTCTTCAGATCGTTCTGGACCTTGTTGCGGTTGCTGTACTCGGAAATGGGGCCACCTTCGGCCATCTGCTTGACGTAGTGCTCCAGCTTGCGGGCACTGGCGCGGGGTGCCTCCTTGAAGCTGATGTTACCCCGGGCATCAATGCTGGTCTGAGGGCCAGTGGGAACGGCGACATCCTTGTAAACGGGGGGCACATCCATCACATCCTTGCAGTTCTCAATGAGCTGCTGGCCCAGCTCCTTGGCCAGCTGGTAGGTCTCGCCTCGTTCTGTCGGGCAGTTGTCGATGTGGTACTGCATGAAGTCGAGGAGAAGCGGGTTGGAGCGGTTCATGATGCGAATGCACTGGCTCACAATCTCACGGTCCACCACCTGGAGACGGCCGAAGATAATATCGTAATACATGCTGAGAGCGTCCTGGCGAGCCCAGTTCCACGAGGAGTCGTAGACACGGGCCTTGAGCGGGTTAAAGGAGGGTTCAATGCCCGAGGCGTAGAAGTCGCCGTGCTCGGCTTGCCACAGGTCGATCTGGGCCTGGAGCGCCTTCTGGGTTTCTTGCGACGTGATGAAAGCCTTGTCACCGGCACGGAGATCCATCTTCAGGTAGCGGGCAATCACCTCCAATTGCTGCTTGAACAGAGCGCGCTGGTCCTTAGTCAGGGCATCAATGGCCGCGGGGTCCATCATCATACCACCGCCGCCACCACCACTCTCACCACCAGCCGCGGGGGCGGAGAGGTTGATGCCGGCGCTGACGGCATACTTGTTGGTAACACCATCCAAGAAGGCTTTGGCGTCGGGCTCCGAACCCAGACGAGCGGCCGGCTCCATAGTGATGGCGAGCAGGAGCACACCGTCCTGGCGGCCTGCGCCCAAGCCCCACCGCGTCTCTAGGTACTTCCGAACGGATGTGATGTTGAAGCCACCGGGCATCTTGGAGGAGACCATGCGGGCAATGAGGGAGGATGACTGCTTGCCCAATTGGCCATTGAAAGTGGCCTGCATCGAGGCGCCGAGCTCGTCCAGCGGAATGTCCTCGGGCTTCTCCGGTGTCGAGCCAAATTCTTTGCCCAAGTCTCCGAGAATTTCGTTCTGTAATGTGGACTTGCCTATTGGGGGGGAAGTCAAGTCATTAGCTTTCACTGCGCAGTTTGTGACCGGCCAATTGCTCGAAAAAAGAGAGACAGAACCTACCTCCAACAAGATCCTTGATAGCTTTTGACAGTGGCACATCAGCCAGGCCTTTCTTCAGTTTCTGAGCCACCAGCGACCGCAGGATATCGACTGCCGTCACTGGAGCATCTTCCACAGCTGCGGCTGGGCCAGCACTGGGAGGAGGAGCCGCTGTGGTGGGCGCAGCAGTAGCCGCAGGAGCAGGAGCACCGGCGGCAGGTGGTTCGGCGGCTGGTTCCGGCTCATCTTCGACGGGATCAACATCATAATAAATCTCCTTGGCGTCCTTGTTGTAACAGAGAATTTGACGCTGTACGGATGTGGCGGCATCGTAGGCCTCGTACTTGGAGGCGAGTGTGCGGCGGGCCATGCCACCGAGGGTATCCGCAGGACCAATCTCAACAATGCGCTCGGTGCGCTGCTCGGCGAGGATGACATCTTGAGTCTCAATCCATCGGACGGGCGAGGCGAACTGGTAGGCGAGCAGCTCCACCAGCAGGGTGTGAGCCAGCTCTTGCTCAATCTCCGGACGCATGGTGGTTGAGAATTTGGATGTGTCGGGGGGTATCGTGTGGTCGGTAGGTGAAAGTTGAGGTATTAGGTAGGAGTTTCTTAGGACACACGTCCTGATGCGGGCGCGACGGAGACTCTCGTCGCTGAAAGCCCACGTAAGGCGTTAATTCCAACAGAAAGAAAAAAAGATAAAACAGAAGAAAGAATTAGGGGGGAGGAGGAATAAGGTCCCAGTGGTCTGGAGGAGGAGGGAGAGGGAGAGGAGGAGAGGAGGTTCAGTGGAGTGAGGACTTTGAGACAGTCGTTGGCATGTCTTCGAGAAAAAAAAGGTGGGAAAGCGATAGGCCCGATAGGGTGTGGTAATACCGGATACGGTCTGGTAAGATGGTAATATCGCCCGATGCAGCAGCTACGATGCCGATTTTTTGCAAAGGGTGAATTATTTACGGTATACGAGACGTAAAATGTGAGATGAACGATCAATAATCTTGTCCGGCCATGCTTGGAGGGGCTGTTACATCCATTGACTCTCCCAGACCCCATTTGCAGCGTGGCTGGCCGGGCAGAAGGGATGGGAGAAGTGGTGAGGCCGTTGGGGCTCCCGCACGCAGCGTCGGAATTGGCGCGCCAGCTGCACCGCTGCCAGCAGGGGCCGTACCTGGCAGGCCAACCACAGCCAATGGGGAGGCTCCCAACACCCCATCGCTGCCCCATCGGCCCACTTTGATGCGTCGATTGACCAGGTCAATGGTGAGCTCCGGATGGATCTCACTAGCCGTGGTCAGGGAAGCTAGTGCCAGCTGCTCCCCAATCCCACTACAAATCCCCTTGATTTTAAATTACCGTATATTACCAAGCATGGCCGCCCATTACCGGCCGGGAACCAACCAGCGGCCGGGCGAAACCTGTTGAACCGGGGGCATTGGGGAATGCTGTGGGAGTCGCAGGAGTTATTGGGGCGGGATCGGTCGGCCCTAAACCCTTTTGGGCCACTTGTGGTTCAACAGCGGATCTTTTTCTTTTTTTTTTTTACAGTCTGGCGGTTGCTGCCATTTTCGGTGCTGGAGACTGCTCTCTGCCTCTGCTTCACCTTCACCTCCCCCTCTCTTCCCCCCATACTCTCTCCTCCCCGTTCTCCCTCCCATACTCTTTCATTTTGTTCTTGATTCCCGCTTATTTTATTTAATTGAATTCCTCTCGGGGTCGAGATTCTCTACCCTGCTTGCATTTGAGGACTGTAAGTCGTCTTCTCCGGTCGATCCCCGCCAGCTTTTTTTGGCCCTGTGACGAGAGACTCACTATCACCAACCGCAGAATCCCCCCCACAATCGACCCTCAGTCCCATTTGGGTCTTCACTAGAGGTGAAGGAGAATACAATCATGTACGGCACATCGACCGGTCCGCAGACGGGCATCAACACCCCCCGGTCGTCTCAGTCTCTGCGCCCGCTTATCCTCTCACATGGCTCCCTCGAGTTCTCCTTCCTCGTCCCTACCTCGCTCCATTTCCACGCCTCGCAGTTGAAAGATGGCTTCACCACATCATTACCTGAGCCCACAGATGAATTGGCCCAGGACGACGAGCCCTCGTCCGTAGCTGAACTGGTTGCCCGCTATATCGGCCATGTCGCCCACGAGCTCGAGGAGGGTGAGGATGATGCGCAGGGCAGCTACCTCGAGGTCCTTAAGCTCGTCCTGAACGAGTTTGAGCGCGCCTTTATGCGTGGCAACGATGTCCACGCCGTGGCTGCCGCCCTGCCCGGCATTGTCTCCAAGAAGAACCAGGTCGTCGAGGCCTACTACGCCGGACGTGCCGCCGCCGGCCGGCCCACCAAGCCCTACGATTCGGCTCTGTTCCGCGCTGCCTCCGATGAGGCCGCCGGTATCTACACCGTCTTTGGCGGCCAGGGCAACATTGAAGAGTACTTCGACGAGCTGCGCACCGTCTACACCACCTACCCCTCCTTTGTGGAGGATCTCGTTGTCTCCTCCGCTGAGCTCCTGCAGTCGCTGTCTCGCGAGCCCGAGGCCAGCAAGCTCTATCCCAAGGGCCTCGATATCATGCGATGGCTGCAGGATCGGGATGCCCAGCCCGAAACCGACTACCTCGTTTCGGCTCCCGTCAGTCTGCCCTTGATCGGCCTCGTCCAACTGGCCCACTACACAGTGACCTGCAAGGTCCTGGGCCAGCAGCCTGGAGACCTCGTGGAGCGCATCCGGGGAACCACAGGTCACTCCCAGGGTGTGGTCACGGCCGCAGCCATTGCCACCGCGACCACCTGGGAGTCCTTTGCCCAAGCGGCTCGCAATGCCCTCACTATGCTGTTCTGGATCGGTCTGCGCAGTCAGCAGGCCTACCCCCGCACCTCCCTGGCACCCTCTGTGCTGCAGGACTCGATTGAGAACGGCGAGGGCACCCCGACCCCCATGCTGTCCATTCGGGATCTGTCTCGTGCGGCCGTGCAGGAACACATTGATGCCACCAACCAGCACTTGCCGGAGGACCGTCACATTGCCATCTCCCTGGTTAACAGTGCCCGCAACTTCGTGGTGACTGGCCCTCCCATCTCCCTCTATGGTCTAAATTTGCGTCTGCGCAAGGTCAAGGCCGCCACTGGGCTTGACCAGAACCGCGTGCCCTTCACGCAGCGCAAGGTTCGGTTTGTCAACCGCTTCCTGCCCATCACGGCCCCGTTCCACAGCCAGTACCTCACCTCGGCCTACGACCGCATTTTGGAGGATCTGGAGGAAATAGACATCCCTGCCAAGTCCCTGGTCATCCCCGTCTTCAACACCAAGACCGGAGAGGACCTGCGGGATCTTGGTGATAAGAGTGCTGTGCCCTCCCTGATCCGCATGATCACTCACGATCCCGTGAACTGGGAGCAGGCCACCATCTTCCCTGGTGCGACCCACATTGTCGACTTTGGCCCCGGTGGCATCTCGGGTCTCGGTGTTCTCACCAACCGCAACAAGGACGGCACCGGTGTTCGCGTCATCCTGGCGGGTGAAATGGACGGCACCAATGGGGAGGTCGGCTACAAGCCCGAGCTGTTTGACCGTGATGAGCACTCGGTCAAGTACGCTGTGGACTGGGTTAAGGAGCACGGCCCACGTCTGGTGCAGACCTCCACCGGGGAGACCTACGTTGACACCAAGATGAGTCGTCTGCTGGGTATCCCTCCGGTCATGGTCGCTGGTATGACCCCCACCACCGTCGCCTGGGACTTCGTTGCCGCCACGATGAAGGCTGGTTACCACATTGAATTGGCCGGTGGCGGTTACTACAATGCGAAGACCATGACTGCCGCGATCAACAAGATTGAGAAGGTGATCCCGCCCGGCCGTGGCATCACTATCAACCTGATCTATGTGAACCCCCGTGCCATGGCCTGGCAGATCCCTCTGATCGGCCGTCTGCGTGCCGAGGGTGTGCCCATCGAGGGTCTGACCATTGGTGCCGGTGTCCCCTCGATCGAGGTGGCCAACGAGTACATCGAGACTCTGGGTATCAAGCACATTGCCTTCAAGCCTGGCTCCGGCGATGCCATTCAGCAGGTCATCAACATTGCCAAGGCCAACCCCAAGTTCCCCATCATCCTGCAGTGGACTGGTGGCCGTGGCGGTGGTCACCATTCCTTCGAGGACTTCCACCAGCCGATCCTCCAGATGTACAGCCGTATCCGCAAGCAGGGCAACATCGTCCTGGTTGCTGGTAGTGGCTTCGGTGGTTCGGAGGACACCTACCCTTACCTCTCTGGTGCCTGGTCCGCCAAGTTTGGCTACCCTCCCATGCCCTTCGACGGTTGCTTGTTCGGTAGCCGCATGATGATCGCCAAGGAGGCTCACACTTCCAAGAACGCCAAGAAGGCCATCGCCGATGCCCCCGGTGTCGATGATGAGGAGTGGGAGAAGACCTACAAGCGTGCCACTGGCGGTGTCATCACTGTCCTCTCTGAGATGGGTGAGCCCATTCACAAGCTGGCTACTCGTGGCGTCCTGTTCTGGCAGGAGATGGATCAGAAGATCTTCAAGCTCGACAAGGCCAAGCGCGTCCCCGAGCTGAAGAAGCAGCGGAACTACATCATCAAGAAGCTCAATGACGACTTCCACAAGGTTTGGTTTGGCCGCAACGCCGCCAACGAGACCGTGGACCTCGAGGACATGACCTACGCTGAGGTCGTTCACCGCATGGTGGAGCTGATGTATGTCAAGCACGAGTCTCGTTGGATCGATGACTCGCTCAAGCGCCTCACCGGTGACTTCCTGCGCCGTGTTGAGGAGCGCTTCACCACTGCCGACGGCCAGGCCTCGCTGCTGCAGAACTACTCCGAGCTCGACACCCCCTACCCAGCCGTTGACACCATTCTGGCCGCGTACCCCGAGGCTGCCTCTCAGCTGATCAACGCCCAGGATGTTCAGCACTTCCTGCTGCTCTGCCAGCGCCGTGGCCAGAAGCCCGTTCCTTTCGTCCCTGTCCTCGATGAGAGTTTCGAGTACTTCTTCAAGAAGGACTCTCTGTGGCAGAGTGAAGATCTTGAGGCTGTTGTTGATCAGGATGTCGGCCGTACCTGTATTCTGCAGGGTCCGATGGCTGCTCGCTTCTCCAACATCATTGATGAGCCTGTCAAGGACATTCTTGATGGTGTCCACCAGGGTCACATCACTGGTCTGCTCCGCGATGTCTACGCTGGTGACAAGTCCAAAATTCCTGTGATCGAGTACTTCGGTGGCAACCTGCTCAGCTCTGAGGGCGAGCCCGAGCTGGAGGGTCTCACTGTCTCCGAGGAGACCAACAAGGTCAGCTTCCGTCTGTCCTCCTCCTCCTCCGCCGACCTGCCCGATCTGGACCGCTGGCTCAGCCTGCTGGCTGGCAGCACCTACTCTTGGCGCCACGCCCTGTTCCTGGCCGATGTGTTCGTCCAGGGCCACCGTTTCCAGTCCAACCCCATGAAGCGGATCGTGGCTCCCACTGCCGGCATGTTCGTGGAGATCTCCAACCCCAACGACCCTGCCAAAACTGTCGTAAGCGTGCGTGAGCCCTACCAGTCGGGCAAGCTGGTCAAGACTGTTGAGGCGAAGATGAACGAGAGCGGCCAGATTTCTCTGACCATGTTCGAGGGCCGCACTGCCGAGGGCGGTGTCGTTCCTCTGACGTTCCTCTTCACCTACCACCCGGAGACTGGCTATGCTCCCATCCGTGAGATTATGGGAGACCGCAACGACCGCATCAAGGAGTTCTACTACCGCATCTGGTTCGGTAACAAGGACGTGCCCTTCGATTCCCCCACCACTGCCACCTTCAACGGTGGCCGCGAGATCATCACCACCCAGGCTGTCGCTGACTTCGTTCATGCTGTTGGCAACACCGGTGAGGCTTTCGTCGACCGCCCTGGCAAAGAGGTCTTCGCCCCCATGGATTTCGCCATCGTGGCTGGCTGGAAGGCTATCACCAAGCCCATCTTCCCTCGCCTTATCGACGGAGATCTGCTGAAGCTGGTTCACTTGTCTAACGGCTTCAAGATGATCCCTGGTGCCCAGCCCCTGAAGGTCGGCGATGTCCTGGACACCACCGCCCAGATCAACGCCGTCATCAATCAGGAGTCTGGTAAAATGGTCGAGGTCTGCGGTACCATCAAGCGCGAGGGCCAGCCGATCATGCAGGTGACCAGCCAGTTCCTGTACCGTGGTGCCTACTCGGACTTCGAGAACACCTTCCAGCGCAAGGATGAGGTGCCCATGCAGGTCCACCTCGCCACCAGCCGGGATGTCGCTATCCTCCGCTCCAAGGAGTGGTTCCGCATGGACGAGTCTGATATCGAGCTCCTGGGCCAGACACTCACTTTCCGTCTGCAGAGCCTGATCCGTTTCAAGAACCAGACCGTCTTCAGCAACGTCCAGACCATCGGTCAGGTCCTTCTAGAGCTCCCCACCAAGGAGGTCATCCAGGTTGCGTCCGTGGACTACGAAGCTGGTATCTCTCACGGTAACCCCGTGATTGACTACCTAGAGCGCAACGGTACCTCCATTGAGCAGCCCGTCTACTTCGAGAACCCCATCCCTCTTAGCGGCAAGACTGCTCTGGAGCTGCGTGCCCCGGCCTCCAACGAGACCTACGCTCGCGTCTCTGGCGACTACAACCCTATTCACGTTTCGCGTGTCTTCTCCAGCTATGCCAACCTGCCTGGTACCATCACTCATGGCATGTACAGCAGTGCTGCGGTCCGTTCCCTTGTGGAGACTTGGGCAGCCGAGAACAACATCGGCCGTGTCCGTGGCTTCCACGCCTCGCTGGTTGGCATGGTTCTGCCCAACGATATGGTCAGCGTCAAGCTCCAGCATGTCGGTATGATCGCGGGTCGCAAGATCATCCAGGTCGAGGCCAGCAACAAGGAGACCGAGGAGAAGGTCCTCGTCGGTGAAGCCGAGGTTGAGCAGCCCGTCACTTCCTACGTCTTCACTGGCCAGGGTTCTCAGGAGCAGGGCATGGGTATGGAGCTCTATGCCAGCAGCCCGGTCGCCCAAGAGGTCTGGGACCGCGCTGATCGCCACTTCATGGAGAACTACGGCTTGTCCATCATTGATATCGTCAAGAACAACCCCAAGGAGCTCACTGTCTACTTCGGCGGCCCGCGGGGTAAGGCCATCCGCGAGAACTACATGGCCATGACCTTCGAGTCCGTGAATGCCGATGGCTCCATCAAGTCCGAGAAGATCTTCAAGGAGATTGATGAGAATACCGCCTCGTACACTTATCGCTCGCCCACAGGCCTGCTATCTGCCACCCAGTTCACCCAGCCTGCCCTGACCCTGATGGAGAAGGCTAGCTTCGAGGACATGCGCTCCAAGGGTCTGGTCCAGCGCGACAGCAGCTTCGCCGGTCACTCGCTTGGTGAATACTCGGCTCTGGCTGCCCTCGCCGATGTCATGCCCATTGAGAGCTTGGTATCGGTCGTGTTCTACCGTGGTCTGACCATGCAGGTTGCCGTCGAGCGTGATGAGCAGGGCCGTTCAAACTACTCCATGTGTGCTGTCAACCCCAGCCGTATCTCCAAGACCTTCAATGAGCAGGCGCTGCAGTATGTTGTAGAGGTCATTGCGGAACAGACTGGCTGGCTTCTGGAGATTGTCAACTACAACGTGGCCAACATGCAGTATGTCGCCGCTGGTGATGTAAGTCCTTCCCGTAGCCACTTTTGCTTTGCATGTTTAAAAGTGTATATACTAACATGAGAACGCCTCCAGCTCCGTGCCCTCGACTGCCTCACCAATCTCCTGAACTTCCTCAAGGCCCAGAACATCGACATCCCTGCCCTTATGGAGAGCATGTCGCTTGAGGATCTCAAGGCTCACTTGGTGAGCATCATCCAGGAGTGCGTCAAGCAGACTGAGGCCAAGCCCCGTCCCATCCAGCTGGAGCGCGGTTTCGCCACCATCCCGCTCAAGGGCATCGACGTCCCCTTCCACAGCACTTTCCTGCGGTCCGGCGTCAAGCCCTTCCGCTCCTTCCTGCTCAAGAAGATTAACAAGACGACCATCGATCCTTCCAAGCTCGTCGGCAAGTACATTCCGAACGTCACCGCTCGTCCCTTCGAAATTACCAAGGAGTACTTCGAGGATGTCTACCGCCTCACCAATTCCCCCCGTATCGCCTCCATCCTGGCCAACTGGGAGAAGTACGAAGCGGGCACTGAGAACGCCGCCCGTGCCTAAGCTTGGACTTGGACCCGGGCTTAATCCTGTTTTCTTGTGATGCGATGTGATGTGATTCCCCACCGCGATAATGTGTGTTCTCCTTTTTTGTCTGATAGAATGACCTGCTTGTGGGTCGTGTGATGTGACATGTCTCAAACTTGGCGCTGTTGATTGTTGCGTGTATGTGGTTTGCCTTTTTATATTTCTGCTGATCTAGTTTCGTTGTTAATCGGGTTTTCTTTTGAATGCTTTGAGTGCCAAGTAGATTTAGATTAGGCTCGGTGTACTAAAGGGCTCCTTATGAGCTTTGACTAGCCATTTGGCTTTCTTTTTCTGATGGTCTATCAATTAGGTGAAGGTGATCCGATGGAATAGAGTATATATAGTTCCAATGATCTAATTCATACAACACCGGTGCATTCAAAAGTGCCCGCCTTAATTCCATTCTCAGGCTAAGGCGATTATCATACAATCATCTTAATCCCACTCGAAGACCCAGATTTAGATTTCCAGTCAAATACGTCGTCAGCATCTTACCCTTAGTTCGGACTCCAGCTCCCGGGTCGCAGCATCCGGTCCTCCTTGCCGTAGGAGCTGACGTCCTTAACGATTGCGATGAAACGGCGATGGTTCTCCCTCGATTCGCCGATACGCGGCCGGAAGATCCGCAAGAGGTCGCTGCTCAGAATTCCGGTGGCCGGAATTGCGGCGTGGATCTCGGCTGGCGTGGGGAAAGATTGGTTTCCAGATGGCGCGGGGGTGGAGCGACCGGCGCCTGTTGATCGTCGGGAATCAGGTTAGTCAATCATGAACGTTGCTGCGGGTATATCAATTAACTGAACGGGGGCACATGCCTCTTGGCCCGTCGGGGCTACTGGCTCGGCTACCGGAAAAGCTCTGGTTACCGGCGACAGGGCTGGCAGCTCGGGATCCCTGCGGTGTACCTCCGCGCGAAGTGGCTGAGGGTAGGTTCAGTTTCAGTTTCTTGGTCTTGCCGCTCTCACTCATCTCGCCACCGGATCCAGCGCCGATATCGATATCACTGCCGGACCCGGGGCCGCCGAGAGGGTTGTTTCGAATTCGTTTCTTACCGGCCTGGGAAGTCTCTTAGCTTGAGTGCTTTGTCAATAAGGGATAGCCGTCGGGCTACGTTACCTGTACTGCAGATGGAGAAATAGGACGCGACACGGGTTGGGAAGTCGGGTGCTTGTTCTTCGGCTTCTTTCGAGAGGAGTCGGTGCCGCTCGCGTCCGAGCCTGGTGAACCCAGACGCTTGCGGGATCCGGATGGTTTCTTCAAAGCATCGGTGTGCTTCGGACGACCCGAGGGCGTATTGCTGCCCTTGGTGGATGTGGCTGAGTCCTTCTGATTCTTTTCCTCCTCGGCCTTTTGTTCCTCTTCCTTCTTCCGTTCTTCTTCCTTCTGCCGTTCGGCCTCGCTGTCATCGGAGCTCTGGGCGCAACAAGTCAGTATCCGTCACCCTGGGAGATTGGAAGAGAAAGGCCTCTCACCTCTTCATCGGTATATGGATTGACGTCGGAACCACTACTGTAGTCGAAGTTTCTCTCTCTTTTCTTCAGTGCCTTTCGGACTTTCTTGCCTAGAACTCGGCGTGCTTCACGCTCCTTCTTCTCGCGCTCTTCCTCATCTTCGTAGTCCTTCTCTTCCTTGAGGTCGAACACATTCGCCTTCAATTGATCCTCCTTGATTCGCTGTTCCGCTGCCTTGGTGTCCTCATCCTGTTCATTGAAGAGATCCGCATGCTCTTCGTCATCCGCGAACCGGTCCTCTTCAAAGTCCATTTCGCTTGCTTCCAACCCTTCTCGACCAGACAGGCCACCTTGTTTTCCGGCGTAAACCCTGCGCTTCTGGGCATACCCGTCCAGTTCTTTCTTCATTTGAATCTCCTGCTGCTTTTCCATGAACCATCGGGGATCCTTGCTTCGCTTTGCCATGTACTTTTCAGCCTCTTCGATGGTCAAAGCCTTGAACTGCTGCTTGGCGCTGAACTTGTACCACTTCTCGGCCGGGATCATTCGCATTCTGCCGGTGTTTTCGAGGACAAATACCGCGTGAGTCTCCGACAACGCTGCCTCATAATTTCCCACGTAGATGTTACGGTTATCGAAATCCTCTATGTGCCAGGGTAGTGCCTCCTCATACTTGATGCGAGCTCTGGCGATCTCCTCCTTAGTCATGTCGGACTTGAAGACCTGTTGGGTTTTCTGCTTGGGAGCATTCGGTCGTTTGGCAGATGACCCGACTGCGGGCGCAATTTGCGCCATGTTCTGAGCACGCTCCTTCTCTCGCGCCGCTCTCCGGGCATCCAGGGCCTCCCTCTCCGCTTCGTCCAGCTGCTGGCCGTCGGGTCCGACCATCTTCTCGGCATGTGGGTCATGGGTTCGGGCGCGCGGGTCGCGGCGATGAAGCCTGACAGGTCGCGTAAATTGCGACTCATCACGCGGGTCGACCGGCCGCTTAGACGAGAATCGCGCAATGTGGTGCTTCAACCCCTCGCGCAGAGCTTTCTTAGTTGTGACCAAAGGGTAGTCAACGTACTTCTGGGAGAGAAGAGGCCCACTGAATCCGTTTACCGCGTGTTCATCTTGAACAGGCGGTGGTCGAGGTCTCTCGGGCTGCGCTAGCGACAGAGCGCCGGGGGCGGAAGGGCGTGCGGGCAGGGTTTTTGTTGCCGTGTTTCCGCCAGCGGCAGCTCCAGGGGGCTTCACAAGCCTTCGCTTTGGACGAACGAGGGGATCTGCGGCTTTGGGACGGCGAATTCTCATGGGCGGAACGCCGTTGGACCCAGTTGGCGTGCGGCCATTCGAGGCGTTCGTCGGGGTCGACATGTTCTCTAAAGTGAGAGCGTGCGGGTGCGTCTTCTCAAGTCAGGAGAGGTATAGAGAAGCGCATCCACCGAGAAAGGGTAGATGGGGCCGGGGTCAACAAGATGAGTGACGACCGAGGAGCCTTGGGGAAGTTGCGGTTGGAGTTGGGGAGGTCGCGGCCGGGCAATGATGACAGCCTTAGGTAAGCGGTGCTTGGCAGCCTCTGGGCTCGCTGCCTTGGATACATTTCTTTCATTCAGGCCGTTGAAGGGAATATCAAAGAATCATTCGCTATGGTCATACATCGTTGCTCTATTTTACAGTATAGTCCACCCACCCCCTCGCAACCTGGCTGTCATTCACCAAATTTCTGCCCGGGTTCCAGATGTTTGTACGGGCATGCAATCCAGTCGCATCCCTGTTTATAGATCTCCGTCCCCCACCACTTGAACCCATCAACCCAGCCCGGGTAAATGAAAGCAAAGAAGACAACCACGACAGCAAATGCCAGTCCCGAATCCAAAGCAGCCGAGAGCGTCATTGCGTACTTCTCCCACCACGCGGTTCTTCGCCGACGGATCACGTAGTTGAAGACAAAGCAGACAAGCGCCCAGATAGAAAAGTTCAGCCCCGTTGCAGGAGGAATCCAGCTGAGACTGCCAAACAGAATGGGAAAATTGACCTTCCGCCAGAAGTTTTTCTTGCTCCGCCGGCCCAGGATCCAAGCCCCCAGAGGCGCCGCGGCACCGATGAGAAACGCCCAAACGAGAGGTCGATAGAGTCCACCCGGGCCAAAGAATCGCTGCGGTCCAACAACGCCCCAAAGCATACTGCCATTGAAATGGACGCGTGCGATGGGACAGTTGAAACCATTCATAGCCTCCGGAGTGCACAGCCCTGGGATATAGGAGAACATCCAGTTCAGAACGCCAATCTGCGTCAAGCTGGACACCAAGGTCGCCACCATCTGGACGCCGAAGAGTATCCGGGGCGGGATCTTCATATAGTGCCCGAGTTTCAGGTCTGAGGAGAATTTGATGCCCTGCGCCGAGCTAATATAGGAATAAGTCACGAAGATCATGTTCGCAACGGGTCGTCCGGGGAAGACAATGCCACACAAGAGCTGACAGATCAGATAGAGACTGCTGTGTTGGTTGGTGACAGCCATGATGATGCCGACGGGGATGAAGAACACGCTGGTGATGAGCAGGGCTAGAAACAGACCATACCAGGGTAGATGGACCGGATAGCTGGACAAAAAGAAAAATCCGATTAGCATTTAATAGGAGGGGTAACGATTGCAGGGGAAGGAGAACATACTGCTCGACCGTGTAGGTAGCAATAGCAAGCATCGTAATAAGCACGATCAGGTACCATGTCAGTGGAGCATCCTTGTAGCGCCTCATAAGACGGCAATGAACATCCTCCATCCCCAGAGGCAGCTCCCGAACGGGGTCTTGAGAGCTAACTCTCCGGGCCTCATGACTGTGCCGCGAAGGAGAAGCATGGCCATTTTCGGTCCGCAGAGGCTGATATGTGTCGAGATCAGGCAGGTCCCGACGTTCCTCGAAAGCCTTGCGGGTTTGATGGAAGATATCCCTGCCATACCAACAAATAGTGTGCGTAACGAGAGAGGTGAGGGCAGCAAATTGAACACCGTATGACAAGACATAGGTGATAGGCAGATAGACCGGCGAATACTCCTCGTATGCTTTTTGGTCGAAAAGGAACTCTGGAGTCAAGATTCGACTGACGTTGTATGGGTGGCCTGTGTTGTCAAACACTGCCGCCGACAGGATCGGCATGTATGAGGAGAAGAGCACATTGTTATAATCTTCCGCAGCAACAGTCAATGGTCATGTTCAGCGTAAAAGAAACGGAGGTCTGAAGCTTACACAAGATCGGAGCAATAATCCAAATGACCACCACCAAGCCTGTCACAATATTGGCTGCTGCCCACCACGGTGTGAGCAACGGTGACCCGATGTATGCGATTTGGGCCCAGTCAAAAGTCAAAGGCAACATCCCAAGACCTGAAGCAACCCCAAACTAACGCACAGTCAGCAACATACCTACACAACAAGGAGCGACAAGAGGATGGAAATCACGTACAAGGTTTGACACAACCACATTCTTGGGCGCAAACCAAGTGACAACGTTGAAGTAGCTGAGGGCTGGCATAAGCAAACCCGGGACAAAGTACCACAAAAAGGCACCCACCCAGACAAGAATGAAGAACTTGTATCTGGAAATGCTCCATCCATTGGCCTTCTTGTTGGCCGTCTTGTGCATGGTGGAAAACATGGCGGTCGACATGAGGGTCCCCGGCCATATCATGGCCGATGGCCGTACCAGAAAGCGTCTGGTCAACCCTGCAAAGGCGTACCCCAAAACTTGGGTTGAAATAATGAGCAGTAGCTGATACAAAATAGGAACTTCTTGCTGATAGAATTTGTGTTGCTCAACGATCACCTAGAATGGAACAGTTAGACGCGGAGGGGGGAAAGGCAGATTTGGATGGGATACCAACATCAGTCGCAAACGCAAACCCAAAAGAAACATTGCTGCTAATATAAACACAAGCATGTTCCTTCTCGTTCCAACGCCCCTGGCCGAGCCAGAGTCGGATCCGCGTGAACCGGGTAGGATCAGGGGCATCAATATCGCCTGAGAGTGATTCCCGATGGTCAAGAGTGCCATTCTCGAAAACCTCGAGAGGATCATCCGTCCGCTTCAGCAGCACATCCCAAGTCTTGCCCAATGGGTGAACCAAAACCAGAGCAATAATTGGGGTGATGGCCACGCTTGGGTAGCGAAGGGAGAAGAAGAGATTGGCGGCAGAACCGGTCAATGAAAAAAGCAATGCAAGAATCCACATCCGAGGGGCTGTCGATGAGTACCACGATTAGACAACGGCCTGGGCAAGCGAGAAAGAGAGAAAGCATCTCGGCAATGGTCCTGCAGGGGCGGACATACTATTAATGGAGAGCGAGATATCGTCTGTCGCCGGGACCGTCGCTCGTACTTGGGCATAGCTGCAAGATCAGGTCAGTCACCGGTCTGCAGAAGGGGCGAGGAAAGTGAGTCGCTCCGGCGGGTTCAGGGTGGCTGGAAACATACGGCGAATTGTCCGGAGGATCCTCGTCAAACGGTTTTGCACCTTCGTCGTCCACATCCGAAATATATTCATCGTCACTCGTCAGATACGGTGAGGATGCTGGGGTTTCCTGCATCACTGGGTTCCCGGGCACTGCAAGTCCCGTCGCAAAGGAGTACTTGGAATCGGCGCCCATCCCCACCTCCGAGGTGGCCAATGAAGATCGCCGCTTGTGTCCCTCTGTGTACAGGCCACTGCTCCTCCGCCGGCTGGAGGAGTGTGACCGCTTGGGTTTTGACCGTCGTCGTTGTCCATCGCTCGAAGGGCCCTCGGCGGAGCTCTCGAAGCTAGCCCGCAGCGGTCCGGGTAACTCCTCGTGTCTCGGGTGATGTTGGCGCGACGCAGGATCGGAATCATCGTCGTTTTCGTCGGACTCGTCCTGCGGGAAACGCACAGCGCTGTATGACGACGAGCCCAGCGCGGGCGACGTCCGGAGAAGAGGAGCGCGCGACATGAAAAGCCGGAAGCGCTGAACGAAGGACCTGGGGGGGTCGGTGGGGTTCAGGTCGAGGGGCTCGTCTGGGTCGCTGCTTCCATGGTCGTACCTGCAATTGCGGTCCTGCTCGTCGTCGACGGTATCGTCCGAATCGGGGTCGACTCGGTCCGGTTCGGCGGGACGCTCTTGTCCCCTCGGGTTCGGGGGACAAGACCGCTTCCGCGTCTGCAATGGGATGGCGGCCGTCGTGATGGACGGTGGGGTCGTTTGCGCGGCACAATGATGAAAGTCGGACACTGGGGTTAGAGCGTGCAGTAGTGTCTCGCAAGCTCCGTCCAAGCGAGCGAAGCGAGGTTGACGACGGTGCTGCGGCTGTTCAGTCTGGTCCATCTGCGTGCGTGCGGTGCGCTCAGTGGTGCGCGGTGGTGGGGAGGCCCCACTTGAGTCCGCCGCGATGGTACGCTATCGTCGGACATACAAAACTACTACTTTACAGATCCACCAGGTCTAGCAGTATGGCCGGCTTGATGACAGAAGATCGTGTCAATTGCGCAGGTACGGGGGAGTCTATCAGGATATACAGTATATAAAGGTTCTCATCGCACGCTTAGAACAGCTCCACCACCTTCTCATCCTCATCCTGCGCCGGCGGCGCCCCTTCGATCTGCTTTTGGGCCTTTGCCAGTTCGGCATCAGTCTGCTCGCTCTCGCCTTCCTCGTCTCGCATAATCACTTGCACTAGTCGGTCGCAGGCCTCCCGCACCTCCTCATCCTCCACATGGAGGTGACATTCCCGGACAAAGGAATACACCTGCGCGGCACGGATCTTCTCCCGGCCCTCCCGAGTCGTGGTCAAGAGGAGCAAGGTCTCCAGATGGGTGGTGATGATCGTGTTGTCGCTGTCGCGCTGCTTGTCGGGGGGCAACAATTGGAGATCCGGCGGCATCGACATCATCTCATCATCCGGGAATTCCTCGGGCCCCGCGATTGGGAGCAGCAGATAGGGTAGCAGGTTGGCTTCATCTTCGCTGAACAGCATGGGATGAGAAGCCACGTCGAAGGCTACATTCTTGATGGTCGATGCGACGCCCTTCCGCCGAATGTTGCTCTTGTGTTCCGTGAAGACGGTCAGCTTGGTGATGGGGACTACCCCGTCGTACTCCTGGCGTGTGGTGAAATATGACCTTCCCGTCTCGGACTGTGACAGGTCGGCGAAGAGGTAGGACAGGTAGTCGAAGTTGGCGTGTTTGTTGAGTCCACCCTCGGCGCCCTTGACGAAACAATCCATCAGCTGGTCGATGGCATTCTCGGATGTGGAGACCGACTCCGGGGCTTTGCGTTTCAGCGTCTGGAGTTTCTTGAGGTGATCGGACTTGATGAGATTGGCCAGTAGCATGGCAAACTCATCGGCATTCGGCTCCTTCACATTCTGGATGGTGTGCGATATGGTGTCAGTCGAGGGGAACGGGGAGGGGGGTGGTTCGGAGCAATTGATGGGCTATGTCGCAGAGTAATCACTCACGATGAGCTTCTTCAGCAGGCTCTCTAGAAACTCGTCATCGCTGGCCAGGCACTCCAGCACCTCCTCGTCACTGGAAAGGTTGATGAGGATGGTCAATGCATTCTTCGCAATGGGCTAGCGAGGGAGGATCAGTCTTCTGGTTCAAGGGAGCGGACAGGGTCGGGAGTCGCACCGTGTAGTCTTTGGCCAGAAGCTTTAAGTCTCGCACGGGGAGTAGTTGGTGTCGTTTAAAGAGGCTCGGCTGGGCCGTGGAGAATCCGACCAAGTTCTCACAGGCTGGGGAAGTATGTTGGTATCAGAATGGGTCGGTTCGACGGTGCCTTCGGCGTGGAAGTTCGCATTTCGCGGTGCTGGCGGGGTTCTTACCAATCTGTCGAATCTGCGTATTGCCGTGGTGAAGAAACTCCACCAGCTAGAGGAGATCGGTCAGAAAGCACACGAGATAATCACCAGAGGAATATCAGACTCACATCTTCAAGTTCTGTCGGCATCGTGAGGAGGGGTGTAGATGGTGTCGGTGGTCAACTGTCGGAGTTGGTCAAAACTTTTTTTTCCCCCGAAGTGGGGGGCGGCCAGGCATTTCGACGTCACCAGCAGCACCCTCCGCGGTCTCAAAGACGGACGGCGCAAAGTGATCGCTGGTACTTTGGAGGGGGAGACAGTTTTGGGGAAGGCCAGTTCTCTCCAATGAGTCTTTCTCTTCGATATCCCAAGTCTCGTCCCATTTAACGTGCGAAAATCTGCGCTGCCTGTGGGGAAATGCCCCTCTGATCTAGCGGCTGTCCGGGGCCTCCTCCGTCCGCACCACCCCGGATTTTCTTCTCCTCTCCCTCTCAACGCTCAACGCCCACCACCAAGCATGGCTCCCCCCAATCTGAATGAAATCCATGAGGTTCTAGTCTCATTGGCCTTCCAGGCCGGGGACATTATCACCAATGCCCTCCCAGACACCAGCGGCACCGGCTCGAAGAAGAACAGTATGTGTGACCCATCACGAACAAGCATCAGCGGGAACGAGTGCCAAGGAGAGTGTTAGGGGGACTAACCAGGGCTGCCTCCGACCCTCAGGTGCCGACTTGGTGACCGAGTATGACCGCGCCGTCGAGAACATGATCTCGACTTCATTGAAGGACAAATACCCGGATTATGAGTGCGTCTCCCTTCTACCCCGGACCCGCCAGCCGAGGTAGACATATAATCTACATGCCGATGCTGATCCGCATGCCTGTCTGGCCCTTCTCAGATTTCACGGTGAGGAAACCTACGACTCTGCACGCCCGTTGACAGAGGCCCCGACGTTTGTCGTGGATCCGATTGATGGCACCGTCAACTTCGTGCACAGCTTCCCGCATGCCTGCGTCTCGCTCGGTTTCGCCGTCGGCCGAGTCCCCACCGTGGGTGTCGTCTACAATCCCTTCACCAAAACCCTCTACTCGGCTATCCGGGGCCAGGGTGCGTTTCGCAATCGGGAGACCCGTCTACCCCTGAGGGGCGAGAACGTCGAGCCCTTGTCAGGATTACCCAATGCCCTCGTCAGCATTGAATGGGGCTCAGACCGCAGCGGGCCGAATTGGGAGACGAAGGTACGGACGTTTGAGAAGCTGGGCCAGTCCAAGGAGGACGGCGGGGCGATGGTCCGCTCCTTTCGGAGTCTGGGGTCTGCGGCGTTGAACCTGTGTGCCGTCGCAGAGGGCACCATGGATCTCTACTGGGAAGGCGGGTGCTGGGCGTGGGATGTGTGTGCGGCGTGGGTCATCTTGGCTGAGGCAGGCGGCATCATGGTGGATGGCAACCCGGGAGGTTGGGAGACCCGTCTGGATGGACGGAAATACCTGGCGGTTCGGGGCGCGCCACAGGGTCAAAAGGAGCTAGTGGAGGAGTTTTGGAGCTATATCCAAGGCAGATTGGCGTATTAGCAAGACGGCACCGGAGAACGGGATCGATCGAATGGGTTTTGATCAATATAATTGGCTTAAGTACAGGGTATTTGGGAAGTCAACTGGTTATGTACAATCTCTCTCGGGTCCCGCAGGGGGCCGAGGAGCCGGAGATGATCGATAGTCGGCATCATCACCCTCGTCCAACCCAGATTCGCGATCGTCATCTTCGTCCACCTGGCGATCCGTCCATCGCGCCGAGTCCTGACGAGAGTCCTCGGTATGGTGAGAATGGGCTCGTGCATGGGTGCTCGCTGTCTCGTGGCACGCATGTTCATGCTCGGTAGGGAGCGTATCAGCTCGATCATGTAATTGGGGATATCCCTCCGGGCAGGACGGACGGACGGCGGCGCCATGTGTATGGCCCGGTCCAGAACGATCATCCATTGTCGGGTCTCCCTCGGTGGTATCGGACTGGCCTTCCACTTCATCGCCGGAACTCGTGGGTCCCACGTTCGGGGACTTGGCTCGTTCAGCATTGCACTTCAGGGCATCATCGATCTCAACATTAGGCGAGTGGCCAAAGTGCGTGTCGACGAGGTGCTTCACAACTGGCCATCCATAGGCATTGGTGAACATGCGACGCACGATAATGTTATTGTGTGCGTCGGGTTCGAGGCGAACAAGCACTTTGCGCCAGGTCAGATCGCGGTGGTAAGCTCTCGCAATTTTCTCCTCGACTTTGAGTCCACTTTCGCCATTTTTAGCAGGAGCGTTGGAGCTGGATGGTAATTCGGGAGGCGCTGTCTTGGCATGCTTGGGTTGGAACGAAGCGAATGTCATGGTTCGCCGCTTGACGGGAAGCGGAGCGGGGATATCCTCTGGATGGTAGATGCGGTCGTGGAAAATGGTTCGAGGGCGGGCAGCAGGGTCCAGAATGAAGTCAGTCGGGGGCAAGGGTGGCATCAACAAGTCCCCTGCAGACTCGAAGAAAGTGGTCTTTGGGGGTGTATGAACCCCAACATCCTCCTCGTACAAGGAATTGCCACGGACACTCGATACTGGCAACTCATTGGGGTCGAACGAAGCGAGTGTCTGGCTGCGCCTGTAAATTTTGGCATGCTTGCTAGAGGGGGAACGCTTTGGCTCCTTGGGGCGGAAGAAGGCGAGGAAGCTGCTCAAGGGGCCTGGATTTGGGTCCGAAACGTCCTTCTGCCTTGCCTCTGTCCCCGCACTACTTGCCGTCAAGGATGCTCTTCCTCGTGGAAGGAACTGCCCAGAGGCCGGAGATGATGCCTCTTCACGCAATGCAATGGCTTCATTCTCTTGCAAGGGCTGGGTCTCCTGGAGAGATCCGGTGTACCCATTCCTCGGCGCGCTAGTGCCATCGCCCATGCCTGGGATCTCATCGGAACGAGCAAGCCGCGGTGACTTGGAATTGGCACCAGTGAGTTCCGCCCAGCCCCATTCCGCCATAGTTCCGACGAGACCGTTGTCCCTTCTTGCTTTCTCCACTCGGTCCAGGCCTCGCCAGTCGAGGAAGAGAAGACAAGACGTCCGCAAGGGGACAATCCCATCATTCACCACATTGGAGTAGACGGTCCGGTGATGGAATTTACGGAGGACTTCGTGTGCGGGTCCGCAGGGTAGGATTCGCAACAGCGGTTTTGATCCAGGATCAGTCTGGCTTTGGTCCGTGGCTGAGTCTCCTCGGCCGCCGATAATTGCACCCCAGCCACTGCGCACCTTCGGTGCCGTCCAGCTCAGCCCAAGATCTTGTCCAGTCCGTCCAACAAGGCCCAGGTCGAGGGCAAACCGCACATACATCGGATTCTCGTTGCTGAGGCCCAGGAAAGGAGATGCGAGGGCAATAAAGTTAATGGGTTGAATCCGTTCGAAAAACTCCGGCGAATGCTTCTGGATGTATGCGATGGCGTATGTTTGAATCAGGCCGCCAAGAGAATGTCCGATGAAACTAATGCTGGTGATCTGGTAAGCATGGTCATCGCCGTCGGCGGGCTTCTCATGGTTCGCCGAGGATGAATGAGGCACCACGGAGGGTTGAGCTTGATCTTTGCGGGCACTGAAAGGGCGAGAAAAGGACTTTGAGTTCCCACCCTTCAAGGGGTAATATGGCTGGTCCGGGTATGTCATCAACAAAACATACTTGGCCAGACGTTTGCCGAGATACTGAATCCCCCGCTCAGTGCGAACCGCGTTGCCAGAAAATCCTCGAACAATGACTTCTTCTTCTTCTTCGTCTTCATCAGTGCTGCCTTCGCTCTCATGGAGATCCTGGGATTGGGCCTTCTTCTTTTTGGCTGCAGCCGCAGCATCGATGCTTTCCTTCAGATACAGCATGTCCGCACCCAGGTTGCTGTGCAATCCATGGCTGAGCACCACCAGATGAACTTTTTTCTTCCGGGGTGGTCTCCTTGGGTGAGCCACGGTGATCCTTCCCGGCACTTCAGACGCCGCATCTTGGGTTTCACCGTCTGTATTCTCAGACTCCCCATCCGCCCCGCGGGGTGTCCCCGAGGGTAGTGGTGGACGGTTCCACAGGCTACTCGTGTCATCGACGCGTATGGTGGTGGACTTGGAGTACACGCCCTTCGTCGCAAGGACCTGATGCCCCTTTGTCCCTCCGGGCGGCCAATGGTCCTGTAATTTGCCAGAAGGTCCGATGCCCGCGGCCGACAAGCCACCCGCGGAGAAGAAGTCGATGGATTTGGCGTCCCGGCCAACCAGCAACTCAAAATGAACAGCCGCACTACTCGAGAAGACGACTTGAGACACAATGTCAATCACCCAGGTCACCGTTCGGTCGCACTCCAATCCCAAGTGACCCACGGCCAGGTTGTGTGAATCCCCGAAGCGCGCGGGCATCTTGATGCGTGCATCCCAGTTGCCGCCCGCTTTGAGGTACGGTTCGAATTGCGGGGCGCCATCAGCATCCTGCTGGTCATATTTGCTGTTGGGATCGAATGTTGACGGGTAGCAGGCGGCGTATAGGGTATATGGGCCGTGGAGATAGGCTGCTCGGAGCGGGATGGCGGAGGTGTTCTTCACCCTCACGTGGAGTTCTGACGGGATCGGTAGGATTGGATCGGCCGCAGGAGTGTAGGTTAGTGTATATCTATCACGAACGGGGGTCGGTTAGCCTCTCTCGTCCAACCGCTCGACTATTTGCAGGTGGCTGTCACCCCCGGCATGTCTCCAGCCCTGGAGATGGAGGAACAAGGGTCTCGAGTCTCGAACTCACCGGACAATCTCCCCTACGCGTACACTGCCAGTCTGGTGAACCAAGAGCATGTCGGCAGTCGGATTATCATCCATGGGGCTCTGACGCCACCCAGCGAGCGTATAGAAACGGAATGCGCCCTCCGTGCGGCTAGCAGCCGCGGCTTGGTCGGGGGTCTGCGAGGCGGAATACGTTCGGGGGGTAATGAGCATCGGATGCGGTGGATCGTTCCATGGTCTAGCAGGTTGCTAGAAAAGATGCGCAAACTAGGCCCGGCGGCCACGACCCAGGAGGAGAGGAGGAAGTTGAAGGGCAATGATCTGCGGTGGTTTGGTGGTTGGCGGTTTGGCTCCTGGTGGACGCGGCCATCCCGCAGATACCTTCGCTTCCTGCTCGCCCCGGGCTTCCGGCTGGTCCAGTCCCTGCATGCTCAAGGTGGTACCGACGCTGTTCTTGTTGCCATGTTATCCTCAAATTCAGCCTTGCGGGGCGACATAGTCAACGGAATGAATAATGAATGCTCGGGGTGATTCTATGTTCGTGTTCCAACTACCAGGGATCTATATTCATTGCTGGTTCCATTTGTTTACTGGAGTAGATTCTAGACAAATTGACCCCTTAAAACCCACAACGCTTGCTTTTATGGACTGCCTCTCACCAAATAACCATCGAACCGCAGAGAACGAAGAGCCAATAGGGATGGGTGCCATAGTATTGCTGCCAAATCGATTACAGGGTTTCAAACCGAATCAGTCATCCTCTTCTATCCCCTCCCCACCGCCAGTCAGCCAGTTCATCTAGGTACATATCCCATGCCAGGGATCACTCGCAGGGCTTAATGATATTCAAAAGCCGTCGAGGCTCCTTACAAAGCTCCATCCAGCCACCTTTGCCAACGGCAACAATCTTCCCGTCTACACAGACACGCCGCCATCGTTCCAGGTCCTCGTTGAAGTCAATGCGCAGCCGCTCTATCTCTTGATATGTCACCACATCCTCGTGCACATGTTGCCCTTCCTGATACGCCAACATCACGAGACGCGTCGCCTCCTCTGCAGACAGGGGCCCGAAGCGAAGGAACCTCATCTGCCCACCAAGAGGCTCCGAGTCAGGAGAGATGAGGAACTCTTTCTCCAGGCGGGGAACCAGCGTGGCGAGCACGTACATATGCTCGTTCTCCTCGATGATCTCTTGGTCGTGTAGCCCCGTCTGACTGTTTGCCGTCGTCAACGTAATCCGGCCCTGGAAATGATGTGGTGCAGTGCCATCGGATGGGTGGAGTAATTCTTTCGCGGCTATCTTGAACCTCTCCGATCCGAACTTTCGATACTCAGCTGTATCGCTGTCGGCAACCAGCGCAGCGTGGAGGCCCCAGCTTGCTACCACCGCGCCGTAGATTGTTGGGTACGGGGCATCGGACTTGATGTCGATTGGGCCACGCTGCCTGCCCTCATCGAGGACAAGCTGGCTCCCCGCGGAGAAGCTGGCGGCGAAGATGGGGACCGGAGACGGTTGACCCCAAAGGAAGGTTGCAAGGCCCGAGGCCGGGCCAGATCGTAGTCCGATGGAGCTGGCCATGGCATTTCCAGTCCCACAGGGAATCAAGCAAATGTTCGGAGCCACCTGGACTGTTTCCGTTGATTTGTAGAACACATCGACAATATCAACCAGGCCCCCATCGCCGGACAACAGTAGGATGGTCTGGGGAATCCCCGCACAAGCGTTTTCCAGGAAGCGCGATCGGGAAAGCTCGAGGATGGTCTGAGCCGACTGCGTTTCAAAGATTCGATACTCAAGAGCGAGGTGTCGGAGAAAAGGCTCCACTGTAGCTTGGAAGACAGCCTTCGCGGTGCCCGTGCCGGATCGAGCTGATATCACGACCTGGACGGGCTCCCCTCGTTGGAGGTGGCTGGGGACGTCCACAAGCAACGGGGATAAGGCCGCAGGAAGATATACAGTATCGACTTTCGAAAGGCGAGGAGTTCCGCTACCCTCTCCCTCGTCCTGGGCGCTCTCCAGAAACAGCACGCGGAATCCGGGCGATTGGTCTGGGTTGCGCACCACGCCCACAATATCCCCCAGGTCAACCCGACGAGCGTTCTCCGAGGTATCGGTCCACCTTAGCGTGCCCTCAACCACATCGACAGTACACCCGGTGTCCGGATCTCGCCGTTCGGATGGCGCCATGCCGTGGGATTTGAAGAGGTTGAATCAGTTCCGCGGGCGGGCGGGCCTCACCACCTGGAGGGGCCGCGAGTAAGCTGATCCCGGCGGCTTGCCGGGCACAGTAGCTACCCTAGGGGGAATTAACGCGTAACCTTTCTAAACGTCTGATATAATATGTAAATATGTCGGAAGAACCTGTACAATCCCCTCTCGACTCTCTGTTCTTTGAATTTGAACGCCAGCCTTTACCACATAGTCTAGCAATGTCCCACCCAAGCAAGGAAAAGACGAAGAGGTTTACATGAAAACTATACAAATGATACACAAACAATAATGGAGAGACCGTGTGTACTGAAAACCAGGAACGAGCAAGAGTCAACCAATGCTTGCTCCTCAGACATCTTGGCTGCATGTGCGTGAGTGATTATGGGGACTCCTGTTCCCCCCGGCGGGGAGGCAACATGCTTGTCACTCAGGTTCACTGCGATAAAAGACTTGGGAAGTTCGACTCTATTCCGAGCCATCAGCAAAGGGGGGGGGGGATATTAAAGGCGGATCCGAAAAGGAAGGTCTACTTACGTATCAAATTTGGCTTTGAGGGTCTCAATCACCTCTTTCCAGTCATGATGGGCGGTTAGACTGCGTCGTGGGGCACAACCGATGGAGTGCCGGGAGTCGAGCTGCACATCGAGTGGATCGAAGGCGTGGCAGCCGGGGCTAATGGAGATCCGGATGGAATAGGAGTAAGGATTGACGGCATTGTCGCTGTCCCGGGCCTCATAGAGCTCAAAGCAGATTTGTGACAGGTAGTCAAGTTCCGGAATTGCACGGCGAGCAATCTTGGTCTGAATGCCTCCCTCTAATATGCAGTTCAACAGGGTATAGATGTGGGACTCCTTAGTAAAATAGAAGAAGGATTTCGCATCATCCGAAGCCTGGACCTCTTCGAGGTCGTGCACAATTTCTTGCAGAAGCGGGAGAGAGGTGAGCAGGCCAATCTCCAACTTCTCACTGTCTGTGATGCCGTATTCTTGCGGCGTCACATAGTCGAACAGGACCTTCGCTAGCTTGTACAGCTCTCGAAGCTTCGAAAGGCGCTCATCCATCTTGCACTTGTTTGAACTGGAGCCCGGGTACAGCTTGAAGTAATGATCGTAGGAATCGTCCAGGGCCCGAAGATGCGGCAACGATTCGAGGGCTTGAAGCCGTTTCTTCAACCCAAAGCGATGGACAAATGTCTGGCTTTCACTGCGCTCCTCAGCCTTCTCGCTAGCTGACTCGATTCCAACCTTGCTTTCAGAGGTCGAGTCGGACTTCGAGGGACTTCTGCCTTTGACGCTACACCGGTCGTCGTCATCGTCACGATCGCTATCGGGTGGCATGAAAACCCACTCCAGGAATTGTCGATTATGAAGCGCATCGAATTTCATGCTATCGTAGAGTTCGGATAGTTTGCTGGGGTCAACCTTCTCCGTGTCGCAGAACTCGGCAAAGAGCTTCTCCCAGCGCTCCTTGAATAGCCGCGGGTCCTCTCCAGCACACCAGCGCCCTTGGATGGTGGAGATGTCCGGATGCTCTGATTGAGGATCTTGCTGGTTCAACAAATCCCCGTCTCCCGGGTTCTTCAAGGAGAAGGAGGAGGCTTCGAGCTGCTCGAAGTTGTGTCGCATTACACTTCGATGGAACTTCATCAACTCAACCACCGTAGCCAGAACAACGGACGGCTCTGGAATATTACTGTCCTTAGGCCACGCAAATTGAGAGGGAGCGGACCCCTCTCGCAGTAGTAGTTTCAGCTTTTTCTTGACTTTGTCCATGACATCCTTCGCTGCATTGGAATCGTCAAGAAGATCCTTTCGGACTTGAATGAAGTCCTCAGGAATCTCTTTTTGATCGAGAAATGAGCAGGCCCAAATTTGAGCTAGTTATATGCCATCAGTACAGAGACATGATACGAAACTCCCAACACAATTTCCGGGATAGGTTTGGGGATGAGTGAAAAGAGGGATGCTTACCACTTGTGCTCACTCTCCGTTCGGAACTGGTGAAGAGCCGAACGTTATTCAGAGCTTCCTTGTTCATCAGTTTGAGATCATCCCGCATATTCATCCCCAAATCCTGGGATTGGTATCGGGCGGCATGGGTGGGCTCTCCTCCCCACTTGATTACGAGCTGGAGTTTATCCAGGATCAAATCATTCTCCACTGCAGAAAAGCGCGAGAAGGTGGCGCCAGAGATGGAATCACTTCGCGTCTGGGACCGGCGCAAAGCCTCAGTTTCAGCTGCGGTTTCGCTGACCACGGGCGAGAGGGGCTCCTCAAGGAGATTATCACTCGCCGCAGGCGCATTGGGCGCAGTGGGTGTGGTAACTGAAGTTGGCTCTCGCATCTCCTCTGGCCTGCGCTTCCGGAACATCGGCTTGATCTGCACTTTCGTACCGGGCCAAGCGCCCTTCTTTTCCAACGAAGTGCGGAGCAACTTGAGCTTCTCCATATCCTCCAGTCCCTGTTCCATGGCGATCTTTACGGCATCAGAAACGCTGGATAATGCTGCTGCCCCTTTGATCACGACCTCCTCTTGATGGCCCTTCAGCAGATCGACGAATGGTTGACTGTGGAAGGTGAACTTGAACTTCTGCTTCGGAGTGCGATCGGCATGACGGATGACGGCCACCATCCCCTTCAGTTTCCACGAATGCTTAGACGCAGGAAGTGGAGGAGCAGCGCCGTCACCAGCCTGGTGAATCGAGACGGCGGGGGATTTGGTATTCGCTGGACTGTATCCGCGGGCATCAGAGCGATTTTCTTGAGAGTTCAAGTTACTCGAATTGACTCCTGCATCTACAGTCTCGAGACCGGCTGAGGGTGTGGTTAACGGCGCAGCGGGGGACACTTCCGAGGGGGCTGTTTCGTGCCCTTTGTGCGCACTTTGACTTCCATAGAGCCTGGACGTGCTTGGGGACTTGAGCAGCGTTTTTAACGCCTGACGATGAGACCCTGCCGTGCTGCGGCGGGAGGAGCCCATGTCCGGAGATGGCGGTTCCGAAGGCTCCATGACCGCTTCACCCTTGCGTCTCTCGGCCAAGAAGGTGTCCCGAAGAATATTGGCACACTTGTCATAGTAATCGTTGTTGTCTTTGACGAAACTCCAACCGTTGACGTCAATCACATAGCTTTTCTCTCCCACACGGAGCATGTCAAAGCCGCAGATCCTCTGCCCAAAGCCATTCGAGATCTTAGAGGCAATGGCTGCTTCCTCTTTGCTTAATTTGGTAATATACCGAAGCTCTTTCCCATGGGTGTTGCGTCGGACGAGACCATCGACCACGGGGGACTTGCGTGTCTCCGCATGGCAGAAGTCCGGCCCAACCGTGTACGCTTTGACATCTTCGGCGTTGTCCACCCGAAGGAATTGCTCGTATAGGTAGCTTGTCTCGTTCTCTGTCACTGATCGGGGCACAGACATGTCTGGATCGTACTCGGAACTCTTGTTGCCGACTTTGCGAAAGAGCTTGCGGCCTCCGCCCCCGTACTGTTGGTCATTAGGAAAGTAAATGTGAATATTGTGATCCTCGCCATTGACTGGCTTTTCCACAAATGGCTTTCGGAAGACCTTGCCGTCCACCACTAACGATTCTCCATCTTCCGACATCGAGACATGTTGAGTTCGGGGCGCACCACCTCCGGTTCCATCATCCGGGCCCTCGAGTCGGACTCCAGTCAGTTGGTGAATATGTTGAGCAAGCTCCGCCGATTCCAAAACCGGTCCGCCATCACGGTTCACCTCCAGCCTCTTGGGAGTAGGAACACCCATCTGGTCCAGAATTCTCAAGCACAACCGCCGGTCCCACAACACCTTCTGCATCGGCAAGTCGTTGACACAGAATGGCCTTCGCAGTTTGGCATATGCAATCGCCTTGTCGAGAGGAAACCCGTCGGAGAAGAAGGCGATCAGGAAGTCACAGACCGGCCAATTCTCCACCGCTTCGTCGAGGATCACCTTGTCACCAAAAACGATGACCTCGAAGTCACCCTTCGCTTGAAGCCGCGTGAGGATATTCTGACTTGGCTTGCTGCGCGCCTTAACATCCAAGGCACACACGCCGAGTCTCCAGGGCTTGGAGCCGCCAGCCTCTAACTCGCTGATGGAGCTGGCGGCGGTACTGGCCGCAGTGCTCCCACTAAATCGCCGTGGAGCCCGGCTGGATGAGCGAGTCGATTGCCCGATTCTGGTGCCCGAGCGAGGATCTTGCATGTCAATTCTCGCCGGTTTGACCGGAGAGGGTTGGCCATGAATCCGAGCTGACATCAAAGGCTCGGCGAGGGGTTGGTCTTTCTGCTCCTGCTCCGGTTCCAGTTCCATGAGTGGCGGCGCCGACGAGCCTGAGCTATTGTCCAAGTTGCCTTCAAGCGAGTGCGCATCAGCGGGCGAGGCGCTGGGGTTTCCATCGTCGGGATCCATGGTAGCGCACGGAGGGGGGAGAGAGAGAGAAATTGCGGGAGAAGAAGGGCGGCGGATTGCGGTGTGGCGATGGTAGTGGAGGGGTGGGGTGGGATCCGAGATCGACCGGGAATTGGGAATTTGGAGCGAGTGAATTGAGGAACCCGGCATGGACGAGAGCAATCGAACAGAGTAATTCAAGGCATTGTTTCAACGGGGGACTTCTGGTACACGAAGAGTGGGAGGATCTGGTATTTTCGTCGGATGCGCGAGGCGGAGACTATCGCGGCGAAGGATGGATGTCCCCGCGGTTCTCGGCCATTTCGAGAGTTAGTCAGTTCTCATTCCGGCGGTAAGGGACAGAGCCATACAACAAAATCCATATGCGGGAAGGAGGAGGCATCTTCTGCAGGATCACAATCGTACGTCTGGGGAGCTAGGAGGGGGTCAGGAAGCATGCAAAGTTTCTTGACTAAGAAAGACTAGGACTAGAACTAACTTAGGACTAGGACTAAGACTAGAATTGCTTTTGCCTGCGCGCCAACCTAAGCGCCGCCAGGAGCATGGGTATCTTGCGCGTTTTGGTGAACAGATTCGGGAGTCCATCTTGGTGGCGAATAGAGATATCTGGCCACTGATCAACCTCGATGGTAGTAACTAGCACTCATGCTCGTAGCGGTAGAAGGAGAGAGCAGATAAGTAGAGAAGTATGTAGAAGTCAAAGCCAAAACTACCCTAATCGCGGCAACAGTCTGGCCCGACCGCCATTTGCCCAGCAGGTCTGAGGATCTGTTGAGCCTTAGAGCGATGCCTAGATTCTTATAATTGTAGAGCATTGAACAGGCTTCTACGAAATAATTTTTCGACGATGCTATTGTATGGCATGACTAGCAAACGATGAAGTCGTTGGTTAGTTCTCTTCTCCGCCAGGCCGGAAGGCGGTGTGGGCCAAGCTCTCCGCCTGCGGAGGAAAAAAAAACCTCCAGCCAAAAAAATACGATCACCACAGCATTCGGCAACAATACCACAATGCCGGCTTTGGCGAGCGATACGTTTGACTTGCCTCTGGCAAAGAGGCAAAAGACGGTTCCGGATCAACATCCCGGAACTTCGCGCGCAGGCTCGAAGATCTTTGCGCCATTTCGGGTACGTTCAGGTCGAAACGTGGTCAGCCCGTTTCTGCTTGTCTCTATTTAACTGGTGATTAAATATACTGACCGGTCTTTCTGTGTAACAGACACTAGGACTGGTTTCTCCAACACCGGTCCCTTTCACCAGTGTGCGCCTGGGCAAATCCACGTTCCAAATCACGACCTCGGTGGGCCATTCACTGCAAACCTATGACCTGCGCAAAGGTTTGAATCTGATCTTCCTGAGTCGACCGCAAACCCCGGAGGCCATCACTGCCACCTATGCTTGGCAGGACAAGGTTTTTGCGGCCTGGGGTCATCTCCGACCTCGGTCCCCCGGGGGGATCTGGGTCTTCAAACGTGGGAAACGAGTAGCGTCTCTGGATAGCCCCGGACTCGACGCGCCCATTGAGCGGCTAGCCGTGTTTGGATCATGGGTGGTTGGCTGCTGGGCAGGCGGCTTGGAAGTGTGGAAGACGGGCAGCTACGAGCACTATGCGAGTCTGCGGCCCCAGCCGAGTCCGGGCTCGTCAGGGGAACAGGTCTACTCGGGAATTTTGTGCAACATGCCCACCTATCTCAACAAGATTTTCGTGGGCCGCAATGACGGTGCGGTCGATATCTGGAACCTCCGAAGCGGAAAGCTCCTCCATACCCTGCAGCCACCGTCCCTCTCGTTGCAGACGGGACCCGTGACTGCGATACACCCGACCCCGGTCTTGTCTCTTCTGGCCATAGCCCACCGGGATGGTACCCTGTCGATCCAGAATGTTGATTCCGGCCAATTGATCTTGTCTCTGCGGACTGCGGCCGCTCGAGCTCCCCCAGTCACCTCAATCTCCTTCCGAAGCGATGGACTGGGTGCCGGTCACGATGGCCGCATGGCTGGTGTGATGGCCACTGCCGCCAGCGGAAGCGGCGACATCACCATGTGGGATCTCAACGATGGCGGTCGTGTGGCCGGGATCCTCCGGGGTGCTCACCGAGTATCGAACACCGAGGCTGCGATGGGCGTGAATCGGGTCGAATTCTTGGACGGGCAACCCGTTCTGGTCTCCTCGGGTGACGACAACGCGCTGAAAACGTGGATTTTCGACGAAACCCCTTTCTCCCCGATTCCTCGGCCACTGCATTCCCGCGGCGGGCATTCGGCTGCCGTTAGTGCCCTCGATTTCCTCCCGGCATCTTCAGATGGGTCCGACTCCGGCGGGAAATGGCTTCTCAGCGCCAGCAAAGACTGTAGCCTGTGGGGACTCAGTCTCCGGAAAGACAGCCAGCATGCGGAGCTGTCTCAGGGCAATTTGGAGCGCAAGGCCAAGAAAATGGGACCGTCAGCTCATTCCAATGCGACCGCCGCCGAGTCACTTAAGGCGCCCGAGATTACCTGCATCGCGAGCTCGCTCAACCGCGATGGCGGGATGGGGGTCACCACATCGGGTCCGATCTGGTCCAACCCGAAGTTCGGCAGCACTGATGCGTCGAATGCCACCGGCTGGGAGAGCGTCATCACCGGCCATCGGGGCGACAAACATGTTCGGACCTGGTTCTGGGGCAAAAAGAAGGCGGGACGCTGGGCGTTTGCGACGAGCGATGGAACGGAAGTCAAGGTATGTCGCTCCTGCCATCCATCTTGGGTGGGGTATCTGGGTGTCACTGACCAAAGGGATTCCCCCCTTCCTATATAGAGCGTAGCAATGTCACAATGTGGAACTTTTGCAGTCGTCGGATCCGCTGGGGGTGCGATTGACATGTTCAATATGCAGTCAGGTCTCCATCGGCAGAGTTTCCCCTCTCGCTTGCCCAAGTCCCGAACTGCCAAGTTGCAGTCGGGAGACCATTCGGCAGCAAAACATTCCAAAGCAGTCACTGGGCTGATGGTTGATAATTTGAATCGAACTGTGATCAGTTGTGGCCTGGATGGCAAAGTGAAGGTACATGATTTCGCCCTCTCCCATCCTTCATACATGTTGGCTAACCGGAAGTCCTCTTGGGTCAGTTCTGGGACCTTCTGACGGGGTCTTTCATCGACCAGCTAGATTGGCATCCGATGGCAGCTATCACAGGGCTCCGCTATAGCAAGACTAGTGAGTTGGTCGCCTTTAGCTGTGATGACCTCTCCATCCGGGTGGTCGATCTCGAGACCCGCAAACTTGTTCGTGAGTTCTGGGGATGCGTCGGCCAGGTCAACGACTTTATATTTTCCAATGATGGCCGATGGATCATTGCAGCCTCGATGGACTCCGTGGTCCGGGTGTGGGATCTCCCTACGGGCCATCTCATCGATATCTTCCGGGTATCTAGTACTTGCGTCTCGCTGGCGATGTCTTCGACGGGCGAGTTCCTTGCCACTGCCCACGCCGGGAGCATCGGAATCAGCCTCTGGAGTAATCGCAGCCTGTTTATGCCCATGTCCACCAAGAATCTGGAGGAGGACGTTATTGAGGATGTTGGGATGCCGACATCATCTGGTGAGAGCGGCGCAGGACTTGTTGAAGCAGCATTCTTGGATGCACCGGAGGCGGATGAGGCAGAAGGACCGGTGTTGGCAACTGACCAGCTTCAGCAAGACATGGTTACTCTGAGCTTGGTACCCAAGAGCAGATGGCAGGCCCTGCTTCACCTTGACTCCATTCGGGTACGTTTCCCTTTCGCCCCCCAAACTGCATGCTATTATTCGGGCAAGATAGCAGTTGGTTAACGACGTTGTAGGAACGCAATCGACCGAAAGAAGCACCTAAGGCGCCTGAGAAGGCGCCGTTCTTCCTTCCCTCCCTTCTCGGCCCCGGCGGCTCGCAGTCCACCAACGGAACCGCCGCCGTGGATGCGGCTGAATTGGAAGCTCTCACCCAAAGCGCCGCGGCCGAACGATCCCGGCTTTCCAAGATCCAGTCTGCCACCGTGGGCTCCTCTGAATCTCCTACCACACGGTTGCTGGAATCTGGACATCGATTTGGTGCTTTTGATCCCTTCCTGGAGCACCTCAAATCTCTTTCGCCCGCCCGGGCCGACTTGGAGATCCGCTCTCTGGACCCTCGGGTACGCAATGGCTTCTCGGAGTTGGTAACCTTTGTCAATGCCCTCACCATACGCCTCCGGTCGCGGAGAGATTTCGAGCTGGTCAACGCGTGGATGGCGGTATTTCTGAAAATCCACGCCGACACGGTGGGGCTCTGTTCTCATCGGGGTGAACCGGAGTATCGGATGTTGCGCGATGCTCTGGCTTCCTGGGCTCGTGAGCAACAGCAGGAAGGGGAGCGTTTGGCTGGGCTGGTGGGATACTGTCGGGGTGTCGTGGGATTCCTCCGATCGGCCCGCTGAAGTACGCCCACTGGCAGGAGGAAAGTGAGGGAAGTTGGGGTAGGAATGAAGATTCCATGGAAAGGGTTTGCCCGCCATGATAAAACTGTCTATTCAATGATATCAAAAGGGGTCTAGTTATGAATCTAGCCCACGTATGTTAGGCCCAGGGAGCAATATACATATTGTCATATTTTCAGTGCGGCCTGGGAGTCGAATCCTGCAGACTACATAATTGCAATTGGCATCGCATCGTAAATGCAACCCTCATGGGCCCAGAAGTCACTTATGGCCGTTAAATTGAGGTAGGAGGGTTGTCTCTTCCGGGGCCGATGCTGGGCCCGGGAGTGCCGGTGGGGAGTGGATGGGGGATCTCTCGACATTTGAATTTTAACAGTCAACGGCACCATCCCCGCCAGTCCACCCCAGCAACTCGATCCGCCGGTCAGCCCCCTTGGCCATGGGGATTCCGTACCTGACCAAGCATCTTCTCCCCCATGCCGAATCCGTACTGCTAGGAGGCCCAGAGAACCACAGGCAGGACGAGGCGCCGCGCGTGCGGTCGGTGGTCATCGATGGGCCAAGCCTGGTGTATCATGTCTACTACCAATTGCTGGCCTGCATGGGCCCGGTGCATGATGTTCTCGACATCCAGCCGACCTGCAATGAAGTCAGTCGAGCGGTTGTGAGCTGGCTTCTTCAATTAACCCGCCAGGGCATCGAAATGTAGCGAACCCACGTCGGCTGTCATACACCAAAATGTCAACCCTTCTCTCTGGCTGACCAATATTATAGACATCAGATCTGCTTTGATGGGGCTCTACCCATCTCCAAACGAGACACTCGATTGGCACGGATTGAAAAGTCCAGGCACCGGTTGGAATTGGCGCGCCGCAGGTCTGCGACCTCACCCCACGAGTGGCGCGAAGAGGTAGTATTTCCGTCTACGCAGCTGTGGCAGGGTCGGAATCTCCCTGCACGTTGGAGAAACCTTCCTGAAAATCCTTTCATAGTATCGGCAGTCTATGAGGATCTACAGGCTCGGTGGAACAGAAAGCGGATCCTGCAAGAGGCCTCGCATGAACCGAGTCATCTCCCAGCTGCCGAATATCCCTGGGCTGAAATCACCGTTATGGTCCCGGGAGAGGCAGACCTCGAATGCGCCCGCGTTTCACGCCTCAAAGGCTCGGCTATTCTCACAAATGATTCAGATCTAATGGTGCACGACTTGGGGCCGCATGGTGCAGTGGTTTTTCTGAACTCGGTGCAATTGATCGAGACCACTCAAGATCGCGCCGTTTCAGAGATGCGAGGCATGAGATTACATCCCCATGACGTTGCCCGTCGCCTAGGGATCATAAACATTCAACGGTTCGCCTACGAGCTGAATGAGAACCCTCAACTTGGTTTCTCAGAACTCCTGCGCCGGTCCAAGGAAGACCCGGGGCTGATAGAGCACTCGGACAACTATCAGAATTTCCTCCGAGAATACCAACCCGACCCCGACCAGCCCACGGCAATACCCGGCCCCGCGCGGGGTCCAACTTTGGATCCACGAGTATCAGAACTATTCTGGCAATACGAGCTCCCCGATGCCTTCTGTGGGGCGGATCAACCGCGTATCTACCTCGGAATTCTCTTTGAAGACCACTCCCGGCGATGTGCCTGGGAGCAAGGCCGATCCTACAGGGCCTTAGGCTATTCCCTCCTCAATCAGTCTTATCCGACGGCCCGGCGCTTTCCTACCGTTTCTGAATTCGTTCGCCGAGGAGGTCGGATCGTCGCCGAGCAGATCACGCTTGGTGGCTCACAATCCGTGGCTTCAGACCTCTTGATTCTCCAGAGACGTCTAGATCTTGCCCGAATCGTATTCGGGGACGGGTCGTTAAACTTCTGGGTTTTGTTCGCATTGTCTGAGATCTATCATGATCCATCCAACCAAACAACGATTCCAAGTGCTGCGCAATTGGAGCGATTCCTGACAAAAGGATTCGTGGGAAAACGGACGGAGTGGGCGGACATCCACCTTCTGGCCCAAATCCAGGCTGTGTTATATTCGCTCCGAATGCTACAACAACTTCTGCACATCCCACAAGGCGATGAGCTCTCGAACCCAAGTCGGTTCACTCTCGACGACTTACCCCCTTTGCACAGTCTTCTACGATCACGACATGAGATTCTTCGAGGCTTTCCCAATGGCGGCGAGCTTGTCCATGGCTTAGTCTACCAACTACTCAAAACATACGATTGACTAGACCTTTGCGGACGACAACCTGGGACCCACATATGAGAGAGACGCAATGACGAATATTAGTTCCTTGTGGTATTGGACTATGTACAGGAACCTGATGTAAATGGTGTCGCCAAGTCAGTTGAGCACAAACATCAGTAAGGGCCCGAGAATACCAGGATGCAAACAAAGGTATCGGGGCTTGTTTCCTTAATGAAGTGGGCCATCCCGACATTCGTAGAGATATTTTGAAACCACCTGCAGTCGAGTCAAAAGAATGAGCGATCAGCAGCACCGCTCAGGTGATAGACTGGAGTGCGAGATTGCCTCTTGCAAACGTCGTCTTTACACTGCATTGGCCGGCCACATATTTATAGGGGGGGGCTGGCCAGTCTCCCGATACGGCTGAACGGATAAGCATGCTCTGTAAATGCTGGCTCGTCCTTGTCCAAGGCCGCGAAGTGATAACATGGGGAGGAGCAACCCCATTGGGGGTGGACTGGCATGGGGCGCTGGAAGGGAGCGTTCGACGCATCACTTTTCGGGAGCATCGGGAAGACGTTCGATGACGTACTTTCCACGAGCGACGCTCATAATCGGAGCTCCCGGAATCTTACTGAACGTGAACGGGGTGTCAGAAACCTGCTGTGCCTTCTCGGGGACGGATCATGAGTGACTTACCGAATGCGTCGCTTGAGGTCGCGATCGTTAGTGGCCACGATATACACGCGATGCTTGATGACCCGATCAACCAGACAGTCATCCGCATACGTGCCCTTGTGGTCGCACTTGATTCTTTCAAATCGGGGGTCTTTCGCGACACGCAGAGCCAGGCGGTACTTCTGGCCCAGTTTCTCCAACTCTGCAAGCACACAATCGGTGATGACAGGAATGCACTTGGCATATAGACAGTCCATCATGGTCGGGATGATCTCAAGTTTGTGCTGGATGGTGTGGGATATGAAGTTGGTATCAACGAGCACCGAATAGGGAGGGGCAAGGGCGGTATTGTATTGGAAGAAGAGGGAAGAGGGAGCCTGGGGTCTGCAACCACATTTTGTTCGTCAGCATTCATCACAGGTTGGAAGCAGGAGAGAAGGGAAGTGCTGACGCTTCGCGAATCACTTCATCCTTGCCAGCTTTACCAGCCTTGTCCTTCTTGTCTGTTTGGTCATTCGCCTTCCTGGAGCCTCGTTAGTATAAGGGAAACGAGTCAAAGTCATAATAGCAGGGGCTCCGCAGGGACTGACAGGCGACTGTCACGGAGCGTAATGGTCCGCTTGACTTGTGCAAACTTCCGAGTCTTTTTCTGGACACCCATACTGACGTGGGTGGAGAGGTCGTTGGGGGTGGTGGTGGAAACATGAACCAGCATGCCCGGGAAAAAAAAGATAAAAGATTTTTGGTGCCTCATAACCTAGGTGTTAATCGGTTATCTGCTATCTGCTATCTTCTATCTGCTATCTGTATCCGTTATCGATTGCCTTATCACTTCCGGTCATCCAAATGGATCTCCTCATCCCATGTAACTACCCCATCGACATACTGAAAGCTTGCCTTTTTGAATCGGGATTCCTATATTTCCTATATCTTTCGCCGACTGGAGAGTCATGAGGTTTTATTTTTCTGTTCCGTGGCAATGATCTGCAATATCGTGCCACTACTCTTCTCAGATACAACTCTCGGTCTCTCATACTACTTCTGCTGCGCTACACCCTCCTCAGTCTCGCCAATACGCATGATCTACTTGATTGCAGACGTCCGGTCAGCCTTGCAACCCTGGAATGTCCCTTCAATTCCCACTATCTCACCCGGATGCACCTTATGGGGACGTTCTGAGAACCACCTCTGGATTAGGCCGCAGCGGATAGAGGGGAAGAAAGCTGCGCCAGACTCACGGTCCTCAGTCGATTTCCCTGCAGTAGGCAGCATACACATCAATCCTAGCATGGTCTCGCCGATGCTAATTCCCCTTGGGACTTGTGGGGGCCGGTAGTCATCGCTGGGGAGCACAGTGGTGCTCTCGATGTCGCGCCAATATTTTGGTAGCTCCTCTTCTTGGACGCCGCGTCGTAGGCGTGGTGAATCGGTCGCCCATCAGTAGTGGTGGCAGACTTTATTTGATACGAATGGCCTCTTTCGGCGCGACAGTCGATGACAGTGTCGCCTCTCTCGGGACCTCGACCGCAGGAAACCAGTCTATCATCAGCAAAACCACCTGTTTGTAGACAACAGAGGGGTATTTATATAAAGGTCCAAGTGAATATTAATGTATCAGCTACTTGGATTGCCTCGTGATTGAATTATTGGTGGGATTCGGTTATACGCTATTACGCGCCGACTCCCTAGTTGCTAGGAGACTTTACCAGAGGCTTGACGCCCTTTTTACCTTTTCAATTAACTCCGGGAATAAACGAGCCGATTCCAGAAGCTGTGTAGATCCTAGGATATTAAGCGCCGTCTGGGGCTGTCGCCTATTTTCGGGAAGGCACAGCCTACTACCGGAACTTCAGTTCACGCTCCTGTTGATGACCCAATCGGATCTTGGAACGCATCAGCTGGCCCCAGGAGCTATCTCGCCCCTAAAATCTTGTGCCCGGTTTCCAGATTGATCTTGGGCCTTCAGGGACTGAACGGAGTACTTCTGAGATCTATCTACTTTGGGGACATCTCGATGCTTGCAAGATGCCAAGCTACCCCTGGGAACACGAAGCGAGCTTCTGGGCTGGGAGAACTTCTACTCTCCCAGGAGCGTAGTTCGGCTACCTGCGAAGTGATTAACATGTCCATTTGTTCATTTGGACTAATTTTTGGTGTAACCCCATGGAAGCTTTGTTTCGAATGAGCATAAAGCTCGAGAGGTCGAATTTGAATAATCCTCGGTGCAATCGTTCTGCATGATGTATTGTATTATTCCATTAATTCAAGAAAACGGAATCATCCCCAGTGTGAAACGGGGAGGCCCCCAGCCTTTGAATGTTCCTGGAAGCACACTAAGAGCCTAGGAGTAAATGCTCGGTTTGCATCGTTCTCACGGACGATATGAAGTGTAGTCCAACGTTAACATGGAAACCACCACCATCCGCACGTATTACAATACGGAGAAACGCCTCAGAGACAAAATAGAGTCGGCGTTCCCCTTGTCCGAACAGCAGGATATGCTTGTCCGATTTGAGCCTCCTTCCGCATTTCAAAATCGGATTTACCGGTGCGATCTGCTCAGTTAAAACAAATGACACGAATCCTGGCATGAAATACTACAACAACTCCCCTTGGGACTGCGTTTTCGTGCTGTAGACCTTTTACATTCATCACGAGATCTGCTTGCTTTGACTCGCTTAAATACAATTTAAGTCTGCATTTCTCCCTGTTCTCTACACCTTGAATGTCTTCCACCAGGGCAGTTCAGCCTTGTTTTGGGCTGCGCGAGAAAAGATCAATTTGGTGAAACATCTACTAGAGAATAATTGAGGAAATGGGAACGCAACGGATGCTAGATCCCGCACGCCTACTTACCACGCCATTCGAATCAACAGTGAGTACAGGATCAGGACTCTTCTGGAAAATGAGGCAGATATCAACTAGCAAGACGATAGTAAGCAAACGCCTCTATTATTTGCCCTGAATCAGGGGCATCCATCCATGGCTGTCATTTTGCTGCATTATTTCAGCCGGTAAGTGCATTGCCAAGATAGGAAGGATCAGAATGCCATCTGGCATGCTATCGCCCATCGCGGGACGAAATTGGTACGATTTCTCCTAGAATTACAAAGAGACATATGGATGATGGATTTCAAGCAAATCACACCACTTAATCTGGCGATTTCGAAAGGAAGTTTCACCTACCAAAATGCTGTTACACCACTCAGCCGCTCATCTTCCCACAACCTCGGCTAGTTGACATGGATGCCAGAGATCACATTCTTTGCTTAGCTGTTGGAATGGGTCTGAAAGAGGTGTTCAAACTCTGATTGTCAATGGCGCCGATGTCACTGTCAGGAACAGACGAGCCCAGCCCTTATGGCATCAAGCTTCTAGAAAAGTACATGATGATGACGGCAATTGCTCATCTATGAAGCAGTTTCTGTCGATAAAACTGACTCAGGAGGTCGCATACCTCTATATTGTGCAGCATTGTACGGACACAAGTCAACAATCACACTGCTGCGACGCACTCTCGGAGTCGATATTGCTGGTCGTGATAATGATGGAGCGACGCCTTTGTATGTGGCTACACGCGAAAACCACAGGTCGATCACCAGGCAGATCTTGGCTGAGGAATCAACCGGTATCAACGCATCCTGCCAAAGCAAGACGACAGCACTTCACTTCGCTGTTGAAGATGGCAATATGCCTCTTGCGTGTGTGCTTGTGCATTTGGATTCGCTGGGTCCTAATCTCTGTGACGATGATGTGTGGACAGCCTCTAGCTATGCTCTATGCAAAGGTGATCTGCGGATGTTAGAGCTCTTGTTAACAAGGCATACATAGTCTGGATCTTAATGCATCAAATGTATCTCCTATTTATCTTACTGCCGAGTGGGGACATTTGGGAATTATCTGGAGACTTCTCTCTTTTGAAAAGGTCAATATCAATCAGACTGTCTGGCACAAATCTCCCCTGTTCATTGCTATCGATAATGGATTTCGTAACGTTGCGGACCTGCTTCTTCAGCAGGGAGGTCGACTAGATTTTAATGCAAAACCCTTGCTTGGAGATACCGCGTTCGCCGTGGCGGTATCTTATAGGTATCTGGAAATCGTGGAGCTTCTGCTCGAAGACGATTGTTTAGATATTATAGCTAACAATAGGCTTGGCAAATCCGCACTGCTGAAAGCGGCGAGCATGGGGCATGAACAGGTTGTCAGGTGCCTTTGCCGTGACACACGAATCAGGAATGCTGGTAGCTTGAATGGTGCATTTGAAGCAGAATCCAACCCCAGGATACGATAATTGCTTCAAAAGTATATAACTAAGTACGGCACTGCTATTTTTGCCCTTTGAGTACAGAAACCTTGGTCTCGAGGAAGGGCGAAGCTAATCGCACTTCTAGACTGGGTGGGTGCGTATCCGAAGCGGGGCTGGCGGGTATCTATCTAGTCCCGTAATGACCAAATTTGAAATTGAGACTGATGGCTCGTTTCTGTTTAGATTAAATAGCCTGTGGTACCTTTTTGGATGATTGAGTGCTGAAGGCGGATATGGCTAGACATTTCTGTAGACAAAGTTACGGACTCATTCTAGATAACGGCGTATGATTGACAACTCAAAGAAACAGAATCAAAAGGGGAACGAAAGATGAGATGAATGAATATACCGTACAGTACGTATGCTGATATTCCAACCTGTTTCAGAGGTGGGCTGAGCAGGAAAACAAAGCCTGAATAGTTTTTCTCTACTAGCCCCCATCTCCCATCTATATTTGCTCCGTGGCAGCTTCTCATAACAAAATAAGGGCTCTGGCGAAAGCATAGGAAAAAGAGCCATCGCAGTCGTACCCCCGCGAAGCCGCCAATTCTTTGTTTGGAACCACAGAGAAAATGCCGATCCCAGAGACACGCCACTCAATCCCCGGAAGACCTGTGGCTGCCTCTGGGAACTGTATTGGAGGTTCCAGGAGCAACAAAGCTCCCAGGGTCGACGGATACACGCTATCTACGCTACTAGTAGATAAGTCTATACACACCCCGATTTTGCCTGATTTTACCACCTATACCTATTGATATTAAATATATATATATCTCTACTAAAGGTTAATAGAAATATAACAAAATCTAGTATATAGTAGTTTAATAGCTAATTACTAAGATATCTTAATACTTCGAATACTATCTATATATATTTAAATATTTTATAATAGATATATATTCTCAATTTCTATATTTAGTAATATTAGAGTAAATATATTTATATATATTATAAGCTATAAAGATTTTTAAATAGTTAGTAATATAGCTAGAAAAATTTCGAAATATTGATCAAAAGATTTAATAATTACCCTAAAAAGCTAATTACCTATATTATTAAACTAATACTAATAATTAATAGCTATATATAATATAGTTTACTAATATTAATTACTAATCTTAGTAAGTCTAATCTAATATTTAGATATAAATAGGGTATAAAGTATAAGATCTTTCCTAATTATATAAAATATCAATTAATCTAGCTAGAAAAATAAAGCCTATAAAATAAGATAGCTAGCTATCTATTTACTATTCTTTCTTAAAGAATCTTATAGGAGCTCAATCTAAAGTACTAAAGATACTATTAATATAACTAGCTTTTTAAGATAGTTAATTATTTATTATAATATAAACTAATAAGGATTATAGCTAAAAATTATAAGAATATACTAACTAAAATAGAGTATATACTATAGAAAATATAATCTTTTTCTTTTTTATAGAAATAATAACTAGTCTTTTAGACTTATATCTTTTTATTAAATATTATTATAATAATTTATACTATAGGATTTTACTAATATATAAAGAGAATAGTAATAAAGTCTTTATAATTTTATTTAAGAAAATTAATTAGATCTAAGAGAATAAATATATAAATATTAAATAGAGAAATATAAGATAAAATATATTATTTTAAAAAAATATTATAAATATACTAGGTAAGTCCTATAGTATAGGATACTCGGAGGGGGCGGGACCTACTATGGGATACGTAAATTTACTATAAAGTAAGTAGTTCTACTATCGAATATTAGTAGTATAGAAGTAGGATCTATCGTAGGTTACGTGTAGGGTAGTATCTAGGAAGCGAGGGTACTAAGAAAAGATAGGATATAGTATCTAAGAATATAATATAAATAGATAGATATATATTATAAAATAAAGAGTATTAATAAGAGAAGGTAATACCGTAAGTGTAGAGATAGAGCTAATATACTATATTAGAGAAAAGGTAATAATAGTATATAGAGTACTACCTAGCGTTACTACCTAGCCTATCTAATATTAAGGGGTATAAAATTATCGTATATTAGGTAAGACTAAGAATATATCTAACCCTAGCGCTAGTAATATAGAAAACTACGAAGACTAATAGCGATATATATAATTAGCCGCTAAGTAATTTACCGAATTAGCTTAGGAGTTTACTAAATTAGTAAAAGAGTTCGCTATAGTATTAGTAGCTATAGCTAGAGCCCTAATAGTATAACCCTGAGCCGATAGACTAAGTCCTTATTATTTAGAGAGCTAGGACCGACGAAGTATAATTACCGAAAGCTATAAGGTATCTATAGAGGGGATCGCGTTAATATCCCTAGTTTATATACTAAGTCTATTAAGGGCGTATCTATAGGGTATAGTTATAATTAGTAACGGTAAAGAGGAAGAGAAAGATCTAATAAAACCGAGTAATAAGTAATAAAACCGACTTTATATTTACTACTTCTAGCGATAGAGAGACTATATCAAAAAGGATAAAAATATACTAATATATATATATCCTAGTAGGCCTTAGTAATTTAAATATAAATATTACTCCGAGTAATATAGGGAATATAAAAAGATAAGTAAGAACGCTATTAACTATAGCTAAATAATAACTAATCTATCTATATAGCTCCCGTTTAAAAAAAACTAGCGAACTTCTACGACTAAAAGGTAATATAGACTTAACGATAGGCGTAGAGTATAATAGAAAAAATTAGCTCTTTAATAAAGAATATTAGAGGGTATAGAGCTAGGTCGGAGGAACTAATATTTAAAAGAAGCGAAAGGTATAGGGGCGGGACCGGAGTAGCTAGAAGCGAAGTACGCTATAGTAGAAGCGAACTACTCTATAGTAGATAAATAGATAGTTATTTAATATATACTATAATAGAAGACTTATATATCCTAAATAGTTAACTAACATAGGGGGTTATAAGGGGAATAAAAATAGGTAAATAAAAATAAAGGTATAAAGAGTTAAACGTAGGGCTAAAAACTAAAGTTATATAGAAACTACTAATATTACTAGTTAGATTTTAGTTATTATATCTATTAGTAGGTTTTATTAGTATAATAGCTTAGATATAGCTTATATATAGCGAAAAGCTAAAATTAGTACTATATATAATATAGTAGTTATATTAATACCTAAGTTAACCTATTTATAAGGCTAATTCTAACTAACTATATAAAATAAAATAAAGTATAGGTAAGTAATTAATTAGTAGATAGATAATAGAATACTAGCGGATAGGAATAGGTAGAGTATAGAAGTAGTTAGTATAGGTTACTAAACTAGGGCTCCCGTAAAGAGTAGCTAAGTAGCCTCTAATAGGTAAGAGATCTAAAAACTAATTAGGTCTAGTATATAGTATAATAAATAGATTAGAAATAAGGGATATATACTACTTAGGGGCCCTTTCTACTATAATTTACTATATTCCTATATCTATATAGATATATATAGTTACCCTAATAGTAAAATAAGCCCTTATAATTTTTTAAGAGTTACTACACGTCCCCTAAAATAATACCTACCTAACTTTAATAGCTCTACTCGCTCCTAGAGGTAGCTAAGGACCTTATTATAGAGATCGAAGAGAAAACTCCTCTAGAAATACTAGAGTGAATACCTAAAAGTTAGTTTAGATTATAAAGTAACACTTAAAGCTTACTAATTAAAAAGAACTCTAGGAGAGAGATATAATATACAGAGGATAGTATAGAAGGTCAAGCGGAGGATAGAGTAAAGGGTAAAGCGATAGACTAAATAGAGGGCCGAGCGGAGAGCTAAATAAAAGGCTAAGCGAAAGGCTAAGCGAAGGGTAGAGCAAATAAAACAAGAAAGAGTATTAGTAGTAGAAGCGGGACGTAGATATAGTTAAAGCATAAAATAGGAAGGGGTAGTTATAGTAGATACGTAAAATAGAAGTAGCAATAAAGGCTTAGATTTAGGATGGATATTAGAAATCTTATAGATAGGAATCAAATAGGATATAGTAGTAGTCTCTTATAGCTACTAGAGTAAGCTACGCGTAACTAGTAGCTAATTAGAGAATAGGAATAGGGCTAGCTTAGATAGTATCAAAGATAAAATAGGCATAACATAGGAAGTAGCGGTCGCATTAACAGTAAAATTAGGAGAGTGATAGGTATAGCCCTAAGTAACTATATTAATTAAAATAAAGTAGATATAGGCAATAGATAGGAGATAGATAATATAGTATATATAGACATAAATTTAATAGGGTACGGGAGTAGTCTATTATAGTAACCAGAGCGGGCCACCCGAAGGCACTAGCTAATCAGAAAAAGGAAAAAGGGCCTCCGGCGGGTAAGAGGGCCCAAAGGCCAATTAGAGGCCGTACAGCGGCGGAAAATGGCACACTTTACAAGATATATATATATGATTAATATAGACTACTAGATTCTAAAACTTTAGAGGAACTAGGATAAAGGCTAATTAGACCTTTTTATATATAATATATATAACTAATTACTAAATAGAGATAATAATAATATAATAATAATTACTACTAGCTAGCTCTATATAGAAATCTCGAAGAGGCTTTATATAGAGTATATAGTTATAGGGGATTTTAATCTCTATTACTCTCTATAGGGTAGACCTTCTATTTAAAAGACCAAGTAAGAAGCTTATACTATAATAGACTTAATCCTCCTAGATCTATTATTAATCTATATAAGAGAGCTAGATAAGCCTATATAATAATAAGGCCTATTAAAGAGTATTATTAATCTTATCTTTATATCTAATAGCTTACTAGACTATCTAACTATCTATAAGATTACTAATAATATAGAAAGCTAGTCTAACTATCTTCTAATATAGATAATCCTCGATATCTTAGTACTATAATTTATATAATCTAATAGATAGGAATAGGAGGTGACTAATAATAAGAAACTTTCCTAATATCTTAAACTATACTTACTACCCCTACTAACTAATATAGCCCTCTAGTAGCTAGA